TAAATTTTGTTCTAAACCATTGCAAACAAATGGCTCATCTATCAAAAGTGACAGAGTGAATGTTATAAAATTTGATGAAAGCTGGGAACACGCAGAATTTGAAGTTTATTGCGTTTAGTGAAACACTCTTAATACGTCTTTCTTATAGTTTTGGGAAGAAACAACTAATCCCAAACATAGGGCTTTATATCAAAATAAATGTAAATAAGAGTATAAAAAAACCCGTTAAAACTTTAATAAGAATCAAAGATCGATTGTCGCTTTACGGGAACGGCCACTTTTATCAATCACTTGCATTGAACTGATCACTTGCAACGGAAAATAGAAATATGCAAAACATATTGCCCTGAGAATGCAAAACTGGGGAAATCACCGTATAGTATTTGCATGAGTCTTGCCGAATGAGAATGTCGAACGAGAATGAGACTGATTTAAAACAATAGTTAATCATGGAGATACGATTATCTATTGTTGTTAATGCGTTCGACATATGAAAAGCACGACGTTTGAAACAGGTCTTTGACAGCGCATTGTCCAATGGAATGTTCCTTGAAGTAATAAAAGGTGTTTGAGTTCGAGAAGAAAGTCAGATTTGGTATTCTAGAAGAAGAAAGGATCACTCGTAGAAGTTTAGAGAAAAGTTGGAAGAATCTTTCTCAGGTACATGCCTGGTCATGGTTGGTTTAAAGAATCTGTTGGCTTGACTTTTTGCCTTCGTTAACTTATTAATTCATCGCCGCGTTGATTTGAATGGCAAGAAGACATTAGCGGCTGGAGGCATATGCTTGCTGATTTTCACTTCTGTATTTTGTATATTTCGATTGAAAATGAAATGCCAGTGAGCTGTAGAAGTTAATTTTGTCTTTCCTTCCTTATTTATTTTAGAACGAACTATACGGCAACGAAAGATGGGGAAGGCGAAATACAAACGCTTGCTGGCAGCGAATAATAGGTATTGTTCTATTAAAATATGTGCATTTTGTATTTGACTTGAAATAACACGTTTGTACATTGTGCGCGAAATTAGAACATCGTATTTTGGGGGACTTTTTCCCAAATTTTTCCCATGAAATGGCTGAAACCTTTGGGGTCATAACGGTGACGTCATAACCTTTTACCCTTATAGACATTATTATAAACTAACACACTCTAACAGGAAAGAAAGACCAGTACACTGGTCAGTATAATATCGTGACCAATATTCTGAGTATATGTATATGTACTTTATGCTAGACTTGACATAAGCTATTTCATCCTGTCTATTGTAGTTTTTTGAGTAGGTACTTCCAAAGTATCTTATCGTGCTGTAGTGATTCCTTTGCTTTCCATGCTTTCAAAACAAAAAATACCCGGAAATCAAAACATTCCAACTTAACTTCATATGCCCGTGATTTTTTGTCTTACCGAGGTTTTCCACTTTTAGAATGAAAGAAGAAATATTGGACCTGCCTTGGGACATTTATGCACGCAAATACAAAACTCGATTTCAGTGACAATATGCATGAGTAAAATATGCATGGATTTGGCTTTTTTGGCTGAGACATGCTGAACATTCTTCTGTTTACCTCCTTAATTTTCAATTTTTGGATTGCGTATGATCGTCTATAGTCGTCTCAAGCGCATGCGGAGTAAGTACAAGTGATTCTGGGGCCCCATCACTTGTATTTTGTCTATCTTGAACGACAATAGTCCAGAAAAAAATATCGCTCACAGAGCGCCTAAAACATAAAATGCATGAGGAATTGTATTTCTGTTGAAGGAGATAATAGTCGAATGTTTTGTTTTCTCGGGACCATTAAGAAAACGATGAATATTTCCTACAAAACGTGCATGATATTTTGTATTCGCGTGCGCAAATGCGAAGGCCTTGGACGAGTGGTGTAGAAGATGTTGCAGGTATACAAACGAGCTTTGAGTGATAATTTTATCCTGTAAGCTTTATACAAAACTGATTTTTTTCTCTTGGAAATTATTGCATGATATCATCAATAATGGTATCTACATTAAGGAATCCGTTGTGGGATCGTCCCAGGATCAGATGATGAAGGATCGTCGCAGGATCAGATGGTGAAGGATCTTCGCAGGATCGGATGATGAAGGATCGTCGCAGGATCAGATGATGGACGACGGCACGGGTCTAAAGTGGAGCAAGTCGAGGTACATACTATAGGTATACTAGTTAGAGTAATGCATGGGTAATGTAAGTGCATGCTTTATTCTCCGATTGATTCCGTCTGGTGGTCTAACGTAATGATATTCACACATTAAGTGACATTTCACCTTTTTCGACAATGCATGATAACAGAAAATTTCCTACAGCTCTTAATCTTATAGATTGTTTTCGAGCTTTATCGATGAAACATTCCTAGTTTTGTCACTTGAGTGTGAATAAGTGAATTTTAACAACTTAAGGTGGTCTTACACAAAACGTCTTTTGTTTCGAAAAAATATCAAAATCGTTTGATGCAATAGCAAAAAATGAGGCAATGAATAAGTTTTCTCTGCTCGGGGTAAAACCGTAATAAGTATAACAATTCGGTGAATTTTTAATAATTAAACTATCAAGGTTTCATAGAGCAGTATTTCAGGAGTGCTCTCCACAAATTATTGATTAAATCTTTATTTTTTGCACATTGAAGACCACCTTAACGGCTGCGGAAGATGCATAGCGTAAATAGCTTTATAACATTGAAATTATAGTAACAAAATGCCGGCAATTTAGCGCTGTCGACGCGCACGCAAAGAAAAAATATCGACTTCGTATTGGCCTAATTTTAGATCAATACGAAGGTAGCTAATCCAGTGTACTTATATGATTATATAAGTTCTCTGTTCAGCCTATTAAAATGCGACCATTTCGATGGTCTGTCCGTCAGTCGTCAGTGGCATCAAAAATTATACTCTAGTCTTTGAATATTTAAATTCGAATTATTGAAGCGGATTAAAATGAAGAAAAATTGACTATGGATGTTTAGACACTACCACTCTTCTGTTTCCCTTGTTGGCATTAATTTTTCGAAATGCAATTTAAGCTTTGAAAATCCGGCTAATCCCAAACATGAAGGAAATAAACGTAATCTTTGAATAACTTGAAGTTCAGTAAGAAGGAATATATCCTTTCTATGTTATGCATGATTGATACATTGCTCCTTTTACTGAATAGAACATTCTTAAAAGGCATAGCCCGCATAGGCATCCCTCTTGCCTAAAAAGCTTACCCTTTACTGAAAACCCTTTGCGTTTTGACACACTTACTATGTTGTTTAATTTCTTCCACGCCTCGTGCACCGTCGAGATCTTGTTGAAGAAGAACACGACTGGAATTCAGAGTTTGGAATGGAGCAGAGAGGCAAGTTAAATTTGGTACACTTTTTACCAAAGGTAATTATACGGTGCGAAAGGTAAGGGACATTAATGATTAGCCATACTGAGTAAGTTGCATGTTGAGCCCCGATTACGTTTATTTCCTCCATTTTCGGTCAACCGTAATCCAGAACGTGTAAAAAACGGTGCATGTATTAAGAAGGGGTAGTAGAAGAGTGGTCGTTGTCTACATCAGTTTGAGATGAAAAAGCATGTAAGTCGTGAATACGAAGCTTTTCTCAATCATAAAATGAACATTTAAATAATTGAAATAATTTTTGTTGCCACTGTCAGAAAAAGCGCAGCCGGTTTAATTTCTAAAAGTCTGGTGTTTTGCAACGGATGATATGCGCGCTGCGCACGTTAGACCATCAGAAGGATCGAATTGACGAAGTTCAAGAATTGCATGGCAATTCCTGGGACTCGGTACGGATAAGCGGAACTGAAACGGTGAACTATGGATAAAAACTGAACTGTCATTGCAGGCGATTTCTAATGAAAATACCAAATTCGGACCACCGATCAGGTAACCTGAAATTCAGGTTACCTTTGGAGGGTTTTTCACCGGGCACTCCGGTTTCCCTCCTTTTCGTTTGGCTTTAAAAAACAGTGTCCATGTCTGGGGCCAAACCAAAGCGTGTTCGTTGGTAGTGATAAAAAACACGAGTGTGGCTTCTGGGTTCGATTCCCAGAACACTGGCGTAAAAGAATTTCAAAAACTTGGTTGTGGAATCATTGCGTAATTCGCTACTTCTGTTCGGAAATTTCTAGTAATGTGATTGAGCTCATTAATTTAAGCTCATCAAGAATTATTCTAATCTTCTTAATTAAACAATCCGTTACATAAACATATAGTAAAGTTCAGGAAATGTCTTTTTATCTATTTCTATCTATTTATCGATTTTTTACTGAAACACCAAACTCTGGTACATTAAAATGAAAAATATACTGCAATTCTGTCTCTATCCCTGTAGATAATAAAAAGAACATTATACGGGGCAAATCAACTAAAGCCAACGAAGCCAATGTAGTGCTATAATGTAGTACTACATTCCATTCCATTTGTCAGTATAAGATACAAAATAAAAACAAAAACAGCATGCTTCAAACGATGGGAAAAGTATTTAGGGTTGTTCAAACAAGGGTTTTCCACTTCTCATGCAGCCGTTTTTTAATCATATAACAATGACATGTATCTAAATATTGTTTGCCGAAGGAAATATTCTATCAAAGAGAATCCGCCATGTTTTTTTGCTTCACTTTTTGCTCGAGAGCAAGTATAGAGCAAGTCCTTCCGGAATTATAGTAGAGCTCAGGCATAGATAAAAGATGGATAATAGGTATTTTTTGGTTCAGTGTTGTGTACACAATTTGAAGTATGGAAATTAATGTAGGACGTTAGTGCATTAAATTTATTATTTATGTATGCTATCCACAGCTAAGCAATAGCCCCAATTTGAGTTGAGGGGTTCTTATGGCTACGTTGTGCTAAAGCGAAGTATTTTTGGGAAGGTAAAATAACCATTGATAATTGATTAGTCTCCAGAATACTACCCCATAGAGCCGCCTTAAGACGAACACAATTTTGACCTCAGAGCAGCGGTAATCCGCCAAAAACTACGAAAATCGAAAAATTAATTTCCCTTTTTATACGAACGAACAAGTTACACATTCATCTTGCTTTTCTCTATCAGATTTTCTCACAAACGCTTCAAGATGGCTCGGCAGCTTCCTCTTACATGTAGCGGCCACACCAGACCAGTTGTTAATTTATCTTTCTCCGACAAAACATCCTATGGATATTTTCTTATAAGCGCTTGCAAAGGTAGAGTGTGATACCGTATTGATATTGTTAATGTATACTGATCAAAATAATGGCACTAGTAGATTGATCGGTTATTTGGTGTTCATGTTATGTCCGAAGAGAATCTTTCTTGTCAGAATGTTTACCTTTCACGCGCATATTAATTGTTTTATTGTGCTTTTTTATTGAATGCCGGTATTAATGGTGGAACTTTCTGTTTTATATAAATGTTGATTAATTAAACGTATCAATTAGTATTTGATATACTTCGTTGGTTTTCATCAATGAATCATTGTAGTATTTATGTATCTGTATAACTTTAATTTTGCAAGTAATGGAAAATATACAAACTGTATGTGATATCATAATAAACAAATAGTGTAGTTGTATAAACGAAAATTATCACACATTTATAAAAGTTGATTCTGTGACTTTGATAACTATTCTTTTCAACATATCTTGTCATTTGTTTAGTTAGGGTGAGATAATTAAGGACACCTTGGCAACCTTGGATCACATAGGCAAAGGATGAAGATTTATTGTGTTTTCTGTTTCATTGTAGATGGCAAACCAATGTTGCGGCAAGGCGAAACAGGGGATTGGATAGGGACATTTGAGGGCCACAAAGGTGCGGTTTGGGAAGCCACTTTGAATAAAGATGCAAGCAAGGCTGCAACAGCTGGTGCTGATTTTACTGCGTATGTTTTTGATATCATATTCAGTCATTTCAATATTAATGCTTTAAATAATTACCTGATACATAAGAAATAAATAGTATAGTACAAAATATAAAATATAAACCCCTTTTTTGAAAATGCTAGTTCTATCAAATTTATATTCTTTCTTTAAGAAAGCTTTAATTTGGGTGTAACTATGTTGAGATTTAAGAGGATTTAGTCACAATAGTTAATTTCTAAAGTATTGTTACCGTAAATGTTTTATCTCTGATTTTGTTAATCATTCTTAATTTTTTAAAATGCAGTAAAGTCTGGAATGCAATATCTGGAGAGGAATTAGTGACATTTCAACACAAGCACATTGTTAAAACAGTGGATTTTTCCGAGGTGAGCCTTATGAAGATGCTATTAAAAAGAGTTTCTAATGTATCATGTTTATAGGAGTTATTTGCCTCAACTTTTTTGTAGGATTCTATGCAACTTTTGACAGGCAGCAATGAGAAGGTTCTGAGGTTATTTGACTTGAATAACACTGGCTCAGGTAAATAAATCTACATGTTGAGGCTCTTTTAGAAATATTATTTCCAGTTATATTTCCATGTATTTAAAAATTATCTTAATCTTGGATCCACATTATGATTTAATATTGGGATTGACTGTCATGTAGTTTCTCTTTGGTCTTTCTTTTGTGCCATTTGTTAGTTGATTGAAACACTTTAGGTTTTTAACTGATTAGAAGAACTGGGACATTTTGATAGTATGACTTGATTGAACTTTGAAATGTGATAATATACTACTTTAACTTACTTAGATCCACAGCTTTTAATGGGTCACAAAGGCCATATAAAATCAGCTGTTTTGGATTCAAATGGGCAGAAAATTTTTAGTGGTGGAGATGATAAGATAATTCGGTAAGTGGGTGTGTTAATTGATTACCCTTTAAACAGCAGTGAAACAAAAGCTGACAATTTCTATCATTTTGGTGTCATTATTTTAATATTGCTACTGGAATTGTGTTTCAGGTTTTGGGATGTACGTACAATGACAGAATTTAAGACAATACAAACTGATCATCCAGTCTCAAGTATGGAAATACATAGAGATGGGACTGTATTAATAGTAACATATGGTAAAGAGGTGTCATTCTGGGATACTAGCAGGTATTTATACACTAATAGTTTTTTATAAACAGTTTACTTTATTAGCAGAGGTGTAGGAAGCAGGCAGCTAAGCGACTGCCCCCCAATATTTGGTACTTTGATAATATGGTACCTTGAAAAAATTGATTTAAAATTTGAAATTGTATATACAGTACTGTATGATGTATGTTGTAACAACACATATACTTTTGCTCTGATATGGCTACTTCCCAAGGATTTAGAACAATCAAATTTCAATAATTTCTCGCTCGGTAACAACCATGATGACATCTTGTAAGCATGGCCCTCCCTAATCCTCAACACCTTCCTATGCCCCTGGGATACAGGATGCCTGTATGGCAGTATGGGTACTAATTGATTTTGCTTGTGGCCCAAGTATGTTGTAAAGAAGGAAACCAGACTAGCTCTTGGTGTTTAATATTAGAATAAGAAAAGAATTATTTCTTTTTATACTGCCTGTGGCCATAGTTAAAGATGTAAATTAATTCGATAGGTGGATAGCATAGAAATAATAGACATGTCTATTATTTATAGAAATAATGATGATGAAAACTGTGATTCCACTCTGCCCCCAAACATGTTTTGTGGGTTGTTTTGTAATTTCTAGGGCCGTTTTAGATGCGTTCCTGGGCGAAATTCACCCACTGTCCTCCCCAACCTTAAGGCTTAACATAGTGTGTATGACAAAATGTCACCAGCTCTGACAACTGCTATACTGAACATGTTAATCTGTTAACCATATTTTCTCGTCTTTCTAGTTGTGAGAAGATAAAGTCATTTGAATGTCCATGTGACATTTACTCTGCTTCACTTCATCCTGATAAATCTTGTTTTGTCGCTGGAGGAGAAGACTTTAGGTTATTTAAATTCGATTATGAAACAGGAAAAGAATTAGGTAATTTCATTATCATTTTCGAAGTGATCTAAAATATCGCGTGCGACAGCTATGTCTGTGCCCAACGACAATATGAGTTGTAATCAAATTCATTGCTAAAATTGAGTGAAACGTTTATCGCTTTATCGTATACCTTTCTGTCCATTTCATTTCAGAATCGTACAAAGGTCATTTCGGCCCAGTTCACTGCGTTCGTTTCTCACCGGATGGAGAGCTATATGCCTCTGGTTCAGAGGATGGAACATTAAGACTCTGGCAAAACACCGTAGGAAAAACGTACGGTTTGTGGAAATCTCTAAACGGAGACGACGGTAATACTACTGAGAATGGCAAAGTTTGATTCTGGTATAGGATGAAAACACTTGAGTCATTTTCGTAACAAATGCGAGGCAGGATCACGCGACTGATGATGATGCTCAACCTGCAGTTGTCAAAGGAAGAAGCCTGAAAGAAGTTAACGCTGATTTGTTTGTTCACACGCATGAACCCAATCCTCAACTTTAACTTGCTTCTATTGATAACAGCAGGTCGACCATCATCCGATTATGTCCATTGAATTAGTAGACAAATATTATGTCATGTCTATGTCTATGCCGCCGCCGGAACGATTTAGGCTGTGCAAAAGTGAAAGCTATCTGTTTTCGTTTTAAGAGTGTGGTTGCACGGTGCAGCTTTTCTTGTAACGCAATTATACTTATGAAGCGTTTTCGAAATATTTGTACCAGAAGACATCCGTGAGGACAAAATAACGCTATAGAACACACAAAGTGTCCATGTCGCTGTATCTCTTTAAAGTAGAATTGCATCGCAAGTTGCACCGGTGCATCTATAGCTACAAGCATTTGCAGGGAAATTTCCAAAGCGCAGACTCATAGACCCAGACTCGTTATGCATAATGACGTAACAGGCCGTGACGCCTGCGAAGAAGTCTGGTCTTTCTATTCACTGCAGGGAATTTAAACTTCAAAATTTCCCGCCCTGACTACTAAGAACGGATTTCTTGCAGGCGCCACGGCTTGTTACGTCATTATGCATAAGGCCTATTGCAAAGATCGATCCAGTTGTATTCCATTCTCACTGAGAATTGTACATGGCTGAAAAATATAACAAAGATTTCAAACGTTTTGTTATAATTTTCAGGATTTTTGATAGCGAGGCTTGAGAATAGCAAATAATATACAAGAAACTGCTTGGGATGTGTAAAAGTTAGATTTTATTAAATCTATATTATCAGACTGTATCATATACAATTGTTTTATATTAATGCACGCGAACAAAAATCGCATGTGACTAAATATTTTAACTAAAATTCATTCGATTTCGTCTAGTTTCACACGTTTCGAAGATCAGACCATGCACTGATATCGTTTGCCCCGACAAAATCACCCTTTCTCGATTATCATTAACTCTCACTATAATGGAGACGGTCATCTCTTGATCTCGCGCCATTAGCGGCATAAAAACGTTCAAATCAAACATTTTCAATTCAAATCAAAATTGATATTCACGCAGTGAAAAATTGTTCGGCTCGTCTACAAAAAAGCATCGTGATGATGCTGTGGAGTGAGAAATATTAAAACTATATAATAAGCATATATTATAGCAATGCTTTCAAGGAAAGATATAAACCGAGCAAATCACTTTGTTGAAAAGCTGCTATTACTAGCTTTTGCAACAAGGCAAACTGTCGATTTTGCGAGCAAGCAAAGGCGGTGTTTGTTTGGATAAAATTATCTACTGGATAGTGATTTAACCGCCATAAAAATGCTTAAAAAAGCTACGAAGTTACATATATCAAATTTAACAGTATTAAAAACCATTTTAACTTTAAAACCGTGCCAGAGTAGAATTATTTAACGTTTTAAATAATCACTATCCAGTGGATAATTTTATCTATTTTTTGGCCCCTGGTGTACTTCTGACGCTCTTGTTAACTGGTCCAGGTCAGTACGTAGTAAATCACCTTGGTGATAATCGATCGTGTGGATATGCCCCAGTACTAGCTCCGCACATCGTCAAACTACACTGGAACACATTCGATTATGGAAGATATTTACAAAATCAAATTCAGGGATGTACATCATGGATTAAAGTCAGCTTCCTTAAAAGAAATATGTGCAAAGTCAGGTGAATGAATACAAGATTAGAGCAATCAGGTGAATGGATAGATAAACATCCTAATAAATTGAACACTGATTATTTCTTACCACTTCGGTTGTTAGCTGTATGTATGATCTTCAGTAAACAATTTCCAAACTCCTCCAGGACTAGCTTTTGAATATCTGTCCGTGATATGTTTTTCTATTAAAATTTAGAGCAGTGAGGACTAAGAAGTTGACACAAATTGTGTGTTGATATGTTGCGGGGATTTGTCATTCCACGTCGAGTGGAAGGATAGGTTCTTTGCAATTTTACCTTTTCAGCCGCTGAAGCTTGAACTAGAAGACATCGGCATGTGGCCTCGACAACATCGCGGGTAACAAAAGAGAAGGGAAGCCTACAAGAGAGAAAGGTACTATTCAGTACACAATAACAAAGTTCATTTACACAGTAACTGAGTAAGAAATATTTCTGTCCGTACTTTTCACCAGCGTGTGCAAGTATTGGTGCTCTGCTAGGCATGTCCTCCATTTGTGACTCTAACTTTGTTTTCGCTGCGTTCTGCTGCTGCACTCGAACTTCTACAACAATAGAACAAAATATTGTACCACCATGCATTACATTCGTAACCGTGATGATAACCATCACCGTGATGTCCACCGCCACCACTATGATACCATCATTACCCATACCACGATACCAACCATTACTACCATAATAACTATTACTGTGTTAACCATCGTTACTATTATGATACCACATCACCCCTACGAATCTACCATAACCATCCTTACCATTTTAACTATTACCATGATAACCATCGTTCTATCAATAACTTTACCATGATAATCACTACCGTGATCACCATCATTACCACTATGACCATCATCATCATACCAGTCTACCACAATCTAGTAACATCACCGCCTAATGCTAATGATCATTGTCACGACTGACTTACTATCATCAATAATTGAGCCAGCACAACGTACCTGCGGCATCAGCTAAGTGCATCAAGGTTTTCCTCTCCGGACTTTCTTCAAAGTTTTTACATCCAGTGCATTTACAGATGCTGGTGCATAAGATTTTTGCCTGATTGATAATTTTCAAAACATTCTTATCATTAAACAGGTAGTACACAGTCGAAGTGAAGTCCATAAGACTGTGACGGACGGGTCGTCGACCGGGAAAACAAAAACAATAGAAAGAGACTGGCATGCATGGTGAGGTATAATTCCAGGCTTCAACCCTGAATAAGTTTCGCGAAACTAACCTCATAACATTCACAGTAATTTTTCAGACAACCAGACCGCTTGCAGTGACAACCTTTTGGAAATCACGAGAAGAAAGTTAGTAGCTAATTAGTTTCCAAACCAATTTTATCATGGGTGAATGTGTAAAAGGCATTACGGGCCTATCGAAAACACTGCAGTGATATGGCATCCTCTTCAGGTCCCTTTCATATTCTAAACGCTCGGGTCAATTTGATGAGTGATGGTGTTTAGGAGGCATCGCTAGCGAGCGCACGAGGCGTCAGGGTGTAAGAGGGTTGTGTCCTATACTACGTGGAACTGTATACTTCCCCAACTGCATACTTCCTTCAACGTTGACCCACCTTTATTGTGTCTTCGCTCCGTTTCACCCTGAAATGTTTAATGCACTGTTCAGTCTATTGACGTGTGCATCTATACTAATATTGGCGAAGGTGAGTGGTTCAGTCGACATGGAACTCGACTTTCACCAAATGTAACTATCACTACCATTATACTTTTACACGTACCTTTCCTTTGCCAATTTTCGGATGAAAAGCGTGAGGATTGCGCTCCAAGCAAGCCTAAGTAAGACAATGTAGTGTATAGAGTGGCACACATTTAATAATGCGGGGTGAGCGCTATTATATACCCGATCAAACAAGAATTATGCATGGAGAGGGAAGTTTACTATCGTTGATTTGAGTTAGACCCTAGCTGTGGAGATTTCCAATAGAGTTCAGAGGTATTTGCCCACACACAATCTCATGGAAATGAGACTTGAGTGCGAAGTGATTAAATGACTTCATTTCTTGGCCACTCGGTCTCCCTTCCATGTTACTGTGACGTACAGTAGCTGTGATCTCGGGTCTTTAATCAAAGGTGGGGCAAGAGTTGTGCAAGATTTGGCGGAGACAAATTATTGACAATAAGGACAAAGAGAAGAAAAGACGGACTTATCATTGAAGGAACTTTTATCGAGAGGACTAACCTTTATTGCTTTACTTCTCTCTTGTTCGTGTTCGATATTATTGGAACAATTGTTACAGTTGCAGTTGCTGCAGAATTCACCATTCGCAAAACAATCGCAGTAGCTACGAAATACAACAAACATGCAATGATCAAACTGATAACTGATCCTTCCTCTTAACTGCATGCTCTGTACCCATTTGTACGAAGGCCGAAAAACTCTATCCAGTAGTGTATAGCGGTATCTCGTGTGGCTCGAAAAAAACTAGCTATAGACAAAATTTATTGCAAGAAGAGCGAGATCAAACAACACAGCTGACAGGCATCACAGACGAGTAAAAAGGGTTGAAAAGGTGTTGTAGAATGTTAATAATAATAATGAAATAAACCCGTGCAAAGTTAGTTGAACCGCACTATGCACCCCTCACACAGCCAGCCAATGATGTCACGAGAATACTTACAGTTTTAAACATTGGGATTTTGTGCAATTGCAAGGCTTTCTTTGTCTCGAAGGCGACGGAGGATCTTGAACGCTGGAAGGGAAACTTACTGTTCAGGCGAAAGCACATTATTGGTGTATAAACAATTTTTTTCTCGGCGTCCTAAATTTCTTACCCATTGACAGTTTGGGAAGTGCTTGTAGCCGTTGGTGCAATTTGCACAGTCGATAATTGTACTCCACTTGTGGAAGCTCCAGTTTGAACTTGCTAAATACACAATGTAGTAAAAGATAAGCGGACAGTTTGCAAGAGTTTTAATGGATCTAAACACAAGCAGGAGCGTAAATGTTGGGAGCGGTTATAGGGTGTGGCATACTCCATTTGAAGAGAAGAACCGACCGGTCCAAAAATAAGTGCAGCGACCCCAGCGTGTTTCACAAAAAATACAGTCCATATATGATCAGAACTGTATCGCTTCATGTGACATTTTATATTTAAAGGCCCGTTTACACTTGCAACTTTGAACGCTATCAAAAGAAGAACATAAAATCGCAGCGAAAATCGCATTTGTAAACGGGTCTTAAGATTTCCTTTACGTTTAGGTTTTTTAGTGCATTTATTCCTGAGCCTTGAAAAAACACCGACATGAACTCTTACGCAGCCCGGTATACTCAATTTTACAGGAGAAAAACAAACGACCAAAACTGTATTTATTCTGGTTATGGCCAAATGAGAAAAGGCCGCTAGTTTTTAGAAACAACTTATGCCACCACGGAAATAAAATGCACATGTACGATCACGAAAAGCGGGGCTGTTTATTCCGATTAAAAACTACTGAATCAGAATGTGGTCCAACCTGTGGTACATAAACAACACCATCTCGAAACATGGTACCAGGTGGAAACTGTATGGTAGCACCATGTGGCAGGTTACCAAGATTAGGGGCAATCGCTCGCAGCTGGGTCGGACCTGGGTGAGCCTGAAGCAGAACACGTTGCTGAACCACGCCTGTTGCTGCTTGGCTGGTGTTTGATAGAACCTGAAAGGTTTGACAGAGTTTTTTCTGATGTTTACTTTGACATGGTTTTTTTGAGAGTATTGAGCTTTTTCTCAGAATTTCGGTTTAATGTTCATGACACCTACGACAATGGAAACCTGGCCTTAAACATTTCAACTCTAAAGCGCGCAATGCGTGGATGTAGTTGATTATGAAATTTTTCAAAGTTTCCTTACAACCAAAATTGCCCCTTGGGCACAGCGCGTGTCATTTTAGGCAGTTCTCATACCGCATGTGATGCTTAGTTATGTATTAGAGGACGCTGCCTCACTTTTCCTCAGTAATATCTAACTAAACTCTATGTATACATCGTTTAACGTGCAGTACCTGTTTACCAGCCCTCGGCGCAGCTGGTTTGAGTTGTATTTGAGCCACCTGAGGTCTCATTGTTGTGTTTGTGCTCGTAGCCAGCCGTGGGGCAATCGGCCTCAGTGCGGTCTGCGAGTTTATTCTAGGTTGGGGGACAATCTGTATTCGCGATAAGTTACCAAGACCTTGGACAAACCTTTGAACATTACCACCCTGAATGGCTATCAGTTTGTTCGGAGATGACGTCGTGGTGAAATACATTGGCTACAAAAAGGATTTTTTTTAAATTTGTAATTGTAATGGTAACAACTCTAGAAAGAGATAACCCTTGAAAGCTTTCTCCTATGGATCTACAGTAAGTGTTTGATAGTAAATGGTTATTTGTACAGTGCACTCTCTGTCATGTTGAGAGAAATAAATAGTTGTATTTGATTGTTAGTGCTGCAAATTTTTCATATCAAATAGAATGTATTCTCATGAATCCATGTATATACAGGGTGTATAAATTATAATAAACTGTAATATTCATATATGTTTGCTTCTATTCAATAGCAAAAGATCATAGGCCCCTGGGAACTATTAGGGTTGCAGTCAGTTTTTTGATACACCCAGTATCACTGGTCCAACAACTTGGAAATGTCATCAAACAGAAATCCATTTTAACACTGAAATTGCTAAATATCTTGTGAAATGCATATCATACAAAATTTGTTGCATTGGTTGTAAAACAAATTTATTTGAAGTAGTTTGAAGAAACAAACAGAAAAAATGAAACAAACAGAAAATAATGCAGTAAAAAAGATTTCAACCAATTTCCAATTGTATATCTATATGGTATAATTTCAATTATATACAATATTTTCAATTATACTGGCAAACATACTGTAGATAACAGGTCCAAATAGTATCATCATGTGGGTCAGACTCAGAGTCACAATAATTTTAGCCTTACCTTGTTACTTGGTGGAGTCCCTGTGGGAGCAGGAATGACCTTGTTTGTTTGAGGTGCAATGGGCCGAGCAATGGGGCGTGTCTGCACCAACGTAGGACGAGTGCTTCTTGGTGCTTGCATGATACCAGGTTGGGTGTTTCCTTGGGGTAGGCCTATAATATTAGGTTAAGTTTGAGAAGAGTTCTGAACAGACACCATTAAACTAAAAATTGGGATCATTTTCCATATTAAAATGGGAAACTTCATATCTTAAAATTGTTTCAGGAAATGACAAATCTTTAAATGATTCTATTTTGAGGTTCATGGGTAAAGTCTTATGGCATTAGATGCAATACTTTAGTAAAATATATACTAAATATGAATTCCAAAACTAGGTCATTGTAGATTTGGCTGAGTATTTTAATTTGTTCATGACGGTTGTTAATTGCTCAAAAAAATCTGTGAATCAAATTTTCAACATGGCAGAGCAGTTCCAATTTCCTTGCAATAGAACAGAGATTTTAAATTCCTACAACATCTACCTGGTGTTTGTAATGGTGCAACAGAGACTGTTCGAGTTGCGTGCATCGGTGATGCCACAGATTGCTGTACGCTTTGGGCCTGGCATGTCTGTGGTGAAGTGACACTCTCTGGTGCATCTTGCTCCATTGGTTCAGGGCATGTCATATTGGTTGTTGCGGTTGTTATGGCCACAAATTCCGAGGGCATTGTTGTTGTTGCATCCATCGCTCCATTTGATGGCTCGGTTTTGATCAAAGTTGTTAGGCTAGCAGCTTCTTGTTGCAACATCACAAAAACTCTGCTTTAATCCCAGGATACATTCTTCTTTATGAATAAAATTGTATGTTCAAAGGAAAAGTATTAAAACTAGAGTAATCACAGGTACAGCCATATTTAATACTGTAATCAAGAGGGTATTGAAAAAATATTTATAAACAAGAATGGCACCATCGAAATTTGGTAAAAACAAAAGAAATCAAAAGCATTGGTTATAAATTAAATATCGTCACTCGGGTTCATATTTCCTCGTCGGAAATTATAACATGATAATATGTAAGGAATGTTTCGAAATTGATTACAAAATTCAAAATATAATGAACCTTCGTTTGTTTACATTTTTACAAATTAAAAATTTCGTGAAATTTCCAATATTTTGAAAAATATATACGATTTGTTTACTAGTATAGCAGATATCAGACTTTATACTTGATTTTTTTAAAAAAATAGGCTGTTTCTGTGCGGTTAAGGTGAATTTTTATACCAGAGACGACACGTCGAAATATTTCGCTAGATAACACAAAATTTCGAGTTTATGTCTGCATCGAGGGACTTATCTAAATAGCGATTGTAATGTAATGCGTTTATATCTAAAGCTATAGTGGAGGAAGGGTGTTCTGTCTTTTACGTAAGTTTACACTACGAACACTGAACTATCCATCCCATTTATGATAGCAGACGGCGATCGAAAAATTGTATAAAATGTTGCCTGTTTTGCAAGGCAAATTAACGCGATCGGCTAACTCATAGCAACAAATAAATAAATATACATACCAAGGAAGCATTTGAAAAGTCTTTATGCGAAGAATGTGAACAAAAGCAAGAACAAGACCCAGGGGAAAATGCTATTGTTTGCACACAACAACTCCCTCATCGACGAGCCATTTTGTTTAAAATCACGCGCTTCTAGCCACGAAGCACTATTCTGTCCCGTCGTGCAGTACGATCATTCGAGCAATATCATTGGTTGATTTGATCACATGGGCTTATAACGAGCTCACTGATTGGTTTATTTTTTTAAGCTATCTTGTCGGGAGATTTTGAACGTGGATTTTGTCGAAAAGTAATATAGGAGTGCATACTTCTGAAGAGACTAGCGCTGACCCATCTACATTTACGTCGCGTTTTACTTGTTCAAACTTTATTCTTGATCAGTGCTAATGTCAACCAGACTGTTTTACTCAGTAGATCGCAGTGCCGGCAGTGGTATGTGTACGTGTGACAGACGGTGCGTGGCGAAGCATAGCGTATATTATTGTTCTCTGCTCATTTGGCTATAACATATTACTTTAAATTACGTTAAATTTCGCAACGATAAGGTTGAAGTGAAAAACAGGCCTTAAATAGACGTGCAGAATAAGGGGAAAATGCTAATCTTCTGTGCTCTGATTAATTCTCAATTTTAGAACTTAAACTTCACTACCCTCCAAAGTCTTATACTTTAGAACGACAATGCAGTGATCAATGCAATGACAAATATTAAATAACACATATACATTTACATTTACATTGACATTTACATTTCAAGGAATGACAGTTTTGGATAACCAACGTCTATTATATTGCGGCAACCAGGTTCATCTTGTGGAGAGGCCACTCACCGCTAAAAATTCTAAAATGCATAAATGAGAACACTTCTCGGAAATAGAATGTACAGAAGCGTGGTGATTCGCATGTAAACACTAGAAAAAAGGTTCAAAATTTGAACAGTTCCGCGTGAACAGGCGGAAAACAGAACCGCACGATCCTAAAGAGCATACTTCCTCGAACCTTGCTTGAATTCTTCCGGTTTTCTGCGTGAACACGTGGAACCGGTTTAAACTTCCATCCGTTTCCACGTATACCGCTTTCAAAATCGTACCGTTCCGTGCTAAGGTACTAACTATCCATTGATCAGTGTTGACGAGGACAAAGTTATCTTCTCTCGTCAAATGAGGCATGTCTAAATTTTACAAGAATGTTCTGGACGTTACAATCTATGAGCTGTAGTCATATTTTCAGAAGTATTTGAGGGGGCTGGCGGGCTGCCACGCTGCTACCTGGTTATCTAATAACCTTAATTCCTGTACACAGTATACGCGTAAAAACTTAAGGTACAAATTAGATGTCAACAAGATGTTAGCACGTATTTCTGCTAACATCATGGTGACGACAAATTTAGGAGAACTTGTTTCGTATCAATATTATATTATTGTTACCATATTTTGGGTGGTATTGTCAACCTTGTTGTTAGAACAAACATCTGACAAGTCTGACAACGCTAAACAGCTTGCTGCAAGTAAAAGTTTACTGCAAGAGCATTCGAATTACAATGATACAAGTAAAACCAAAATGTTATACTGTTGCGAAACAAATTTATGGCTAATTATGGGATTGTTTTTAAAATCATATCAGGCCTGGATCAGGCCACTGTCTCGGGGGAGGAAATACGTCACGGTATTAACTCGTGATTATCTCGTGCTCACGAGGAATATTTAAACAAGCAAAATTTTGTTTTGACATTTGTCTGGTCTCAGGTGTCAGACGTTGCACTACAGTTTAGTAACAGAAATTTTCAACGAATAAAAGCACCATGAAGTTTTTGGCATTTGCGTGTCTAATTGCTGTGGGTAAGAGTGGATTTTCTATATTATTTTAACTCGAAATTGCTGAGTAAGTTTAACAGTCAGTAAAAGCTTCAATTGTTTGAAAGCTATTATTGCGTATGTTGCTGTCCGCAAAATAAACTCGAGAAGCGTCTAAACATATCTTGTGTAGCATCGATATATTATTTGATAAAAACTTTTCCTAGTTGATTCCCGGCATACAAGTATGTAAACTAAGGTTTGCAGCTTGAGTTTGGGTATTTGCATCCCGTATGGTAGAATTTTTTGTTACTTTTCTTCGAACAAAAGGAACAAATAATTGCAACACATCTGTTATTAATATTTTTTTAAGACACGAACCGAGCCGTAACGTTTCATGAAGTACGTAAATCATACCGTGAACGGCAGCCCATGCAGCAATTATACACCCAAGTATTACCTTTTAAAACTTAGTTTTGTTTACTTGTCTCGTTTCGCATCATTAAGTTTTCAATTGAAAGTGAAAAAAGTTCTTCGTGTTTGCGAACGGTCGAGGAAGTGAATTTGAAACCCGACAATATTGAGCAATATGACAACTTTCAGTTTGAATTGTGCAATTTAGCCTTTCATTCCCCAAAGTAATCATTTATCATTTAAAGGTTGGGAAATTCAAACAATATTTTATCATGTGACTTAAGCGCTATAATATTATTTCTTATGCCGACGCTCTGTGATATATATATCTAGCTCCAACTGCTCTATGTCTGTATGCTACCTACGCAATGATGGGACAACTGAAACAAAGCTTCGACAACCTGAATGAAACCTTTTCTAGAAATTACCCGCATGACCTACAATTCTGTGTACTTTCCAAGGGCTGTCTGTAGGTTCTTAATTTGGAGGGATATTCATATATTCATGTTTGCACACAAAGCGGTTGTTTTTAGAGAAATCAGTCAGGCGCATAGCATGATTGTGCTAAAATGAGTGTGTTCAATTCTAACTCTCCTGGAGAAGGTCCTTGAGTCGAAATTTGAACTGTTTTTGTCTATTTTAGGCAATAGGCAGTTATTATACCATATTATAGATGCCTAATAACCAAATAACAATGTATTTAAAGGGCAAAATCCAAACTCCAGTTAAAAATGTCAATTTGACAAAGACCTGCACTGCATGGTTCCATCCCAATGTCCATCTGTGCTGATAAAATATGTGGCAATTGATTAGCTGGTCGAAATTGCTATACTGTTTTTTCTCATGCATTGGGCAAACTGTGTCTGTTCGTATTGTATTAACCAAAACAATTTTTCTAGCCTATGCTTATCCTAGCAGACTTGGTGAGGAAAAATGTACCTATGGACCTTCGTACTGGTGTGATAACTACAAACAGGCTGTTGAGTGCAAGGCTGTTGAACACTGTAGAAATTATGTGTGGAAACCTAAGGGGGTGTGTATTTATGTGTTAGGAATTTACAAATATTTTCTAGAGCAGTGCAACTTGTTTATTGTACTGTACTGCATCAATAAATGGATAGCTCAGCGGGGGCTGTATAACTATAACAAAATTGTATTCTGTGCAGTTTAGGATAAACTGGGCTTCTATGTAATTAATAGTGTAGATAGCTATTTGTAGGTGGAGAAAGGGCATCAGTATGTACAAATGAAGGGATATGTTTCTGCAAGCCTAACTATATTGTTGCTGTTTTAGGCTGACCAATGTGACCAGTGCAAAGCTGCTATTACAAAATTAAATACTTTTGTGGCAACAAATTCATCAAAGGTTCTTGAAATCATGAACAATGTCTGTGCTGGACTTGGCAGTAGTGCTCCTGAGGTATAAATCATCTCTTAGATGAGACTATATACATACCATTTACGTGGACATATCGCAATTTACAAAAAATGGCCTATCATATGAGTTAATTTCCAAAGTACAGTAATATCAAAGTTAATTGTCTAAGCCAAGGAAATAAAAGTTAAACTTTCTGTTTATCTGGACAAGTCTCTGTACGATTTACAACATTAATATATCACATCATTTGGATTTTGTTCATAAATAATTAGTGAGATAATATATTCAGGCTGAAGCAAAAATGAAAGAAAACAGGAAATAGTTTTTCATGTTTGAATTTTTAGTGCAAACTTGCTGTTCAAATGTATGGAGAACAGATCATTGCTGCGCTTAAAGAAATAACAGTGAGTTCTTAGAATTTTAATTCATTATTATATACCAAACAACAATCACCAGAAAGCCATTAGCTGTTACCTATGTGGTTTTACACATCCTGTCATCCTATGCATTGGATTATCTACATAGTAGTTAATACTAGTTATAGATGACTAGTTATAGTTAATACTCCCGTCACAAATTCTGGACTGTTGCATTCATCCAGTCACAGGGTTAAAAGTTTTCAAATAGATCAAATTTCAGCACATTCAGGTAATGTTTAATATACACATATTTATTGTCCAGCATTGGCATCCATGGAAGGTTGATTGAGGGGGACCATATATTCTGTTATGCCTGGCTAATTTCTTTTGAAAACAATTTCCCATTTAATAGAAATCAGCCTGGCATAATATGTCCCCTTCGATTGATGCCCATGTTGTCCAGTAATTGAAAGGGGAAAAGATAAAAACGCTAAAGATCAGGGCAGTTGGGCAAATTGTTAACCGCTCTCCCAAAAAATAGAATCGGTACCCCAATGTCTGATGTCTGACATGAGGAAATCTTAAATCATCTAGTAATCTAAAAGCTGATCGCGTTGCAATCTTCGTCACGTCGTGACGCTTGATTTTGAATGTTTTAACATGTCAGAGGTTCAAAAGCATCTTAATTTCGAGTTCAATTCCACTCGAAATTATGACCCTTTTTAACCTCTGGATTTACCTGCATCGAGTGAAGTGCCAAAAATCATAATTAAAATATATCATCCCATCAATTTGAAAAAACCTGGAAAGGACTGCAAAAACGTAATCTGGCTTTAGGTTGGCTCAGTTTGAAATTCGGGAGTAATTCTCTAGTATAGTTGGAAAACAAATGAAAGTTCGTTTTTTTGAAATGACTATTTAAAAAGCTGCCCTAACCTGTCTCTAAGTACACTATCACCAACATCACTCAGTACTATGATTGTCTTTACCATGACCACCTCTTCATCCACAGTTAGCTGTGGTACATATTAAACCATACAATCATCATCACCTACTGTAGCACGACTGCTATCGCCATCATCACTAAAATAATACTCATTTGCCACTGTGATCATTATCTTCATCGTGATTGAGGCCATCACGGTCCATCATGGACCATACCATGATTATAACAAGCATGTACTAAATATTTGCTTTTTACTTTATTTAATCTTCAGTCTGATGGTGAAAAACTGTGTAAAGAGCTCGAACTATGTACTTCCGTCGGTAATGTGAAAATCATAAAAGAAATTCTTGTCAGAAAACTGAAATCTCATCCGTACATTGTTAGGCTGAAATCTGCGAAGGTGAGAAAGCGGTGACGAGAAACTGACACGCATTTTGTTTGCTACTGAACACACTCGTTGCAAACTAAGCTTACATACCTCACAAAGTCAGCACACGTACCTGATTTTTACCACGAATAGACATACAAGAAATGAAAAGAATTTTGTCTCACGACCATTTGGCCAATTGCTGACGTATTCGGCAGCCTTAAACAGTAAAACCAGGCCCGGAGTTACGGGGGGGTTTGGGGGGGTGTCACACCCCCCCAGAAAAACGTTTATTCTGAGGTTCAGTCGGTAAAATTGCTATTTTAGTCGGCAGACAAAAATATTTTTGACACTATAGACCGATCCAATATAAACTTGACAAAGTTTCATCCAGAGTGTAGTCGGTACAAGTCCGTCGATCAGTCGGTTAAGATGACCTTACACCCCCCCTGTAAAATATCCTGAGGACGGCCCTGAGTAAAACGTCCTGCCGGGGGGTATGAAGCCGAAGGTGTCCCCAATAAAATTACTTAAACTACGGTTTCAAAGAAATAACAGTGTCTTTTTTAATATAGGCTGATTATTGCAATGACTGCAAGCTTGTATTTGGTGAAATAAAGACCGTCTTAGAAGACGACGATTTGCAGAAAGAAATCGTTGCTGCAGTAGAAGATCTCTGTGAGGAGTTTGGAAGCTTTGCCACTCAAGTATGAGATTCATCATGCATTTGCAGCGAATACTGACGGCAATATGAAACTGGATACACTGAAACACTTCTAGGCTATCTAAGCTTGACACACTATGAACCTATACAGGCTATACTACACTACACTAATACAGTATTTGTATTGCGATTTTTCTTTGTTAGTGCAAGTCCTACGTCGATACATACCTGCCTTTGATTTTGGATGAACTCGCCAGCTTAGATGTGAGTATCCATGGGCGTGGGCATGGGTTTATGGTTTTGTTATTTTACTAAGTCATGTACTCGTACTCAAACCCAAAATTTTGCACTGCTGAGAGATACCTTATGACTATAACTAAATTATTTCCATCTCTAGGATCCAACTGAAATTTGTGATGAGCTCGGTCTTTGTAATTCAACGGTGAAAGCTGTCACGAGTGTCTTGAAACATTCGCCACCACAGGCACAGGTGAACGTGTAAAATTACTAAGTAAATTAGTTTGTAGGCACACCACGTAAGTATATTTAATGCTTTAAAGCTTTCTGTCCGTTAATCCGGACCGTTAACCCGGACCGTTAACCCGGACCTTCATCAGTGCAATAAACAATTGAACGATGATCAAAATTGAAAATTGCACTGATGAAGGCCTGGGTTAACGGACCGAAAGCTTTGCAGCATTAAATATTTACGTGGTGTACATATACAAGCTAATTTACTTATATGATGTCACCAAGAATATTGTTTAATCACTACTGTCATATATCATCGCGACTCTGTCATTCCTGAACTCCTTATCGTTCCGGGTATTAGAAGTGCTCGCATTCTGCATGTGAATGCAAACCGCCAAACTAATATTTTGTTGCTGTTTTAGGCTGACAATTGTGACGAGTGTAAAGCTGCTGTAGCAAAACTACACGCTTTAATCGAAGCAAATTCATCGAAACTTATCGAAATCATGAACAATTTATGTGCTGAACTTCCTCAATCTGCTGCTGCCAAGGTAGGAATAGACCTTTCTCATTTCGTGATGCCGAGTTGAAACTGATTTGAAAAGGTGTACATATACATTGTCATATTGCACCATCTTCTATTTTTATACAAAATAAAGATTATTTTTAATCTTCGGTAGAAATGTCGAAAACTGTTTTTGTCTATTCTCTGCAGTTGTTATAACACATAAGCATTTGATGCGAATTCTTGCACTTGGGTTTTGCGACCGACTGCAAATATCACCAGTCCGCACCGGTTAAATAATAAAAATGATAACAAAAAAACAATGGAACTGGTTTGCGGAAATCTGGTAAATTTGCTCAATATTTTAAGATCTGCGAGGAAGGTTCGCTATGAATTATAAAAGAACTACAATTTTTATATGTTTTCAATTTAAAATAAATTTGACCAAGAAATCTAATTTTGGAATTTTTTTGCTGTTCACAAATCAGCTGGCAGCATTCACGATTCAACTCTCCGATGAGGCAATGTGCCGAATTTTTGTAGTTGAACTGTCTTGTCAAAAAATATAGCTAGTATTTAATATAAATTTTACTTAAATTCGTAGTGCAAAATGGTTGTAAAAGAGTATGGAACACAGATCGTTGCTTTCCTTGGAGAAGCTACGGTACGTAAGTTATATTTCTATATATCAGCATCGCCAATATCAGCGCTATATACAACCATAACTAGACCATCATCATATCATCTAGACCGCAGCATTGGGGCCAAGGGTGGTTTCGTAGGTTCGGGACCCCATAATTCACGTCTTAAGACATAAAAAAGTCAATAAAATTCGCCTGCTGTAATTTGAAAGATAAAAACAAAGCCGTGTTACACGATGCAATTTTTCTTGCAAGTTGTAATGCAATTCTACTTTTAGGAGATGTAAATTTACCAACTAGGAAACTTTGTGTTATTACACTATTGGTTTATTCATTACCGGCATCATACTCATGCTTCTTCCCTTTTTTCAATCTACAGGCTGATGGTGAGAAAGTATGTAAAGAACTTGAATTATGCTCGTCCACTGACAACGTGAAAATCATCAAAGAAATTCTTCTCAGTAAACTCAAACGGCACCCATACATCCGTGCTCTGAAGTCTGTGAAGGTAATTGATGTATATAATACGTTCGCTGGCAGGGGGGGGGGGTGGGTTGCCCATCAATTGGTATATCCCATCCGTGAAGTAAAAAAATTCTTGGTATTAGATATTATATGCATTAAGAGTAAAATATGAAGTGACAATCTTTTGCCACTTAATCAGATTGGTAGTATAAATAATAATTATTGATTTTTGAAGAAATAAACAGTATTTTTTTGTTTTATCACCATTTATATACAAAGGCTGATTATTGTGAAGACTGCAAACTAGTGTTCGGTGAAATAAAGGACCTTTTGCAAAACCAGGATATGCAGAAAGAAATCATCCAAGCAGCAGAAGCTCTGTGTGATGAGTTTGGAAGCTTCGCAGCTCAAGTACGTAGTGTTTCATAAATCATAATTATTAATTTTGACTCTATGATTTTTCATCAAGAGCGTCGTACGGTCGTCCCTAGGTCATTTCCCTGTCGTACATGCCCTACGAAACTTGCTTGGGACGAGGATATTTTTCAATTGCAAGCACAGTATACCAATTAACTATTGTTATTTTTCTACGTTTAGTGCAAGACATACGTTGATACATATCTACCCTTGGTTTTGGAAGAACTCGCCAGCTTAGATGTGAGTATCCAATTAGCCGGTGGTTGCATTTTTCCAAACGGGAAGCTGTAGCTATACTGTAATGATCTGCTGATGAAATGAGCGCGGAGTTTTATTTTCGTTCTGATGACGGACGACTGTGTATCTATAGATGTGCCTGAAACTATAAAATAGCTGAACCCTAGTTCGATCAAGGTACCCCATGTAACGTCAATTATTTCCATCTCTAGGATCCAACTGAAATTTGTGATGAGCTCGGTCTTTGTAATACAACAATGAAAACTCTCACGAGTGCCGTACAACATTCGGTGGCACAGGTAAAGAAGTTTTGATTCCCATTATGCCCGCGACCTTGTGTTTCGTAAACCTCCTGAAGCTTCGATATTGAATGTGAATTACAGTAACTGCCAACAAAACTAATTTTATATTGTCGCTGTTGTAGCCGGAGGACCAATGTGATGAATGCAAGGCCGCTGTAGCAAAACTAAATGCTTACGTCAAAGCAAATCCATCGAAGGTGATCGAAATCTTGACCAATTTGTGTGGAGGAATTCCTGTTGTCGCTGAGCAGGTATAAATCCGCAATTTTTGCGTTGTACACTGTGCATGCATGTAAGAGCTAAATTCATCATGAAAATTGCCGATATGCTGCTAGACGAGTTGTGCTTTTGCATTGCATGGCATTGCACTACTATAAACATTCTTGCAGGAGATTAAGTTGTTTTTTTCGTTTATATGAATAAAAAAATTTTCGTTTTTTATGAATAAAAAAATAGACTTTTGCATGAGCCAATTAACTTATTTGATTATTCTGTCTACTGGCTGAACAATTTATGCGCATAGTCAGCATCGTTCATTTTTTCTCGCTTGCAATTTCATTCTGTACGCTGTAAAAAACTCAAATTTCTAAATAGAAGTTTTTTTGCGAAAGTCTATATGAAGTGTTCCCTTGAATTTCCCGAATGACTAAGATTTTGAAACGCGTATTTTTGTTGGAGAGTGAGAAAATTTTTTTTTAAATAACTTGAGCGACTTCAAACGGCGCTCTTGGCTACCGACTAATGACTCATCAGCTATAGCTACCGCAATCGATGAAAATTCTAAATTATTCAGATATTGCAGTTTAAATGCCTTTTCATAATATCCAGTACTATTATAATAAAGTTTTTACCGAATTGAATTTATATAGTGCAAATCAGCTGTGCAAAAGAATAAAAAAGAGGTCATCGCTTTTCTCAGCAATGTTACGGTACGTTTTTAAAATCATAATTGTATCTCTGTATAGTTTCACCGATATATCAGGATCACCGCTAAACATGCAGCAAATCACTGCTGTACTACCACCTGTGGACGCCAAAGGAACCGCGAACCATTTTTTTATTTAAAGTTAACTTCTTTTTCATACAATCGACGCCTGAACCAGGGGCGGCGCGCAACATTTTTTTTTTTTGGGGGGGGAGGCTGAAATTAAAGTCATCGTGTTGCCTGACCGCGACAAAAATGGCTTCAAAAATTGTTAACAATGCAAACCAAAATCACGCAAATCGTCCATATATAGTCTCTACTCCCGGCGCATGCACAGACTGCGGCATCACAAAGTTAATACATTCCTAATGAAGTTCTTTTCGATAGCCTACTAACTTTTCTGCCTGAACTTTTGCAAGTAGTGAGAATTTAGTTTAAATTGCTAACACTGGATGTAAGAGTGAAGCAAAGTCTCATTTCTGACAAAATCTGACTTAGGCCACCGTTATTCAATTTTCTATTCTAAGTTTTTTACTTGAATGTATTAAAAATCTTTATATATATTAGGGGGGCTAGGCCCTCTCACACTTATTTCTTGGGCTATATCCTAGCATCCACCCCCGATATCTCCGCCTCTGGCCTGAACACAGGTCTGGGAGTCAGACTTTGCTTCAAATATGTAACATAGGCGTGTTTGTGATAAGGTTAGCAGAAGATCTAAGTAATAATAGCCTTTCTTTTTTTTAATCTATATAGGCTGACGGTGAAAGACTGTGTAAGGATCTTGAATTATGTTCATCCACTGACAACGTGAAAATCATAAAGGAAATTCTTCTCACAAAACTGAAAGGTCACCCGTACATCCGTGCCCTGAAATCTGTAAAGGTAAGGGTGGGTGATTGCCAGCGATCAGTTTAATACCCGGAGGAGAGGATTTTTATCCATTGATCAGTACATTCCAACACTGCAAGAAACGTTTTTTCGGTATTGAATGTAGTGTGTATCAAGGGTAAAATATAATATTACCCTTGTGAACGATGATTATTGCTGCTTCTATATAATTAGTTAGTGATTGGCATAACAGTGGATACTAGATTTTCCTGCAAAAAACACTATTTTTTAATTTATTTTGTTATATAGGCTGATTACTGTGAAGAGTGCAAACTAGTGTTTGGTGAAATTAAGGACCTGTTACAAGACAAGGATATGCAGAAAGAAATCATCAGTGCAGTCGAAGCTCTGTGTGATGAGTTTGGAAGCTTCGCAGCGCAGGTACATAACTTTATCAAAAACCTCATACCACGTTATTTCTTCGTCGCTCTTGTACTATCGCTCTACATATATAGACTGTATACTTTTTAAATCATTTATTGTTATTTTGTTACGTTTAGTGCAAGACGTACGTTGATACATATCTACCCTTGGTTTTGGAAGAACTCGCCAGCTTAGATGTGAGTACATGAAAATGATTTTAAGTTATGATAATTTATTTTGTGGGGTGGTCAGCGCATGTGGTTCACTGGACTCTGTGAACTGGAACGATGACTCGGCCGCCATCTTTCAAGCCAATTTGAACCGTAGTGAAGGACCATTGAGCACGGTTTCAGTGTCAACTTTATCAGAGATTCAGTTCATCTATAGGAGCATTTTGCTGTTTTTGTACACATCGTTATAAATATATACATAAATATAGGAACTGAGGTTGTGCCTCGCAGAGGCAGTTGAGACATTTTTAGTTTAGTCACTTAAAGAGTTTCAGTTCATTTGAGTGCGAGTACATTCTGTACACATCGCTATATAATAGACACTGTGGTTGTACCTCACAGAAGCAGTTGATACCCCTCGCGCTTAGTTCTTTCTCCGCGAAGTACTTCAAAGAGCCTGAGAACGAAGCTGGCGCGTTCTCTGACAAGTTCGTAACACTGAATTACATTAGCTATAATTATATAAAGTTAGTTATCTCTAATCTTAACTAAAGAAATACAATGTAAAGTACCAAAACTCGACGAAACCTTGTCCTTGCTTTCTGAAAACAACCATGGTCCCCCAAGATCACTGACGTTATACCCTATATGTGTACTTTAAATACAACCTTCACCTCTAAGACTGATATATCAAATATCACATGAAATCTTGTACTTCTAGGATCCCACTACGATTTGTGATGAGCTTGGTCTTTGCAATGCAACGCATAAAGCTGTCGGTATCATGAGTGCCTTAGAACACCTGCAACCGCTGGCAGAGAGCGTTTTAGTACCCATTATGCCTGGCCCTGTGATTCTAACACCACCAAAGAATGTTGAGTCCGATGAAGTAGGTGAACTAAAACCTTAATAATACTAATAATAATATATTTTAAGGTTGTAGGTTCCAGGTTAAAACAATGAACTAGGCTCGAATTTTTTATTATGTTTAGATATAGCTCATAACATAAATTTGAAGCTTGAAACCCAAATAAAGTAGATTTTAAGACGTATTAAGTTTTTTCACTTGAGAAATGGATTTACAACTAGTCCCAGCCCTTTCCCGCCATTTCAGAACACCCGGAAACGTTTGCTTTTGGGATTATGGTAGTTGTTATAGGCTTAGGTGTTAACGAAGATAAATGCTTAGTGTTTTTGATTGTGGTTGGTTGTTGCCGGATAATTTCACGTTATAACGATCTTTAAAACTTGCGGTAATCTTGTTTACCTCCCTCAACTTCTCAAATCCATTCCCCTAGTCACGGTCATGGTTATAGTGAGCGCCCCCGGCTGTAATTGGGCAGAATATAGCGCTCAGAAGTCAGAATATAACTTTCAATGAAATTTACATTAAAAAATTGATTAAAAAATTGTTGACAAAAAATTGATTAAAAAATGGTTAACATAAACAATCTTTATCTTTCACTTGCCGATGTCTTTTTTTAAAACATCTCTGCAAATATATATCTATATAATCTACAAATAGATAAATGAGAGTGATAATACCGATGGTGAAGATGTATAGCACCAACCACTTTATGTTTTTTCTTCGGAGCGAATGTTCCCACGTACTTCTATTCACAATTTTGCAACAGTTACCACCCAATAGCTTAAAAAACGGTTTGTTTACGATGTGCATTCTGAATATCGATGTGCTTTCAAATGAAACAAACGATGTTCTTTCTGAATATCTAATATGAACATATGTAACAATAATATGAACTAGAGCTTATGCTCAGAAAGATTTGAATTTTCTTTTCAATTTCAAACGGACAATTTCTAAATCAGAGGCAATACGCAGAACGAACTTGACTTTCACTTTAATAAATCAAAGTCCCTCTCACTGACTTTCTATTGCGTTATCATATTTTCTTATGCTCAGGACAAGTGTGAAGAGTGTGAGGCCACAATGAAATTGGTGAATTACTATGCTACCAATAATAGCACTCAACTCGTGGCAGTCATGAGAGAAATGTGTGCTACACTTGGCTCTAAAGCAAAGATGGTAATTGTTTGGTTGTATCGACAACATTCGTTCCTTTCAAAAGTTGAATCATCTCGCAAAATTTCTGTACAATTTTGTGTTTTTGTGTTTTCAGTGCAATGATACTGTGACTTATTTTGGGTCTACGTTGATCAAAACTATTAAGGACGTTACGGTAGGTCGAACTGTATTTAATCACCATCATTCATACCACCACTATCATTATTAGTATCATATATAATATGCGGTACCACACTTTTATCGTCAGACCACCATCATCTGTGCCACAAGAAGCCCAATATTATCTGTATCACTATCATTGGACCGGAAACAAATCATCCACCAACAATAACTAACAATGCCATCATCATTTGCACTATCACTGTCAGACCCTTATCATCCCTACCATCTTATAGTCAGACCCTTATCATCTCTACCATCATCATCACTAGTTTACCATTACTAGTAACTCGATACTTCCCTCGTTAGACCTGCAAGCATGCACCTTCTGTGTTTTCATCATTGGTCCATGATCCATGCCACTCGCATCAGTACCACCATCATCACCATCTTACCACCACTACCCTTATATACCTACCATCCTACCTTTTTCTTACTACCTTTTCTCTTCAGGCTCACCCAAAAAAACTGTGTACAGAACTTGGAATGTGCTCTTCAAATAGCAAGGAAGAATTCATCAAGAACGTTTTCGTCGCGAACCTCAAAACACATCCCTCTATCCAGAATCGTTTAACGTCGAAGGTCAGTCACCCATTTATTCAAGTTTCTGAAATAGTTGGTCCTGTTAGACTGGGCCTTCACGTTTATATAAGCAGATGAGTTGAAAAAGCCAAGGAATAAAGTAACCGTTGATGGAAGGCTATTCTTTACAATAAGCGTGTGAAAAAACCAAAACACCGTCACTGCTTCCGTATTGCTGTAATATCTAGTGAAAAATAATACAACAGAGAATTGTTGCTATTGGGTGACGAACATTTTGGAGGCCAACAGTCTGTCCAGTAATGGTAAATGAAAGGTTTTTATTTAGGATAATTTCTGTGACGAATGTAAACTGGTCTTTGCCGAGGTCAAAGATATCTTAGAAGACAAAAGTATGCAGGTAAAGGACTTGGGACAGAGAAAAACAACTAAATGAGAGAGAGTGAAATAAAGCATAATCGAAAAGAAGAGGTGTAATTAAGAGAGAATGGGGAAGAAGGTCGCTTGATAGAAGACAGAGAACATGAAACTCATGCACCGATATTCCGATAGCTGATATTCAAAGGCTGATATACGGTCGATACCGATTTGATATTCTATACAATTTAAAGAATTTAACTATGACATAATGAAGCCATTTACTGAAATAAGTTTAAAAACAATATGCGCATTGCTTTCACACTTGTATTTGATTTCAGTACACGCAAATTAGGTACATGGCATTACGATGTACAGATTTCGGTAATATTAGCCAAACAGCTAGCCATGACGATATTCCATGTCAGTGCCGATATTCCTATAGGGATACACCGATACGATATCGGTATCACTTTAGATAAGCTATGATTGTTCAGACTATTTACAAGCCAGAGATTTTTGAATCGCTCGTTTATATCTGGGAAAAGAAGCTAGAAAGTTACAGTATACCACTAAACAGGCCTTAGGATGTATAATGTTGACATTTGTTTCTATGTCAGGCTCATTTACATTTGCGATTTTTGCTGCGATTTTGTGTGCGATTTTCCTCTTTTGATAGATGTGAACGAGTAATTAGTTGCAAATGCTATGATGTATAAGAGCTCTTATTTGAACTTCAGTAACTAATTCACTCGTTGACATCTATCAAAAGAGGAAGATCGGCCATGAAATCGCAGCAAAAATTGCAAGTGTAAACGGGCCGTTAGGTGTAATTACATTAATGCAATGTATGAGGATGTTTACGAGTGTTTACATACTTTTGTTTAGGAAGGACTTACTACTCTTCTCGAGTCTCTTTGCGCCGACCTTGGATCTTTTGCTGATCAAGTAAGCCTTTTGGTAAATTGTCAGGCGGGGGTGAGTCTCCTGCCACATTGTTACTTACTTTTATATGTTTCTAATTCTGTCTCAACAGTGCAAGACCTACGTGGAGGCTTACCTGCCTTTGATATTGGAGGCACTCGCCAGCATGGATGTAAGTTGATATCGATCTGTTTATAAAATGCTCTCATCGCTGAGACTATACCATGATTATATCCTACGCCTATGTCGAGGCAGTTCATTCAGTGTTTTAACACTACAGTTGAGTGATTCAGCGAAGTGACACCTTGGAACGAACGATTGCTCAATGCAAAATGTCTACTTTTAGCCGTGCACGAATTTATCATAAACAGGACGTCAGGAGCAGAAGGATAGAATAATAATTTCAAGTACCTATACAATGTTTGCGGATTTTGAGTATATCAAAAGTATTTTAAAAGGGTATTTTAAAAACTTTGCAATCTCTCCTGATGGATGTTACCGGACATGACCTCAAATCGTGCAACTTAAACAAAAGAAAACTGATTTTCAATTCCCGATTTGACTTCATGTCCGGTAACTTTAAAGACTAATTCATCAAGGCAAAAGTTTTCAATTACAAAATGTTTTGCAAAGTTTTTTAAAATACCTTAAACTTTTGATTTATTCAAAATCCGCAACCATGGTAATAGGCACTTTCAGCTGAGTTTCCAGACTTTATCGCCATTTTCTGTGATTGCTGATAGCCGCCGAATCGTTGCTGAACCGAGGATTTGTCCTTACGTATATGTGCGACACACATAAAGAGAACTAATCAACTAATCCTAAGTATGTTTGTTGTCCTAGGATCCTTCCAAAGTTTGTACCGAACTTGGTCTCTGTAACGCGACAAGCAAAGCTGTTGATCGTTTTGAAATGGCTCTTCTTCGCCCGGCACTGAAGAAGGTCGAGGCTCCTACAGGCTCAGCCGAATGTATTATCTGTGAATTTGTTATGAAAGAGTTGGACAGTATATTGGGGGACAAAGCTACGAGGGTAGGTGATAATATATAGGGGTGATCGTGGCGTGATTGGGTTATTGTGGGTAATTTGGGGATGACACATTGATGGGTGATGTCGCGACAATGTTGGGTAGAGGACGGATTGTGGTGGGGTATGGTGTAAGGAGGTGATCCTGACATTACGATGATAATAACTATATTTCGTAGCAGTGGTCAGTCATGTGAGGTTGTGACGAGGGCCTGGTGTGTGAAATTTTGGATGATTGTTTTATTGTGGTGACCATTGGGGGTGTTGTGGCCTGTGGGTAATTATTTCTATCGCATTTTTTATCACAGGAGGAAATTGAAGCAGCGCTAGATAAAGTGTGCTCATTGCTACCGTCGACGATAAGATCTGAGGTAAGTATATGAAACATTTTCGCCTATAATATATCATTTTTAAATTCCGTCGTTCCTTGTTCCTTCATCCAGAAGGAAATGAAGGCAGCTTAAATATGCATTCATATTGTACAATCCTGTTATATTAACCATGTCTCAATCTTTGCTTAGTGTGATACCTTCGTCAACAAATATGCCGACGAGATCATCACACTTCTTTTGGAGGAAATTACACCGGATCAAATCTGCACTAAACTTGGCTTGTGTTCTTCTAATGGAAAACCTTCCAAATGTAAGAAACCTTTGTCAGCTGGCCCAAATCTCGAACACCGTTACAAAAAATTGAAAGGGAAAAAAGATCGTTTTTTCTACAGTCATTCGCTCAGGACAGATTATCCTCCAAAAAAATGACTTTATGACTGTCTTTTAGACTGATTAACTCTATACCTAGAATGCATGAAACAACGTTAAACCTTTTTTCGAAAGAAATCAATATACATCTCACTCACATCTCGGGAAAATTATAGAACCTAGAAACCCCGTAACCACGTTCCATCGCTCCATTAGTTGTCATTTCATTTTTGACTATCGCAGATTTTGTAGGATGAAGTCCTTATCATGAACCATCTGATTTTTATTTCATCTTTTTATAGTTACCTTCAGCAAGCCTAATGACGAGACATGTGATCTTTGCAAAATGGCCGTGCAGTATTTGGAGAGCATCCTCGAATCAAACGCAACTGAGGTATAACTGCATAGCAAAAAACAATTTTATTTGATATAACAAGAAAGAGGCGTTATTTGATTTCCTAGAGATTGATTCTTTTTATACACCACTGGGAGTTGATCACTATTTTTTTATTGATCAATTCTTGCTGTTATGCAACAAGATAGGTATCATTATAGAAAGCTAAATTACTGCTCTTTCATATTTTAATACGTTAGGATTACATTTAAAATATCCTGCATAAGAGTTTGTTGATTTCCGTTTTTTTCTGAGACACTCTGAATCGAAGATCATTGATTTGTTCATTTATAGGAAGAGATTAAGAAGGCGCTTGAGGATATTTGCAATATGCTTCCTGCTTCCTTGAAGACAGAGGTGTGTGTTTTCTTTTTACTCTATACCTTTCTCCTGTACTTCATGAAACTCCATTTTCTCCTTCTTCCAACACTTTATCAATATCAACCGCCCTCCTTCTTTCAAAGTTTAATCTATATTTACTTCATGTTTTCGTGGGGCTTCTTCTCTGTAACAGGACTGCCAAAAAACATGCTTCGCCATTGGCATTATTGGTTCCGCTGGTTTTTTTCTATCATGATTCTATTCGAAGTTTGTTTAATTTTAGTGTTTGAACCTGGTTGACAATTACACATCCGACCTTGTTTGGTTACTTACCGAGTTTCCGCCATACGCGGTGTGCAAGGTGTGTAGCATTAACCTAAAACATTCTTCCTTATTCTTGATTTAGTGTAATGCCATTGTGGCAGAGTATGGTGATCTCATCATTAAGATAATCCTCGGTGAAATTACCCCGGATGAAGTCTGCGAGGTTGGTTTCTATAATTTCTTTTATGCTCGTCAGACTGTTGACCAGAGGCCGTTCAAACTTAAGGTTAATTAAGGCAAGTCCTGTTTTTGTGTTTATGGATGAATGGCTGTCATATTCGAGACATGTACGAGAGATATAATCTGTATTGAATCTGGAAAGATTGCTAAAACAACCTATTCAACCAGATAAACGAACTATTAGGGAATTTTGATTTGTGGATTTGCGTTAATCCAGTGGTTAAACCGTCTTGAAAACGGTTATTCGCCGGTTAAGGTTTTCCCCTAATAAAAGCAACTTTCGACTATTCAGAAATCCAGTATCACTCCTTGTTAGGTGGAAGGGTGTGTGTCCAGTTAGGTTGAAGTTGAATATGGAAGTTTGCATATAAAATGAAAATAAATATGCTGAATACTTCTGGTTCTTTTATAGCTCCTCAAGCTGTGTCAAGCTTCTAAGAAATTGGACCTGAAAGATGGTTGTATCTTGGGTGAATCATATTGGTGCATTAGTGTCGAAAATGCTCGGAAATGCAACGTAAGTTTGCGTGTCTTCGGCCTGCGTTTTTTCCTTGTTTTCGTTAGATATACGTTTCTAGCATGCAAGTCAAGGGATTTTTCAAAAACGGGATTTTTTATACCAAACTACGGCCATTTTATTGAGCGATTCAAAAACCACTTATCTGATGGATGGATGGCTCTGTATCAGCTTCGGTATAAAACCAGCCCTTGACAGTTGACATCACGATCAAGCATACCGTGGGTGATGATCGCCCGCCCCTGCGATAGAGCAATTACAGATATGAATTTAGCTGTTTACCGGGGGGTGCATTATATGATATTGTTGTTCGGATTTCCGTTGCACTGGAACTGTAGATCTTTAAAACTCAAATCAATATCGTTTTAAATTTTCAGGCCTTGAAGCACTGCAACTACATCCACTAAGAAGTTAAACGAAAAATGGACAATGACACTAAATTAACTTTACAATTTCGTATACGTAATTTTTACAATTCATAAAAATATTAGATAATAATAATAATAATATTAATTATAACAATAGTATGCAAACTTATTTTTAGTTCCATGTGATTAAAATTATCCTAATATATGCTCATACAGTAGGGATAAAGTTTAGTTACTGGGTAGGATTTTGGTTTATGGAAGTATATTAAGAATGATAACTGAAAGTGCTTATTGTATATGGGGTGGTTTATTAAAATTTTTTATTACTAAAGCAGCGAACTCATGTCCGTAATTGTTCTGTGGCCAAGTTTTGCCGGTTAAAAAGAGGTTGATTTGTATATCGTGGACATCGCGCATGCGTAGAAGAAATAGGGATTTATTTCTGCAGAAATTACCCTTCGAAAATGCTTACCCCCCCCCCTACAGGCAGAGAGATTTCTTGCCGAAAAAACGACTCATGATCAGTGTTTCAAAGTTGAGGCCTGAGGGTCCACATGATTGTTGCCAGGATTGTAGTTACAAACCTTGATCTAGACGTGAACATATAAACTCCTTGATTTACCCTGCGAATAACAGAATCTATTTATACGCTTATTCCACGGTGTAAATAGATTCTGTTATTTGCAGGCTATCCAGCCTATCCTTGATTGCCAAATGAGCTCAAATGAATGTATTGGCCCAGCATGATCACCATTGCCCATGGTAAATATAACATCCGGTGGTTATTTAATGCATTATGAAAAAGGAACACCGCGTAAAACAGCGTGAGGTGAATTAAACACGATGCACGTGGATATAACGAGTCGTTAACTGAAACTGAAATGAGCCGATGAGATTCCTACGTTCATTTTGCAGGAGGTAATGAAACAAGACGAAGATAAACAGCCTATTAAAAGAAAACTCTGCAAGCTTTTACAGTTTTTTAGGAGTGAGCAAATTGGAGGTCGAAATGTCCTGGGTACGAGGCAGCCTGAAGGTATGTTCATCAATATTAGGGAGGTTAAGATCCACTACCAGTACCGATACAAAAATACAAGATTTATTACTGTTTGGCAGCGCGGAAATTTTTAAGGGTCAAGACTGTGACTTCCATAATAAGTAAATAGACATGGCTGAGTATAGTGGCTCTATTCACATCAAAAACTCTAATTACAATCCTTAAGTCTCATCAAACAAAGCAGAAACATCATACAATTTAAAAAAACTAAATAATATTAGAAAACTACTGCAGAAAATGACAATGATACAGTAAATATAATTTGGTACTTCGCCTACCTATCCACTTCCATTATTTTCAGCCCCAAAACGGTACTCGCGACTTTCAGTGTTACCACATTTTGGACGATTGTTACGTCTGCGCATGCGCCTGACTGAATATTGGTATCGGTACTCGTATCGGAAGTCGATCTTAACCTCTCTATTCACCTTACGCCAAAAAAGGTCAACCCAGTGGAAGGGGGGGGGGACAAGGTTTGTTAAGGAGCTTATTTGTTCTACGCCGGAGGTGGATGAATTATATGGACAGAAGTCAAAGCGGTTTGTGGGCGATGGGCATTTCTTTCTAAGATTATTTATTGTTCCAACGCATGGTGCAATAAAATGTTTCCTCTTCTTAAGTCGTTGTAATAAAACAGCTAAGGAAGTCAGTCTTATTCACATAAATTTAGTTTATTAAACGTAAAGTAATAACACAGTAACATTAAATTAAATTTTAATGGTTAAATTTTAATGAAAAAATAGATAGTTTTGTCTGACTGGTCAAATAAATTATTAAAAATTGTTAAGATGCAAAACAGATTTATTTCAATTGTAGGTTCCATGAAGGAAACTCTTTGTCAAGAGTGTATGTACGCTATCAACTATCTGGGACACATGTTCCCAAAAAACACGACCAAAGTACGAAACTGTCCCGAATGTGAAGCTATATAGACGTACACGCTGCGATTTTGTCACTGCATGATTTCTGGATTCATAGCCCACAGTTTTTTCCGCTCTCTTCAGTTACGTTTATTTATAAATAAAAAACGGCTGACTATATATGCATGACAAGCGCGCTCAGTTTTATTAATTTAATGTGGTTAAAAAAGAGCCAATTTAAGTGCAACGTTTGCTCATTTACTCACAGGAAGAAATTTGGAATGGATTAAAGATATTTTGCTCGCGTCTTCCGCCGTCTGCAGTGAAGGACGTAAGTAGAAATTTACGTGGGTATGAGGTGGGTGGAAATCAAATTAGCTATGCATGAATTGGAAAATCAGCTGTCCCCCCCCCCAAAAGAAAATGGCATGGCAAGAATGAAAATCAAATAAGCCATTAATGATTAATTTACATGTTTTTCTTGTTGTCAAGTGTGATGAGATCCTGAAACAATATGGCGACTTTTTTGTGAAACTTTTGCTCGGTGAAATCGATCCCTCCACATTCTGCAAGGTAGACGAGGCTTAATTTTTTTCGGCCAATCTCGAAAGAATTATGTTTGCATGCATGTTTGTATGTAAATCTTTATTTTTACGACACCATTCTCGTAGACAAAACATCGTTTTCCACGAGGGAGGGGTATAGACCATCAACATTTCATAAATTACAAGAAAGTATAAACCGGCGTATGAATCACTATATACAATTAGCGTTGATTAATTTGCTTGACACTGCTACCCTATGAAATATATTTCAGTCGATAGTGTTATTGAAATTTAATTTCAAATAAATTTTAAAAAAATTGATCCTGCCAGGGGAATTCTGTGCTAGGTCAGAACTGATGGCAATGACAATGTTTGAAATCATACTGATTAGTTTGCGATCATATAGCTGCTTGTCAATTAAAGACTCCTTTAAATCGCGTTGTACGTCTTTAAATAGTTTTGACTATTGGAGTGTATTTGTCACTAAGAGGCTCAAAACTAGAGATCAAATGAACATAACTCACAAGTTATACTGAGTCTCAGGATTCAGAGGTTTAAATAAGCCTGGTTTTCGTATGTCGTCGAGTGGTCTACGTTGCATGCAATTTTATGTAATAAACCCTTTGTCTGTATGAGAGTGATTACTTATTCAATGAATGGTGTATTTTAGGGGACATATGAAAACCAGGCTTCTATAAGGATTGAAATAGGGGGTCCGAACTCCGAACATCCATTTCTGCGCCAGTTGAAAACTCCACTGGCTACAACCGACAGCGACGTGCCTGTATTAAATTGTCACGAGAACTTCCGTCAATTTCTCAATCTTATGTTTTTACAGGAACTGGGGCTTTGCCCGGGAACTTTGGAAAATCTGGAGAAACTCAAGCCGGAAGACGTTCTATTTAAACGAGTATAGTAGCTGCGTCAATCAGTACTAAAATATAGACTTTTACTCAGCTTTTACTCCTCAATTTATAATTTTATATATCACAACGTTTTATTATTTTTTTTGGTAACATGAGTTTTCGGAGATCTTGATTTTTATAAACTGCTATATCGCTGTTCGTTCTTCGCAATCAACATCGTTATGTTTGACCTGAAGCAATACACGGCTTCAAAAACGCTATTGGCTACGATGCTTATCTGTCCACAGATCACGGTTACGGACCAAAGGAAAACTTTTCCGATATACTTGAAATCGCTCCAAATTCTGCCGTTAAGTGTTTGCATCCGTTTTGCACATGAAGACACTCGAAAACCCAACCGAGGTGAGTATTTGCACGTAGTTTGAACGTGATTATATTTGGCTTGACGTTTTGGTTTTTCTCCTAAAATCATGGTCAAATATATATGACATTATTATTATCTTTCTCTGTTTTGTTGTAAAGTATACCAGGGTGAACAATAGTAACATCAATCCAGTAACATCACACAATAACTGACTTGAGAATGCGGTGTTTATCTCGGACCTTTCAGTGGCAGAGAAAGTTTGATAAAGTGCCATTTTTTGCAACAATTTTTTGCAACAATTTTTTGCAGTATTTGGAAAGTAATTTCACTCATTTGTAACAAGTTTCTAATAAAGTAACAAACCTTCTTGGCACCCTCATGATATGAACTGTGTCAAAGATTACTTTCTACTAAGTGAATTAAATTATTGAAGATATTTCGTTTATGTTTGGTCATGGTTGGTCCCTGTAGCGTGACATCTTCACAATCACAGTTTAGAGAGCAGCCCTTGATAAACGCGGGAAGTTTAAAAAGCTTGATTAACAAAAATATTTTTAGAAACTATCAGCTGAAATCCTTCAAATCATTTCATCGCAAATTACTAAATGTCCCCTAATTATTTAAAGACATTGATTGTACACAAGTTCATCGGTTATGATCGAATTTTATTTTCCTTCAAATTTCTGCATATGAACGCTTTTATAACTGGAAATATTCGTGAGTTTTAAAAAAATGTATGAAAATGCTAATGCTTTTATTGTTGTATTGTGTGCTATTCACGTGCAAACTTACCAGTGGCCCTAATCAGTGACAAGCTTTTCCCAGGCGTTTTAACACGTATATATTCAAAATAAAACTAGCGATGGCAAGTTTAAACCATTAACAGTTAGAATTGATTATTTTTCCTGAAAATTTTCAGTTTGAAAGGATAAAATTTTGCTTAAATGTAACAAAAAGTTTCGGTGCGAATTCGTATACGGCTTTTAGACCCATCACTTATCTGAATTACGAATATGTAGTGCAACAATAAGAAAATGGCAATCAATCAGTAATGGCAAAAACAAACGTGCGATTTATAGTATAACTTTCACTCAAAGTATCTTCAAAAGTGTTAAGATATGCTTTATATGTGTTTATATAGTCTTTTTGGTAATATAAGGACTTGAAATAGTACTTAAATGAATATTTTAGTAATATTATCGCAGGCACCGATTGATAGAATTGGAATTCTCCTTACGTGTAAATTAACTCGCTCCAAAACGAGGACTCGTATTCTCGTGTTCAAGCTCTGTTTCGCATCACCAGAGTCGGAACGCTTTTGAAATCAATCGTGAAAATTGGAGCGCATTTTCTTGGTGATTTCAAGTTGATTACAGTACAAAAATTACCAGAATTTGTAGCCGAGATACTCTTCTATCGTTCAAGTTCATAAAGCGGGAAAAGCAAGCGCTGTGGCGGGCTTAATGTGCAATCAACGTGGAGGTACTTTGCATTGGTTTGATATAAATTTGTACAACCTTATTATTGTCCACGAATTTTGAATATTTTGGTTGGATTTTCTGGCCACCGGAACCTATCGTTCGCTGAACTGTGGGGATCAGAAGTCACATTGTTTATTTCGTTTACCTTTTGCAACGAAAGCTCGTTTGTTGTGGTTGAAATAACAGATATTTACAGCGTGTTCTGTCGCCAGTTTTGAAAGCAAATTTGCACGAAATAAAGCACAAAATATCATTGGAAATTGACCAAGTATTAAAAGGAAAAAAAGGCGTAAGGTTATTATTGGTATTTCTGCTTGAAAGGCATAGTAATTTGAGTGTGGTATCGCCTAGTGGATGGGACGGATAGTGACCGAAAGTTGAATATTATTGGCCGACATGTGACCGATATTAAAAGTTTAAATCATTCACTGGTTTAAATATATTCTCGCGCCTTTAAACTACATGAAATTGAAGTGAAATTGGAGTAAATTTTAAAAGGATTTAGGCATGGCAGAAGGGACTAGAAAAAACCCTCTGGAGTACCAACGAGAATACAACGAATTTATGTATAAATTAAAGAGATTTTTGGCTTCAAAGGAGTAAGTTAATTTGGTTATTTTGACTATTTTCTAAATTTCCTGGTTTGCATGCAATTGTTATTGTTTGCGAATAAAAATGTGCATTTTTTCTGTTCGTTTTTTTGTTAATATATCAAAGTTGGGTTAATTGCGAGAATATATAATTATTTTCAATTGTTTGTTTTTTAAACTAGTATGCCAATGAAGAAATTACCTCAATTTGGTGGTAAAGACATTGACTTGTATCTTTTATACAAGACAGTTACAAATTTGGGTGGTTGGTTGAAGGTACAAACTATGCAATGACTTGTATTTTGCAAGTTTTCAATTTATGTAGAGATTCCTCTTGTTTCATTTCCTTTTGTTTCATTTTTACAATTAACACTGGCATTTTTCCAAATTTAGGTGACTGATGATCGAAAATGGCACGAAGTGGCTAAAAATTTCAATTTGCCACCAAGCTGTCTTAATTCAGCATTTGCACTTAGACAATTGTATGTTCGGTAAGTATATTCACACAGAAATACTACAACTTGCTCGGATATTTACTATTCACAGGCCATCAACACAGTGTTATTTTGACAGAAAAATATTTTGTGCAATAGCTTGCCTGTGTATGTAACTAACAGAAAAATATATTTTCACATATATTACAACCCACATAAAAGAAATCTGTATTTTATTTACATAGATACCTGGAGGGTTATGAGAAGTTGTATTTTCTTGGTGAAGATGATGATTCGTCAACCTCAAGGCTTGGCCTATATAATCTTGGAAGTTATGGATCACAACAGACACCACAAATGTTTATTCGAGGTATAAAGAACTGCCCAAACGTCAGCTAAAAATTATAATGAGTCTCTTCTTTTCATTTTTTCAAATTTTCATTCATTTCAGATCCTCCAAGGAACTTTGATAGACTTGTACTATCCCTACAGTCAGGAATACCAAATGAAGTTGATTTTGCTATCAATATTTGCATGTTATTGTCTAATGTCAATAATTCTGTCTTCAATCTCACTAAGGTACAATTGTGATGTTGGTTTTCTCCCTTTTTTTGGTTTTCCTCCATCAAGAAATGTTTGTCTTTATAATTTTAGGCCCCTGCAGTCATTGACATGGTCCTGGCACATGTGGGTGTTTTTGAAGAAGGTACATTACATATTTGGTAGTGATGTTTAGTATATGTATGTTTTTGCCAAGTAGTATTGAATCAGATCTCCACTTCAGATGTACTCTAGAATTCAAATCAGCATTCAGTAGTGAGTAGCTTCCAGCCAATCATCATATCAGGACAACAAAACATTTATGATTTCAAAGAAAGTGACTATAAACAATATATCATGTGTATTAAAATTCCATATTGCCACCCTGTCTTAATTACACATTAGTAAATTTTTGCAGACCTAATTATTTTGCTAAGTACAGACTCCTGGATACTCAATTATGGAATCAATAATATGTGATGGAAAATTGCTTGTTAATTATTAACATCAAACACCCAGTCTACCTGTGTGTGTTCTTGCTTTAGTTGATTTAGTAGTGTTTTCTGATATTCTGATGATATTCTATTGAATGTTATTTTAGATTCATGTGGATCTAGTGATCTTTACAAGCAATGGTATAAAAACTCTGGCAAAGACTTCCTAAAGGTGTATATTCAATTTTTTTATGCATTATGTCATGAATAGTTTATTGACTAATATTCTATGCACAAAGGAGCACATTTTGTGATGCAATTTGCTGTTTACACAAAAGAGCACCAATTTTCTGCCAAAAAGAAGACAACTCACCCACAGGCAATTATATTCAAGAGGGCATTGCTGTTGTTTTAGTTTGTGGCTTTGTTCTTAAGAGATTGTACATGCCATGATTGTACTATTTATAGAAACTACTTGAGCCCAAGTGTGCCTACTTACTATTTTTCTTTGTCTAATGCCTGACAAATTATGTATCACTGGTCTGGTGGAGTACTGACTTGATTACAATATGTTGGTTTACATCTCCCTCCCATAAGATTTCCATAAAACATATCTGCCAACTTTTGTTTTCTCATAGTTTTGGAAGCGAGTGCTCAACTGTGAGGAGATCAAAGAATTGTTGCCAAAATCAGATATTGCTAACTCAACCGAAGATCGAAAATGTGACATAGATTCCTTGTTTAATCTTGATATCAATGCAACTCATCAAGATTTTGAACTGCAACGGGTGCTTCAGGTAGGATAAGTCTTTTTCATGTATATTCTATAAGCATACTGTAGACCCATCCATTCACCAGCTATGAATTTGTTCTGCTACATTTTGTTTTATGCTGGTCTAGTCAAAAATTACATTTATTTGTCAAAGCGAGCTTAGTGGGGCTACTTGTATAGAAAGTTAGTTAACCTAACTATAGTTAAGAACAGAATTTGCCAATCAAAATCTTAAATCTTGCAGTTAACTACAATTTAATTACCTTGGGCCAGTTGTATAAAAGACTATATACTGTAGTTAACAATAGTTAAGAGTTTTGCAAGCTTGACACTAGTGCTACAATTAATCGTTGGGTCTACTCCGTAATAACGCCTTTTGGAACACTGCATGGGGTTATGTAATTTTGCACTTGAAATTCCAGGCCAATATTGTAAGACCTGCATGAAATATATTATAGATATAGAGATATTTTGAACCCACTGGTGAGTATTGCATTTTCTGTAATCTTGTCAACATTAGGCGCTCTATAGTTGTGGAGTTTTATCCCGTAATGTCGAATGCTTATATAATACTCGCTCTAGTGATGCCGTCATACGGGGCCTGGAAAAAAACTTTACAAATCCCATCCTTTTTGTCCTGACTTGCACAAATTCTTGAACACAAAGCTATAATGCGCTCATTACTCGTTAAATTTTACGTCAGTTAACCAAAAAAGTTCGTTCAAACAAACAGCGATAACATACAACGTACGTATGAATCGCGTGAATAGTCGCTGTGCATGACTGGGGTCCTACTAAAAACTGTCCGCGAGTATAGAAAAACCGCCCGAGAAAAAAAGTGATTTGAAATGGCACCATTTAAAGAGGAATAATATAATGTAACCATTTATTAACATGATGTTGGCAAGAGCGGCAAACGAACCGAATAATTCAAGGCGGCCACTTACACACTTGCAATTTTTCCGACGATTTTGGTGCGATTTTTTTCTTTAGATAGATTTGAACGTGTGGGTTAGCAATAAACGGTCCGATAGAGGCACACGGATTATACATAATTTCTAACTAAGAACTTTCTCTTTTGTTCTGACATCTGTTAAAATTAGAAAATCACAGCGATTGGCTGCATATATATGTGCGATCTTCCTTAATAGTAGACGATTTTTATCTCTTTAGGTGTGCACAATACTGCATAATTTCTCCTTCGATAAAATGGATGCCTCCGTACTATCTTCGCACACAGTATGCATAAGGTATGTACAACCGGATCACACAGACTGAAAGTGTATTGAAACTGTCTGAGAAATCTAAAACTGAGACGTGCAGCCATTAGCAATTGCATGAGAGCGATTAACTTTTTTCTCAGACCAACCTCCACGCCCCCCCAATCAGTGTTGCGATGTGTGACACCACAAGTTTTAATGCCATTTTTTCATCTCATTTACGTCAACATTGATTTAGTGGGTGTAATAGGGGAGGGATTAAGGTGAATACGCAAAAGACGTTTTACTACAAAATGTGATTTTTATAATGAAACATGATGTTTATGCGCTTCCGCCCCTAGACTTAGAAAATCTATGGTAAGATAAAAACTCGAGCCTCTCGATGGTCCAAAAATGCAGATAAAGGCAATTTGGAAAGTTCAAAATCTAAAGGGCCTATACAGGGTGAGTCAGAAAAAAGTCCCCTCTATTGAAATCAAGCCTTTGTTAGAATCTGATTGCCTTAATATTATGATAAACCCAATTGAAAGCAAGACGCTTTATTTGAATGCCTCAACCTAATAACTATGCTATTTACACACTACTGCGTTGATCATGCATTCAAATCAACAAAGGCTTCATTTCAATAGGGGGGACTTTTTTTTTACTCACCCTGTATATGCGATTATCGTTGTGACGAAAGAAAACAAGTTCCTGCGCCAAATTTCACATTTGTTTTTGTGTTTTAGGTCCGTTTCAGAGGTCGTACTTTTCATGTGCCGAACCTGGTGTTAATGAGCTAAAGCCTTTGTTTAAGTTTACTTGCATTGATTCGCCACATGAAAAGTTCGATGTCTGAAACGGCCTAAGTTCAGATACGCCAAATCGCAAAGTACAAATGGTCCTGAACATTTCCCGAGATGCTGCACTTACAGTCTCGGCCAGATCAGTGCATGGCTTGGGCGCCCCCAGAGCAAAATCTGAAAATCCCCCTTCATACTAATTCAATATCGTGATGAAGCACGTGTTAAAAAATCCGTTTTGCAGTAATTAATCATGCTTAATAATCTTTGGGCTTTCAAGTCGAAAACTTCCTTTTTTATGTGAGATATTGTATTCTTCAATTATCAATTGTATTTGTCGTGAACATGTCAAGCTGTCTGGTGCAATAGAGTATTGTTACGTGTGTGCAGTCAACAATGACAGTTTTGCATCACTGAGCTAATATCTTACACAGAAAATAGAAACTAATTTACATCCGGAAGTTTCATATATTGACCACGGCTCACGCTCGAGACGCCATGACTACACACGTAAAAACGCACGAGTTGTAACAAGCCTGCAGCAAGCTTGTCGCAAGCTCGTTTCAACAAGCTTGTTGCAAGATTTATTCGCACCGCTTGTCCCAAGTTGTTGTGACGGACGTGTAGCAAGTTGTTATCAGACTTGTAGCAAGTTTGTTGTGACAATGCTGTACCAAGGTTGTTGCCAACAAGCTTGCTACAAGTCTGACAACAACTTGCTACAAGCTTGTTGAACTTGAGCTGTTCCAAGCTTGTTATAACAAGGCCGTTACAAGCTTGTCGCGACAAGCTTGCTGCAAACATGGCCGCGCATTAAATCTCGCTTGAAAACACGCGTGTTTTCCCGGAGATTGTGAAACAAAGAACAAACAACGCAAAGTTTGATGTAAAAATCATATTATTTTAAAAACAAATTCAAAGGTTAGCAATTAAATACAAACTTCACATTTGAAGTATCAAGATTACTAAAGGCTCAGTACAAGAACATATGTATTTTCCTTTCTGAGTATATAGCCTAATAATCAGTTCGTAAGAAAAGTTTCTTTGCATTCATATGGCAAAAATTAACTGGTGCATGAATATTCTTGTATAATACCAGTATTTCAGTCACTTGTTGAATTGACTTCGTCATCCCAAGAATCAACAGCTAGCTGCACCTCTTTCCTATAATTCACTTTGTTTGATACGACTTTCCGGCCAATACCTCAGTTTAGCTCCAGTTTGATAATCAAATTCCTATAAAGTATAATATACAATGGCTTCAGGAATCAGTTACTTTAAAAAATATGCAAATATTTTTGAGGAAACTGGTTTGCAAATACGTTGAGGAAACTCCATCCTGTCTGCTGTGGCGAGGGTCTTGCTTGCCATCCAAGTCTAATGTCAAATAAGTAATGTACAAATACTTTATTACCATAATACGTAAATATATATTATTATTTCTAATCAGAGCACGATAAAAACATACGCACAGATATTAAAAATAGGAAATTTTGCACTTTACCGTACACCTACTCGTCATTAAAATATTTGAATTATTGAATACAAAAAACCGGCAAAGTTTCGATTTTGATAAATATCCACAGAAACTAACCGTTCAATGTTTATAAAAAGCAATAAATTCAACAAATATTTTAAAAACTATATAGTTTTAAAAGGCTAGCTTGTGTACTATAATAAATTGTGTTGCCGGCGTTGTGTACGCCATATCAAATATTTGGATGAATTAAACGCACATACCTTTATTAAAACGTCGAACTGTAGTATTCTTCAAACTTTTTTAAGTTGCCCATCCGTTTTAACTGATATTTCAACGTTTATTAAACTTTTAAAGGCTTAAAAAATCAAAGGTTTTGGCACAAAGATAGCTCAATGACCAGGTGAATCAGTGAACTCTTGAAAAGAGCAGGGAAATTTGCAAATATACTGACGTATATTTCAACCAATAAGATCACTTATACATAGTTTAAACAGAGTCTGAACCAATGAGATTACTCCGTTGAAATCGTCACTTCCTCAACGGTTCAACGGTTATAGATATCCTTGAAACAAGGAAATGTTCATCTGTAATGTTTTTAAGGAATTCGGATTCTTTTCAAATCTTATTACTGAAAGAAGTTATGAACTTCGTTGCAGAGTGTTAAAGTGTTTAAAAGCTCGTTGATCTTGCTTTTGCCATTTGATGAATGGCAATGATAAAAAAAAATCATATTTGGCCCAGTTCAAATTGATTTTGTTGTTATCGGAAAACTTTTGCCGTTAACAATGTCGCTACAACTTGTTGGAACTGTCTTGTTACAGCATTGTCACGCGCAGCCTTCGTACACGCTTGTTGTGACAGGCTTGTTACAACTTGATGACTATAACAACTTGTCAACAAGTTGCTCCAACAAGCTTGGTACAGCTTGTTGTCGACAAGCTTGGAACAAGTTGTTCCAACAACTTGCTACAAGTCTGCAAGCCAACAAGTTGTAGCAAGCTTGATGTCAACAAGCTTGCTACAACCTGTTGTCTCAACAAGCTTGTTACAACTTGTCAACAAGCTTGCTACAAGCTTGTTGAGCTAACAAGTTGTCAACAAGATGTGAGATTTTTAGGTGTGTACGAGATTCGTCATATTAACGTGATATTCGTAATATTTTGTGCTGACGCCATAGACTTGTAGACGGGTTGTAGACGTCGCTTATCTGACTACGGTATTTTGCGAAAACTTAGAAGTCCTAACTACGTAATTTAAAAATCAATATAAGTTCGTATTTCCTCGGGTTTTTCCTTGTTTTTTTGTTGGAAAGAACTCGAGAGAACTTTTTTCATGACCGCGACTTTGATTATTTTTAATGATGGGTAAATATTTCTGAAATACTTGATGGTATAGAAACACGCGTTTATTATTGTGTTTGCCGAGGTTTATCAGGCAGGCCTGCAGGAGGTGGCGTATGCATACAACGTGCGATGATTCCCCCCACGATGATGAATCTCCTAGCCGTAGCGGGAGCCGTAATCTAAAGCTTTCTAATTCGAATTTTTTTTAATAATCGTCTTTGGAATAGGTTTCTGGTGTTCTGCCTGCACAGCAATATTGGATCGCTGAGGAAACTGGCCGCGGACACCATCGCAAATCTTGCGGATAAAATGATCCTCGAACCTTTGGAATCCTTGAATTCCCAGTTGTTGTTCTTCATGATTGATCGATACCTCCGCGATTCTGATCGGTATAACAGGATATGTGGTGAGTTTAGTCCTTTTTGCTCATGCTAGGATTGAGTGGCATTTTGGGTATATCCCCGATATCAATGTGCTCTTTCCAACGGTTCCTAATTTAGTCCTTTTCAATCGACTAAATATGTTCAGCCAGCGAGCACGAATGGCGGATGATGATCTCAGTTACAAATTATAAATTTTGATCAATGCAAGAAGAATAAAATAAAATATCACTATTGAGAAGAGCATCCCTTATATACTCTTTGAATCAGGCCCCGTCTACACGATTCCGGAAGAATTTGAAAACGCAAAAATATCTCTCCGTTAAAATATTAATCCACGTTCACACGTACACACAAATTTAAATTTTTCATGCGAAAGGCCAAGCGGTGTATATTACAGTAGAGTCCCATCATCGTGTAGCTATACTTAATAGTCAGACCTTCTGAATAACTTAGTAAGAGAACTTTTGTTTTATTTAGCAATGAATGTTTTAAGAAAAATATGTCTGCAAGAAGAGAACCAAGAATTCGTATGTTTGGCGCTGGATGTTCAAACATATGAAGCCCTTGTCACCGTTCTTATTCTTGAAGATGTCCAGGTAGCTATTATTCACATGCTGGATTAAGTTCATGTCACTCGTGACAAATATGACCTTGCGACACGTGTTCCTAGAAAATTGAGATTTCCTGTCATTCGTGTCGTGAAATTGAGCAAGAATGATCAATTAGATCTCCGCAGACTTCCTAGGAATACGTGTAGGTCAAATTTGTTACGAATGACATGTGTGCGTGCAATGTGATCAGCGTTGTGTGTGCGCCAGGCTTAACGTTTTACTATCATTTTCTATCTCGTTTACTATTTCACGGGTTTGTTTACGTTTTACAAACATGATGAGTTGTGATTAATTGTTCACCCCTCAAATATAAAAGGTCACACTTTTCAACCACGAATAACAAGAAGCATGCTATAAACAAAGACACGATACGCTTCGCTTCGATACGGTTTTGCATGTTTTGCAATTTCGACAGAAATTTCCATCATTAAACGTGGACTTGGTAACGAGAGAGCACGGCTAAATGCGAATGAGGCAACATTTGTTACTTTGTTCATTTCAGCTTCTGATTCCCTCGCTTGAAACGTTGTACCAATTGACGAGTCTTGGCCAAGTACCGTGTGATTGCGTCGTGGCTGTCGAGAAAAGTATCGGTAAGTTCTGGATTATTTTGTCAGCGTTAAGTTGATCTTTACAGAGATCATTCACCCGACGCATTTCACGTGCAGTGGCTCAACATAAAGAAACGAAAATCAGGCAAAAATCAATGCGCTCTAATACAAGTGGAACGATATTAATTATTAAACTACAATAGATAGAAGCAGTTTTTCTGAGGTTTGAGCAAAAGTACTCTTATTTGGAATGAAATTTCAGGAGTTTAGTTACATGCAATTACAACGACATTGTTCACTTTACTTAGGGGAGGTTTTTTTGTTTTAAAAGTATAATCATCTTTTTGCTAGTTTCGAAATTTTCACAATTTTCAATAGCTTCAGTTTGATCCGTATAGCCCAGGTTAAGCTCGAGTTATACAGTTAAAAAAAAGGGGTTTGGGCAAATTTGGACATGTCTATCAACAGTTGCTGTTCCAGTTACATCAATTCACTAGCTAAGACACAGACTCACCGAGGTGGATGGCACGTGATTTTACAGACATGTACAGTACAAGAAAAAGAGTTTAAAATACATTGACTGTTGTGGTTTTGTAGAAATTCTCGTCGCTGTTCTTCATGTTTGCGTGGAGTCTTTTGCAACAGAAATGTTGGCTGAAGTAAAGGTTGTTGATAATTACCATGGTGTCGCTATAGGTAGGTCACACTGCCATGATAAAAGTTCAAATTATAGTAGACTGAGACGGATGTGCCGGTTCCATTTCGCGCCCCCTACGGTCTAACAAGGGGTAACGAGATATTAACTTACTTGGTTTTCTCTTTTTTCACTCAAGTTCCAAATGCATCAGGGAATAAGCAATCGCCGAACAAAATGTTGCCGAATAATCCAGATCTGAGACAGAAGTCAGATGCCGAACCGGAAACTATTGCGCAACATTGGTACGCTTGTTGTGGTCATTTTTAAATCTCCTCCATTTTTTTTAAATTCTCATGCTTCCGTTGTCTAGCTACACCAAAAGGAACATATGTATTAAATAGTTTTCTGTGCCAGATAGGTAGCGCAACCCATGCTCGTTGTATGTTGCGGAGCATTAGAAAGATGTGAGATATTTCTAGCCAAAGATCCTGCACATAAAGCGATTCGACATTTTGTATATACACTGAGCACAGTTACACTGTAAGCTACAGTTACTTTAACATTCATTCATGAGGTATTATGTAAAGCCAGAAATGTTCACACTCAGTAGATGCGGGCAGTGTTGGTTAGGAAAACCATTTCACCTCATCTTTCCCGTTGATGGGAGTGAGGTAGAAAAAACAAGCTTCGTTCCTTTCGTTTACGCTCTGTATCGTTCATTTCTCTTTCGTTTTCATTCCACACATGGGTCAGTGCAAATCATCCCAGTTGCCACTGCCGGTGGGAGCCTGAGCAATCGGACTGTGGTGAAACTAAGATCGGATTGGCTGCACAACCCTGAAATTGAATTGAGCGATAACAAAGCGTAAAATGGACTTTGATGTATTAAAATAATTTTTTTAAAACAAAACAAGCACGTGCTATTGTTAGGATGACGACTACCAGGATCATGTTATTCACTCATTTCAACGGTAATTGGGCTCATATGAACAGCCCCTAAGCTAGGCTAGTAAGTATTAAATACTTACGTGGTGTACCTACAAGCTAAATTACTTATCGAATGTCACCATGCAAAGATACAAAAATATTAATATCTTTAGGCTTCGTAACGTATACGAGTTTGATATGTCAAGTACGGTTCTTCAACGAGATCTCTACACGGATTATCTTACGTCGTGTGGAAAAGTAACGAGGAACGTCCTCAATGTTCCTTCATTTTATAAACTTGTAAGGTATGTCTTAGTGTAAAGGTACAGTGATATATAGCATGAGTTCGAATATATAAGTGGTTTTTGCAGCAAATTTTGCATCAGTGAAAAGCTAGAATGGTACTGTTACCATTATTGGCCCAAATGTGGAAACACCTTGCCTGCGTAATGCCTGTACAATAGAATACAAAATATGAGACAAAACTTTTCAGGGCCATATTTTCCACTTTTCACAACATTTCGCAGCAAAGTTTTGTAATTTTACTTGGTATTCGTAGTAGTTTTTATTTCTAGAATTTTTTTGCAAGGGTAAAAGTAGGGGCAAATTGTCCATTGTGCCTTCAAGATTAATGAGATCAAACCGTTATGGGAATTAGGGAATAATGTTACGTGCGCATGCCGTGCTAAAGAAATGTGTCATTCTGTACTATTTTCCCCCTTGCCAGATCTGTCCATCCAGAGATCCAAATCGTGAAACTTACTACAGCAAATCAACAACTATATGGCTTGGTCGGTCTACGACGGAAACTCCCCCCTGGACAATACTTCATGCAAACTCCCGTCGTACATCATGGTCCGCGAATGCCCCAGGCCGTAACTCCCCCTCTGATGCGTACATCAAGAACCACGTCGTCACCAATGAACATAAACGCTAGCAACGTGCCTCAGGCAACTGCTCCACCTATAAGAACTGAGAGCCTAGTAACTAATGTACCTACTCGTCCACAATCTCCTTCGCTTCACGAACAAAGACATGATGTCGTGTTTCCTAATGTCAGATCTAATCCCCAACCAGGTAGTATAAAACTACCTACTAGATTTCCAACAAACACGGTTCCAACACCTCGACCGAGTGGCAGCATGTCGGCGTCAGAATTTCTAGGAAGCCTAGTGGGTACTAGATTCCCAGGCGACCCACGAAATTTTAATACGACAAATGTCCCATCAACCCCTTCAAACGTAGTTCCCTCTGCCGGTCAAACGATGACATCGACAAATCCTGGAAAGGTTGTCGAACAGCCCATTGCACGTTTGCCTGATTTGGCTACGGGTGTTGCCAACCAGGCTGCAAAACAATCAACGCCAAAAACCGCCGGCCTTCCTACCGCTCGAATGCCTGACGTGGTTTCGGGTGGTGCGGGTACGGCCAATGGAGGCAATCGTCACGGTGTGTGTGCACCCCCTATCTCTTCGTCTGGCAAAACTGACACGACTCCGAAGGTGACCATTCAGTCTCAAACACCTTCTTTGAAAAGTAGCGAATCTGTAAAAGCGATTCCTCAAGAACCGCCTGCTGTTGTAAAGAAAGATGCGCTTGTGAATGGAACCGCGCAAGTTGAGGCTGTTTTGAAACCTGTCGTCAACATTTCCCAAGCAAAGGTGTCCGCTGTTAACGGGTAAGATGCCTGTATGATTTTAAAGTACATGGTACAAGTATTTCTTGAATTATCTTTTTTTTTAGCAACGTGCTTAGTGTTTCTTTTTTTATGTATTTGATAAGAAGAAATAATCCAACGTAAAATGAAACTTACTGGCATGAATTTCTTAATTTGTCGTGATAGTCTTCATGTGTTCTTAATATTTGTTCTTCATGTGTTCTTAATATTTGTTCTCAGTATATTTAATGGTTTGTGTTTTTTTGCCAGTTCTCAAACAAACGGCGTACTCTTTGTCGGCAAAGAAGAGCGGGCGACAAAAATAGCGCCAGATGGACACGAAATTGTTATTTCGGTTGTCGAAAATCCGCGGAAACCAAGTACGGGACCGAGTGAAGAAATCACGACCGGAAGCCTGGTGTTAGGCAAGAAAAGACCGAAACCGTTGCTAAGCGATATCACGTCAACGGACAAGGGTGACGCAACACTACTTATGAACGGGCCTTTTGTTGCTAGCGAAATGTTACGAAACGTAGCGAAACGTCAAAGGAGACATTCCGAAGATACATCGCTTGTAAACGGAACGGGAGAGCAAAAAGATCCGATGGCCTGGGACGAGTTAGTCAGGGCGCAGACTAAACCGATGGTAACTTCACCAAAGCTACCTATAGCAATCAATGGTGTACGGTTGGATATTGTGCCTAAAGTTGATACCAACAACAAAAACTGTGATAAAATGTTAAAAACTAAAACAAGCAACCCTCTTGGTAACCTTGGTAATATGACGAATACTATTCTTGGTAACCATGGTAATATCACGAATACGAGCCATGGCACTGGGACGAGTAGCCATGGTAATACGACCATTGTTAGTATCAGTAACAATAGTAATATTGCGAATACTACTTTGGGTAACAGTGGGAATATAACGAACACAACAGTTAGTGACTATAGTAATACGGCAAAAATTAACGCCAACCAGACTGCGCTAAAATCACCTGGGTTACCTACTACGAATTTTGTACCTGCAACTCTGCTTCCTGTGACGTCGCAGGGCCAAAGTTCCGGTGGTAATGCGGTCACGCAAAGCGATACAACTACGGTTGCGACTGCTAAGGATCAAACGCCGGTTGATAAACCACGAGGGGAACAAGCTGCCGGTGTTGTGATGCCGTACAGATGTTTGTGGGCCGGTTGTGGTTGGTAAGTTGAAGGTTCTTTCTGTTAAAAGCACTATAATTGAACCATAGTGAAACTATTCCATTCTCTCTTTAGTTCATTCGGTAACTCAAAGCTGTTATACAATCATGCGGTCAGCGTACACGCACCAAAGGAGCAGATGTTTACTTCTTGTCAGTGGGAAGGTTGTACCCATGTACGTCGTTCGAGGGCCTCACTTCTATTTCATCTACGGGTAAGTAAAGTTCACTAGCAACCCGATATAGTAAGAACTCGTATTGTGTGGTCACCATACGCCGAGCGTATCCTAACTTTACAGTAATAACAATTGCTATTATTTCACTTTTCGTTGCAGCAACGACATTTGACTTTGTCCAAGGACCCAAACGTCGTCCCCAAACCCCAGAAAACCATCCAGCCAGTTGGTCCCGTTCCTCCACCAAGCGGTGCGCAGCCACCTACGGCCCCTCCTCACGGGCGAACTGTGTTTCCACATCATCCCTCCGTCAATCCATTGCTACTGAACCTAAAAGAAAAACTGTTACAGGTGGGTTTTGTAAAGACGTTCTAAAAGCTGTTGAATAAAGGCGTTAGTGCGCTTCCCACCTGATATGGGAAGTATGTCACCAGCCCTTGCCACCATCCCGTGCGCTTATAGGAAAAAAGGTTTCTTGGAAAAAGGAAAGGTTTTGCTAAACTGTTATCTCTGATATTCTCTGATAAATGGAGCTCTATGCTGGCAACGAGTAAGTCATTAGTTTTAACCAAAGGTTTTCTCTCGTAGACGGAACAAGAGTTACCATTAACGAAGTCCATTCGTCTTACCGCCGCTCTAGTTTTAAGAAACATCGCCAAATACTCGCCGACTGGAAGAAGGTTCGTTTTCTCACTTCTACTTCGTTAATGTTGAGTCTAGCTTCTATCTTTGTCGTAATTGTCATGAGCAAGTCATTTTCATCAACGTGAAATAGTCCGGATGGATTACATCACATCAACATGGTCACTACAATTACGACCAGCTGGAAATCAGGCTTTCAACAGCAGTCGCAATTAGTGTGCGCTGACTTATCCCAGAGTTAAGTTGAGATAAGTCAGCTCTCGTCTGCTTTGAGGGTTTTTGTCCGAGTACGTCAAAGGAATCAGAGGTATGGGCGGACTTAAATCTGACATTTAGAGAGATGTAGTAATCGATGGTCAAGGAATATACACCCCTATTGTTGTAGCAAGGTTATCTCAGAAGAAGAGAATACTGTCATCGAAGCTTTCTAGTTTAAGCCGTACTGTTACTTGTATGGAGAACAGGTTTCTTTTCTATTGTTTTAGAAAACTGAAACGTTTTGAGTCATCGTTCACTGAAATCATGTGTTCAAAGCTCGAATCAAACGGTGCGATTGCTGCCTGTCTTCATGAAATAACAAGACCGCGACAAGAAGACGCGCTGCCGAAAAGATGACCGCTGACATTCGAACGAGAGATTTGAGGCCGTAGTATTTATTCGATTTAACATATTGTACGCTTGTTCGTATATTTCTGATTTATTGATGGTATCTCGGTGAGTTTCATTAAGGGCTACCGTTTAACAGGTGATAGTGAACCTGCATGTTTGTAATCATAATGAAAAGACATTAGTTTTTTGCTATTGGTAATTAGCCCTTTCCCAATCGAGCAGGGTACTGGGTCTAGTCGCGAACCGCAAAGCATCTATGGACTGTTTGGAGGGACAATGATTTCAGACTTAGATTTCTTGTCCCATAGATGCTTTGCGATTGGCGACTAGACCCAGTACCCTGCTGGATTGGGAAATGGCTAATTAGATTAGTAATCTCATGAGATGCACCTATGTTCTGTGATGCTCCGGTTGATTTTTTAATTTTTTCTCTACATAAATCACTCTTGACTTTTGTCTCAGAAAACCTTAATTAGGATAGCTGTCCGTCATTTGGACAATGGTCAGTCAGTAGCTATATCGACTGCGGTCTATCTGTAATATATAAATCTAACAGATCTTTTCTGCGTCTGTTTCCACAAAATCACAGGTTCATTGCACGTGCTGTCCGTTAGCTCTTACTGAAATTCGCAAATAAAACAAAAGATTAAGCTTTATTTTCTCCCAGAAAAACTCTCTGTAAGTATTGTGTCTATGTACATAAAATGTATTTATTTCATAAAATCATTTATTGTTGTAAATCCTTTTTCCTCTATCGATGACATATGTACGGAATACTCCAAGTGATGTTTAGAGATCAGTGTTGAAGATGTGCAAGCTTGATTATATAAAATTTATTTAAAGTTATTGAAGTTTGTACGTCAGTGTGTTAAATATCTTATTTATACAGATAATCCAAATTGACAACTTTAGCATATAATACCTTGGGAATACTGTTTAGTCATTCATTCATTCCAATAAAAATCAATCTTCGACGCATTTAGTGTAACAATGAAACGGCACCGATGAAGTAAAAGTAGTTAGAAAATCATCGATCACAAGTAGGCAAGTTGCAAGGCCTAGGCATTTGCAATATTTGCTGCGATTCTCTTTTGCGAGAGAGTGCAAAAGTTACGGCTGTTCAGATAGGGCATCTCTAAACAATGAGTTACGCCGATGAGTTACGACGAGTTACGAAAATTGAAATACGGGATGCATATGAAAACGTTTGACGTATTTGATATTTCCTTCCACTGGAAATGTTATCCCACATCCCAGGGGCCGGTTGTATGAAAACCGGATAGCGCTTGTTTGGTTCAAAGACTGAAATTTTATTGAAGCATTAATTTTTTAGGACAGTGCCAGTGGATAGCGCTATCCGGGGCCGGTTGTATTAAGCCCATTTAGCTTAAATGGCTTAAACGGTGGATAAGCCATGGTTAATATTCAGATTGCTGAATATTTTATTAGCACAACCTTTGGCTTTGGCTTTGTTGTCTTTGTTTAGAAACAAAGAAACCGCCTATAACAATGTTGTGCATATTTATGCATTTGTTGTTGATTGCTTGTTTAAGGCCTAGGTTATACGTCGCATTTTGGTCGCGTCGAATGCAATTCAAATAATAAATAATAAGATGATAATGCTTAATGAGGTCTAACATCTGACGCTGTCGGTACCTGGAAAGCAAGGTGAAAACGATTCAAATATTCGACTTTTAACAACGATATGTGTTGGTTTAATCACAGTTTAACGTTGTACGAGGCAGTCGAGGTGTGAGGGTTTAACTGACGATAGTGAAACGTGTACACGAATGGATGAAAATAATGGATAAGTTATCCAAGATTAAAAGAACGTTCAGCTTCCGAATAACCAACATGGTGTTCATATATGTGACTTCTATACCTCTCTTTGGCGAATCTTATGTTAATCCAGATGAGATATTCTCGAAGGACATATCGTTTTTAAAGCACTGATTTCAACTCGTGTGGAAAAGGTAATTCTCTATGAAATACTTCCGTAAATACTATAAATGTACGCACCCGATAACATCCCATCCCGATGTTATATAATCTGCTTGAATGGGGTGTTTATAGAGTTTGAGTTTATATGTACCAGAGTATGGTACTTGATGGTACTAAACGCGGCCAGGCTTTGATATGTACGCAAGTTAAGGACATTTCTCAACGAAACATTTGTCGATCGAACGATCAACGATAGACCCGGCATTGGGCAGTGAAAAACTGAAACTAGATGAACAATGAGTAGATTTTTATTTTACAAGATATAAGACACATATACATTTACAATAAATTTCAAGTCTATTCCTCCTGCTCATGCAGTTATCTCCTATCTGCTTCATGCTGATGCTGAGTACAATCAGTACATTACTCATGTTTATTTAATTTCTCAACCTGCTATAGCCTCAAATAAATAACTACAAACCAAGAATATTTCAACACTCGCTTTCTGTCAATACAAAATACAGAAGAGTCTGCTCCATGCTTCGATTAATTGTTTTATGGTTTTCTCTAGCGAGTTCTTTGTTCCACAGATGTTCTCTCTTTTAAAACTTAATGTTTAGAAGACTTCGTTTTAGATTTGTGAGACTTTTTTGCTTTTGCTGCGGCTTTCGCTTTTTTGTCAGGTACACCGGATTTCTTTTGTACGCCAGCCATGCCTAAAATGCCAAATACCAAAATTTGCACATCAAAAGAACTATTTGTAAAGTGTGTCCCAATACAACGCAATTAACCTTTCAAGGCTAATTGAAAACGTGATCAAATTAATCGATAGTTATCTCATTTTAAAGCCTGCTCGTTTGTCTTTTCAACGATACGTTTCTTAAGTATTTCAGTCAAAAAATCTATTTGCAAGATAGATTCCCGCACGTGATTTTAAGATGCACCGTAAAAGAACATTTTTATGTCCCATAGCCATAGGTATTCAGAAACCAACTACAAATTCATGTTTGTCCTTCAATCATATAACATCATGGTACTGTTAACTGTAGCCGAAATAGCCTACCTTGTTGAGACCATGAGACCTACTTCAAAACACAAAGTTTGAATTGCCAATTGCGTTTTTTTTGGGACACCCTGTACAGTTACAACGGCGTACGCCACTCTTTTCGTATGCCAAAACAATCAGACAAGGCATCTTAACTGATTGTCTCTTGGGCGATGCACAATTAATGCTGTCGTTCAGCAGCATATCAAAGTGAATGCTTGTTTGAGGTTGGTTTGAATGAGAATGTAAAGTGGACTAAAACGCGATACTAGGGAGAGATATTTATCTTCAGTGTATTTTGAACAACCACAGTTTGCCCTAATTCGAACCGTAGATCCTAAACACGTGGGATACTTATGGTGTTCTTTATGAATTCGCTATTGAATATTCTATTTGCTTCCCTGCAACATGTTCATGAAAAGATCTGCTTCTGCTGCAACTTGGAGAGTAGTTTCTACCACTTGCTCCTATGATTGCTTAAAATGAATCCCACTACTGCCAGAATTTATTTGACAAAAAAATGCAGGTGTCCTGTATAGTTAAACTACTGATAAAATTATAGCACTTCTAAGTACCTGGCATTGATGTTGCTCCGGGTAGTGCAGCGGCCATTGCTGGATCTTGACCGCCAGCTCCACCAGTGAACCCGGATAATCCTCCTTGATCCATCATTGCTCCACCTCCTAAAGCACCCCCTAGGCCACCTTGAGCTCCACCCATACCCCCTGGCATTTCCATACCACCGCCTCCAAGTAGTGCACCTAATCCACCACCGCCTCCTCCTCCTCCTAGCCCGGCTCCTAAACCACCTCCTAAACCACCTCCTAAGCCACCTCCTAAGCCACCTCCTAACCCTCCTAGCCCACCTCCAGGCATTCCACCGCCGAGACCTCCTCCAAGGCCTCCTCCACCCAAAAGTGCACCTAGGCCACCCATACCTCCAGCACCCATACCTCCACCTAATCCCATCATTCCTCCACCTAAGCCGCCACCCATTCCACCAAACCCTGCCATGCCACCCATTATCCCTCGCGGTACCAACATAGGTATCGCAGGAAGGGTGGATCTACTCCACACAAATGGAGGATGACCAGCGTTTCCAGGAAGAGAAGCTGAAGGCCAAGCGATCCTAAACGAGGATATTGTTTTATCATTTGATGTTTTCTCGTTGTGGCAATTTCGAAGATTTAAAGTTTACAAAAGAATGCAAAAAAAAACATTGAAACCATTGTCACTGAACTATATAGGTAAAATGGAAAGCTAACTTGCGAGGGAAGCCATTCGTAGGATATTCCACTTTGAGGTTTTGAAATTTTCGCACCGGATAGAAATTTTCGTTTTATATACACTGCTGAACATTAGGGGTTCAGCTCATAGAAAAACGTTTTCGCGTCATGTAAATATAGGCACGGTTATCACCTAACTGTCAATGTGGGCACTCACCCAGCTCCAAATGGATACGCGTCGGCTGGGGGGACTGGATACCTAAGAAGAATAATTGTTCACTTAAATTTACTTGCTTCAGTTTCTTAATACACGTAGAATATTTTATACCGTTCAAATATCTTGTCAACTTAGCGCTGAAACTGCCACCAACTCTTCAATTTATGAATCAAAATTCAAGACCGTCAGTGACAATAAACATAATAAATACACACCTGATGGGAGGTACAGCCGCTGGCTCAGCGGACACTGGGGTGAAAGCTGGAGAAATTTGTCTCTTGTTCAGTCTCAACTCTTCGGCTGATCTTTTCTAAACAGCATAATAAGAAAATCCTATTTTGTCAATACCTGCTTTCAATTTTCACAAAGCAGACAAAGTACTAAACGTTACTCCTTACGACCTATGTAATGATACAGACATAAAGCCCGTTTTCCACCAGGCGGATTTATTCGTGCGACGCGAAGCGATATCTGAAATCCGGTGATGTGATTGGTTTGCGAAAAAATTCGCCGCGAAAAAGTAGAAACGCTTCCTCCTTTTTATATGTTCGCGAGAATAAATTCGCCTAGTGGAAAACGGGCTTAAAGATAACTCTGTTACGGCCGTCTAAAGTCTGTGTGACACGATGCAATGTTACTTGCAACTCGAAAAACAATTGTACTTTTGAGAGATATATTAGTGAAGATTTTTCGGAATGAATGTACGAGGAAACAACAAACACATTTTTGGCCTTATTTACATCCCTCAGCGTAGAATTCAATTGCAAGTTACAAGAAAAATTTCATCGTAACACCGCCTTTATTTTTCTCGTTGAGCTTCAAGTTGTGTCCAACAGCTTTTGCACCATTCACACCGATACTCCTTCTCTAAGTCCCTTTGACAATTCAACTTAGTTTGGCACGGCTTGGCTAAAATGGGTTCCCGGTACCAATTTCATCCATGTTCAGACGGATAAAATTTGATACGGGTACCAATTTAATCCGTGCCGTAGCAATAAATTAAGTGTACTATAGCCTATCGAATGAAAACTTTTGCAAACAGCAGAGAAATTTAAAAAGTCGTGTGTAACTGGGTATCTCGCTTATATCATGATGTTACGGATTTTGCGATTTGTGGTTAAGAAAGGCTGGCGGTTAGGAAATGGGTCCATGCAAAGAGAAAATATTTCGTGCGGGAAACATCACAACTGAAACATGAGTACCGGCATCACAACCTCGCTATTTTAGGGAGCAATAATTAACGTACTAACTTCAACATTTGCTGGTTCTTCTACAGACGATCTTCGTGTAGTTTGAACGTCGACCTTAACATGAGGTGATCCAATATGGATGTTCCTTGTTGGTGGAACAGCGTATGGAGCAAATGGATGGATCAAAGGTTGAGGATACTGAGCAACCGCTGGTTGAGAGATTAGAGGCTCCTGTGCCGCCGGTATCTGTAAGTACACGTTAGATCTGTCAGTACATCGCTTGGTTATTTCAAATAAGATAAACTGCATGTTTGTGTGTTTGGTATGACAATGCATGGTCTACAATGCCAAGATTGACTTACTCTCTTAAAAAGTGCTTTTATATTTCACCCCTCCTCCCGAATGGAAAAATGTTCATTCACACTTGATTACAAATTTATGAAACAGAGCATTGCAAAGTTAAATTGCATGGGTCTAGGTTTTTAATTTTCTGCGCATCACATCACCCCTATATAAGTATCACAAATTCACCCTAACCCCGCCCCGAAGAGACATTCGCGTTCGCTGGTTCGTTCGCTAATGCACAATGAAAAAAGCCTTTTGCGTCTTAAATAGCATTGGCACCTTCTTGCTTTTTTTCAACATGAATTGTTTGATGAGATCTCTCTTATCTTAGCTTTGGGAAGCCTTGAAATATAAAATAAACTCTTAATAAAGCAACTTACGCCCGCTTGAGCAAATGGCGACGATGGAGCACCGGCCATGATCTGTGGAACCGCTTGACGTTTGGCGGGATTCGCATCTTTTTCTGTTTCGTTTTCCTCGTCTTCATTTTCGTCACTTTCTTTGTCTTCAAGAAAAAAAGACGAAGATTTTAAACCACTCGTGAAGCTGATAATGTAATTTGTTTTATTTTTCAACGTAACAAAGAGCAGCGACGTCAAACAACTTCGCATCAAATGTGGCATAACAACTGCCTAAAATAGACAGAACACTTCTTGGCGTTTCGACTACTATGACTCTACTGACGAAGCTTTTGGTCGAAACGTCGAAAAGTGTTTTTATCTATTTCAGGCAGCTGTTATACCACACTGGACGCTAATTTCATTTAATCAATTTAAACATTTTGCGTTTGGCCTTTTTCTGCGAAATAGGCACAGGCGGAGGCGTTCGATAGATTTTCGCGTGCAAAAACATGATAAAGTTTGCTTGCTTCGCCTGTGGTATCGTGGATAAAAAATTATGCGAAGAGCACTTGGCGGGATTATGTACACAGGGTTTTAACTACCTTTATCGCTTTCTTCTTTTTCTTTTGGTTCATCTTCACTTTCTTTTTCTTGAGGTTCATCTTCACTTGCTTTTTCTTGAGGTTCATCTTCACTTTCTTTTTCTTGGGACTCATCTTCACTTTCTTTTTCTTGAGGTTCATCTTCACTTTCGTTTTCTTGAGATTCATCTTCACTTTGATCACCGTTGTCGTTATCATTATGACTTTCATTATCGATCTCCTGGTCGTCTTCACTCTCTCCCTCGGGCACGTTTGAACGATGAGGCACACCGAATCCCCCTTCTGCAAGATCCCCACCAAACGCCGCTGAAAGGCCGGGCCCTAGCCCAGTCGGCCCCCCAAAACCTATACCTCCCATGCCATAACCTGAGAACCCTGTATTCCCAAGCCCTAAGGGTACCCCGCTATAACCCCCTCCTAGTCCATAATCGCCAACTCCCGCTATTCCCGGTTGGATCAAATTTGCAGAACCTGGGTATCCTATGCCTAGACCCTGACCATCCCCGTGGAGACTTCCCCCGATCGCAGACCCAATGACTTGACGAGGCTCTACAATGTCATTACGGGCTTTCCCGTCTTCTTCTTTATGTGGAACCTTAGATCGGTAAAACCCGTATGGTTGCAATCCCCCGTATACCGGAGTCCCGGCTCCTAATGGAAAACCATATGAAAAGCTACTAGGGGCCGTGCTTGGGTAGAATACCCCTGTTAGGCCGGTATAAATACCCGGATTGTAACCAATAATGTGTTTACGTTCCACTTTATTAGAGTCTGATTCTTGGGCTTTTTCTTTTTTTCCTTTTGGGAGGTCGCTTCTGTAGAACCCAGGTAACCCAAATCCCCCCGGGTAGAAACTATTTGTCCCCCAAAGGTTACCGCTCATAGTCATGCCGCCTATTCCTCCACATAGTGCCCCAGAGCACCCAAAACCGGGGTACAATCCATAAGGGAATTGGAAACCATGCAAACACCGCTTATCATTTTTCTTGCACTTGGGTACTTTAGATTTATAAAACCCAAAGGGGTACGCATATCCTGGATGTGGGTAGCCATAGCCTAATCCGAATCCTAACCCATACCCCGGGATCCCCGCCCCGTGGCTCAACCCGTAGGTAAGACCTGGTAAACCAAGATAAGAAGTAAAACACCTCTTGTTTTGATTCTTACCCTTACCCGGCACATTAGATTTACAGAAGCCATAAGGGATGAAGCCCCCACCTATATTGCCCATGGTGTATCCGTAACCTGGAACGCCAATCAACTGATTATGTCCCATGAACCCTAACCCTAAGGAATTTCCTCCGAATCCGAAGCCATATCCAAAGCAACGTTTGGTCGATGATTTTTTGGCAGATTTCTGCCACGGATGGTTACAATACACGGGGCGATCTATAAACCCTGGAAAGTAGTTAAAGCCAGGAAACCCGTGGCCGAAGCCATAAGGTCCTAGACCCCCGTATGGTCCCATCCCCATCCCCAAGCCTCCGTAAGCGAAACAGCGTTTGGCGGACTGGTCCTTGCCCTTGGGGACTGTGCATCGTACAAATATACCGCCATAACCTGGGAGTGCATTGCCTGGGAATCCGTAGCCATAGGGTGTGGTGCTAAACCCATACCCATGTCCGATGTGAGGCGCCGCGAAGGGCCCATATCCCAAACCATATGGCCACCATCTTTTTACATTTTTCTTGTCTTCTTGATTTGAATTGTCTTTTTTGTTGGTTTCAATCTTAGATCTATGCCCGGGGGCTAAAACCGCTGGCACAGGGACAGGAAACCCGGCGTTACCGAAGTAACCAGTGCCAATGGTTCCTTGCGGTGGACCAAGATGTGGGCCAACGTGAATGGCATTCACCACTTGCTTCTTTGTCGTTTTTGATTCTTCTGAACGGAAAGATGTGGTGTAGTTTGAGACTATTAATTTTGTCCGCAGCAGAATATACTTCAGAAGATGCTGATCTTTGTAGCAGCATTTCCGCCTAAAAGCCCTGTTTATATGATCCCGCCAAGGCAAATAGCGAAGTTGTCGTGATTCTGTTTGTAATATATACATTATATGCAATTTTACCAGCGCTTTCTCCCGCATAAACACTATAAAAATCCCTTTGCTGTTTTTGACTGAGAATGGAGTTTCAAAGATAAGATATGAAGTGAAGAAACGTTTATTCCTTCAATCCGGCAAAGTACTTTGTCCAAGCCATCCCGCCGATACACGCGTTTTTTGCGCTCAAGCGGAATGACAGGATCATATAAACGTTATCTACTCTTAACCGTAGCTCTTCAATTTCTGATAAAGCTTGATGAGGCTAATAATATAACTAAGTAAAATGAAACTGCTCTCCTGATTTATCCATGGCATATCAGAGTTAATCAAACTCCCATGGAAATACTCGGCAAGCAAATAAACTCGTCTAAGGTTAAGCTCTCGTAATTGAAGGCCTAAATTTTGTTTGGAGCTACAGCCGACGTGGATCACGAACACAATCGCAGCGCTAAAAACCACAATTCTTCTAAAAGTTTAACATATTATATTTTTGAAACGGTGGTCGATAAAACTTTTTGATATGGGTTTATTCCAGTCTCAAAACATTCGTGTTCACGAAGCAGCGCATGCTACCGGTTCAAAATCATAACCCATATTAAAAGCCACCGATCAACCTAAATTTAGTATCACTGGGCTTCATAATTTAACCCAGTCTATATTCTTTCTTTATTTGAATTTCATTCATATACCAACCTTCACTTTCTGGCTCTTCTGCGGCTCTCCTTTCCTTGATTAAACGATCGTCTCTCTCGAGAAATTTTTCAAAAAATCTTCGCATTAATTTTGACATTGGTTTACTCGCTTTTTCCTCCAACGCTTCGGTATTTACGAGGATGAAAGTTAAAATAAGAGTGAGGACTATCAAAGATTTTGGCTCCATGTTGCTATTACAACTCACTCGCAATTTAAGCGAGAATCGTTCGAAATTTTGTTATCAGTCGAACGTGGTTAGATTTATTGGATAGGCGTCATTGAGTTTTGACTATTAAACCTGTAAGATACCTGCAAAGTGCCTTTGATCTGTAAATTTTATTTGCGTTTTAAGCGGGCATTAAATATTTAACTTCTTTCCATTCCTAATGTCCGCCCACCGCGGTCACTCGTACCAGCGGTAGTTATATTCGAGTTAAAGACAGTGAACCTAAGTTAACCAAAAGTAACCCATGTTAACCTAAGTTAATCCAAGTTAACACGAACTACAACGAAACGATGACTTTAATCAGGAGGGTGAAAGCAGAAAAACTGTCAGTTATCGTTCCAGTTATATTAGAGTTCAGTGACAAAAGCTGGCATAAAAAAGCGCGTACGATGAAGTGGACTAGATTTAGTTGGTAGCTATAGCCCAATTCCCCTTCATTTGCGCTTATTTGACTGATAGAGTTGAAGGGCTCTAAGCGATGTCATACTGTCTTCCTTAACGGCGATGGAACCAGAGAATACTGTCTTTTGAACATTTTCCTGTTACACTGATGGGAAAAAAGATTAACTCCTAGTAATGTCAAGGACATGTACGTAGGAAAACAAGCCCAGGAAAGCTTTTCCCTGATCATTTTCCCAAAGTTTGGCAAACTAGGGCGCATTTTTTACTCCAGCCATGTTTTTTCGAAAGCGCATGCAAGCCAACGAGAGGTATACACCATTAACGCCATTTGCTAAAGGCACATTTTATTATGAGCTGCTCAATGAATTATAATCGCTGTAATCACAAAATTTCGATTCAGTTAAATTCGATTTGGAACAAATCGGTGCCTTCAAAATAGCGAAATAGAAACTTAGAACTGACCAGTCTGGTCGATACATATATTACTAAGCACATAAAGAAATTTTTTCTTCTACCTGTTTTTACACGCAGACACAAAAAAAATGTGGACATCAGTAGTAATAATTACTAGGGTCAAACAATTTTCCGGCAACTGTTTTTTAATATTGCCCAACAGTGAAAGACATCAAACTAATTTAGGGAAGCTGAGATAATTCTATAGATATTTTGAAGAAAATTTGAATTCGTTGTAAACTGGTTTAGTTTGAAAAAGTGTCGTTCAATCGTTCAAGACAGAAACAAAAACTGACCTGTCGTAAGTATTTACAAACTTATCTTCCGATGCGTACCTTATCTTTTCATTCGTTTGTGAGGCCATGTTGTTTTTGTAGCAAAATTAAAAACATGACCGTTTAAACAAAGAAGTACCAGCGCGAGACAACTGGTGTCCAAAGTTGTCTTGATTCGCTGAACGACTTTTATTCCAACGCGCGTTTTGCTGATAAGATACCGTACTCAGACAAGAAGTCGTATCAACTTATAACTCAAAATGAAAAACGTCCTAATCGCGTGCATTTTTGCAGCTACATTGGTCTACTGTTATGCAGGACTTACGCTAGAAAAACGTAAGTATTTTGGAATTTTTTTCCTTAGTTTCAACCTTTGGAAATAGTCACTTGGTTCCCTCATCACAAAGGCTTCCAATGAATTTGAAGTTTTACCGATTTATTTATACCTCATTTCAACTTCAAACATGCTTGTTTAAGTCAACCTAACTAATGAGATTGTGCTATTTAATTAATCTTGTCAGTTCTTAATGGTGTGGCTGGCAATTCAATTAGCAGATAAGTCTGTCAGGTTATTGTTAAGAACCTGCTTTATGAAGACCTGTCTACGAACAAGGGAAAAAGAAAGCACTGTGCCACATAGTTCGATATCAATCAAAATTATTTGAATTAAGATCGGTCGCTTTAAAATTTTATCTTTTGCTCCGGCTCAATTAAATTTCCGTTAATGAAAAGTCGTTATCTAGAAAGAAGAAGTTTAAATATTAAAGACAGTGAAACATGCCAAAACTCGTGGCGTATATGAAACCTGTATGGGTTATTTCGTTTATTTGTGCTCTGCATGTGCCGGGGAATTTTTAACAATTTTCAAAAATTCTCTGTCTTTTATTGTTTTGGCTGTCACATAATTAAAAAAGGAAAATTTTTCCCTTGTATTGAATGAGTGTAAACTTGTGTCGGAAATTGTTGGTATTCGCATCCGGTCAAAAGCTAAAACCAAAACGCTCGAAAACACTGCATTACTCTATATGCGTACGTAGCTATACAGTGTTTGAATAGTTACGTCGATTTCAGTCGGTTTCCCACTAGGCGAATCTTTTCGCGCGACGCGACGCGAAGCGAAGCGATATCTGCAATGCGGTGATGTGATTAGCTTGCAAAGAAATTCGCTGAAAAAAAATAGATAGTATCGCTTCGACGCTTCCCATTTTTCACCAATTCGCTCGAATAAATTCTCATGTTGGAAAACGGACTTCACTATAAGCGAACAATACTCGATTGCTAATATTATCGTTTATTGATATTAAGGAGTTCGGGCATTTAAATTACAACGCGGCAATCCATGATGGCAACCAATAAAACTATTCCAATGAAGTGAATAACTAAAGTTGGGCGCGAGGTTTGAATCAGTCATCGCCCTGTTCGCGAAAGCAAATCGCAGACTTTAACGCCTCGTTTTAAAGTCGTAACAAGTCGAAATTGAATACCATTCAGTTGGACTCTTTCAAATCAAAGTCCGTGAGTTCTGTTTTTTACACCGCGAGCGACTTTGCCCGGAAATAACAAATTTAGAAATGTGTTTCGCCTAGTGAAAATGCTTTTGTTTCGAAAGTTTTTTGCTCTTTGTGGAAAACAAGACTTGTAAAAAGCGAATGATATCATACGGCCAGATCTTTACAACCATTTTTTAGAAAGCGTTAGTTTTTACCATCGTTCCCGCGTTGTCGTCTTGCGAGCTTGAAAAAATTACTTTCGAAATTTATCCGCGCCACACGTAATAGTAATAATGTATGTAAAGACTTTTATAACTCCATTTTCCGCCAATGCATTAGAATATATGCATTAGAATTACCAAGTTTTACTAGTAACTTACATGTGAACATCGTTATACTCATAGCTGATGATGACAAAACGAAGAGAGCAATCGATGATAACCTCGGACTTGGTGGTGGTGTTGCTGGTGCTGGTTCCGTTCCCGGACAAACTGCTGGTGTTGATCCAACGTTGAATAATGCGCAGACTGGCATGAACGCTGGTGTCACAGCTCCTGCCGAACCTGCAAATACTGCCGAACCAGCCCCGCCTCCTGCTGCTACCTCTGCTGCACAATCTGATGATAGTGAAGATACTGCCGATAATGCCGATAATGATGATGATGATAACGATGATGATGACGACGATGATGATTATGATGATGACGACGACGACGACGATGATGATGATGATGATGATGACGATGATGATTACGATGATGACGGTGACGAGGGTGAAGAATCAAGAGCCAAACGATCTAGCGATGATGATGATGAAGGTGATGAAGGTGATGATGATGATGAAGACGATGATGGTGACGATGACGACTATGATGATGACGATGACGACGACGATGATGATGATGATGATGATGATGATGATGATGACGAAGGTGATGACGATACAGATGAAACCACGGATGATGAGGAAAGTGCACAAGAAAGAGATGATGTGAAAAGCATGGATTCTGACAAAGAACCCACCAAAGACAAGGTCAGAAGCTAAGAGCACACTAAGACATGTTTACCAACACCATGTTTTTCCGCTTATTGGTAATGCTATTCATTTTAAGGCCATTGGCCATCTCTAAATCGTTTTTTAAAATTTTGCCAGAAGGTGAAACGATCCGCTGAAGACAAAGACGACGACAAAAAAAGCAAAGACGAAGAGAAAGAAGACAAAGATGACGAGAAAGAAGACAAAGATGACGAGAAAGAGGATGAGCACTCGGACGAGAAGGAAGACGATGAAGAAAAGGACGATGAAGAAAAGGACGATGAAGAAAAGGACGATGAAGAAAAGGACGATGAGAAGAAGAAAGACGACAAAGAGGAGAAGAAGAAGTCGAAACGATCGGCTGAAGAGGAAGATGATAAGAAAGAGAAGACAGATGACAAGACCGAGGTCAAGGAGAAGAAAGATGAGAAGGAAGACGATGAGGCATCCAAACACAGCGATGTCGCTAAAGCCGAAGGTGACGATAGTGATGCGGCAGACGATGATGATGATGAAGCTGATGATGATGAGGACGATGATGATGATGACGATAGTGATGATGATGAATAGATATCGTCAATTGTTTTCTGTGAAAATGGATATTGAAAAGTACATGCATGCTGTGCTGCTTCTTGTATGAAATGTTCTACGAACAAGCCATAGCAGACATAGTTTCGTGTCAACTAAGTTACTTAATTATATTGCTTTAGTTCATGGATAGAGGTCACTAAGTTAAATGTACCAATGATTTCTACAAATAATCAAATAAATTAACACATCTTGTCGTTATTTTTGCATCTGGCGTCAACCTTTAATATGAACAATAACCATCTAGTATATCCATCAATAGAATCATCGAGTATATCTTTTGAAAAAAGCGAAAACCTTAATGTTAATATACACTGTAGCTTTTTTGGCATCATAAAAACTCGTGCATTAATATTACGTCGTTAAACAAATTCCAAATGGCCAGTCTAACATCCTCTCCCAGTTCTCGAAAAACTTTCTCTCACGATCAGAATTCTTTCGACAAACAACTGTAAACCAACTGTTTAAAGAGCTGAAGAAAAAATCACTTCGAGCTCAAAGAGAAGTGCATTGGCAACTGGCGGACATTCTCATGCTGTTCGTCACGTGCACTGTAACGAGGTTAGAATAAGTATTACCCCTTGGTATCCTGGCGTATGTCACGTGTATTTTACATCAACAGCGTGATTTGAAATCGCCCTGCATGGGGCCAGACGTTCAAAGCTAGTCTACCGCTAACCAAAAGTTTTAATCCGATTTCGGTAAAGATTTGCGTTGACCCAGGCAACTGGGAAATTTCTGTGTGAACGTAGCATTTAGTAGTCTATTCATTTGCAGTTGCTCATTCAATTTTTTATTTGTTTGACATCGCACCGTATTTTAAACTGGAGGCCAAGGTGAAGACCGGGACAAGGAGCATAAACCTAACAATTCTCTCAAATACAGTACTCCCTTTCTAAATCAAACGCGACGCCCTATTGGTGAGTTTCACTAAGCGTTTTCATAGTGATTTCACTGATTTGAGTTGCGGTCAACCTCAATTGTCTGGACGCTTGTGCTGCACAGGATTGAGCAAATGATACGAAATTGCCCATATATGCTACCAAGCGCAAAAGCCAACACATACACTGAACAATAACTCACTCTGATTACTGTGTCTCGTTTTCGAGTTCACCCCCATTGGAATTATGACGTCATATGAAACCAACGAATTAGCTAAAGGCGGGCAGGCTAGTTGGCGTTCATATTCATTGCACATGCTACTACTAGATTAACGTTTCGTTGTACCAACGTTCTGTCGTTCTCATGAACCTTTCAGCTCTCGTCAGTCTCATGAAATCGCGCGTGAATTATGTAAATCGTAACACTTTCAAAAAATGATGCTATCTGCGTAAACCCGAACAGCGAAAGATAACTCGTCACGCATGGTCACCATTAACATAAATTTTGACACTATTTTAATATGCGTGTAAACACAGGGCAAGTTCGATTGATCATAAATCTAGGTTCGAGTTACCAAATGAATGTTACGCGCGGGTACCCGCCGTCCGCTACATTGTTTTGAAAGAAACCAAATCATTGTTGCGGTTAAGATAATTAAAAGAACCTTTGGTAGCTCGAACGAAAACTAAATAACTTCGTCGACTCAAGATGAAACTTTGGTTCAGTTTTATCGCTTTCGTAGCTTTCGTTGGCTTTTGCGTTGCTGTGCCGTTGAGAGATGACATGGGCAATGATGAAGATGTCAATGAAGAGATGATGAGAGGTGAGGTTCCGACTGTTATACGCCTAATGACACATGCATTATTAGTATCATCTAAAATGCAATGTCATCAGGGTTCAACTGTGCGTTTATTTCGTGAAGTTCTCTGATGTATAGTTACCACAGTTCGTAAAAGTTTTGTGTGGGCTTAAATTACCCGAGAATTTAAACGTGCTGGCCAACTGTAGGTAGCATAACTGATAATTTAACAATAAGCTGGTGTTCTTTAGTATGTCCTATGATTCAGAAGATAGTGCTTTTAAGTTTTAAACACAATGGTTGTGTGTATTGAGAAGTCTTCATAGATTAAATCTGAATCCCATGAAATATATTGAACAACAGCAGTCTTCATTAGGGTCCCTGAGAGAAATTGTGGGGCCCAAGGCAAATTTAATTTTTTTTCTGGGGCCCTATAACGTCTTGGTTTTAAATCTCTGCGAGGCATAAAGTACTTCAAAGGTATCAAAGCGATGTGAAAAAGTTTAAAAAACAAACTTTTTTACAAACAATGTCAACGTTTCTTAGAAATTAAAATAACAATGACTTTCACTCGTACTTTCGACTAGTGTGCGAATAATACACCGAGCCCAACATTTTTTTAAGGTGCTTTAATTTTAGGTTCTTTCTTAAGTCGGGGGCCCTTTCAGGTTAGGGGATCGGAGCAAAACGCCCCCCTACCCTCTCCTCTCGACGGCCTGGTCACTACACGAGACATTTGTAAAACGTTAACTTATTGTGAGCAAAATGGCAGCAGAAAGCTCTAGCATGTGATAGGCTTAATTTATTCACTCCGAATCACTCGGATGTTTTGAAGAGAAAGGGCTGTGATCATTAGTTGAAGGGATGATACCGTAGATGGACACACCCCGCTTTCCAAATGTCACAGAGAATCAATGCTTCTTCTTAGACTTCTTTGTACTAGATGATGCATGTGTTTAAAAATCATGTAATTTGAATCATTTCGCTTTAGACTTGGACGAAAATGCATCTGATGTCATGAATGAGGAAAAGCAAGAGAGTGCCGATGATGAAGCGAAGCCGGAGGAAGATAAGCCAAAGACAGAGGAGCCTCAGGAGAAAGGCAACGAAGCTGAGGCAAAGGACGAAAATGAACGGAAAGACGATGATGATGAAGCGAAGCCGGAGGAAGATAAACCAAAGACAGAGGAGCCTCAGGCGGAAGGCAACGAAACTGGGGCAAAGGACGAAAATGAACAGAAAGACGACGATGATGAAGCAAAGCCGGAGGAAGATAAGCCAAAGACAGAGGAACCTCAGGCGGAAGACAACGAAGCTGAGGCAAAGGACGAAAATAAACGGAAAGACGACGATGATGAAGCGAAGGCGGAGGAAGATAAGCCAAAGACAGAGGAGCCTCAAGCGGAAGACAATAAAGCTGAAGTGAAACAGGACGAGAAAGAACCAAACGCGATCGAAGATGAGACGAAGTCGGAGCTTCAGAAATCGGAGGAGGAAGATAACCTGCACAAAGATGCCGAAATTAGGCCGAAAGAAGAAGATAAGTCGAAGGATGAAGAAGATGAAAACCAAGCGGAAAACGAAAGACAACAAGAAGCTGCGGATAGTAAACCTAAAAACGAAGGTACGGCGAAAGAAAACGAAGATGCTTCGAAAGATAACGAAGATGAAGCAAAAAGTGAAGAAAATGTTGAAGATAATACTAACAATGAAAACGATGAAAATGACAATGAAAGCGACGAGGAACACGATGAAGACGACGAAAAAGAAGATGATGAAAAACGTAGGTTTAGCTCAAAAGCTGCAAGATTTATTGATTCCTCAAGAAGAGCGCAAAATCATTTCATGTACTAAATATATGTTATACCTTTTTCAGAATCGAACAACAAAGGCATGGGTAACGGCAAAGTAAACAAGCCGAAAAATTTTTGGGATTTTTATCCATACCCTGACCATATTCATTATCCCGTTATTTGGCCAGGACCATGGGGTGGTTATCCGTATGGTGGTTTTCCAGTTGTCATTCTTCAACCTCCAGGTTTGTATGCCCCCCTCCCGCTCATAGCGGTTTTTAATGCCAGTGTGAATCAAGATACAGCATTTGCGCAGAAAGTTCTGTGAAGGCTTCCGTAGCTTTAATGATAGATAATTTTGTTGGAGACAATCACCTGCAGACATTTTGCGATATTGACGGCATGAAATGAAGAAATCACCACCTTCCGGAATTTTATCAGGTGCGCATCCCTAGCCCTGGCCACTCCTGTCCAAATGCAATAGTTTGAACATCTGTATGACCACTCGTTTGCATGCAAATGGCTAATCTCTTACTTTGGTAAAAAACATTCTGATGAATTCTGACTTAAATTTTGTCACGTCGATTTTAGAACGCTAATACAGTGTGAATTCCCAAGCTTTTTGTTAATAACGTGAAACAAGCCTATGAAACATGTTTTGTTTATTAGAAAAGAAAAAAGGCGGCAAAAAAGGAACGAAGAGATATTTCGGCTATAATTTCGGTCATTGGCCCTGGTACGGACACAGTTTAGGAAATGGTCATGGATACAGTTTTGGACATGGAGTTGGCAACGGCCTCTACCGGTATCCAGCCTTGGGAGTTGGTTTGCCGTATGGTGTTTATGGAAAGTACGTATTGTTAGTGTAGTCAATGTATGATATAGATCTGTGATATTCCTTTTAGTTCAATCTTCATAATGATGTTTTTCATTACAAAATGTTTTTCATTACAAAATTCTAGATAAGTTGAGGTTCAAGAAGTGATTGATATATGCCTTATACGCAGAAAGGCGTTTTCGAAAGTGTAGTCATGTAAAGTAACTTTTATCGTAATTAGCATCCGTTTTTATTGAAGTATATTACGAGAAATACAAATAATAGAATATAAGACTTGATTCTGGTGTTTCTGACGTACTATAGTAAGCTATTTATATCTTTTATTAAACTTTTTCGTTTGTTTAATTATGATATATGTGATAAAACAGTTGGATTAATTTTCATAAGGGATTTACAATCACAATCTCGACATCGCCCTTGCAAACCAAATACCTAATGTGGAACAAGGTACTTGTGCTTCTAATTAAAAAGGTTTTCTCGTCAGTGACATCCTTTCTTTCACACGGTCAATTCATCGATTTCAGACCATACTGGGCAAACTGCGCCGGGAAGCCTGTTTTACAAGGTTGATAAAACAGCAACATCGCACAATTGTTGATGCGTGCAAGCATCCCCAATTTCTTCAAATCTGTTGCTTTAAAATTTTCACTTCTCATATTGCTGTTGCATATAATCGGACTAACTAATATTCAAACTTTTAACCTAAATATCAACATCTAGTCTTCGCTGGCCGTCCCCACTTCCTACAAGACTTCACCATGGAAAACCTGGACCCCCGAAGAAAATGTTACAGGGGCCCCATTTGTAGGAATTTCCATCCCACTCCCAACCACAAGGGCGAGGCCACAATCGAATCTCGCGTCGTATAGGATTCTGTTTATTAGATTTGTTTACTGAACGGACGAGAGGAGGCTGCACTCCTTCGTCTTCATTGTCGTCTTCTTTGTCATCTTCGTCTGGTCGTTGAGGATTCTCAAACATTTGCTGATCTAAATATGAATAGAATTTACCATAAAGTGACCATAAAGTTGTAAAAAAAAAGCTAACGAAAAAAAAGGAGCGAGGAAATGTCTATGGATGTAACTTGGGTCCTTCGGCAGTAATCGAACCCATGCGTCTGGTATCCCAGACTCCTCAGTATTATACATAACTCAGAAACCCGCATCACTTGAACATTTTTACAAAACGTTAATTTTCACCCACTTCGTAGTGATACAATGTTATACAATGTTCTGGAATTTCAGCTGCGTAGGTTCGATTCCCCGCCGAAGGTCTGAATTGCATTTTTAGAAACCTTTCCTGGCAGACCTGGCCCGTCCCTGAACCATAATAGTACTAGAATTAATAGTTCTCCTAGTAAACTATCTGCACGTATTTCTGTATTTTTGGCTCTTCGAAAGGGTCTGGCATCAAACAAGTTATGAGGGGGCTGCAATCTGGTCATGCTGAACCCAGGGAGCTGCTGTATCCTGGTTATGCTGTACCCTGGGTGCTGTACAGGCATTGATTTTTTGTACAGGCACTGGTTATGCTGTACCCTGTCTATGCTGCACCCTCGGTGCTGTATTAGGCAATAGGGTTTACCTTACAAAATGTTTACAAAGTGTTTCAGCAGAAATCTGCTTCAAAGGAAATTAACTGAGTTATTATGGTATACGAGGCAAGACAAACCTGGAGCAATCATAGGATATTGAAAACCATAGTAAGGCATCACGGGAATGACAAAAGGTCCTGTGTATGTCACACTCTCGTCCTTGTTGTCCTTATCATCTTCGCCTGTCTTTTTGGATAGAACTGCGACGAAAGCAGCCCAAAATATGACATTCTTCAGCCAAAAACTTAACCACTCCATTTAAATCAGGTTATATTAAATCTTTAATATCTATTTTCCGACGAGTTACTTGACAGCTAATTGATATACTTGCTACAAGTTATTTCAGATGTAATCGGTGGTTTTTCAAAATTTTAGACTTTTAGACTCAAAGTTTTAATATTTTTTACTAATCACTTTGTCTATTAGAGCAATGCTGTTAAGACTTAATCTGACAGGTAAACTCTTCGCTTCATTAAATTCCGTCTCTTGTTACATACGTACACAAGTAAAAACGACGTCAAAATATATATGTTCAAACTTCAAACTATCAATATGGCGGTCCGAAAAACAGTTTTTACTCACTATGTGCTATTCTTCTTAACTTTGCACACTATTACAACAGAATCGGTCTATCTAAGGAATTCCGGGGATGCAGAAAAGAGGAAATACAACGCGGGTTCCTCCAAGCATAAAACTGTGATCGACCAAAGCAATCCTTGGCCGTTTCTGCCGAGCGCGGGAAGTCACTATGCAAAGACAAAAGGATATCCTAGTTACCCATATATGATTCTTTCACCTCCAGGTAATGAATGAATAACGCGAAATTTTTTTCCATGTTGATCAGGCTGTTTTCAGTGATAACACGACAAACGGACTGGGACTAGATATTGAAAAATATGTCCGAAATTTTCGTTATATTTTAAAAAATACACAGAGAAAAAGTACATAGATTTTCATCTAAAATCTAATTTATATTGCATTATCTAAAACAATAATCCCCCCATCGATGCAAACTGAGATAAGCTCTCTAAGAAGCAGCGCTTCTGCTTCGAAAGATGTAGCTATGGTACACACGGAAGCTGACGATTTTTATAATTTCAATTAGATCTTCAGAAGAAAAAAAAAGATTTACACGACGAAAAAGGAAGCAAATATTTCACGAGCAGACGTCAGTACGTGCCAGTGCCATATCAACAACAACAACAAGCTATCGTTGGTTATGTTCCAATATATTACACCATACCTCAATATCAGTATGCGCAATATCAAACATTGTATCCTAGTTTATACCAACTTGATGCTGGAAGTGGAGTGGGCCAACAGTATTTAGGACAAATGGTTGGTTATGGCAACCAGTATCCTATAATACAAAACCCTTTCCTACTTTCTAAAAGGTATTTATTTTTCAATTTGATGCTTAGGCACTACACCTATGCTTAGGCACTACATCAACATCAAAGAAGATTTCTAATGGGCACACCATTCTTTGGCTATAATCTCGACATGAAATGTTGTATAATCTATGGCCATTTCCCCAAGTTTATGCATAATTAAACGTATAATAATTGTTAAGTTAATAAGTTAATAATCTAATAATAAAGTAATAAGTAATAATTGTAAGTTGGACAATATTGTTATTGCCTCCTTACCTCTATTTCAGCATTTCACGCCTAGCTGATACACTATCTCTGAACCATACACTATCGTTAGTTAAATATATAGGTTCATAGTGGCCATTTTAACTTGGTGTCGATAACGGTGGAGCGATTGTTTTAAGACATCTATAGAATTGAACATAATACGTACGTTCTCTTTACTATAGCTAACACTAGGAATAACCGTCTTTCATTTTAGATCCAAGGCCAAGAAGCCACGTGACAAGAACCTTCCAATGAAAAGACAGTTCGTTCCCCGTCATCACTGGTCTTTTAGCCAGTGGCCATTTGACTCTCACGAGTACGCTTTCACAAAAGACCCATTTTATTCGTCAAATGGCCGTCACCTTCCAAGATGGGGACCCATCGAATGGGGTGGGGCCGGACCTTGGCGACATTGGGCTATCAATAGAGAGGGGCTGCCTTCTCCATTCGGAATAGGACTTGCCCCCCATATGGGCGGCCAAGGATACATTGGACTCGCGGGACGATGGCCACACGGGCATGGCTATCCTCTCCCTACTCACTTCCCCACACCCGCCCATCTACAGCATTTACTTCCATGAGGGACTAAAATGTTTCTTTACTTCTAAAGCATAGAAACTTTTTAGTGACCCTTTCTAGTCGACACATGTCCATTTAGTGAATGGAAAATAAAAAAAAACTATTAGCTATGAACTGTGGTAGGATGGTATAGGATCACTAAATAGGCAGTGAACTAGCAAAGAGCGGTTTAAGTACAAAGGTCGTGAAATATTTGTAATACTTGACCTCAACTAAAAAGAAACCACGTTTACCTCGAATGAAGAAGACACACAAAGGGATGTCATCGAATTAAAAAGCAATCTTGAATCTTGAAGCATAGAGGAATTCAAGGCTTTTAATAAAGTCCTTTATAGTAAATTGAATAAATCGAAGTGCTTCAACGTCCCTGAATTTTTCTGTATTTAATTTATTTGGATGCATTACATTTTCAGATATTTATTCAGCATGTATTAGGATTTGCCGGGCTGATTAAGGAGTAACTTGCATTCTTACTTCAGTACGAAGTTAGAGTGAACGACCGGCGAGGAGCATGCATACATGACAGATCATGTAACTAATATATTATGCAGATATTGACCTATACTGACAGTTCTCCATCTAATCTATTATCTATATATTTTGCTTTTTTGGTACTAAAAAATTGTCACTTTTATAAGAAAATAAATATCTAGGTTTTTCTTCCTAGAACAAAAATAAATTTTATTGCGTCTGGAATAGAACCATGGATTCTTTTCATTTCTACGCCAGTGTATCTACGTTAAACATTTGAAAAATAATTCAATAGAGGTTATAGAGCAACCTCTTTTTACAATTAATATATTATACATATACAAATATTTGTGCTTGTTTACATTTTTAGAATGACGTTGTGACCTTTAATTTCGTCTTTATTATATACGCCATACTTACAACAAACTTATCTGTTCATGTTGTGTTTATCCATCTGAGGATAATTCGAACCTTACGGTAAATTTACTTCCACTACTGACCGTAACGTCGTAGTATATAAAGTTAATGCGTGTGAGTTCATGTCTAGCGCAACTAGAAATAGCACAAAGCAAAACCAAAATAAAGGGCGTTAGCCGGTTTGCCGTTTGCGCATTGGCCAAACACTGAAATAATCCTAGTTCAAAAATAAGGAACTACAAACTGATCTACTATACTCTGGATGACAAAGGAAAGTCAAAATGGAAATGTTCGATCGTATATATGACTGGTCTATTGTATTCACATTTGTATCGCTTCTACATGTGCGTCTAAAGAACCTGTAACATTCCTCTGTTAGAATCAACAACCAGAAATTTGAACTACACGCTTCATTACACTTGTCGTAAACGAAAGCTGTTTTTATTGAAGTAAATTGAAAATAGCTTTATGGTTTTTTATTTCTCTTCAGCATCTCGTGTAATTGCGTCTCTACGTTTTCTTTATGGCTGTACGATGTGATATGTGGTTCTGAACGTTGGCAATGAAAGGATTTAGGAAGTGGTTAAGATTGTCCATTTTAGTTGTGTTATTTCAACTATGGTTGGGTCAAGGTCTTCCTGTTCAAACTCTACATAAGCGAAAGGGTAAGACATAGAGTCATCATGCGAAGGCGCTACTTAAAATCGTCGAGTCACCCTCGTTTTAAATCAGACAAAATGATGATGATTTCTTTGTTGACTATTTGACACGAACGAGTGACTCGCCACCCGGCGAGGGATCTTGTTAATGTCACATTTCCTGCCTATTTCGTCAACAGGACGTACATCTTTTGATACATCTCCTATTTGATAAATTAAACACATCAAAAAAGTTATCAATGTGTACAAAGGAGCCTCTATCACAAAGCATTAGGCAAACCTGGAAAAGGTTAACACAGAAAGTTGGCTGTGACCTTTGACTGTTTAACGATTAACGGCTTACAAAACACGAGAGAGCATAGATACATAAACAAACTACATGTAATTCCAGATCACCTTTGGGGAAATAATTGCAGAGTACTGAGTATCTGCTAAAAAATATCAGGTCATCTTTAAACTTGTGTCTTCATTCTTAAGGCCTATCAAAGATTTCCAAAAGCCAGAAAAATCCAGGGGAAGAAGACAAAGCTCGTTCCTACATCAAACAAGGCACCATTCCTTGGTCAAAAGCGAAGCTGGCTAAACCCCTTAATCAAAATGCTTCGTCACGAACAATGACTTCAAATGACTTTGCAGATATGGTGAGAATGTTCTCGTCTCCGGTAACAGCCCCTTTAATAACGGCGCCTATGAGTGACACCCTTTTGCCGCCTAGCCCGATTGAAGCTCCTAATTCGCTTCCAAACATGCGTTGTATTTCAAGCTCTTATGGTTCAGAGTTGTGCCTCCCAGAGGTTTCAATGAACAGCAATCACCCACCTTGCTCACTTGATAATGATAATCCACACCCAGGCCTCGGACCCTGTGGGTTCCCAGGTACTGGAATCCCAGGTTTTCATCCTCAGTATCCGCTTGGCAGCAGATGGAAAATGACTAAGACGGGATATGTTGCAGATATGATGAAGCAATGCTTGCAGGGCCCGTTAAGTAAGTACTATAATCCACGTGAGTGACATATGACAGAAATATCTAAATTTTAAGTACCATCAACTTTTGAAATGATGAGAAAAGTGTCTTTTGTGAAAGTGTACTTCTTCGCCAGTTTCAGCTTAACCCTTAACTCATCCGCGTCGGCGATTTTTTGTGTGAACGAGTGATTAGTTACAAATGCTCTGATGAATAAGAGCTCTTGTTGGTGCATGCGTAACTCACTCGTTTACATCTATCAAAAGAAGAAAATCGCAAGTAAAAATGCAGCAAAAATAGGAATATGCCTTTCTGGCCTTCTTTCCAGTTATTAGTAAATTTTCTCTCTTTTCTTTAAGGGGAAGGCTGCAGTCCTTGGGGATGTGACTGGTTTGGAAATTTCTTTGATGATGATAAGAAAGGTGGTGGAGGAGGTGGTGCCGGTGGAGGGGGTGCAGGCGGAGGAGGTGCAGGCGGAGGAGGCGCAGGCGGAGGTGCAGGCGGAGGTGCAGGCGGGGGGGCAGGCGGGGCTGCTGGCGGAGGTGCCGGTGGGGGTGCTGGCGGAGGTGCTGGCGGTGGTGCCGGCGGTGGTGCTGGTGGAGGAGGTGCAGGCGGAGGAGGTGCTGGCGGAGGAGGTGCAGGCGGAGGAGGTGCCGGTGGAGGAGGTGCAGGAGGAGGAGGTGCAGGCGGAGGAGGTGCAGGCGGAGGAGGTGCCGGTGGAGGAGGTGCAGGAGGAGGAGGTGCAGGCGGGGGAGGTGCCGGAGGAGGAGGTGCGGGTGGAGGAGGTGCCGGTGGAGGAGGTGCCGGCGGAGGAGGAGGTATAGTGTATAATTTCATTGTTGCTGCTTGAAATAGCAATGATAAAGAATAGTTATAAAAATCGCAATTCCCGACAACAAAGGCTGTCATTTCCCTCACAATTGACTGAAAAAATTAAAAACACGTCAAGCTTCTCCTGATTGCTTCATTTCAATTAGTTGTAGCAAAAAAAAAGACAGTTATCATAAAATACTGTAGCTATATTAATTCTTCGTAAATGAAATATAAATATATTGCAACAAGGAAGAAGCCAGTATCCACCGACCTCTGTGAAGAGTATATACATTTATATTAATGTATAAATTAAAAGTTGTAACAATAAGTACTTCTCTTTGTTTTCAGGTTTTGGAGGCGGCGGAGGTGGTGGACGTCCATTTTCATATTCCGATCCTTCCCGAAATTGGCGATTTCCGATCGGGGGATTAAATTCATTTCCGAACCCAAGCAATGGCCGGCGCAGAAGCCTGGATAGTGTTTGTAGCGAACTTCGCAGACAATTTGTACAAAGTAACAACAACATTGGCGGCCCAGAAAGCAACAAAATATTTGAAGACCTGAAGAACTTTCCCTTACAACTTCCTAATATGCCAGGGACAGGTAGCTTTGAAAATCTCCCAAATTTGATTAACAATCCCTTGCTGTCACCTAATTTTGCCGCGAGCAAAAGTGTCGAGAATTTTGAAAAAACAACCGACAATAACCTATTGTCACCAGACTTTTCTGCCAGCAACAATTTTGATGGCGATAATGCGCTTTTTGGTGGAGGAAATAATCTTGATATTCTAAAGAACGACGTAGGGGACTCGAATAATATAATGAGCAGTGCTTTTAATTCACGAAACCCGCCGGGAAATAACAATGGATTAATTCCGAATAGCAGAAATTTACAGCTTGCAAAGGGCAACAATTTTAACCCGTTTAAAGATAATATTGACCAAAAAGATGGACCTATAGAAAATTCAATGATGTCTTCAACTTTTCCGGGCGGTGATGGTGGAGGAATGCCACAGATCGACCAGTCAAGATTTTATGCGTCAAATGATGACATGTTCGGGCAATATGATTCGACGTCAAATTATGATTATCCAAATTCGTATTATGATAACAATGGCGCAAGTAGATCCTGGATGATGGAGAGTTATTCGGATTATACTGGATATCGACGGTTTGTATTTTTCCGTTATGTGAAGTTTTTCTTTTTGTTTTCCGTCAAGATTTCTATGACAGTTTAAAACATTTTACGCCGAATGTCTTGTTAATCTTTAAAAGTAATAATCGCCGAACATCTTCCTATAAGAATCTCCCAATCGGGTCTTTGTTTAAAGGTCTGTCTAACTTGGATCCAATTCACTTCTGACGTATGGAATATAGTCTGTTATTGATAAAACCGTACTGCATTGGCTTCAGTGCATTTGCTGCCCATAAACAACATAAGACAACAGACTATAAAACATCCAGACTCTTTGAAGTACTTCGCGGAGAAAGCTCTTAAGCGCGCGGAGAAGTACTTTAAAGAGACTGGGAACGAGGCTGTATGTAGACGTTATTTTAACAAATTTAGAAGTTCAAAGTGCAAACAAAGCATTCGTTTATATTGCTGACAGAAAACGCGGGCGTTATTTGCAAGTGCATTCCTGTGGAATGAGCTTAATATGTAAAGTTATGTTTATTTAGGCCTAGGACCCTGAATAATAGATTAATCCTACTCAAGAACAATATTCCTTATTCCCCTTATTCCTGTAAATAAGGCTTTGAAAAGTACTTTAGTAGTAAATTTCTTCGCATCACTTATCCAGCTTATACGTCCTTCTGTTTAGGGCTGGGATGGCCGTTAGGAGTAAGAACAAAAATTCAACTCATGACAAAGAGGCTCATAGCAAATCGAAGATGATAATGGCCGTCCCTCATCCAGACAAAAACTGGCGCCACAAAAACGGTGTTTGGTATTACGTGAAGGAAAAAAAGAAATTGCACAAAGGTGACTACAACGGCAGGTTTTTACTACCGACTATAACAAAATGGAAACACTCTAGCAAGAATCTTGTTAAGCCGAATACAAATAAAAAGAAACATAATGATAATAAAACGTCTTAGTAAAACTAGACAGCTGACTTTAGTAATAGAGGTGACAGGGTCCGGAGGGAGCATCGACCTCTGCGTTGAGTTTCGTAGAGCGTCTTGTAATTCCTAGGCTTAGATTGGTAACGGCACGAATTTTAAGACTGCTTTTTCATGATTTCATGGCAAGAGAGACTAGAGAGTGTCCATGCATGCAGAAGAGCTGTACTCCTGATCTAGCTTTGCTAGGCATGTCTTAAAATATGGGTAGAAGAATCTTTAGTTTGATTCACACAAAAGCTAAAAAAAGTCTAAAAAATGAAATTGTTAGCTTTTTAAAATAACTCAGCAAAGTACAAATTAAATTATTTGGTACATGCAGTGCGTACAGTTAATTAAATTAGCCCGTGCGGAAAGACTGATTGTAAATATATATAGTTGAAAAAAAAGATAATAAAAATAATAAAATTCAAGCTGAATTAAACCATTTTTTTATAAAATACATACGTTAATCAATACATTAGTCTAAAGGTCAGTTTAAACAGTGATCCTCGCTGGAACTATGCTTAAATCCTAGATTTGAAACTGGAATTGTGTTTGAAACAGGATGTCTATATATACACAAGCGCACTGGGGCCAGTTGTTCAAAGCTAGGTTAGCGCTAACCCCGGGTTAAATTTTAATCCAGTGTTTTAGTTTATGTGCTTCTGAACCAGTGTTCATTTTATAACTTTAGAAAATGTGACGTCTATCGGTCTAGAAAACAGTTAAATAGAAAAGATATTCAACTTTGTAAACAAGCGATTAAAAAAAATCAATGTATAGAGATTTGCTTTAATCGATGGTTACGCTAACCGCCTGTTGAACAACCGGCCCCTGATTTTAAACTTTTCTCTCACCCTGATATTCATTACAAACCATTTAAGACCTTAAACTAAACTGTGATAACATAAGATTTCACACTGCATGTAAACGGATCTAAGGCTATCACTATCAGGCTGTTCTTGGCCCGGTTTGGATGAACTTTTTACTTTTTATTTTTCGTTTTTACATTTTTATTATTGACAGGTTAAATCACCATGTTTGATTCACCAGACGATTATCTCTGGTGGTTGTTAAAACAGACGAAGCTACAATGGAGAAACGATTAAAGATCAATCGGTTCCTTCCTTGCGTGTAGATCGCTTGAATAATCTTACCCGTAAGCTTTGAAAATATTTTTGTTTATAACTACCGGTTAAACTATCAACCACCTGAAGAAAGTCGCAACATTTCTTTCTATCTCTAAAGTATTGTGTTGGCGATTATCTTTCAAAAATAATCGTCACAAACTAAAACGATATAACTGAATAACTAAACTAAATTCTAACCATAACAATCCTTAAACAGAATTGTTTAACACAAATCCATTTTCGATGAAGACTTGAGTTGCGTCAATATGAATTCGATTTATTCGGGTTTTGTTTTGTTTATATTGGTCGTGGTCTGTTCTAGTGTTCCTGTACCTCGGAACCCAACTGACGCGACGAAGGATTCCGTGGAGAGTTCTTTAAGAAAGGACGTTGTGGAGACAAAACCTGCAGAAACACGTCCCAGCGTCCCCATCACGTTTGCTGGACGTGGCCAAGGTAAGCGCCACGGTGTGTCTGTAAAATTATAATAACTTACCTTTTCTGATCTGATACATCAAGCCGTTGTGAAGATAGCACTGGATGTCCACCACCGGACGCAGAATGTTTTCTGTTAATTTAAAGACCAAAAGCTTTAAAATCACAGACGCAAACCTCATCAGCATTATGACACAGTAATTAATGGAACCATTTTTTCAAGTCTGAACTTTGAAGAGTTGTAGTAACAGTTTGGTCGCCTGCAATGTATTGTATTCCTATATTGATAAACTTCTGCCGTCGAATGCATATGCTCTGCATGTATGCTTTCGTTAATTGACTCCATAAGTCGCTTTGGATTAACAAAGTTAAATTGTATACGATTAGTATATCAGTTTGAAAGTACACCATGTATATTTATCACTGCTTTCGGCAAAAACCCAAAAGTTTTGGGGTAAAAAAATATACGTGGTGCATATACCCTCAATCTAGTCGTTATATGGCAATGTTCTCTTAGGTCTCGTTGAGATTGAATACGACTTGTGGCGAAAACACGTTCCGGGTTGACATGATTAGTATTTTATAGTGTGTAGATCGTCGAAACTAAAGGCAAATATTTCCTTTTAGATGTCAAGAGATCGTTTAAAAACGGCAAACTACAGCCTCCTACAAACATAAAGGGAACGAGAAGACAAGAAATAGATATGGACGAGACCGAGGAACAAAGTGATGTAGATCAAGAGAGGGACGATGACGAAGATACTACGAAGCTCAGCGATGATAGTTCAATGAATGCAGAGTCTGACTCAAAATTTACCGAAGATGACGGAAGCATGACGGACGATACCTCATCCAGACCGATGGTAAAAGTCGATGAACCCGAGGTTAAAAAGTTAAAGGGTGATGAGAGTTTGGAAGGAGACGATGGAATGAAATCGGAAGAAATAGCAAGTTATAGCAACGATCTAGAACGGGAGATGAACGACGTGAGTGTTGATGGTAGCTCCGATGTGACAAAGAGTTTTTTGAATGACGAGGAAAAGACAGCATCTCTTGACGACAGTAAGTAATTGTTTAGTAACTGTTTTCGTCCGTATATTTGTCTAAAAACGCTTTCTAATATCATTTCCTGCAGAATGCGATACCAAGAAAAAAACTCTTTTAGTCAGAGTATAACATAGGCAGCTTGCATATTTCAAATCCTTGCCTATTTATTTTCTTTCTATGCAGAAAGTAAAAATTACGAAAATTCGAATATCGACAAATCTAGAAGTGAAGATGCTGGTAGTAATGATCATATTGAATCTGGAAGTGACAGTAGCAATGAAGGTGCAAGCGACAATGGCGATATTAGCAACGCTGACAGCCATAGTGTCGATGATAGTAATGGTGACGGTGCAAGAAACGATGAGGATTCTAGTATTAGCAATGGAGAAGGCAGTGAAGCTACCAACACTGACAGTGACGATGAGACAAATACTCATAGTGACTCTAGCAATGATGGCACATCCAATGAGAATGATGGTGCTTCAAATATCCATGATGATGATTCCGCAGTCAAAGATGCCGATGAGTCAGCAAAAGATAGCAATAGTGATTTAATGGGCAAAGCTGATGACACCACTGCCAGTAAACCAGACACCAGTAACCATGAAGATTCAAGTCAGTTTGACAAAGACTCTAATGACCTGACAGAGACTGACAGTGGGGCAAACAGTGCACCTGTTAATGACGATAATGTCGCAAGTGATAATGATGGTAGTAGCAATAAAATTTCTGAGTCAACAAATGATGACGATACTTCTAATGAAATTAAGCTTGAAGGTAAAACTCCGTCTAAAACTACTAGTGGTAGTGAGAATTCAAACAGTAAAAGTACCAATAGTTTTGATGGTAACATAAACTCGGAAAGGCAGGACACTACAGGTCATTTTAATGATGAAAGCTCCAGCGACGCTGATTACGATTCAGCTGGCTTGGATGATGACAGTAATAGTTCCCCAGAACCTAAAGGATCGGGTGGTAGTGAAGACATTGCGAGTAGTTCGAACATTGCAGATAATGTTGAATCAGACAATAGTGATTCGAACGGTAAAAATATCGATGGTGGCAACAATTCAGACAGTGGAAATACCATTTCTTCAAAAAATGGCGACGAAAAATTTGAAGACGAAAATATGGATGAATATGAAGGTTCCAATAATTCTGATACTGAAGACAGCAGCGCCACAGATGCTAGTAATACTGCTAGTACCAACAATTTTGATACCAGCAATTCTGAAAGTTCTAGCGCATCAGATGGTGGAAGTACTTCTGACGGCGACAGTCCTAACTCGTATGATGGTTCTTCTGAATTTGACAGTAAGAATGGCAATGACTTAGATACCAGTTATTCAGACAGTGGGAGTTCTAGTATATCCGATGGCAGCGATGGTGGCAGTACTAAGTTCGAGGATGCCAATGATTCTGACAGTGACATTGCCACCACTGATCATGATGAATCAGGAGAAATTTTAGGCAGCCATGACTCGGGCAAGACACCTGAGACAGTTGAACCTAACAAAATTATTAACAGTTTATCATCGGAAAACCGAGAGATAGCAGAGGGGGTTGGAGATCCTTTAGAAAATGAGGCTGACGATGACGTGGTTAGTGATCAGACCCCGACTGAGGAAGATGGCCGCGACGACGAAGATGAGGCTATGACTAAGACTTCGGCTGGTAGTGCTACTCAGGTTGAAAACAATAGTGCTACTCAGACCAATAATAATATAGCTCCTGGAAGTACAGATGGTCAGACAACGAGCCAGTTAGCTGGAGATAAGCCAACACAAGCAGTCGAAGTACCAAGCATTCCCAAAACAAATCCTTCAGAAGTCTCTGACGAGGCTATACATGACCCAATAAAGTCACCAGCAAGTAATACCAAGACAACTCCTTCGAAGCAATCAAGTAGTGATAAGGATGATGATTATTTCGATGAAGAGGATAAAGAAGATGAGGAAAATTATAAAGATGAAAATGGCAGCACAGCCGAGACTAATAGTGACACTCCCACCTCTCCTGTTCAAAGTGACTCTGCAACAGTTGATGTGAAACCTACCACTAATATAACCCCTCCTGCTCCTGCCCCCTCCACATCATCTATGGACGATTCCACTTCTAATGAAGAGCAAACCCCGACTTCACCATCTGAATCGGGCCAAAGTGTAGACGACACGTCCTCCTCTATTGAAAATGAAGACCTTGAGATGAAAGACGAGACAACAGAACCAACCACTCTCCATATAAGTTCCACCCAGAATTCGGAAGACACCTTAACTTCTCCAAAGATAACGCCGCCAAATCTCCCCCTTGCGTCACTGGAAGATTCGACTTCTACTACAGAACATCCCCCCACATCCCAATTTACCTCTGAATCTTCACAAAGTGTGGATGACTCCCCGGCTCAAAGCGAGATCTCGGGTAATGATGATGATTCCCAGTCGAGTTCCACCGAATCTCAAACCACTCAAACAACAAAGCAAGGAGACTCGTCTGCGAATGACGGCGCAGGAACGAATGTGGAGGTCAGCGAATCAGAACCGAGCGTTGTAAACGAGAACATGGGGGATGATGATGATGAAGAAGAAGATGATGAAGACGATGGGGATGATGCTGATAAAACTAACGATGATGCTAATACTAACGGTGATGATGGTGATGAAGGCGAAGGTACTCACTACGTCATTCAATGATGTTTGATATAATATGTCTAAATTATCACCGATCATCGTCGATAGTTAAATGTTGAGGCACTTTGAGGGCAGAATGTTGGCTTTAATTGGCCACCATGTTTGAAGCCTGTCAGCATGTCTAAACGTGAAACCACGACAATCTATTGAGGAATCCCGCGGGCAGTGCACTGAGATAACTAATTTGCAAAGTGTTTGTGTTTCAGCGTTGTACGGCCTAAAGCACATGCATCCCCTGGATGTGAAATTGATAGATGATATTGATGAGAGATTTGATGACGCTGAGGCACGAAGCAAGATACATCTGAGGCGTAATTACAAGAATTTACGAGGCACGAAACGAACGCTGCATACCAAACATTTAATAGGCCTGAGTCCTAGCGGGGGAGCCATGGGGTACGGTGGACATGGATTGGGTAAGTTGGGTTTCTTGAATCGATAGTAAATCTTTACGAAGCGTCTAGAGAGCCACTTTGAAAAATTCTTAGAAAATTATCAAAAATGATCGTATTACGCTTCGTTATTTAAAGAAAAACCCGCTCTGTATTGTCTATCCGCAAACTAGACAGGCTCATTCAGTTGAACCATACAAAACACTAAAATAAGGCTTTAAGTAGAATTGTCATGTTACATACTCATTTCATTACTTTAAAGTCGGAACACGCTTCGTTTAACAGTACGAATGACAGGCTCTGCTCAAGGAAGAACAGACTAAAACATGCACAGTCATCCGATTATATAGTTATAATTATGGCATATATCATATATTTTCTAGGCGTGCCTGGAGTGGGTCCGTATGGTTTTGTAGGGACAAACGTTCCCGGGTTTCCAACGGGATATCCTCTTGGTACCAAGTGGAAAATGACAGACCATGGTTATGTTTTGGATCATTCAGGGTTTCAACATCCCTTGTCACCTCACTCTGGTGAGTTAGTAAACACTCTACTACAGTTAGGTTGACAATTTGTTGTCTGTTGAGAGAAATTTCATCAAAGTCGAGTGAGCTCTTACCGTTGAGCAATAAATTAACTGGAAGGCTAAATACGTGAATTGGACGGAAACATTGCCCATTAGGTTTTCAGATTCATGTGCAAATATTCTTGGCATTTAGCGCTGCTCTTTATATTATATTGAAGTGTTGGAAACTCTATTTCGTATAAGAGTTGTAAGACTAAACGTTGAATACATTAACACTTACCGATATTTTTCTGATTGTTTGCTGATTAATTTTTGCTAAAGCTTTGAAACTTCCACATCAACTAGTAATTCCATTAGCTTTGGGCAAAACAGGCAATATAGGTCACTTGGCTCCAGCTGCGTTAGAGTTCATTGACACTTACTGAGCGACATCGTATAACCTCCCATCCTACTTGACCAAACAGATTTTTGTTTTCCAGCTTGTCTTTGCGGTCCACTTGGCTGCATGTGTCACCCTTTTCCTGACAATGTTAAGGGCAAGAGGCGTAGCAAAGAAACACACAAGGTACATAGTGCTAAGACAAAGGCTGTAAAAGAACAGCCTGGTCTGAAGAGAGCAAGTATATGCAAATGTGGTGCACTGGGATGTGGATGTGCCCCACTCCCCGACCAGGAGACTGGGTCAAAACGAGAGGACGCGCCTGCAACGTCGCCACATCCAATTGACCTTGCTATCGGTTGGCCCTTCGGGTATGGACCAAGTTTTGGTTGGGGACCTGGGGTTGGGTAAGTCTAATCCTTGAATACAATGTCAGTTTTCATTATAGATTATAGTGGTCTGGAAAATGTAGATTACTCTGCATGACCCACAGTAGATATTATTTTGCAATGCTTGCACTAGTAATCCTCGTCTCTAGGATCATTCTCGGCGTAGTTCAGCATGTTACGAGTTTTCTCTCTCTTCTTTATAGACCCCCACTAAAGCCTCTGTGTCCTCTTGGTAAACGAGATAAAACAAAGAAGACTGGTTCTAAGTCACACAAACGTTGCATAGATTCTTACACACCAAATATGGCCAATAGCTTCGCTGCTGAGCCATTCATGGGATGGCCTTTTGGACTTCATAGCAACATTGGTTTCGGCTGGCCTTTCTCGGGATGGTGAGGGATTTTGTATGAATCCTTAGGACTAACTATAATTACACTAGCAAGCTAGCTGAGTTCCAACTTTAGGATTAGCTATATTTCACTCACAACTTCTCGAGTAGTTCCCATTTTTTCCATCACCTGAAAATCCAAGTGTCCAACGTAGGAAAAGGATATTACGAAATTTATGATTCAAAGTTTACGAGTAAACCAAGGCTTTTAGTAAAACCATGAGGTAGGAGAAAACATGGACTGAACTCGCTGTATTCGGTTGCTGGATGGTTTGAAGTTTCGAACTATTTCCCAAAGAATTTTTTTTTCAATAGCTCCGGTGGAGGCTGCACTCTTGGTGGTCAAACCTATATCAATAACTCAGGACGATAGCCTGGAAGGCTGTCAGATAATTTTCAGTAAGTACGATATTTATATTATATACTGTGGTATGGACAGGGTCCTGATTCCAAGGGGAGGGGACCGGAGCAATTTAAAAAAAATTGAAATTCAGAGTCTATTGATAGCGATTTCTTGCGTTCTTGGGAGAAAATTCCTCTCAATTGTGAAATGTGAAACTACCAACATTATCTGAGAACAAGCGTTTGCAACCCTATGTTAACGAAACTAATTACTTTAAATTATAGAATCTGTTTAAATTACTAAAATTCTTAAATATGTTTTTAATGTATTCAAGGCAACAGACTGCTGAACTATATAGAATGGTCTTAACCAATAAACAAAGAACAGTCGGACTTCAGCGCCAGTACGATGATTGCCATTAACTGTTTAAACATTAAACGTTAGTTTAAAACTATTTTTTATGTTTACCATGTAAAACATAGCCGGAAAATATACGTTACATTAACTTTGTCATATACAACTAAGTTTTTATTAAAAGAAAAATACAATTTTGTAAACTTGTTTGTTCATAACTTGTTCATGCCGCTAATAAGTTTCGGTCTAGAGTAATCATAAACCACTGAAGTAACTTAACCCGGAGTTTACTCGCACAGCCGGTCAATGAGAAACGATAAATGAGTGTAAGTAATCTCATCATGCCTAATTGCTCTTTTGTCTTGAATTTCATATTGGCTCTGGAGTAAATGCATGTGAGTCCTCCTTTACACCTTTTTGCAACTGTTTTAACACCGAAACATAAATAGTGCATTCATTAATTGTTAAACCGAGAGTAACATACAGCATGAGTTTAGCCGTAAAAGTTTTGTCCCGGCGTTTAGCTGTGAATGTATTGTACAGCAAAAACATAAGGTTAATCACCAGTAAGTTGTTCAATATATATTATTATTGGCGAATCACTATTATCATCAGTGACTATAACACTACTATCATTTCACCATTATTTTTTTTGCTATTCACTAGTATCATTGGCTAATCAATATTACCATTAGCAAATTAACAAATACATAACATTGAACCGTTGTCTGTTCAGTTATAGATACACGGTATGACGTCATTTGTGATCAGAACAAAACAAAACAAAAAAAATCCGAAATTAAACAGGCAAATAGTTTCCCCAACACTTGAAAAATTGACAAAGTAGAAATTTTGCAGATATCACGTTTACGTGTTCTACAGGATTGAGGAATGCTATTGGCTAGCTTAAGACACGTGCTAAAATGTGATTGGCTGACAAAATAAAACAAGAGATGACTAAATTCGTTAAAATTATCTGTGAGGTCATTCCTACGTCTGTCCTTTTATAAATCATGGCTCTCGACCAATGAAATTGCTAGAATTCTTAACGTAATTATATAATCACTTTTATAAGCTAATGACTATTCAATACTACCATGTGTAAGATGATCACTTTAATTAATGATATGTACTGATGTCTTAAGCCATCACTATGTGTCAAAATTTTAAAATATTTTTCCATGCTTTTGAATATGATCTAAAGTTTGAATTCCTGACGTATCGTTTCGACTTTTTAGCGTTTTTCCCTATTTTTTCTTCCTCAGGACATTTTGCGAGTTTGATATAAGACGGGTCTTTTTCAGCATCCGGGTCTTTAGGTTGTTCCCCAAATGGGTCACATGGCCAGGGTATCCCCGTGACACGATCGTAAATCATCGGATAGTGACCGGCACGTGCTACCTTGTAAGGGGGCATTTTTAAAGAGTCTTCATCTAAAACAAATTGATAGAGTTTGCCTTAATGTGAATCGACCCCACGAAGGAAGGACTTTTTGTTTTTGAGGGTAGATTTCCAGTTACCAAATCTCATGCCATTATTCCACATTACCTCTTATCGACTTTCATCGTTCATTTTTTTCCTAATAATGCACACAATAGACCTTTTCGGTAATTACGTCACAACATTTTAATATCACAACGTTTTGAATTTAAAACCACCTGAAATGAAATAGATTTTAAGTTTTACTCTCACGAGCCACGTGCAAAGATGCAAAACATCCTTGTTCAACACATGCATGAAAAAGATTTTTTTTGTTTTGAAAAATAAATGTGGAAATAAGCCATAACACGAGAACGAGGCTGAGGGATCAAGACCACTTATTTCCATACTTATTAGTCAAAATGAAAAATTTTTTTCCATGCACTGGAAGAATATTTTGTGGCTGTAAATTTAAAATGTTGTGATGTTATTACCGAAAAGCTCCATTGACTACGAGCAACAATAAGGGCAACAATAAGCGAGCAGCTGACTGAGTAACCATTCTATAGAGCAAAGGTAGTAAATCTCATACGCCAAGAGGAGAAATCGGATCCAACCAATCAGATCTTGAAAAAGGTATTCTAATGCACGATAGAATATTGATACACACATAAGTCCAGCGTGGTTTTAAACTTGAAAATGTACTGATCCAAACTATCAAAATGTACTGATAGCAGAAAGAATTGGCCATTTCAATGCAGACGAATAGAAATTTAAATCGCATAGGAAATCTCAACTCGGCCATTTCAGTTATTCTAAGTGACTTATGCAGTACTGCATCGTTAGTTCATTCATATTCGATATCTGCTGTATACTTGTATTTGCAGTTTATTTTTATTGTTATTGTTGTTATACTGTTATATTTTTTATTCCTTACTTTTTTTGTATAATTTCATATCGGGAAAAAAATTTTGAATTGAAACTATAATATATAATATTGGGTTTCACAAATTAAAACTACTTCTCTATTACCATTTGCGACGTCCGCTAAAGTCAGTTTCGGGAGACCAAGTTGAACTAGGAGGAAAATGAAATACCAAGTTTTTATCATCGCGGCATATTGACAGACGAAGTAAGAATCTAGAAAGCGGAACATGTTTGTGTGAAAAATTCTTTACCTGCGATGAAATCAAACGCTTCACTTGAGTCAAAGATAATGTTGCAATATTAAACATTGACGTCGAACAATCAGTGAAAGATGTATGCATCATGTCGATTGTATGATATAAAGAGAAATGTTTTACGATGAAATGCTGATAAATATCTTGTTAAACCTAATCGTCTTTTTCCTTCCTCGTTTAACTTGTCAAGGTATAGTATGTACTTGAAAAGTTTAGAATTAAAAACTCTCCTTTCATACTTTGCCCTTAAGGCCTGGAGTTATACGTCGCATTTTGGTCGCGTCGAACGCAATTCGAACAATAGATAATGAGATGATAATTAATCATCTCATTATTTATTGTTTGAATTGCATTCGACGCGACCAAAATGCGACGTATATCAAGAACTTTAAAGACCTCAGAGAGAGCCTCAGACTAAAAGATTTAAGAGCTAATTTAATAATGACACCTGTATGTCTTCAATAAAGTTCTATAAAGCATGTAACACCAGTGTCGAAAACCTAATTTTGCATATTTTTTCTACAGAGCTTGAGATTATCGGGAAGAACAGCATGTTGTATGATCCAGTTAACAACCTTCCGTATCCCTGCGATTCTGAAGCCAAACCAAAGATAAGCAAACATTTGAACCGTGTGAACAGACGTTCTTTTGAAGGAAATGGGTTAAGAAGAGTTCTTGTAAAACGGGCAGATGGCGACAGCATTCCGATCAAACTACAGCCGTGTCCATTTCCTAATAGCACTCAAGAACATCGCTGGGAGAAAAGTACGTTATGATATTGGGTCAGGAAAAGAATTCTACTTTTAAGAGATGTGACCATCACAAGTTGCACGAAAAATTGCACCGTTTATCAGGACCTTAATACAAGTTCGAGATTGATGGCGTGCCTATAAGTTATGGGTGGCATTTCAGTTATAAAATAATTCTTTTTCCATATTGTTCATTGTTGGCTTTAGCAGTACGTTCATATTAAGTTTTCAGAATTTTGAGAACTACATTCTTTATTGTGCTGTTGTCTGCTACCGAATCCCTCACTCACTAACTCCCATATTGCTATTATTGTCCCATATATATTCGAATAAATGTCAATCATTATATTAGTATTCACTATTAACTAGCTCAATACTACACCATTCAAGGGTGTCTCAAAAAAAACGAAAACCATTGAAATCACCCATAATAATGTAATTGTTAGAGTTTGAATGCCTAAGCACTCTGTTTGGACCCACAAATGTATAAATGTTTGCCATAAGCATTTTTATGCATGATGCAGTAAATTTGTTTGCACATAAAAATATTCATTAACAATATTTTCAATTTGTCCTTTGTCGACCTTTATCGAAAAGCATTTCGCACTTCCGTTGCACTTTGGGTACGCGTATAATTATATCACAATAAACACTCGTCAGTTGTTCCGCGGTCAGCTGTACCATTTCCTTTCGAAGCAATAACAAGGCTAATTTAAATTTAATCATATTCACAATTTCAAATTTTTGGGCTAAAATATGTTAACACGGAATTCAAATTTTAACAATGAGTGATTTCAATAGTTTTCGGTTTTTTTGAGACACCCCATGTATAATATGATTGGACAAATCTGATGAAAATGAAGAATGTTTTGTTCTGTTCTAGCGATAAGAAGATCTAGTTTGCCTCTCAAACGGACACGTGAACGGTTCCTTAGGAAGCTATGGCAGTACAAGAAACGAAATGATGTTATTCGAAAAAGTAAGGAAAAGCATATATTTCAGTCTTTGGTTGAAATTTTGTCGGGTCGACAATCTTCATTGTATAGTGTGTATCGAAAAAAGGCAACCACATAATATTCAAAAATACAACCTGTACGTGTATATGTCTATATTTCAGTTATACCATCATTACCAGCACCTAGGTGTACATACTCCCTGTACCTATAATCTTACAAGGTACCCTTTTAATTAAAAAAAGTGCTTTGAAATTCGTATTAAACATAATTATAGCGATATCTGGGTGTGTAGTTCAATTTGAATGTCAAAGACTAACTCATTGGGGCCGACATCTGCATGGCTTGAATACACCGTGGTCTCATTATTCATGTCATTGTAATTGTGCCTTGTGGCCTTTCGAATCTGTTTAAACAATGCACGGATGCATATTTACATAGATTTAAAAAACTGAGAAAACTGAACAATAAAGTCACAATGAGAGTGCTCTGTTCAACAGTTCAAGATCGATTAGGATAGTTTTGAGCACAAAACGTGAAAGTAAAATGCATTACGTTGCCAACACTTGGCATAAAGATGTAATCTAAATATCAAAGCTTAGATATCATCAGGAATAGTACTTTAAATTAAATATCACTATGAATCATTCCGCCGTTGGCCCAATATTATATGGTAAGGTAGGGAATTAGCATACTTTGTCATGGAGCATGTTTTTTTCGTTCTAACTCTTGCTAAGTTTATGCTGAAAACAGGCTGAGTGTGGCAAACACAAAGTAAATCATCGCTCGATTAGAATTTAATTGAGTTAATACGAAGAACCTTCCTATATATTGTGAGTTCTACTCAATGGTTAAACTCAATACAAATCGCTATATTAAGATCTAAATTATGCGTGTATGGCATCACTTGTCGATATGCATGCTTGTAACATCGCGTGGAATAAGACGTTTAGTGAAAATAGGGAATATTACTAATAATAGGGAATGCATGTCAACAAACATTTTCTCTACAACGTCTCCCAAAGAAACGCTGGTCCTCGACGAGATTTAAATTAGCCATATTGTCTTAAAACAATCAGATTCTAAAATGATCTAAACAATCTAAAATGAATTTGAATTCAGTCAAAGACTATATATAGGGGCACCCTGTACACTGATAAATTCTTATTTATACCGAACCTCACACTAACGTTAAATCACATTTCCAGTTTCTCCAAAAGAAGAAGCAATTCGTGGTCAGTTGTACGCTGGAACTGACATCAATACAGGTTATGGTGGTGTGGGCCTAACAGGAGCGAGTCTCAGTGTGATAAACATGCTGCCTTACATACATGCGTTTGACACGAAAACTGGGATGCCTTATGTATGTGATCCTGATAAGAAAAAGCCGGACAAAAAGATTGATAATAAATGGAAAATGATTGTGGCGCCATGTCCTGATTTTAAGAAATGTTTGTTTCCTTGGACTGAAGGTTCGGTGTTTCTCTTTGCATTCCTAATTTAATCCCTTTAAATGGTAGAAGATGTGTTATTTGGTAGTTTGCTTAAATTGGTAATTCCTTTTCCGCAGCAAAAGATTGTAAAACGTCTGTAGACGACAATTCGCCAGAATCACCTAAACGGCGTTGGATTATAAAAAGAGTGATATGGGTCCCAGTACTTACGCCGCCTGGTAGCCGAAGAAAAAGAGCAGGAAAATATCATATGGATGAAAATTAAGGTTACGAAGGTTAGCAGGTACGTAGCTACGTTTTTCTATAGTTTTGAGTTAAACGAATGCCATTTTGTGCTCATATTTTATCGTGATGTTATAGAATTAAGAATTAATATAACTGTAAATAAAAATATTAAACGTAAGATAGTTATCCACTTAAAATGAACAGTGCGAAAATAATTAATAGGAAGTGAATAAACTGGTGTGATGAGGATTTCCCTCACTTTCTCCAGCTTTAGTATGCATGAATCAAAAAAACACACAAACATGACCATTGTAAAATAAACATTTAAATATAATAAACATCTAACTAAATTAATAAATTAAATAACTTAAAACGTAAAATAGAAACTACTGGTCATCATCAACTCACAAGAAATATCTGTAGCTAATACAATTTTAAATAAATAATTTGCGCGTGAGTATATATAATGAACGAGAAATTCACAGGTTGTTTTGTCTGTTTTTTATCTCCACGCAGTATAATAATGTTGCGAAGCTGCTTTAAAAAAATCTCTTCTAACCATAAAAATTTACCACTTTTCACCACTCACTTGCCGATTAGATGGTAGGCAACACCATGCATGGCCAAAGACAAAGCCAATAGCCGGTGAATATAATCTTTATAAAAAAGTGGGTAACTTAAGCTAGGCCTACTTTTTATCGGCTATCAATGATATGGTAAACATGGATATTCACATTTGAATGCATGAAGGCCTGGTTTTCACATTTGCGATGTTCTACGATCCATTGTCAATGATCATGTATGAAGTAGATAATTTTGAAGTAGCTAGATAAACAAAGTATTCTAGGTAATATCAATGAGCACCAAAAACATTCCCGAGTTACGACATATGAAAACCAGGCTTCAACAACATGCATATCGTTTTTAAGTTTAGATATTTAATTTGGCTATGATAAGCGCACTTTAGAGACTTTCGTCTTTAATATATATATCATATGTCTCTGACTGTGTACAATATTATATCAGGATCGTTTAGCTTTGGCTTTCTTTTGTCGACGTTTCTCGCTTGGTAGGAAATTCCATATCCGGACCTTGTTGTCTTCACACGCACAGATTATCTTTGAGTCATCTACGAACAGAGAGTTCACGCTCGCCTGACGATCGCCCAGCGTTTTTAGGCATGTACCACTATAACAGAGAGAGATGTACATTTATCAAAACATTTTTTAGCACAACGTTGTTAGGTTTCATATACGGCTTGATCAGGTCCCAATCGTTTTAATCCAAAACCAATAATGCATGGTACTGAAGATTGGAGATATATCAAATATTAGATGCATCTATAGTGTGTTTCAGACTATAACATTTCCCCATGCAGCTTACTTGTGAAAATCCCAGTATTTTGTTAGACCGTCTTTCCCTGTGCTATAGATTATTCCTCTCTCAAGCTTACCACGGACCATTTGAATCTTTAACTTTGTACATTCCACTCTGCAAGAATGCAAAGACTATCAATAAAGCCCTATAACTACACGGGCGATTTTTGACGACGATGTTCTTCTCCTGGTGCATGCTTTTAAGTAAACTTAACAGAGTAGGTTACTTTACTTCGCCAAGCCTATACAACTCTGTGTACATAATTTATACAAATATATATAGCATACGCTAGAAAGAGAAAATCACATGCACCGATAACAATCACCCACGTAGCCGTGGCTTAAAGTATATCAAAATTAAATTGTCGCAAAAACAGAGACGAACAAATTTAAGTAAAACTGAAAGAAATCTTTGGTTAATCGAATGTTATCGGGGGAAGCAATCCGAACTAAACTTTTTTTAAAGCTCGGTTCTTTCTAAACTGTTATATTTATTTTATACATGCCTCATACCTGTCCTCATGACCCAGAAATTCCTTTACACATTTCTTGTTTTCAATACTCCACAGTAACACACGATTCCCAGTTGAGGTTGCTAAATAGCCCTTCAATACATTACAGAAAATTAAAGCTCACATTGCAAACATGCAGTTACACGCGGGGTGAAACATGTGCACGCAGAAAACGCTAAACCGTAGTGGGAATGCTATACCAACGCGGATTTATGCTGTAATACGAAGTCAAATCATTTCGAGCAGAAATATTCTGAGACAGGATTTAGTTTCTTCAATATTTCGATATCTACGACGTATGGCATGCATGGCAAAGATTGAACTTTGCACAATTTCAAAGTTAAAATACTTCAATATAAATTGGCTTTATGTAGTTGTGTATATAGCTTTTTAAACAAATTTTTACGACAGTTAAAAAATCACCATTTCTTTCGGCAAAAATAAGATTATTCTAAATTTCGGTTGGGATATTCTTAACACAGAGGATGTTTATTTTCTGTGTATTCTTTGTTTTACTTATTCCCTGACTTACATGATCATAACTCAAACTAGTCACTGCTGTTTCTTTTCCTGGTATTCCAATACTGAAGTGTTTCAAACATTTCCCAGTTTCTATATCCCATATTCTCACGGTCTACAAAGAACAAACAAATGTCAAAACTCTTGGTTTGGTGGACGGTGGTACTGGTGATGTGTTTGGGTGGTTGAAATGGTGATATCAGGTAGCGGTTAGTTTGATGGTGATGATTTCAAAATCATGGCATTTGTTATTAGGACTATATGAAGTTACCATGATAGAGGCCGATGAGTTTGATGATCATGATCATGGATTGCGATTAATATAACTTCAGTGATCATGGTGAGTTCCATAATGATTATAATGGAAGAGATTAGACTGATTAGTTATGATGTACGATGGCTATTCTGATGGGTGATTTTACGTAAATCTGATCATGCATGCATGCAGTCATGATATTTTTTATCTGCATTTATTATTTTTATCAAACCGGTAGAGATTCAAACTTGACATACATGATCAGCAGAACCAGTGAAAGCACGGTTATTTTTTTCATCAATATCAACACAAAACACCGAGGCATTGTGACCAGTCAGAGTTTGCAGGAGACGACATTGCCGTGTGTTCCACACTTTTGCCTGCGTAATATATTTAGATTGCATTTTATATGTCATGGTTGTAACAGCATGATATATATATCTGGATGTTCCTGAAACATGAGACCATTCTTACCGTTTTATCTCCTGATCCCGATACAAGAATTTCACCTTTTCTTTGCATGGCCCATACTGGACCGGTATGACTCAACAAAACTCTACAAAAACGTGAATATTCATGTAATGTTAAAAAAACGGCTGCAAATTTCAAGACAAAGAATCGCTGAATTGAAGATTTCAGATTTCAAGTTCTTACCTTATCGAAGTGCCAGTTTTTAGATTCCAAACCTGTAAAATATGGCCAGTGAATTAGTACATGTCGAAAAAGGAGAGCTTTCATTCAATATTTTGTGTCGCCAGTTTAACTCCGTTCAAAATTAACAAGTTTTGAATTTTCTCCCAGAAAATGTAGCATTCTGTATTTTCTAGTCTTAAACTAGTGAAGCAAGTACTTTAAATACTCTTATTGGCCTTTTTTCGTGTAGTCAGTATAAAAATATTAGACAAGGAATATTGATACGTACTCTGATTGAGCTGTCGTGCGAGCCACTGATCAGCAAAATTTTTGACAGGAAACATAAACACCATACTCCTTTCTGTGCATGGTGAAATTAAAATATGAATGATTAAATAAACATGTTAGTTTCATACCAATATAAATTAGAAATAACTGATATATGATGTAAATTGAACAATTAAGGGGTATCATAATAAATTACGTGATCACAATTAGACCTAAACAATTAACGAGGTCGTGCCTAAAGTAAAAGCACTTAGGTCAGCTTAGGTATAGAGGACGTGGGAAATAGACATTAGCTATATAACAGGAGTAAATGAAACTTTCTTGGCAGATTCTTTTCCAGTAAAAGTTTAAGGTTGCAGAAATTGTTGTTATCCTATTTCTAAGGTCTTGGTTGAGCGCTGTAAGTGGGTCAACGAGTCCAGCGTATGCGAGTATCCTATATAAACCAGGAGATTAAAAAACTTACAGAGTGCCCGGTTAGTGTTTGAATTACGTTTCCTGATTTTGCATCCGAGACTCTAAAAAAATGTAGTATAATGTTTAATGTAGGATATTACAAAACAGTCCTATACGCTACACGCCACCCACCCATCTAGCGTTGTCTCTCGTTCCAAGGTTTACTTGAAAGGGAATGTTTCTGGCCGAGTATACTTGACTTTGGCGCTATGCAGAAAAAGGATGCCAGGTCGAATCGTATTTGGTGGGGACAGAAATGTTTGCTCTGAATAACGAACCGTAAGTTGCGAGGCCTCCCCCGAAGACAAGTATTTTACCCAGGATACAGACAGTACAAGCTAGGTTTGGAGAACGTGTTTCTAAATACACCCGCACACTTACTTAATCGTTTTGTCGTAACTTCCACTCGCAATCAGATTTTCAAATATACTCACAGAAAGCACTCTATGTAAAAAAGTGTAAAAAAGTTACACTGGACCGCGACGTGTCATGTGAGACACTTTGTGATATACCGTTTTGTATGTCCAGCAAGTTCCATTAAGGTGCAACGGCCTTCCGTCCAGTTTTGTTGTAAATCCAAACTCTCTTTATAAACTGCCTTCCAGTGCTTGGCCTTGGTCAGTGGTACGCCAATGTAAATTTCTCCACATTTTTCTTTCCATAAAGTTTCATCATTTGCAACTATGTTCCATGTTCGAGACACCTACGTATACATAAAGTACGATAAAACGTCTAGCATACATACAGCTTACAGAAAGACTGGCTGTTAAATCATCACCAAAGCTTTTCTGAGGACTAATTGAAACAGCACTTAATTCTTACCTCGCAAACTAAAGTTAGCTCTTTGACTGTCAAATATGATAAAATGAGACGCGATAACTGCCTGGGTAACAATGAAATGAAATCCCTGTATCGTCTTACCTAGAGAAAAGCAAAAAAGTTTCAATCATTTTCGAGTTTTCCAGTACACTGCACTGCACTGCACTGCACTGCACTGCACTGCACTGCACTGCACTGCACTGCACTGCACTGCACTGCACTGCACTGCACTGCACTGCACTGCACTGCACTGCACTGCACTGCAGGATTCTGCCCCTGCATAACCTTGTGAGATTGGCTAGTGTACCATTTGCTTTACACCTGCGACTGGCGGCTGGTGCATGCACTGGTTAGCTTGAGTGAAGCTAATCGTTGTTTCCAACATATTGATCGAAGCTACAAAATAGTTACTTACTGAAATCAATCCCGAGATATAAAACAGTTCACTTCGATCCAAATTTTTGAGAAAAATTTGAAGAAATTCATTTCTTTTCCACACTAGGGATAGTACAAAGTACATATAAGATGAATATACTGTGTTGTATATACGAATGAATCAACATACCACTCCACTCCTGAGCAAATCGATATAAAACGAGGTCAAGTTCCGTACGGAGAGAACCATTCTCAGTTTCTGATTTCGTAAAGTTGTGCGCAACAACCCTGAAAACGATGTGTTTATGTAACTGCGGTTTGTGTTTATGTAACTTGGTATTCTCAACAAAGATGCGTCCACTCTCTTCGTCCGCTCTCTTCGTCCAGACCTCGAGTTGAGCTTACCTTTGATTATGCTGGATTTTTACTCCTTTCTCGTCATTCCATTCGGCATCCTTCCTCTGCATGTGCCGTCTTATTTGATGATTTATCTGCTGACCACCTAGACTTGGCGGTGCAGAATGAACACTCAAGGCAGTGCCCCCATGATGCTTCCTGATGCCGGGAAAGCGAACACCAAAATAGCTACTTTGTGATTTCCACGCCCCAGTGGTTATCTCACTGGCTTCGGGCGATCCTCTATAGCTGAAATACAGTTAGCATTATGATATAGCTTCCCGCAGTATTCTAGTTAACCTGCAATCTAATTTATTGTAAATCATAACCGTGGAGTTGTGTTCGACAATACGTCATGGTTGGTAGTTAATATTTAGGTAGTATTCTGCAATAAGCTATCACGGTTCAAATAACCACTAAAAAACATTAAAAGTACTTCATATAGTCACGTCTACCTTAGTCTTGTCGAAGATATCGGCGAAAACGACTTCATTATCGGCAGCACAGAGCATGATGTCCAGTGCTTCACATCTTCCTGATTTCAAAAGAAGAATAAAAGATTCGATCATACGAAACCAGCTAAAATTTGGTCGTGTAAACAATTGAGATAATCTGTTGCTTATATCCCATACCTCATTTCTCAAAACAGCACTTTTCAGAAACGGAACCTTTTTGCCCTTCAATTTTGAAAAAGCAAAGCATTATCTCTAATAGACTAATGATAACTACATTGTAATATTTTTAATTTGTTCGACATATAAAAATGATATAATCTACCGCGTTTTTCGAATCACTCTCGAACGAAAAAATTGACCAGCAATAAATTCTCCACTGGGGAAAGATAGTATTTATTAAGTTAAAACGCGAGTAAAAATATCACCTTTGATCTCAGAGATTTTGCATGTTTGTGGATTTCTCGGGAGACTGGGGTCGATATTGGATGAAACTCACTGTTCACCTCAGCTGCCGTTAATGAACTAAATACGAAATCTCGGTGCAAAGCTGGCTGTAAAACCTTAAATAAATGATGGTTGAGTGAAGCGTTAAAACATATATAACAAGAAAATTTAAACACTAAAATTTCAATACTGTCATCAAACACTAAACTAATGCAAAACCGTGGGCCTTGATCAAAATGAGTTGACACCCATGCATCTTATCTGAATATAAATGTAAAAGACAGTGTGAAAGTGCATAAATTATGACTGTTTATTGGTCTGTTAAGTAAAACCAAGCAGTCCTCAGAACTTTTATTAATATAACTCACTGTCCACAAAAGTTGAATTTGTTCTCTCTCGCATTTTGACAGCAACTTGTCAATAAACACGAACCTCTGTCAACACAAGGGATATTAAATGGATTAAATGGCTCAAAGTTATTGGATGACTGTTTTGACAACGCCATGTCATGACTGGATACCAGAAAACTTTGCAGTGAAGGTAACTGAAAGTTTCAAATATAATAGGGCTGTTAAGACGTCCGTTTCAAATAGACATTTCCCATATTAACTCGAGTTGCTCTGTGAAAATTAGGGTGGATTTTAATGTTTTACATGTAATCGTGAAGCAGGGCATTTTTTCACATCTGTGACAAGGGTATGCATAATCCATTAGTATATAATGCTGTCGTAGATTCACCACAGCTCGGTGCGAAAATTTGACGTTCAGTTTACAATTACCCAAAATCAATTTTGTTTTTCTAATGTCGTAAAAATCAACACTAGAATAGTTCACGGGTATTGTTGCTCGTATCGTCAGAAGTCCAAAAGACACCCGCAGTTGATATATAAAAATTGACAATCTTCTAACATCCTCATGCAGAAAAAATCAATCGTGATTTTTGGCACTTCACTCGATGCACGTAAATTCTAGAGGTTAAAAGGGTCTTAATTTCGAGTGATATTATACAGTCACACTTCAAATTCAAGTCAGGAACAGTCGAAGGAAATAAGAAAAATGAGTCAACTATAGGTCCTCCGGCGAGAATCGAACCTACGCTTTTGCGATGCCGGTGCAATGCTCTTGCCACTGAGCTACAGAGTTAGCTTAAATAGCTCTTGTACCTATAGTTGAATCATTTTTTCTTCAACTGTTCCTGGCTTGAAGCGCGACTGTATAATATCACTCGAAATTAAGACCCTTTTATAAACCTCTAGAATTTACGTGCATCGAGTGAAGTCCCAAAAATCACCTATTTTCTCGTAAATGAGAGCAGAAACCGGCATCTAAAAATATGACCTCTCGTGTTCTGAGAAACAGGAAATGGTTTATTCAGTCTAAATATACATCAGTAATTGTACTCAAGTCTGATAGGTCAAGAAAAAACCCAGTATGAGTTGTATCATCTGTTGTTCTCCTATAGTCACTTCAGTGCGGTCATATAGCACGGCTTATACACTGAGACACTTGTAGAACTTGGTGATTTTGAGAACGTTCCAAATTAAATTCGCGGTCTCCTATGGCTATGTTTATAAGATTGAATACCTTCGCTGAGAAGCAAAATTACATTTTCTCGGCTTTCGAAAAAATGACTTATTATGATTGTACAAAAATCAAGGCTGTAGATATTATATTATTATAACCCACAACATGATCATTAACCTTATTACGAAAGACTCTCTTTTAATTGACGATATATTATCAAACTTCTGGACAATATTACTGTCAATATCACTCTACATATTATATACATCAGCACATAATACCTCTGTATTGCTCCATTCGCTAATCCAACCACTGATATAATCAATCTGTTGCTCGAAGTCTATAGTTGTTAACGGCTTATGCTTCTCAAACGATGGCAAAATGGTTGGACTTTCGACGGATTTCTTATCCAGCTTTGCAAGCATACTTAGTTTTCATCTTGTCGCAAAATTCACCACAGCCATTACAGGTTCATCTTCGTGTCGTACCGTTCTTTGTGGTGGTTCATAGTTTATAATAAAAATATCTTCGGGGTTTATGCTTCATCCCTGTTTAAATAAATACAAACCCATGGTTCTATAGGTTTTGATCCTTGTATGTGTCGGTAATTTGATCGGAAAGTTTTGAGATTAATTACTATTGCCTGGCAACATCGGACGCTGAAGATGATGCATTTGAAATGAAATGCAAATGTTAGACGAGGTTCGTACCTGCACAAACATCTGCGCATTTTGCTTAATACAAACATCTTCACCCATCAGTTGATATAATCTACCCGAGAACCATGGTCGAATACGCCATTTTCCGGTGGACTCGACTATGGTCAAATACGCCGTTTTCGGCGGACTTGACCATGGTCGAATACGCCGTTTTCGGGTAGATCGAAACGATGATCGAAACGAAGATTTAGCAACGGAGCTAGGCCCTGGGGACGATGATGAACCACTGGGATGATGAACGATGATAAGAATATGCCCTCTTTGCCCACTTGATTTTCGTATTAATTAACGAGTAGTTTTTCAGAATGCATATAAGTGAATAATTATTTACTTACTTTTTGCTTGTTGAAGGTACAAGTTCAGCCATATCAACAAAAAATACCAGAATCCAAATAAAAATTTACGACGCCGTGAAATCTGTAAAAGTACCGTCGTCAACTGAGGTGACGCTTGTTTTGCGAGATATTTATGCCCAGTCAGCAAAAATTGGAAAGTTTACTTCCGGTCGGCCGCGTCGTCAGCGCGCGTTGTCGCATCTTAAGCTCGCTATTGTCTAGCGTGCACCACGCTGCGTAAAATTTTCATTTGAATTCCAAGTTTCGTTTTCACTTTTATAGCAACTTCATAAAAATGACTTCAATGCAAACTTGTGTAAATTGGCAATCGACGAAGAAGACTGCGTTAGAAAGAAACCGTCATATGCTGAACAATTCTGAGTTCAGTGACATAAGTTTTACTTGCCAAGGTTCACAGAAGGTATTCTATGCTCACAAGTATGTCCTTGCTACAAGCAGCGCCGTGTTTAATGCTATTCTCTATGGTGATTCTGGAGAAAAGATATCCAATATTCATCTCAACGATACAGATGAGAAAAGCCTGGAGGAATTTTTGACGTTCCTCTATACAGATAACTGTAATCTAACGCCGAGCACTACCGTATCTGTGGTGTATCTCTCTAAGAAATACAACGTGCCTGCGCTGACAGAGTATGTAAAATGTCGTCTAGCAAGGGACATGGATCCTGGGAATGTACTGAGTGTTTTAGATCTAGCAATCCATTTTGAAGAGAGTGATTTGGAAGAAAAATGTTGGCAAGTCATAGAATGGCGTACGTGCGAGGTGATTGCTTCGAAGAATTTCAATAACGTCAGCCGAAAGACGTTGGCGAGCTTGTTGAGGCGTAACCACTTAATGATACCCGAAGTTGAATTATTTCAGGCTGTCTTAAAGTGGATCGATTTTCAATGTTCACAGAAAGGTTTTCACCCGACCATTGAAAACAGAAGATGGGTTATTGGTGAGGCGATTTACGACTTAAGATTTCTGGCTATGACTCAGGAAGAGTTTGCGAAACACGTTTCAAAATCCGGTTTGCTTTCCACAGAGGAACTAGTTCCAGTTTATGAAAAACTTAACAATCTCGAGTCTGCATTGTTGAAATGGAAACTGCCCGAGAGAGAAAAAACGTTAAATGCCACGAAAGAAAGGATTCGTATATCAAGATTTTCTAAGCACGATTATTATTCGCCAAGTAGGGATCTGAGTGAATACCAATTAAGAAAACAAAGATACCTTCTAGATACTCTCTCTTTCTCTGTTGATCAGTACGCATTATTTCTCGGTGTGCAATTGTTTGGGAATTCATCTCGAAAATCAAAAGAAGGTGATATTCGTTACACACCATTTACATTGCTTATCAATGACAAGTATATAAAAAACGCTGCTGTCATTCCGATAATCGAAGACGACATTCTATACGTTGATGTGTTCTTCGAGTTTCCCATTTTGATAAAAAAAGATGAAGTAGTAAAGATGGGTCTTCGTGACCAAACTTCACAAGCTTCAGAAGTTTCACACTTAGGATGGCGTGGAAAACCAACGGTAACCGTGAATGGGATAACCGCCACTTTCTTTGATGTTTCCTTCGGCGAACGAACCTGTGTGTCCAAGGGACAGTTCCATCAGATCATAATTTCAGTTTAAACGTGTGTTGAATATGTGCTAGAGCACAGTTAAGACTAGATTACAAAAATCGGAAGATATATCGACTGTCCTTTGTATTTATACAACTGATTACTCAAAAAATTACTGGGGCCCGTTGTATAAAAAGGTAGTTAAATTTTAACTATAGTTAGTGGCAGAATTGGCCAATGGGAATAATGTAATCTCTAGTTAACTACGATTTAACTACTTAAATGTAGTTAAGAGTTTTATACAACCGGCCCCAGTACATATACTGGCATGCATGGTTACATTATCAGTACGGTATATCCATTGGCAATAAACATTAAACCGATGATAAAGAGCAAGGTGTGAGCAGCTAGCATTTGAATAAAATGACATCATAGCCAGGTAATCAATATTGTGTGGTTTTGGTGCTAATGGCCTTTTGGGCACCTCTTCCCTGCCTATGATTAAATTGACAAATATTGAACAGATTTAACTCATTATTTAACAATTTAATGACAAACCAGTTAGTTACAAACATCTTAAATGCTTCTGTCAATAAACACTTTCCAAATTTCCTTGATTTCACATGCAAAAACAATAAGTGCAGAAGTAAGAGGCCTTTCTTATAATGACATCAAACACGGAAAGTCTGATGTTACATGAAATTTGATTGGCTCCACAAAACTATAGAGCCAATCAAACTTTGTGAAACCCAAGACTTTCCGATTATGAAAAAGTTTCATTGTGACAGAGCAAATTTGAGAAGTGTCTATTTGACCTATTCTATTGACATATCAATGAACTGTCATTTTCACAAGCATACAAACTTTGCACTAAAATGTATTAGAATAACTGACTAATGTACACTAAAATGTTTAATTCTATATTCTATGTTCTACACTATATTTATGATAATATTAATTCATAAGGTTTTAAGCTCAATATATAGTATATCAAGCAGGTTGCATTAAATAACACTATGGAACACTTGTGAACTAAAGAAACTAATGGAAACGCTAATGGATGATAACCACTAAATATACAACAACAAATTTACCCAAAGCAAAAGGGTTATGTGTCATTCAGTATTTCTGTACAAACATGTTCAAAGCAACACCACTAATAAATAGTTGCCACACAAGTTTCTCTTTGTTAACAAATTTACCCAAGTTATGGATAACAACACAAGGAAAAGAGGATCTCGTAAAACTGTCCTCGTTCACTTAATGTTTTATTGTTTGGGACATCCAGGTCACTGCAATCACGGAAATTGAATGAAACTCCAGCGCACTTGACAGAGCTTGCACCACGCTCCCCATAATAGGATCCATTCCCTTTAATAAGTGCAGAAAGTTCATACCATTGACCTTTCTTGACTACCACTGGGGATGGCAACAACACATCAAAACCAGGGATTAATGTATTTTTCCGTTCAGAGTAAAATCGATCATTAACCTTCACATTGTTAAAAGTCAGTTCAACATTGTATCGGCTGTTATGACCGAGTGCACCAAACAGACGAACACCATGGAAATATATATCTTTATCAACCGAGAAATTAAGGATATCAGGATGACCCGAGGTGTACTGCCAGCCACCTAAAGTTTTCGATGTCCGGATCTGATCTTGACTAAACCGAGAACATCTCTGTGTTGGTTTCAACTGCCGTGGTTTACCTTGAATCCGTTTACTTAAGGTGGCTTGTAGCTGGCTGTTAGAGGGCGGGACATCATTGAGCATCTGGAAGATTGCGATTACTTCATCTTTGCTAAGTAATGCTGTCTTTGATACATTCTCTGCAAACTCTTTTTGGGTCATGGTTAGATATCGGACACAGTAGACAGCATCACCAAGCACATTTCGTTTATTCTCTGGTGTGGGTTCTATCCCTTTTAGCTTGCACTGATGGTCACTCCACTTTACCAAGGCATGAAATAGATTAATTTCTTTGACATTAAGAGTCTCTAGTTCCAACATACTATGGAGAATTTCTTGACCAACATTTAGAAAGGCATCGGAAGCCAGCGCCTCTTGGCAATGGGCGTCGATATAGTACCAACATTTCTTTTGCAAATCTTCCTCGCCGATCTTCAGCGACTGAGACAGCAGGGTGAAGGCATTGGATGCTGTGATGTTGTCTTGCAAGAAGCTAGTGCATAATTTTTCAAGGAACGGTAGAATATACTTCTTGGCCAAATATAACACATCAATTGCAATGTCTACCGTTAATTTGCATTCATCACAGTACAGATATTTCAAAAACTCCAGGAAACTGTTCGAATCCGCGTCGGGGAGATGAATTTCGTTTGATTTCTCCGCTAAATTACCATAAAACATTGCGAAAAATACAGGACTGCTTGTAGCCAAAACGTATTTGTGAGCAGGAATATACTTCTTCTCATCGTCAGTTCGCTCGCTATGTCTCACAACAAAGGTAACATCACTCATCAAGTTCTTGTTAAACATGAACTTGTTTCTCTCTGAGACGGTTTTAGTCTCGATTTGCCAGTCCTCCGACAATGAAGCAGTCATTTTAAAGTGGTTCAATAAAATCAGTCGAGGCTCACTTCATTCAACCGCTTTGTTGTTGTAGTTTTTGCCAGCTGACTGTACTTCCACCCGATTTGTCCTTGATCACCGAACTGTGTCGTCGTGTCGTAAATATCCACCCGATTCGCCCTCTTTATCGATCTTATACGTAAACGGTAAATCACCGTATTAAAATTAAAATCCATCCAAGACGAGTAATGTCCGAAACTAAATTCGATGTTAGGGCGCTCTTTACTAATGGGAACTTTTTTCTCTCATTTTGTAAATTGTTGGTTTAGCGTGGGGGACAAACAGGAGGGAGGTAGTACCACACCCAAAACCCTTGTACAAACAACGTCGCTGAAGTCGGGCAGTATCTTATCTTGAAACTCATGCCAACAACATTGTTGATTATTCTGTTTATATTATCCGCGGTGACTATCTAAATCAAAGAAGTACTGGAAGTCAGGATGATGAGTTCTCCAAGCAAAACAACCAACACAAGGTTTTGAGTACTAATGAGCTTTTTAGGAACAAAGGCGCGGATACTTTTCTAGTCCGGGCTTTCTCCTCAGATGCAGTTCTCACGTACGACTAAGCTAGTCAAACTTTGACTTCTCGTCAAACAACGAAATCTTTCTCCGTGTAGACTGTAGTACGTTTACACTGTCGCTCTTCAATACAACTCAGTAAGTCAGCTTAGAAGTGCTCAGTGTTCAGTGTGAGTACGATGATGGAAATGGAAAAAGAGACATCAGAGTTATAGGCTTTTTCAAGAACGACCGTATGTCACAACTCATAACTTTATTGTTTTCAACCTAGAACCACCTTACATAAAATAGATTTCAATAGTTTCTGTGCAAAGATTGCAAAAAGTTTTTTGACCGATAAATGTGGACTGAAATGAGCTTTGTCACGAGTCTCTAGTCTTTTGCCCTTCAGGCTCGTCTTCTGTATTGTTCAAAATAAAAATTCCTCTATTGAAAGCAATTATTGAGGAATAGTGTTTTGCTTCTTTGAACGTATCTAAAATTATAAACAGAGGGAACATGAGGTAGGTCAGTCCAAGATCGAATTGAAAACAATGTAGTCGTGATGTAATTACTGGGAGACATCCAGCTGGAACTGTTAACCTAAAAATAATTATATTTCGGGTAATAAGAAAAAGATTACTTGGTAATTACATAATGTTGATAATTTTAATTACACTTTTTCCTTTGCAGACGTTTTCATGATCAACATGGATAAATATCTAAAAATACCCTAGAATAATTATCAATGACAAAGTTGTAAAAGACTTCTCAAATTTAAAGTTTTGCGGTAAGAAAAATGCACGTTGCCACGTTCCTCACTGATATCTTCTTCTTCTAATAAATACATTTAATAAGACTTGTTTGTTGCGATGGGAAGCAAATTACTCGTTTATGCAGATGAATCGCGGATTCATTATTAATTCATTGTCTTACTCCACTGTTTACACCTCTCAGCAACATTTCTGGAGTGGTATATAAAGGTTGTAATTACGTCTGGCTAGAATTAAGTGTACTGCCTCTACCACGAATGGTTCAACTTTCTATGCCAAATTAAACGAATTTCTTATACCCGAATGTAAAGCTTTTTTCAATTCAATGACAATGCATTAGCCAGTAAAATTGCACTCTTCAGACTCCCTGCAAAGTACCTGCTATTGAATTTGCGCTGATACTTGAGAGTATGCTTTTCCAATGAGCCGCGAAAAACCACAAATTTTGAACAAACATAAATAAAAAGCCTGACGAAATGCATACAAACTTCACTGGAAAATATCAAAAGGATTTTACGGCTTTGGTTTGAAGATTTACTAGTAAGTTTGTTGTTAGTATAATTAATATATAGTGGTAGCACGAGAAAATATAAGCCATGGTTAATTTTCGGATTTGCTCGCGTGTTTTCCATAAGGCATAACTTATAATATTTAATTTTGTGGGAATGAAATTGGGTATTCCAAATCCAATAAGATCTTATTTAGCTACGCTGTAGATATTCCAAGTGCTTATGTAACACTATGTCTATGATTACTAGCTTGTGTTTGAGAATTAGCATAGAGTTTACAAGTTTTTAATGAAATTTTTATTCTATCTCACTGACTGAGAGGTTTATTTGATTAGTTTTTAAGTGATATTCCGTTACGGGCTTCATTGTTGTCACAACAAAACTTGCAAAAAGATAGAAATTCAGTGTCATACATGTACACGTACAACACCTTAATTCTTTAACTATAATCACTTCTAGACGCATTTTTCATTGTTGTGACGATAAATTTCGCTTATAAAAAGTACCGATAAAATTTGCTACATATATAATTACATCTCTGTCTACATATACAGTCAAATCTACTTACTTGGTCTTCGCCTTCGGGAATATGCAAAGTCGAAAAACACTTCAACTTCCAAGAATATTTTCAGGTAAATTATATCTATATATATATATTTTTGTTCTCTTCTATGTCCAAGGAAACTCATGACGATTACTGACAGTGACGGGCTGTATATTGAAATTGTATATAGCCACGGCATATTAACAAATTCAATAACTCCATTTTTTATCCGAGCTTTACTGCGAAGGAGGGGAGACGAGTTGAATTGTTATTTGTATATGTTTTTTTCGCGTAAATATGCAGTGCATGTTGTTGACTCTGGCCTATAGGCTATATACAAATAGCTCTGGGGCCGGTTGTATGAAAGCCGGATAGCCGCTATCCATCGGATAGTGATTTTTTCAACCGTTCTAAAAATGCTTGAAGAGCAATAAAATTTCAGCGTAATTGGAACCAACAATTGTTGAAAAGGATCCTCAATTTAGGAATACAAAGATTTAATCAAAGTTTTACCCAACAACGGGCGATTTTAAAGCGATTGAAAAAACCATGCTATCCGCGCTATCCGTCATTCATACAACCGGCCCCTGCTGTAGGCCAACTGCATATTTCATGGACCACACTAGTCTTTTTCAGCACTGAATTCAGTAATGTTATAATTTTAGGTCTTTAAAGGGAGAGGTTGTACGAATTTTTGAACCGTTGTAAACATTTTCCAAACTGAACTTTTCCAATACGCCGCTGTGGAATAACTCACATAAATGAGCTCATGCACATAACTTATAACATTGATTAGCAAGTGAGGGTAGGCTATGGGCTTTCGGAACAAAGGTTTCTGAATAGGAGGTCAGACTCAAAACAGGAGGCAATGCCAATGAGTTTGCATTCACCTCGTGCGTTCATTGCTGTTTTTATATAGTGCTTTTCTTGTTTCTGCTATCGCTCGCCTACGGCTACGGAAGCAAAGCTTCTTCGCAGTGGATTGCGGATGACGAGAAGCGACTGGTAAATGTTCTCTTCAGCAACTACAGCAAAGTTATTCGCCCTGTTATTGACAAGAAATCTCCCGTACCGGTCTTCATGGGGATAGCATTGACCCAATTGACTGATTTGGTAAGCCACGAATGCGTTTATTTCCCGGAGCCTGCAAGGGAATAGATAAAAAATCAACGTTTGAAATTATAAAAAATTCGGCTTCGTCTGAAACTTAACTAATATTTCTTTGTTTGTTTTTTTTTCGGCTGATAGATTGAAAAAGATCAAATTCTCATCACTAGTGTCTGGCTTCGACTGGTAGGTTTTTATCGTACCAAAAAAATTAAATGAGTGCTAGGAGCCCTAAGAATCTCAACCCCTGGAATCCCACTTGACGAACTAATACATAGCTCCTTAGCTACTTCGAAATCATCTATACACGGGCATCTTCATTTTAGAAATGGACGAACAGTTTCTTGACGTGGAATTCCTCACACTATGGTGGCATTGATTCAATTAATGTTGATCCTGAGATGATCTGGTTGCCTGATATTGAATTATATAATAGGTAATATGTATAAACTACCTGCATGCCGCACCCCCTTCCCCAAGTGCCCCTTCCCCAAGTGCCCCTTCCTTAAGTACCCCCTTCCCCAAGTGCCCCCTTCCTTAAGTACCCCCTTTCCTAAGTGCCCCCTTCCTTAAGTACCCCCTTCCCCAACGGTGCCTGCTTCCATAAGTACCCCCTTCCCCAAGTGCCCCCTTTGGTACGGGCTTGGTAACATGCCCGTCACAGCTTGTCTGCATGTGTACCGACTGAATTGCATGATTTTCACATCACCCACTTTACCTTACAGTGCAGATGGGCATTTGTCAGACAGTTTCAAAAAGAAGGTCATCATCAAATCGACTGGGCAAAATATTTGGTTCATTCCAGTAGTTCTACGCAGCTTTTGTGAAGTTGATATCGAATATTTTCCATTTGATGAGCAAACCTGTCCTCTTCGGTTTGGGTCGTGGACTTATCATGGTTTTGAATTAGATTTTAAGTTGATGCAGGGCGGCGAGGCCACCGATCTGAAAAAATATAAAAGTAGCGGGGAGTTTGAACTGGTAACGTTTAGCGCTGATAGAGAGACCAATACATACAGGTAGGGTTTTCCAGGTTTTTTCCATAATGATGATACTCTTCTAGAACCACCGCATCCTTCTAAAATTCCCGCATCTTTCTAACTCCTGCAAATTACCAATTTCTAGTTAGGATCATTTCGGCATCCTTCCCCACTAACGATTTCTTAAGAAGGGCTGGCCCCGATCTATTGGTGATCCAAATTTACCTTTCTTATTTTTTAGCTGTTGTAAGGAACCTTACATCAATCTCGTCTTCACAATTCATTTTCGTCGTAAAATGCTGTTTTATGTAAATAATTTAATCGTTCCGTGTATCCTCATCACCATCGCTTCGCTGTTCACGTTCATCTTGCCTCCGAACACCGGCGAGCGTGTCACATTAGTTATCACCACTCTCCTATCACTCACTGTCTTCATGCTTATGATCGCCGAGAACACGCCAACGAATTCCGACGTCACGCCGATGATTGCAAATTTTTTTATGGCTAGTATGATGGAAATTGGACTGGCCTTAGTAATAACTTGTCTAATACTGAATGTCTACCACTCTACTCGTCATTCGCTTCGATTGCCTCGCTTCTTACGGGTACTTGCTTTGGACGTACTCGCCCCAGTGCTCTTTATAGCCACGCCGAAGTCCAAAAAATCTTCCACATCTTCAGTTTCGAAGCCACACTATTCTCCAACGGACACGAAAAACAATGGGTTTTTGCTGACTCAGACACTACGTGAAGTTAATCACGATCATAATCGCCACGATCGACCCATGAACGGTCATGTAAGAAGTCCTGCTATGGACTCACCTGAAGATGTTATTTATCGTCACCAGGAAGCCGACGATAACTCGGATTCTGATGCTGATCGCACCATTGATCGTCACGTGACCATACAATGCACGTGCCGCGGAAATCCCGGAACTACTACGCAACAAAAGATGTTAAAAAGCATGCAGTATTTAGCCGCGCGGGAGGCTGAGCGCGAGAAGCAGGAGGCGGTTCTTGATGAGTGGGAAATTCTGGCGAAAGTGGCAGATAGGTTTTTTCTGGTTTTGTTTATTATAACTATTACTTGCACATCGCTACTGATTTTCACCAGGGCACCTAGACATGACGAGAAAGGCATCTAAGACAGTAAGACATTGTGCGGACTCGCCGGTGGTTAAATTCGTATTGAGTAAAAAGTGGCACAAGCGAAAAAAAATAAACTTCGCAATTAAATGATTTACTTGTAAATGCAGAGCTGTTTGCAGATATAATAAAGTGTTCGTTTTCTTTACCATAATGAAACCCAACCACTGTTTACTGCAGTGTATACTTGGACAGATGATAGAGGCGATTTCACGAATGACGGTGACCGGTGCAGACTAAAAGGAATGTTCTGTCTGTGACATGCATGAAAATAAGGTTTGCGGCGAAAAATAAGTTCCTGAGGCTAATTCGTTAACTTTATTGTAGAATGTACTATTGTAGAGGCACACTACCTCGACTTATGACAACCTCGCAAGCCAGGCTTTTCATATGACACTAATTTTTACTGAGTTTGTCGTTTTGTCACTGTTATGTCTTTACATCACTTTATCTTTAACAGTAGGCTTGGCGAATCATGGTAATGTATCATAAGAGTGGACTCAATTAAATCAAAATGAATAAAATAGTTATAAAAATATTCAAGGCCGTATAATTGATTTACATAAACCCAAGCGGTTCAAAGTAACGGACAATTAATTAAGTGAGCTTGCGTCAATGAAAATGGGCCGCAGCAGTGAACAGTAATTAATTAGCATATTTTGCAACCTAACTATAACTAATCTGAAATAAATTGTCTTTAATTGCTTTGTTTTTTATTCCAAAAGCCTTTCTAACCTCTGAAAATTACTAATGTATTATAATATTTCTTACTCGTCTTTTGCCATTCTCCTCCAAATTCTGATATAAACACCTGGGGCCAGTTGTTCAAAGCTGGGTTAGTGCTAACCTTGGGTTAAATCTTACTCCGCTGTTTTGGTTTATATGCTTCTGCACCGCTGTTTGTTTCAAGACTTTACAAAATAAGACTTCTATTGATGAACAAAATATTTATGAAAAAACATGTTCAACTTCATAAACGAGCGATTAAAAAAAATTATGTGAAAATTTAAGTTAACCCTGGGTTAAGTTAACCGGCTTTTGAACAACCGGCCCCTGAACTTTTTTGGCGGGCGTTTTGTTTTGAAGGCCCGGTTAATTAAGGCTCTGCCCATAATTTAACCACGAGGTTGCCCAGCATAATTTACGAATAATGGCAGCGCCGCGTACATTTGCACTGTCAATTTTCCGCCTTTTGTTGATCTGTTTTGCCGGGACACTGTTGGGTGCTCCTTTTTTATTGGCTTATGTAATCTAAGTAATGAAGCTTAATGTAAGAACACTACGTTGTTGAAAGCGTTATATTGATGACGAAGTCTTGGCGTGCTAACTGATGCGGTGCATCATTCACTAGGTGAATAAGGGTCCCCCGGTTTGATATACGCAAGTACAGGGAGAATCGTTTTGTGCAATTTTACAATTTTATCCTGTGCCGGGATTTCGAAATGGGATGTAGAGGTAGTCATAACAGACATTAAGGAAAACTATTTCATTAATTCTTTGGCGTCGCGATGCAAACCTTCGTCAGGGAAAAAGACCCCGGGACAAAGTGTGGGGAATCCATTCATCTGCTTAATAAGCCAGAGGAAAAAGAAATAATTTGAAACTTGTATCTAAATCACTTCAATGTGCCATTTCTAATAAGCCGCCATTTTGGCGCAATTTACACGTGGCTTGCCGTCGATGTGGCAATTTCGCTTATCTGTCGTGACATACTGACACCTCTGGCCATGGGTTCTGAGACGGTTATATCACATCGAAAACCGGTTGACTAAGCTCTTATGCGGTCACGAAAATGTTAGATTTCATTCTTAAAGTCAGTCTCAACGTATGTAGTCGTATTTGAACGCATTTTATACAGGGTTTTCTTACGCGTGTGGCATCAAGAATACAGGTCCTATTTTTTTCGCGAATGAAAAACCCAAAGGTCGTGCAAAACTAGAAATGTTTGATGATAGATCGATGATATAGATCAGTTGATGCTTGATGACGCGTTCTCAACAAGATCAACCTTGCAATTTACGAAATTCTGTAGGACGAAAAGACCTTTTGATTTTACAAGCCTGAGTCAGGCTGAGTGGAACGACAAATAGGTTGCGGCAAGGGAGAGCCACTTGAAAAGTGTTGAGACGTACTTGAACTCGTGCCTTAATGCTTTAATTAAATCGCGCGCGTGTGGCTGGCAAGTAATAACTCGTCATTGCGATTTGTTAATAAAAATCTTAATTAAACTCTCTGAGTTTTATGACATGGCTTCGCCACGTTGTGAAATAGAACAAATATTTCCCGCTAGTTCATTAGAACTTCCCTTGCAAACGAGGAACTGAAAGGGAAATGGGGCCCTACGGCCGGCTATCACGCGGAGTTCGACCAAAAGTAACTGTTGGCCGCTTGGAACATTTCAAATGACATTTTAAATGCAAAACCGATTCGATTTATTTTAATTAATATTTTCAGACATTTCTTTTACTATATACACATACATATATTATTAACGATTACTTATATTTACTCAAGCTTGTGCAAGCAAAAGTTGCGCTAATATATAAACCATCTTTGAATATATCTTGCTTCATAGAGCACAAGCGTTTTCGATAAGCGTTCAAATATAAGTTTATTAGGTTAAAACGCTATAATAGTACAATACTTACTAATGGCGCAATACTTACTAAAGTTGAATTTACACTGCAGTCTCATGGCATACTATCTCGGGCGATTTGTAAGTAAACACAGACGGTGAGCGACTGTTATTGTTTACAGTGGCGACTCTGAAATAATCGTTTGTACCTTCATAAGTTGCAGTATCGTGGGTAGAGCTTGTATAGTCTGTCGCTGCGCGCATTCCGCAAAATCCAACACGACTCCTGTGCGGAACGACGCCATCTCGGACGTTGTCTCGCGGCAGCAAAACTCCCAGAATTCTATCGCACAGCGCGCAAAGCGCGGAACGAAATTCACGGTTGAAAACCGAGTAAATTATCGGGTTTGCCGCGCTGCTTAGACGTGGTAGCGTGTAGACAAATATTATACCGATTATTTGCTGTTCAACCCAGCTTAATCCCTTCCCGATACACTCTGGACAGTTCTGTTGAATCAACAACAACACGAACAGAGGAAACCAACAAACTAGAAATGTCCCAACAACGATCATTAGTGTCTTCGTAGCTTTGAGTTCGCGAATTAGCATTCGCGTTTGTGTTGATTTGTCCGACTTCGAATCGGCGTTTGTTTTCCTCGAGTGAGCTGTTGATTGGGCTTTAATCATCATTGCTTGTCGAAGCGCCAGATTAAAAACCATTGAGTATGCGATGACGAGGACTACCAAAGGCAATAGCATGCCGAGTAATGTGAGAAGTATGTAGTACATTTTATCGATCTTTCTGCATGCTGGCGTAACCAGCATTCGCGCGTCGTCCGACCAGTCGTTAAAAGATAGGGAGGAGAGTATTGTGGCATAGCACCATACCGAAATGACCGTAATGGCAGACCGCTTACCGTTGACAAGACGCTGGTATTTAAAGGGATAGGACAGGGCTAGGAATCTGTCTATTGCTATCACAGCAACGTTTGTCGTCGAGGCAGCGCTGCAAAGAGCGTCCATAAAGATGTACAATTTACAGGTGCCAAGCCCGAGGTCCCAGACCGTATTGTTTAAATTGTGATGTGTGTTAAACGGAACTATTGTGGCGGCGATAAAAATATCACTTACGGCTAATGAAACGATGAAATAGTTCGTCGGCTTCCGAAGTTTCCTCGTCCAACACACGGTGGCTATCACCAACGAGTTTCCTAAAAGAGCGGCGATGATGATAACTATATTGAAACAAACCTGACCAATGATACTCGCCTCAGAGTAGATGGGCTGCGAATCCACTGAAGCATTAGTCATTTTCTTTGCGTCTTAGGCTCTCGCTCAATGTTTCACTGCTACACCCCTCGAAATTGTCCTGTGATGTTGTGATATCGCCCAAGTGCCTTATCACAGATTCACAGTAGAGGAGCCTCGTTTATATATGTGCCGAGTTAGTCTTAGAAGGAGAGATTAGTAAATTATTAATGAGTCCCAAGTGCAAGCTTCTTGAGTACCCAGACTGATTTGCTGCAATCGCCAGAAACACCTGTATCGACAGACAAAGGGCTGCTTTTCGGCACGCTTGCCACGCGAGTAAACACTCGTACACAAAAGGCACTGAAAGTCGCGATGATAAATTCGGCTTTTCGCTTTTGTGACAAGTTATTAAAAAGTGATGTTCGTAACCATTATCACCTAAATGGAAAAGTATGATGTTTCCTTGTCTCGACGCAAATGATCGCGAAGTGGACAAATAAACCCATACGAGAAACGGTCTTCGTTTACCAGAAAGCCCAGACGTGACTAGAAATTGTAAGGCCTGTGTATTTTGAGTGTTTTGTTTAATGAAAACATGGAAAATATGATTTTATCTTCAGCGAAGTTTTCTGCGCTGATGACAAGCAATGATAGATCTGCTATCTCTTAAATTACATGTAATTATGAGGCGACAAATGCATATTGAGATACTGATTTGCATGAATGAGGATTTTCAAGCCTCTAGCCCTACGAATGTACATGTTACATGTGTGGCATCTTTTACATGTGTTACATTTGTAACACATTGTCACGCTTGTCTCTAACTGCCTAAAAATGGGCGTTTTTGCTTAAAATTCCGGAAAAGTGGAAAGTGTCTCAAACGTGATGGCCCGGTATAGGTAATATTCTAATTATAAGTTGCCATGTTTTCAATCTGTCAATACCTGGAAAACACTGGGATCTTCTGGGGTCTTTTGGGGAAGTCCGGATATCACTATCTGCTGGATCAGTGTTTTTCAACCGTGACAAAAGCGTTTTAAAAGCAACACAGAACTACAGACATTAACCAAAAAATAATGAGAAACCTTTGTATTAGTATTAGAAATCATACTTTATTAGTATAGCCTATAGGTTTTATTTGGGAACAACAAACAACAGACCTTTTAATTTTTAAAAGCAACTTAAGAAGTTCATTATAGTCAGCCTAAGTCAGCTATCTATAGTCACACTGACAGCCCCCATAGTTAGTACTTATAGTAATGCTGTTTGGTTTTGGACATGCTTGAACCGGCCCGTGCACAATGAACCATCTGATTGAGTTAAATGGCATGACAAAGATCGCGTAATGTATTGACACATACGTGGGGCATTACCCTCTGTAGAGTTTACATGTAGATTTATTAACACAGTTATGAAATATAAATATTTTTTCCTAAGATTAGTTTTTGATGTCAACTCGGCGCAGCATGCAAGTCAATTTAGCGCGGACATCTGCGTGCCTAAAACGATTTTAATTGAAGCATATATGTGATTGAAGGGCCTGTAAATATTGGATGAATCAAGGGTCATTTGTTGCCCCACATTGGCCACAAGCAAGGAGAGTGCTTTCTGGAAGTGCAAATATATGTCGTCAAGATTGTCTAGGTTACATAGATCTAAATTGCCGAGAGGAAAATTGTAGATGTGTCGAGCACGAACACCGCAACCTGAAAAACCACGCTATTTGTTTTGAAAAAGGTGCGGCAGAAAACAAATTGAAGCTCATTTGTAGAGTAATGAACTAATTTTCTTTGGTTCAGTTTCAACCAAAAAAGTCCGATACAATCACGTCCTAGCTAAAGATTGTCTTTTTTAACTCTTATCGTCGACTGCTCAAAATATCCGACTGATTCCACTGACTTATTTAAGGCAAAAAAACGGGCACATGTAATCAAAATTCTATCCAAAGTTTAAGAGCCATCGAAGCTGATATTGAATGCAAATCATAATGTCTATATTCATGAAGAAAATGAATTATTCGGAAAAGATCAAAGAACTTGGTGAGAGGGATTTTTCTATCCATAAAAGAAGGCACATGTATTAATCTCTTGCTAACCGTATTAGGTAATTACAATTACCATTTATTATCAACATGCTTTTAAATGAAGATTGTAACAACTGAAGATTCGCCTATAGTAGAGAAGAATTTTATAAATCCTGGTTTTTATTGCACTCTGCTAGCATTGATGGGGCAGAATTTGTTCTTCCGCAAAAAATCAATAATTTGCATAAATCAAGCTGATTGATCTACAGCAGCCAAGGATGGGCTTGATGATTTACGCCGTTTTTTACCCTACAAATTCGAACGTCTAATCACGGTCTACCTACAAATCTGTGATTTTACTGATTGGAAAACTTTTACGGACTTTTGGATAATCGCATACGGACCGCAATTAATATTTGAATATAATCTAAGTGATTATCGGTTATCTCATTCGTCGTCATTCAGTGGACTATATCCTGTTTTCAATGACTAGTACTACGACTTTCTGGATAATTTTCTAAATCAAAACAATATTCAGAAACGATTTTGAAGCAATATTTTAGGACATTTACTGAGCAGATTCACAGGATTTCGTAAATTTCGATTTACGTGAACGCCCCAGCCCGTTTCAAAGCGTGGTTGTAGGCACAAACTGGCCGTTCCTTTCAGAATTTTGGAAAAAAAATTCTGATAAAGCTCGTCGACTTTATCAACTACTTGTTTTGAGTATGTTCTCAGTTCTTCCCACATAAATATATGAAACATATTTAGCATTTTTGAACGTTATCTCGGAGATATTTATCATTTGATTACTTTGTCAGTACCGCGACAGAAAAGTAATTAATGAATCAAATACTTTCCTTTATAATATGCTCAGTTCGGTGGCTCCCAAATCAGTTTATTTCATAAAATGATTTTTCCTTGCTAAATTACTTCCATCTGGAGTTTAGAAATTGCAGAGCTTTTTTTGAACAATTTTATAATTAGACAATTTTTAAAGCTGTTGACCGCTAACGTGAATCGCGGGCTCGTTTGAGTGACCGCTTTCCGTACTAACCGAAGTTACCGTGGGCGCGAAATGTTGAAAACGCTCCAAGTTCGTGCATTGTTGAACTTGGAAAAATAGAGGAGTTCTACTTTAGGAAAGTTATTTTGGATTTATTTACCCACTACATCATGGCATATAAAGCGCAGAAAGTACAGAAGGTTATGGTTCAACCAATTGTATCCTTTTCGCGTAGTTTTTCAGGGTTTTTGTCATTCAAATTTTACCACGTGTGTGTATATTTTTGTCAGGTCACAATAAAATGTCCATGTCGTTTATTGTTGTTTGAATGTTTTAGATTAAAGATTGATATATTATTATTCACAATTGCACCCCCAAGAATCTATTGCTCAATACTGCAATGCTTAGCTTGTCACTTGAGTTCTTAAGACAAATGAGTTCTTAAGGGAAATGGACCAATGAATCAAAGTAACCAGGGAATGTTTTCATACGAACTTTATATATATGTTTTCATACTCTCCCCACCTTCCCTGTTGACAAGGCTTTAAAATTTAACCCCTTCTGGAAATCCAGAAACTAGCAAAGGAGGGGGATATTTAGTTGTTAAGGGTAAGAGAGTCAAAATAACCAGAAAATTCCAGCTTTAATTGCTGTGGTATATACAAAATCACAAATTACCCAATTTTTAGTTTTTTTCCCACATACTTTTTTTAAAGTTCTAAGTATGTTTTAAATTGCATTTTCCGGATGTGACATGATCTGGCCTAAGGTACTTCTCAGTTTAGCAAATATAGTGTGAGTAGTAATATGTGACATCTTAACCGTACCAGGGTGCATTCGGTGTATATCACACGCCGAAGATACGCCAAAGCAATCTTAACATTACGCCAACTTCCCACCCTTGGCCATACTTACGACAATTACCCACTCCAGGACGTTACGCCGATCGCAGACTCGCCAGGACGTTCGACTCGTGAGTCAAAAAATGCTACACGTTTAGAGGACCATTTTTAAGAAGTTAAATGCCTTTGTTGTCGTTAAAATACTTAAATGCATGCAGTTGAAGTCGGTGTGTATGTGGACCTTTGAATTACAAAGTTTGGTGTGTTTATCCGGTATTTATGCGCCGACAAGTTAAAAACAGTGTACACCAAGGAAAGTTGATTTTACGCCAGTACGCCAAGGATACCCTAACTCTACACCGAAGATATTCCGATTTGTCTACACCGAATGCACCCTGGTAACCGTATAAGTTAGTATGTTGCCTAATGATTGCTTGTTGCATAAAACTTGTATATATATATAATTTAATGTTTTCATTGCAAATTTTTAAAGGAATAAGTTGCTACTTCAATGTTTTTTGTATGTAATTATGTGGTTTTTTAATAGAAAAGTTTTCCTTGACTATTTTTTCCATATATAGAACCTCATATTCAGGTACTTGCAAAATGTAAGTTTGAGGCTAAATCAAAATGTATAACTAGTGTAATTGCCGTATGAAGCTTGTTTTACAGTAAGTTTTAGAGCACACAAATATTGAGAATTCAAATAACATATTGTTTTTGAATACAAGACAGTTCTATAAGTCCTTTTGGATACAGAACTAATTAGAACCTTCGTTTATGAAATGTAATATTAATTCAATTAAGGATTTTAAAGTTTTGTGACAAGCTTTTGAATTTCAAACAAAGTGCCAAATAAGTGTGTAAAATTTGTTGAAACCAACTGTAAACTGTGATTGTATATATTGTCAAATATTTAAATTCATCACAAATCACATTTTGCACAACACCTTTCAGACTTCATTGGTATTTATTATTTTATTATTTATCCTATCTCTTCAATCTAAGATGTTAAAGCTTACAATCACTTATTACTTATTACCCTCATGTAACCCAGGCTTCATGCTTTGCAATGCAGTTTTTTATATAATATTTTTGTCATGGGCAATTATAGTTGGGCTTTGGGGTAAATAAAAAGGTCATGCATATGTGTTCAGGGGATAGGAATATGAGTATTTACTAGGGGATAAATCTGGGCTTAGATGGAATGGAGGAATTTTGGATTTTATTCACAAAATAGATAGAAACATTTATGATATTTAACACAGAATATAAGTATTTGGGCAGATGTAATAAAAATTATTCATTGTTATGTATGGTTATTTTTAATGGATGTATTCTGTAAATCTTAAAACACTCCCTAATATGTTTTACTGTACATTTCAGCGATCGCGAATCCAAGTTTGGCTTTATGAACAAACAAACATGAGAATTGAAGGACATATTATTGTAAGTATTTTTTGGGGCCTTCCAAAATAGACCTTTTCGGTAATTACATCACATTATTATCGTTTTAAATTTGGAACCACCTTAGGTAAATGAGATGGATTTCAAGTTTTACTCTCACAAGCTATGTGCAAAGATACAAAACATCCTTCTATAACCCTTGCATGAAAAATAATTTTTGATTTTGACTAATAAGTATGGAAATAAGCCATAACGCAGGGGCGATGCTCGCGGTCTTGGTCCCTCAGCCTTGTTCTCATGTTATGGCTTATTTCCACATTTATTGGTCAAAACAAAAAATATTTTCATGCATGTGCTGAAGCCTTGCAGCTCCTCTTGTTCCTACACTAACCACTAAGACTACAGCATCTCCTAGTCTTTGTCTCTGTTTTAATAAAAGAACTTCTTATTGTTAGGGATTTGATGAATACATGAACCTTGTGCTTGATGAGGCTGAAGAAGTTCATTTAAAGAGGAAAACAAGAAAATCTTTAGGTAAATCTTACTCAGTTTATATTATATCAGTTCATATCAATTATCTATTATATGAAATAATAAGGTGCATGTGATGCGCATCCAAGGACGTAACTTCCACAGTGATTAGGTTGGTGGTTGTATATTCATATTTTCTGTTCAGCCGGCCAGATTTCTTTTAAAATCGAGATAAGCTATAAAAGTCTAATTTAGTATTATATTAGATACAGAGATTCCTCTGAATAAATTTTGGTGCTCAAGAACGAGCCCTACCATCAAAGTTTTCAACAACGGTACTGTGCCAGTGAAGTAGGTCTAAGTGAAGTAGGTCTAAGTAGACCGGAGCAACGTCAGTGATAAAGTCTCTCAAAGTCCTGTGATTAGATGAAGCCAAATTGAATCTGATTTGCATACTAATCGCTGAGAAAGGCGGGAACCACGCACGAAAAAAAATTTGCATCTTCACCCGATGGCCACTAAAATAACCAATCTAAGCTCTAAGTAGTCTAAATCCAATAAAGGGGCACCAGCTTTATATTCGAAATGTTGAACGCGTTTTACCTTGCAAAAAGAAATCTCGCTCTTCAACTATCCCCCGCCGAAATAGAACCGAAGGTAAACATTCTTCCACGTTCCAAAACTTGTTTTTCGCTCAAACTCAAGCATAGATGTTTGTTTTAGACCTTTAAACTTGCTGTGATTGATGCAGTTGTGAAAGAAAAGCGACGCTTTTTAGCTATTTTTTTATTCAGTTTCGGACAGTCGATGGCGGCAAAGTTCACTGATGGCAGCGTTCAATTTAGCTTCAATGATTGTGGCCAACAAATATTAGCTAAGAACCATTTTCAAATTTGAGAACCAGTGCCAGACACCAAGTATGAATGGATGAATCTGGAAATCTTAAATTAGCTTATTATCGCAACAATCACCGTCATTCGAGTTTTGACCACCCCCTGTATAAAGTCCTGAGTTCAGTGAACTGATTGAAGGTTGATTTAAACCTACTCGCGTACCCAGCTTGACCGGTGTTAAGCCCAACTTTCTATTTTCAGGACGTATTTTACTAAAAGGAGATAACATCACACTGATTATGAGCGTCGCAACGGCAGCACCGACACAATAACCGCCAATACAAGAAAGAGAATAACTCATTCGTACATTTTTTATTCGTTGTATGACTTGTATCGTAGCTGCGGAGGTGAAGTAGAGTATTATTAGGGACTTAAGATGCACCAAGTGAAGTAATACTGTCTTCATTTCAACTGTTCCACAACAGGAATATAAATTATGGACTCTTTCTAAGGCTGGTTTTCATATGTCGGCGACCGTCGGCGATGTATTTTTGGCCGGTGACGAAGAAAATTTGTTCAAAAAAACAAAGCCTTCATTCATCAATTATCAGCCTAGTTCACGCTTATCCTAAGAAGCGGGGATCCCTTTCGTTTGAATTCACTAGTGCACAAAATGCTCTATCTATCGGAAGGTAATACAATGGATCACCGATGCTTAGGAGCTATTTTGAATCAGGCCTAACTAGGTCCTAAGAATCTTGGATCTATTGTATTATTATCCGATAGACAAAGCATTTTGTGCAACCAGGCCTGGTTCACACGTGTTGTGAATTAGGCCTTAACAAACAAGGTCAGAGCTGATTTCAAATTACGTTCGCGTCGTAGATTTGGTGCATCTTAAGGTCTCTAATAGCCTCTTACCTCAAGAACGCGCAAGGTACACAAAGTATGTAAAAGCTGGTAGTTTGTATGGAAAAGCTGGTAGTTGTCAGCAAACCTGCAAACAAATGGTTCAGATGCACTCGGTTTTTCAAGTTCATAACATGCGAAAAAGTGTATTGTATTGTCAGTTTGGTCAAATCTTGACGTTCATTATTGTAGGGCACTGAAACGCTTTGCTGAATGCATGCGTATAATTATATTTTTACTTCTAAAATAAAATATGAAACTCTGAACTCGCACACTTGCAAGACTCAAAAAAACTTTCACTCTTTTCAATTCTTCAGGAATTTTTTACACGGGTGAGATTTCTTTTTCATCTTCTACACATCAGTTTTACACGAGAGCTCGTACAACAAAATATTCCGTTCCGCGAGCAAAATTTCCCCCGGTGGAAAACAGCTGCAATCACCGCATCCCGGATGATAATAATAAAATGATAATGAGATGGTAATGAGGGTTAATGAGGCTTATCTTCTCATTAACAATTCTTTTTGTGCGCATTCGACAATACCCGAATTGTGGAGTTTAAACTACGGCTAACCGGCTTAGAGACTGTTTTTATCAGCACGTCTGATTTAGGTGAAAATCCCGTTTGCACTTGCAATTTTTGTTGCGATTTTCTTCTTTTGATTGATGTGAACGAGTCAATAAGTTGTGGTTGTTGAAATCAAAGTACTTGGGATATTCTTTCGATAAATGAAATCGAGGGAATTGTTGTGAATTCCTTCAACAATTCCTTCAATAACATTTATCAAAAGAAGAATAACATATATCAAAAGAGTTTTCTTCTTTTGATAAATGTGAAGGAGTGAGTAGTTACGAATCCTCACTGGAGAGTGCTCTGATGTACCATCTTAAACGTCCGTAACTTATCCTTGCGACTCGTTCACATCTATGAAAAGAAGAAAATTCCATCGGAAATCGCGGCAATAATTGCACGTATATAAACGGATCTTAATCCTGCTTACTTGGCGGTGCTTTCTCTTTCACAGTCTCATTTGTCTTTAATCATTGATGAGTAAAATCTCTTGTCTATACCTATACAAGTGCTTTCCCTTTCAATTTAATTTGAAAGGACGGATTGCCGACATGCAAAATATTCTCAACTTCGAAGAGTTTTCACGTTAAGCCACGCGTAGATAAAACAAAAACGCGCGCTCCAAGGATTCCTTCTTTGATACTACTAATAGTAATAGACCGCTTTTTACTGTATAATAATATTCCTTAAAAAGTTAAACTGCATGACGGCAGCCGTAAATTAAGATGACACCAGTTAATCCGAAGACAGTCGCACTGCAAACAAAGCACTGCCCAAATAGTTTGTCATATGTACACCTTGGAATCAGAGCTCAATAATGAGTTCATCCGAAGACTCTGATACTGTTTGAAAAGTCAATAAACTGTCAAAACAAACAAGGGCCTTTACAGGAAGTGTTTAGGATAGAGCGTAGTGAAGCAAATGATTTTACGTAAAAGTACTGTGACTGCGTGACAAATCTAACTTCGGGAGGGAGATATAGGTTTGGAACCGAGGAAAATTTAGGAGTATATGTATGTTTGGCGTAGTTCAAGATAGCATATCGCAGCAAAGCGTTGCGAAAATAGAAACCAAACACAAGAGTATTTATTTGTGGTATTGCTGTATTTCTTGATTTTATTATTTTATTTGGATTTTTATGGATCCAGTTTCACTTGATCATTCACCATGCAAACTACATCGTGCGAAATATTGGCGTATTTAAATTCCTAACCATGCAGATGTCTTTCTAACCATCTGCCTAACCGATGTTTCTTCATATTCTGTCAGCAAAAAAATTTGCTTCTTCAAAACGTCTAGTCCTTGTTATGATCATCTTCTTCGCATCTGCTCGATTCCATTGAAGCTGCACTGGTCAGAATGAATGCATTCGCATGGAAAGTCAAGCCCTGAGTTGCCATTCTACGCAACACGCTCGCACACTGTAGATAATTTAGCAAAACAATAGCGAATATCTTTTTAAAGACAGTCTGTTAATGAAATCACACTGTTAATGGCAAAAATTTTAAACAACAGCAAAGCTCTGTGTTAGCAGCTCCATGTAAACAAACAAACTCTCATGAGACATACGATCTCCATTGCACCAAGTTTGAAGGTGGAATTCCGATCTTTCGCTTGCGATGATCTGTGTCTCTCGAAAAGAAATGCCCACACGTCGGCTTACCAGATGAAGAAAATGGGGCTATGTTATTTCGTTGTATATATCCTCCTCCATCGATGCCTGTCGGCGGACGAGAATTAACCAGAGAGAGTTTCTTTTCATTATTAACCTGTGGAACCTCTGCGAGGCTCTGCGTCAGATGTCGGCTGTATGTGTTACCCAAACCTTGGAGTTTGTTTTGGGCGAGACGACAGCATAGCTTGTCAGGTAACCACACGGTTTTGAAGTCCTTTCGACACGCTTCACATTTGTACATGCTAGGCATGTTGGTCGATTGCCTGTTATGTATAAACTGCCCGTTGTTAGGGAGGCGCGTGGAAACGAAAGTTGCTAATTAGTATTCCAATTGTGACGTCATGCATCGAGCGTCCTGAACACTGATCTGGTCCTGAACCAAAGAACTCTATATACATCTGGAGTAATATGTCGTGCATTTGCGAAACTTCTTGAATTTGTGAATTTCTTACAAGATATATAAATTTCGGCCAGGATTAATTACAGTATGTGTTTGTAATACCCTTTTTCAGTGCATTATAAGGATGACAAATATAACAGATCAGACTGGTGACCCTTAACATGAAACAATCATTTTTTGTTTTCGACCATTTATTTACAAAGCGTATAGAATATTACATAATATTTCTTCCACAATTCTTCCGTATAACTACCACACGAAAGTAGTATGTCCACATATAGAAGACAACATTTACAAGCAATATCGCGCTATTTTATATTGAGAATTGTCTCAAGTCTATATATCAGTCATCGGGTTCTTCTACCTGATATCCTGGTTGGTTTATTCTTGGTTTGTTAGGGTTGTTCTCGATGAGCCAGTCGGAAAGCCATAACTATAGAATGACAATATTTTCAGATTGAGATGTTTTCCTCGTTCGGTTTTCATTGTTGCTGGTGTCATACTTACGGCATCGTACTTATGAATAACGCAAAATTGCAATGCTCTATACTTACGAGTGGTTCTTCAGGTTTTTTCTTGCATAACTCAGTCAAACCTTTGATCATGGTGCTGTTGATGGTTCGAGAGAGATAATCTTTGGCATCCTGGCCATACGATACTGGCTCGACGATACCTGATGGAGTGAATGTGTAGTTGGTGAATTAGTTTGCTATCATCAACTAATAACTGGTGAGAATACCTGGCTTCATTTCTCCTTTATACACCGCAGTGCATTGTATGTTTCCTTGTAGCTATAATTTCTTGTAGCTACACCTTCATATGATGGTTCAAACACAAGGCAAAAGGTTGAATTACCATGCAGGATGCTGTTTACTACGCGAAGACGTAAGTCAAAAGTGGAGTTGTTTGGGCCGACTTCTGAAGAACAAGTGCATGCTTTGCTATTACATTCATACTAACGCCCTAAGTTCGAAAGGTCGAAAAGTGTTCTATATTAGGCAGTTGTTATACCACTTTTGATGTGAAGTTATTGTCTTCTAGATGTCTTCCTTTGATTGAAAACACTAATTAAACATTAATTCAATATCAAGTCATCATCACGTCTGGGCACTTACGTTCGCCAAGTGTACAACAATCAGTATAAAGAGCATATACAGCAAAACCCACATATTGCTTAATTGTCGTTATATAATCTTATCAAGTCCACCTTACTGACGTGCTAAACTGTTTTCTGGCTGATCAAAACATTGAACTGGCTGGCTTGTCTACCATTACTCTTGCCAGTCGATTAGAAAAAAATCGAGAGGGGGAGCGTTGTAATGCAGGGTTGGCTCAACTGTATATTTCTTGAAAACTGTATCATTACCATCAAATGAACACCATAGTCTCATCTACTTACAATTTGGGAAAAAGAAATGGATCTCTCTTTCAGCACTGATAGGGCTATCACTGCCATGGAGTGCATTTCGTTGACTGTCTGTGCCGTATATCGCTCGCAAACTAAAACACAAGCAGACGCAATTCATGAATTAAATCGTCCCTAGTCGGGAAAAACTTTTGAGATCGTGTTCGACCCAATGAGTACACATATAGACAAGAATAATTTTAGATTTTATCCACAAGTGATTTGAACAAATAAAAATCGCGGCATACAGTGGTTCAGGTATGCATGCATATATGTCGTTTGAGTGCTTGGATTCAGTTTTCTAATACAAAAAATTGATACGTATGACATATTGCGATCAAAGAAAATACCAATTGTCATTATTACTATTGAATTAAAAAATGCACAGAAATTGATCAAGCTATATCAATAAACGTCCCTATTCTTTCCGGATAAATTAGTTGAGAACCAAGAAAATCAGCCATGTTTTAAACACTATATGTGCGCTTTCCATTAAGCGGTCAAAATGGTCAGACCGGTCATATTTTAAATTGAGATAGAGTATTTCGTTAAGAATATAGCGATAAAACTATACTTCCCGTGTTAGGCAGATGTAAATAACGATATACTTGAAAGCAGAGTTCTTGAAACACTCTAAAATACCGGTAATCTATCCGTACTGCATGATATACAACAGGGCCGGTCTGGCCGTTTTTTCCGTATAAAGGAAAGCGCCCTATATAACCATAGCAACCGGAGTGATGTCATTTTTCTCTTTGGGCACTATTTGGGCAGTATTCTCATCATCCCATTCACGTGCACCATTAAGACCACGAGGTAAAATAAACAACTTATAATATTAATACCTTATGTTTTGGATATAAATTTCACTTTACGTGAACGATGATTTAACACATATGTTTTCTACGTTATCAGTTACAGAGGGCGTTAATTGATCTTTGGGTTAGGTGGGGTTGTTACCAAAGTCGTAGTCAAAACAACCGGCGATCATAGGATCTGCGTCAATGAGTGGGAAGGAATGGATGCCTTGCCTTATTTGCACGTGGATTATGTATTTTTTCATTATTAATTAAGATAATGAAGTGAGGAAAGATGTGAAATTTTTTGACTGTGTGAAGGAGGGACGAGTCGGTGTGTGTGCTGTGGGTAATCTTAGGTAATCTTTCGTGGCTTTTGATTGTGAACTACCTTAATTAAACATATATCCACGGTTGAACGACAGTCTGAATGAGTAAATTCCAGAAGATGCAATACATCTTGAGACGCAATAGACATGCTGATTTAGCTTTAGGAAATTAGGACAGGAACGTCAAAGACGACTTGAATAAGGCGAAGAGATGGCGTGGCGCCGTCCATAAATTGACGCATCGGCATCATGCACTCTATTCAGTCGCCATTTCCATGTCATCGTTGACGTTCCTGCATGACCTCATGCACGCTAAATCAGCCTTATATATATAGACAGAAATTACTATAAATCAGAAATTAAGTAACGTGTATAATTTGTACATGACATTTTGTCTGAATATATTATGGCTTTGAAATATAGTCGAATATTTACAGTTTCAAACTTCGTCTTGTTTTAAATCATATAACATTCTTAAGATATCTCATCTGGGACTTGCTTTGTGTATATTTCATATACTACACTGTTGTCTGTATACACTCTACATGCAATGGACTATCGAGCTAATCAATGACATTTTCGGGATGAAATATACCTGCCCAATATAAGACTTTCAGATTGAACAAGAAATTTTTAGATGTAAATAGATATATACTAGATATACGAGTAATATATACTATACTAGGTGCCATAAATATGATTCGTATATATCTTATACGCATGCAACAATTCGACTTAATTTTATTTCACGTTTATCGAGTGTTGAAAGACTTTTGTTGGACAACATGAAATGACATTTATCCACAATAATTGACAATCTGCATGGACAAAAGGATTTGGATAGAGCCATCGTCTGTTATACGCGGTGCCATTCAAACTGTCTGCCACTCACACGAAGCAAGGTCATGTCAAACTCGGCACTTTTTGCTATATACTCAAATGCTATATTATATATGCTAGTATTGTGTTCATCCAACTTCTTTATTTAATACAAATATTTGAAAGGAATTATAGCAACAATCAATCATATAAAAAGTGGGCAGGACGTCTAACTTTCTCTCAATATGAAAAATATGTTTTTTTCAGGAGTGATTCTACCGGAGAAAAATATATACCATTGCCTGAAATAGTTTGAGAACAAGAGTTTTATGTTTTGTGGTTTGATTGAACTGGTTTGAACCTTTGAACGAAGCGTTTCTGCTACTATAGTATGCCAATAACAAACTTTCTTGCCTTGGCAACAAGCTTCTAATTTATTTAACAAACAGGATGGTTGTCAACTTCTTTTTTCATTTAAGGGGCGGTCGAATTTAATTATATATACGTTTGAAAAACGTGTTAATTTTTTTTACAAAGATTCACCGCAATTCAGCACGTACAAGCAGGCAGCAGCAAGCCCGGAAGGCGAAGCCTGTCGTAATTTTTTCCCACTATATAAACTTGTGTGGAATATAGTCTCAATACAGTATAATATATGGATATATAATTCTACATAATTATGAGAATTGACTTTAGAGAAAGGCCACTGGACTAGACTTTAACTGGAGTTTATAAATACATATAGGAGATCCAAAAAGGGTATAGCATATATGCATGATATAATATATATGTATATATATATTCTAAGTAAAGGTTGTAGCCGATATCGCAAACATCCTATTTGTCTTAAGCTCTTGACTAAAACGAATTCGTAAAGATATTTATAAACGTATAATCAATATAGGTATATCGGCTCATACTGTTTTCCCGTTGAAAACATCTGGAACTAAAGGAATAATAAAAAAATATTGACAAAAGAATAATCTATTCCTACGAAAAATTTACTACCTTTCAAACATCCTATCACGCACTATATTAATTCAAACTGAATCAAAGAAAATAGCCTCCGGATATATAGTTATAGTATTCGAGAAAAACTAAAATCCGAGCAATTTGTCAATCATGCATGTTGATTGCTATATATTCAGTTGTTGAAACCAATTGATTCCAAACTATATCTGACGAGTAAAGTATTATATTGGGGTTTTTCCCATAGCCTATATGGCATATACATATACATGTATACTTTATTTTAGTTGTGAAGTCTAAATATTACACTTGACAACAAGGGAGATTGCGACAGAGCACAACCCTAACCAAGGCATTCTCCCAATAGCTACAAGGTTAACATATATAACTATTTACAAATTTGGACAAGATATACACACAATACAAACGTGGATTCAGACGATTAACAACATAGTCTGAGGTTATCTGAAGAAAGATTACGTATAGAGTTACATTTAAGACAAATAGAACGCCACGTACAAAAGACATCCACATCAAATACATGACGCACACCCAAGAAATACTTTTGCTTCAAAAGATTCTTAAAAATACGTGGTGATTTTACTTCCTTTACTGAGGTTACATACACATACATATTTTATTACATTTCAACGTATTTTCTCAAAACACGATTATATGCATGTTGGAGGCGTTCTCGTAAAAACTTGAGCGATAAACGACAGATGTAACTATCGAGTCTTGGGTTTTGTGTATATTAAAGCTACTTTTAGGTCCGCACCTTCTCCTGTAGTAGTGGAAGGAAAACTAAACCCGCAACCAAACCATCCATATTTTTATCATGCACGCGGATCAGTTTCGTTGATTCAAGATGATAATAATCATTGATAAAACGGTTTGAATAATATTTAAGTCTACGAAAGGCATGCAGTCTTCCTTCGACAGCTTTACTTATGAAATTATACGTTTTTTACAGTCGATTCAGGCAGAATTGTTTTATATCAAAACGACATGCAACGTAATTACATAATAATGAAGAAAGAAGGGCCTAATTTATATAGCTTTGCTGTTGAAATTAACACATATTGACAGGCATTGCCATTAGCTTGATTCTAGGCCTGTTGACAAACGAATAAATCAAATGTCTGCTTCATATATCATATCCATGCACACATGCATATAAAACAGCTTATAAAACTCCAGCATTAACTTGTAAACAACATTATCAGTATTTTTGCGAGAATTATACGCGGCATTTTTTATATATTTTTTTACGACCTATCTTTTCATTTATCTTTTCCCCATGCCGAGAAGGCAAGCAACTGCGAAAAAAGTATTAAAGCATTTATAATGAATATAGACTACATGAGCATTGTCTCAAAGATCAGATGATAGTTTGGGGTGAAAATTTAATCTATTTTCGGTCCATCTGGATTTTATTCAAATGCCTTGTCACTTTCAATCTGTTCTCCCTAGAGGTATACGGTTTATTATGGGTTCAAGTGCCATCTCGTGCATGTGGATTCCGCGGTTGCTACTGGAGGCAACATAAACAAAACTATAACTTTGAACTTTGAAGCATCGTGTTTATATACTCTGAACGTCAAGCTTATCATCCATCCAGTTTTACTCCACATACGTCTACGCTGGATGATCAGGGAGCCATCAGTATATAACAGGATTATAAGTTTAACGTTGAACTTGGGGCAGAAATTAGAATCGCACATGCATCCTCCCACGTTCGACAAAACACGAGGTCGTTTGGGCATGATGCATACATACATCATGACGAAGGAATTTTTAAACATCGATCACCGAACAGCAATCAATCGTCGCATTTTGCATGTGTCTAATATAAATTAACAACGACGTGTATAGATAACGTGGTGTCGCAACTGCATGCATGAGTTATCCCGTTGCTTCGAAAGCACTCGCGACTTACGCTAAATGAGTTTGTTCGAAACAGGTTATAATTAAAAAAAAAATTGATGTATATACCACCAGCCACGGCGCCAGCTTTAATCTCATGCTTGGAGATATCTCAATATAACCTGCATGTATATATATACATAAACTGATATACATGTCTACACATTAGCTAGTAATAGCTACACAGCATCATACATACATGATGTTATCAGCGACTTGTTATGCTAAGCATTATACCGTACAAAAAGCCGCGTGTTAACATGACGAGATATTGAATCGACGCGTATTGCATGTCTCCATACGGTTTTTATCAGCTTGCATATGAAGTATATTTATCAATTGACATTTACAGCGCTACGTGCATGCATTTTACAACTCAACAATTATTCGTTCTTTATAGAAATACATGCAGTATTGGAAAACCATTTCCCAGTGTTGAAGCGCGTATATTTATATATAATTATATTTTATCGTGTCCGTGCACTTATAATTTAAAAATTAAAACTTTACTTTATAATAATTTAGCTTATATATATATATATAGTATGACCATACAATACAAATGTGCCTAAATACTGCACAATTGTCATTAAACACCAGTTGACACAAAATCATTCTCGGTACAAAACGTGTTTTTTGTCTCCTTTTTCGACCGTGATTTCAGGAAAGGCAGCATTTTTGAAAAGGTTTTTTTGAACACCGCTCGAAATTCTGAGTTATGGCATGTGTATATATAGGGATTTAAACAAGAGTTTAAAAATGGCAGGCTGTACAGGAGCAACTGTCCCAATATTTCTTGGGTTTTTGGAGGCCAACGTTCGATGTACTGTGGCACATACTGCTGCATAACCACCAGCACGCACAGCGGAAGCCAACACACCAGGAAGGCACCAACGACGATTATCAAGGTCTTGGTCGCCTTCAGCTCCCGTATCGCGAAACGTCGTGGGCTGGAGTTCGAGCGAGATCGTAGCTGGGACTGATCGGCGCAATCCTCTGAGGATGGCGGAGTGCTGTAATTGCTTTTCATTATCTTAACGTGATGTTTCAACGCGATCTTAAACACGAGATAGTACAGTACAATCAGCACAACAAGTGGAATAATGATCCCTAATATCGTGGAGAACGTGTAGTAGATTTTATCGTTCTTTCGACAGAATGGGTGATGTATTAACCCTCCGTCCGACGACCACGTGTGCAAGGATAGCGTGGCGATCGTGAACGAGAATCCCCACACGATCGCTATACCGATGCGACATCGCGAGACGGTTGCAATCGCCAGATACCTTAGGGACTTGGACAGAGCTATATACCTGTCCACTGATATTAGAGAAAGGTTCACGATAGAGGCGGTGTTGCAGAGAATGTCCATGAATATCCAGAATTTGCAAGCGTGTTTCCCGAGCAGCCAGACGGTGTTCAGTTCGAAGTAGATGCGAAATGGTATGGCCAACACCACCACCAAGATGTCGGAGACGGCCAGCGACACGAGGAAATAGTTCGAGACCTTTTGCAAGCGTCGAACTTTGTACACAGCCGTGCACACGAAACCGTTCCCGAATAAAGCTGTGACAGACACGAGGATTAGGAATCCCGCGTGGAACTGCTCCCAAAAACGCGAATACGTTAAGGCGTCGGTTCCATTTGTTGCTGCCATAATTTGTATTGTTTTCACTTTTAATCCGACAATCGTATTTGTTATAATGACTTGGATTTTCGGATTCTTTTGTTTCAATGTCGGCGGCGTGATTTCAATTGCTAGAAACGCAGTTGGCAGTTAAAACTGCATGGCCTTAAAATAAAAGCAATTTGTGACAATTATAAAACAACACAATAAATCTCGATTCGAAAACCAAATCTTTGCACACAATGGGGAGCTAGAAACTATATATAGCTCTCTTCCAGTACAACCCTGCTTTTCTCGTAGAATATCAATGGTGTATCACGCGTTCGGAGTTAAAAATACAACCATTTTCTTTGTCTTCTTTCCACTTGAATTTTAAACGCAAGTACAGCTGTATTTTGAGGCTTTCACACCATTATTTATGATCCTTCCGTAAACGCTAAACTATGGTAATTGCACTATAACTCTTGTATCGTCACCGTCAAATTAAATGATTAAATACGTGTCCCTGTTTTTACAAGTAATTTAAGGACCTTGGAGCTTTGTAAGTGTCCATATGAAAAATGACAGTCGTCTTTGAATAATTTTGTAGAATGCGCTATCAGAGCTCCTTGAGAACGCCTTCGGAAATAGAATCTTCAAGTGTCTATGTTCAAGAGACTGTCATGCGTAAATTTAACACCTCGTCCCGAGAAACTCCGATTCTGTGCACGCAGCGTCCTGTCGATAATCGAAATAAAAACCAATTTGCCACCCGACGCACTAATTCACGCTGTGAGTTATGAAATTCCCTGATCAATTAAATCTCTCGACTCTGATATGTTAAAAAGTAATATCGTTGTCTGACTTGTATATGTATGATTAATGCAGCTTCGTCAGCGAAAAGGCACAAAATGTTTTATTTATGCGCCTCTCTAAACAATCGTTTTTATATTCGTAGTTGTTTATTTCAAGTTGCCAGGGTCCTGCCACCGAATGGCTTACGACCGCAGCTTGATTCGGGAAACTCGAAATCGTTGTACGAAACCGTGACCGGTTTTCTCGACGTATCGTCAGCAAAGACTGTTTTTCAACACTTGCAACGAAAGCTGATTTATTAATGTGCTTCCTCACGATCAAAGAGATGCCCCTCGGTGCGCAAGCCTTTGCAGTTAATAACTCTCTAATCGTCGTTATAGCTACCTGCTTTTTTCAAGAAATATTGTTCATGGTCAATTATATATCGTGGTCGAAACAAGATTAAATTAAACTTTATTGCGCTGTGTTCCTCTTTTAATCTGTCCCGCGCATAAAAGAATGGCCTTTACACTTATAGCTTATTATTGCGATCAAATAATTCCGCAATTAAATTCTACGCAAACAGGACCCCTGCCTCAGACTTTTGGACGCACGTTCACGTTTTAATTAGAGTCCCAAAATCCAATATTTGCTTCTCGTTTAAGAAGTTGCATGTAGATCTTTATGTACCAGTAACAGACTGTTATGTATACGTATATTAGCGATTATGTCCCAATGATGTGAGCAGACGATTTCAGAAGTAGAAACAGATGCAAACTTGACCAAAAAGTTAAACGAATTTTAAACTCTTCTGAGACTGAGGATATTTGTTTACACAAAGTTTGCACTTGTACCTGCTGCTACAATTCCTTTCCTTGAAAGTACATAATATATTTCCACTCGGCCGCGGTTCCTCCGTTCCTGTATCAAGTATCGCACACGAGAACGTTCCAACGTTTGGCAGGAGATGAAAGGAAATTGCTGGAATGCTAAATGATGTTGATTTTCCGATTAACAACAGTATATGTATAATATGCCAAGAAGGAGTAGATTGGATACGATATATCAAATTATAATCGACGTTGATTTGACCGCGAAGCGTATATGTCTTGCAGACTTAGACTTGGCAGGAGTGTGAAATATTTCTCACAAATTACCGAGAATATCCACTAGACAAAGTGCTTCAAAGTGTGGAGCAAACCAATCAGTCATTCGACTTTTATTAGTATGTTTGCGAAGCTAGTTAGCAAAAGCTGATTAAAACCAGATGTGTCTGAACAGGTTGAACTGTGACTCAGTGTATTAGTGCGCAGAGCACGTGGAAATATACGGTACAGTTTCTGCGAGGCTGGAAACAGAAAGCGGATGAGGGAACTTCGAAAAGAGACCAAATCAGTTCTGTACAAATTTAATGATACCATCCATTCCAGATCCGCCTGTCAAGTTCAGCTGATAATGTTGAAATCCAGATAATTGATCTGTTCCAACTGCTTTCTATTGTCCAAGACGGGACCAATGAAGATGGGTTATGCTGTTTTGTATCTTGTGAAGCCAGCCCTTCGACCAGAATAATTAATAGTAACTCGAAACAAGGCAGCGTTCGACGTTTGGAATTATCAAAATGGCAAAATATTCGAAGCCAACGTAGGAACTGTTGTGTTTTTCTTGAAGAAGCTTTGATCCAGTTCAACCCTGTCGTGAATATCAGAAACTAGCGAGATGACGAGATCCGTAGTACGTTACGACAGTATATGCAAGTTTTTAAAACAAGGCATAACAGCTCTGCGACAGAAGAGGAGTTCTTACTTCAGTTACTTGACTCATGAAATACAATTCTTGCAAAACGTATTTACTTGCGGCTCACTTGATGTAAACGAAGTAAGCCAGTAATGAAAGCCAAATTTCCTTTGGCCGACACGTTTTGAACTTTTACATATCTGAGTTGATCAACAATAATCCTTTAAGCCCCCTAATCCCCGTATCGTGTATATAGAAGGGCAGAAGATAACTAATAGCAAAATACCGTCTCTACGTGTTGAAGCCAAACCACGTTCGCGTCCCACGTATCAATTTCCCAACAGTCGTTCAACCCGGTCAGCCACTTTTTGTAAGACAAAACATAAACACAACTTAAAATTCTCCTGCATATACAATAACCTAGAGGTCACGTTAGCAAATTCTGTACAAAAAATGTCAATGTTGATGAAACTTATACCGGAGGTCGAAGTCTTTAGTTTGAAGTAAGTTGAACTTTGCTATTTCAACAAGAGGTTAGGATTCAGTGTATTGTAAACAGAAACCCCAGGATGACCACGGAGAAATTTCACACGTTCATCAAACAATCGTCATTTACTGTTGTAATCTCAAATCGCTTTTCCAACTGCGCACAATGTTGAGATCATACCCGATTATATAACCTGACTGTTAATCCACTGCCCTTCCGGGTAGAATATTCGATACGGCGCCAGTAAACGATGATGAAAATTCACAAAATTATTGTATCGACTTTTACACGCACGTATAAAATTCCTGCCAAAATTTCGTCTTTGAGGTGAGAGAGGAATTTACTATAATTGTCAACAGACGCGCGAGCCTGCCGGAGCATCCAAAGTGCAGGGACTGCAAGCGAGAGCTGATTTATGCTCTATTAATAGTTATTCAACTATAGTTTCCGTGCCAACATCTTCACAAAAGGTTACACAATGAAACTGCGGTAATGAAACAAGCAAATTGTAATTAGTAAGCAATATACTTGTACAATACCGTTGTCTTTTGTCAGCGTCAATAGTCAATTGCCTAATGATTTGCTATTTCGCGCAAATATGTCTTGTTTGTTAGTGTTAAATAGCTTTCAACAGCTCGGATCTTACAACTCGTTACATTAGGCATGACAATAAGGTAATAATGCACCGGCCAAAACAATACCGTGCACATGCCTGCGATAAATCATGCAACGAAGCCAACTGCGAAATAAATACACAGATCACCCACTTTAGTGTACGGTACATCACATTTTTACCCCATATAGTGTACTCTGAGATCAGTGGTTAAGGAATGTAAAATGTGCCCTATATAGTATCGTAAAACAAAGCTGCATGACTTGGGAGTTTTACAGTAGAACAACACTTGATAGATACTATCGTAAAAGGCTGCAGATGTAATCTTTGCTGTATAAACAAATCTTGCCTGATGAATTTTATTTATGACAGCTCGACGCATTAGCAACAAAAATATGCGCACATGCACGCATATAGCTACTGTATTTCTAAGCCATATTAAATTTTCTCCATAACACGAGTTCACACAGATGTTTTTTCAAGTATTATCGACATCTTGAATTGAAGATCTTTGTCTTCGTAGAGAGAGTGGGAGAGAGAGGGAAATGTGCCGGAAATTTGTATGTTTAGTTTTTTGCAAAATCCATAATATATCAAGTATCTATCAGTCACATATATATATATGTAAATTTTATATATAATGTGTTGTAGGATTAAATTTGAATGCCCGCTGGTTCACAGAATAATAAGTACGGCCATAAAATGAGACGAAAAGATTAGTGTTATAGTTTTATGGAAGATAGTAATTCTCCATTTTACTTTCGAATTTTCCGATTTTTCCTTTTCCATCATATAGAAGGGGAAAATGTCAAATATGCATCAAGCGAGTTGCAATGTTTCTCAAATTTACGTTAAAGGGATCTACATCACAATAAAGTCAATATGAAATCGACCACCGATTTCTGCCCGGTCTATAAACTATGGTTTTATCGAACCTGCACAGAGTCACAGACTCGTAGCCATGCAACTCTCTATTTATCTTCATAAGCAAGGCCAAGGTCTTGCATGACTGCTGATCCATACTTATTATATGTGGCGAAGGTGTGGGGAGCTCTATATGGTAGTACATCCAAGTTGGAATCCAACACGAACTAAAAATCGATAGATAAATTTGGCGTTCGAGAGATATCCGAAACGATTAGCGAATTGTTACATCATATCTCAGTCCGGGCCACCTGCTCAATGCTGACGCAAGTTTTCAGTGCATTTCTTGAATTTTGCAGGAATACCGCTTTCATGCATGTTTCTACCCGAACACATTACTATACTCATACGAAGTCCCAAATACGTCAGTTGCAAAATGATCAAAAAGACGGACTTCCCGGCCAAAGACGGACTTCCAAAATAGTCAAAATCACATCTACACCGGCTAAATATAATCCACGGTTATGCCACATTAACCTGTGCCAGATTGTCCGGTAAAAGCTCCACTGCATGAGCTCGATCGTCTGCCATCAAGAATTATCATATATAAGATTGATATAAAAAAGTTACCGCGATCAGTCTATACCGGCAAATTTTGCTTATTCATACTGTATACTAATATTATAGCGATTAGCGATCACGCCATGGCCACAGGCGAGTCGGCATCACTGACACATCTCATATCCAAAATGGTCAAACCGGTCATGTTTTGAGGTAGAGTATTTCGTTAAAAACAAAGCGGTAAAACTGCATTTCCCATGCAGGACAGAGGTAGATAGCAATCGATATAGCTACTTGAAAGTCTTGAATGTAGAGTTCTTTAAACACTCCAAAATACCAGTAATCTGTCTGTAATGAAACGAAACAGGACCTGGCCGTTTCTGCCGTATAAAGGAAAGCGCCCTATGTTTTTAAGAATTATATGCGAATAAATACATAAGTTATACATACATTTCAGTTTTCCCCCCAAAAAATATACAAGCATGGACGCAGTCATGCAAATGCAGACTTAATGCTCTAGATCTTTATCGCCAAAAAATCATCGGCTTACTGCAATATTGATATGAACCGAATACAAACACTGCTAAGTTGTTCAAAATCATATCAACTAGTACAATGTGTCGCGTGCAGGGGCTTCAAACCTCATAAATCATGCTCAATCCAGCCTACTTATAGTATTGTTTTACTTTATACAAAAGAGATTTGCTTGGAGCCTTGGCATCATTTCACATGTAATTGATGTTGCTAACACATTGCTGTGGGCAATACGTATATTTATTTTGTCTTATTGTTCCAGCGTGTTTGGAGAGTTTTGGAAAGTTAAAGTTTTTTTTTCAAATTGTCACATCGTGCTTAGTTGTGCCGGCCATCTTGGATTAACGAAGATAATGCTGGTCTTCCTGTTAAGGTCACATGCGGTCCCCCGCATCATTTCTTATCGTGTGTAAATCCTATATAGACCAATAATATTGACCGATTTTGCTTCTAGACGCTGGAAGCAATTTCACCGTTAATTCTACCGAGTGACGTCATAAGACTGTATGTAATAAAATAATAAGGGTGGAAAGTTGGCTGACAGTTCCTGGCTTTCTGTCAAAATACTTTATAAAGAAATTCTTTGAAACTAATTTGTTGAACTGACAATATGAAAAATATATGTGAAATTTGAAATAAAACTGGTATAACTTTTAAGGGTTACTTCCCAGTAACTGCATGGCAATCAAGAAACTGAATTTCACCCATATCACTATTGTCTATTGATTATTGTTGACTTGTTGTAATATTTATTGGTGCCAGAGTGATGGTCACTGGTCAAATGGGATGATGAGCAATAGAAGTTAGGTGATGATCAATTTCCTAGCAAGTAGTGGTGATCAAGTCATCTTATTGGTGGTGGTATCATGACATGATGGTAATCACTGTTATGATCTCTGCAAAAAGTGCTGTATTCTGTAGTGTTGGATGGGACAAAGTACAGTATTTATAGTGATTATGATCCTAATGCATAACTTTAGTTAAAAATGTACCTCTCAGGTGCTTGATCTCTTGCTTTTAAAGTGTTTGTTGGACCAATCAACTGTCTCCAATATGAAATGGCATCTTCTCGACCAAGAACTAATGCCACAATTGGTCCACTGAAGAAAAATGTAAAAGCTAACAGGGTATGGTCAAGTTGAACTTCATTAATGAACTTTATTTTGAACTTTAAGATAACTGTTTGCCAAGGATACACTCAAACCAATTCACGCAGTATTAGATTATTAATACATGTCTGAATCTAACTTGCACATGTGTGTGAGAGCTAGGAAATTATAAAAACGTTTATCATCCTTTACGCACGATCATGTAACACTTCATACTCTGAGGGTATCACACTTCTGAATGCTTTGTTCACAAGTCATGAAGATGTTACAAGCTATGCAGTGGCAATGATGTAAGTGTATTATATGAATTAATGTAGGGAATGTTTACTAGCTGCTGCAATTAAAGTAAACTGAGCCATGCTTCACCTGCTAATGTAAGCCACCAAACTTGGGAAGAACATTTTACCATAGTGCTCAGCATAGAAATCACTAGTCTGTTCAGGTGTGAGGTGCACTTGTCGTTTCTAAAAGGTAATCACAATTACAATTTGGTTAGGCAATCGAGCCTGTTTATATGGAAATCACTTATTGTATCCAGCCATAGGCGTACATGCTGTGGGGGCTGCAATTAATGCACCATACATTTTTCAGGCAAAATATCTGATGAAGAAAGTCCTATGAAGAAAGTTTATGAACATTCTTAAACATTCATGACGACGATGGGATGAGTTGTGTGGCACTTGTGTCTCAATTGAGAGGGTGCCATGTTACTCTGCACTATATATAATTACATGAGGTAATGTTGGTTGGTGGCATATCTTATTTGTTCAAAACTCTACCCATCTTTAGAAATTAATCCAGGTGCATTCCATGCAGCTAGGTCACGCCTGGCATATTATGCTCGTTGACCAGAATCGGCCTATAGCCTTTCTATATAGTTTGTACATGAAATGCACAACTGGACAGTGGACACTGGTTGTATCCAGGAAAGTGTTTCCGTTTTACTCTTAATTATATCATGTAAACAGCGTGTTGGCTTTTGTGCTCAGTTTATACAACAAACGAGCTCTCGTTGATGCCGAATAGCCAGCCAAGCGGGTATTAAGCTCCAAGAAAACAGTTCTCAAGTATTCAAAGCAACTATACCTGTAAAATACTGAATCCATGTTGTTGTATAATTTCCTCTATTTCGTCTCGTTTATCGATCGCATCTGGTTTTATTATAGCCAGAGTCCTTCCTAAGTTTATAGGGGTGAAGGAATCAACCACAGGGCTCTCTTCTTCAGGCATATTTTACGGATAAACGAGTAAAAAATTGCAATGTTTTCTTCTAACGTGCGAAGTTAAAGTTGCTTCGACGCGTTGCTATGGAAACACAAAATACGGCTGTCAATGTTGCCACTTTGTGAAGGACGCTTTCCTTTTGGAGGAAAATCCATTCTACAATTGCTGCAATGCTGCATACGTATTGATCATAAGTTGATACAGTATACAGAGCCTCGATTTATTATTTTTTTAACTGTTGACAACCTCAAAATTACGTTTTATGATTATCTATAATCATGTTAAATGGAATTGCAGTTTTGGCAAAATATACTGAATAGATTGCTAAAGTGAAAAGCAAACAGCGAATAGGAGGACAAGCTGTAGAGACGAAAGATTTAGTTTTCTTTTCTCGCTTTCATATAACTGTGAAAAGTTCCGAAGCTGATCGTCACCTGCTCCTGATCTTCACTAGATCAATCCAGTTAGATTTTCAGCAATATTTTATATACCCATAGCAACGAGGCAATCAAACGAATGCGTGAAGAAAGAAATTAAAGGCGTTGTTTACTAGATTAAGATTGGAAATAGATTATTAAGCTAATAATCCCGAAAAATTATTTTGCTACAATTATAGGTTTTTAATCCAGTTAGATTATGATAGCGCTTAATTAACAAAATTACGAGCGGAGGTGACGAAAAAACTGTCAATATTCAGTTTTTCGGCATGGAATAAAGTTATAGACCCCAGTTACAATGAAACACTGTAAAACATAAGGGAGTGTTTTTATGTCACGTCCGCATCGTAGATTTGGTGAATCGTATACTGAAAAATTGGTTAGGGGCAATGACGCCATCTAGTAATTATGACGTCAGTAATCAGACGCAGCAAAAAGCAAGCGAAAATATATTTGTGCCAAAAGGCGCTTTATTTTTTTGAAATAAAAAAAGGAGAATAAAGTAGATTATTATTTTTTGATTCTCCTCAAAACCATGACTAAAATTTCACGAAGAAGAAAGATTGCGAGCTGGGAAAATGTGAAGGAAAAAATTCAAGAAATCATGGAAAATGTGCCTGACCACACCACAGCTTTAAGTTTGCCGTATGGCATGCAAGGTCTTATTAACTAACATTTTTGGCCCAATTTTAAATGCTGCACAGTTTATTATTCTTTGGTTCTATGAAAGGAGGTGAAACGCCTCGAAGTTATTTCATTGCTCGTCATTTTGGCGAAAGTTCATGGTTATTGCCAATATTGGCTTATTGCAAACAAAGAATAAGGTTATCATAAAAAGTTGATCAGAGTTTCTTGTACGGCTATTCCACGATAGAGCGGATAGCCGATAAAGCTTCGAAGCGTTTGTTATCTGTCTACACAATGCATACTCAGATACTCTCATGCAACATGTCAATCTCCATAGTCTAATAATCAACTAATCGATTTTCTATCATTTCCAGGTTTATATGACATCTCCCATCCTGAACCCATCCGAATTCTTCTTCATCCACATATAAACGACTATGACTGTTTTGTGACTCACCATGGCAAAGCGAAGAAATTCTGGTTAAATTTATGGACGGTCAATCAGAAGGATTCACAGCCCGAAAAGAAGAACACGAAGATTCAGTTGAACTATCCGCTGAAACATATTGTGTACGTCGCCACACACAGATGCTTTGTAGCCTTTGCGACCGACTTGACTCTGCGCGTCTACGCAACCGTTAACTTCATCGAGATGTCACGTGCGGAAACGAGCCATAGCGTGCTGTGTTTGTATTATAACGCGTGTCGGGACGACGTCCTCACGGGCTGTCTGGGTTTCGTGATGATATGGAAGTTTCCTCAGGCGCAAACCGATCCGTTATTCCCGACCCAAAGAATCGAGTGTCCGGCCATACATCCCGACTACTGGGTGACATGGATCAAAGTCGACAAATCTTCGAGACAGTTGCTGCTGAATTGCGAAGAAGCGATGATTGTACTTGATGAACGAAGCTATGAACTCAAGTATAATTTTAACATTGATTTACGCCACAGTCTACCATTTACAGCATGTGCCTTCTATCATCCAAGCTGCTACTTTATAACGGGTGAGTCCATTTTTATTTGTTTCAGGCAGTTTGAATTTGACATATCGTCCATAAGTTTCTTTTTCAACACATTTAATAAAGCCTAGACCCTAATTATTAAATTTTTATTTGGTGTTTAAAAAATTCAAAAGCAAAGCAGGAGATTTTCGTGAAAGGGTAACGTCTATGTTCGGCGATTGCTAGAAATTAACGCAAAACATGCGAATTCTAAAGCAGAATTATTGAGTCATTGTAATTGGGTCCATCAAATTGAAAGGGCATTTCTTGCCGCCCTATGGGGCGACTGCCCTGCAGCTCCCCCCAGCCATGGCGTCCTGCGGTCACTCCTACCTGTTCAAAGCTCAGTAGGTAGCGCAGTTACCTTTACCTTTTGATGTGGAACTGCGACCTGTATTATCGCTGGAGAGAAGAAGAGATTCAACTGATTTCTGGTGATTACATTGTATTACGACCTTTTGCCACGAAATTTCTTGAAAAACGTATCCAGCTATTTTTAGCTACCTATCGCTTCCAAAAAAGAGGAACATTTTCGCGCCACCCGATATACCTACTTTTTCAGTGGATGGGTGTAGAGTAATTTTTTAGACTGATGAGTGACACCCAGCTCTCATGTCTCATGAAAAAATGTGAAACAACCGCTTTGCTTTCTTCCGAAATCGACGTTTGATTATAGTCCTGTGTATGTAGGATCAAAAGATTACGCCGTCAAAGTGTGGAACACAAGTCTTAATCAATGTCCTTTGGTCACTAGTTTTTGTGGTATGTCTTCCTTCTTGTATATTTTATATTTCATGTAACAATGTTACTAGACCGACTATATAATTAAGTGCAAAATTGGTATTAAATGTTAACTGCTTGTCTAATTGAAATCATGTTTATGAATCTGTTTTCATTAGTATTTACATTTTTACATTCTATCTAGTGATCAGTTGGAAAAATCATGCCTTTACCCAGTGAACGAAAGGCTTATCACGATTTATTTGTTGTAGGCACAACCTTGTGTTTTAAGGTTCAGGCATGTTGTTATAGGGACACAAAATGTAACCCACTTTCTAGCTCCTTTTACAAAAAGTGAAAAATACATCCAAAATGGCGGATAACCACAAATAGAAACTATGACGTCAGTTTTAATTTTGTAAATTTGTCCCTAGGACATTGCAGGGCCATAACCGCACTGGAAGTCGACATCCCACATCACCTCGTGATCTCAAGTTCAACGGACAAAACCATCCGTTTATGGTGTTTGGAAACTTTCGCGCTCACATACGTTTTGGAGACTGGAGAAGAGGTACACCACATGGAGCTCATGACGTCACGCAGGCTGTTCTACCAATCTGACGAGCATATTCGGGTTTGGAACCTGAACCACTTTCACACATTGTTTACGGTCTTAGGGTTCGAAATTGTGACGTCACGTCGCGTAGTGTCACGCGGGTTTCCCACGCGGTTGTTACTGCATGGTAAAGATGGTGCTATAAGAATTGTTTCCCCGAGTGATGGGACAATTATTACCACCATGTTTCCCCTTCAAACCCTCCCTGAAGGAATTGCTGACTACGCGTATAATCCACGCGAGGATCGACTATACGTGGTGCTGACGTCTGGTGCAATATTAGTCTTTAATACCAGAACAAATCCTTGCAGGTGAGTGCGCCTGGTGGGTGTGCAATGGGCTATTCCATGTATCACCTTTAAGACTTATCACACGAGTCATTTCTTGTTTTTTATAGGCCCATTTACACATGCAATTTTAGCTGTGATTCAGATATGATTTTCTTCAGTTTAGATAGCTGTAAACATGTGTTGTGTTAGAGATAATCAAATAAGGAAAGTTAGGAAACCTTATTCATCAAAGCATTCTTAAATATTCCTTCATTTACATCAAAGGAATTAAATCGCACAGCAAAAATTGTAAGCGTAAACTAACGTTAAGTAACTAGTTAGTAGTTACAAAATTAATGTTCTGTTGGTAACTAGTTACAATTGAAAACAAATTTCAAAAAGATTCCTGAACTTTTACACCACTGCTTTCATGTATGCGTCATTTTGGTCCACGTTGTGCAAAATTGATTTCCGATATTTTCAGTGCTTATCAGTTATGGAAAACAGAAATGTTTGGCAGCGAAAGAGTGACATCAACTTCCTTTGCCGAGACTTACGGAGTGAGCTGTGTTGCTATGATGAATATTGACGAACGAACTGCGGATGATGAAATATATCATTATACGTTGTTGTTTGCTGGTTTGAATAACGGACATATCACGTTGGTATATAGCAATGGTAAGAGTCATGAGAGTATTTTGGTGAATGTCTACAGTATTTAGTCGTCCCAATGTCCCATTCCCACTCCCACACGGCAATCACTGGGAAATGTAACATCATGAAATTCTTCTTATACCTTGCGATGCAATTCTGGAGTTGATGCATGCATGCTTTTCGATTGTAACTAAGCAAATGTGAATCAGACTAGATGTAGAAAGACTAGAAAACATAATTCACGAGACCTAAAGAGAACAACGTGCAACATTATTAATATTACACACTACGTTTAATCGAGTCATTCATATATGCAGACTAACTACTACCTGAAGTTTGCTAATGATAAATATATAAGCTCAACAGCGAAATATAGGAGATGAGAATATTAATATTAATATTATATAAACCCCCTTGATCAATTATCAAGTACAAACTCTACGTAAATCCTAAACCTGACCCTGATCCTTTACTATATGAAGCTCAAATCCTTTACTTCAGTAAATGAAGCTACTTTTCATTTTATTCCAGAATCAAGCATGCATGATACAATTGAGGCCCATTACGGAAAGATAGCGCTTCTTCGTGTATCGGAAGGACTCGAACAAAATAGGCAGAGCTCCTTGTACTCCGCCATATTGGTATCGTGTGGTACCGATTGCGAACTGAAAGTATGGAAAATTGAGTTCCGTAATTATTCTGCCAAGATCATTTCACTTGAGCTGTGGAGTTACGTGAAGTTGCTAAGCATACCTCGTGATATGGAGACGATTGGGTACACTATAGGACTTGTTATGGATGATAATGCACTTGTAACGTGCAGGTAAGCGAGATAAATAGGTAAGGTGGTGGATAAGAAGGGGCTCATTGCCTACACTCATTGCCTACATTTCACTTGTCCATTGGATCCAATGTACAAATATATGTCTGATGGCATTTTAAAATGCCTGTTGGACATTTTTAAAAATATTGGACTTCAATCTTTATGAGCATCCTCTTCTCACACAGGTATTAAAAATATCATTACTTTATGTAGGAATGTAGTTCGCACGCTCTAAACCTTTGCATGATCTATAATAACTATATTAAATCTTTTTTGCAAAGCTTAGCATAGCCATAGAAGCTTAAGAAAAAAAAGTTTCGTGTTTGCCCAACCTTTCATTGAGTAAATAAGCCTAATCTTAGGTACATTTTACTCACTTAGCTCTATTTGCATAACAGACGGCAAACATGCTATAAAATTACTCGTGAATTTTGAAACACATCTTTTCTCCTGTTTTTAGGGTGAACCACGAGTGCGAGCGGCCGGCACGAAGCAGGCACAGCCAACGAGATTCCATATCAAGAAATGGCCTATATGAAGTAGACTGTTTTACATCAACCGCTGAAGAAAAACACTCGAAAACTATTACTGGGGTATGAAAAACGTTTCGACCAACATTTTGCATTAGTATACGTTAAGGACTTATGGGTATAATACTTATTACTAGCAAACATCGTTCATGGTATAATAGTTACTTTATTACTATACAAATTATAGCCAGTGGCAAACGAGAAGAGTGCTTCTAATGTGCTTAACCAAACATTGTAGGATCTCTTCGATTCGGTTTTAAGTATATTTGGGACAACTTTCTTAGAGGAGGGGAGTAACAATACCTTCACAGATCCATGCAATATAAGCATTAAGCAAGTCAAAAAGTGTTCAATATTATCAAGATGCAAATTCAACAAGAACACCGAGACTGTTTATCAAATATTGCAATTTTTATCCCATTAACATTAATGAAAAATGAGCTGTTCGAGAGTTAAGTTATTTACCTAACTAATCGCCCCACAATGGCCGCAAGAGATTATAATAATATAATATAGTAAACGAATAAAGTCGCTGTCTGACCGGCTCTAGTCTTTCTCTCATGGAGAGTTGTGTATAAAAAACTGTTGACAAATCTAAATTCTACACTTCTATACTGTGGAATTAGAAATCGAACTTATTTAAAGAGGACACAGGCTATTTATCAAATATTGACACTTTTACCTCATTACAATTAATCACAATTTGCAATGACTTATTTTTTTTCATATAAATGATTAAACAAAAACCGAAAATAAGAACAACGAAAACACTTGGAAAGCTGAAGTGGGAAAATGTTCTTCCCGAGGGAAATCACATGCGGATTGATGGATACTCGAGTTTTTTAACTTTCAGGAATTGAATTACACATGCAATATTAAAAGCTTAAATGAAAGTAGACATGCGCATGCGTACTGACATTCTGGGCCCCGTTGTAAAGAAATTTATCACCAAGGCTTTTGGTGTCAACTGCAATTTAATTCAATTTAACTGCAAAACAAGTACTTAAAAACGTAGTTAAGATTTAAGGCCGTTTTCCACTTCATCCGAATCGTAGCGAAACGTAGCGTATCTCATTGTTTTGATGTCATTAGCTCTGGTCGAATACTCCGGAAACAAAGAGATACGCTACGTTACGCTACGATACGGTTGAACTGGAAAACAGACCTTAAACGTCCATACAAACGGCTTCTTATATCAAACTGTTTGAATTTTCAGCTCTCTGCCTGTTCCACACTCGGTCTATTCGCGACTTCAAGTGATGACTGGAGTGTGAAGATTTGGAACACTGAAGCTAAACTATTGAAAGAAATCTGTTTTGAGGAGTCCTTGCGTGGCGTGTGTTTTGCGAACACACGTGGGGATCTATTGGTTGGTTTCCAGTCTCATATCAGCATTGTTCCGCTCACCAACTATCTCCCTCTGAGAATACTCGAGATGCTGTCGACGATGGAGTTTCCTGATGACATTTTTGAACATCATTTACCCTTTGATCCCATGTTGGCTTTCTCGTACGACCCTTCAAGTACGCCATGCTTGCCGCTGGACCTTGGGCAGAGAAGACTGTTGCTTCAGCAACAAGAGGAACGTAGTGTGAAGGTACTGGGTATATAGGGATAGGGCAATATCAATTCTATTTGAGCCAATCTATTTTTCAAGGTGGTTTTTTCTCCGGGATTTTCCGTCCGATTTTTCAAATTTGATGGGTGCCAACGGACAGAATAGTTGAAATAGAAGTAACCACTAGGAAGAAACCACTGAAACCATCGATTTTAGCCTGGTTTCCTCATATGACGCCGACCTGTCGCAGACTTAGTGTCTGTAATCATCCAAGGAAAAAATGATTTCAGAAAGACAAAAGATTTCACTCATCAATATTCACCGACAATAATACTTTGCCGACGTCGGCGTCATAAAACAGGCTTTACTTTCCCCGTATGGTTAAAAGATTGGTTTCTACCTATACAACGCCTATAGTATAATAATAACTATAGCTCGTAAAACTGCGTGGCAGCGTAGTAATCATGCAACTTTCGTTCATCGAAAACAGTGTTTTGCTTCTATACCTTGGCCAACGCTCAGGATCCCATCGGCGCTATTCCTGCTGGACAGTCAGCTTGAGGAGGTTCCTGATGCCGAGGAGATTTTGCCTCCACCACGACGTTATTCAACAACCCAGGAACAAGAGGAACTGGATGAAAAAATACGGAAATTTCAGCGGTCATCTATGAGCAGGCGCAGTTCAGCTATGCATTCGCCGATATTGGAAGATGTTATTGCTAGAATTACGCAAAGTTTCAGCTCCCGGTCTGATGAAATTGTAAGTACGCCCGGTCATGTCGGATTTTTCGCGAGTATTTCTTTTGTGTATCGTCTCACTTGCACGAGGACAAGGAATTGATCAGCTCAAACGCGATTAAACTTAACTTTAGTAAAGTAAAAAACAAAGTCCGAAAAGACAAGACATCGTGAGAATCAATATTTGAATCAAACAAGACACAGGTTGAAACTGAAAATTTTCAACTTCATTTTAAAATCATCTTCAGACAGAATATCTGACCGACAAAATGACTGTCAATTTCAATCTGTCTTGTTTGACTCAAATATTGGTTCTCAAGATGTCTTAAACGAAATTTATTCATACTTTTTTTCCTAAACGAAATTTATTCATACTTTACGCTTACCATAATTGTTAAATGGAGATCTGCATGTCCTGAATCAAACGAATCTTGTAATTTAGGAAAATACTTAAGCTCAAACCGTCTAATTAATTAAATTACTAGCTTCAAGGTCATGACATCACGTTGTGTTACGATTGGAGAAAATCTGTTCATCGCAATGTAAAGAGAACGAATATTTTGCTGTTGCGTACTAGTTGATGTACCCCAATTCAAACCGCTTGTTTTTATTTTAGCCCGGGGTGAAGGTGGAGTTGTCATCCTCCAATCTGGTAGAGCAGCTCCGGCGGCTATTCGGCAGTGACGAGACTAGTATTCCCGACAACTATTGGCCATGTGCGCCTGATGGATACATCCCGAACTCTGTCGTAAGGCAGAGGGTACCCCCTAAAGAGGTACCCGAGCATCTCATCCCCAGGTTGCTGAGAGGGGAAGATGCAAAAGAATGGATAAGAAAAACTAAGAAGAAACGGATTAAAGATAAAGTAGGTAAGATGTATGGGGATTTGAGAAGATGGGAGTTGATTTAGGATGTCGTTAGTATAAGCTATATCCAAATCTGGCCTGCATGGGACGGTTGAGAACTGGCACTGGAAAAGTATAAGTAATGTTATTTTAGATTACAATTGCCGTGCATTGATTTCACTAGAAATTGCCGAGGATTATTACATTCCGTTGGACGATGATGATGAGCTTGGATTCTTCTCAATATTCGATGGTTATGACGAAGCCAATTATGACCATGAGAAGAAAAGTTTGCTACTCGAATCGTCTGATGAAGAAGATAAGATCTGCGAGGGCGAGGAGGTCAAGGAAGAACTGGACTCCAGCGAAGATGAAGAAGAAATGAAAATGAAATGGAAAGCTTCAACTAAAACAACTATGAGCAAGTATGACAGTTACTGTTATACATTTCTCCCGCCATGATTGTTTATTACCCGTGAAATTGTGAAAAAAATGTGTGAAAACACCTCTTTTAGCGCTAATGTAACTGTACATTAGCATAGAAATGATATTTGTTTATTTTCAAGGGAACAGATGCTGTCAAATATTCGCGCACGACAATCTATGCGGGACAAAAAGAAAGTCAGCAAAAAACCTGCAATGCCCATGATAATAGCTGCTGAGGTGAGTTGATTGTTTTCGAAAAGTCGGTCATCGTATTGAAAATATCAAACATGATCACAAAATAATGATCGCGGTGAACCTTACAGCCTACCAATTCCTTTTTCTCCTCCTTCAAACATACTTGGTTCATGGTTTCCACTTTTAGGAAGAGGATGTAGATGACGCGTGCAAACCGGAAGTGACGAAAGTTGTGACCAGTGGAAGTCACCAATCACCAGAGACAAAGAGTGCGACTAAAGAACCACAAGACCCAACCTTAAATCTGCCTCCCATGTTACGGCAAGTGGTTGAACAACCATGGTTTCCCAAGGCCTCATTGGTTGAGGGCATTACTGTTGAGGATATCTATAAAGAGATGATAACATTAATGGCTGACTGCGCTCCACTAACTTACGGGAAAATTTGCGATCAACTTTTAGACCTCATCGCGTAAGTATAGATCTCTACGTTTTTAAATTTGCGATCTCCATTTGAAGAACAGGTCAGAACCAATAGGTATCTGTTAGAGAGTGTTAGTAACATATTACTTGAACTTTTGCTAAAGAAATACTGGCATCTCGAATGAACAAAAGGAAAAGATGTTAAACGTTGTTGTTGATAATCTCCGTCATCCTGCAGCTGGTATTCGTCGTGCGAGCATCAAAACTGTTCATGAATTACGCTTCATTTCCGACGAAGTTGTTCATGGAATTGTTTCGTGTTTGGCGAGCGGCTCTCAAGATTTGCAGAAAGACGCTCTGCACGCTTTGGAACAGTTGCTGGGTAAGAGGTTGTTTTCTTTATACCGGGCACCATGCAGGCACGCGGGGGGATGGGGGGGGAAACCATGTCTTTTTTGTATTTGACCTGCATATATCTTTAAAAATAGATTAGCACTTGATTGGCTAATTCTGTTTCTGTAGCCAATGAGAGAAAGTTTACGGACACCATTTAAATATCATATATGAAGTGTTGTTGTTATATCTCTTTTCAGGGATCAAAGACAAAGAGGCGTTACGAGATCTCTTCGTCAAAATCGGCATCTTATCTCGTTCACCAACTCCAGACTCGGACACACAGGAAGAAACACTAACGCACCGCCTTAAAACTCGCACCAGGGAAAGTTTTAATCTTCTTAAGACTGTGGGGGACGACGCTAGGGTAGACATGAATAAATATATACACGATTGGTTAGAAGTAGAAACCAAGCCTTCTACGGCTTCTGATCAGAGCGCTATCCCTATTCCTGAAGTCAAAGTCGAAAAATTCACGACTCGTAACGGTGGAAAAATTAAGATGGCGTCGTCAATCGTGTCGAAGATAAAGTTATACAAGGTTTGCTGATTTTTGTATGTAGCTACCTCGATAAAGCCTATAATCGCGGATCGTATTCTGCTTTGTACCTTGGTGTACTGTTCATATACCCTTACCGTATATTAAATATATATTTTCCATTTAGCCCGAACCCCGTCTTTCCATCGTCGACCTGACATTTAAGGACTCATCAATATCCTCCCGCGAAAGTTCCGAAGCTGAGGAGATCGCCTCCCCTCCGATTGAATATACCCATGATCTGATGCAAAAGCTTAAGCGTACTAGAGCTGGCTGCAATCTACTTTCACGGTTGGGATATGACGAGACTCCTATGTATACATTAAACTTTGAGGTGCCTGAAATAGAGAAGGAAGCTGTGACAATTGAAGCACGTTCAAAAACGGAGAAACGACCACCAAGCGCTCTCACGGTAAGGAGCCTGTAGCTGGTGTGACCAGGTTGTGGGAACACTTTATGGTGCGATTATAGACAATCCAGAAGTCTTCTGGATTGTCTACGGTGCGATCCATGCGGATTGTGACTCTTTACACGCTCTGACGTTGCTTGTAGTTTGATATAGTCTTGATTGAAGAGTCGAGTCCTTTTCTATCATTTTGCGGTTTTACGTATCTGAAGGTTAATTGCTTTCCCAGTATTCTACAACAGTCAATGTAATCATTATCCGATGGATAGCGTGCTATCCAGCCTTCGTGCAAACCAAAGTTATAGTATCGCCCCATGCAGGGTAGTCTATTCACTCGATGGTGACCTCTCAAAGTTAAACCAATTAAAATTGCCTGTAGCTGGGAGCCTGGGAAGCTGCCAGCTGGTGTGACCAAGATTAACCGTTGTATTGAAGTAGAGGTTTTTTAATATTGAGCGCATATCTGTAGTGTTATTTTTTGCTGCAAAAAAGAAAATCACAATTGCAGGTGGATATCCATGCAGCCTTTGTACAACCGGCCTCCTGTACATTCGATCTCTTATTTCGTTTATTCAGAATTTGATAATTTGCTACTGTAGTAATTGGGGTGGTGTAATTAGATATAGACTTCTAGACACAACCTAAAAAAAAAAGAAAATCTTTCCGAAAAAAGGCCACTCCACTGACTTATAGAAGTCAGCACTGGGCATGCATGACAAACTGCAGTGCAGTTAGCATGCATGCTGTAAGGTAGTCTATCTATACACCAACTGAAGCCGTTTTTTAATAACGGAAAATTATCGGATACCTAAACAATAGCGTTTACTGGGTTTACTATAGCGTTTACTGGGTCAGTATTTGGTGGATGTGATTCTCATGTCCATTGCATGGTCATTACAATGCGTGAAAATAGCATTTAGTTTGATGTGCAGTATCCATGGAATTTGTTTGATGACTTTACCACCGAGCACAGACTGTGAAAAACAATGTTCGCTGCATGTCAAAAACAGTCTTCTGATTAGATCTATGAAGGATTAAATATCTAATGTTATAATTATCTTTTATAATAATTTGGTCAGTGAAGGTGTCTCGCCATGAATGTTTTGAACTTCAGTATGTTTTCCTGTTTATTCTCCGTGGGTTTATTTATCCTCCTAGTCATCAATCGAATAGTTCTTTCACGTCTTTGCATAACTTTGCTATCGGTTTACAGGGCTTTGCCTACGGAAAGAACAGAAGACATGTGGGGTCAATGTCAAGCAAAAGCGAGAAAGAATGGGACGAGTTTGACCAAGATTATATGAAATCTGGGGGTGAATGTCGCGAGAAAGGTTCTTATACCAATGTCGTATTGAGACTTTCAGTTAGTGACCGATTATAATACAGAAATAAAGGCAAACTTATACCTGCTCAACTATTTCTCATCGGTGAAATTCACTTTTTCACGAAATTCAAATTCCCATGCACTTAAAATGGAAACTAGGCTTTACATCATTCTATTTCAGATGTATCTCTCTTAGTAGACCGACACTGACAAAAATGATAACTCGAGCTCCATTTGCAGGCTATACCTACAATTTTTGGCACGGCGCTAAAAAATAGGTACGGATTCGGCATTATAAGACGATTCATTATTTCACAGATATGGCTAGTTTTCCTGATATCAAGATCTCAGACGTCTCAGTCATGTCCAGAAGAAGCGAAATAAAGCGAGAAAGCGACAACTTGGTCTTACCCAAGATATTGACAAAAATAAAGGCAAATCGAAGAAATTCGACTTTGGACGCTTTCAGAAGGCGCAATGGTCGTATAAAACGAGCGTACAGCATGGAATCACCAGGTAAGTGATGTCTGTGCATCGTTATTTTTTTTCTTTTTCCGGCATTTGTTGAGTAGCTACATGCAGTCACTGCATGAGATTCTGGATCATTACTAGAACTTTGGAAGGTCTTATGAAAACCAAAGGCTGGATAGCGCTACCCACCGGATAATGTTTTCTCCGCAATCGCTCTAAAATCAAAGTTATGACCACACAACGGCCAAATTTGAGAGCGACTGAAAAAACCACCATTTTCCGGTGGATAGCGCTCTACAGCCTTGGTACAACGGCCCCAATCCCAGGCTTTCATTGCATTCGAGGTTCATGCTATATATCCTGGCTATGTAAAACCGGCCTAATACAACCTAATAATACGTCTTGTAAGGTAACCAGCAGATTGTTGTTACACCAGTATGACTAATTAGAGCAACATATAATGAGAAAGAAGATCGGGTTGTCCACTTTGGCAAATGTATCCGCTTGGACAAAGCATTCAGTTATATTTACTTCTTACGTGTATCTTCATTGGTGTGTAAATGAACTGTGTAAATGAACTTATATACTTATGTGTGGGCCTTTACTTTCTGTGGTAGTAACACAGGGTCACAGACAGATATCTTGTTCTATTCAGTGACATGATGAGTCTAATTTTGGGTGATTTATATTTTCAGATTGGAATGATAAACTATTGGAATGGAGGTTCCGGAAACTTAATCAGAAGCATGGAGGGCAGGTCAAGCAAACAAGTCAGAAGCACCCAGAAGCTTCTAACACGGATAGCCGGGGTAAGTTATTTGGACCATTTCTTTCAATATTGATCAATAGACTTACTTATTAACATAAACTTTTACTACCTTTGTTTCACTGTACTTTATTTCTACGTGGGATTGAAATTGATATCTGACGTGTGGGGTACTTTTGATCTTACATGGGAGAATGGATGTATAATGCATGGCTAATTAAATTCTTTTGCACAGCAGAAGGCGAAGAGATGAAAAAGCCTGCCAGACGTGTAACAATCACCGAAGCCTCTGTTGATTGTAGTCGTCGAAAATCCATCCTGAGAAAACTGCAAAGAAAACGGCTTGAAGAGGAAATGCTAGCAGGGAAACTTTTACAAAGACACTCATTATCTACGACGACATCACTTCGGGTTCCGACCCCCAGCGAAGATAGTTTACCCTCACCAGGTTCCACACGGATATGTGAGGCCAACGTTCAATTACCGAAAATTCACATTCGTTCAAAGCAAGCTGAAAGAATTAAAACTTTAAGGGATTCTACGGGTAGAGGATCGGGCGATATAGCCCACGAGGAATTATCAGGTGATATAACCCGCAGAATTGACACTCGCTCGAATCTAGTCGGAAGAACTAAGAAATCAATAGATGATGATATGACTAAAGGGCCTATGTCAGATAATATTAACCGTGGTGTGCTATCTGGTGATGTAAACCGCGACGAATTATCTGGTGATATAACCAGCAGAATTAACACTCGCTTGAACCTAGCCGGAAGCACTAAGACATCAAAAGATGATGATACAGCTAAACGGCACATGTCGGATAATATTAACCTCGAGGTGCTATCTGGCGATATAAACCGTGAGGGGTTATCGGGTGATCAAATTAGCGGAGTATTATCGGATGATTCAACACGCGGGATGCTATCAGGTGATATGACCTGTACGGTGTTGCCGGGCGACAAAGCCCGGTTTCTAACGGGGACTAATGTTCCATATTCACTATGCACTGATGTTTTTGGTGAACGTTTGTCGCAAGGTACATCCGTGTTGGCGAGGAGACCTTTGGATGGGCTAGGGATGAAAAACGAAGCATTACGCGTTCTTCCTGTGAATCCCAAATTGACCATTGATACCGGTAAATGTACCTAAGCCTTGTTCCTAAATAAATGGATTTTAGTATAATACTTCGTTCAGTAGGCCACGAGGCTAGCAAAAGTTAACTATTCTGTTATTTTCTAGGTTGCAGTAAATGGGGGCGAAGTCGCTATGGGATCCTTGAGGTGGTATGGACAACTAGAGGTATCTATGACACACAGGACACGGAGGGATCCATGTTGGTGAATCAAAACCGCACCAATTTGAAAACGAATGAACCAACGCCTCACCATACAAAACCGATTGTTGTTAAAAAGCTTCTTAAACCAATCGGAAACCGCAACCTTGTTACCAACCCTTACACCGAAGAAACTGAACAGTTCATCGAGAGGAAACGTCGGAAGCTCCCGTGTGTTTCCGAAGCTTTACGATCGGTGACTAGTAATTCCGATTCCTCACGACAGCGTTTTGACTTTGAGACAGAATGTTTGTGCACAGTTCGTGAACTCCTGGACAGTGATAATTATTGTTCCTCGAGGTCGAATTAGATAATATTTAATAATGAATTTTGTTTCGTCTGACCCTGTCTTCAAGCGAATTGATTGATATTATTGTTTTGTCAAAAATGTTATTTTTACGTACGATTGTTTAGGAGAGTGTATTTGCCCTTAGGGTCAAACATTCATACACCTGGTCACTTGCCACGACATCTTGTTTCCAATAATAAACGCAAGATGCATAAACCTGAATTGCGTACCCAGGTTTTTTTTTAACAAACGGCTGCTGAGTGGAATCGATTCGAATGGGGGTTTCGAATATATATACATATATACAACAAATATCACAAGTGTTCCTCTCCTCACCACTCACTAACTCGAGTTTTCGAGTGTTGGCATCTGGCACCATTTAGGAGGCATTTCAGGTCAGCACTTAGCATTTCAGTGGCTCGTTGCTCGTGCCTGGGAAGTTTAGGCTAGAGAGCTCATCTAATTTGAACACACGTCAGCAAGGTGAAGGTCGTAGCCGTGTTGCCTTGGTAACTCGCCCAAAACAAGGCGCAGAACCGATAAGCACCATAAAAGTTTTAATAGCCAGTGGTACAGACGCATCGTATTTCAAACGGGAAGTCCATCATTTCTCAGTGTATAAGTAAAGGTTGTTTCCCTGTTCCGCAATTTTCATACGCACGTAACATCAAATTTATTTGCGCGATACCTGCGAAAGCGCGAATAAATTCATAAAGAAACTATATTCACACAGTTTCTAAGGATTTATATTGATTTGATAATTTCAAGCATTTAGGTTTCACCAGTATGCACTCGCGTGTACGTGTGTACCAAAAACGTGTGCGCATTTCTCTGGCAGTGACTTTGACAAAGTCACCTGAGTTTTTTCTGGTTGCAGAAAGACTACTCGCATCTTCACTGTAGACACCTGTAGGGTCCTTCAGGGTTCAAACTGCCTGTATAATTATAAATTATAATCTAAATTGGAATACTAAATTAGGAAAGCAGTAACCCAGCTAGCTCGTTTATTCACATTAGAATGCTGTTGGCTTGTTGTAAGTGAGCATTTCTGTGTGAGTGTGAGAACGCGGGCGTACGAGGTTGTAAATTTATACCCCAACGTTTTTTTACACAGAATAATGCTTTATCTTCTTCGACCCATTTCTGACAAGCCATAAATATCTGTCATAAGTCACTCTCTGTATAAATAAATTCGGTGACTTACACACATGGATATTCGATTAATTTTGAGGAATAAACAATTTGGAAGAATAAACAATAAAGAGAGTATTCAAAAAGGATTCAATAAAGAACAATTTATAATGTGCAGGTCACGTGGGATGGTTCATTTATCGTGACGTCACTTCTTCCGAAAGCCTTTGTGTTTGTCAGCTAGATATTTTTACACATCAATCGTAAACTACAAGAAAATGAGTTTAAAACGAAGATCGCCGCCGGTATTCAAACACGTTTTATCATGAATTTAGGTGAAAGATGCAGAATGAAAACAGCGAAACAAGGATCCGTAAAAGGAATCATTTGAATCACAAGGCAGGCGAAGAAGAAGCGAACTCAAAATGGACTGGCTTGGAGTTCTTCAATAATATAAAGAATTTAAGCCCGAAACTATGGAGCTTAAATTTTCTCACAAGCCTAAAGCTAAATGACAATAGCTTGACTAGAATACCAGCTGATATTGGTAAACTTACATCGCTACAAAAACTCGATTTGTCCTCGAATAAACTGCGAAGTTTGCCGGCTGAAATAGGAGATCTAATCAACCTGACCGAACTGTATCTAAACAACAATAGCCTTCATAGTCTACCGCATGAATTGGGACGATTATTTCAGATCCAAATTCTTGGACTGGACGGAAATCCCCTTTCCCAAGAAATACTATCATGGAATTCAAAGAAAAATGGCAGCGCTCAGTTGATTTCGTATTTATTGGACCGTTTATCGGGTGAGTATAGAATTCGTTTTGTGTTTGCCAATTCTGGCTTCGGCCATCGGGCGGTGAATACGAAATTAATCATTGTTCGTTGGCGTGAAACACTTACCGTATTTTGCATATAATACTTTCCTAATTCCCTAGAAGCCTGAAGCATTTCCTCAACCTTTTTGGGACATCTCCGTTTGCTTTGAGTAGGAAACATTCCCTAAGTTTTAAAATAGGCCTACTAGGCTTTGCATTCGCATACATGGCCATGCAGTTTAAAAATGCTGAAACAAAAGCCTGTCAAAAATCGTAGGAACCTAATCGCTCTTCAACAACTGCTTAAAATTCACCAAAAATTCAAAAACTTTGAACGCTTTTCGAATGAAATAGAAAGCAAATAATTCTAGTGAACGATTATTTTTAGTACAGAATGTATTCGCTTTTAGCTCCAAGGAGATTTTTTTCCCTATAAAAGCATGTATTTTTACAGCAATTAGCAGGCCATTTTGATGTTTATGGTCGTACAAAATTACTTGAACTATTCCGCTTAGGGCATGGCGAAGTTTGAACTCCCATAATGAAAGTGAATTTTTTTTATATTGAAAATTCGATGTGTATATTTGATATATCTATCCTATTCCATCTTACTGTAAAGGCCAAGGGGGTTAATAGTATGTAATGTATATATATATTTTTACTCACAGCTTATTTGTAAACATTGTTTTGTTCTTCTTAATTCTGATTGGCCTGTTACAGCTGGGATATATTGGACAATAATTTCATAAGGAAAAAATCTTGGGGAAAGAGGTTATATTTCAATCAATTTGGTACTGTTGTGCATGCTAATGCAAGAAGAATAAGAATCTGTAGGAGAATCGAAAGTTGCAGTGCTATTTATTCCTATAAGCCCTCTGGTGATGTCCTGAGTCACAAGGAAGTCCTCAAAGATCAATAAGTTCCTATTTTTATGATCTATTCAATGTCCTACCTTTCTACAGCCTTAATTATTAAGATGTTATCTTGCATGAGAGGATGTTTGCATTCACCTGTAAACTTATTCTTTTGCACAAATGTAAATATAAGAAATAGAAAATGACAAAAACATGAAAACGCAGTTGAATGAATTAGTGACAGAAAAATCATTACTCATTAATTAGGTAGCATTAATTTTAAGCTAACTGCGGACGCTGATATAATTAGCTACCAGAACTAGCATCAGAGGGGTATTTCTATTCAGGAATTATTGAAATTTTTATCCCACTGTTTAAAATTCTGTACTATGCTGTCATGCTTCAAATTAAAATTGGTGGACAACACTCATGGCAACCATTTTTTTAACTCTGACACATGCACAAGAATTATTAAGTAGGTAGTTACTGTCGTAGCCAAGAACTCTAGTAAAAGTCTCCAGTAACAGGTTTCTGGTGTAGTAGCATAGGGTTTCGTCATTGCACAAGTTAAACTCTTAATGTTTCTTTCAGTGTGTGAAAGACCAGAGGAGCGCCATTGGCAGCTGTTAGTGCCAGATAAAAGACGGACTGCAGACAGTGAGTGTTCAGTAATTTTTCATAAAAAAGCTTTAAATGCTTCCCTAGTTAACAATTGACTGTATTTCCTGGTAATTACTGGCATTAGGTCATATCTAATTTAATATTTTAACCTGAATATTAGTAATGTCTGAATTTCATGTTTCTCATTAGATTCATTTATTGTGATGTGCTACAATGTTTTGTGTGACAAATATTGTACAAAAGCTATGTATGGCTACTGTCCTAGCTGGGCACTGAAATGGGAGTACCGAAAGAAACTCATTATGAATGAAATTTTACAACACCAAGGAGATATTCTCAGTCTGCAGGTAAGCTTTGTGATCTTACATTTTTCCAGAAAGTTGATTTGTCATTATTCAAGTATAACTACAGGAGGATACTTAGGTAAACTAAATGAACATTTTTCTATTTAGGAAGTGGAGACGGGACAGTTTTACAGTTTTTTTCTGCCAGAGTTACAGAAACATGGCTATGATGGGATCTTCAGTGCTAAGTCAAGAGCAAGAACCATGTCAGAAGATGAAGGAAAGAAAGTTGATGGTTGTGCAATATTTTATAAGACAACAAGGTAATTTGCTAAGAATACAAAATACAACAAAAAATATACAATAAGCGAAATATACAATAGCTATGCATTACTGAGTGCAAATGTGGGACTGGCTATTTGAGTTAATAAATTAGTCTTTAATAAAGTCCCTGGATTTAATGGTCACAACTCAAGGCTTTCAATTTTAAGAAAATTTACCATGTAATAGTATTTAATATGCATATCTTTAGAAATTAATAGTAATTATGTCAAAAGTAGAGTGCCTGGCTCTGCCCTTGTGACTTCCCAGTTTCCTGCACTATTGACAATTTTAAAGCTTGGTCCCATTTTGCAACCATGCGCAGATGAAATGCATGATATTTTCTGCTAATGTTTAGTGATGTGAGTCATTTCATAGCACTGTACTATAAAGTTGCTCAAAATGGTTCATATGTAATTTATAAGAGTGCTAAATGAAACTGTAAAATGTGGCACACCTGAGTACATGTGGGAAAGTAGCACCATTCTTGGGAAGAACTCTTCTGTGACAGCTTAAAAAGAATTTTTTTAGTATTAATAGTATTCTAAAGCTTTCTTTTGTGTTTTAATTCTTGAATTTTTTTAGGCATGGCATGGAAGATGCCTAAAATGTCACCAAAATACATCTCGATTGAGCTGTTAAGCCTGTTAATTCAAAACGCTGACATTTTTTATTCCCTACCACCTAGATTTACGTTAAAGAAGCAAGACATGATGGAGTTTAATCAGCTGGCTGCAGCAAACTCCAAGGATGCTTCAGACATGTTGAACCGTGTTATGACCAAAGATAACATCGGTATAGTTGCCTTACTTGAAACCAACGAAGATTACAGCTACGGTCCGAACGCTGATAGGACCAGACGGCAGCTGATGGTCTCTAATGTTCACATGGCATGGGAGCCAGAGTATTCGGATGTCAAGTTGATACAGACGGTCTTACTCATGCAGTTCTTGCAGAAATTCCGATCAGAAGTCGATGGAAGTTATATGCTATCAGGTACGTAAGTGAATCCTATGTTTTTATGCCGTTGCTGCGATTAGTGTTCACACCAACATTTGATGTACCTATGTATGTAGAGATGGTGCAAAGTCAATTTAAACTAGAATGCAAGTTATATAAAGTTAATTAATGAAGTGAAATTGGCACAGCGTGCATGTAGAGCGCAATCGTGCGATGTTTTTGAACACGTTCTCTAAATCAGCGATTGAGAGCAATCATTTCTTAGTGATTATAAAAGATCTTCTCTGCATTTTCCAGGCAAGAACGGCACACTCCTTCGTCCGATCCCGCTAGTCATGTGCGGTGATCTCAACTCACTGCCTGATTCGGGGCCGGTGGAATTTCTTGACAAAGGGAGGATATCGACAGATCATCCCGACTTCCAGTCCTTAGACTACGGTGGCTTTCTAGCTCGCTTAAGCAGCACACGAAATGGTGAAAAGTGCGCAGAGCTCACACACGCTTTTAACTTGAAACGAACTTACGAGTCACTCGAATGTAGCAATTACACCTATCATTTTCGTGGTGTTATCGATTGGGTATATTACAGTTCCGATGAACTTTGCCCGGTAGCTGAACTTGCGTCTGTCGACCCAGAATATCTGAAGAGGAATAAATTGATCGGCTGGCCACACCCCCATTTCCCCTCGGACCACCAGTCGCTATTGGTCGAATTCGAATTCGCTGATAAAACGGTCACACAAAATGGCGAGTATGGAAACCCGGGGTCGCATAACCGGTAGGTGGCAATTTTCTTCCGAGGTGGGGATTTCCTTCTAAAGTCAAAACATGAAGTGAGTGTCATCCACTATCATCACCGATGCCCCCCCTCGGTTGAAATTTTAACGTAGTCACATCCCCTCCTTGCAGTAAACGTGTATCCAAGGCAATGTACATAATGACGAATACTCACCACGATAGATTTTGGAAATAGACACATTCAACAGGCAACAGCTGCACTAAGTTATTTCATTTCTCGTATTTTAGTATGTAGTTTATAGATGCTTAGCAAGTATGTTTTTCGGAGAACTTTTTTATCGTTTTAATACTTTGAATTAGTCGGTAGGCTGTAGAGAAGTAATGTAGGAATTTATTTAGCAAACGGCGGAATATGTAAAATTTTTGTTCGGTAGTTTTTGCAAACATTAGGCGTACATTGGAAAATAGTCTAAACTATGCTTTTATCATGATCTGCGACTTTGGTTTGTCGAAGGCGTAAAGTTCTTTCTTTTTATGTAATCTTTTTAGTTTTACACTATTATGTAATCTTTTCAAGAGCAAATTTTGCAATTACTGTTCGCTGTACATCGTTTTATTCGTTTCTGTTTGCGAGACGACTATAATAAAGGTGACTACTAAGGTCGGGATGTCCGTGTGTCGAACGAGTCGAAAGCAATAAATAATCGATATCATTATCCGTTATTTATTGTTTTACGTTCCACACAGGAGAAGCGCAATATTTTGCACTAAAAACAATGAGCATAGGAATGTATAAAGTCCTATTCAGGCGAGCAAGTTCGCCAACGGTACTACTCTGGAGCAAGATTTGTTTACTATATGAACATACGTTAGAAAAATATTTCGTCCATCAATTTGGCAATTCTGAATTGTCGAATAAAATCCTGTATTCTTGAAATGTCCAAAAAGATGTGTAAGCATAAAATCATAAGTATTAAGAAACTCTTTCTGACTTACGGTACGTTACGATGTGCAGGAAAAAGGTTGAGATCATGATATAAGCACTATATATATAGCTAAAGACTAAAGTACAGTTTTAAATTGTTCATTTATATAATATCTTTCTTAGACTCTAATTAGATCTGACTTTAGTACTTTTCAGTAATTTATTTCGAAGTTAGACATTAGTTTAGGTTTTACTTAGCTTTTTCTTATATAAACGAATTTTTGAAAGCACGAGCATAATTTTGTTAGCTTTATTTGTTACAAATATTCGTGTAACCTGGTAATTACATGCACAGATGTTTTGGTATAGTCATTCGCACTGTACAATTCAATACCAATGCTTGTGGTATAATTTTTCTGTGTAAATATCGTGTAAAGATTACTTTTTTCCTTTATTGAGCATGTTGTATTGAAATATTATATCTTCCATTGTAAGTATAGACCATGCAATGTCATTAAGGGTAGCTTCTCTAGACTGCAAACAGGGTTTGAACCTTGTTTTGCGGACTAGGTTTATTTCAAGCATATACGAGACAGTTGTATAAATTATAACTATATATTATATATAACGATGAATACTTTCTATTATGTATGTAATCTATCGATTTTTCATATCTTCCTTCCGCCATCTTGGATTGTTGTCGACATTCGTATTACGTTAATAGCGAGGTTGAGCAAGTTATTATTGAAACAAAGACGTTATTAAGAGATGAAGAAATACAATTTCTATCAACTTAGCTTGCTAGTTTTAGGTCGGCTGAGAGTTTTCCTAGGATTAAAAGGCCAACGTAATTCACGATGTTACTAAAACCACTCTGAAGATATCACGTATATTTATCCAATATGGCGAGCAGTCCCATTTAGAAGAGAAATATTGCTAAAACTAAGCAAGATATGAAAAATCTGATTATTTCAATTGAGACGAGGAGAACCTCGTTGACAGAATCTTGGTTGGAATCTTTTGTGCATCTAATTTTTCAGCATTGTAATTGATTGAATCAATCCCACCCCTTTTTTGCGATAGAATCGACTGTAGTTAATGAAGTAAAGGCACACTATGAAATACACTCATGCAACTCTCATAGTATGCTTCTTATATTTAGCTTTCCTTAGTCATATTAAGTTGAAGTTTGCTTTTTTAAAACATTACTTTAATAAGTAGCCAAAACCGACTGTTCAATGTATATATAGGGTACTTTAAATGGTGGTAGAAGGCATAGAAACTTGTCAGAATTACTTATCTTACATGCAGCTTTTTATCTCAAATATATGGCATCATAAAATTTGTGTTTTTTGTATTTTTTTTCCAATATGGTGAGCAACATAAAAATATATTTTTTGGCTCTATTTGATCGTAATTACAAAAGTCAAAAGCAAAACAAACCACTCTTTTCGCCGATGTGAAAAAGCCCTGAACCTCTTATGTTAGGAACATTCGTTAACATCGATCACCTTGAAATGTTCACTCTATATTATATTTAAAATGGTCATTGCCAATGCCACTTTCCAGAACAATCAGACTTCGTCATGATAGCAGCTTCGGCTTGCATCCAGGCGCGTTCTGAAAGGATAAGGGGGGGGGTATTCATATATTTAGTTCTGCTCAACACATTTACATTGTAAACTATGTATCGCACTTACAAAAGAAATCCGTCGGGCAGAACTTCATATGAATAAGCACCCCGCCAATTTTGTTCTAGCCACGCCACGCCATTTAATCGGCCGTACGATGAACCGAACGGCAAAAAGTCGCCTAGAAAACGATTTTTGTATAAATTGTCTCAAATTGTCTCAATTCGTGTGAATCAGCAATTTTTTAAATGACGTAATGTCAGAAAATTAGAGAAATTGCGAAAGAGACAGATGTCGGTGAACTACGTCAACGTTTCGTAATATATTCCGTCTCCGATTCGGGCCGAGTTAATCCTAGTCCGTAGTCTGTAATCTGTATTATATAAGTAAAGTTGTCGTCGGCAGACTGTGTGTATGTGGTGTGTATTAACAGGTCATACTTTAAAGTGTTGATCTTTCTTAAGAAGAGGATAACGTTTCACTGTTTTGTTACAAAGGTTTGTTTTATTTTTATATGATATCGGTTTGGAAACTTTACATTTACTTGGCGTTCAATTTTGTAGCCAATATTTTTCAACTTTGTTTACAACCAACGGCGTAGACACAGTGAAGTATAATTCTTTCTTGTTTTTGCACAATTACGTTCAATAATTAATACAAATTAAACTGAATGTATAAGTTGTTTTTAATTAAACAACAACTTGTAAAATATTCAAGTCAAGTTGTTTGTTTGCCACTATTCAGCAGTTAATATAACAACGTACGAAGACCTTGATTCTTGGAATAGTATAAACAATGGAAATAAGCTAAAATCATTGCGTAAATATCACGTGCGTGAATTGTTCGAATAATTTCCTGAAGGGATAGTGCATTTGCTGTTTACACCCTACTGTAGCTATCCTTTGATATGAATTTTCTAGTGATGTTATAAAATGATATATAAAATGATACCAATTATAGATACTAGTGCGTTGTCGCCCTGACTGCATATCATACATTAAACTGTTATTTAATATCCCTATTATTTAACTATTATTTAACACCCTATTATTTAATAACAGGCTAAACATTTTATATTGCACAGTTGTTTTCACCGAATCTCTCAAATATTGATTATAGCTAAACAGTATAAAACAAGTAACAATGGCAAAAATAGTAATAGCAATAATTAACATTGATTTATTTTGGTCTATTTTCACTTCATGAAAATTTCACTGCAGCAATAAACATTCATCATTAGCTATCATCATTTATATTTTTGCAGGAATCAAGGTCAAATGTGCAAATTAGTGTTTATTGTATCAGTGTATATTTTTTGGGCTTGTTAATTAATTAGAGGGGATGCTATTCCTATAATGTTTCTGAAAGTAACTGGCATATGCTGGCCACAAAATGTATACACACAAAATTCACACAAAATTCATATTTAGGAATTTATGAGTTACCCACCAAGTAACCCAGGCTATCCAGCTTACCCCCCAGCAGCCCCATCCAATCCTGGATACCCACCAAGTTCTGGAGTGGGAGGCATTGGGTTTGAATCCTTAATGATTAGCCCACCTCCATCTCAGGTACATATGTGAACTATAAATTTTATCTTACGATTTTCTCTATCAATTTTAAAACATTCAAAACTTTGACCAACCCTATATAGCTAGTGAACATCAAATTTAAATTTTACATTTAGATTTAGCAGTTTTCCAATGGGTATGCAATAAAAAATATAGAAAATAATCTTATTTTGTTTTATAGCCTGCAGCACCATATCCAACAGGCCCATCACCTATGCCAGGTTATGGCGGTGCCCCTGCAGGTTTGTAGTTTAATTTAAAAGGAGGAATGGGAAATATATAGTTAAGGAGATAACAGGAAATCTGAAAGTAGAAAACATTTATAATATACTTGTATGTTTGCTTGGTGACAGTCGATAAATAATTTAACTTGTAGGTACGCCACGTAAGTACTGCAAAGCTTTCAGTCCGTTAACCCGGGCCTTGATCATCAGTGCAATTACCTGAATACACATTTACACATCACTTAAATATCATGTTAGTCATGGTTTGTTAACTTGCGCCATTAATTAAATGGTTTCACTTACCAAAAAATTATGAAAAAAGAAATAGTTCTAATTAATGCGCATCTCCTAGACAAATTAGCTGGCAGACATTGAAAAGAGCATATGCCACATACTATTGAGTGGCTTACTCTCTTGGGCGATAGTTTGATGTTTATAGATTTCAATAGATTCTCTCATTTTACGAGAGACAGTATACTTATTATCATTTGCTAAAATGCTTGCATCTTTCCATTTTTAAAATATGATGATCATAAGTCCACACATGGTGAGCTAGTTAGCAGACTTATCCAGTTTACTATTCTCGCAGTTCATCTTATATTCTTTTAGACGTATTGATCAATGTAATATTAAACCAAACCACATTCAATTGGAATGTGGTACACACCAGGTTTCTGAAGTTCATCCACGCCATGCATCCTTGTGTGTGTAAATACTTGTCTAGGACACGAGCATGAATTAGAACTATTTCTTTTGTCATAATGATTTGGTAAGTGAAACTGTTTAATTAATCAATGGCACAATTAAGCTAACAAATCACGACTAATGTGATATTTAAGTGATGTGTAAATGTGTATTCATTAAATTGCACTGATGAAGGCTGGGGTGTGGCCCGAGTTAACGGACCGAAAGCTTTGCAGTATTAAATACTTACGTGGTGTACTGGCCTACAACCCTAAATTATTTTATTAGGAAAAAACATTTATTAGGATATCTCATATTCAATCCTTTAAAGATTTTGTTCTGTGCACTATTATGCTCATATATACATTGTGAAGCCTATTAAGTAAAAATTGCTGAAATTTTTTGGACATAATTAGATGTTCAGAGCACAATTATATTTTAAAAGATGTATGGAAATTCAAAATGTAACCAAACCATTTGCTTATACATACAAACTTGACTTTAATATATTTGGGTATAATTATTCAAGGTCGTACATGTGCTAGATTCATCCAATGTATATTTTGAATCAGGCATGGTTTTTCAAAAACAACAAGCAATTGTGTTTTTTCAGAATTTATTGCTCTGCTTCCTTTCTTACAGCACCCTATGGCCCAGGCTCTGGAATGCCTGCTGCTCCACCAGCTAACCAGTTTCCATTGCCATCACATATGGGTTTTGCGGTAAAATGTCAATTTGTCTAAACTTAGTAGGTCTATGCTAGGAAGGTGCATAACTACTTCCTCACAGTAAATCTATCCCTGATCAGAGGCCCTACTAGTCCACTAGTCTTTTGGATGCTTGAAAGTAGATAGGGGAAAATATTCTAGTCATATAAAAATGATTTGAAGGGTATCCCCCCCAGTTTTAAGGGGCTTGTGACTCTGACATTCACCTAGTTGACAGGTAAAGCATGAATCCTGGATAAAAGCCTGTCTTTGAATCTAAAGTGTAAGTGGGAGGAAGCAATGCATCTTAGCACAGGCTGTACCCTAGGAGGATTCAATTCACAGTCAATTTTCTGAAATTTGTTTTTTAGGGTGCTGCAAGTGTTGCCCATGCTGCTGCAGCATTTCAAGCACCCACAAGACCCATGCCTGCACCAACTGTAAGTAACTAACTACCTCTGTATCTATAGCCTAGCTTGTTTACTTTATGAGCTGGGTACTACATGGCCATTCAATCACCTTATCAATTAGAATTTGCAAGTCCCTAATTTTCTATCAACAAGTTCTCACATGTTACACACCAACCATAAAAAGCTGCCTGCAACTGTGTAAAATATTGTACAAAAAGTATATGATGAATATATTTTTATTATATATACTAGCCAAATTATGGAGCTCCTGGCTACCCCAATGCCGGACCACCTTATCAACCAGTGCCACCCCCAGTCGTAGCCCCTGCAGTCGTAGCCCCCCCAGTCGTAGCCCCTCAATCCTATCATGACCCATACACACGTGGAGGTTCAGTCCACGGGGCACCTGTCCCACCTCCTGCTAGTGTCCAACAACATAACCAGTCCTTCCATGGTACCCCCTCCGCTCCTGCTGCAAACATGCAACGTAATCAGCAATCATTCCATGGTGTCCCTGCGAATCCATCAGTGCTCCCAAAAAGCAACCCACCAGCCAAGCAAGCTACTAAGGTATATTCCCTTCAAATCAGCCTTAAATTTTTATATCGCTGGGGATCCCTCACGGGTCTGCTATACATCACTGCTACTGGCCTTCAGAGGGAAAGTTTGAAATTTATAAAGCTATATCTATTTCAGATTTCTAGTGTATGTATTTTAGTGTATCTTAGTTTGGAAAACAGTTTCCAAGGTTCAACATTTAGAAAAAGATATAGAAACAATGCAAATACAGGATATTTAGTGTAGTTGAGCCTCTTTCGTGTTGTATAACATGTTATATACAAGTTGAGTAAATATAATTAATGTAATAAACCAAAGGCTCCAAACAGAGGAACAGTGAAGCCATGCCCATCGTTCAAACCCCAAGTCGATGCAGAAGCCATAAGAAAGGCAGTTGGGGGCTTTGGTGAGTGCTTGTTGCTTGTTTCTGTACGTAAACAAAATGTGGCTAAATGGCTAACTCGAAGACTTTTCTATCAAGGTACTAATGTGAAGGAGATAATAGGAATTCTCTCAACGAGAAACAATCAACAAAGAATAAAAATTGCTTTGGAGTACAAAACTCAGTTTGGAAGGGTAGGATATATTTTTTCTCTTTGGCTGATTTCAGTCCATCTCCTGTAACTCACTTAATCACTTGATTTTTAATCCTTAAGGATTTGAATACCGATCTCAAGTTTGCCCTCGGTGGTAGCTTGGAGAATCTATTACTGGGAATGATGCAAGCACCAGCTGTATATGACGCTACAGAATTACGACGTGCAATGAAGGTAAAGACTGCAACACAAAGTTTAAGATTAACATGGAACATGACGCACTTTTGCTTGCCTGATGATTAATTGTCGCTAAAATTTTACTCTGGTATTTCAAGGGTCTTGGAACGACTGAAAGTGTTCTCATAGAGATTCTGTGCTCCAGAACGAATGAAGAAATCAAAGAAGTTAAACAGGAATATCGCAAACGTGAGCATTTTTTGTGCAAAGTAATAGCTGGGACCCTATAGCTTAGCATAGATAGTTATACGAATGCTCTGATGTATGAACGCTATCATTTAAGAATCAGTAACTAATTCACTCGTTTACATGTATCAAAAGTAGAAAGTCGCACAAATTCACAGCAAAAATTGCAAGTATAAACGGACCTTTAGGAAAACCGGCGAGTTTTCTGTTTCTAAAATGATTTAAAACTTGCCCGATTTTTAACCGATTCGATCATATAATATATTCATTATTCAATTCTTTTCATCTTTCGACCATCTAGCCTACGCATAATCCGGTCAAAGAAATTCACGAATAGGAATAATCTTTGATTGAATTTTTCATCTTGCAGTATACAGTCGCGATCTTGAAAAAGACGTCCATTCAGAGACCTCGGGTCATTTCAGGAAATTCCTCATCTCTCTGCTGCAGGTACTGTGCGCTGTAAAGCAATCTCGTTCCTAGTTTTCCCTCGGTTACCAAAAGAAACCAGTTGGCGCCACTTTTAGCTATTACACCGCAAAATTAGAAAGAATAAGAAACTATTGAAGCATGGTGATAAATTATTATCTTAGAAAGGTTTTTCTCTTCCACCAAAACTAGAAATCGATAGGCTTCTCTACAACAGCATATTAGATTGAAGTTTGACCATTCAACATGTCCGCATTAGCCTCATTATAAGACCCGTGTTACACTCTACCGAATTCACATGGTCACGATTCAAAACTAGCCATGTCAGAAAGAATTTTTCCATTAAAAGAATGATAGCATGATTGCTTCAACATGATCTGGGGAAAAGAAATATCGTAAAACAACTGATGAAGATTGTGACCATGTGAATTCGGTATAGTGTATACGGGGTCATAGATGCATCATCCAGTCTATATATAACAGCGTTCAAAAACATTTGATAATGAGTTGATTTGAACAGGCCAACAGAGACGAATCGACGAATGTTGATTACGGAAGAGCCAGGGCCGATGCAGATGCTCTTCACCAAGCAGGGGAAAAAAGATGGGGCACAGACGAGGCCAGGTAAAATATCTGGTTTCCATTTGGTCGTTACTTATCGCTACCACACGTGGTTGATGTGAAATAGTCTTAAACTTATGGGGGTTTTTTCTGTCGTGTTAATCAAACCAGTCTTTACTGATCACATGCATCCGCCATGCACTTGTCGTGGTTGTAACGAGCAACGATCGTTGGAAACATGTTTATTTAGTACATAAGTACATAGCTGCATGATTATCAAGAATTATCGCTAATTTGTTTAGCTTCTAGAGCATTTAAAAAATGAGACTTTTAAGTCTTTTTGTTATGACTTAAAAGGTAACGGGGGACCAAAAAAATCCTAATTTTCGTCAATTGTAAAATTTGCTTCAAAAAATACGACCACCTTTGAAATGGAAACCATGTTTATTGACCTTTAGTGCAATTAAGTACATAGCTGCTTGATTATCAATAATTATCGCTAATTTATTGCGCCACAAGAGCCGGTTAACTTGTTAACCGTACGCGAGGTTTGTACGAAAAAAAATGAGACTAAGGTCTTTTTGCTGAAAAAGGAAAGAGTGCTATCGTTGTGTTCGGCAGAACAGGCGAATTTGCTATAGGCGATTGTTCTACGCTGTCGCCGAGCGTATTTTAATGGTGCAGTTCTCATTTGAGCGCTAGCGGTCCCGCGCATATTGAAAAAGTGTAATGAAAGGTTATTATACTCAATATGATGACTTAGGTAAATGTCCTGAAATAATCATTTATGACTTCTAGTTCTGGCTACCGATATTCACCTCACCATCTGGGGTAATCGCAAAATATTTTATTCATTTTATAGATTCAATGCGATATTTGCGGCTCGAAGTTTTGCACAGCTTAGAGCCACCTTCAATGAATATGCCAAGGTATGTGTGCAGTGATAGTTGTCGCGTGGAGTTGGTTGTGTTGTCCATTTATCTTGGATCATGTATAATCGTCGAAACATTTCGGATTCAAATCACTGAGTATACCTAATACTTAATGAAGCCCACTAATAGAAGGTAGAGAATGTCTGTGGGTGTACGATGAGGAGTGGGGACAAGTGAAACTGGTCGAGAAATTGATTGCAATCGCAGAATGTCTACAAATTCTCGTACAAATCGTTTCCTTTTTTAGTTCTCTTTAATAGACTTCGACATTTTGTGATGTACAGTTATTTGTTTTCAGATCAGCAAATATGATATCGAGAAATCCGTGGAACGAGAAATGTCAGGAGATCTGAAGAATGCCATGGTCACTTTAGGTAATTTATCATTTCCAGTCTCAAAAAACATGACACAACTCACCGCCCAATGACCCGAGAATAATAAGAACAATAAGAAATACATGTTTCTTTGTCACCACACAAGTTGGCATTCAATCTTCTTTTTCCGCGTTAGCCTGTTGCATATGTTGTGTTTATAATTGAATGACTTATTACAACTGTTTTTTTATTCTTTTTTCACAACACTGAATCAGGGAGATACAATTTAGCTTGAACACATGATGTTTTTTTCCACCTTCCTGTGCATGAAAATCAGATTCTTGCAAGTTTTCAAGTGTAAATCGTTAAGCAGTAGTGTATCCACCATACCATTTACTGTGCAAGTTGAAAGAACATTTGATCCTATTTTTCCAGTCCAGTGTGTGCGAAACACTCCAGCCTACTTTGCAAAAAAGCTGTACAAGAGCATGAAAGGTCTTGGTACTGATGATGCGACGTTGATACGAGTTGTGGTGACACGCTGTGAGGTTGACATGATTGATATAAAACAGGAGTTTCAGAGACAGTATCACAAGACTTTGGCCAGTTTTATTAAAGTATGTATGGTTTTTCTGCTCTCTGAGTAAAAGCAGTGATTATGTTTGTAAGGCACTTCCTCTCATCCTGCGTGGACTTATAGGAGGGGCACATGCCTAAATATTGACACAAATAGACTTAAAAATAGACCTGTCTCAAACATAACACTAACCAAATAGTAATAGTTAGGGCTGCTTTCCACTGTCGCGTTTTTTGCACGACACATAGGTGTACACACATGCCCTAAGTGTTGCATTTGGAGGGCTACTGAATATCAATCACTGACAAGTAACACATTTCTGGCTTGTTAGATTAGGGGTCTTCACTTCACATGATGCTTGCGAAAAGAGTATTTTACAAAGTCTTAACTTCTCCTTCCAGGGTGATACAAGTGGAAACTATTGTAAAACACTGCTTGGTTTGATTGGTGAACCACAGAACTGATTATCCAATAACAAGTACATAATCTGGGGGGTCTGGGACTTTTAGAACTACCATCTGTTCAGCAAAATACATTCCCAAATATGGGGGTTGCACTGTATAGCATATGTTATATTCTTGAATAAGCTGTTTTCCAAGTGTTTGAACTGCTTGAAAATTATTCAAAGAAAATCATTTAACTAGGGTAAATGTCAAGACTTTGAATAATTTTGTACGGCAATTCAGATAAAACAATATATCAATGTTTCATTTAAACAGGGATAACCACTCACTAATGATAATTATGCATTTTCATATGTTACAAGAATTGACACAATATTCATTCTATAATTTAATTGATCAAAAATAACTTTTGGGATATGTACTAAACTCCTGATCCTCATATTAAATCTCCACATTATAATAATGTTGATTGCAATTAATCATTTTTATTTTTGCCTTGATGATGTATTGTGATGTTGCAAGAATGTAATGAATGTTAAATAATCTCTAGTATAAATTAACTCTATTTTTCTACAGTTTGTCTGCACTAAAATGACTTATGTCACAGACAGCTGTTTATATCTATATGGTTGGGGCTTTTGTTTGCCTTTGATAGTTTTGATGAAGTAAACTATACTAGCCAAGTCCATTAGAGCACCTGCAAAAGGCACTTGCCATCCAGACGTTGCTTTAATGTAGCATACTGCCGACAAACCCAGGTAAAGTAAGCCTCGTTTCCATGTATCTGTTGCAAGAACAAATGACCAACATTGCCGAACTGCAAATTCTTCACTGCAGAGGAATAAGAAGTTTGTAATTTAATTTTCAATATATGATATTGTTTTTGGAAAAAATGTGAGTCCCACCTGCAACAAACAGAAAAGAGCCAATCCACAACCAAACTAAGTTCAAGAAATGCCATTGCTATTCCACATAATCTAAATAAGATACAATGCCTAGTTAAGATTTGCAGACAGGTTGATCAATGACATTTCCACAAAGGGCAATGTAATCAAGAAATAATTTAACTTAAATGACATACATACATTAAATAAATACCAATGTCTTGGTGGACATCAATAATGGTTATGGCAATAAACCAAATACCTAAAAACCAAAACAATTTGTACTGTAGGTGTGCATTTTTTTAAAGTTTTGCATGGTGTGGACGTGTGGTCAAGTCTAAGTATTAAGTGTCTAAATTATTCTACGCATGTTGGGATTGACACCTTGAGGTGAACAATTGGTTGAAACCTAGCTGCAAGTCTGTGGCGACATAATTTCTATTTTAATATTTTGTCGACTTGACTAGACAGATTTGTGACTGTTATTGTCATGTCAGCAATTAATGCATCCTTCCCTGAAGATATATATAATAGATTATTAAATTGAACCTATCTTTATAAGGGCGTTTAATATATCTGAACTTTTAAATTGAGTCGGTAAACATAAATACCTATTGTACATACAGCCCCAATGATGTTTGCCAACGTGTTCCAATTTCGCCAAACAATGTTTGAAATACGTTTGTCATTGTCAATTGCATAACTCCTTTGTTCGTTCATGATTGTTTTCTGAAGAATGTTTTTAGCATGAAACGCTGAGTAATCCGCGCTTTTCGTCAGCACGGCTCCTAGCTTGCTCTTTTTATTGAACCATTTATAGAACCATGGATGATACAAATTATACAATGTACAAACAAAGAGATAGAAGATGAAAAAATTCATCCAGTATATACGGAGACCACTATTAGTAGCTACTGAACCCGAAGCAACTGGATGGAAGCCTTCATCTCAAGATATGTTATATCACAGTTTATAGAATATACATGGTTGGAGACGAAATAAAAATATAATACTTAACTATGTTATTGTCCAGGTTTATGCAAAAAACGGTTCCTTTCTCGTCACGTGTCTATTGTATTTTAGCCAAATTTACCAACGGCATTCGTGAAAAATTTTTTGCATAAATGTACCTCAACATAGTTAATAAGTTGTATTGTAGTTTTATGTGGTCTCCAAACCATGTATATTCTATTAACTGTGGTTATATAATACTCCATTAATTACATGGACCGGGCTAGCGCGCTTTCCGGGCTGAAATTTAGCAAACGATGATTATATGGGTAATTTTTGAAATTTATTCATATTCTCAGCTTATTGAAGATTCGGGCGCTGAAAATGAGAAAGACAAATAAAATACGCCGTTTTTCGTATGAACGCGTTTAGATTTATTGGGTTGTGTATTTAAATTTGATCCATAGAGTACGTTCGTAATCTAATAAATTCTTGTTGAAAAGTGACAGTCTATTTTTTTTAAATATGTTTGGTATTAAAAAAAAATGGAAATGTTCCATTCAACTCAGCTATCGCCTCGTTAAATGGAACATTTTATTTTATTTCACTTCGTGAAAATATTCTTACCATTGCACTCATAAACATTCATTAATTGTATACTATAGTGCTATAGACCCTTATCGTTTTAAATTTAAAACCACCTAACATGAGATTGATTTCAAGTTTTGCTCTCACAAGCTATGTGCAAAGATGCAAAACATTGTTCTTAAACACATGCATGAATAGGAATTTTCATTTTGAGAAATAAGTATGGAATTAAGACATTACTTTAGAACGAGGCTCCCGGTCATGGCCTGGTAGCCTCGACTTGGCGGTACCGCTTATTTCCACATTTATTGGTCAAAATGAAAAATTCCGGTGGTTCTAAATTTAAAACGTTAATTTTTTGACGTGATTATCGAAAGGGTCTACTCTCATACCTTTATCTTGTTTGTTTGTTTTTAAATTAAAGGGTTTATGAGAGCATAAATATCTCGAGCAAAGAATCGAATGTAGATTTCTCAAATTTAACTGTTATTAAGGGGGCTCTGCTTCACCGTATGTTAACGTGTCCTGCTATGGACCTGGTAACTAGTCTGGCGCCATATTTAATATAGAGTTCGAAAATCATGCTTTAGCAGCTTTCAGATAAGTTTTAAACCTTATCAATTTTATAATCTTACATTGTTATTGAGTAAAGCACCGATCTAAATACTGCAGCAATGGAAAAACCACCGATGGAACAAGTTTTGCAAGCCGTTGAAGCGCTATACAGCAATCAAAGTGCCGAAGGAAAGGAAGCTGCCTCGAAATGGCTCGAAGACTTGCAGAGTTCGGTAGGGAATTAGTCTTTATTCCATGATCATTTGTGTTTTGGTTTATTATTAAAGTTTAATATATAGGTTTAGAGTCTTTTTTATGTAGTTGCCTTGTTGTCTGAGCACAGAGGTAAAATTTAAAGCATATGCTATGCTTTTGTTCATATTTGACAATTGGCAGGCGTTTAACTGGTTTGGTTTGTTTGATTGCGTTCCACCCTCCTAAATAAGATCTTATAGCTTGATGTCCAAACCCAAACAACTCCCATGTACTGTTGGGTGACACCTGACTGTATCACTGAACTCTGGTACACAGGTTATGAACATAAAATTATTTTATTGCACAAAACGATCACAAACATGTGTCAAGTGGGTGGTGTAGTGTAGTGCTATATAAATATATATCAAAATTCTCATATTCCTAAATGATGGCTTATATTTATTATTTCATGGTGTCTGAGCTATCTGAAAATTACAATTCAGCACTAAACTGACATGTTGAAGAGCAAATTATGCTGCTTTTTGATATTGTTATGATAAAAATGGTGGATTGCAAAAAAGAATATCATTTCACTTGGACTGGATTCCATTTTTTTATTTATGTTTTCTTGAAACTGAAGTAAACTTCGTTTCTATTTCTTTTTTCAATTTTTTGTTATTCAATGAAATCAAGTTCAATGAGCTTGTGTATTAAGATACTTTCTGTTATGTTACAGTAGGTCTTGAGTGGAAATTTTGTGGACAAGGCTTTATGTTAGAGGAAAACAATGCACTAAAATGCATACCTCTATTGTGGATTCAGATCTGCATATTCTAGTAGTTTGACAATGAGTCATAATTACCTTGAATGAATCTCATACACAAATTTGCATTTCCGTTCGTATTTAGTTTTTTGCATGGGAGATTGCAGATCAATTACTTACAGCGAAACAAAGTACAACAAGTTGTTTTATTGGAGCACAAACCATGAGAACTAAGGTAACAAAAACATATAATTTTGTATAAATGACTTTAGTCTTTAGAGAGTACATACAGTACATCCAGTTCAAAAATCTGTTATAATTTCCTCATCAGATTCAATATTTCTTCCATGAACTTCAACCTGCCCAATATGAGGTGAGTGATATCTTAATAAATCTTTCAGAATTTCACGTTTTAAAAAGATTTCACATTTTTCAAAAAGATATAAAAAATATCACATTATTTAAATATGGTTGATTAAGTCAATAGTGTTGATTTTATTTTGATAATATTATTTTAATTATATTCAGAGCTTGAAAAACTCATTACTTGATCATATCACACATCTTTACCATTCAACACCAGCTATCTTGAATCAGGTAAGTGTTCCAAGCCTTTCATGGTGATCAAGTTTTTTTATTTAATTAACAATATGTTTTTAAACCTCCAAGATTTTTGTAAGTGTCATGGTGTTATATATTTCATTTAGCTCTGCCTAGCAGTTGCTGATCTTGCAGTTCAAATGCCACAATGGTCAAACCCTGTTAATGATCTTGTAGGAAGGTTAATGAATTATCTTCATTGTTAAAGGGGCCTTTATTTATTAGAGCACAGAGTGCTGGCAGGATTGCAAGGGGGGGGGGGATTATGTAGTTTTCAAATGTTTGAGTGGGAGTGTAGAACTTTAATATACATTTTATGTTGAGGAATGTTTAAATGGTGAATTATTGTGACTATTTGTGCATGAGGTTGTCAGTCTTAACAAACAAATGTTATATGCTTAACCTACTTTGTTCCAATTAATGAAAGCATTCTAGCACTAGCAGTCATTGTTGGTTATTGGAATCATATCAGATATTCATACATGTACATGCTTTATAACTTATAGATTTAGTAAAACAATACAGATAATACCAGCTTTGTTGGAAATGCTACAGTATTTAACAGAAGAGGTAAAAATTTCATATTGCAAAATTCACTGCGCACAAGGCTGCAATGGAAAATAGTCTCTCATTCATTTAAGATAAAAAAATTAGTGCATGAGATTTTTTCCACCCTTCCACAGCTTAAAATTTGTTAGGATGACCTTAGGATGAAAGTATTGACTTTAGTGGAAGTCAAAACTGAACCTTGATAATTCACCTACTGTACCCCATTGGCATGAATTGTTAAAATTGAAACCTTTAGTTACCCCTTAGCTATGGGGGTGTATATATCCCTGTTAGTGAAGACTTGATGAAGTGTGAGATGACTTTGTGGTATTGAAATAAGTATGTAACAGGATTCTGGCAGTGGTGTAGTCATCCTGATCCTGACAATAGCATGTTCTTGTTTAGTTTCATAAAGACTTATTTCAGTATCTCAAAGTCACCTCACGCTTAGCTGAATCTCGGCTAAGCAGAATCATGTAAACAGCCTGCCTAAAAGCCTTTCTTCAACCATAGGTGAAAAGTGAACATTTACGTGTTGGATCGAACAGACGTGAAGAAGTTGGAAATCAATTAAGACAGTCGTCGCTTGTTGTCATTCAACTGCTGGTGGGTAAAATTGACATTTTTGTTTAAACTTGGGCAATCCTAAAAGCTCAGCACTTGGCTATAGTACGATATAGTCATCCCAATAAATATTTTTGAGATGATAAAAATTACTGCAGTTGCGTTCAGTGACGTCTGTGATCGCGAAACACATCTATGATAGTACTGATGAAAATTAAGTACCAGCACTTGTTATTTGTCTGTTTGCATATTTTCTTGAATTTCTTGTCACGAATCGCTGTCTTGCAATCTTTGACTTTTGAATTCCTAGTTTTCTGTCCTTCGTACATGTTCAAGCTAGATTTGTCATCAGTAGATTAGAAAATTTTGGCCACCAGCACTCGTTTGAGGTTTTGTACCATTTCCATTCGTGCTCATCATAAAAAAGACACATATACATTAATATATCACTGCAAAGTGCGCTTTTAGGTCGGATCATATAATTTGTCTATCTCAAGTAAAGCGAATATATTGCCTTTTGATTGCTAGAATGCGTGTATAGAGCAATGTCCCGACGAGGAACAAATACGAACGAAGATTTTCTACTGTCTTGGTGGATGGTTATTGCTTGGAGGTTATCCTCCTGACGAAATAATGAAAAGCCGTCTTTTGCCTGTTTTATTTGAAACGTTGGTGAGTTCCACATTCGGACCGCATTTATTAATGATTTGGACAATTAGGGCCTCCACAGACTAGGGATTTAGTTGTCGACAACTATTTGTGATCGACAACTAAAAGTTATCGACAACTAAATAAGTCCGATAAAAGATTCCACGTCTGTTTATTCATTTTTTTTCTATTCATTTTCAATTCGTTGAATGCATTTCAGGTGAATGCGAAAGCCAGTGACAACTTACAGGAAGCAGCTACAGACGTTCTTTGTTCGGCTATCTATTCCGTTGGGGTATGTGCTTTCCGTATTTCTTTCAAGGCTGGAATTTGTTTTAGGGGAGCTGGGTGTCAGCTAAAAATATACGAGGGGTGCAGTGGTTTGGCTTCTCACTTTGAGAGGATGGCCTGATGAAGTCCGATCAATAGACTTCAATATCAATATACTTTAACGTTTCTTCGAGTCGATTAAACTGAAAACATTATTCGCAAAAACTTGGGTGACCTGATTATTTTCAACCCTTGACTAGACTTTTCATTGAGGGAGCTTCATGACTCTTTGGGGCGGTGTAAATATTCCCAGGGGAGGTGTAAAACTATTTCAGGGCAAATGTGCACCTCCCCACAACACGTAAGGTTTAAAGGAACTCTGTTAATTATTGACGTTATTATAGACTACTGTTTAGAAGGGAATAAAAAAGTATATATAGGTAATATTGACTATATTGTATTGGGACGATTACGGGATACATCAAAGTAATGTCGAGCTGTATGTTTTGACAGGATTTGGGTCCACAAAGCCAAATGGCGGTCGTCCTCTCATCTGAGGTGCTGAAACTTGTTCCTATCTACGAACAAGCAAAAAGTAATGACGATCGCGACAAGTAAGTAGGACTTATAGTAAACTCTACGTTAACTGGATTAATATAATAGCAATTATCTAACTCCACTCATCTCTGCAAAGGCTTTTGTGTAAGTTAAAATAGGTAAGGGGGGAGTAAGGTGGTAGAGAGACACGAAAGCCTCTGCGGAGGAGAGTGATCTAACACCTTTGAATGAACACCTTTCACACCATTTTTTCCTTGAGGCACACTAACTACCAACAGCAATGCTGATGTGCGTTAGGGGTGTGTTATATAGGTTAAGAGGCTGTCGTTTGTTGTCTCATCTTAAAGGCAAAGTTAAGATGATGTCCGTCTAGAATAATACCGTTAGTTGTTGCCCAACTGTAAGGTGTTAAAATTAAGAATTACATGAAAAGAATCACATTGGAAGTGTACCGTCGAGTCGTATGACTTGGGCTAGGTGTAATACCAGGGCATTTTACTTATCAGAGTATTTTTTTTGTTTCAACAGATGTTTAAACTTTTGTCGTATATTTACCGAGCTTGCGGAATCCATGTTGGACGCCGTGCTCTCTGCAAAAGGCTTGGTACGTAATGTATAAATTTATTCTAAATAGTTGCATATATAAGGCCTTCCTTGTTAACATTTTCAGCGAAAAGAGGTCCTACACCCTCTCTTTTATCAAGGCGAGAAATTTAGTTTGCCTTTTTTAATCTTCGGCATCATTGTCAGGCCTTCTTTTGCGGATGATTACAGATTATGTTTGTTCGGGGGGCCTCCCTATGACGATAGCTGAAACTTGCATTTTCGATGTTAAAGCGTTTGGTATAATCGTTTATTGTGTAGAATGTTTTGGATTTAAAGATCGTGGAAGTAATGATCAAATGTTTACAACACAACGATTACGAGGTAGGATGATCTATATAAGTCAACTCTCATGCACGTGCACGCAAGTTTCAAACTCTGCATTCGTATTATATTAAGGTGGCTGAAGTGACATTTAACTTTTGGTACAGTCTATCAGAGGCGATATATCGGGAAGATTTAAAGCAACGAAGGGAGAGTTTCCTTCCCTACTATCAAGCTTTGCTGCAACAGCTTTGTATCACATGCAAACTAGAGTCCGATACGGTAAGTGTCCGGTAGCGTCGTTATATAGACGGGGTAGTTACCCCGGGGTGCGGGGTGAAGAAGAACTCGGGTTCATTTACTTTGTGTTCAGGACGCAAGTGAAATGGAGCTAGATAGTTAAGCTACGAACTGATAGCTCATTAAAATAGGCATAAGACTCAAAAGGCCATTTGGGACAATTTAAAAGCATCAAATTTTATATTTTTTCTTTCTTTTCCAACTATATGGCGGCGCCTCGTAAAGTGTGCAAACCAGCCCCTAAATCCATATAGATGTAGTTTTTAGATTAGTAACCAAGGGTTTTTCATGTTTGGTAGGTCGGTATACCTAAACCAGGCGATGACTTCGCCGATTTTCGGGAAAGAGTTGTCGAGTTAGTCAAAGATTGTGTCTTCATGGTTGGCTCTGATAATTTATTTTTACAAGTAAGTTTACTCTTTCAAAGAGTTTGGTGCATCCTCCCGTCTTGGAGGGGTACCAATTCCCAAGTTAGATGTTGTACCGACATCGATCTTTCGGTATCCCAGATGGGAACCCACCACTTTTGATAGAAGGGTTTATATACCCCATTATATGAATGTGTTTCATAATACACCCTGTTTTAGTTATGTCAGACAATTATTCAAGAGTATGGAAAAACTGCGTGGCATGATGTCGAGGCAAAGTTATTCATCATGGCTGCTGTTGCTACGAATCTCGTCGCGTAAGTAATTCAGTTTCACGTTTTCTATATTTCGTTGAAAGTTTTAACGTTTTGTGGTTTCTTTCAGCGAGAAATCCGAAGTTGTCATCGCTCTATTTGATCTCTTGTTCAACAAAGATAATTCTGCTAATATAGTTGTTAAATTCACCGCTATCAAGCTCATTGGTGAATTAGGGGGATGGACTAACAAAAATCCGAACGTATTAGGTATGACTACGGAAAGTATTCACACAAAGTTGGTGTAGCTATATAATTGACCATTTGCGGTCCTTTAAAAAAAGAAGTCATGCAAACTGATAGAGCTATCCATTGTTTTTTTCGAGGTTTATAATTGTAATGAATGTTAAATTAAATTCTCGCTAGTTTTCAAACCTTATTTCACATCTCTCGAATTCTTTTTGTAGACTTGTTTTTACACATCTTATACCAGGGATTACAATCCAAAGAGCTTGCCTCGGTGTCTGCAGAGTCACTTCAGAAAGTGTGTAGTTCATGTCAGAAGAAAATGGCGCATCATTTTGAAATTCTACTACAAATTGTTCAAGCCATCGATTCATTATCTATATCTACTAGTGCAGTTCTCGACTTCTTCCAAGGTAGATTTACCATATTTATAAATGAATATTCACCCTTTGTTTGAAAGTGATGACCTAACTTCGCCAGGAAAATATGTACTCAGTCCCCTGCTTCTTGGCTGTGTGGGTTGAGTCACACAGATAAGGTATTTGAGTGTAGCTACTCACCTGTGGGTAGAGTTGTGATAGGTTTGTGGAAGTATTCTGTTGATTTGACTTGTACTGTACAAAATATATGAAATTTCGCGGGCACAAAGGTGAAAAAGTTCATTCAAACGTAATAAATCCTAACGTCATGTGAATTTGTAATTTGATGATTTCAGCTTAGTCATGCATGCGAATTTTGTTTTTTTTGAGGGCACCCTGTATATATATTGTAAGAACTTGATACTGTCTGATCATTTCCTGTGCCATACCTGCAATTTATTCAGGAGACTGAATGTAAACCAGACAATAAACCCTCTTCCTCTTCTCTTTAAGGTGTTGCAAAGGTTTTATCAGAACTTCCGCGACCACAGATCGAAGAAGGGATAAAACAAATTTGTCTCCAACAAGTACAGCTGCTGGCTCAATTGTTAGGAGGACAGAATGGAGGCCACTCTGAGCCAATCATTTATCTCGACAGAATTGCGACCATTTTTCGGTTCGTCCAAATCATCTTTCTGTACAATTCGTTTGCCTTGCGAAACAAGCGTCGCGAAGCGTTTCCTTGTTATATATATATATTTTTTTTTCTTCAAAGGTATACTGTTGTGAAAGCGAATGACGGTGAAGAACATCCTTGCTTTAGCATCGTTCAAGAGGTAAAGTACTAAATACTGTACATTCCGACCTAGATAAGCCCTATTGACCTCTATTTAACTGTAAAACATCCACCTGGTCTCCTGACATCGTTATTTTTTGCATTTGATTCAAAAATGGATTCAGTTTGGCCTATTAAAATAGTAGCAAATGGAGTTTTCTGCATAATGACTGAGATGTCATAGTGCCTACTTCCTAAAGTAGGCCTACTTCTACTAAATAAACTGTTAAAGTGCCTACTTCCTAATAGACGTTAGGACGTGAATTTGCTATGGGAATTAGCATTCCTGTGCATAAGTGTGTACATCTGTTCTGCATTCCCAGTATTTCATCTCTGTATTTCAGTAATTCATCCCTGCTTTGATTAGCACACGAATGTACAAATAAGGGCACTTATCTTGTACAGCACTTGTAGCTACATCAGAGCACTCATAGCTGCCCACTCGTCTACATGTATCAAAAGAAGAACATCGCACACACTTCCCTTATTCAGAGCAAGCGTAAAAAGGTGCAGGTTCGCAGGATAGCAGAGTGAAAAATGTACATTGTGGCCTATCTCCTAGAAAAAGTATCATCTCTCACTAGGTGTGGCCTGTTGTGTCGATGGCTCTTAGTAAATATCAAGCGGATGTTAAAACGATGGAACGATGTTGCAGGTACTGAGAGATATTTTTAGTTTCGGAGAAGATATAGTAAAAGAAGGGCAGGAAGTATTCCTCGGCTAAAAGTCTAATTCAACTTAAAATTATTCTCAGGTCCTGAACAAAAGGTACTAGTCATAAGTGTCCTTCCCAATCATTTCCTGAGGATAGTGTCTTAATGTTTTCACTCATCAAATCGACCAACTCGAAAGCTTAAGCTGCGAAAAACTTTCATTTTTTTGGCGTGTTCCCACTTCCCGGTTAGGCATTGTGTAACTTGTAATATTGCAATCCTAACTAACTATATTTATGATTAATTTGAAAACTCGAATGATGAATCCAAAACCACAAGTGTCATATCCTATCTCTGTTTAGATGTGTTAGATTTATCATCCGGTGTTTGGGAGAACATTTCATCCCATTATTGGGTCAACTAGTCAATCAAATGATTCAAGTCTACTCAGCCACACATCATTCGTGTTTTCTTTATCTTGGGAGCATATTAGTAGATGAGTTTGGTACCAACAAAAGCTGTGTCCCTGGTCTTATACAAATGCTCGAGGTAAGTGGGGCTGTGGAAATGGATTTAGGGAAGCGTGCATGCCCACACACGTACGGCCAACTGCTCTTAGTTTTAGTACAGAGGGTACTGGCTTTGGTCGGTCGTTGTCACTGAAGTATGAAACCCGTTTAGCGTAAACGGCCTGAAAATACGAGCAATGCTGGACATTTATTACTGAAGAATACTATATACGAGTTTTTCATCATAATATTTTTCATTTTAGGCTTTTTGTCCTCCCACATTCTCATTCCTATCAAGTAGCGATGCGTTTGTTCGTCATCCAGATACAATCGACGATCTTTTTAGACTTTGTACAAGGTTTGGGTTTAGTTTTAAAACACGGTGTCTTGTCTTATGACATAAATCAATCAATCATTTTGTTGTGTGTATGATACACCGTAAAATTTTCTTTCTGTAGATGTGTTCAAACATGTTCTGTCGAGTTTCTCAAATGTTCAGTTGCGGACAACTTGATCAAGTGTGCCGTGGCGGCCTCAACGTTGTCCCACAGAGAAGCTAACGCATCCGTTATGACCTTTCTCCGTGATCTCATACATGGCCCAAGTGAACTGGATCCGAGTTTAGATTCTACAAACTTACGCAACTTGATAGGGCAAATGATGACAAACCATGGACAAGAAATTACCACAGGTGATGAACATTCCTCGTTTACTATATAGGTCACCTCATGAAAAGACGTGACGACCTTAAAAGCATAGATACGCGTTTTTCTTATTTTGAAGTAAAATTTCGAAGGAATTTTGAATGATTCAATGTTTTGATTGGCTAGATGTGTAACTGATCTGTGTATAGTCCAGTGGAAGTAGAAATTAATGCATAGGTAGTCCCAATTTCTGATGCTCGTATAAACTTTGTATTATATGAATTGCAGGTTTGGTTCAAGCGTGTGCTGGAAAAATTCCTTCGTATATGGTGCCGTGTGTAGGCGAGGTTTTCTGGGAAATGTTGAGATACAATAAAGAGGTTATTTTGTGTAGAATAGAATACAACTTTATACATCCACGCTTCCCTCTTCAACCGTAGATGATTTCCGCGAGGGATATCGCACAATTACAAGGAAAAAACTTTAATACACTAAAGAATAGGCAATATCTGTTCAGCATGTTAATTGTATTATTCATCCATGTTTAGCAAGCTAGTAACTGGTTAGCCAAATCACTAGAGATGTTACCAACACAGACTGTGAGCGGTACAACAATAGTCACCAGCCAACAGATTATGGAATTTCATCATGGTGTTACAAAGTAAGTCAGTTGACTTATTGGGGATGAGATGGTGCTGGTGATGATGTTGATCATGTTAATGATGATAATGTCAATTGATTCAGTGCTGTTTTCTGGAAACATGTATGCAGGCCAGGGTGAATGGGGTACAAGCACCAGCCTGTTTGGTTATTAGAAAATACGTTTTTTCGAGAAATGTTTAGCATAAGATGGTACGTGCCGCTAGGGCCACAGTCATCCCACTAACAATAGATTACATCATTACATTGCCCTCCTCGTTTCCATTGGTTTTGTATCGACTTAGCAATTGTGCCGATTTCTTTATATAATTCTTTATATAAATTAAAATGCGACTCAAATTTGGAAACCACCCTACAGAAGATCTATTGATCCATCCCAGTTTCTAATGATGCATGATAATGCTTACTCCGGTAGTTGTGGTAGTATTGTCCAGCATAGCCAATGCGGTTGATTTTCCTTTCAGTGCTGATGCTGGAAAATTCGTGTCCAGGGTAGCCCGTTCATTTTCGAGACTCTACGAGTAGGACTGCGCGAGTACTTTGAAGCAAGTGCGTGGAACGAAAGGCCCTCGCGTGGATCGCGCGTGAAATACACGAAAGGATCACGGGGTAATATACGTCCGCGAAAGGACAACCATGCAAGCAAGCGAAATATGTAAATAAAATGAGAATATTTTATTAATACCTCTGGACTCTCGAGAGGTTGGCTAGCTCAATGAACAATGTTTAAAATCGAAGGTGCTGTCGGGCTGGACGATTTTATATATTTTAAGGACACGGACTTTTAGAGTGTTTGTGAAGTATATAACAAATATATAGAGTAAATTGTGCATTTTTTAAATTATTTATACCAATTTCTTTAATTTAATGTTAAACCAGTAGCAAACGAGCAAATTCTTTGCAAGAAGTTAAGTTTTAGTGCGGCAGTTTTTAGTTTTCAGACTGCACGAATGACACAGCAATACTTATTGCTGACCAACGGCAATAGCAATGCATGTCCCCCATTTTTACCCCTAATGGAACATCTTTTAAGTATATGGATTTCCGTCATTGGTATATATGGTGTTATACAATGTTATTCTATAAATCATGTGCGTTTGGTGAACACGGACGTTTTCCAAACGATTTTGTTGCTGTTTTGAGTTGTACATAGTCCATACACTTCATAGGCACTAATAAACGAGATCATATAAACGGACCTCCACTATGCTGGGTTTAATCACAAAATTCAAGCCAAATGATTTAATCTCGATGTTTAACTTAGTTGTTATACTTTAATCTTTATTTACTTGCTCCCCTAAGAGAAACGCTTTGTATAGTAAAGGTCACACGATAAAAATTGTCGGATCCAATTCTCTTCTCATGTATGGAATGTAACTGCTATTGGTAAAACAATACTCGTTACCTTTAGTTGTTTTGATGCCCACATACCTGCCGAGTCCACAGACTATAAAACGAACATCCGAAGTGAATTGGATCCGACAAAAATGGATCGTGTGAACAGACTTTTACACTGGCAGCTTGCAATTTGTTACATGACAAAGCTTCTGACGTTTTGTTGTCCATATATTGGTTATCGTAAAATTAGTTTAATAATGATTAGTTTGCAATGGATCCAACTTTTTGAAAGAATTTTTGCCATTATATATTATATATTTATTTGCAATTAAATCCCATTTTTCCTAATTCATTTTGGCACGAAATGTCACGTTCCGGTTTCCCTCTTGTCATTTCACAAACCAAGTTCTTGACACATTCATAACTCTCAATTAATTTTTCATTATGAAATGATTTTTGCGACAAAAATGCGGTATACAAATAGCTTAAGGACGCTTATGTTTAATGGTTACTAATTACTGTTTATTTGACAAAGTATTTCAAAAGTTGCTGTAGTTACATTGAATTAATGAGAAACGGTTTGAATAGTTTGACGGAGGTAAGAAATTAATGATATATCAGCAAGCAGAGTTGTATTATATTATATAGTTTCATCGTGGCCGCGTATTTCCCGTTGGAAAACAATTTTGAATTGTTTGTTGCGTTTTGCGTCAAACAAGAAGCATATATATTGATAGCTGAGATACTACAAGAATGGTTGAAGCTAATTTTTAATAGCAGACTGAGTAAGAAGAGGGATTTGACTTGGCTGTTTATTATAGACACAACATCTCTTGTTTAGAATATGGCTTTCTGAAAGGTATTTCATTCTAAGCCATAACAAGACCATTGGAAAGGGTTCTTTAAAAGTTTAGGAAGAATTCCAAAGGAAACAAAGGAGCTTGGAACGGCTATTTTATGTACTTTTTATGTCCAGGACTTGTTGAAAACAAGGTTTTCATTTAGGTAAAATGTAAAAGGTTTTCATTTACGTAAGACCCTTTCAACCTCAAGAACTATTGTAAGAGTGTTGGAATAACTGTTGCTACATGTTGAAATCGTGTGATAAGGCCTAAAGTGTGGTCAAGGTAGAAAGCCTAAAAATGTGTTCATTAAGAACGGGTAGAAAATTCAGCTTAAGAGAAAGGCAGTGCTTAGAGAATGAGAGAATTAAAACCTGCGGAACCAAAGAAGAAAGACTGCCAAGTGAGTCGGACAAGAATAACGTTATTAACAGCAAAACTTTAGATGTTTATGTGGACGTAGATCCCAGTCTAAAAGGATGGACGGAGAACAGCGAGTTTTCTTATAAAAATCAGAAACACTCGAAGTTGAAGAGAGAGAGTATGGATTCGATCTACTGTGAAGTTTTAAACAATGGAAATTGTCATGAATGTCAAACAAACGAACGAAAATCTGCGAGCATTAACTCGAGTTTGGCTAGATTTCCAGACTTGGAAACCGGAGGGTGTTGAAAATATGCACTCGTAAACTTTATTTAAGAAAAACATTATGGACTTCCGGTTTTCTGTTAAGAGAGGTCACATGTCAATGGGGCCATGCTTGTATGGTTTTTGAAAGGCTGAACAGTTAAACTTTGAGTCGTTGATAGTATTGATATTTATCTTCCTCTTTATACTTTAAAATAAAACTATTTCAAAAGGTTATGGGCCCAGGGACGTATATGTAGGAGGTGAACAACGAAGCAAAATAAGAAGGTAAAACAAAGCCTTTGTAATCGAAATTGGTTTTGTAATGGCGTCAGGTTTGGATGTTAAAACGGCGAGTATAATCCCATTGAATGGAAAGAATTACCCCACTTGGAAAGTGCAATGTCGAATGGCACTTATGAGGGACGGTGTGTGGGGAATTGTGTCTAAGATTGAAGTGTCGCCAGGTACAGATAAACCGGAAGATTTAGCAAAATTTATTGCGAGAAGAGATCGTGCGTTGGCAACCATTGTTTTGTCTGTCGATCCGTCGCTGTTATACCTCCTTGGGGATCCACAAGACCCTGCTGTGGTTTGGGAAAAATTAGCAAACCAATTCCAAAAGAAAACGTGGGCAAATAAGTTGGCACTGCGTCGTAAACTCTACTCATTGCGGTTGAAAGACGGTGAATCTGTTCAGAAGCACATCAAAGAAATGACTGAGATATTTGATAGATTAGCAGTCATCGATGACCCAATAACAGAAGAGGATCGAGTTGTTCATTTGTTAGCGAGTTTACCTGAGTCATACGATATATTAGTGACGGCCTTGGAGGCAAATGTTGAGGTTCCCAAAATGGAAACTGTGACTGAACGTTTGTTACACGAAGAGCGAAAACTAAAGGAGAGAAGTGAGTCTGAGGCAAGTGATGGAATGAAAGCTATACTTGCAAATAGACAGCCAAAAGGCAAGGGTCCAAAATGTTACCATTGTGGAAAGTTTGGACACATTAAACGAAACTGTCGAGAACTGAACACTCCAAAACATGATGGTCACAAAGGAGATTTTAACGAGCATAAGGCAAATAATGCAGCTGAATCTAGACAAATCGACAGCAGCTCAGATAGTGATGAAGTGGGATTGATGGTGAATCATGCATTGAATTCATTAAATGGCCGAACAAATGCATGGATAATTGATTCTGGAGCAACTTGTCATATGTGCAATGATGTCAGTCTATTTGTAAAATTGGAAAACTTAGATGAACCCGAAGAAGTTGCTCTGGGAGATGGACATGTTGTGAAGGCAACTGGACGAGGCATTGTGAAAACAGAGATAGAGTCTCCAAACAGGGAAAAGGGAAAAAGTTGTGTACTACAAGATGTCCTGTATGTTCCAAGCTTATCGTACAACCTAGTGAGTGTCTAGAGCTACAAAATCTGGAAAGACGGTTAAGTTTAATGAAGATGGTTGTCATATTCTTGATGAAAATCAAAAGCTGATTGCTGTTGCAAAAAGAGTAGGAAACCTTTATTACCTGAATTGTGTGAACAGTCATCATGCAAATCCTACTGTGGAAAATTCAAATGTGAGAAGCAAAGAGGTTACCTGGCACAAAAGATTTGGACATCTTGGTGTACAAAATCTCAAAAAGTTGGCAAAAGAAAATCTTGTTGATGGTTATGACTATGACAAGTCGAAGGACATTGATTTCTGTGAATCTTGTACCGAGGGAAAGCATCATCGAAGCAAATTCCCAGTCAACGAGGGTGGACGTGCAAAAGAACCCCTTAATTTAGTACACAGTGATGTATGTGGGAAAATGAGTACAAAATCGCTTAGTGGAACTGAGTACTTTCTGACATTTATTGATGATCACACTCACTATGTATGGATTTACGTCTTGAAACATAAAGATGAAGTTTTTTCAAAGTTTTTAGAGTGGAAAGCCGCAGTCGAAAAATCCTCTGACAAAAAGGTTAAAGTATTTCGCACTGACAACGGGGGAGAATACACCTCAACAGAGTTTGAAAATTATCTGAAGAAAGAAGGAATAACGCACCAATTGACTGTGCCGAAAAACCCGGAACAAAATGGAGTGGCTGAGAGGATGAACCGGACTTTGGTAGAATCTGTAAGATCCATGTTAGCTGATGCTAAACTCCCGCACAAGTTCTGGGCTGAAACGCTCTCAACCGCTGTTTATCTTAGAAACAGAAGTCCCACTGTTGCAGTCAAAGGAAAGACTCCTTTCGAAGCCTGGACAGGTCAGAAACCCAATGTGAAACATCTACGAGTATTTGGCTGCGAAGCATATGCTCATGTGCCAAAGGACGAGAGAAAGAAACTCGAATCGAAAACTAGAAAGTGTATTCTCCTTGGTTATGGCGCAGAAACGAAGGGTTATCGTCTTTATGATCCAAAACGTGCTAGAGTTTTTCACAGTCGCGATGTTAAGTTCAACGAATCGTCACAAGGAACTGAAGTTGTGAAAGAACAAGAGCCAAATCAAAACACGTATGTGGAACTTAATTTTCCCGAGTTTGAAGCACCAATTGCTGATGAAGAGCCTGTCGTAAACGAAATGCCTGAGCCTCAAAGTTCAAGAAGATCAGAAAGAGATCGAAGGCCACCTGCCTACTATGGGGAGTGGGCAACAGCTGCAAATTATGATCAAAACGAGCCAGGAACTGTGAAAGAGGCTTTGACAAGTCCACAAAAGGCGAAGTGGGTAAAAGCAATGGAAAAAGAAATGGAATCACTTAAAACTAACGAAGTGTGGGATTTAGTTGAACTACCCGAGAATCGTAAAGCGGTTGGCAGTAAGTGGGTATTTCGAGTCAAAACCGATGCGAATGGAATAGTTGAAACACACAAAGCTCGACTCGTAGCTCAAGGTTTTAGTCAAACCTTTGGCGATGACTATGATGAAACATTTTCACCTGTAGCTAGGTTTGAATCAGTTCGAACAGTTATCGCTTTAGCTGCACAGCACAGTTTAAAGCTTCATCAAATGGATGTTACAACGGCGTTTCTAAATGGAGATCTCAAAGAAGAAGTCTACATGAAACAACCTGAAGGTTTCGTTGAGAAAGGGAAAGAGCACCTAGTCTGCAGGTTACGTCGAAGCATCTACGGTCTTAAACAGTCCCCACGTTGCTGGAACTCCGTTCTTGACCGGAAACTGAAGAGTATGGGCTTTGTGCAAACCATCAGCGATCCATGTATCTACGTAAAGGAAGAAGACGGAGATATATTTATTATCGCTGTGTACGTTGATGATATGATTCTGGCCGGAAAGAATGATCAGAAAATCAACGAAGTGAAGCAAGCACTCGCTAAACTATTTCAAATGAAAGATATGGGAAAATTACACTATTTCCTGGGTGTCAAAGTTGTTCAGAAACCAGATTTAAAAGAGGTTTGGATTGGTCAAGAAGCGTACACAAAGAATGTGTTAGAAAAGTTTGGCATGGAGTGTTCGAAACCAATGAACACACCTGTTAACCCTAGGACAAAACTGAAGAAGGCAGCAGACGACAGTCCACGAGTCGACCAAGTCAACTACCAGTGTGCTGTTGGGCATCTACTTTATCTGTCCACGAAGACAAGACCTGATATCGCATATGCTGTGAGTGATGTAGCGAGATTCAGTGCAGATCCAACGGAGGAGCACTGGGCAGCAGTTAAGCGTATCATGCGTTACCTGAATGGAACTCGAGATTTGGGTCTACTCTATGATGGAAGCAAGACAACTTCGTGTGTTGGATATTCCGACGCTGATTGGGCTGGAGATCTTGATGATAGAAAGTCGACGTCCGGTTATGTCTTTCAAATTAGCAACGCAGCTGTCAGTTGGCGAAGCAAGAAACAGTCGTGTGTGGCTCTCTCGACTGCCGAAGCAGAATACATAGCATTGGCAAGTGCAACTCAAGAAGCAGTTTGGCTTAGACAACTTCTAAGTGATCTCAAGAGCAAACCAACTGGTCCAACGTTGATACTTGAAGACAATCAAGCAGCAATCTGCATGGCAAAGAATGCACAGTACCATGGTCGTGCAAAACATATTGATATAAAGTATCATTTCATTCGTGAACATGTTGCCAATACTGCAGTTAAATTAGAATACTGCAGCACTGAAGAAATGGTCGCTGACATTTTTACTAAAGGACTCGGTGCGATTCAGTTTATCAAACTTAGAAAGATGCTTGGAGTTAGTTAAATGGACTATAACATGTGAACATATAGTTATACGAGTGAGGAGGAGTGTTGAAAATATGCACTCGTAAACTTTATTTAAGAAAAACATTATGGACTTCCGGTTTTCTGTTAAGAGAGGTCACATGTCAATGGGGCCATGCTTGTATGGTTTTTGAAAGGCTGAACAGTTAAACTTTGAGTCGTTGATAGTATTGATATTTATCTTCCTCTTTATACTTTAAAATAAAACTATTTCAAAAGAGGGTATCTGTTATTTCAAAGTTTAAGTGAAAAGCAAAAGTTTCCCGAGAGAACGACGTATTCTGCTCTGAGTTTTACATCTTCGGCAAGCAGCTATTGTTCATCGGAAACCTCTGGTGCTCTCCGACAGCAAGTAAGAGCCGCTTCGGCTGTATTGTCGAACTTTAATCGGAGAGCGATCGAGTCTGCCCGTTCATTTTCGCAAGCCCGACCAATGACGTCAAAGAATGTTCGCTTCGAAGATGTTTCGCGAAACCATGGAAGGAGTTTCAGTTCCCGTGGGTGCTCACGCAAAACCTCGACAATGTCTCAGGAAGGATGGTCCAAGAAGCAAATAGAAGCCTGGAAACTACTCGCTCCCACACCCCCGCAGATCGAGGTCTCTCAAATGAATGTTAGTATGTATACGCCGAAGGAATTGCCGGGAATTAAGATTTTTGACGAATCATTATTTGTGATTTGAGGTCTTGAAATTGACTTTAATATCTAGCCAAATCTAGCGAATATCCTCACCCAAACTTGTGAAAACGCGTGATTAACTTCAACCAAGCTAAAGCAAACTTTTCACATTGCTTCAACAACATATTCTAAATGTGTTTGCTATTCTTGCTCCCAGTCTTTTCACAACTTGTCACTAGTTATGGACTCAGAGAACTAGCTTATCACAAGTTGTTGAAAGTCGTTGTACGAGTAGAAAGAGACGACAAAGCGATATCTTTTTATCTTGTTGACAGTTTGTTTTTAAGTTCTATCCACACCAGTGACACCACACAAAAAAGACAATCAATTTCCAATTTCATTTTAATATTTTTCTTCAGTTTTGTAAAGCCAAATGAAAAAATACATAAAATTATACAACCAAGTCCAAGTATTCACAGTTAATTTTTAACAGTCCTAATTTTCACATTAATCAGTTGGCCTTGTGAACCTACTTGGCTATCCCGCGCTATACTTTCATTACTACAGTGCAACGCGATAGTTACGTATCTACATATGATTTCATATACAAAATGTTTTAGTTCGATTTTTTTATTCCAGTTTCAACAACGTCTATATGATTTTACTTCACTTTCCCATTGGGAAAACTGGAGCTCCAGCATGTTCGATAGGTATAGTCAGTTGTTGCGCAGCTGTGAATAAAGAAGGTAAACGTGTTAAAATAAAATTGTGGCAAAAGGAGAGTATTAGAGGTTTTTACCGACCCGCCCCCCTATGCCGTCCTGTTAACTCAACCGCCGAAAAACGGCCTGGGAAAGAGTTTTAATCAGATGGTCATGGTGAATTGGTCTCAGTTCTACTGGTTTTCTTCTAATGGATTGTCTATGGCTATTGGTGATATCAATGACCACTGACCATTGACACTGACAAAGCAAAGAACACATGAGAATTTCAATCACGGTTCTTGCGCGGTAATAGGAGGACTAGGTACTATGAGAAGGCTTGGCTCCCTTGTTGAAAGCGAAACTTTTAGTCGAAAGTGCTATGAGTTTATTGCACTGAGCTATATAATAATTCCTGGAGGACCGGCTCGCCACCAAAAAGTGTCCGCAAAAACATGGCGGATTTTGAGCTTTGCTGACGCCACATGGTTCCTTTTGCTCATGGTAGTTACCACTGACATACCGCGATACAAGGTGAAAAACTGTGTCCATCTCCCTCCTGGTTTTTATGAAAATATTTTCGGCTTTCGGTATATATTTTTTGTATTTCATATAAATCCTCTTTTTGTATTTCATATAAATCCCCTGTTCAACAAATGGAAAGGAGACGTAGCTTTGTACTCTATATGTCTGACGTAGTGAATGGCTTAATTCACTTATCGGGGGAATGATTTTTCTCATTCGGCTGTTATTTTATGGCATCCAGGACTTCCAGGTAAGCCGGTTTTTATAACAATTTCAGTTTTTTTGCCTTTGGACTCGAATATAAACTGATTACCAAAGGTTCTGAGCCATATAAATCCATCAAAACTTATGGTACAAACAGCAAATGTACTATTTTAGACCTTTGGTACATGTGCAATGTTATATACTCAAACTTTATCATTTTCTTGACTTGTGTGGGGAAGGAATTAAATTCCTGGCAATGTCAATCTTTGAGTTTGGTCTATTTTGTTTTCATGATAGCAAACAATAATGTCAATAGGTAAACCTTCCCCCCAGTGAGTCTATTAGATTTAAGAAATAATTAACATGATCTAACTGACAAAAGTGCTGAGTGGGTGCTGATACAAAGTGATAAGATTTTTGCTGAAAACAGTGTAAATTTCAACCTATGATGATGGTGACTGTTAAAACCTAGTTAATATATTATCTTGTTTGCCTTGTCAAATTCAAATCAATTATCATGGCTTATATTAATTGATTTTTTAACTTCTTGCACCTTGTGAATAAATCTTGATCAGATCTCCATTTATATTTTTCAGGATGAAGATGCTATGAAATAAAGCAAGCTAGAGATGGCTTATTAATTAATGAAATAAAGCAAGCTAGAGATGGCTTATTAATTAATTGTCATGCAATTTGTTGGGACATTGAACTGAGATGTATTAAGCATATTATACACATTCTTATGAATCTGCATTGTTATCCTTGATTACCATGTTATCTGATTTTGTTGTTGGCTGGTATTTTTATAACCATTGTTATATTTATAAAAGAAATAAATATAAACATGCATTGTGTGAGCAGTGTATCTTCAATCTGCAGCCACTTTTATAATTTTCTGTTTATGGTATCAAACTTCAAGAGGGCTAAATTCAATGGGCTAATCAGGAGTAATTGAGTCTATGGAGGGATGAATATTGGGTCCAGGGGTGCAATTAGATAATATTGAAAACTTTTGAAGCCCATTGAGGTACAATTAAGCTGATGACCTTACTGAAAAGTATATTATGCAAATATGACTCATGGTTGAAACTATATTCTTGCACTTAGTCAGCTGCCAAGCATCTTGCCCCTGAGCTTTGGCCTCTGTTTCTTTGGATTATACCTAGATATATTGTCCTGAAGACATTCAAGACCATTCAAGAAAACATTATTAATTGCATACTTTCAGTAATTCTGCTGTTCATGCAGGGTTCAAAAAAGTCTAATTGATGTCCATAAATATCCAATTGTCCCCAAAATGTCCGACAATAGTGCCAAAAAGTTCAATCATTTGTTATAGGAATGTAGAAATAATGAGAATATAAAAAAAACACCTGTCACGGCTGTCAGTTCGTGTCAGAATTTTAAAAATCTTCAATTTTGTCCACAACTTTTTGACGTTTTAATATATATTTGTTCTTGCGTTGGCAATAACAGCGTCTACGACTTGTATTCATCCTAAATAAACGCTTTATATTTCAAAAAAATGATGTTTTCATGACTTTATATTTCAAAAAAACAAAACAAGTTTTCACGGGAAATTTTTTTTATAAAGGCCAGGGGGGAGAATCTGTTGTTTACTAAATCCAGGGGGGAGGACACCCATGTAGCGGGCTCATAATTGAGCCCGGTCAGTGGTAAATACCATGGCCAAAAGGAACCATGTGGCGTCAGCAGAGCTTCTGCGGTTGCGCAGAAGGGCGAAGTCCGCCATGTTTTTGCGGACAAAAAGATGGCGGCGAAGTTACCGAAAAATGACGAGCCGGTCCTCCAGGAATTATTATATAGCTCAGTGGTTTATTGAGTTATGATCACTCATCACTGAGCTATATGATTGAATTTAGACCAGTAATTTCGACAATTTAGTTATGAAATTATGAGACGAATTGGTCGAATTGACTTTCAAAAAGCTCTAAAAAAAGTGAGTTTACATGCAGTTACGAGAAAAGCGTTTAGTTAAATTTATGTGGTATTGTCTGCTTTTTTAGAAAGCTTATTTTGATAAGTAGTATTAACCCATGGTTAGCTTATTTTGTGGCTATACATAATGAAATTGAATGTTCACTAAACCACTTACTTAAAGGTTGTCCAGCTGCTGAGATTGGCACAATTTGTGGCATTGTAGCAGGGATTGCCACAGGTTGATGGACCAAGGATGGTACAAGAGGGTTAGACATTGCAATTGGGGCAGCTGCCAGAGGAGCTGGGGCGATTGCAGGGGCAAAACCTGCCAGGACAGGAGCACGCATTGCTTGTCCTGGGATGCCGGCCATGAAGTGTGGAACTGGTGCCCCTATTATTGCTTGACGTTTTGGACGACTATTCTTCTTTGGAATTTTGTTCTAGAAGGTGAGATAGTAGGAATCAAATTAATTAATCATTCAAACATTCAAATTCAATTTGATTTTCATGGCATAGCTAAAACTACTTAATTGACCAGGGGATATTTATATATTCATGTTTACATACTGTAGAAACAGTGAACAGTCTTTCCAAAGAAGTCAATCCAACATAAAATCAATAATAATATACACATGCCCAATCAAGCCTCTATAGCTATGATCCTGCTGATTCTATTGGGCCTGGGTTTAAATTGAAGGTCTCTTATAATTGTGGGAACAGGCATATAGTATATGCCTCGTCTCAAAAAAAATTTCCAAGTTCCAACTTAATAGTACAGGATGAGTGCTCAGCTCTTACTTTGATATCTAGTGTAGCCATGGCTTGACCAGGGTATCCTAATGTAGAAAACCCAGGATGTGTGACTGGGTGTCCTGGGAAGTGACCATGTCCACCAAGAGGTCCGGCATGAGCACCTAGCAATCCTGGGCCATGTCCCAACAATCCGGGACCATGCCCTAAAGGTCCAGCACCCACCAGCCCATGGCCAGGCAATGCTCCTCCAGGACCATGAGCCAGAAGTCCACCAGGATGGCCAACAAGGCTTCCATGTAGTTGTCTCTTGGATGCTTTGTCATCTGCAGGAACTTTACCCTAAAACATTCAGAATCATTTTTCTCAGTCACAGCCTTACAAAATCTGACTACTTTCTGCAAAGTTTTATCATTACCTTCTTAATGTCAAGGGTTGCAATAGCATGACCTGGGTATCCCATTGTAGAGAATCCGGGATGTGTGACAGGGTGACTGCCAGGTCCTGGATAACCGGGGCCAATGCCATGACCTCCAAAATGAGCTCCAAAATGACCGTGGGCATTGCCTGGGAAGCCAATTACTTGCCTCGGGACATGGGATCTGCCGAACACATGCTGGGCTTCTGGTCCCCCTGGTACATTACCCACATGAGGTCCTAATGTTTGAAAGGGGTCTAATCCACCCATGCCCCCAAATCCAAGGCCTAGCCTATAGTTATCACCACTAGCATAACCATAACCTAAATGTATGGTTTGCTTTTTAGTTGGGATATCCCCCCGCTTATCTCCCTTTTCATCTTTATTGATCTTAGACCTCGCCCAAGGGAATGCCTTCATCCAGGGGAAACGGGGAGGGTAGGTCCCAAAACCAGATCCCGGATAACCCCATTCTGTGCCAGATGGTCCTTGGTAACCACCCCAACCAAGGCCTAACCCACCAGCACCACAACCTCCAATTCCACATTTTTTGGATGCTTTGCCCTTTGCAACCTTCGATTTACTCACAACTCCGAAACTGTAAGGTCCAAGACCTGGGTACAACCCTACTGCATAACCTCCCCACCATGGTCCACGGGCAAACGGCCCAAAACCGGCATTAAACCGGTTACGCAGACCTGCAAATGGTGCACGGGTTATGGGACTGACGCAAGGAAGATTACGCTTGGAGGCTTTACCTCCCTTTGTGACCTTTGATCTATAACAACCAGACAACAACCACCAAAACCACCACACCCCCCGCCGAATCCACATCCTCCTCCAAAACCACATCCACCACCGAATCCACAACCTCCTCCCAAGCATCCTGATCCAAAACCTCCAAGTCCACAACCACCGAGGCCACAGCCTCCAAATCCACATCCTCCACCTAGCCCACATCCACCATATCCGAATCCTCCATGTCCTAGACCACCCCATCCCCAGTGGTGAAGCCCATCCCAGAATGCGTGTAAGTCAGCAAAACACCCATGCTTCTTTGCCGCCTTCTTGTCACACTTGTACACCATATTTCTTTTGGTTTTTCCGTCTTTAGTAATGGTTGATTTAACAGCCCAACCACATCCACTGCAATCAACGCCTATACCTCTTCCAGGCCCGAAGCTCATCGCTGTTCTTGCAAGCGGGGCAGACCCATAATCATAGAAACCATGATGTGACATCCCACCATACGGCCAGGCACCGTAACCGCCAATAGCAAATGGGCTTACAAACCTCTTATTAGCATTGGCTCCTTTCTCTCCCTTGGGGCATCCGTAAACTACTTCTCTTTTAGTTTTACCATTTTTGTCGACTTTCGATCTATAATACGCCCCGCATCCTCCAAAACCACCGAAACCTCCAAATCCACCGCACCCTCCGCCACATCCCCCAAACCCGCATCCAAGGCAGCCGTATCCAAAGTAAGGATAACCGACGTCATACCCGTGACTCGCTACTCCCCAGCCATGACCGTGCCCGAATCCAAGACCGCCGAAACCTCCCAGACCAAATCCACCGAAACATCGCTTATGGTTCTTTTTATTCTTATCACAAGCGTAAACTAGATCACGTTTAGTTTTGCCGTCTTTGTCGATCTTTGATTTGTAAGCCCAACCACAACCACCGCAACCCAGGCCGCCCAAGCCATAGCCGAAGCCGTTGCCCAAGCCAAGAGCATCTCCAAACAAACCGTGACCTAACCCCCAACCACCTAAGCCATACCCCCCTAAACCATAGCCCCCGAAGCCGCCCAAACCTACTGGGACACCGTAACCCCCCCAAAGACCATAGCATCGCTTGGCATTATCTTTATTCTTGTCGCAAGCATAAACTAGTTGCCTTTTCGATTTCCCATCTTTTCCAACCTTAGATTTATACGCCCAACCACATCCCCCGCACCCCAAGCCCGCGTGTGCGCCGTGGGCGAAAATTGCTTCATGGTAGAGGCCAGGATGACCAAGGCCTCCCAAGCCGCCCCAACCACCTAGGCCACCCCAACCTAGTCCACCCCAACCACCAAAGCCAGGGTATCCTCCCCATCCAAATCCCCCGAAACATCGCTTTGCGTTTTTCTTCTTATTCTTATCACACGCGAAAACAAGTTCTCGTTTTGTCTTTCCGTCCTTGCCGATTTTAGACTTATAGGCATAACCACATCCACCACAACCTAACCCGTAACCACCATATCCGAATCCATCACCGTACAATCCATGTCCTAAGCCCAAACCCAAACCATGGCCCCAACCTCCTAAGCCATAACCACCTAATCCAAAGCCACCTAATCCGTAGCCACCTAATCCATATCCACCAAATCCTAAGGGTGAGCCCCATAGACCGAAACATCGTTTCTTATTTTTTTTATTTTTGTCGCATGCATAAACCAACTCACGTTTTGTTTTTCCATCTTTGCCGATTTTAGACTTATAGGCATAACCACATCCACCACAACCTAACCCGTAACCACCATATCCGAATCCATCACCGTACAATCCATGTCCTAAGCCCAAACCCAAACCATGGCCCCAACCTCCTAAGCCATAACCACCTAATCCAAAGCCACCTAATCCGTAGCCACCTAATCCATATCCACCAAATCCTAATGGGGAACCCCACAGACCGAAACATCGTTTCTTATTTTTTTTATTTTTGTCACATGCATAAACCAACTCACGTTTTGTTTTTCCATCTTTGCCGATTTTAGACTTATAGGCATAACCACATCCACCACAACCTAACCCGTAACCGCCATAACCGAATCCATCACCGTACAATCCATGTCCTAAGCCCAAACCCAAACCATGGCCCCAACCTCCTAAGCCATAACTACCTAATCCAAAGCCACCTAATCCGTAGCCACCTAATCCATATCCACCAAATCCTAAGGGTGAGCCCCATAGACCGAAACATCGCTTCTTATTTTTTTTATTTTTGTCGCATGCATAAACCAACTCGCGTTTTGTTTTTCCGTCCTTGCCAATTTTAGACTTATAGGCATAACCACATCCACCACAACCCAACCCGTAACCACCGTATCCGAATAAGCCATCACCATACAATCCATGTCCCAAACCAGCGCCCCAACCTCCAAAGCCACCTAATCCGTATCCTCCTAATCCGTAGCCACCTAATCCATATCCACCAAATCCTAAGGGTGAACCCCACAGACCAAAACATCGCTTCTTATTTTTCTTATTTTTGTCGCATGCATAAACCAACTCACGTTTAGTCTTCCCGTCTTTATCGATTTTGGACTTGTATGCAAAACCGCACCCTCCACAGCCTAGTCCTCCAAGGGTTGAGAAATCAGGGTACCCACCATGGCTAAACCCTCCAAAGCCATCGTGTAAGGAGTTGAATCCCCATCCTCCATACCCATTGAGACCCCCGAAGCCTCCCAATAGTCCAAGGCCTCCAAACCCACCATATCCTCCCCACCCACCGTAGCCAGGCCAATTACCGAAACATCGTTTCGCTTTCTTTCCGTCCTTGTCTTTCTTACAAACAAACACCAGATTTCGTTTAGTTTTCCCGTTCTTATCAATTTTGTTCTTGTAAGCCCATGTGCAACCACCACATCCCAAACCGTTAGCCCAGTTACCGAGACTCAGTGGTGCGTATGGACCCCCGCACTGACCATGCCAGCATGAGCCCATACCGTATCCCAAACCAACGCCCAAGAGACCTGGAAAACCATAACCTAATCCTCCTCCAAAACCTAGCCCAAAGAAGCGTTTGCTGACATCCGCTCGTTTCAATGGAGCATTCATAACCCGATTCGATGCCAAAGCCATCTGCTCTCCTTGATTCGGCCTACCTAAATCCCATCCTTTAAGCGGTGAACTGAACGGGTAGCCTGGGAACACCAGACCGAACCCGTGACCATAACCAACACCAACGGGGATGTACCATCTCTTGGTGCTTCCCGGGATCTGATTTCGCGCCCAGAACCCACCCCAGCCAGGCCAACCTGCACCGGCACCAGCACCATAGTTGGTTGGCAGCCAACCAGGGTATGTGCCTGGTGAGTCACTCAAAGGCATTCCCCAAAGAGATCTTTTGTTAGCCGAACCCTTGGTTTTTCCCTCCTTTGGTACATTATTACGATAAAACCATCCCGGGACGTGAGGCCCCCACCCAGAGTTCCAGGGGATAATTCCGTAGGGTAATCTATTCGCCCATGGGAGACCACCCCAGGCCGGCAGATAGCCCCCATATCCTCCGTAAAAGATACCATGCTTAGGACTAGCTTTTTTAGACCCTTTGCCCGCGGGAACTTTGGATTTATAATATGGAAAGCCATCATGACCCCAGATTGGACCAATTCCGTAGGACCCCATTCCTAGCGTTGGTCCGAATAGACCAAAACCAGTTGGGAACCCAGGTCCATAGGCTGGATCCCCATAGCCGTGGCCCCAGCCATACCATCGCTTTTTCGCATCCTTGTTCTCGCTTTTAACTATGTGTTCTTCGTTTTTTTCCGAATCATCATCTTCGGAAGTGTCCGACTCAACTTCCTTCTTTTCTGACTCATCTTCGTCTTTTTCCGATTCATCTTTTTGACTATCTGAATCGTCTTCGTGGCTCTCCGACTCATTTTTTTCATCGCTTTCCGACTTATCTTTGGAAGCGCTTGAATCGTCTTCGGACGAGTCCGTGTGAGAGTCGTGAGTTTCCGCCATAGCTTCGTCAGCTTTCTCGTCATTTATCACCTCTACACTAATTCCGTCATCGTCATCTTCCCGCAATTGGTTTGTCTCTCTGCTTACTGCCGCGCTCTGTGCCAATGTTGTTAGAGCGAGGCATAAGCAGAGCATAAGTAAGTAACGGCGCATAGTTTATGTGGCCTTTTCTCCAGTACTTATCTAGAAAAAATAGTCTATCGGTTGGTTTCCATTAAAGTAAACTTCAAGGGCGGGTTTTATAAAAGTGAAATTTTTAAATATTGTTAATGGGGTCAATTAGCTAATCAGTATCTTAATTTGGAGTCAATGACGTAAAATCGGGTGCCATTAATATGAAGAGAATCGTCAATACTTGACAAAGTTCTGTTTTTCTTCATTGTCTCCGTTCCCCCCACGATGACAGCAATATGCAAATAAATTGTTTATTCCCTTCCTCTGGGAGAAACGTGAATAGACATGCAGTTTAAGGTCTAATGTTTAACTTTAAGGCTTCATTTTCTTTACCGCTTTTCTTGGGTATATTTTAGGAGGTTTACGACGATCATTGAATAAAAAGTATTCCGGCCAGCGTTAGCTAAAATACACGTCGATAAAGAAGATATTTTGATCACCGTGAAAGATTCAAGCGAAATTATTTGGCCAAAAAAGGTAAAATTCTTGTTTCAATTTTCACGATCACCAGCTATAATGCCCATTAATCATTAGCGGGCAAACTTGTTTGATTAAAGCCCAAACGTGAAGTCATATCCATATCCTTGTATATATAAGTCGTTCTTTTTTAATCTTTAATCATGCTAAAATTGACTAGAGTATCCATGGGGATTTTCGTGCCATATTCAGCCCCTGTTTACTTGCCCATGGACAGAATACACGTTATTACAGGTATAATAATTATCTCCGCAAAAGTTATATGATGACATTTTTTTAAAAATGAAGCTAAATTTATTAGTCATTAATATAACAGAATATAGTTGTTGGTCCTTATCCCATGGGATATTTTTTTTAAAAGGGAAAATATAAATATTAATACGAATGTATGCTCAAAAACATCAACTCCACTTATTTCAATCGTTACGAACAATTAAATGAAATATAATTTTATTTTGTATTGGGTCGAAATAAATTTAAGGCCTTATAGGTTTAACTAATATATGTATAGCATTGCATGCGAGCCAACAAAATATCTCTTTTTATTTAGTCAGTAAAATGCTCTATGAAGTTATTATACAATAATATATTTACATTTTATGCACCTTGACCAACTATCTCTAAAACTTGGTTGGTATTTAATCGTTACTGCATGCATAACAAGTCTGATCTGCATGGATCTATAGTGTCTCGTCTTTTGTGTGCATGGGTTGTATGCGAATCAACGACCGAGCATCTATACTCATGATCTCAACCTATACTGACATAATACATCAACACTCTGCGGTTGTATCGCTCAACTGCTTGATCCATCGTAATTATCAGTGTTCGTGACAACTACGACCTAATGGAAACCTATCTATATTTAACCTAAGGCTAATTGCTGCAATATCGATGTCATCAGAGAATCCTTATTAGAGATATTAAAAATTTCGATAAACCATCGTTTGATAAGGAAATACATATATATATAAATGGTTAAAGTTAAACTAATCGTTTAATACTTTCTGACGAGCAATTTGTATTGCCCTATTTTATAATGTTGTTCATGATACATTTGAAGTAATACCAGTTCAATTATGTCTAAACAATCTTCACTTTTAAAACTGAAGTCCGTAATTGTCTAAACTATATCAAGTCAAGTTATAACTTTAGCCCCTATAGGTAACCATTAAATTGCTATAATTCATACCTTCTGGAGGAAATGCCTTGGGTTTTTGATTGTTTTACAAAATCTTTATAAGGTTTTTTACTGCTGCCTTGCTGTTGAAAATTCAATAATAGCCACCAGTTTTTGTCAATTGGACCACCACCGGTTAACTCGTTTCGCAACACTAACTTTTCAATCTTTGAATCTAAACAAACGGCTGGTGTTCAAGTATTTATACGACACACTGTATTAAGTACTGTTTTCATGGTTACAGGGTGGGAATAATATATTAATAATCGGGGTTTTTCTGTTAAAGCGCTCGTTGCGTTCGTTATTGTTAATCTATGTCCTCGATAGGATCATGGGACCAGAAGAAACTCAAAAGCGCAAGCACAGGATCTGCGAATGTTAAAATGTACATTTCGTATACATTTTAGAGCCTTTAAATTTAAATAATTGCATGTTTACAGACATTTCACAAACAAAAAGAAATTGATATTGATTTTTGCCTTTTTGGGTTAAAGGGTTAAACATCCCCAGTTATATATATATATGTTTGTGTATTTATTGCGATGTTTTGAATTCTTCGTGTATAGAAGCTTGCGATAACGAGAAGTGATTTTTCACAAAGCGATTTTTTTTAATCTATTCTCAATTAACTTGATTAGATGATTTATTTAGATTCCCACATACACAGGTGAATATATTGTATATAGTAGCGCAGCTGGAGTTGTATAAAAACTACCTCCTTCAATATATGTCTAGCATTATCCTACCTGTCCCGATTTTTTTAGTCATTTTAGCATTATACGAATCAGGGATCTTTTTACGAATATAATCATTTTCAATTGTTGCTTTAACTGACCACATGCAGGTTTCTAGCAATTTCGAACCTATTACGACACTCAATTTTGGTAGGCAAATTTGGAAAATTCAGATTAATTTGAAACTGGCTGAAACTGCATGTACAAAAATATTTGACGTCGTGCGCATATGTTGAATAATGCCCGTTGATTAAGAATATCCATCATCGATGTCCACTTTAGACTTTATCGTTAGACGTAATTTTTTCTTTGTTTGCAAGATGAAAAGACCACCACAACTGGAATGAGCATGCAATGCTCGAATTTCATAATGCAAAAAATTCGGCCTTTGGGGAAAGTTTTGTTGACAAATTTACAAACATTTGGTATGTCTGTTGGTATGGGCGGCGTCTGAGGCTTTGACTAAACGCGCTTTTTAAAGCTTTTGAAAATGCTGCTTTAGCTACGTATTTTTAAGTAAGCTGTATCGAACGACGTATCTGAACAATTTTGCGCTTTTGTTGTAGCGTGAAAGGAAATTTACTTTATTGAATATGACAAACCTTCAAAAGGCAGAGGTTTTTAACAGGTACTGAGTAATGAATGTTTTCTGGAATTCACATTTTAATGTCTAAATAAGAAGACTTTGTTGAATGGGTTGATGTATAATCTTCCCTATAATTTTAGAAGTTTTCTTAAATAGTTTTTTAACCATTCCATGAGGTTTCATTAAAGGATTCACATCTGCCATTTTTACGATGAAAAAGTCCGATTTTCTTTTTATGCGCAATACCACGCGTCTTAGACTTAGGTGTTCTCGTGAGTCGTGACCTCTTGGTAAAATTCGTCGCCAAAATATAATAAAATTAGATGTGACTTTTAGAGTGACAACATGGATGCAAGTCGTGATATCTTGGGAACATTCAAGACGGACTAAAATTGACACTGATTTGTAATTTGTAATCTCATGTATGTAATTGCAACGTTGGATTCGACCATTTATACGATAAGTGCTGAGACTGCTACTACTAAAAACTGCTAGTACTGTTAATCCTAATCTGTTGAGGATTTAAAATTCACGTGGATCATTCATATAATGATAACTAAATCATTTAAACTTTTTGAAAGCTGTCGTGAACAACTTTTGACCGATGGTATTTTGCCTTAAATTTTAATCACATCACGTGATCGCCGGCCCATGCCCTATTGAGAGGAATCTTTTATCATACATTCGGATCACCTTTCTCGAGATGTTAATTGCCATACTGGTCTCTAATTAACATGGGCATAAAAATACTCGAGAAGGTCGAGTGTTTAAGCTAGTTTTAGAGTCCAGCGCAAGCGTTGTGATTCCACACTAGTAAGTAAGTGGTGTGTGAATCATCTCTACTTTATGATATAAGATCCTAACCCACGCTGACAACTTTACTCGCATAAAGGATAAAAGGTAAAATTGACAAATTTGACCGAAAAAAACGCATACAACTTTTGTTGCTGCAACGGCATTGGCTCTCGACATAATATGAGTTTTTGCCAAACTAAATGACGCCCTAAGCGGGCATATATAAGCCCGTTCCAACGTCTACGCCACAGATGCGTAGAAAAAGCTAAGTGTTCGTTGACGACTGGGTGATCGCGATATTGATGGCTGTCAATATCGATATTTGTTATGCCAGCGCAGTTCAATGAATACCGTTATATGCCAGTACTTCCACCAATCACAAGCGTCCGTCGGTAATTTAAAACAGGTGAAAGCGCTCAAAATCGAACGGTAGTTTTAACACTACTTGTCCCATAACAACATTCCAGCTCTGTGACATCACTTTACAAATCGAGCGTGGAAAATAATCGCGATCGCAATCTCGCGATAAATTGATAAAATTTCCTCGATTTTTACTCGAACCGCCCAAGGAATTTTGATTCGTCGTACTGCTACTTCGATGAACTCTTAAATTGTAACATGGCTCGGCGTTCGGCGCCAAAATTTTGTTTCTTGTTGCTGTGGTTTGCGATATATATTCCGGCACAGACGGGTGGCCAAGATGGTCGGGGAGGTAAGGTATTGGAGGATCCATTATCGTCTGTCGAAAGTATAAAAAGTGGTAATAGAGTTAAAAGATCATTAAGTGGTGAAGATGATGATAGCCTGAATTCAGGTAAGTTTTCCATTTTTTATCGCGTATTGTAAGTATACATCGAAATATGAAGTGGTGTGTTTATATGCATGAGTTGGCTTAAATTATATATTATTATATATAAGCTCGGGACTATAGATATTGAAGGATACAAAGTCTCCTTGGAATTGGTTGCCAATGGCTTAATTGCCCCTTTAATTGTTGAGTAAGGAGACATGGCGTTAACTGATCCATGATTATTTTCTGGTAAAATATATATCATAGTTATATTATCAAGGTCTTTGGAGTTTGCATGACAGAACGTTACCAAAAATAACATTGACATTCATATCATCTTTTTACATCCTTTTTTAATTAAATAACATTGCTTGATTTATTACCTACACGGAGAACACAAATTACATTGTGGAAAAACAATAACTACTTTTTCATGTCTTCTTCTTTCTTTTGTTGCACTAATCGTCTAATTATATCCCCTAAAGCTTTACATATTGATATCCAGCACAGATTAATGAAACCGAAGCTCGGTACTAAATTTTAATTACCGCTGAAAGAAGAAGTTCTACTCAAAATTATTGTCAAATTATTTTCAAACTGGATACGATTTAACTTGAAAATTGTGTAAAACTGGCCAGTGTCATATTCTGACCATCTTCCTATGGCTATATACATAAATTCATCTATATGATATAATTTATGTTTATGGTAATTTTATTATACTTTTCAGTTTGGAATTAATCAAATCTTCTATTACTTCCGTCCCTTACTTACAATCTTTTCTGTCTATATCCAGTCAGAACATATTATAATTCGCATTAGGTCGCATAACCTGTGGGAATGAATCCTTTATGATAAAAAACATTAGAGACTTTAAACTCCGCTTGTCCGTATAACAAACTTATCCTTCGTCTACAGCTCAAGAAAATGATGAACTTTTAAAGTTATTTTCTCGCAAGGCATCAGCGAGGGACGCACAAAGACGCGATGTGCAAAACACTGACTCTGAACGCGATAACATTCCGGGCGATTTGTATCCGGAGACCGCGATGCATAATCTGGAACAAACGTCCGATAAAATCAAGTCTGATATGTTCGAGAAGAAGTCTGAAATTCCTAAGGGAACAGTAGAGCGCGTGAGTGACACGCGGGACAAAGCTGTTTATAACATAGGTCAGGATGTATCACTTGAGATACCGCTGACTACCAATATTGATCAGCCTCGTGTCGAGGAACTCACTAAGCGTGATATCGTTCCTCATCAGGGAGAATCTAAATTGAAAAGTGAGGTCAAAGATGGGTCTAGCAGTGAATCCAGTCAGGATAAGGTGGGACACAAAGTACGAAATGCTAACCGTCGTGACGAAGTTCCACTTTCTGGTCGCAATTTTTTCCACAATTCTCTGGATGACGCCTCCGACGAAGATTTTCGAGTTCGAGATAAATCTGCTGATCTTGAAATTCACGCTGATTCGTCTGGGGTGAGAGTGAAGGCTAAACCCGCCTCCCTGCAGGTTGTGTCAAACCCTCATGGCGACGTGAAAACCCTTCCGGGTGAGACTCATTCTGAAGGTATGGTTGCTGAGCGAAGAACTTTTACCCCTGTTCTACCCGCCGAAAAACGCAGCCATCATCATCTCCACGGGCTAGGACCCCGGCCACTCACCCACCTACCCTTTTTGAGACATCATCACCGTTTCCATCGCCTGCATCATCATCGGTTGCCATGGTTACGCCATCGCCAGCACATCAACTACCCGGATATATTTGAACGCATGAGATTCAATTCATTGCCGGAAGCGCCCAGTCCCTTCGGTTCACCATTTGGCGCGCCTCTTTCTGTTGCACCTCCTATGGCATCGATGATGAATTCCCCTCCACCCATGATGTCTGGGATCTCCCCTAGCATGTCACTCATGGGAAGTGGGGGCATGGGTGCCCCTTTTATACCGCAATTGCTTCAACGAGCACCAACGATGGAAGCAAATCCTGCAAATCGTTTTGGTGTGCCAGAGAGTCCGAGAGGAGAAATGTCTCCAATGGAAGATACTTCTTCTAGGGGAATGTCACCTATGAGTAGAATGAGTCCATTTACAGACATGTCCCCTATGGTTAGAATGGGTCCGATGGGGGATATGACTGCGATGGGAGCAATGAATCCTCCCCTAGGCGATATGTCCCCGATTAGTAAAATGAATGCTATGGGAGATATGCCCCTTATGGATAGAATGGGCCCTATGGGTGGAATGTCACCCATGGGCAGAATGGGACAAATGGACTCAATGATGGGTTCGATGTCCCCGAGTGCTCCATTCGGTCAAAGCGAAATGCGACGTAAGAATGCTTTGGAATTTTGGGGCTTGCCAAACCGGGATCAGATCCGAGCTCTGGTACGTGGCGAAAATGTTCAGAAAGTCTTGGGAAGTAATAGATATGGCGAGAGCCTTGGTGGAATAACACCGAGTATGAATTTTCCCGGAGGTATGAATCCAGGTATGGGCGGGCCAAGTTTCAACGCGAACGGTATGGGTGACAGTGGCATGATGGGGCCGTTTGGTGGCACTAGCTCCGCAATGTTTAATGGGATGCCTGGTCGAATGAACACGGGTATGAGAAGGAATATGCTTTACAAGAAAGACGATATCAATAAAACTGATGCCTATAAGAAATCAATGAAACTCAAGAAGTCGAAGGCAGTCAGCGATACTACCAAAAGCGGGCATGAGAAATTTGAGGATGGGATTTTAAAGAAGGCTAAAAGTTTGGTTGCTGGTCAGAAGCATATAGCTAAGAATGAGGAGACTGAATTACATCGAGAACATCGGATCAGGAAGTCATCGAAATTGGCACATGATGAAGAAAAACGGTAGGTGACAGTTCAGAGGCTCACTGTTAGGAGCAGTAGCGTTGTCTACGCTAGACGCCTGACCGATCTGGTCCCGCTATGCAAATTTGTTATCGCTTAAGTTTCATTTGTTTGGAAATTGATTGTTTTCAAGAATGATACCAAAATATTAGCATAGCGTGACTAAATCGGATATTTTTTTTCAAATTAATATCAAATCAAGCGGAGAACGAGGTTGACCACCGGTGGGGAATCGGAAAGGGAAAAATGAAACTACGAGACAAAATTTTAAAAAATTTAGACTGATCATTTTTTTATTAAAACCCGTGATAATAACTGGGTTCACCGATGTCGTTTTCAAAATAACTAAATTCCAGTTGCTTTAAAAAAAACACTTCCATCATCGTGGTTACGTTAAGAGCCCCTAACTAAATAATCGCTTCCAAAATGTCGGACATAAATCGTTATTTTTAAATTTTTGATAATACTAAGCCACCCTAGTACTGACCAGAAAAAGATGACAGTTGGCAAGTCAGAGGTTGCAGAGATGTTTTCTGACTTTCAATAACGTTTGTTGCACGATCTAACGATCTGCGAGTGTTGCAACTCCTGTTAAAGCTTGCCAACCATCGGTCGGCTTCACCATAGCTTTCAGTCCCGCTCATAGAGTCTTCATCTGTCCATAGGTCACTTGATAAGACCCACGCTAAGAAAACAACCACCAAACATCAGAAAACCAAAAACGTCAAAGGCTCCAAAAAGGACGTAGCTGTCCAACGTCCTCCGATAATCTACCATCCACCACCGGAAGTTTTTCACCGTCCCGATATTGTTCTCCATCGACCACCGGTGCTCTTCCACAGACCACCAATAGTCTATCATCAGGCTCCTGTTGTTGTGCATAGGCCGGCGGTCGTGTATCGACAAAGCCCAATCATTTTCCATCAACCTCACCCCATGGTTAGTCAACCTTACTACAGAGCGTGGGATAACTTCCAGATGAACCCAGCCTACTCCCATGTCGGTACTCACTCCGCGATGGCGTATAATTATGTGGGTATCCCCCCTGAAATGACTGGCTACAAAAAGGGGGAGGTACCCTCGAAGCCAAATAAGGCAGGGAAGAAGGCTGAAGAGAGTGGGGAGAAGGAAAGTAAAAGGGCGGGAATTCCTCATCCAAAAGATGCGAAGAAAAGCAATGTTGAGAAGAAAGATAAGGTAAATTTTTGTGCTTCATTAGTAGTCTCTAAACATGAAAATGGGACAAATCCTAAACAGTTCGGAAAAAAATGCGGTAATACTTTTCATAGGATTGGTACCAGAGCTTTGCACACTCTAAGATAACACTAGGTAATAGTAACCACGACATTTGATGCGTGGATAAAATGATCTACTGTTGCTCTTAACCAGCTTTGCACGAAAATACAGACGAAGGCCAAAAATATATTCTGTATATTGCCAACATGATAAGTCCTCATAAACCGTTTTTACACCAGAAGACACTGTTTGTCGACTTCCGTCGGGAGGGAATTGAAATGTCGAAAGCAAAATTGCGGCCAAGAAATCCATTCGGTGATCCGTCTTCTAGAGTGAAAACGACTTTTGTTGTCGGTTCGTTCAGTAAATGATTACTTTAATAAGGTCGAAAGCAAAAAAATTAATTATAACTAAGTATTGTCGACAAGAGTATTTCAACGATGAAAAATTCATCAAAACATTATTCAAATCTTGTTTAGGTGGATCAAAAGAAAAAGAAAGATGTTGTAGTTAATCGTCCTCCGATTATATACCATCCTCCACCGGAAGTCTACCATCGGCCCGAGATCGTAGTTCATCGTGCACCCCTGCTCATAAGGCGCCCACCAATCATCTATCACCAGCCAGCGGTCATCGTTCATAGACCTCCTGTTGTCTACCATCAACCTCCTCTGATTTTCCATCAACCTGCACCGACAGTCAATCAACCTGTGCTATACTCCCATGATAACTTTGTCGTCCATCCGTCATTCTTCGCGACACACCATGGTTCCATTGTTAGCGATGCTGGTCAGCTTCTTGGCATGCCAAACACGGTGTCGGTACCAGATACCGGAGGTTTTCCCTTCGAGCCAACTCCCGGGTTAGCCCCTGGTATGGGTATGCTTGGTGGAGGTATGGGTATGCCTGGAGGAGGTATGGGTATGCCTGGAGGTGGTATGGGTATGCCACCCATCGCCCCGATGGGAAGGCGGAAGAGATCTTTACACCACAAGAAGAAGAGAAAGCATGAAAACGCCAGACGAAAAAATATGGTGATGGTCAAGCGTCCACCCATTGTTTACCATCCCCCTCCTGAAGTTTATCACCGACCCGATATCGTGGTACATCGAGCACCCGTTGTTATCCACCGTAGTCCAATTATTTACCATCAATCTCCAGTTGTAGTACACAGGCCGGCTGTTGTTTATCACCAGCCTCCTGTCATGTTTCATCAACCGGTCCCCATGGTCACGCAACCCACATTTACATCGCATGATTTATATACCCCACATCACAAACTGACCTTTACTGGGAGTACCGCCCCCAGTCCAGTATACTCGAGTGTTGCATTAGTGTCCACCAGCCCCTCTCAAAAATCATCTATCAGGAAACATAAAAAGTCAAATCCGGAGGACGTTTCAGATTCCGAGAATGTTTCTAAGAAAAGTGGAGTGAAGTCGCATTCGGAAAATGAAAAAGTAAAGAGCCACCAATCTAAGAACAGAGGCCAGAAACGTCTTACGAAAAAGGCTAGCATTAATGATCATATCCAGAAAATGTTCACAGAAGATGATGCCAAAAAGTTGGCTGCATTTTTCTCGCTTCGATCTTTGGAAACCGTCTCCGCTGCACAAGTTTTGTCGATTATCAACGACAGAAAACCTGACAAAGATGACATAGAACCAATTGTAAAAGATAATAAACTTAAAGCTATTACCGTCGAGCAGCTGGGGGCGATAGAAAATTTTCTGAACAAGAACGAAGTCGAAGCTAAGAAACTAAGTGATTTCTTAAAAGAACCATCCGTTGTGGAGTTATCGGTAAAACAATTGGGAAAGAAGTTGGACGATTTTGTGAAGCGTTTAAGGCGAAGTCACGAGAATGAAGTGGGGTCGAAAAAGGGCGAGATTTTGAGAGGACGGGAGGAAAAAGCATCCAAAAAGAATGCAGTTTTGGTGAAACGACCTCCGATAATCTATCACCCACCTCCCGAAGTATATCATCGCCCTGACATTGTAGTACATCGGGCTCCTCTCGTGATCCACCGTAGTCCAATCATCTATCATCAAGCTCCTGTCGTTGTGCACAGGCCAGCGGTAGTGTATCACCAACCTCCTGTCTTGTTTCACCAGCCACCTCCTGTAGTGAACCAACCTGTCCTTACTTCACATGATGTGTACCATGAAACACCTACGTTGACTCACAGGTAAGTTATGATGTTTAAAACTCGTTTTTGGGTTTCGCGACTCCATCTTACCAAGTGAGACAAACACAAAAGTGAAAACATTGGAAATCCCTGAGGTTAATTAGCAAGGGGGGGGAGAACACTCTATAGAACATCTTTTATCTAAAGATCAAATGGAAGCCTGTTTCTATTTTGTCGTTTTCATGAACATGTAATTTTTAACCAGAATGCCTGGTTCCCATTAAGTCGTTAGTGTAGATTAAATTTACAACCGGACTCTTTCTCATCGCTGAAAATGACTCGTTCACGACAATTACACTTAAATGAAAACCAGGCCTAATAAATAGTCCGCATGTAAATTTGTCTTTTAATTCTTGTATATTAAAATCGCCCATTGTTGACTGCACACACGCAGAAATATTTTGCTTCTTCAGCATCCTTGAAAATTACGACCATATGGAAACCAAGCTTAAAGTGTTAGTAAATGATCAAAGTAACTAGAGGAAAATGAGAAGAAGATGTCCGTTTTTTCCGTTATGTACGCTAAAGGATGTTATTTTTATTCTTATTACAGCAGTAGCAGTGTAGTTTCACATGGTGCTTACTTTGGATTACCTGGCGAGATAATGGAGCAGCATCCTTACGGCAAATCTAAAGTCCCTCGCAGGAAACACAACAAGAAAACTCGCCGAGCTATCGTGAAGGAAAACGACGATGAAACTAAACAGTCCACGAACGGCGATGCTGTGGAGAAAGGCGAAAAGGCGTCGAAAAAAGATGCCATAACAAATAAAGATGGAACAGAAAAAGCATCTAAGAAGAATGCGGTTTTAGTAAAACGTCCTCCAATTATTTATCATCCTCCACCAGAAGTTTATCATCGGCCCGACATCGTCGTACACCGTGCTCCAATTGTGATTCATCGTGCGCCCCTCGTCTACCATCAAGCTCCCGTCATTGTGCATAGACCCGCAGTGGTGTATCATCAACCAGCGGTTATATTTCACCAACCTCCTCCCATGGTACATCAACCTATGTTTACATCTCATGATTCGTTCACAACTCACAACACCTTATCCCTTGGGGGCAGCACCACGCAAAAGGTCGGAGACTTTGAAGGTCCACCCCCGGAGATGTTTGCCACCAGGAAAGGAGATGTGCCTAAAGACGTGAAAGGTGATTATATTGCATTTTTTCGCCGTTTTAATCATGCTTTCAATGTTTAGCATTTTTGACTTGTTATATTATAATATGGTACTGGTTAAAATCTGCTACTGCTGCATGTGCTATATATTTCTTGATGACTCCTCTGTTACTTGTGTCATTAGGCCTATGATTATATCATATCATCACTGCTATAACATTTCGGATCTTCAAACCTCAGAGGTTTTTAATCGCACTGGACCTGCTGTTGTGGGTTGCGCTTCCCTTCATGGCCATTCGTTTTAGTGACCCTTTATTTTAAAACACTTAATCACCACGTGTGGCAGAGTTTTAATACTTGAATTTTCCTATATTAGGCACTAGTCGTGATTCGATCCCAAAATCAAAGGTTACGAAGGGCAATCCTCAACATCCTCAAGAACGAACAGTAAAAGAAGAGGAGAGTAAACACGGGGGCAAAGATAAACACTCGCACCGCCGATCACATCTTCGAAAGCTAATTCTCTCCCTACAGAAGGACCATACTCACGAGAAGAAAGGTTTGCAAGTGGCCGCAGGTACCCCGTTGGTCCTCCAAAGACCTCCATTAATCTTATCGCGCCCCGCTGTTATGGCTCCTGCTTTCGGTCACTCCATAGTAGCACCAATTTCGCAACCTCTAATTCAACGAGTCGTTCAGCCTGTTCCTGTGTACCAACCCGTGCTTCGACAGGTCCCTGTCCCAGTGATCAGACCTGTACCAGTACCAGTTGTCTACCATCACCACCATTGGCCAGTGCACTTTCACCATCATCACATACAACCCGTAGCTGCACCACTACCACACTACACGTCTTTTTCTTACCACCCGTACTCGTATGGTAAATCAGATGTACCACATCATAAAAAGGATACCATACATATTCATGACTATGGTGTTCCAGCACATGGTCATGTTGCGCATGTAAATGGTAACAGCCATGTTGTCACTCATCATGGTTATGCTACCCGTCATGCGGATTGTCCTAGCCATTGTGGAACTTGCAAGCCACCAAATTGTCCTTCAGACTGTAAACCCCACTGTATCGCAATAATTCACCATCAACATCACCGTCCTCATCATGTGTTTGTGAACCACCAGCACCATCATAATATTGCACAGACGCATTTCCATAATCATCACTGGCCAGTACATCACCATGATGTGTACCATAACCACCCGTACCTTCCCAATCGACATATTGGTTATCCAGTTCACACCTACCCTCCCTACCATCATCATGGTCGCAGAAACGCTGATGATGACCAAAGACAAACTGTACCACATTACAAAGTGTACCAGCATGTCAAACACTGGCACCCACCATGCATTCACCATAGTAAAACGTGTCACCATCACCACCACCCTATGACAGTTTATCATGGCCATCAACATCCTACAAAAGTTCTACATCACCACCACTATCGTCCGTACCCAGTTTACCACCACCACGAGCATATTAAACCAGTAATTTATCACCACGTGAAACCTTATCCCATTCATCATCATCATGCTCACCAAATCCATGATACCTGGCACCATGACACCCACCACCACACTGTGTCACCTCCGGTACCATACCCGATTCCAGTTACAATCCCTACCCCGATTGAGGTACCAGTGCCAGTTACATCAACAATTCCAATGCCAATGTTCCCCCAAGGTCCTAACAGTGGTCCCGTCCCTGTAATGCTACCGTGGACACCAAACTACGGTAGTGCTCACCACAGTATTATGGGACGCTCAAATGTGCCACACCATGAACAAGAAAAAGAAGCCAGGAAAACTGAAACGAGCGAACTACACAGAAAAACTAAAAAGTCAGAAACATCCAAACCTGAAAAGGAGACTAAAAAGTCACAAACACGTAAAAAGAAAAAGGATGTTGTAGTAAATCGCCCTCCGATAATTTATCATCCTCCTCCCGAGGTTTATCACAGACCGGAGATTGTGGTTCACCGAGCCCCGGTCCTGATTCATCGTCCACCAATCGTTTATCACCAACCGGCGGTTATCGTTCACAGACCTCCAGTTGTTTACCACCAAAGTCCTGTAGTTTTTCATCAGCCCGCACCGACCGTTAATCAGCCAGTTCTCTACTCCCACGACAACTTTGTTGTCCATCCTTCTATGTTCGCGAGCCACGCGGGAACGATGGTTGAAAGTGCTGGTCACTTTTTGGGCCTCCCTAGCGGCCCGATCACTAATTACCCTGGACCACTGCCTGGTTTTGGAGGCCCTCAAGGTTTCGGAATGGCACCGTACGCTACGCCATTCGGAAGGAAACGACGCAGCGCAAAGGGGAACGAGAGTCCTCAGAAAAAGGAGGACAATTCCCCTAAACAGGACAACAATTCTGAGAAAGGAAAGGAAAGTTCTGAAAAAGACTCTAATTCCAAAAAAGCAAACAGAAAGAACGCCATCGTGGTACATAGACCTCCAGTAATTTACCATCCTCCACCAGAAATCTACCACCGCCCAAGAGTTGTAGTACATCGTCCAGATGTTCTAATACACCGCCCACCAATCGTTGTTCATCAAAGCCCCGTGGTTCTACACCGACCTCCCGTTGTTTATCACCAAACTCCTCTTATTTTCCATCAACCGCCACCGATGATTAACCAACCGGTGTACCATTCTCATGATGCTTACATGCCACACCCAGTATTCAACCATTATGATTCACAAGTCCACCATATGGGTTCCTATCAAGGTATCCCACCCTATAGTTATGGGTATCATGGTTTTGGTGGTGGGTACCATGGTTTTGGTGGTGGGTACCATGGATCTGCCGGTGGTTTCCTGGGAATGCATGGTGGCTTTGGTGGTTATCCAGGCTTACACGGGGGTATTGGAGATTTTCATGGTGGATTCGGAGGCTTCCACGGGCCTTTTGCTCCAGGCTTTGGTCGCTCTAAGATTGAAAAACCGAAACAAAAGAAGAAAATAAAAACGGATAAAGATAGCAAGAAAGTGAAAAAACATAAAAAGGAAAAAACACATAAAAAATCTACCACCAAAAGTGAGCAAGCAAAACGCAAGCATTCAGTGATGGTTCATAGACCACCAGTTATATTTCACCCCCCACCAGAAGTTTACCACAGACCAGCGTATGTGATTCATCAGCCTGATATAGTCATACACAGACCTTCGACTGTGTACCATCAGTCACCTGTGGTCGTCCATCATCCACCAATAGCGTACCACCAGCCACCTGTCGTTGTACATCAGCCTCCTCCGGTCATGGTACAACCCACCTACCACCATCACCAATTCTTCCATGAGTGCGGCGGTCATGGTTGTTATGGTGGTGGCCCTCACCTGTATGGTAGATTCGGCGGCTATGGTGGCTGCTTTGGTCGTTGTGGTGGATTTGGGGGATTTGGTGGTTTTGGCCATGGTTGTTGTGGTGGATTTGGTGGGGGGTTCCATGGTGGAAATCCCTTCCTCTACCAAATCCAGTGGCCAGTGTTCCAAAGCATAGCCGCTCCAAGGAGCATACCACAGAACACAAGCATGGCAATCTGGATTCCGACGAGTCAACGAAACATCACAAAAACGAGCATAAAACTTCAAGCGATAAATCAAAGGCGCCAAAGAGCCATCACGAGGTAAAGGAGAAGAAGGGGTCGAAAAAGAACAACATTGTAATACATCGTCCTCCCTTGGTTTACCATCCCCCTCCAGAGATTTACCATAGACCGGATATTATTTTACATCGACCCGATGTTTTGGTGCACCGTCCATCCATTGTGTACGACCAACCATCTGTGGTCCTCCACCGTCCTGCTGTGATCTACCACGAACCTGACGTTGTTTTTCACCAACCACCTCCCCTAGTTAACCTTCCCATTTACCATGCAAGTGATATGTACGCGCCACACCCTGTATACACCGAAGCTGGCTCAGAGGTTGGCTTCGATCATAATGTACAAGGTGTTCCACCGCATTTTAGCTATGGGGCATTTGGGGTGTCTCACGCGTTTGGCAAATCGAAAATCGAGCGGAGTAAAGTTAAACAGGGAGCTCAAAGTGATGGAGATGATTCCGGAGATAAGAAGAACGGACGGAAGTCTGAAAAAGGAAATGACAAAGAAAGTGAGGATGATGTTGCTGAAGAGAAGACGGCAGATGATACAAAAACAAAGGACAATTCTGCGAAACTTTCTAAAACCAAGGGAACTGACAAGGAAAAACACCAGTCAAGCCACCATTCAAAGCAGAAAACTAAAACTACTAAAGCCCACAAAAAGTACCATCTCATTATGCACCGTCCACCCATGATATATCATTCCTCGCCAACAATATACCATCGTCCAGACGTCGTAGTTCATCACCCTGACATCGTAATTCATCGGCCAAGCGTCGTAATTCAGCCGCCCTCTGTCGTCGTTCATAAACCTGCTGTCGTATATCATCAACCACCTGTGGTGTTTCATCAACCTGAGCCTGCGATAAATCAACCGGTATATCATTCCGAAGATGCATATGCGGCTCACCCAGTGTATTCCCACGTTGGCAGTGATTTTGAGTACGGAGGCAGTTACCTCGCGCATCCGGGTTTAGGCCATGGTTACGGTGCAGGCTATCACGATGGTTTCAGTGGGTTTGGTTTCCATGGTCACGGAGATGGACACGCGTTCCCAGGTTTCGGAAAATCAAAAATTCAAAAAGCGAAGGACGCAAAAACGGAGGAAAAGGATGAAGGGGCAGACACGAAAGAGGATGAACCCGAAAAACATAAACATGATGAAACGAAACACGATAAATCTAAAGACGAGAAGGAACACGAACACGCAAAACGCGACACACATGCCACAAACACGAAACGCGTACAACTTCCTCGCGCACAAAAAGAGAAAACTGAAACTGGGACAAAGAAAAACGCAATTGTGGTCCGACGTCCTCCAATAATCTATCATCCACCTCCTGAAGTGTATCATCGGCCTGACATCGTGGTACACCGTGCTCCAATCGTAATTCAACGTGCACCTCTTGTGTATCATCAAAGTCCTGTGATCGTTCATAGGCCTGCGGTCGTCTATCATCAACCAGCAGTCGTGTTTCATCAGCCTGCGCCCGCGGTACACCAACCCGTATTCCATTCTGTAGATACGTTTAGTGTCCACCCTCATCTCTCGTTTTCACAAGCTGGAAGTAATGTGCATCAGGTTGGGGAATATGTCGGTGTACCCCAAGAAGTTATGCATCGCTCCACTGTTCCAACCTCGACTGTTAGCCACAAGGATACAGCGAATGCCCCTACTGATTTACCTCATCCTAAAGAAAGGAGGGCTACTATGGAGCAGCACGTCACACCGATAACCCCGCTCAACTATATTCAACCCCGTCATCCGTTATTTGAAACACTTCGCTCCAGTATACCATACCCAACACTACACCCTCACTCACTCTCGTATTCTTCATTCCCCTGGGGATTTCCCCCAAGGTCAAAGAGATCTGTAGCACCCCACCCGTATTTACATCCAGAACTTTCGACAATGGTTCCTCACGATCTATACCCACTCCCGTACTCCCCATTTTACCATCCATCTCCGCTACAACGGCCTCATGTGAATGTCAACATTGAAACTGTGAAATCCAATGTCCCAAAAGCCGGGAGTCGTAAACGAAGGCAGTCTATGTTGGATCCATCGTTGCAATTGCCCAACCCTGCTCCGATCCAAACAGAGGCAATCCATTATGGGCATCTGGGGTCATATCCGGTTTTGCCAAGACCCCACGTAAACGTCAACGTCGAGACTATAAAATCATCAGTTCCTCGCAGCAGACGACAAGTGCTTGCTGGTTTACCGACTACGCAGACTGCAGCTTTTGCGCCTCAGACATACTCCCAATCTGTCGTCCCTGTTGCCCCTGCGTCATTGCCAAATCCCCCGGAAGAGCAGTTAGGGGTGTACAGAGATCTTCTTGGAGCTATATATCCCAGGGGGGTGCACAGACGTCCAAAAGTGAATATTGTGGTGCAGACAGCAAAGTCGACCATCCCCACTGTACAAAACGTGAAGAAATCGGTCCTTCCCGGTCCTCTTCGCAAAGAAAACGTTGACGCATTTAACACTATGCCGGAAGTGACGACTATTGAGCCACCGTTGCTAAGAGATGGTGTTCGCGTCAATATGGTTGACCTGGGTGACCCCACAACCGATGCCAGTCCCTCCTCTTCCTCAAATCTTGCGCCAAACTTACAACCATCGTATAGTAATATGAACATGCAAAATTTTGGAATGAGCGCTATGGGACTGGGGGCCCAGGGAAATTACGGTATGGACAAGTGGAAAAAGTTTACCGTTCCTAGACCTAGTCGATTGTGGCATGACGTGAATGCCGATAAGAAGTCGGCCGTTCCAAGCGTTCATCGAGAGGCTCCGGGTAAAAAGCGGTTTACGATTAATGAGCTTCAGAGTGGTATCCAAAATCCTGGACAGTCGCCCGAGTATCAGTCAGGATTTGAACCGTACGGTTCTATACCACCAACAGCAGGTTATTCCCCGCCATCAGGCTACGCAACAGGACCCCAGGTCTTGGGACCTCAAACTGACGGTGTTGAAAACCAGGGACAGCCTGAGTCCGCAAACCTTATAAACCAGAACAGCGGCATTCCTCAAACTGGGCGACCGAATGTAAATGTCAATGTTGAGACGTATAAGAAACATACGCTGGGATCAACTTCCTTGCCAAACAAGCGACAAATCATAGGAACCTTGCCTCTAACCTCTCTATTTCGACCTAACCCTGATACAACCAAGGCCTCTTTAAAGACTCTAATACCAAGTACGAACATTCAACATAGAAACAACCCTCAGCTCATGGAGAAACGACAGCAAATCATACGCAGAGTACCGTTAGCTCAGGCTATACCAACAGTCAGACATCGCGTCGAGAACGCGCGTGCCTCACCGGAAAGTTCAACGCGAGGTTATGCGGCATTTCCTGTTCAAGATACCCAAGCGCCTGCGCCAAGGACCTTTCCGTATCAAGCCCTTCAAACCGCAACACACCCGCAGTTGACCACCCCCCGTCCCGGGGCTTACGTGCAACCAACAGTGACTGAGGCCCCCTTACCCCCGACCCAACCTTCCTCCTCTTATCTCTCTACACTCTACCCTTGGGGCACCCGCAGACATGTCAACATCAATATTGAAACAGCCAAATCAAAAATCCCATCCATGTCAAATGGCCCCTCAAGCAAAATAATAACTCCACGATTTAAACGAGAGTTCCCAGTGCTGTACAACATCATCAAGGCCAAAGCTGAATTGGATGCAGCCAAAAAGGACGGTAAGGGACGACGAAATAAACGGCAAATTCCGATGTTTTCTGGTGGATTTCTGCAGAGTTTAATCCCGGATGCGAACCTTCTTGCAAAACGTGCTTTCTATGGAAGCGTCCCAAGGTATTTTCATTTCGTTTTGATTGCAAATTGCAAAGCAAATTCATTTTGTTTTGATTACAGAAAGTAGCGATTCCATATTCCATCTTTGATCCACTTAAAAGGATAATAGTATTTTTAAACTTATTTATGTTTTCCGTTTAGCTAATAGCTAATACATGGTTTTCTTTATATTTAGGTATCCAATAAATCCAGCATTGCTTTTTCCGAGGGCCTCACGACCACGACCCGAGAAGCAGTCGATGGGAACCATTGAAGTAGGAGGACGGAGTGCAGGCTCGCCACTCTCAGGGGCCGCAAGGCTACTGAAGAACGAGTTTTCTCAGAGTTTCGACGACATTGCTAAAATACAACGTCAAGAAGTGAATGCTATAAAAGGCATGAATATGGGTGGTCAGGCGCCTTCACCTTCCGTCATGAATATCCCAGAGCAGACCTCCCCGGGTGCTGAGGTTGTCTCAGACCCTGAACAAGGCGCCACACCAGGAATGTTGTCTGCTGCTCCCGGGAATGCCGAAGCGTCAGCGGTACCAATGCAAGCGCAGGCGCAACAGCAACCCGAAGTACTTCCTGCCTCCCCACAGCAAACAATGGCGACATTTGCAGCTGCACCTCAAGTATTACCTGCCGCTGGCCAACAGTTGCCTGCTCAATTCACGCAGCAAGCACCAATGGAGATCGCGCCTGGTTTTGTCAGAGGTAAACCCCAGCCTGCGATTCAAGGCCAAACGATTCAAGGCCAAACGATTCAAGCGCCGCAGGCACCTGAGCCAGCGATGCAGGCAACCGAGCCTGCGATACAAGCAGCAGGATCAGCTGTTTCTAAGAAGAGCCCATTCATGGTAGTAAATCCTGAACAACTTCCCTCAGGTTTTCAACCACAGTTTCCGATTCCCGGTCTTCAGTTTCCAATGTTAGCACCGGCAGAATTGCCCCCGCAGGCAGGACTTCCTCCACAACCGGAATATCTCCCCCAACCAGAATTAATCTCACAGCCTGTTTCACTGCCGCCTGCGGAAATACCCGCGGCAGTACCATACCCTCGACCATTCCTAAATCCCATCCCTCAACCGCAGGATGATTCTGACAGGCCTTCAATTAACATCCAAGTTCAGACGTCAAAATCCAAAATTCCAAAACTTAAGGCTAAGAAAGTGAAGGATGCAAAGAATAAAAAAAAGAAGACACATTAGTTAGTGAAGTGAGTATCACTTTCACGCTAATAGATATTTATGATCTGTAACCTACATTTAGGCACATTGCAGGAAAATCATAGGATATTAGAGGATATAGAAGCTCGGGTATTGATAAGTTGTTTTTAAGATTTCATTGCCAAGAGGCTTCCGTGAACGAGATTTATCCAGCATCTCGACACATTTTGCCTGATGGCATATGGAACAACACAGCGTTTCGTACTTTTATTTGTAATTACTACTGAAGCAATATTAAGCAATATCGTATTACATCAGCGATGCTTAACAAACCAATTCCATTAAAATATTTCCTTTATTTTGTTTTTTTCAGTGATAAAGTTTTTTTACCAAAAAAAAGTATGGTTGTTGATAGAACTGCGGAAGAAGCCGAGAGTATAAAAGGATGCGAAAGAATTAATAAATAACAATCTGCAATGACTTTGTATACAACTTTCATGTAAATATGTTATTACATGTATGATACGAAACCTTTTGTAGGTGACAAAGTAGCCAAGGGACCCTTTAAAGGGCATCGTCAATAATCTAGGTTCATGTACAGCAAAGTACTCCGAAACATTGCTTTGCTGCAGGGATCTGATATTTACGATGAAGTTGCCGCTCATAAAAATCTACAACTCCTGCGGAGGTGTTTAATATATAGAATTATTCAATTTTTATGGATAAATAAACACGTTATATTGCCATCGGGGGTGCAGTGTTCTATATATGTACGTCAGAGTGATATATAATATTAAAACTTGCCAACGGCAATTGGAAAACAAGAAAGAGCACGAAGGATTCGCATGCATGAGATCTTTGTATCGCTTGTTTTAAAATATTTTCAGGCAATACAGCGGGGAAATTTTTTAGGATACTAGCGCCGACTTGCGGTATACCAACGCACGATATTGGAACTTTTTGTTTATTTGTGGACGCCCAAAGACGACAAAACCACTGCTCTCGGGTGCGTTTGAGATAAAATCGGTCAATTTTTGAGTGTGTTAATTAAACAGTATGAACGACCCTAAAAGCCCACACAGAGAGGACGCTAAATTTTTATTTTCCAAAAGCAAATTAATTTTAACCTATAATATATTATTTTTTTAGATTACTTAACGATAATACATTTGTACTGCTCTGGCGTCCATAGATTCCAAATTTTGCTTCCATGCAGAATTTAATTTATATGTTTCTAAAAATTAAATATTCGTGTCGCGTTGCTGCATCGCGTGCGGTCTGTGTTGACCCTAAGCCAGTCACTGAATACTGGACAGTTCTCTTTTTCTTCATGTGATCCTTTTCTCTGGATTGGTCAGCAGTTGACTTGAATTCCATGATCGCGACTGTTCCCGACATGATCGCGACTGCAATTATGTAATTATAGGTGATAAACCATACATTTTGGTTGGGGGATGTGTTTAAAGAATAGCTCGTGCTGGGTACTATCATTGAACACGCGGCTTTTTCTTTTACTTGTTTTCACAAAAATAGATGAAAACTACGCCAGATAACGACAGAAGTGTTTTCTTATCAGCTACAATCTTGTCATGGAGAAACGGGCAACCTACAGGGGACCTGGGTCGGCGTTTTCCCCTAATCGACCGGCTTTTCGTTTTCTGCCACGTTCTAGCTTGTTTGCGACTGGTTACATGAGGCGTGGCCCTCAAGTACCTCTGGGGCACGTGACTAACTGTGCTATCATTACCCCCCTCCCCCTCTACCCTCAATTTCCCAACTTCCTCTTCCAGTACGGATTTTGAATTCTTCCCGGCTAATGAGAATACACTTGTATACGCGGTTAAGACAACGTCATGCAATACATGGATTTTATGCAAAAGGGACAATATTGTTCAGTCAAAGACCACCTCTATAGATCAAACATTTTTTTGCCCCATGTTCATATACCAGCTATCCGTGGCACTGAGAGAGAAAGTCTGATCAAAATAAATGCAATGAAGCTTATATACTAATATAGCTACGTAAACCAAATTGGCGGTCATTGAAGTAAGAGATTACTAGAACTAGTAGGTGTAACTCTGACACCGGAGTTCAGACAAGCATGTGAATGAAAGGTATAAATAAGTGATAAAGCATTGCTTAATACGGTATATAATTTATAGACTTGCGGCTGTTAAAATCTTTTCGGACATTTTCCCAGGCCTATACTAGGTTTTTGCTTTTATCAAACAGCAGTTTATTAGTCGAATTAATTGAAAATGTTGGAGTTGTGTGCTCCAAGCTGTCTAGTTCACGAGATGTTGTTTTTTTAGATTTAAACATAGGACGACATCATTTGAATTGATGAATTTATCAGACGATTTTTTATCTTATTGTTTTCCTTAATTTGTAGCATTTTTATTTTCAACATACGAAGCATTGCAATATGTCATAATCATGTCATTTTTATTTATATATCGACAAAAAAGACAAAATCTTATTTAATTCACACCACTTTACATTCGCATTATTTATACAAGCCAATGACACAGGACAGCTTTTTCAGTGTGGCAATTCAAAAAGCAAGCAAATATTGATTGGTTCTTGATACTATTCTGAACCGTAAATTTAACATATTATATATAGGTTACTTCGTGTTGAATTGCTTTGATTAATTATCGATATAATGCTACTAAAAAACAAGTACACAAATATCTGTTAAATCATTAAACTATACGTTAACAAATACTTGTGACATTTGCCTTAATTCCCAGTATCCACAAATTCAGAAAATATCGTCCGATACCACATCAATCCTACGTAACTACGAATGCCGCTAACAGAGTTACATTAGAGTTCGACAGAAACCGTTCCCGCGTAACGAGAGAAATTGCTCCAGCGTATCGAAGCTTAGGGGAGTACCTGCTTAATATTATCAGTGCTTATCTCAGTCAACCAATCAGCGTTCATTGGGCGAGCAATGTTTATTTGAATCAAGCCAATCAGACGTCTTTTATAGCCGCGCGCTGAAGTCTACGAGCGTGAATAAAAATAAACATGTTGAAAATAATTGCAAAATGATGTCAGAGGCATTGTTTTTATTCTCTTGAGGTAATAAAATTAAAAAGTTAATCTTGAACTTAAATTTCAAAACGAAATATTTATTACTAAAAGTAAGATAAGATATTGTGAAAGATTTGTCCATTGGGGACGAAGAATATAAAGCAAGTTTCACCAATGGCGAAAAGCCGCGTGGAATTGAAGACGACGCAGTTATTATGTGTTATATTTTGTTTATTTCTATCGAGTGGGTTAGCAGAGAAGGCGACGGAGGCCAAGGATGAAACGAAAAAGAACGAAGAAATTAGTAAGGATGATTCTTCAAACGACAAGGCATCAAAGTTGCAGATTATTCCTGGCTTCGGCGGTCACGGCTTCGGTGGTGGTCATTTATATGGGGGTCATTTCGGAGGCCATCACGAACATTATTGGGGACCAGGTGGTGATCATACGGCCGAAATTGGGCCACATACGCCGCCTATTAATATAGGCCCTCACGCGCCCCCGGTCCATATTGGTCCTCACGTACCGGCCGTGCATTTGGGCCCCAGAGTTCCGACCATACATGTAGGTACCCATGCACCACTTTTACATGTACGGCCCCATACACCTTTCGTCCATATGGCCCCACCTGTGCCAATGGTCAACGCATTTTCGCCTGGACATCCAGTGCACGTGATGTCCCCCTCCACCGTGTATCATCAACCACCAATTGTCTACCACCACCCTCACATTGTCCCTCATGCCCACCAGGACTTTGCCGCGCCTGTAGCCATGCCTGTTGCTGGTTATGGTGGCTTTGGAGGTTTTGGGGGCTTTGGAGGTGGATTCGGAGGTGGATTCGTAGGCTATCCCGGCGCTGGGGCTGGGTTCGGTGGCCCTGTTTTTGGTGCTGGATTTGGTCGTTCCATGATACCCATGATTCCATTCGAAGCACCATTTGCCGACAATGACGACGATGACGATAATGACGACGACGACGAAAAAAGTGACGATGACGACGGTAAAAGTGACGATGACGATAAAAACGACGACGATAATGCCAACAAAGAAACAAAGGATAATGATGAGAAGAGCGACGACGAAAATAGCGAAAAAGAATCGAAAAAGGAAAAGAGAAGTCCGGGACATTACCTGCAAAAACGTCAATTTGGAGGGTGGCACCCTTACTCACATATGGTGAATGTTGGTCCCCACACTCCACCTATTCATGTTGGGCCACATTACCCACCAGTTCACATCGGTCCCCACGTTCCTGCCGTTCATATTGGGCCCCATGTCCCAGTGATTAACGTTCCATCTCATGTCCCTGCAATTCATGTCAGACCACGTGTTCCCGCAGTACATCTTGGTCCCCCGGTCCCAATCGTCAACGCTGGGAACCATTTCCCTGCCGTTCACATCACCTCCCCACCCACTATCTATCACCGACCTCCAATTGTTGTGCATCAACCTCATATTGTACATGGCCCGGCTGCATTGCCTCCAGGTGAGCGGATTATAAATCGACATACGCACAAAGTATCGGTTGAAAAATATTGTTATAGCTTTTTGTTTTTATTTCCGTACTAATTGATGTTTCCAAAATATTGGTACTGTATAAAATAAGTGTTAATATATTTCTGATCTATTATAATATATTTATATGTTAATATATTTCTGATCGAGTAATCATGTACGTGTGGGTTGAACATAAATCCTGGAAGAATATTTTAGAACTATTTAAAACAAGTTTTCAATTTTTTCTAGGATTTGGTGCACCCCCGCCGCCTGAAGCAGGTCTGATACACCCAGAGGCCGCACCTGTTCCAATGCCAGGCGGACCATTTGGAGGCCCGCCTCCCGTCTTGGCAAGTTCCGGACCATTCGCATCCGCGCCATTTGCAGCCCCTGGACCTGTAGGTCCAGTTGCTAGTCCATTGCTTGGCCCTGGACCATTACCTGGCCCAATGTCTGGACCATTACCTGGCCCTGGTCCATTGCCTGGCCCTGGTCCATTACCTGGCCCCGGAGCATTACCTGGCCCTGGTCCCTTAACTGGCCCTGGTCCCTTAACTGGCCCTGGTCCCTTAGCTGGCCCTGGACCGTTACCTGGCCCTTTTCCCATGGGACCACCATTGGCCAAGAGATCACAAGTCCCGTCATATAGTAAGTGAGGAAGTAACAAAATTTGCCTTCCAAAGTATTCATTACGAGCCGTGTGATTCTGTTCTGTTTGTGCAATCCAGTTTCTAAGAGAACGCTTAGTGTACAATGACTTTACCATTGCTTTATAAATCAAATCCACTCCATGTTAGCTACCGCTGTCACTCGACTGCTATTTTCGCATGTTCGAGATGTTATTGAAGGGGCAATCATTTTGATTTAAAAAGTAGCTTTGTATTCTAGCTTTATCGTAAAAACTTATAATTATGAAATTATATTATGAAAGACTTTCAGTCCTTCCATTTTAAGTGTTTTTACTGGATAATTTATTATTACATCATGACTGACGCCTGTTTTGCACTCGTTTTCCCAGACAAAAAATTTTCACTTCGTACTTTGCTGAACTCAGTACGAAGTCGTCGCCAAGCATCAAACAGTGACAGCGTCATATTTGTCCATCCGAACGGTCACAATGGTAAACCGTCACCGTCAGCTCCTGGACTCGGTACTGCCGGGGGTCGTTCCAGTTCTCCTCTGGATGGTACGTCCAACCCTGAGCTGGAAAACCTAAAAGGTGAGCCTGGCACATCAGCCTTTGGAGATCTTGGTGCAGGGATGGGAGGACCAGGTCTGGGAGGTGCTGGTGAGCGAAGTTTATCCCCCCTTGGCATGGCACCTCACGGGCTTGGTGGTCAAGGTAAGTCTTATTATCATCTTACAAATTTTTTGTATATTTATGATTGTTAAACTTTGTGGACGAATTCTATATTTCGTTTCTTTTTCAATTTAGGTGGCAATGAGGGTGCTGGCATGGATGGGCCAGGTGGAGAGTCCACCGCAGGCTTTGGTGGCTTACCAGGAGGATTAGGAGGTATGGGAGGAGGAGGTATGGGAGGAGGAGGTGGAATGCCCCCAGGTCTTGCTGGCATGGGAGGTGGATTAGGAGGTGGCCTAGGTGGTGGTTTAGGTGGTGGTTTAGGTGGTGGTGCCGGCCTTGGGGGTCTTGGAGGCCCAGGAGGTTTAGCTGGCGCTTTAGGAGGCGGTGGTTCTGAAGGTCCCATGGGAGATAGCCCAATGGGTGGACTCGGTGGTCTCGGTGGTGGGCCAGAAGGTGGGCCAGAAGGCGGACTCCCAGGTGGTTTAGCTGGATTGGGAGGTGGTGGCTTAGGTGGAGGTGGACCCTTAGGTGGAGGTGGACCCTTAGGCGGTGGCTTAGGTGGCCTAGGCGGTGGTCTTGGAGGAGGGTTGGGTGGTGGATTAGGTGGAGGCTTAGGTGGAGGTTTAGGTGGCAGTCTGGGAGGCGGCATGGGTATGAGGTCTAAAGTGGAGAAACCCAAACATCATAAAAGAATCGATGTCAGTCATTTAAAACTCGATAAAGGTGAAAGGAAAGAAATTGTTAAGAAGAATGAGATCCCGGTACCTAGTTTTAAGAAATGAAAAACACCGGAAATCGCGATTCTAAAGAACCCAGGATACGAATGTAAAGAACTTGGACTTTTTAGTTGAAGAGTCTACATTCGGTCAGTATTCAACAAAAACATATGTGTAAAAATTGATTGCCATGTGTTTGCAGCTGTTTGCAAAAATTTTCTTAGAAATACGTTGAATCTAGCAACGATTCTCTATTTCTCAGAATCATTTTTGAAATTGGCATTTTTAATTGATGAATCTCTGGTGGTCCTGTGAACTCGTACCACATAATCTGATCATCACTAATTATTTGATGGTTTTATAGATAAAACTGTGGTAAAATAGATAAAAGCAATCTGTAAACTCTATATGTACATTTTTTAACCATAAATAGAGAAATATCTGAAATTATATAACACATTGATTTGATATCGCAGTCGCCAGTACGACGAGCATGTAATACCATGTTCTGTGTCATTGCTCGATCCCATTTGGTTATACGTCTCAATCTGTTGAGGAACCAAGAGTTTGGATCGATGAAAACTAAGGAAAGTTTTTGATAATTTGATAGTCTTAATAATCTAACGAAGGACGTACTTAGGCAATCACGAGAAAAATTATGGTACGTTTTGAAAGATTTCAGTATCTGAAGCGGAACTATTATTCCGTCCTAATGAATAATCCAGTTGAATAACAACCAAGGGCTGTAAATCATCTATTACGGTCTTTATCGAGTCGATTCTTAGTATCAACAACCGCAATAAGCAATAGACCTTTCTTATAATGACGTCAAACGCGGAAAGTCTGATGTTACACGAAATTTGATTGGCTCCACAAAACTATCGACCCAATCAAACTTTGTGTAACATCAGACTTTCCGCGTTTGACGTCATTATGAAAAATGTCTATAAGCCAGCCACAAGGTATCAATCATCCTTCAAAATAACTGCTCTGTACCAAGGTAGCATTCAGCAACGCCTATTCAAAGTTAACTGTGTCAGTGGATAAAGTAAAATAATGTAGGCGGTAATTACTTAGACTGCCTTAAATTCTTAACACTTGCAATCTCAATCTTTATTTTGTGCATAAAGATCTCACATCTCAAACTCAGTTATCTTTGTCATTTGGGATCTGCATGTCTACAACTTGTTTCAACATGGCAAGCAGTCTGCAGTTTATCAGTAAAAATGCTACAGTTGGCAACTTGTGGTAATTTATCAACAGGTTGTTCATTGTTTGTCGACATAGTGAATAGTTCTGTAACGTTCAGTAAACGTGCGATTGAGACAGCTCTACTCTAAGCATAAACCTTCCAAAAATTACATTTACGGTACTGATTACTCGTCGATATGCTTTAAAGTGGAAAAAATCCATTGCCTCTAGACTTTACTGATTACAAGTCTATATATGTTATGATCTGCCTTAATAAAAACAAAAAGCAGTAAGCTAAACTTTTACAAAATTTGTTAAATAAAACACAGTGGCGTAGCCAGTCTTAGGGCTGTTTCCACTGTCGCGTTTTTTGTTCGTACGTATATGTTTAAAAATTAGAATTAAAATGATACTTAATCAACGATTAAGGATTGAATCGATCAACGATTGAATAGATCCATAGGGTGGGATTCTGTAGATGATTTGGTGTGTTTTTCTGGCATAAAATTAATCATACAATAACTTAGAAGGTTTTAAGCTTTTACGTGCGTGTACGTGAGTGCAAAAAATGCGTCAGTGGAAAACAGCCCTTACAACATGGCTTAAAGACTCGGAATTTCGCAGCAAGTTAAATTGCGCCGTGTAACAGAGCCTTAAATCGAAAAGTGTTGCGTAGCTTTTACTCGCGGGAAAATATCGCCATGAATTCACTGTAATCTACAAAACCATTTCTCTCTCTGTCTAATATATTGATCACGCCATTTATCTGGTGATCGTCAAACACGTTGAGCCTCTTTAATCCGGCCGCAAACTCATCACGTGTCAATGACTCACGATATGCGTCGTTTTGGCCGAGCGTCCGAAAGAATTGGAAAGAGTGGAGCTTGTTTGTGATAGCATACTCTCTAAGAACTTCACACGGGTTCATGTGTTTTGGCGCAGTGGCCTGGTATGAATCTTGCGTCATGTAACCATGGCAAATGCTGATGTCAGCTCTCGATGTCTTGAGCTCCGTTAGGAGTTGAGTTGTTTCTTTGGTCAATGGGATTTGTCCTAGGTTATAAATTAAAAAATTTAAGCAATAATCTAAGCTAAGTTAATTTATCATTATCTTAAGATCTGGTGAGCATAGTTTACCCTATAGGTTCGGGACGCAACTACAGTCAGATATCGACTGTTCTCTCTATCAGTTTTAGATAAACGAGAGAAGCTTCAATTTTGTAATCTTCGGACCAGTTCGGAGATAATTACCTATATTGACCATTTTCAAATGCGTCTTTTTATCCTGCAATAATCTCAATAACATTCCCAAAGCTTCATTGTCTCCAAAACATCTATTCCTAGAAACATCCAGCTTTTGCAAACAGCACTTTTCTAGGACTTTAACAATTTCTAGAAACCCCGAGTCAGAAATATTATTTCTGGACAAATTTAAATCTTCAAGTGTACTATTTGTTTCCAGTCCAGTGACAAGCGCGCGGACTCCGAGGTCGTCAATACCGTTCCAAGATAGGTCAAGGAACCGAAGCGTCTGGTTGCTCGAGACAGCAGTTGCTATGGAAACTACACCATGACGTATAAGGTTCCAACTTAAACTCAATCGCTCAAGCTTAGTATTGTACGTCAAAGCATCACTCAGCGATATACCGGCGTTCTCCGTGAGTTCGTTGTGACCTAAGTTGAATTCTTGTAAAGTTTCACTATTCTTTACGGCTTCAACCAGAATAGCGCAAGCTTTGTCGTCGATTTTATTACCGGATAAGTCTAAAATGGCGAGAGTCTTACTTCTCTCCAGCAATTCTGCAAATATCTGTGCACTGTTAAACGCGAGCTTGTTTCCAGCTAGCACAAGACCTCGAATCCTATCATTTTCGACGATTGCACTTGCAAGATATAGGGCACCCTTATCTGTCACCAGATTATTAGATAAGTCTAAAGTGGTCACTGTTTTATTAACTAACAAAGCGTTTGAAATCGCTTTACAATCGATATCGTTTAGATTTCTGTGGGTTATGCGAATTTCGTTAGTGCACAGTTGATGTAAAAGTCGTTTTATCGGCACTACACCCAAAACTTCACATGCTTTCAAGTAGAGTGAGCGACCATTTTCCCCTTGCAATGAATCTTGAAAGAGTTCGAACTCCAACTCTGTTTCAAAGCAGCTACTCGCACTCGATTCTCGACCACTCAAGCATTCGTCCGTTGACGATTCTTCAGCAAATGGTGAAAGGGTCCTTGTATATCGCGTAGTTGTCATCTTTTTTTTTCATGCAAAACAGACACTAGAAAATGAAAAAAATTTCATGAGTATATTTACTATTTGATAACATTAAATAGAAGTAAAAGCCTATTCAGCCAAAAGCTAAACACATCCTGAATTACCAACAAAGAAATCTTGTATGAAACTTCGCCGTTGCTATGAACTAACCGATAAATTTTATAAATCTTATTTTAGACCGGCAGTGTAGTAACATATCTCACACCAACGCGGAGATCCATGCAGCGTTGGTAATAATTATTTATCTATAGTTTTGTTTTTAAATATATCACTTCCCTGATACACGCATTTCTCTCAAATGAAAACAAGTATTATTACTTTACCTTTCATCTTTTTGTTAATTTCTCTTGCCTATGAGCAATTGATCCCGTAAAATACTTTCCTTGCTCAAGGTAAGTTTACTTGTACTTTACCAAAAGACGTTCCTTATTTGCCGATGTTTAACGTTTGTTTACCCACAGCATATTGTTTGTATGCACAAGTTTTACAAGGATTAAGTCAAACAAAGCGATGGAACGGGCAGGCTTTATAAGTAACATAATCTAATACGCTTTTCAACGAAGATTTATATTCAAACATTTCAAAAACAAATAACTGACCGAGGTGGTCAACAAACATTGTCTGGAAATAGGAACAGGAAGACTACGATTTATTCTCGAAAGTGAGTTGTATAACATATAAATATGAGTCACTATAAGGTGTTCATCTGTTGTTACTAACTATATATAAAACTAGGTTTCTATTTGAAGCACTCGGTCTTTGAACTGAGTGTCTGAGTACAACCAGTTAATCATCGTTTGTCTTATGATTTGTATCAGCCGCTGTGAAGTCTTCTCGTTTGGTCCAGTAAGAGCCATTTGTTGTTATTCCAGCCTTGTTTATAGGAAGAAACCAAAATAAAACCGAATATGATGAATAAGGGTCGCTCTTTTTTCATATTCCTTCTCTCATCTCTGGTATGATAGCCGACGTTGTCTATTTTTATAAATACTTATCTATTTACATCACATTTGTTTTCATTTTTCATAAAATGGCCGAGATTATTCTGTCGCTTTCGGTGTCGGAATCTCTATCCGCCTGTCCATAATTCTTTCGTTCTCAGGCCTCGGTATTTGCTTGCGTTTATCTGAATCTAAGTTCATATCGATTGCGTCTTCGTTATGGCGTGCTGCTGATTCAGCGGTATTTGCTTCCACCGTGATTGGTCCAAAACCCACGTGGTCTTTACGAAAGATTCGCCGGCCGTCGGGTAAAATACGTTCTGTGTACGAACCTTGGTCGTCTATTCGATCAAATCCCCGGGAGCTGCCGTATACATAATCGGAGTCTCTCGTAGAATAATAAGTGTCATAGCGATTTTGAAAAGGTCTATGAAAGGCATTTCGTCTTCGGGAATTTCGTCCGGGTATAACAGCTCGGCCCTGCACAGGGCTATACCGGAATATTTCATCCTCTACATTTGAGGGTAGCTGATCATTATAGAATAAGGTTGTTTGTGGTCCTCTGCGTACGATAGGAGTCCCCATTATTCCAGTCAATTCACCAAGAGAAACCCTATTTGTTCCCAAAGGTGAACGCCTTGGTGCGATTCCTGATCTTTGCGTCGCCATAGCAACGTAATTTGGATGATAGTCTGGAAGAATATTATACAATCCTGGTTGGTGAAGTCCACTTTGTTCCAAACCAGGCATGTACATCTGTGAACTTGTGGGGGCATTTAGCACAAATGTCCCAGGAGTACTCTCCGGCAGGTTTAGAACAAGGTTTCGTCCAATAGGTGGCTTTATAGTTGGCGCCTGTACAGGCGTATTTGAGAATACTGGAACATATGCTACAATTGGCTGTTGGACAGGCTGAATTGGCTGTGTTAAAATGAATTGTCTCTTTGTCGCTTTGTTCCTATGGTGATTGCTTTCGCGATTCTCTTTGTTTTCCTCAGTTTTTCCAACAGAACGTTTGACTCTTGGCTTTTCTGCCTTTCCCTCGCTGTTCATCTTTTCTTTTTTTACCTCAGAACTGTGCGGAATCGTGAGTCTTTTACTTACAATTTGCAGCTGACCTAAAATTGAACACGGTTAGTGAAATTTTGTTTAATAATTCGTTTGGAAAGGCTGTCTGTTTGTTGTATGTCTTGCATGGTCTTTGATTCTTTTCTTTCATTCTTCAGAACTAATTACTATTATTTTCTATCTATGTTTTACAACATTCAACGTGATCAGAAAAATATTTAGTGTCCGACAAATTATTGTTTTGTTTCATTGTTTGTCAAATGTCAGTTGCAAGTCAAATGTTAACCAGTGAGAGTTTCGATGTTCGAGTCAGTTCCGTAAATTCACTTGAAGTTAGGTTTGTTCACTGAGGTTGTTTCGGATGCACAAGAAGGACTTCGGTATTCTCACCAAACATACCTAGAGGCGTATACCCAGGATACATTTGTCCACCAGGCACAATATTGGGTATCAAAGCCCGGGGTGTTGGTACCTGAACACGTGGAAACTCTGCGTTGCTATAATCCGGGACAAAATCCCGTGTAAGTATTGGATCGTAGTATCCGTTGTAGCCAGAGAGCGGAGCTTGAAGCATGGTTGGATTAGACCAAGGTTGATGAAATGGGGACGCCGCAACGGGGGACAGTGCCTGCATATTTTGGTACCCAGGAAGAGCCGGTAGGAAAATTGCTCTATGTATAGAACCCCTAGTATCACCATTTGCCTCGCCAAACCCATATCCTGGCGAAATAGTTGACAAGCGCTGACCCCATGGGGAGAATGATCGCTGGCTTAGTGCGTATATTGGTTGCGGAATGGAAGTCCGCATTGCAGCTTGGGATGCGAAGAACCGCTGAACCAAAGGATGGACTCGAATAGGCAAAGAATTATAGGAGACCATTTGAGCGAGTACTGGTACTTGTTGTATCCACTGCCGCTTTCGCGGATTTTCTCCTGTTTTATGTGATTCTTTAGATTTCTCAGAAACTTCTGATTTTTTAGAAATTTCGGATTTTTTCGAGATGTTCGATTCTACTTTTTTCCCAGGAATTTTTCCTTTCTTGAAATTCCAATTTCCCATATTCGGGTTCATATCGAAGAAATGATGTCGGCGGCGGACGGTACGGCGATGGCCGACGACCATTGGCGAGGGGTAAATAGGAGCGGGATAGTATGGTGCTACATGATAAGGATCCACCGGTGGTACGAATACCGCTGGATGAGGTACAGCCATCGCAGGCGTGCCTGGTTTGGAAACAACCTGTAACGAGGCTGGTTTAGCATTAACTTTCACCCCCATAGCATTGGCGTTAATCTCAAGTTCAGCAGCTTTGTCGTCCACTTGGAAATGTGTCGGCTCTCCCGACATAGTTGCTTTATCGTCCCCTGTTGGCCTGGCCATAGACCATTGAAATACTAGCAAACACACAAAAAACGGAACAAAACACTGTCCTTTGCCGGCCATGTTATTCAAAACAAAGTGACCGTCACAAGATTGAATAAGCTTTAGTTGCTGGTTTCCACTTTCAGTTATTCATCCAAATTACCTATTTGATTGTTTGAAGTGTGTGAAAATTCATAACTAGCGATGATTTTCTTTAAATTGTAGCAATTTCGACTCTATGTTGTGGTCTATCGTTGTTGTTGAGGTGCGAACTCACAGGGTGACCTGTTTTTGCATTGTTCGAATATCAAAACATTTTTAACGGAGTGTGAAGAATATTGCGGGTGGCTTGAATGCCATCAACTGCTTCATTGCGTCTCTTGGCAGTTTTTACAAAATCATCTCTCGTCTCTACTACTTCATTATCAAACTGAACTGCTCGATTCATGTTTTTTTAATATTAAGATGGACCTTGTGATATTGCAAGAGCGGAGCTAAATAGGAATTAATGCCAAACTCTTGCATCTTTATAAACTGCGAGATGACGTGATTTGCAGACGAACCACGTTTCTGATTGGCTAATCTGTCCCATTTATATTGCCTTCGTCACACACAGTGCAAACTTTTTAAAGGTCTACACGATGGCTTGTATAGTAACGTATCGCCCTCAGCCTTTGGAAAATGTAACAATATTCCCTTGCACGCTGCGCTCGCTTTTTACTATCGTCTTTCGACCGATAAATTTGATAACTTCACCCTGTAATGTGAGTAATAACCTGTACCTATAGACCAAATATGAGACTGATTGCTCATTGTGGTTATATTAGCAAAAAAAAATTCGGTGACTATTAGATAACTGTAGGGCTTTTCGGCTTCAGACCTCATATTGTTCACTCTCCTGTGGGCTCTTGTAACGCCAGTACCATTCTATTTTGCTATAGCGATTAACAGTGTAATCCTTTTGGGTGGCACGCCGACATAACCAAAACAGCTTGCCCAGGAGCTGGAACGGTAATCTAACTACGCCAGTTTACCTCGGGGTTTTACTTTTTGCGCATTACCTTAAAGTTGACCCCCTCTGAGTTACCACTTGCGCGCTTTTTTTTCTCGAAATGCATTCCTATTCCATTCCATGCTGCGTTGCAATTGAATTATGCAAAGTTTAGAGGCTGACTAATGCGGGTCACCTCTACAAGAGTGACCTCTACAAAACGCTACTTCTCAAAACTTTTTAACAGATAGTAAAACGACAATAGTTACATATGTAATAAAATATTTATTTTTTTCAACTACAATTTGTATTTGTACACACAAAATATAGAAAAAGCTTCCAGCTGTTAGCAGTTTTCATGCTACTAGAGTACTTTCTAAATGTCCCGGTATAATGACTGCTGCTGTTAATCTTCGCTAACGATGTCCGGTATGATTCTTCATTATTCTTTCTTGTATTGGTTTGTCTGATAATTGAAAGAGACAGCATTGCATGTAATATTTCGATCAATTTCTGTACTTAAATCGCTTAGGCATATAGTATATGGCATGATAGCTCTTTCTGAAACGGTAGAATCAATAATCAATAATTATAGTGTTCATGCATATCTCCTGTACTTTCCCATTTACTTCAGGTTATTATCTGACAAGATTTTAATCTCACGCAGTTGTACGTGAGAATGCATGATTTCCAGCAATTTCAAGCTTACACAACGTAGCGGGGTATAAGAGAGAAGAAGTTCAGCATAGGATTGATGAAGCTATGCATGCAGTTAACGTTAAAAGAAAGTTACTTAGTTTAAATCTGCAACAACACACGATGGAATAATAGAGGTGTCCCAAACGAAATATCGTTCATTAAGAGATATTCTCTTTACTGAACGGCCATGCAGGTTCATAGCTTATAATCAATATGGTGCTGCATGCAACATAGGTATTTATTTGATATTTATTTTTTTGCTAATATTCTTACCTTATTAAAGTTTTAACCCAAGAAGCGGCCATAGCCACCATACCCCAGTGGCACTACAAATGGTGCTCCATAGCCACCAAAACCGGGATAACCATAACCACCAAAGTACGGGGGATAAAATCCAGCCATTGCAGGCCAGTAGCGTTTGGTTGCGTCTTTGACGGCCTTCTTTGCTCTCGCACATTCCTCTCTCTTAGAACTTTTGTCGCCCACTGAAAAATGGAAGATCGTGCTTAACGTGGCATACTAAGCTAGGCTTGTGAATAGGTCTTGAAGTATTTAATTAGGTGTAAGTTTCCTCCTGTTTTCCGAATGACTAACCATCCCGCCTCAAATATGTTCCCCTCATTGGTGTAAAAATGCTGTCATGAGCATTGCGGGGAGCAATTTAGAACTTTAAATAGCTATCCATCACAAAACTAGTTTGAAATAAGTTCGCACTTTGAAATGTAGAAAAGGTGTCACTTTCATGCCGAACGCGTGTTTTCAAGGCATTCTACTCACATATGCAACTCCACGGGAAGCTCTTCTTAGGGTCAGGGCAGGGAGGGTAGTCTGGGATTTTAACTTTGATTTCATCCTTCTTTTCCTCGTCTTTTTCAACTTCACTCCTCTTTCCAGTTGCTGGTGCAGCAGGTGCAGGTGTTGCAGCACCTCCCTTTGCCGCGTCGGCTTTCTTGTTGGGGTCGCATACATAAGGGACACCGGAGACCGGATCATAGGCCACCGATAGAGCTTTGACACCGGTCACCGGAACTGGATGGATGTGTCCCAAGTTTCCATATCCATGCCCGTAACCCCAGGGGCCTACACCACCATATCCGAAACCGCCATATCCATTGCCACGTGCAAGACCGTTTGGTGATTGAAATACGAAGTTTTGTTTACCTAGAGATGAATATTTTAAATGGATTGCTTAATCTCCCTTTCTGATATACATTCTCAGTTGTTTCCTTTATATATCCCTGCTTGTATTTCTATCCTCTTTTTCAGATTTTTCTACCTTCACTTTTTCTCATCTCTACCTCTGCATTTAACTATTCGTCCGTATTTACCTACCGCTATCATTCATTATTTTCGTTCTACTTCCATATTCGTCCTTCATACAGCGCTTCTTTTGCCAACCGACCTTCCTGTTTTAACAACCTGTCTACCTTTCATTGTTCTACCGTTCACCCATTCTTTTTCTTCCTAAAATTCATATTTCCTTCCCTTTGATATCATTAAAACCAATCCATCAATGCTTTCTTCATACACTGGCCACGAAACCCACCCTTCTTTACGCCATTCCTCTAGATTTCTTTTCCTCATCCAATCGCCCATTCGAAATCTCGTTTTTCCACAAATAAATCGCTTAGTGCAAAAACAGTTTTAGCCAAGTCTACCCGTTCACTCACTTGTCATTTCTCCTATACTAACAACTCTCCTCCTATACTAACATCTCTATTTCTAGCCAACTTTAATAACATATTCCACCCATCCTTCCCTTCTTCGTAGCATTTATCACAGCATCAACATTTACATTTTTCATCTATTCTCCATAACATTCTTCCATCCATTCATCCTTCCCTTTTCCTGTCTGTCTTCCATGCATATGACATCTATATTTCCATCCAATGTTCAAATGTATTTTGTCATCTTCCCTTCCAGCTAACATCCCTCCATCCTTTCCTTAATCCGTCGTCTATTTCAATCCATCTATCAATCTAACTTTTCTTTTCTTTCTCTTATCTACACTTGACCTCACTGCTCACTCTCCTCTTTTCTTAAACTCTCCTTGTTGGCGTTTCTTCTCACTTTAGTTACCCTCCTTGTTTTATTCTCATCTCTTGCTTTCCCTTCATTTATCAACGACCTATAAATTATTACTAATATTTCATTTACCTTTTCCTCCGGCCGGTGCTGGAGCGGCTCTTTTTGTCATAAAACGTTGATAAAACTCACTGCCTATGAGAAACAGGACATTCCTTTGATGCAAGAGAGCTTTACTAAGAACATGCAACAGAACCGACTGACAGTCGGAGTAGCAGACTGCTTGTCAAATAACAGCTGGCGAAAGATGTGTATTTTTCTTCGGAAACGACCATAAGTTTGCGATTGGATAATTTAAATATATGCATGTTTATGATATATATGCATGATATATGCATGAAATTTTAGGCCGACATATCTCCCCAAGCTCCAGGCCCCAACAGTGTGAAATAAACTACAAGTACAGGTATTTTTTTGAAACTTAATTACTCTAACAATACTTAAATGTAAACAATGAAATAAATGGATGGTTCTTTGAAATAGATTGCTCGCATAACCCGCGCAAAATGTTGGGTGAAATCGATAAGGACATCATCTAAACCTTGTTTCCTTACAGTTGGCTATGATATTGTCCAAGTAAGTGATCAATTAATGTTCATTACCATTTTCGGTAAATTTTTAACAGCAAACACGCATTTTTTAACTGCACGGAACTATTATATATGTTAAATGCCTTCCATACCTTTAGCATTCTCTGCCCGGGCTACCAGAACGAAGGCAAAAAGAATTGTTATTTTCAAAATGGCGTTCGTCATCTTTTGACTTTTTCTTTCTGCGCGATTTAAGCAGTCTTTGTTCTACCAAGTGTTTACACTTTGTAACAAGTACCTGCTCATTCGCGTGTTAATTTTCTTATGGCTGTTGCGCTCATCGCCTGATTAGGCATTGACAGGCAACATTAAACCCAAACAAAGATGGCGTGTATCATCCAATTTGGACAAGACTGTCTGTATATAGGAATCTTGTGATATAAGCCGTGATGGTTCGTTTACTCGCCTGTCCTGACTCCTGAACCAAAAAATTCTTCTCCAGCGACAGAATATTAGTTTAGTTCTATTAGTAGCTTGCAGCTGAACTAATTTAACTGTGTTTTATTTTATGCGATTTAAATATCAAACTAGGTTCGAGAGGAAACCATGCAAGAATTTTAGCCTATAGCCAACCAGCCCGCGTCCAGTGTGTGCGATGTTAAATATCTATTCCATCAATTCAACACTATCAATTATCTTAACTTACTGATTTCCATACAGTCCACAAAGTAAAAAAGCGTTGTATAGTATCATAACTACTCTTATAAGTTGAGCCCCCCTTATGAAGAAGGGGCCTCTAGGCAAAAACCATAGCATTATTTTCACAACTTTGTTGATTATGAACCTTCGACAGATTGGTCTGAAAGCATATAAGGATTTGTTTGGCAGGGCGAGAGACCTGGTCTGAGAGGTCCTGTGTACTAATAAGAAACAGCCTAATAACGAGGGATTTGGCAAGTATTCTTTACGCCGTTTCCTCTGTATAGTGCCTACTTATGCATTGTCTACTTTTCCAACAAGGTAAAAATATGGTGATATAGTTTTACCATTGTTATTTTAACAAGTCTCGAAGGTAAACTGTAAAAACAGAATTTTTGATAAATTCTTTTCATCTTCTTACTTAATTTTCATACTGCGAAGTGCGAACATCTTCACTTCACAAGACACAACTTACACTACACTACTTACAGTATCCATTTGTTGTGACAGCTGAATAAAATGCATCCGTTTAAAAATGATGATGTATTTTAAAGGGATTTTACGTAGAAAATTAGATTTTCTTGTGAAAAGATGGCGTAGCAAATTATTTCCTCTTAACATACCGAAGAGAAGCTATCTTCTAGACTATATTACGAATATATTACAATTCAAATATATATATTTTCGATTAATATGAGTCATAGCTTGTTGGGTTGTTTTTTTAGGTATATGGGTACGCCTTCTATATATCACTTCTATTCTTGTTTATATGAAACAAAGCTTTTCATATTGCCATGTACTAAACACGTACTATCTCAAGTACGTGTGAAGGCCTTTCTATGAGGGATGTATAGGTCTATATCAAAGTCATTTCATTCTGTATTACTCTACTGGATAATTCCCGTTATCATCCGTATTGTAATCGTACATGTGTGCATAATCCTCGTACGGGTATGTTGCTCCTTCGAATGAGAATGTTCCTCCATAACCCTGAATACAATCCTTTCTTACGGTGTTGCCTTTTTCTAAATAAGAGAAATAGGCTCAGTGACAGTGAAGATCGACTTATCGTCGTGTCGATGTATTTTGAGTTTGATTATACTATCTGCCCGGTAGTGCAACACGCATTTTGACTTTAAGTTAGAATTACAATCACAAGACTGCAGATTTTCACCCGGGATTAGGATTTTATCCATCCTAACAAAGGTCTGTGGGACTGTGAAGCGTGTTAATCAAGTAGTTTAATTAGGTTATGTATATAGACTATGTAGTAATGTAGACCATTATAACTATGAAAATGTCACCCTACCTAAGCAATTCCAAGGCCAATGGTAGTTTTTCATATCAGGACATGGAGGTATCTCCGGCAACTTGATTTTTATTTCATTCTTTTTTACTGCGTCTTTTCTTTGAATGTATTTCTTCAGAAGATTTGACCGTTTTGCCTTCAATACTCTTACAACGTGCTGCATTTTTCGATTGTAGTTGTCGATCAAAGGCGTGATCCTCTGATTGTTCACCTTGCTTTGTTTACTGGACTGTGCGTTTGTCTTTGGTGCGGGGATTAGAAGAGGGGAGCCCAACTTAACATGAATGTCTTTGGAGGACGCCGCTGGCCTAAATCTGTCTTTGACAGGCGTTGCAACCAGGTAATTATTTCGCTTCTTGGTCGGCGCCATTATATCATCCCCCAAGGTCGGATTTGTTTTTTTGTTCACGTGAATTTGAGTCGGTTTTGTGGCCGATGCGATGGCGTTATAGTTTTGAACCGTACGAGAGGGTTTCGTATTTTCTATCGGCGAGAGTCTATGTTCCGGTACTGCATTATTACCCTCCGTGGTACTCGTAGGAGGATTTACGGCTATAACCTTATTTGTATTCGTATTTGCAGAAGGATGGATGTCCGGAGAGGGTGCACTTGCCGAGAATTCGTTCCCCGCGGGTGCATTTGCCACTGGTTCATCTCCCGTAGGCTTCCTGGCTGTGGGTGGATTGATGGCGGCCACTCCAGCAGCTTGACTCTTACCACCCCCAGGAGGCGTTTTCGTCGGATCACACATGAAGGGCATTCCTGTCTTTGGGTCAAAAGCGTAGGAGTAAATCCCCGGAGGTAATCCATACCCACCGGCACTTTGTATCTTCGGATCCAGGCCGTTCGCGTAGTCGAAATTTGTGGATGATTGTATTCCCTGACCTAGTCCTCCATAAAGCGCAGTGAAAACTAGCTTGTTGGTCTCTAAAATTGAATTGCAAAAGCTTAACTCAATCAGTTTCAAATGCTTAAATAGGGAGTTAGTTGGGAGAGGTATAAGTGCAGTTTCGTGTGTAATTACGGATAAATTTGTACCAAATGGAAACTACAGAGGAATTCTTGTAGGTGAAAATCCAAGTACACTCTACTTTAGTCGTATTATTAATAACGCAATTCTAACAAGGACAGGATATCCTTAATTTCTTAACACAAACATGCATGGAAATATTACAATAAAATATTAGGAGCGATTCGTGGTAGTAAGGGTCTCCTTGATGGGAATTCCAATCAGTATGTTTAATATCTCATCGTTTTCGCTCCAACTAAAAATTGCATTCTGTTGTCTTGTAAATACGGTATACGTAGTCACTTCACCTTTATCTTTTGCATTTTGTGCTGCTGTGACCGCTCTTCGTTCTCTGTGATGCACTTGAATGTGCCTCCTTCGAAAAAAGTTTTCAAAATCTACAGGGGGTGAAATACCGCTTTAATTAACAATACATTACAATGTAATTCAAAGAATTAACGAATAGTACTGAATTGCGCAACATTTCTTTATTTCTTTTTCACGGGCACAACTAGAGCCAAAAAATTGTGCACAGTTCAGTATTCGTTCCCTTAGATACAGTTCGATATCGACGTTCATCTCTGCCTTGAAAACGTCAACAGTGTGTTTAAATTTTGGCGACAAATATTGAAACACGGGTAAACTATTTTCAATTTGTTCTTAATCGATAACAACTTGAAACATTTAGCTTCCTGAATAGCCAATTCTGTCATTTACTTTACCTCTCTCTCTTGAATATACGTGAATCAATAATAAAAGGCAAATAAAGCGGCCGCTAATATGTTTAATACACTAGGTAATAAAAAAATTCTTACCTTTTTCGCTCACCACGTATTTGCATAATAATAGTATAGCCAGCAAAGCAAAAACTATTTTAGAAGAAGCAGCCATGTTTTACTACAACGAATCGTTATGGCTAAGAAGATAAAACGGTCGAATGAAAAGACCTGTTGTGATTAAAGATTTTCTTTGTTTCAGCGGTGGCTTCCTGATATGTGTATATTTGTAAACAAGTGACAACTTGATTATCGTGTTGTGCGCTCAGTGACAGTGGCGCAATAACAGGGGGGTGTACGGCTGCATAAACATCAGAAAAAGATGGATTTTAATACATATAGCCTAAACACAGACCTTTCGTTTCGCATCCATAAAAAGCCCAAACAAGGGTGTTTGACGTTTGAATTGCGTTTTTCATAATAGATCAACTTTTTATTTAGGTAACAAAAAAGTAATATTCGAAAAGTCAAAACAAAACTTGGTAAAATTGCCAAGTTTGGCTGCGAAATATTGTAAAGTGTGGGGGGTGTGGCCATGGGAAGTTAAAGTTGGCAATTTTGTATACTTCGCGTGGCTATATTTTCCGTACTACTTGACATTTTGCAGCTAAACTTGGCACTGATTATACTAACTTTGGTAAGCTCTTTTTAGCTGTGGTGATTAATTTCCTTCTTGCTACCTACGTTGCTATCATAAGTTGGTCTATATGCAAAAAGTCCATTAAAACACCGTAAAACACTTCAGATACTACTAGTTCACGCGAGCTATATATTTTCAATTGTCATTGGTTGCATTATATAGGAGAGTCTGGTTATATTACAACATAAATGTTGGTGGTGGTCCTTAGAGTGGATTATACTAATATAGATCCTTAGAGAAGGGAATGTATATAAGGGAATGTATATCTTAAAACAGGAAGTGAGATGTGTATGGTAGAAGGCCACGCCCCAAGTACCCCACCCAAGTCTTGTTTACAATTTCAGGACAAATAGCTGATGTTTTCATTAACCACTGCAATCCACTTCTGATGTAGTGTATTATTTATAGAACAGTATCACACTGGCTTTAGTTGATCTGTTGCCATACATAAAATACATTCGTCCTAATTTATCGCATGTATTTATTTCACATTTTTATTGTTTTATCTTTGTTGATTCTGTTCTATTCTCAGGGAATATTGAAGAATGCCAAATTGAAGTCGGATCTTTCTTCTTTATCTCAAGATAAAAATCTGCTTGCTGCGTTTAATAAATTAATAGTAGGGAAGAAGTTTACTGCGTTTAAAAATGCGGAAGATTGCGCGGTTTTGTTATGCGCAAAAAATGTCGAAATGTTAGGAAATTCTCCGTCGAAAATATCTGCTATTTGTCGCGTATTTTGCAACGCACACTGAGAAAACAGTGAGTCAGTGACGTTTATTTACATTCCAAGGCCAATGTCACTTCAATCCTAGTGTGCCTCAATCAATTTTTTAAAACAATTTCATCACAACGAAAAGCAATAATGGCTAGAAGGCGGGATCAGTCAGAAGTCAGTACAACTGTAAAGTATTTGTTGTTCTTTTTTAACGTTATATTTTGGGTGAGTTTGCGTTTTTATTTTTGTGTATTTATTCGACTATCAGTTCGGCATATCGTTTCGATAGATTCAGCAGTCAAAGATACATTCAAACATGAGATTTGCATCGAAATATTGTATGAACTTGTTCTATAATTCGCTATGTAATTTATATTTTATCATTTGTATATTTATATTTAGTATTTTCGTTAACCATTACAAATATTAACCACAAATTAGAACCATAAGGTGTTGAGAAGACGATAAATTGCCTTCATACGATCTCCAACGCAACAAAACAACTTTATGTATGTTGTTCTTTCTGAAATTCATATAGGATAAAGTTTTTGTAATGTCTTTGTAAATGTAAAGTGTATATATTATTGTATATATTAGTCTTGGTTTAGGCATCAAAATATATTTAATAAATAAATACAGTTCAGATATTATTTGGTAATATTTTGCTTTTTATGACTTGACATAATTTGATTTTTATGGCATGAGCTTCCTGTGCGATTGCGAGTGGCTGTATTTTTCCATTCATTTCGTTACCATTGAAGGCTGCTAGGTAGATTTAATAGATAACTAAATTAATGCTTAAGATTTAACAAGATAAATGAAAACTTTGACAGGCACTTCTGTCATATCCTGAATTTAATGTCATTTCACTGTGTTTAGTTAGCATTAGGGGTTTTCACCTGCGACATAAGCATTAGCATAAGAAAAGGCAAAACAATAAAACACAACCCAATTTTGTTATTTCCAATCCACATACCTCTGATGTAATGTGTTATTTGCTGCCCTCCATGAAATACATTGCAAGTCAATAGACTAAAAAATATCCATCAGAAGTGAATAGCATTTGACAAAATTGGATCATGTGAACAGACCATTATTATTGAAATACAGAGGGTATTACTGAAGTTTTAAAGAAATTGAATACTTTGAATGAACAAAGCTGCTTGTACATTTGTGTTAGATATAAATGCAGGGTACAAAATTTGTCTAAAGTTATATGTTCTTGTCCCCTGATTATAACCTGCGAGCATATTCTCTTAAGCCTTTAATTAATGGACTATAGTGAAATATCAAAGATTATATGTTCATTAAATAATATTTATTTTAGTTACTTGGTGGTGCCTGTCTTGCAATTGGCATCTATGCAAGGTTTGAAAATGCATCCTACTCTGATTTCTTTGGAAATGCATGGAGTGACCCAGCATTTTTCTTCATTATTGTTGGGGGAATTATGTTTATCTTGGGCTTTACTGGTTGTATTGGAGCATTGAGGGAAAACATATGTCTACTGAAGTTTGTAAGTATAGTTGTTTTTTTCACCTTTGCTTAAGTAAATATATAGTTGATTAAACAAATTCCCATATTGACCTTAGTACTTGTGATAATATTATTATTGTATTTCTTGTACTAACTTCTTATTAACCGAGCGCGAGGACTTTACCGAGAAATATCGGAGTACCAAGGTCTTTTTGTACAGACCAAGCTCAAAGTGCGAGGTTTGTACAAAAAGATTGAGCTCCAATATTCTTGGTAAAGATTGAGCAAGCAAGGTTAATAAAAAGTTTATTATATGGCATAAGGCATGTATTTGCACTTCAAACAAACAAGAAATGCATGAATTTGTATGTTGAATTATTTAGTTTACCTAAACTGTCTGGAGATGTCGTATTAATTTCAAAATCAATTGAGTTTTCTCTTGAGCATTTTTTTGTACTTTTTTCATTCAGAATTTCTCTATTTTTTATCTCGTAATGGATCGCCGGTAACGCCGGTCTATTACTGGAAAGAGTTGGTCCATTATGGGAAAGTAATGGACTGCTGAAAATTCTTCTCAGCCAATCACTTCACTGGAAGTGATGCTTGCCATATAATAAATATATATAATATAGATGAAACAAAAGCGCATATAGATCAAAATTGTACCTGATATTTACTTTTGAGACAACCAATCTCAGGATATTCAAATTGATGTTGGTTGATCGTACAATGATGTGTGGTCCAAAATATCAATATAACCAAATTTATGTTTTTAGTTCTCCATTGCACTTGGAGTCATATTTTGCCTCCAAATTTTACTTGGGATTCTTGTGTTTGTCTACAGAGATAAGGTACAGTATATTTCATTATCATGCCAAGGGCCATTTGTGAATTGTGATCACAAATTTGTCAGACAAGTTGTCGACGACAATTAAACTCCAACTTTTAACTGCCTCATTTCTGGTGTTTTTCTATTGTGTAAAAACTTGTTGTAGGCAGCTTTTAGATCTCCATGCTATTTTGTTAGCTATTTTGTCAACCTCTGTGTATTGGTTGGAGTCCCTCTATTAATTATTAGACTTATCAGTCTAATCAGACCCCAACATGATCACCAATTTAAATTATTGACATCTAAATCCCTAGTCTGTGGATGCCCTGATTTCTCTATTTACACCAGTAATATTAATAGAACTGTTTGTTAATTGCATATTGTTTGTGTTGTATAGTTTGATGAAATTGTCAAAGAAAAACTACAGGATACTATTGTGAGCTATCGAGATAATCCTGACTTGAGAAGTTTGATTGATAAAGTCCAAACTGATGTAAGAATATATAAAGCAAATATCTTCTTTTTATATTGTATTCTTCTTCTTAAGTTAATTATTATCCTGTTGTTTATACTGTACCTTTTACTTCCTAAAATCTCCTAAAACTTTATCAGAGTATATTTTTAGATCATTTTGCACCATGTACAGCATAAAAGCATTTAGAAAGTTTAGTGCAGGTCTACTATTTTATGTTCGTGACAATAAGGTGGTACACAATTTACAAAATTGTACAAAATTTGTGTCCAAAAGGAAATAATCTTTTTGTTCACAATTTCATTAATGTTGACAGCATGTTAATAAGAATTACCACTTCAAATTGCATTTTTCTTCAAAAGATCTGAAAATCAAAATGCAATTGATTTTTAGTTTGAATGCTGTGGTGTGAATGACTTCAACGACTGGGATGACAATATCTACTTCAATTGTTCACAAAAAACAACAGAAGCTTGTGGTGTTCCATCATCATGTTGTATAAAAGACAGAGAAAATAAACAGTGTGGATATGGTGTCCGAGAAAAGAATGAAAAGGTGTAGTCATATATGACAGTCTTATAAATTGATATGTCAACAAAATCCTGTCACAATGTAATTAGCTTCTTGTGCAAGGGCCAGGAGCCGGTTGTACTAAGGCTATCCACCGCCCGGCACCGGATAGTGGTTTTTTCAACCGTTCTAAAAATGCTCGAAAAGCGCGATGAAATTTCATCTTTGGAAGCAACAATTATAATGATGAAAGAGCGAAGGAATACTAAGATTTAATCAAAAGCAAACAACGGGCGATTTTAAAGCGATTGAAAAAATCACTATCCGGCTTTCATGCAACTGGCCTTGTTTAAAAGGTGGATAAAGTGATTGAAGTTATGAAGAATTTTTTAACATTTGAAATAATTTCTGTATATAACTTCCACTACTCACAATATCATCAAAACATTATAATTTAGTGAAAGTGGTAGGCTAAGTTTTGCATATAATCATAAATCATATTGATGTCACGATTTGCATATTCAAAATATTTTCCATACTTAGAAAAATATTTTCTATACTTAGAAAATAGTAGAAGTTGAAGACAAAATCTATGTTCGAGGTTGCGTGGAAGGTTTTGCTGAATGGGTGGAGACAAATATTATTATGATTGGAGCAATTGCACTTGGGATTGCTGTGGTTCAGGTATGTGGCAGACTATTTGAGACCTATTTATATTGGAAACGATGGTTCCATTTGCTGGAAAGTGTTGCGCGTTTAATAGTACTACTGTGTGTGGATTTATTTAGAATTTGTTGGGGCCATTTCTCTATATTGTTATGACATGAATTAAAAAAAAGGAAAGAGAAAAATAACATGCATGGAAGGCCATGATAAACTTGCCTTTGTGCGCCTATGCCAAAACAATGCCTATTTTGTGCATATGTCATCAGTACGTACCAGCAGCGTGGAGGACTATCTCACTGGCAGACCCACGTGTGTGTCTGACCAGTCAATTGCTGGTAATCAAGTTCAATGGTTTGGTTTATATAACTGCTAGGCTTGCGGATAGTGATATGAGTAGTTATAATTCGATGTTATAGTTAGAAATTCATTGTCAATAATCTTCAATCGATATTTTGATTTTTTTAGATTATGGGGATTTCATGTTCGCAAAGTTTAATTGGCGATATCAAGTCACAAAAGAGCAGATGGGATTCTTGAAAACGTTCTTAGGGACCTTAAGATGCACCAAATCTACGACGCGGACGTGACATGAAAACAGCCGGTAGTGTTAGGAACCCACTTTTAATCTTTTCACATACGGTTTCCATACGGCTCTGACGTTTACCAAAATTTTTATTCCTGTTGTGAAAATGTGGACATAAAGACAGTTTTACTTCACGCCCGCGTCGTAGATTTTGGTGCATCCTCAGGTCTGTATTGGTGAATTAACCACCACAGCTGACCATAAAGATTTAATAATTGGTGTGTGCATCCACTAATTTGAAATTGAATGATACTGTAATTTGAAAATATTTCTTAATCGAAACGGGACCATTATAGCTTCTGTACATCAGAGGCGTAGCCAGGATTTTTTAGGGAAGGCCAGCAAAAAACTAGGTTCTGTGGGGCTCGCCGCAGGTCTGCTTATCTTTTAGAATAAATATTCTAAGAGAGTTTCAATATTTTTTAGGGGGACCCTGCTAACCCCTGGTCCTTGCTGCGCCCCTGTTGTAAAATCGCCTTTTGGGAAAATTGACAAGTTAATTGAGTTTTTCTCTCTTTTTCAATGAAAGTTCCCAAGTTTCATCCCACATTATTTAATAAATTGATTTAGTTTTTTTGGAGCATTCTTGGCTTCAGCACAAATACGTATTCCTCCATGTCCACCGAGTTTTATCATGGTTTTTAGAATGATTTATATAATGTTCACCGTATTATACTTCGTATGAAAGAAAGAACTTGTGCATTGAAACCATCAGGCTGAGATCGCAGTGAAAACAATATTTAGCAGCCAATATACGAAAATCATTGAATAAACCTTTCTCGCCAGAAGTTCTCATGTATAACTAACAGCCAGCCTAAAGAAATCCTTTCTTTTTATACAAAGTTTTACTGTATATATTTATAAGATATATTGTAATAAAACGACATTCTTCAGTTACTGTTAGTGTTTGTGTGTTCTATAAATTGCATTTCCTTTTCGACCGCTATACGCTGGTTAGAGAGAACTGAGGACTGAGGAGGCCAATTTAATTCAAAAGACCCTGTTTGAAGCAGTATGGTTTGAACCCTCCCTGGATAAGATATTTTTTGATAACATCAATCATGGACTATCAAATGTCATTGGCAAGATCGATTAAATGAAAAAATGCAAACATCATTTATAAATAAACAACAGTAAACTGGCCAGGTTTCCAGGCCTTTTTAGATCTGGAATCAAGCTCGTCATTATCTCCTCGTCAGGGGGGTGAAAAGTAAATCTGTTCAACGCAAATATTCAACACAGCAACCAAATCGTTTACCTTGACAACACAGCTTATCAAAATATTGTAAAGTACTTCTAAATCAGAAAAAGATAAAAAATCGTTTAATCTTTGTATTAAACAACGAAGAGTCATAATAATGGCAAATGTAGTTGTTAGACAAGCGATTCCAGAGTTGAATTGCTTACGGCCAACAAGCAGAGGTTTGTCAGTGGAGAAAAGGGCAGCTGGTTCAAGAGAGAGGTCTCGGTCATTGGAACCACAGACAAGAATACCGAAGACAAGGTTTAAAACACCAACGGAGTCTGCTATTGGTAAGTGCACACCAGTATTAACATTTCCTAGCGTTTGCCTTTAATTGAGAATGGGGTATGTAGTATTTTTGTACATGATCGTATAATACGGCTATATTTTATATATGATCAAGTGATCAACTTGTATCTATTTTGATTGAGCAACAGCTTTATACAAATCTCGACCCGGTTTAGAATCTCCCAAACTGAGTGAAGTCGAAGTTGAAAAGATGATTGTTGAAGGTTCCAGGCAAAATCTACCGACATTAAAACAGGTACTGATGTCTGAAGACAATAAAATATATGAATACAATTTTTTTGTCCCTTGCCTTTAATATTCGATCTCGATCATGCATGATGATCATCATATAGTGCTGATTTCTTTCTTGATTTTTTAAACATTTTTTTCTGAAGTTTGACTTAAGAATGAATCCCGTATTCTCAACAATCCTACAAGTTCTTATCAAGCTTTTTACTCTCACTGATTCACAATATATGCCCATCACCACTTGGTGTGTTAATTAATGTCTCTTTTATATCTCGTCGACTATTGTATATTACCTTCGTATAAAACCCAATAACCCATCTTTTATTTTCCCTGTGCTTCCCTTGACTGAGTCTACTTATCACAGAGAGATTTTGTTATTATGTAATTGCTTCCATGTAACCAAAGGTATAATCAATTTTCAGGTTTTCAAGACACTGGATATATTTAACAATGGTACAGTGACTCAAGGAGAATTTTCCCAGGTTTTGTGCAGTTACTGCAACACAACAGTACCCCCTCATCATTTAGCCAAGTTTTTTCAAAAGGTACATTACTGCATTATGCATTAATTAATTATCAATTCCTTTTAATACATATATTAATACCAGATTGATCTCCTCAAAATTCCAATCAAATTGATCAGCTTAAATTTTTTATTCTGATTTAAACAGCTTGGAGTGAACAGAGATGGTACCGTGTCATATGCAAGGTTCATCACCAAGTATTTGGCCAATGCTGAAAGTACTAATGACAGGTTAATTATATCAATCCATCCTTCATCAACATAATCATCTATATATAGCATTAAGGAATCTCATATAATATATATCAATATGGCCAATATGGCATCAGCAATAATCAGGGCCATGGCTGTGGGAGGTGTATATTTTTATACTTATGCAGTTTATATACTGTACAAACAATTATAGTGTACAAAAGAAATCAGTTGGGCATAAGACAAATCTGAGAATATATATACATGCACCCTCCCAATTAAGTTTTCAGCTACAGCCTGGCAATGGCCATAATTTTGTTTGCCATCTATAATGAAGTACTGGCTGCTAAGAAAAAGTAGGTGCATCACATGTACATTAATTTTACTACATGCAACTAGGGGGGAGGTGGTGATTTTTGCTTTTATGGCCCGGAACAGGGGTTTATATTGGAAAAGGCTGAGTAAATAGACCCTTGATTCTCATTATGACATCAAATGCGGAAAGGTCATGCCCTGCAAGACAAAGTTTGATTACTGTACAGCTCATAAGTACAGCCAGGCAAATTAACTTTAGTAAGCCAATTAATATATGAAGAGATATATGAACAAAATGGAAAAAGCCATCTTTGAAATACCATGATTGCCTACTAATTTTTGTTGCACTCAACAGCCATGAAATTGCCTTGTGTACTTGTATAGCATCTCCTCAATCGCCAATTTCCATTTGATTTTTTCAGGAAAGCATTTTCACCAGGAAGTCCTTCCAAGGATGATTTTGAAACCAAACTTAAATTAAAGGTAAATTGAAAAACTTCACAGCATTTATAAGTGGCATAATTTGAACATACATAACTTTTTTACTCTTTCACATCTATCAAAAGAAGTAGTGTAAAATTGTAAATGTGCCTTAATTAATAAAACAACATATCTTTTTTCACACTACAGTAATAATGGTAACACTACAGGTGATCATTTCAACTTCCACATGTTGAATTCTTAGTCTTTATACAGTCCCGTTTCTACAAATTTTTGTAAGACATTAAAAAATAAGACATTAGAAAATAAACCTGCCGTCATCCATAAAAATCGGTAGCAAAAAAAATGAACACCCGGATTTGAAGCTGGCTATACTATAGCAAAGGGGCGCATCTGGGTTTATGTAAAATGTGTGCATTTAATGAGGATCTCGTTCTATTTTAGTTGCGAGGTCAGTACACCGCTATTGTTAAAGCGATGAAACTATTCGACTACTGTCAAGATGGCTTTATACAGAAGCAGGAACTCAGAAGAGTCCTGGAAAACTTTTGTTTCAGACTTACTGACATGCAGTTTGAAAGGTAGCTACATATGTTTGGTTATGTTCTATTGCTATATTACAGCCTTGTTCTCACAGCTCCCCGACAGTCGGCGTTCATTGTCGGTGGGCCCGGCTAAAATTGGTATCCGTGCCCAGTTTTATTAGTGTTTAGGCTATCAATACAATTAAAGGCTGAGCGCTGATGAAATGGGCATGGGTACCCAGTTTAGCCGTGCTGTGCCAATAAAATGAGTGTAGTGTAAACGGGGCTTAAATTGACCGTAGTGTAAACGGGCCTTTTTTCTCCTTGTCATTTAGAATGTGGGCCAAGTATGGCAAAGCGAGTAATGGCAGCATGTTGAACTATATGGAGTTTCTAGAGGAGCTAGGTGCTACCAAGTCCGCCTTACAAGAAGGTAATCTTGTCGCTGAGATTCGATGGTCGGGGGGGCATGGGGGTGTCAACGCGCCCCTCCCCTCCCCAAGTTAGTTCCAATATCAAGTAATATTCGGAAATATTAAGGTGGAGTTAGTCGTTCTTCGTGCCATTCATGGTCACTGGTAATCATTTGTGCGTGGTCACTCGTGTGCACTTGACCTGTCCTGATGGTGTGACGGATTATTGGAAACGGCTAATAACTGCATGCAGAACTGTCCCGTTCGCCATTATTAATGTGCATGATCATTCTAAGTGCGTGATCAAGATAATCTATCTCAGATACTTTAGCCTGAACACAGACCTAATCGTTTCACCCGCCTTAAAATTCGCGGGGAGCGCTCCCCTCTCCAAACGAATAAAGTGTCCGACAGAAACTGTGAGGTCAAACTTCTCATGCGCCTAATGCATTAAAAACGATAAATAATAAGCTAAAATGTCGCGTTTTCTTTTGCTTAAAATGCGTTCGGCGCATAAAAAGTACGACTTTTGATCAATTTATTCGTTTAATTTATTAGTTCAATTAATTTATTCGTTTAAACTCCACCAGAGTATCGGGCGAGACGGCATATCTCACATTGTACTGCATGATCGCAATAAACGAACAAACGTTGAATTGTTAAATTTGTGTATATCAGTAGGAAAGCCTTCACAGAATGGAGAGAAAAGATCCCGGCCTACCCATACTCTTCCAACATCGCCTATCTCGCCACCGCCAGAAAATTACATTGAACAAACTTTTAAAGAAAAGGTAATTATGATCAAATTTACAGTCGAGTCATAATCTATGTGAACCTTTTTTTGGTGAAAGAAAGTTAATTAGAACCATTTTGGTTCGACGCACCTGAGAATCCCAAACGGCAATTTGGTAATTTAGCCTGCCAAGGTTTTAACAAAATCTATTAATAGTGTTCAATATTCAATTATATGCCTGGTTTTTAGACATCCTGGTGCAGATCGTTTAATTATTGGTTTAACTCAGGGCCGTCGCCTGGGGGGGAGTTGCATATTGGTATCTTATCTTATGCCCGACTTATTTTTTTGTTAGCTATTGTTTCAACGGTTGTACGAACATGAATAATGAATATACACCCCACCACCTCCCTCCCCCAATTACGCTTGTGGCGACGGCCCTGATTTAACTCTTCTCCTTGGCAATTTGTACACAACTTTTGGAATATTTTTTATTAGTTCCTTGCTAACTATGAAACTATTTATCGAGCTGTAATGGTGCTGGACCATCGTGCTATTGGTTATGTTCCTCTGACTGAATTCAAGAAGGTCATTGTAAAACATACTGTACCAATGTCGGACACTCTTTTTCATTCCCTTCTACAAAGGTAAGGTTACGGTAATCAACTTCATCGGCATGAAAACTTTAATTTTCTATTCGTAGAGAACTAGGTTCTATCGAACCATTATAAATTTAACTGCATTTGAAGAAACTTGTTCATCTGCAGTTCTGAGTATTCTTGACTTTCAACTTATTGCACTTTCCAATGTTGGTTGTGGTGGAACCTCTACTGTACATATAGGATGTCTATACTGTACATATAGGAAGTCTACTGTACATATAAGAGTATAGGTTGAACAAATGTTTCGATATCTTTATTAGCTTATTAATGAAGATTAGTATTTATGATATCCGCTTTGTTGGCAATACAAGGACATTTGGTCCTGATCGTTGTCGACTGTATATCGGCACGATTTTCTAAATATAGTCGGGCGCGTGAACAAACGGCGAGTTTTTCGGTTTTGAAGTTTGAGGGCAGATGCATGTAATCGCGGCTAAACAATAAAAACTCGTTGTTTGGTTGTGAGCTGCACCAACATCAGTTTATCTGATATGACTATTAGCAGTTCAACTGTACAATTGGAATTCATTTTAAATTCCCAGAGGCTAAAATCTATTATGCTTTATAGAACAATATGAAATTTACAGTATAAGTGCTTTTTTTACGGAACCAGGCTCTGGTCGACTGAATGCCGTTGTCAAGAGTATTTTATTCATATTTCTTAGATGTGGAATCACAATCAGTCATCGCATACATTACGAACGTTTCATCGATTATTACGGCAAAGCCCAGTAAGTATGGACGTAAACTACAATTTATTCGGCAAATATAGCAACCCAGTCCCTATTCTTAGTGGCGCCACATGCTTCCTGCATGTTTAAGGAGTGTTATAATAATTGTTTCTACTTCTTATAGGACAAATATTTTATGGCAGCCGGAATCAACCACGACACAAGAGGATATATTCAACGCACTTCAGTCACACATCAACTCGAGTTTCACAAGCATCAAGGATGCCTTTTTGGAGTTTGATTATGTAAGTTCAATGCTACTGTCATCGCTGCCATTATGGATAATTTCCTTTTTTGCAATTCTAATATCATTCCAACATAGGAAAATTCTCTTTGTGTTGTGAATCCCCTAAAAATGCTGCACACCACCCTTTGATAAAAACATAAAGTAACCAAGAAGATAGCTCTATCAGCACAATCACGTCGGATCTAGACTAGTTAGCCTGCTTAATACAAAAAAGGCAAGGGGTATCTTCAGGTATAGGTGATAGAGATCAAATCAACCAGACAGCTGCATTTTGAAAAATAAGTGGAACATGGGCCAACTATCTTAAGCCGTGTTTACTAGATCCTGGACTGGATTTTAGTGTGTAAATTAACGCACTTTGGTGAGACCTTAGCAATTTAATCACACGGTGAGAATCGGAGCCTTCCATAATGCCGTTATCATTGCTAAAATCAAGTTCAAAACTTGGTCTAAGAATGGGCTCCGTCCATCGTCCCCTCGTGTGCCAAACGCATTAAAACATTAGATAAACAGTTGGGAGATTTCAATAGCTATTGTTACTGAGTATTGTTGAAATTGTTACGGCAAACGCATTTAGACAAAAGGTCGTATGCTCATTCCTCATTTGGAGATTTCGCTCCATAATGAAATTACGATTTGAATACAGAATTAAAGACAAATTTACATCCGGACAATTACGACTTCATTACGACCACGCATAATGCAGAGTTCATTGTAACACTAATGCTCAACACTCATAGCGTCACAACAATTTTACTTGGTATAGAACAAGGATGGTAAAATCAGTCGAAGTGAACTGCGAAGAATTGTGGAGAAGTTCTCGTTCCGTCTTTCTGAAGAGGATTATGCAAGATTTATGGCTCGTGTCGACCCAGAACACAAAGGATATATATCATATCACAGATTCCTTGAGATATTTGAAAACAAACATTCTAACAAGGTGAATATCTCTGCAATACGTGCATATGAGGTTGTAGGTATACCGATCACACAATGCCGGATTGCACATACCAGCGGGCAAAATTGTGTCCACGGGTTTTGAAAGGCTGTGAAGTGTAAATATTTTTACTGAATCCGGTACAGCGTAATCCTTAAATGTTTAATATATTGTTTTATATACATATTGATTTGTGTTTACGAAACTAAACATGTATTGATATCCCATCATGATTGTAAATGTGATCAGAAATTTTTTCGTTCTAGTATGGCCATCCACACTTAAAAGATCAAAATATTCCTAAACAAGTTTCTCCTCCTTCCATTAAAACTTGGTCTACGGTAAGATGCTATTGCTTCTTTGTGGGTTTTTGCTTCCAAATACAACTCTCTATTATACATGCATGAGTCATATATACAAAGAGACCTCAACTTACAGAGACCGGTTTTATGAACAAGTAATTGATTTCTAAGTTTGGTTAGTTGCAGAATTGACCAATCGTGTACGTATTTTGGAGTTGTCCCTCAATTTGAGTTGAAAGATTTAAGTATTTTTAGGTCGAAGAAATCCTCCGCAATAAGATTAAAGACAACTGGCAATCGGTTGCAAACGCCTTTATTGATGTTGACACAAATCGCGATGGTTGTTTATCACGTAACGAACTACGCAAGTTATTGGAAAGATATTGTCTGCCACTAACTGATGATCACTTTGAAATGTGAGTATGACGTCACCATGACGTTTTCGTGCCGTACGTGGAGCGCACTTTATGATATGACGTTTTCACAATAATGACGTAATGACGTGGTCAAGATTAAATGTTACTGTGATGTCATATATTTTTGCCTGGTTTCCAGGTTGTGGAGTTTGTCGGATGAAAATAAAGATGGAAAGATTTCTTTCAATGAATTTCTGAATAAACTGGTAAACTCATGACATTTTAAGGTCACGATCTGACATTAGTCTAACGTAAACTTTGTCCGCACTTTTTTACTTCAAGGGTGTTGACATCATCTCCTCAGATCTCCATGGTTACAGCAAGAAGATCACAGACGAAAGTGAAGCAAGAGAACAGTTTATGAAACAAGACCAACACGTCAGGTGAGTGTATGCATGTTGATTTGATTAGGTTGTCCTTTCAAAACCGTAAACCTTGATTTAATTGTTAACTATAAATTAATAATAAGTTGTAACATATTGAACCCTTTCAAAGTTCAAATTTTTTCCGTTATGAATCATGTTTTTTGTCTTAGTTATTCTTGTAAAGCCACATATCTAAGTTAATTAATGAATAATGAGTACCTATAAGTAACTGTCATGGCGTGCTCAGACTCAAGGTTTAATTGTCTTAGGAAATAACCTTTATCGGTTAGTTTATTTTTCTCCTTTGAAAGATGCATGCGAGGGAATAACTATGCTCTGATGTATAAGTGCTTTTAATATACTAACACTCGTGGGTTATTCACTCGTTGACATCTGCCAAAAGAAGAAAATCTCATCTGAAATCGCAGCAAAAATTGCATGTTTAAACAGGCCATAATTTGCAATTCTCTTGATGATCTACTGTTTCGCAGGCGAGATCGTGGTCCAGCACAGATAACAGCTCGACAAGCCATTGGCATACTGAGGGTAGGAAAAAGCCTTCTCTTTAACCATTATTTTTACTGATATCTATTTTGGGATGTTAATTTCCCCAATCCTAAGATTCAGTTGTTTCCATTCCAACCTAATCGTGGCGAAACGAGCTAGCGTATTTCTTCGTTTCCTTACTCGGTTGGAGCTGATGATTTTCAAAAGAGTGCCATGGTGGAATAATGATATTTTTCTATAAGGAACAAATTAACAGGACTCTTGCATGGCCTGTATATATACTTTGATATAGGTCCTAGCACAAGATTTACAATAGAATTGAATGTCATTTTATTTCCATTTAGAATTACGTGATGCAAAAGTCAACTGATTTGAGAAAAATGTTCGTAAAATTTGATTCGAACAATGATGGTGAAATATCGGACATGGAATTCCGTAAGGTGCGTCCAATACTTTATCAAATGTAATATACTTTCTCTAATTCAGAACAATTATATCCACCATCGAAACGTTGATTGTATCAACGTTTGTTGATTGTATCAACGATGATTGTATCAACTATTGTATCAAGTATCAACTACCTCAGTTGCTATAGTACTAATGGATCAGTAGAAGATCTCTCTAAATAAGAACTGCAATTAGAACTTGTATTGCTTCCATTACTAACATAGTTTAATAAGTTTTCTCCTGTATCATTATTACGTGAAGGATGAACAAGACCATCACAAAAACCTAGAGTATAAATTATTGCTGAAGTATTTGAAGTAGACATGCATGGGATATTTAGTTCAGTAAACCTGTACAGATTACCTCCAGCGAGATCAGTTTAAAACTCTAGTTCTAGTAAGAGTTATATACAGTATGTAGTTGCAGTTGATGTATTTGCTGTATAGCTTATATATTTCTCTTTCAAGGTTCTGGAATCCCTTGGGCTGGCAATATCAGATCGTGAATTTGAAGTTCTTTGCACACAGTAGGTTTAGCTTGAAGTTCAGTATTCGTATGATATAATAAAGAACGAGAAATATATTTGTCAATTATCTATTCTTTCATTTTTCTTTATAGTGTCGGGTTTTTGAATGGCACCTTATTGTACAATAAATTCATTAAACATTTCCAAGGAGCGAGATCTGAAAATAACCGTTCAGACACACGAAGGTACTTTGTTACTCCATTGATACGTTCATCTATTCCTCCACTGTAATTCACATGTTTTATCAATTTTCCTTCAAACTATACCTTGTCCCTCGAGAAGACTTGGTGTGGACCATGCTTCGCTTCAACATACTGAATGTTACATTCATTTCCATTGTGCCCCAAACTCGGTAGCTAAGACCCGAAAAATACTTCTATTAAGTGCATTCCAACTGTATATTCTATTTTTATAGTACCTTTATTTAATAAGTTATCTAGTTAACTTCCTCACAGTCTCCCGTTAAATTTGTTTTGTAGGTTCGAAGTAAAGGAAGTAAATATATCAGATGTTCTCTTTTCTGCTGAGGAAGCAGAGGCCAGAATTAAATCAAAATTACAGCAAAATTTCTCTGTAAGTCTCTCGAGAAAGATTTTATTCGAGGAACCACAAACAATATTTCTGCCTTATTGGGAGTGTGGTAATACAGTACGACACCCACAATTCGTTGCTGGATCTCCAATTTACTATGAACCGTTATGAACCGTTATGAAATTGCATGTCCATCCATGTAGGGCCTGCGTGAAGCGTTCTACAAATTTGACGACAACCACGATGGTCAGGTCACCAGAGGAGAATTTCGTCGTGTTTTGAAACTATTTATGATCACCATGACGGATTCAGAGTTCGACAGACTCCTGAATAAAATCCAGTTTGGCCCTGACGAGACTCTGAACTATCGCGACTTCTTGAAGAGATTTGAAAAAGCTGAGAAAGTCGAAAGTCATGGTTGGCTTATGGGGAAACGCGAGTAAGATTTACTGTTGATTGTTAATAGCTTGTTCTTGCTGGCTTTTTAGTATGTTTTGTTACTATTTCTGGTTGACGCGAAGTTGACCCGAGTATTGTCAACCTCTTGATGATAAGGAAACAGATGTAGAGATTAGTAGCTCATAGGTCTAGGAATCAAGTCAAGTTGGAACTGCACTCCTATTTTGCCTATTTTCTTATACCACCTTTTCTCTAACGTTAATTTAGGGCAAAATCGGCGAGTGACGTGGGCCATGTTACAGCAGAACAAGCAGATGAAATCATAAAGACGAAGGCAACACAGCAATGGGAAGATCTTTCCAGAGCATTTCGAAATTTTGACGAGGATGGAAACGGAATTGTGACTAAGGCAGAGTTAAAGAATATTTTATATCGCTATCAACTTTCCTTAACTCAACAGGAATTTGATAAACTGTGGAACAGGTAATCACACCTTCCTTTTTTACAACACCCCCGATCCTTTATGAATAACTTTCAATTCGACGTTGTTTAGATGTTTGAAGATGATTAACCACGATATGTTTGTTGATGTAGGTACGACACTGACCGCAATGGATACGTGGACTACAAAGAATTTATTGCAAAACTTGGAGTGGAGTTCGCATCTGGAGATACAGACGGCCACAGCAGAAGGATCATTGATGAGAGTTATGATACGATCATGCCTGAGTTTAAAAACAAGGTATAAATAAACTCAAACAAATCTACATTAGTTACGTTTATTTGTATTGGATAAGTCTATCATGAATTCAGAAACATTTCCTGCTCATCTTACGTTATCCATTCGATCAAATAGCTTATCTATAATTTTATCTGATAGCTTTGCTGTAGTAGTTGCAAATCGTTCTCTTCTGAAGAACATGCATCCATTGTTGATTTATTGCTATTGCAATCGGAAACTTACGTTTAATTATATTCCACTATTCGAAACTGTTCCCCTCAACAGCTAGTATGTAAGCCAAAGTGCCCATGATACTGCAGGATGAAACTGAAATTTTTGGGGAATTTCTTCCGTGTTGGCAGGGTGAAACTTGAAGATGTCTTCTTGCAACGACTGCGAGAAATAACTGACAACTGCATGTTTTAGGAATTTAGCAAATTGAGAAAACACTTATCGACTTCCCAGATACGATAAAACAAATAAAAAAATATTTAATTTTTAGTACAAAGAGAATGAACGAAGATCGAAAGAGGTTGTTGAAGATAACCAGGTAGCCCGTGAATCACACAGGCCGTTGACAACAGACGTCGATAAAAAACTGAAGGAAATCGTTTTATCAAGATTTTATAAGTTTGTCAAGGTACGTAAAGCTCTGCTCTAAATATTTCATCAGTGTTTTACTTTGCAAATAGAAATAGATAGAAGAAGTACATCTACCTCATACCCCAATGAACAATGGTCGAAATATAATTTCACAAAGGCGGCTTTTTTACCTTTCTTTTATTCGATCTTTTCGAGACTGAAAGCCAGTCAGTTGCCTTCATAAACGTATGAATAGAAATATACGTCAATATAGTCAGTATTAATAGCTCGGTTTTAGAACAAATGATTTCTGGAAGATTGTTTATACGAATTGATCAATCCCACGACCCGAGTTGACTCGATTCTTTTTGCAACTGCCTCGCGTACGAGAGTAGAGTAGAGTAAAGTAAAGTAAAGCTGAAATGAATAGTGGCAAACCTTCTATAAAGCATTTTGTTGTTGGCAAAATCCCCTTGCTTGTTACCTATGGCTCTTTTGAAGTACAAACAATCTTCTTCAAATGTCCTCTAGGCTCTGGTGGAGGCGGACACAAAGCATGATGGCAGCGTCACGCGAACAGTTCTTCACAAAATAATCAACGCAAATGGTTTACAACTGAGTAACCATCAAATGAATCAAGTGTGGAACACGTTTGGTTTGAATGAGAACGGGACAATACAATACAAAGATTTCTTGTCGATTTATACCACTACTAACAATTCGCCACAAAGAGGTTCCACCAAATCTTCAAACGTCAAAACGCCGCAAAAGGTGCGTGATATGATAAGTAATCAAGTAAAAGTCAGTTCTACATTGTGCATTGTTTGATGCAACTTGTTTCGCCACGGTTCTGGCGTTTGCAAGAAAGAAATGTTAAACCATGCAATGATTCAGGCAACTTGTTTCACCATGCACGGTTCTGGCTGTTGCAAGACATCTTAAACTGTGCAATGATTCATGCAAGTAACCGTATAACAGGGCCTTTAGTAAATGCTTTAAAATACCTGCTTTAAAGCGCTCCGTATATATAAACTGGGTTACTATCCATCTCTTATAATAGTTTCATACGAGAGTTCGCAGTGCTCCTCTGTCAAAACCTTCAACCCCGTACGGGGCATTTAGCTCTTCTGGAAAAAGAAACCTATCCGTTAGAAGATCGACACCGGCAGCTCGACCCAAGTCTGCAATCAAAATCCTCACTCCTCCTGGATATGCAAAAGAGATAGAGAAACGCATCAAAGATAAGGTTAGTGGTTACTTTGTCACATTCATTATTCATACCTGATTGTTAGAACAACAGGTCTAGTTCAGTGATCGTCATACTTCCATATATAATTATACAGGTCTGTGATAAATGGCGAGATTTGGAAACAAACTTCATGGAGTATGATGTTATGAATTCAGGAGTTGTCTCATTCCAAGCATTCAAAGGTATGAAAGATATTTCACTATTCTTGATTTCAGTAAGCCTATATTGCTTTCTTGGAATTCGAAAAATAATATCCTTTTTGAAACGCTGTTATCATATAATTGCCAGTATATATTCGAAAGCTTCTTTCTAGTTGGTTAATTTATAACGGTGTTGCCTATTCGTTAATTTATTTGCCATGGAACAATGATCTTCTAGCATACTTTGAGGCACCCAATTCATTTATCTAAGTTAGTATCGGCATATTGAGTACAGAAACGCGATAATCTGGCAACATGGGACTTTCCAACAATCCCACTATGGCATACAGAAAGGAAAGCATTTTTGAACCAACTTGGCTATCCCATCATCTTAATCTTTTGATATATAATCACATTTTCCAGTTAATCACTCTGACATGAACAATGCCATTGTTTTAGACGTATTGTTTGATTGCAACGTACCCCTTACCCCGGACGAAATTCGTGTTCTTGGAAGAAAATACGAAGTTGGTAATACAGGAAGGTAAAATCATATATTCCCGCGCGAGTCGATGACTTTTCTTGCAAGGAACCGAAAAACAATTTATACCATTATTTTTGTTCTGTTCAGTCTTGGACAAACTGTTTCTACATTTAGCTTTCCATCAGTCTTTCTATTAAAGTGTTTATATTGCTGTAAATAAGTCAAATTTACCTGTCGTCAAAGTTGATTGTTCCGTTTCTGAAATATATACCTGTGACCAATTCCTCCCCCCGGCATGTATTTGTAGCTCACCTTCGTCGATCGCATTAACGTATCCTGTCTTATACCTTAGCATTTCTTACATGGGATTTTTACGAAGTTTCTTGGAAGATCAAGTTCGTGAACCTATCGATAAGACTCTTTCGCGTTCAAAACTGCAACCAACTAGGATCCTGGTGAGATTCGTTTAACTAATAATTACTTTGTTGATTCATAAGTGACATGCTATGATTGTATAAATCTACGTCTCCTAAATTAACTTCTACTATTTTACACCTCAGTATAGTCCTGGTAAAACAAATGATCAACTATTGGCTCTCATTGCAAGATTACGTCATCAAATACGTCATGACTGGAAAAGCCTGCGCAGATCATTCAAGGTACATTATGATAACACCGCGGAAAAACGTCTGCGCACGCGTCAACTCTGCCTGTAAGTGAGATTAAAAATAATTAAAAAGCGGTTCCGAACGTTTCCGAAGGCTAAAAATGGCGGTAAAAAGGAGTGATCTCATTCGTGTCTTCAAATCCATATTTCGAGGGCATAAATAAACACTGCATTATAGAAACTAAGAGAAAAAACGTCCAGAAAGTCCTAGAAGTGGCATCCTACAAAAACACCTGTAAAAGGTGACTGTTGACAAATTTTTCGTCTCAAACATTTTGTTTATCAAATAAGCAACGACAGTTTCCGAACTTTTAATTGAGACACGTTTTATTAAAAAAAAATATGTCGCCAGATACGAGACGTTTGCGTGTTCTCAATGATTGAAAATTAAGATGTATTTTACAATTTAAATATATTAAAAAGCTTAACTTTCCGCGGGTTTTCTTAACTTTTAGGTTCAAACTTTTGTTTTCGAAAAATATTCTGAAGCCACTCCGTAAAAAAAGGAAAATTTACCGTGAATTCCAGTTCGTTCGATACTCTAAATGCTAGAAGGCTTTTAATTTATGTTCTGTCTGGCCGTCTTGTATATTTTTGCCTTTTCTTAACTTATATTTTATCAAATAATGGGCATGTTTTGTTCAAAAAGTTGATATTTAGATTTACCATAATATTTTGATATTTCGGCGCGTGCGCAGACATTTTTCCGCGGTGTTCATTATGATATGACTAAAATTAGTGTTACCACGATCACTACTATACAGCATCTCTATCACAATATCACCATCACTACTATACTATAAGGGCCGTCGCTAGAAGGCTGAGTAGAAGCTTATTTGGGAGGGGGGTGTATATAATTCATGCTCAAAAAGCGTAGAAACATTCGCTATCAAAAGAAATCAGTCGGGCAAAAAACGAATTTTTTAATATACCACCGCCCTCCTTAATTCATTAACATTATCATTACCTACATACATTATCACGATCAATACTGCATTATCACCATCACTACTACATTATCACCATCACTACTATAGCATCATCATCATTACATCATCACCATTACAAAATTACTAAGTGAACCATGACAATTGCTACCAAGTCATCGTTATTACCACTAAATAACATAACCATCACTACCACAAACAACATCATCATCGTCCTTACTGCATCACATCATTATCTCTATCTGCGTCCTGTGAAGGGAACCCTTACTATTGGTTTTTTCCAATACGTATTCATCTTTTTCAGGCATTAGACCAACAAGCCAATGGAACGTGTAGTACACTGGCGTTCAGACATATCTTGAGAAAATACAATATTGAGCTAACAGAAGAGGAGTTCTACCACCTGACAACATATTATGACAAGAATGTCAACGGTAGGATACCTTACAATGAATTCATCGGAGCACATCTTGATTAATAGGTTCCGCGCATACGGCATATCTTCATTTATTTGTGTACATATCCATCGCAAAGCGTAGTGTCTAGCTAGTCCTTTGGACAATTTTGACATTCACAACATATCTAACTTAGCCAAATGCACCCTATTTCGGGGCCCTCACACAATTTGTTGATGGTGGCACCATTAGGTCCGTGGATACATTGCTACAACTCTGTTGCATGCATTCGTATTTGTACGTTCATTGTATGCATAACAATTGTAGTAAAACAATCATTAAGAGCAGGCACAACCTGAGTTAAAGCACTGTATATACAAAATATATATCTTTATTTTTAACTACACATACATCAAAATATAACCAACACATTATACATTGAGATTTATATATATAGTAATTGTCTTCTCTTAAAAAACCTATTTATTATTTTTATACTTTTGAAATAAAGCATATAGAATTCTTAATGTTGACTTCAGATCCTTCGAAACAATGTCTGAAAACAAACAATAAAACAAATAAATATGTTTTGCATATTTTAAGAAGTATATGTTTAGGTTGATTTAGAAAATTCATCCAGTTTACAGCAGGTATAAGTTTATTACACAGGAGGATTAATGTACCTTCAGCAGTACATCTTGGATATGGAACAGATGATTCATCCATCAGTTCAAAGGCAAAAGACACATTTTTAACCTAGAGAAATGTGAAATACAGGTTTCATTTGATAGGACAGAAGGAAAATTTCAAACTTCAAATATTTTAAAAAAAAAGATTGACGAACTTTCTGTTCAAATCCTGATGGAGTGACTTTAAATTTGTACAGAGGGACAAAATATCCTTCAAGTAATCCAATGAGGAAGATCAGATGAACACCATCGTGAAACTAGAACAGATAAGAGAACTACAGTTACCACTACTTCAACTAACTAAACTTGTTTTAAAAAGGGGGGGGTAGTATCACCTGCATAAGCACAACAACATACCTGTGTATCAATATCATTGACTTCTAGATTGAGTTTTGTAAGATGGCGATTGACAAAATTTTGTAAGGACTAGATGAAGAACAGAGCATACAACATAGTAAGGTGAGAAATATTTATCATATTTGAATGATCTTACAAGGTACCTTTTTCACTACGTTTAATTTTTCTGGAGCATTTTCAAACAATGCATCAAATGCATCTCGCTCTGAAATGAAAAATAACAATGAATTTGATTTGGATTGTCTAGGTAGTTTTTCAATAAAAAATGAATATTTGAGTTAATGAATGAAATCACACACCTCTTCGACGTTGTTTTTCCAATCTATATGGAAAAAGGAAATGGGTTGAAGTTAGACAGAAGTTACTGGTAAAAAAGATCTATTTGATAATGCATAGCCCTGGGAAAGTTGGGAGGTATGTATAGTAAAATGTGAAATCTAAAAGTATCAAATCTTAACACTAACTCAGCTTCTTCCGTATCCTTTGTAATTTGGATCTTTATCCTTCGACTGTTTAGCAAACCCTCTTGTTTCTAAAACATATTTTCATGTGAACCACTAGTGCATTAATTAAAACATCTAATTTTAGTACAATTGCCAATAATTAGCCTGCCAACCTGCACAACGACAACTTTCATATATACTCCGGGGGTGATTGGATCATTGGGTGAAAAATGTTCTTTTAATGCAACCAACAAGTGAAGGATTGATACAATGTCCTTATTATGGATCTCTATAAAGAAGTAATTCAGCACAAATTGGGTTAGTTTTAGCTTTTTACATTGGCTTATTAAATAAGCTTTATACTTGTTGCTGTCCATTTGGCATCACTTTTTTCAATTCTTAGTAGCTGTTCCACTTTGTTTAAAATTATCTCCAGTTTTTCAATCTACAAAAAAATAAAACTATACTTGCACAAACAGCGTACTTGCAGTCCTTAGCTATTAATAGCCAACCTGCACTACAAGTATCCCTATAACCTAACATTTATTATGTTAAAGATGGATAGAAATAGAATATACACAACTTTTGCATGTATATTGTAATTATTTTTACCATTTTATCAATGGTTTTTAAAGATTACCTGTCCCCCTACAGACTGAGTCACCTCTGAGAACTCAAACTTTATTTTTGCCAATTTTTCTATAAAAACAATACTATAATCAAAACAAGTTGCACATAAACAAATTTGAGAATACAGTTCCTTTCTTAAAGTAAGAAATTACCCATTAGTATGGAAAGTATTTGTCCATCATATAAATCCTCATCAATTTCTCGAACAACAATTCTTTTCTCAGCCAATTCACTGTTAATCCATTCAAGTAAGTTCTGCAAAGTTTAAATACAAAATAATAAATATAGTATGAAAGATAGTGGGTAGTTGAAATAGAATATAGAACAGCGGAAACCATCATCACCTATTCTTAGCATGACAATAAATTATGGCACTCACATTCTTCAACTCATGAACTTTTGGATCTTCTAAAGAGGCCGGTTCAACCATGGACCTTTCTTCTGTCTCCTCTAAAACCATACATCACAACAACGTTTGATCAGTATTATCATTGTTACATATAACAATTGAATGTAACAATGTAACACTCCTCTCTATGCTAGTTTCTTGTTAACCTCTTTGTTGGGCAAGCAACACTGATCATTCTCAAAGCACTGAAATGGATACATTTTGAAATGACGTATTGAAGCTGTAATATAATTTGGTTACCTAGTTTAAAGCTGTTGGGTACAATAACTGCAGGCGACAAGGGTGTGTCAATTGCATTCTTTCCTTCAGTTTCCAATGCATTCACTACAAAATAAAGAATTGTTATCTAATGATCATGTATGTTGGAATAAGAGCCAATAGATACTTCTTGAATACCATTTTTCAGGTTATGGTGTTCTAGTTTCATTTATCTGCATGTGACTATGCCCTTAAATCTTCTAATTGACTTAAAAATTGCGTATTTAAGTCTTCTAATTATTTATTGAACACATAAACAAAATACCAAACTATATAATGTAATATATATGATAAAACTTCGTAAAAGAACGAAGAGATATGTGAGTAATGAGAGACGTAGTTAAACAATCGAATATTGGACCACATATGAACGCTTTGACAAGAATCGTCTATAACAAAGGTGTTTGAATATGGCTCTATTATGATTATTATACAACTGCGGGAAATCGATTCTTTACTATGGCAAAAACCATAAAAATCTATGGTTGGTTTTAATCAAAATTCTAAATGAATGATTAAGTATATACGACAGTACTTAGTTACGTTTTGCTGCGCTTAGCAGGATTAATGTTAATGTCGATATTATGAACAGGATTTTTGACATGTTATGGTATATAAATAGTCGGGCAGACGAGCACTCGAGTCGCAGTAGCGGGATTATGGGAAACAGAGAAATACCCCCAAATACCTTCATCTGTTTTCTTTCGGCGGGTTAAGGTACCCATCCAACCCTTAACACCCTCTTTTTTCGATGCATCTCGCTTTAGAGAGTCGTTTGGACTTGACGTGCCAGGTTTCGGACTCGGTAAAGGAGGGCTCGCAGCCATGGTCTATTTGTGTTGTTTAGGTTTTCAAAAGAGGAGGATTAATATAATTTATGCTATTTTCAAATACCGAAGCTTCCGAGGATGGTCCGGAATTTTCCGTTCGCTGATCTGATAAATAACACTGGATGATTGTATTTCATCATCGAAATATTTATCGAAAATTTTTCGCCGAGCATTCCAGAAAAAGCGCGAAAACAAATTCAAAAATGGCCGCGGTAACTATGAGCGTAAACAAAATCCTAAATGCAGTATAAAATGCACCTAAAGTTTGTTTAAAGTTTTATTTTGGGTTAAAAATGCCTCCCCTGGATTGGGGGAGGATTATGTCAGTTGATTTACGTAGTTTACAGGATAATGAACAAGAATCTGAGGAGATATACAATGTTATTTCCAGGGTACGTTTTTGTTACTGAAAAATCGTTGGGCTTTTGCATGATAGCTTGGCATTTTTTCCCTACATCATGAAATGCATTTGCACAATTCGGAAATGTTATATAGTTCTTGCACATGTGTTCATATAGAGAGTAGGGACATGTTCATTGATTAAGATTCTCCCATTAATATTACCAGGGTCCATTCAAAGTTTCAAACTCGACGCTGAAAAGACGCTATAAACACGAAAATCATATTTAGTACTTAAGTCTATGTGCAGTTCACTGGTACATTACATAACAATATGAAACCTACAGTCTTCGTAGATTTGGCAAGACAATGATGTGTACATGGAATAACATGGCAATTAACACCTGAATGAAATTCAACTAAAAAAATTAAAAACACAAGCGACTTTCTGTTTTTGCATAGCTGCCATTATGAAAACAAAAGAAGCATGCTTTATTTAAATACTACTACTGGGATTTAGTAAACCTGTGGATTTACCACCCCAATGCAAATGCAATAGTGTAACTTGACATCTTTTAGTAGGATGGCAGCTTTGGTGTCATTTCCATACTATCAGTGCTCCTGTAAATTGCTTTATTGTATTCTCAAAAGAAAATTCACATTCTGCCTGCTCAAATTGGCTGTAAATGATGTTATTGATGTAATATATTTACAGTCAAACAGCAAATTGTTGAACAGAAAAAATAATGGCAATCTTGACAAATGGCCATGTTTGGGATACAGTTTTTTAGTTTCTTTTGGTTCAGGCTGGTGCTTATCAAAATTTGGTTAAAACAAGTTTTATATTCTGCTTTACTAGGGTAATTTAGATGCTGAGGCTGTCCAGGACAGTGCAAAGATGGAGAAATTGTTTTTGTTGTCTCAAATGATTATAAGAATAAAGGCAACTGAAGCAGCAATAACAAGTGAGGAGATTGAACGCATAACAGACAGACATAATGGTGAGCAACCTTGCAAGCATAGGTTTTGGGATATAACATACTACCCTGATATTTCCAAAGTTTGGAATGCATATATTTTTGATAATGCATTGTCTGTCATATATAACTATGAAGACAGAATTTAGTGCAAATTAAAACAAATAAAAAGATAACGTTGATAAATGGACAGTGGTGTAGGTAGTAATCTGGACAGTTTAGACTGTTTTCACACACAAAGAGCTCAAAAATATTAGTGCATAGCAGGACAGAGTCCCAGACTGTTTTTAAAAGCTGCTGAAAGTAGAATCTCTAATAACATTAAATGGCATAGGTTCATAGCAAAATAGCAATTTGAGACCCTTAATTTTGTGCCTACAAGCATTTTTTTCAAGCCCAAACAGTGATGAGACACAAACATGGCTGATTCCACTTGTTTTATAATGTTCATCACCCAGATGAGTTTTTTAAAATCAAGTTTTTTTTAAGGTTTGACAGCGCAATCCATAAAGCAATAAAACTACACTTTAAGAATAGTTACAAGATTTACTCAGGTTCATTCCAAACCACCACTAAAAAAATACATAACTTAACAAAAAATCACTGTTCGGTTACACTGAATTCCTGACACTTTTGTGGCACAGATTAGGAGGAGTCCTAACACACCATTACATATAGCTTGAAGGCCTCAAGCCTCAATGCCTATGATTCAAAGACAGCAAACACGAGGATGAACTTTCTGTATATTAAAAGTATCATGCCCAGTCTGTAATGTAACACTTTGTCCTGCATATTCTGAACAGCTGCATTTTTTAAAATATTTATATCCTAACACAATTTTGGTTCTACTATGGTTCGAAATTAATGTGAACTAAAGTTCTTGTTCGGAATATTGGAAAAAATTTTGCTTTCAGATCAAGTAGAACGCCTAGAGTCGGAGATCCGGCAGTTTCGCAAACATTCCGGTGGCAGTGAACAATCCTTCATGAGGGAGATCCAGATACTCGAGGAACGCAATCGAGATCTTGAGAAGGCCGTTGGAAACAGCGAGAAACAGCTTGTGGAAGAAAGAAGAAATCACGATCAACTTTCTGGGAAATATGAACAAGTGGAAAGACAGAATAAGGAGTTGAAAAGAGAGGTATGCGTTTTATTGGGCAGTTCACCATCGAGGCTACCTTCTGTGGTGATATATATACATCAGCAAGTTACGAACCTCAAGGATGGGACTATTAAGAGATGATCTTATTATTAGTTCAGAACTAGCTATGATGTTATAATGCTACCCATTTTAAGTTTATTTAACACTCCTTCGGCAAGAATCGAACCTATTCCTCTATTTCAGTGATTTCAAAGCAGTGTTCGACTTATCATTCAGCTTCGGATAATCTTCAATAAAGTTAGGTTACGTTATTAGCATGTAAGGGGTGTTTTAATAATATAGAATGTTTAGGGGCTTATAATGTATTATTTTTCACACACTCTCTATACGTGTAAGTAAATTCTGCTTCTCTCTAATCATTGAAGGTTGAGAGATGTAAGACGGACATCAATGATTACCATCGTCAAATAGAGCAACACCGTGACAGTCTGATGACACAACATGGAGGGGATACTGAACTACGATCTAAATTGTCAGAAAAGAACAAAGACCTCAATAGATATCTGGATGAAATAAGGGTAAAATGAATGCTAGTATATAAAGCAACGACAACACCTCCGCACACTTTCTCACAAACACTTCTTGTACGAACAACCGCCAAAGCACGCAGCGACAAATCTTTCGCATTCATAGTTCATACAGCCACCTCTTCACTCGCCTCCGCTCAAATGCACCTACACGTTTATCATCAGTGACAACTTACAAAAATAACGGTCTCAACATTTTTAACCTAACATTAACGGCGTCGCTCCTGGACCAAAATGAGTTTGACTTTGAATTGTAATAAAAATTCTCGATAAATCCCTAGATATTAAAGGACTTTAAGTAGATGTAATGGAAATTTGCAGCATATTTATCCGGCCACTGAAAACGGAAGGATCTGAAAACGTTCTCCAGAGTTGATGTAAAACAATGAAGTTTGTACTTTGGAATCAAATAACTTTTCGTTTTCGTTTTTGTGTTTACTTCTGGACGCGGATAAATATTTTAACGGAGAAATATTTTTGCGTTTTCAAATTCTTCCGGCATCGTGTGGACGGGATCTAAATAATGTTGCGGTATATTACATGTATTTAATATTGAGGAAATGCAGTTTATTCTCTCTTGCAGTCTTTGTCAGATGCCAACAGTGAACTGGAGGATAAATTAAAAGAAGTCCGTACCGACCTGCAAGACTCCGCCATGGAGATGGACAGAATGACGGAAGAGTACACAAAGTTAAAGTCGGTCTTACAGCAGACTGATGCAATTGTTGAAGAAATGAGAAAGGAACGAGATGTGCTCAGAGCTCAGGTAGGTATCGATCAACTTTCATTGATTTTACCAATCACACTGCCGGATTTCTGTTTTCGCTTTGTGTCTGTTGCGCCAGCAGACTTGCTTACTGGACTAATGTAGGGGGGAGGTCCGGGGGGTGATGAATTATAATAATGTGGAACAACGATTCAGAACCAGATTTTTGATTGAAAAATTTGAGCAACGTAAACGTAAAAGAGTTCAACACATGCCTTGGGTTAAATAAAACAGATCTAATATTTCATATATTTGATAAACATCTTTCATCTAACATGATTTAAAAATTTATAGAATAGCTGAGAGTGTGTGCCATATTCCATTTTTTATTTAAAAAATTTAAAATATCAGGTCATATCTTATCAGGGCACCAATGTCGATTAATTTTAATTAGACTGCAGTCTTTGTGTAATAAAAAACTGTAATTTCAGGTGCAAGATCTGAGAGATCAAGTTGCGTCCAAAACAGACAATGATGATCAGATTTTATCTGCTGTGAATGTCAAAGTCGAGGAATGGAAGGTATATATCTCTTCTATTGAGTGGCACCCGTGAAAAAAAGAGGGCAGTGGGGAAATAGGTGGGGTGTATTGCATTTCAAAAATTTTCCGCAAAGGCGAGCTCTCAAGCGTGTACATTTTCTGGTGCTATTTGGTCGAATTTTGGAATTGGAACTACATAATTCAATATATATAGAATAATGTAAATATCCGGTCTATGATTACATAAGTAAATTGAAGGCATAGCACAAAGCCATGTATTTGTCTACAGTAGGTGGTTTGCAATTGCCCCCATCTTGGTTGATTTTTCAAAACATGTGTGTCGTCGTTGCTGTATTTTAATACCCGCCCAATAATACGACAGAGATGATAAGCAGTTACAAAATAAACAAGGAAAAAGTAAATCGCAGTTTGTTCTCTTGAAAATCAGAAGTAAACTTTGTAGAGTCAACCAAGATGGCGCCGAATAACTGATTATGACGTCATATGCAAAGCAAGAATTATTCAACAATGCTGCAGACGAACTTGAAGTTTTTATTCAGTAATATTTACCGGGCCTGAGAAAGCCAATCTGTTGTAAAAAACACATTTTTTAGCAAGCGTAAACAAACGGCTAGACAATTGTACGGAAATTTCAATAAAACGTTGTTTCATGCAAGATAAGATTGAACAAAATTATGCACAAGTTTTATATTTTTACCTCGAAATAATTTTAGGCTGAATATGTAGTGTCGCTTTTCTCGCTCGTACGCGTTTTAATTCTTTGAAATTACTTATTTCTCCATCTGACAAAACGACCGTTTTTGAAGAAAACCGCTCAGGTGCTTATCGCGTGATAACCCGAGATCGCTTCACCAATCTGACAACCATTTTCAAAAATGACCTTTGATGTTATGCTAAGAATAACATTATATTCAATTGTGATTTGTGACGTGTAAAGTATTGACTTGATACTTTACTTGAAGATGAATTTCTTCTATATAAACTGGCCTTTAGTGAAATGTGCGTACGTTATACTTCATCTAGATGGTGATCGCGAGTAAGGATGAAGAAATCGCCAGCCATCGGCAAGAAATCGAGAAACTCCGGAAACAGGCCGCGGTCTCGCAGATAGACGCAGATAAACAGACCATCGTGACGCTACGACGTGAGTTGGAGGAAAAGAACGAGCAAGTGGAATCCCTTGAGAAACAGTTGCAGGGTGTCTCAAATGAAATGAAACAAATCACAGAACAGATTGAAGATATCAAGCACCAGGCTGATAAAGGTGAGCTCGTCTTCTCATACGGAGCAGGATCGTTTAATTTGGTAATATTTTTTTAGAGACCGCATATATAGGAGGGCCGATGGTCATGAGGCCAGGCGTGGAAGGTTTTATAGTTAATCTAGGGTACATCAATCCTGAGTAAACACTTGCACGACGAGGGTTCATCATGACCTTTATTTTCTCGATGTTATTGGGGTTTTTTTCGACTACTCGCAGGTCTCCCCTCAGCATTTCAACAGAAACAGATCAACGAACTTCACTCGACGTTAAATCGCGAGAAGATGACGGCGGTTGTCGAGCGTAATAGAGTCAGGATGGCCGAGACAGCTGTTGCCGAGAAAGACAAGGAGGTCAATGAACTGGTGACGAAATTAATGCAATATGAACGAGGTTTGTATGTTTACTTTGCTCCAGAAAAATCAAGTTTGACATGGGTTTGCAAAACACGGCAAACATCGCAATCGCCAATCACGATCGGCCCGCATAGATATTTTTCCGAGATCCGAGAAGAGTAAAATGCATTTTGAACTTCATCACATTATTACACAGCCACCTTGGACAAACTATTTGCAAATGTGAAATTGTTCGATACCCAGTGGAATTACATTGTTTCGTGAAAACAATACATTTGAATGCATAAAAATCATACTATTTAGAAAATTTCGAAGAAAAAATTGTAATTTTCGTCATTTTTTCGAAATTTCAAAATTCGGTTCGCATAACCAACTAATTATTTCTAAACATTTATTATCAATGTGACATTTCATAGGCGAGTATGGCCTGTCTCAAGCGGTGCAGGAGATCAAAGATCTGAAAGCCAATCTCAGAATGAGAGATGAGAAGATCGAGGGACTTACTTCACAAGTTAATCAGCTTGGTATCGCGGTCAACGATACTGAGACTGAGAACGAGGAGCTGCGTGAAAGATTGGGACTGGATCCCAAAGAACCGCTTGATACCGCGGCAATCAAGGAAAAGAAATTGATCAAAAATCAACAACAAGCAGCTTTGAATCGCGTGTTAAGTAAAGAGGTGAGTACTCTAGATCTCGCCCTGTCTGCCCTTTGCCGATCTTTTTTTGAAGGGGGGGGGGGTGGCACCAAGGAGAAAATGATGGTGCTGGGTTAAAAAACTCATTGCTGGATAACACACTATTTAAAGAATATAGGATCAACAGGTCATAACGTCAAAGGAAGACTGTTTAGGATGAGTTTAGAATTAATTTGAAGGGGGGGGGGGGTGGCACCAAGGAGAAAATGATGGTGCTGGGTTAAAAAACTCATTGCTGGATAACACACTATTTAAAGAATATAGGATCAACAGGTCATAACGTCAAAGGAAGACTGTTTAGGATGAGTTTAGAATTATCCATTTTAAAATCACTGTATATCTACTTTCGTGTGCGTAGGTCGAACGCCTGGAGGAAGAGAGATTGGAACTGAAGAGAAAGCTGAGAAAGCAAGCATTACACCGTGGTCAGCGGGCTGTTGAGCTTGGATTGACAGTAGAAGACCTCGCTGTGGCTGAGCTCAGCGATGAAGGGGAACGGAGCGAACTTCGTCTAACTAAGATTGCTTCCGAGCCAGGTAGATATGTTTCCTCGCTGTTTTGTCAAATCACATTGAAATCTCATTTTAGAATATCAAGAGCATATATATTACTTTATTATATGGCTTTTCAAAATCCTCTATTTTGAATCGTTGACGAGCGGTCCGTAAAAACCCACATCCGGACCGTGGTCCGTATATTCTGTATATGGACAAGTATCCTGGATGTCTTAGGCTGTTCAGCCATATAATAAACCGATTATTAACCTCGCTTGTTCGCACTGTACTGTGAAACCTCGCTCCTTTGTCGCTCGGTCCATACTAGAAAAGCCTTGGTCTGATATTTCACAGTAGAGACCTCACGGTCGGTCAATAATAAGTTATTATTCGTAAGTATTGTGAGGCAGTTACTAAAACTCACATTTAAAAAAAAATACGAGAAAAGTCTACGTTCTAATGTTGTAATAGTGCTACTCAGTCGGGCAAGCTGAACTAGCTTGATCACGTAGGGAACACCTGAGTCATACGCACTATCGTTAGTCCACGTTCTCTTTGCAAGTTCTGACTTTGAATTGTTTTTGCTTTAGCTCTGTCATCGTCGAAAGCTGACCAACTGCACGCAAACAACAAGCGACTCAAGAGTGAAGTGGAAAAACATGAACTCGAATCAAACAACGTAAAAACACAACTTAAGAAACTAAAGTCGGAAAATAAAGATTTGAAAGATGAAAATCACCAACTGGAAGTTGGCTTGCGAGAAGTGCTCGGACAATTACGAGAGAACCCGATGTTACAATCAGAAGTTGGCGAGGTTTGTTTAGTAGTTTTGGTTTGAAGGGCTGGTCTAAACACTTTTTTCGGAAAACTGTTCACCACGGCAACATGCCCTTATTTTTTTGTTTCTGATAAACTTACATAAAACCTCTACACGAAATTTATCCGCACACTGTCGTGTGTTACTGTTGCAGAATTCTACTTATTAAAGCTTTAATATCCTAAAGAATGTTGTAATTGCTGTATAGCTATATCCTGTGTACTTTTTATGTATATCCTTGTTTACTATTTTTTGCGCACAAGCAGAAAATAGTCTTTGAATTCTCTAGTACAGGTCTGAAAGTCCTAAATAAGGTTACCTACAGCAGTCTCGTGTTATCAAATGACAAATGATCCGACCATTGATTCATAATTTTGTCCTCCCAGGTTTATCTCCGTGTACCTGCTCTCGAGAAACTCATTGCGATGTTCGAGTGCCGAAGTGCTACGGGCCAGTACGATGTTCACGTCGAACTGCGAGCGAGTATCGAGCAGCTGGTCGGGCGAAACGAGGAATTACGACATGAGTTACAGAGAGCACGCGACGAGAGCACAAACTTTGCGGTACTTGTGGATAAAAAGGAGACCAAGGTATCTCTTGGAGATATATATTGCTATGCATTAAATGTTATTATACGACTTCCCTTCCTAAGCGTTCGTTATGCGATTTTTTATAACTGCATTGCAAAATCTGACTAATACTTAAATTATGTGAGAAAGCTAGCGTTAATGCCCGGCCACTGAGCCCCAACTCGTTAGAGAATTTTAATAAGGAGTGCTAAGCTCCCCGATCCCCTACCTAATACACCTCTCACTGAAGGCTTGGGATTTGATCACTTTTCTGTCAGATGTTTATTTCAGGAATACAGAATGTAGTTAAAGTGCTGATAATTATTTTCTTGGTTTAACAGATCCGTGAGTTAGAGGTGGAGATCTCAAGTTTACGGGAAGCTGGTGAAGGTGTGATCAAGATTCAACCTTTAGTGCTTCCTGAAGGAATGTCACCATCGTCTACTGAAGTTATCAGTTGTTTGAATGAATACCTCACTCAAGCAATACAAGTAAACCTTATTATTGTGTTGTTATGAACTCTATGTATAGGCCGGGGACCTCATGTTGGTGGTGTGGTGTCTAGGTGTAGTATATATGGCCGACCTTATTGACTCTTCACAAGTCCTTGAAACAAGCTGGTTACATGTATGTGCTAAAATCTAGCAACTCTAACATATTCCCCTTTGGAAGTAAAAAAAATTTATTGCTTTGGAAGTAAAAAATATGAAATTGTATATATCGGAAACCAAATGCAGGATATTTATAACGATCATTTAACTTCACCTTATCATGACCTATTACGTGACTAAACCAGGCTACTGTATCGTGTGGTGTGTGCGGTGCCGTATATGTGATGGGGTTTGACATTATGGTATTGTGTGGTGTGGTGTGAGGTATGGTTAGGTATAAGGTGGAGTACAGTAGGTGAACTCCCAAGCCTATTTTTATTTCATTAGGAATGCGCGTTGAAGGAGACCCTTCTTACCAAACTCGAGACAGAACTGGAAAACTTCAAACGTAAATTCGCCGTAATAATCCACCAGAAAGGCTTACTTTATCAAGATTACCTGAATGAGAAGAAGAATTGGGAAAACGAGATGAAAAAATACCAGGAAAAAACAGACGAACTGAAAAGACTTCGTGAAGCAGATGGGGTTAGACTCCTAGAGTACGACCGATTAATCGAGAATCTAGCGACGGACCCTGAAACACTGAAAACTCGTGTAGGCGAGCTCACGCGCAAGATTACCGTTTTACGCGTAAATGAGAAGTCGTTAGCACGGAGGTACACCGCAATGCAAGAGGTCGAGAACTCACTTCGAAGAGAGAATGAGAAATTGAAGCGGGATATATTAGACATGGAGGGATCGGTGATGGCTAGAGTGGGATATTTAGAGAGATATAAAGAGACTGCAGGGTACAAGATGGCTGTGTTACAGAGAAGTCTTGATGAGAGTTGCCCGATGACTGAACTAGAGGCGGTGAACAGGGAGCATAATGAATTGACCGCCAAGTATAGAGACCTATTACAGAGGGAGAATGCTCTGGTTGAACGATCTAGCAAGTACGAATAACCAAGTTCATTTTCATCATTTATAAAATGCTCATCTTTAGGCCTGATTCACACTGGCTCCTAAGAATCGATGTGATCCATTGTATTATTTCCGATAAACAAAGCTTTTTGCGCACCAGTGACCTCAAACAAGGCGACTCCCAGATTCTTAGGACAATTGTGAACCAGGCTTTAAAGTCTAGGAAAATGATCTTTCGTTGGTCCAGTGTTACTGTAAGTGGGAACCTAAACCAAAATTAGATAGTTATAGACTGCTTTGCTTAAACAGCCATTGAGAGGGAGCACTTACCACAGGAGAAAACCAACTGAACTCAGTTCTGTCTGCAAATAACCTCTATCAGTCCTAAACTGTTCTTCCTTGATTTAAAAGCAGTTTGACGAAGCACTGGATATCTTAAAACACATGTTGAGGAAGGTGGAATTAGTAATTAAATAAGACTCTTAGTTAGGTATCAAGAGTTTAGAATTTATCTATCATCTCCTGCTCAATCACGCTTACTGAGGCCGATTGATTTATTATCTCGACAGATTAGAGAGTTTACAATCCGACGTCAGCGAACTACAACACGAGCGTGAGCATCTTATGAAAGAGCTTGAAAACGAAAAACAAAAGTGCCACACTTTGGATCAAACTTTGGCCGATCTGTTAGGGAAGGATGGTAAGACTGGCACTAGCGACATCAGAGCTGAGGAGATCAACAGTATCTCACGTAAACTCGCAACACTTGAGATTAAGGTAAATGGTATTGTATAGCCTATGCAGGGGCCGTGGGAGACTCCTCTGCCACTGGGTTGCAAGTATTCATATATTCACGTTCAGGATTATTACTTTCTTTTTAAGTTTATTGTTTTTACGGTCTGTCAACAGGAATATATGAATATTATAGCCCCATCCCCACTTAAGGATCTTCCGCGGCCTCTGATATGTGCTGTTCTAGTTTGTGAAGAAAGATAAGTTGCCATATTTTGTGTGTGATCTACTTAAAAATGAAATACTCATGCAATGTAGGCATGGAATATACAATCCTCTCTGGTTTAACTTTATCTCTTATTGACAATAACTTGTGCAGGAGTTGAATGAACGTCAGCGAGCGAACCATGCATCAAAAAGATATGACCAAGTACGAGGAATTCTCCAAGACATCGAAGAGCGAAATAGTGAGCTAGAAAATAAAGTTGAAGAGGTGCTCTTATTTGTCTTTTGTTATTAGTATATATTTAGTATCTAGCGTGTTTCAGAGCGCCAAATGGTGTTCATTTTTCTTTCATAGCACATACATTTAAAGTGCCTATACCATGCATGGTAGCGGATTTTGAAAAATCCGCAACAATGGTATGGGCACTTTAATCATATCGCACTTTGTATCCGTTGCCACCGCCACATGTAATTAAAATAGTTTTCACATCGAAATAAATTTCACGACATTTCCATATCCACCTATGGATGAATTACTGCATTTGCAGATACAACTTTTGTGTATATGTAGCATATATGGTACAACAGTAAATACACGGATAAATTTTACGTTTCGACCTTCCTCAGGAGAGTTGGTATACCACTCGTTATATACTAAAGGCCATGTTACACGGTGCAATTTTTCTTGCAACGTGCAATGCAACCCTACTTTTAAGAGATGTAAATTAGTGCAGAGTATCCAAAATGTAAGTGTAAGGAACGTACATTACATGCATATGGAATGTAATAAACATAAAAGTTTCGTAGTTGCCAAATTTTCATCTCTCAAAAGTAGAATGTAAGAAAACGTGCACCCTGTAACATGGCCTTAACTCTTCTGACGATCGAAGACCCTCAGGTCAAAACTTCGAGAAGTGTTTCTGTCAATTTTAGGAAGTTGTTATAGTACGTACTTTTGATGGGTTGTTTGGAAACACGCGGTTCATTGGTAATATTTGTCTATATTTATCATGTTTTTCATTCTTTCCATAGCTGACGAGGTTAAATATCGAAGCTCAACGAGTCGAGCGGATGCTACGCTCAGAGCTCGAAGGCGTGGTCACCAAGGACCTGCACGAGGCAGTTCTGAAACGACAGCGCCTCCTGGAAGAGGAAGAATCTAAGCTTAAAGTAGAAATGATGAGGTTGAAAGAAATTTCCGAAGTTGCGTCACATCAGGCGGAAGCGCTCCGGGCCCAGCAGGAGTCACGTGACAAGGAGCTGACGTCACTACGGAAACAGTTGTATGATATTCAGATGGAGAATGATGATAAAACCATCATTGGTAAGTGAACGAAGCATTTTTACTTCATTGACCGTCTACCAGTAAAGCTGTCGAAGATGACCATAGGACGACAGAAATCAAAGCTTTGCATATATTGAGCTAAGATATGTTTCGACCATTTTATCTATGTCCAAAACCGCTTGCTTTTATCACTCAACAGACATCATACAAATTATATTTATATGCATTGAATACAATTTGCTCCTGTAGGTAAGCTTCATCATCACATCGTTGCGTTACAAGTGAGTGAAGGAATGGCCATCAAGAAACTAGAAACAGCTCAGTCTAAGGTACTGTCCGGCTTAATGGGACATCGCATGTTTATTTAACAATTAAAAAAGCACAATCTATCGACAAAAGGTTTTCGGTAATCAGAAATCTTTGCATCTTAATCTGGTATTGGTATTTACTACTTCAGGAAGAAATCTGAACTAACTCCAGAAAGTTTTATATCAGTTCTAAACTATTGAGATACAGAAGGATCTTTATACGAGATACCAGTGTCAGTCTTTAACTTCCCCCAATGGCCTTGAAGATGCATTAAAAATGCAAGTATATTTTGTTTTTTAGGTTTCCAAACTTGATGCCCACATTCTTCGCCTGGAACAAAAACTTGACGAGAAAGATCAAGATCTTTACCACGCCAAGCTTGAAGCAAGAAATAAAGCGAAATATCTGAAACAGACCATTCAAGACTTAAGACGACAGTTTAGTGGATCCTTACCACTCTTGAAACAAGAAAGATTTGCTGATGCCATGAGAAATCTGCAAGAAAGCAAACTGAAGCTGCAGCAAGATCTTGATAAGGTTAGCCATAGAGCCCACTCGGCCTCACAATGGTACGCCATGCAATCAACTAGCCAAAGGAATCAAGATATCATTGACTAAAAACTTTTACCAGCAGAACATTTACCCCAGAAAATACGATACATATTCCTAGGAACAATATATTGTTAAGTCTTCCTCAGTTACTTTTCATCTTTGTTAATTATATCAAGGCGGACGTAGCGCCACTATTCGCATTGGCCAATTCTGTCGCTAATTATGTTAAAAGCTATTTTTTTGTACAACCGATCCCTTGAATGTAACACTGTTCACAAAGAAGATGTAACTACAGCACTCAGTTATCAAGTCAGTCTTGTATATTTACTATATGTAGGCACACAACGATCGTGAGCAAGTCTCATTACAACTTGTGGAACTCAAAATGAAGCACACGAACCTCGAGGAATTACTGAGTACACTGAGGGACGGTAAGGGAGCGACTAAGGTTATCGAGTGGCAAAAGAAGATAGAAGAGATCCGGATTGCAGATCTCAAATTGAATAGAAATATAACGAAACTTCATGAACAAATCAAGTTCTTGGAGAGTTTGAATAAAACTCAGGAACATTCTCTGGTGAGACTGGAGGAAGAGAATGTTAGAATGGCCAAGGTAAGTGAGGGAATAAGCAAGGTTTTGGTGGTAGCGCAGTTATGAGAGTAAAAATAGTTTAAAAATTGCTTTACATATAAAAATGAATTACGTGGTATTATGTATACTGAAAAAAATTATTTTACAACATATTTACAAGCGTATTTTACATATTACATATTTATTCAACATATTTTACGTATTTTACAAGCGTATTTTACATTAACCTACGTGATCTTTTAGGCGTACTATCTTTGACTTTCTTTACGGTGTAAACCTAGACTGGATATGATTAGAGTCTCTCCTAAAATTATAAACTTCTGTAACTATTGGACACCTACATACTATTTAGACAGTGGTTCGTAACAAGAGTCCTGATGTTTCGCTTAGTTTCGATTCTTCGTACAGCATTACTAGGACAGAACATAGTTACTGTGCAGCTCCATACGTAGTTACTACATCATGATACGCTTTCGTTATGGCTGACGTCACTCCGCAATTTTGTCATACGAAATAACAATGAGAATGCCTAAATGTTAATTGTTTATTATCACCAGCTGTATTCAAATTGCGAACTTGGTATTTTGTTTCTCCTCATTAGCATCACGAAGAAAGGCAGTTACTCTGGGATCAACGCGAAGTGGAGCTCGAAAGATCTATAGCCAAGCTCGAACAACAGCAAGCTGATATGGCCCAGGCCGCTTTGCGATTCGAGGAAGCCACAGGGTCAGTCCCAGACCCCAACCTGCCGATCGCAAACCAATTAGAGGAGGCGATCCGACGCATTAAAGATCACGTTAAAATAATAATTGGTTGTCGACACGAAAATAAAAACTTGAAAACGCAAGTCGCCGAAATGAAGCACGCTTTAGAGGAACACGAAACGAAAAACACGCAAAACGCGAAAATTATCAATGAGCTTCGCTTGAGGTTGCCTGTGAGCGAACGGCTGGCAGTGACCGAGCAAGTGGAGAGTCTAGTGACTAGGCCTCAGGATTATGAAGCTAAGAAAGCCCTGCAGGTGGCCCAGTCTACAATTTCGAGTTTGCAACAGATGATTACAAAGAAGGAAGAGTCCATATTAAAATACCAAGAACTTCTTAAGGTATCGTGAACATACTTATTTATGGTATTATCGGGTGGTCACACACGTTACACTACTTTTGTAAAGCCAGAAGAAGCATTAATATAACGTGTGTGACCCATTCCTAGTGTTGGTGGCCCATTCTCTCACTCGAGAACCGTATAATTTTTCTCTATCCAAATGTACAGTTATTATTTATGGAATTGAATGCCGTTTCGCCTGCGGAAAAGCCACGATTTCGGAAAGATGGCGGGTGTACATATTACCTGATGTTCTTTGAGGAACAAACATAAACTAAAAGTTTTTTTTGTTTTCGTGTCATTTTTTCAAGTCTCAAGGTACACTTTTCAAGTTTTTTCAAGGTGAAATGTACATCCGCCATATTTTCCGTAATCGTGGACCGAACCTTTCCGCGCTTGTTTGATGTTCCTTCACAGGATCGATGTTCCTTTTGGTAAATTAAAAAGCAACTTTCTCTCTCTATAATGTGATTCTGATCCCAATATCTAAGGACTGTTAGGCTAATAATCATTAAAATTGGGTATTGGATAGTTTCCCTCGTGTTACTATCTATATTGTCATCTATGACATTTATAGCCATCATCTTGATAACCATCTTTGTTAATTACTTTCAAGGAATCACGCAACGACCTTCAAGCTCAAACACAACAACACAAAGCCGAGATAAAACAACTTCAAGATCGTTTACAACTCGAAGCTGACGAAGCATTACGTAAATTTAAGGCAGATCAACATGACGTAATCAACCGCGCGAGCAGCTCGCGACCTGGGAACAATGAAATAAAAAGACTTTCGGAACTTGAGGAGATCGCAGCCGAACAAGAGAACGCGCTTGCTGCGGCCGCTGAAAAATACAAAAGGACTAGGGCTGAAATTGGGAAAATCCAAGTCGAATGCGAGGATAGAGTTGCGGAAATAACAAGAAATGCGGAACAGAGCGTCGCAAGAATGGCGGGAAAAGTTAAAGAGCTTGAAAATGAACTCGAATCACGAGAACAGAATTTACGGGACCGTACAAAAGAGAACGAAGCTTTGGCGGAAGAACTCGAAGCTGCCCGAGAGGCCAACGCCCGCGCTCCGACCAGAGCCATGAAGTCTTTAGTTGAACGATTACGTAATCAGCTTATGATCAAAGACAAAGAACAGAAGACACTTAGTAAAGCTCTGAGACAACTGAGGGCTGATATGGTCTCCGCTGCAGAGGAAAACCTGCGAGCAAATACCCAGCTTGCGGGCGAGGAAGTTAATGTGCAAATGATAGTAGCGCGGGAAACGGCTGAGTTGCGTGAACGCGTGGAAGGATTGAGCTCTAGACTTGAAAAAATGAAAAATGATGTTAAGAAATATAAAGAAAAGGAAGTTCATTTGATGGAGGAAAATAGTAAATTGAAAAAGGTAACTATGAAAAGAAAATCTAAGGCATGTTATTCAAAATAGATCTGTCATTTTATTCAATAAGCAAACAAAATGTTTTTAACCCTAAAACAACGATACTGTTTACAACTACATATTCAGTGCATAACATTCAAGTTGACTCATTCGAAAGAGAGATGTAAGAGTGTTATTTGATTTTGACTTATCCGCCGTTTAAGGTAAACGGGCTTGATACAACCGGCTTGGTTGTATGAAAGCCGGATTGCGCTATCCACTGGAGAGTGATTTTTTCAACCTTTCTGAAAATACTTGAGAAGCAATAAAATTTTAGCTTTGGAAGCAACAATTATTGAAAAGGATTCTCAATTTAGGAATACTAAGGTTTAATCAAAGTTTCAGCTAACAACGGGCGATTTTAGCGCGATTAAAAAATCCACTATTTGGTGGATAGCGCTATCCGGCTTTCATACAACCGGCCCCTGAAGTGCAATAAAAGCACGATTTACAAATTTATACTATGCATTAATTAAGAAAAGGTTGCCTACTAGATTACTTCTTAACCATAAAAACAAAGGTGAAATGAACAGGGAATCATTTCATTTCTGAAAGGAGGAATGAAGGGATCAATAAATATCTCTTTCAGGATGTAGAAAAGAAGAAGTCGGCGCTTGTTCAAATGGCAGAACAACAAGAACGTCATGAAGACGACGGTCGCGAAGATGTTAAAGAAGAATTGCGAAATGAAAGAAAGAAGAGACACGAGTGTGAACAACGTGTGGGGGAATTGGAGAGAAAATTGCAAAGAATACACGAGAAATATAAAGAAAACGAAATGAAAGAACAGGAGGATATCAAGAAAGAAGAAAAACAGAAGGTTTGTGGCTGATTTCATTGAATAGGACTTTCCTATTTGGATAGGAGGGATGATCGATAAAAAACGCGGTAAATTTTGAATTTATCCAATAATACAAAAGGGTGGGTTGATTCCCCCTCCCTCTCCCATTTATTAAGGGGTAGTATTGACTTATTTCAATTGACATTGCATTTCATGTTTATAATTTCAAGTAATAGTGCCAAACTGGATATGTCTTTACCATTTTATGCGTTTATTTATTTTGAAAATGACAATTTCAGACGTAAATTCAAATTAATTGCTTCTTTACCCTTTGACAACTAGCCGCTTAAATTCTGTCCCCAGCCAGTCACAACTTAGACAAGAGCTATTTTTCCTTAGAGCCAGAAAGTGAGCGAGGAAGTCTTGAAATGGGAGGAAGGAAAGAAGTGGCAGCATAAAGTAGAAACTTTGAAAACAAAGCTGATGGAAAAAACTAAGGAATTGGAAAAGGCTGAAAAATCTTTAACCTTATGTCGTGATGCTTTGAACCGAGGAGATAGAGAGAAAACAAGTTTACAGAACAAACTAAAAGGGTAAAGAAATCTTTTTTCTGCTTTTCGTTTCTTTCTGACTGAATATTTCAACCATGTGGTCAAAATACTGTAACCCAGTGAACTCTAATACACGTGGAGCGATAACTCAAAGAGAGGGGTCAATCCAATTCCGTATAAAACACTACTTTCATCTCTCCAGCGTTTCCTCTCGCTCGGCTGCTGACTCACCGATATTACATCGTGATGAAGTCGTCCAAGATTTGAAACAGAAAGTTTTTGACGTCGAGAGCGAGGTACATTAAATACCCTAATTGATAACTCAGTTTTGCACTCATTACCGTAATTGGGATATTGACAGTCAGTACAATCCTCAACATGATAAAAATTTTTTTTGTTTTTTTCACTTCAAACATAACCTATTAATTTTCACTTGTTTCACCAATGTTTCATGTGACGTAATCCATATTTCTGAATTTTCATATTTTATCCCTCTCTCCCCTGCTCTACCTCTACAGTATATTTGCCTACTTCGGTGAAATGTTTTTATATGGATTTCTGAATGATGAATGATCTCTCACTCAGGCTTAGCTATTGGGGGAGAAAAATTCCGATGTTTCCATACATATGAAGCATGCACCTATTGTGATATTTATTGTGATACGTCTCCAAATCAGCTCATACTTTTCAAGTATATTTCCATTTCAGAATCAAGAGCTGCGAGAAAGGCTTGCCCTGGATCGTGATGTTCGACAACAGGTCAGTTCAAAGATTAAGAAAGACTACTTCATGTCATGAGTGTCTGCTTTTGTAAGCCACTATAAGTATGTTTTGAAAAACTTCATGATTTGGCACAAGACTTGAAGAGAACATTTCAAGACTTGAAGCACTGATAACTGATTGTACACTTTCAACTCCTTAATTAGGAGCTTGACCTTCAGAATAAAGACTTAAAAGAAAGACTAAATCTCCTTGAAATACAACTACGACACACTCCACCGGAAAAGGTAACTTGTCTGCAATAGCATTTTCCTGTTTGCATCACTGTCCTAGGTAAAGATTGTGATGATGCTACTAAAATACAACCTATATTCATTGAAAATCCAAGAGGGCGAGGCGTAAAAGTGAGACACTGCTTACCTAATAGGCTTCACTTTTTTGAGGATCGTTTTCTTTTTAACACCAGGAAGAATCGAGCGTCGTGGATAAAGAAATATATGAAAACCTTGTGAAGAGAAATAAATCTTTACAAAATCAACTACTTGAAGTTCGAAAGGTAAGATTCTTGATTATACAAACTGGTTTGCAAAATGTTTTCATGTGTAACTCCTTGTTAACGATTTCCTTGTAGGAGAACATGGAACTTCAATTTAATCTGGAACAAGCAAAGAAAGAAAATCCTCGGCTAAAGGTTTGTGTTTTTAAACATTCATTTTTATGTTAACTCGCACTTTTTAACTGCTTGGAAATGCACTTTTTCACGAACGGACTTTTGCATTCGCCCGGTTTATTCTTACAATTTTATATAGCAACCGAAACCTCGTTTCAGCCACCAGTGCTTTGATCATAATCTTAACGATAATGTCCAGACGTAATGAAAAGAGTTTTAAATTGTTATATTTCTTCAATTTGACAAACTTTCTATACATACTTCACCCATTTTGGTTCTCTAATCTCTATGGTCCTAAATGAATGTGAACTAAAAAGTCAGTGCCCAGAAAAATTGGAATTTTCAAATTGGAGAGCCCTGCTTTGGTACGATCAGAACTGATGCCCAAACCCGTCCGGATATTAATGTCTTTAATCCAAATAAATGTCTAGATATATCTGTCGCTGCAGCCAAGAAAGTTTTGCTCAAACTCATAATAATATCTCAATACATATATTGTTAACTTTCGACACTATGTACAGTAAAAAGATAAAAAGATAAAAGGTAAGGCGATTAAAAGTACTAGTTTCGTCCTTCGGACCTTTTCAACAAATCGCCATATAGTAAACAAATGTTGAAAACGATGTTTTTTTTGTGTCGAAAGTTAACAATATATGTATTGAGATATTATTATGAATCCAAATAAATCAAACTCAAAAACACTTCTGGTATTCGTACCTAATTTTATTATTGCTCAGGCTACCAATAGAAATGCACGGGCACCCATTTTTAGCTGTACCATGCCGATAAACTGAGTGCAGTGTAACGGCTAAACATTCATGACAATATTCACTTACATTGTTCAGGCTCGCGTTGCCGACCTTCAAGAGTACGTGGATATTCTTAAATCCGAATTGGAGGCAGGCAAAAAGAGAGAGAAATCTCGAAAGGTCAGATCCTATAGTTTTCATGAACAATAAGACGCGAATATGACAGTTCATATAGTTGTCTTTTAAAAATACATGGCGGGAAATGACTTTATACAATAAAGACGCTTCCATTTAAGTGGTCAAAATAGTAAAATTTCTTATTCCGTGGTAAGTACCTGTAGAACAGCAAAATGAAATTTCGTTGCATTAAAGCAATTTTTCTTGCAACTTGCAATGCAATTCGACTTTTAAGAGATGTAAATTAGTGAAGAGTCTTCAAAATGTAAGTATAAGAAACGTCCATAGAGTTGTAAACATAAGAGTTTCGTAGTTGCCATGTTGCCGTGTGCCGTGTAACAGGACCTGCATGATCCATTTTGCCGTGCAAAGAGAAGCACTCTAAGATACATTGAAGTCTGTTTTCTTATAGAAAGGGACGGGGATGGGTGGTCAAAGTATTGAGGATATGGAGCGAGTGATAGCGGCTATGAGACGCGTTGTGGAGAGATTGCAGACTGAGAATGATAATTTGAAAAAACATCCTGTTTCTGGTGGAAGCCAACTGAATGATCTAACTAAAGAAAATAAAAGACTCAAGGTTGGAGCAAAAATCTTGAATGTAAAGAACCGTTTGCTGCATGGCATGCTGCGATTTCATATGCGATTTTCTTCTTTTGAAAAATGTGAACGAGTGAATTAAATACGCATGTTCAAATATAAACTCTTATACATCAGAGCATTCGTAACTAATTACTCGTTCACAAGAAGAAAATCGCAGCAAAAATTGCAAGACTGTGTAAACGGCCTTAAATTTGGTTCCATTATAAAGCTTTGATCAAGAGTTTTCTTGGAAGAAAGGATTATTCACGGTGTCTAAATACCACAGGGCAGTTTTCAAGATTTCTTTATTGTTTTTAGCACGAGTTAAGCAAACTCAAGCAAGGTCATCAGTCTTCGGTCAAAGGATCGGAGCTGGCAAAAAGTTCTTCCAAACTAGCGAGCGAGCATGATAAGTTGAGAAAGGATTTGACCAAGGAGATTGAAAACAATAAGACTTCGAAAATTAAAATGGCAGGTCTTGAAAATACTTTGAGCGAAAAAGACAATTACATTGAACAGTTGGAGCAGAGATTACAGGAAGCCGAAGACCGCGCACCAAATCTAGAGGGCCTGGATACTAAACAGTGGAAATCTGCGGTTGTTACTCGTATGTTTGAACAGAAATTAAAATCGATGGAGGGTGAACTTGAGAAAAAGGTGTGTTTCAAAGATTGTTTCAACGGCTTTTAAACCTTTTCAAGTTTTATTGTTGACAGGGTGCTGCAGCCAGAGAGGAAAAGAATTTTCCGGGGGCATATATTTATATATTCATGTTAGCAGACCGTAAAAAGAATTTCCAAAGAAACTAATAATGCTGAACGGGAATACGAATATCCTCCCCCCACCACCACTAAACGATCTTCGGCGGTGACTGGGACTAGCTAACAACCTGACTGAATCCCGGCCATGTTTTGGGTGTAGCACGTGATTGTTCGGTCCTGTTTTCATCGATCTAGGGCCGGTTGTATAAAACTCTTTAACTACATTTTGCATAGTGAAATCCTAGTTAACTCCGAAATACCCGACTCTGATTGGCCAATTCTGTCCTTAACTGCAGTTAAAAGTTAACTAGTCTTTTAGCCTACTCGCACCAGATGAGAGGGTCAGTTTCGAGATTAGGGTATCATCAGTGGTGTCACACTTCGTTGTAGACGAATATGCTGAATGACATCAAGGAACATCTGCGAGGATCTGGGGAGAGAGAAGCCAAATTACTCAGGAAGCAATCTGAATTAGAAGAAAAGGTATCTTCAAGATGTTTTAAACTTGGTGATCTTGTCTGTATGTAACTTCACATCAAATGTGGAGGTCCAGCATAAACAAGTTGCTGTGGTCATAGAAAGATTGATATTTCTATCATAGACATGTCTATTTTTCTATTAACTATGCTGTGGTTGATATCTAAACTATATTTGTGGTTGATAACCCAAATTCTCGCGCGATACCTCCCTCTTGGTTCTTGCTTTATGGAAGTTTTTGAAAACATCTTTCATCACAATTTAAAGCAATTTTTAGTGTAGATTTTGTTGAACATGAACCAATGAGTAAGTCAGCGAAATTTGTTTTACCAAATTTTATAGATTGCCATTCTTGAGAGATTTCCAACAGATATTAATCTAGACAGCGATATTGTAAAAGAAATGCAAAACATGAGGTGAGAAGTCAGATCTTGATTTGATGTCATAGATTTTTGTAAAAACCCTATCATGGATCATATTCGGCCCTGACATTTTCCTTTACGTCCCCACTCTTTTTATTTGAAAGTTTTCGACTCCTTCTTTCCGAGCGAAATATATTTTGAGTGATAAGAGAACTGCTTCTTTCATTAAAACACGGACTTTTAGAATTTTTTTGTCAAAACTTTTTTGGTGTTGATATGTGTCTTTCCCTTAAACCGTTCAATGCTTTTCGAATGATTGTGGAATTTTTCCCATGAAAACAATGATATTCCGATTATTAAAATACATCGTTAGCATGCATTTTGGACATTTTGCTCAAGCTTTGCTCAACGATTTAGAATTATTTATTTACACACGATAGACTTCATTTGGCTAGCGTTGAAGCCGAGAAGAATGAGCTACATTCTCATTTGAAACGATTAAAAGAAATGAGCCAAGCGGAACAATTACCTGCAGACATGGTAAGGTGTTATTAACGTATTGTACATGGTAATTGTTTAAACAACCTCGTACCCGGGGTTGTTTTTATTGATATCAGTAATTATTTAGTGTTAATACTGTAGAAATCCAAAGTAGTGCATGTTTTTACCTCTGTGCTGGCATCCTAGGATCAAGATGATGTAATGCATAAGCTGTCTGACTATGACAACACAATGAGGAAAAACACAGAACTTGAAACTAGACTGAAGACTACTGAACTGGAAAGAAATAGACTAAACTCGGAAGTCACTAAGGTAGGATGCAAATTTTTGTTGTTTCATGTGAGATTATGACCATAAAATGCGTATCTGCCCTGCTCTTTGTCAGCTCCTCTTCATCCATCTGTTTAATTTACCATTGAAATTTACCATACCATAGCACCACCACATGATATGATATTATGATATTACCACATTTTCGCCCCAGTGGGAAAAGAAAATGGACACTATTGTGTATATGGTTCACATACGGCAAATGCAGGACTTACATCCCAGGTTACCTGAAGTCGAAACTACATCCCATGCGAGTCTACCCTAATTTCATGACCACATAAGTCAACTAATATGTCACCAAAATCATCGTCAATATATTAAAACAATAGCTTTATGCTAATATCTTATAGTTACGCAAAGAACTCGAAGCATTCGATCCAGCATTTTTTGAAGAGATCGAAGATTTGAAGTATAACTTTCAAAAATCTGTAGAACGTAATGTACTTTATGAAAGACAACTTCGGGAACTCTCTAGACAGTTTGGTGTTCATGTGACGATACCCAGTGACGATGACCATTAACACCAAATAGTGGAAGGTACTCTTCAAAACGCGAGGCGGTTGCTTTGCCTCATTAATGTATGGTCACGTCTTGATGATAAGTGGAGGTCAACTTAAGTTGAAATGAGGGGAGCGTTGAAATAAGAGATAAGTAACGAGATGGAGTGTGAAATGCGTAGCCTTGAAGTGAGGGAAGAGAGGGATAGGCATCTTTAAGTGAAAAGAGGGAAGCGTTGAAGTCAGATCGGTAAACTTGGATGAATGGTGAATGCACAGATAGTCGTATCATAAACCTGTTAGGTTTGGAGGAACAGAAAATTACAACAAATTATTTTATTTACAAAAATGAAGGTCTATACGTTTCTGGACCATATCTATTTGGATGTATTTCTGCGTTGCAAACGATATAAAGATAGATTAACATAGATTTGCATATTTGATATTATTAGAAATATCCATGATTGTTGATGTCTATAATACGATACAAATAATATATATATTCAGTCAGTCATGGGGAAGGGAAAATTAATTATCTAATTATCTAATATTAATGTTCCATAGAGCACAAATGATCATGTTCTAATCGTGTAAATATTGTCGATTCGATTCATTCGAGATAATCTTGTGAGCCTGCGATGTGTCGGACAGTTGTAGTGATTTCAGATTTCTACTTATACAAATACAACGCGCAATGCAGAGTTTTTTTCAACCAACACGTGTTTGCACCTTCGAAGTTCGAACGTTCCTTTCAACCCAACGATTCCTTAACAACGTATTCCTTAGTCCCTACTTTCAGTAGCCCCAACTTTGAGTATTATTGTTACCTACTAGTACCAGGGCCGAAGCTGAAGCATCAGAACTTAGGAGAAGTAGGAAAATATTCAAAACAGGAAATTAACATCACGCTAGATCAAGTATCCATCAATTATATCGCGGACTGACGGCAGAGTTACAATGTCAACATCATGATGTATATTCACTTATAATTTTTATATGAACGTATTTATAGATGTGATATACATCAGGAATACGAATAATAATAAGTAACTAAAAGTGAACATGCTAAGTTTGTGTCTTTCATATCATATTTAAGTTATATATTCATATATAGTAACCTTTGACCGGCCAGCGCAGACATATGTAAATTTATATTTGAATACTAAAAGAACTAGCCATGCTTGTTGTTGTTCGACAATCATTTTGCCGATTTGAGATCTAAAAACACAGTTATATAGAAGCGTAGAATAGAATAAACTAAATATATAGTTAGCTCATTGCAGTACAAGCCTTTTTCTTGCCATTACGAGCGTGCTTCGGCACATATAACTCCACACAAAAATCTGAGCTTCGCCTTGAGCGTGTCGCCTTCATAAATACAAAGATCGAAACGTCGCATAAATATTGCGTCATTTAGACACTCTAAATCGTTCGAATGGCTCGTACAAATCACTACAAGACGATGAAGACATTGTAAAATAACACAATAACAAAGCGAACGCGAAAAAGCAGAAGCTAACTTCGAAATTTAATCCTTCGATGCTCCGAGCGATTGAAAAGGCATGCTTCCACTCTTTGCCTAGTCTTTGCCTAACATGACTAACACATGCATGCTTACGAAGCACAGTGATTGGTTCAACTCGCCAAAGATAGGCAAAATCTGCAAGCCAATGAAAGAATAGAATTTAAAAAAATTACCCAATCATAAGGTATGCATGAAAACACGGAGTCGGAGTTCCGGAGTCCCGGAGTACGGAGTCCCGGAGTGAAGTGTCCAAAACTTTAAAACACGGAGTGGTAAAAACACGGAGTCCACGTAAAAACACGGAGTCCACGTAAAAACACGGTTTTTACTCAATATTTTTATTTTATATGTGGTTGCAGGTATTCAGACCCTGTGGAGATGGCTATGCCCTTATTGCAGGGGTGTTGGAGGGCGCCTTTTGAAGATGAGATGATTGGCAATGTGGCAATGATGATGATCATTTCCCCCGGCACGCTCCCATGCCGCGCTTTATATAATTTCACGAACGGGAATACACGTGGGATTGAATACCACATTCGAACTTTCTCACAAAATCACCACATATTTTACAATTCATATAACGGAATCATATAAAATGTTACCAATCATCAATCTTCATCATTGCCAATCATCTCATCTTCAAAAGGCACCCTCCAACACCCCTGCAATGAGGGCATAGCCATCTCCACAGGATCTGAATACCTGCAACCACATATAAAATAAAAATATTGAGTAAAAACCGTGTTTGACGTCGACTCCGTGTTTTTACGTGGACTCCGTGTTTTTACGTCGACTCCGTGTTTTTACGTCGACTCCGTGTTTTTACCACTCCGTGTTTTAAAGTTTTGGACACTTCACTCCGGGACTCCGTACTCCGGGATTCCGTACTCCGGAACTCCGACTCCGTGTTTTCATGCATACCCAATCATAAGGCTTCCTGATTACGTCAAGTTAGGCAAATTCGTCTTGGTTAGGCAAAAAAGCTATTAGCCAATCAAAAGGCTGTATCGGCCGCCAGGCATAGGCAAAATAGCTGCCTCTCATTGGCTTGCTTCATGGCTTGCCTAAATACCAATGAGCTGTATATCAATAAATAACTGGACTGTGATATGAAAATATGAACAATGAACTGCATGTTTCCACTTATGAATGAATACTTTGGGAATTGGGAACTGGGAATTTTGTAATTATTATCTGGATAATTTACCATAGTCACTTGACTATGTTGCCTACCCCTAGATCCGCGCCTGAGACGATGGTCTCAATAGTGCCAATATTATAAAGTATGCAGATGATATGGACATATGGCATTATTCATAGCTGGACGTGAAACTCAGGAAATAGAAAGTAAACTGTCAAGTGAAATGCAGGTGGTTGCAAAATTGTTGGAAGATAATGACTTGGTTATAAATCTCTCAAAAGGCAAAACCGAGTCTATGTTGTTAGGTACTAGCCGAAAAATCAAGAATAAATCCTTAATGATGTAATATACAGATAATACGATATATATATATTAATAACTAATTATAATACATTAGATGATTGACATTATGTTGACAGGACTAATTAAGGATGTAGATAGAATAAGAGTGTATTGTAGAAGGGTTAAGAAATACAAGATTTAGAATAGAAGATCGATACAGAAAGAATATTACAAATTATTTACCTCAATGATGAATTGATCAATTACACAACTATGTATAGATATCTTGGAGTCTTGGTTTATCAGACGGTAAACCTTAAGGAACATTTTGGGCAGGCGTTTAAAAAAGCTTCAAGTAGATTGAGATTGTTAAAGAAAATTCGAGCTTTTTTATCTGTGGATGCAGCGGAATCGATATACAAGGGAATGATTTTGCCACTATTAACATATTCTAGTATTGTTACTTTGAGTTTGAATGCTATATACGGAAGCCTCACAAGTTGCAATTTTTCAAGAACGAGTGGCAAAAATAATAAAATCAGATGGTCTGGTACATCTACAATTACCTGATGTGATCTATTTTGCAAAACAACAGTTATGTATACTGGTGAAGCAGTGTATTGACAGAAATTTGTGCAGTAACTTTGACGATTACTTTAAACGCTTACAGCATGTAAAGGATACGCGAAACAATGGAATAAGTGTTAGGATTCCAAAAGTACGATTAGAATCCACTAAACATGCATTTTATTATAATGGGGCAATTGAATTTAATAAATTTCCCCGTGATATCAGAGAAATTGAAAGTTTTATGCTATTTAAACGAAAGGTGAAAGAGCATTTTAGTATATAAATTTTAGTAGCACTTTTTAAATTTATTTCTTACATATTTTTATCATTAATTTTTTATACTTTGTAAATTATTGCAGGACATACATTGATAGCAGTGAATGATTCACTGAAGTATTTATCCTGTATTTAAATATTCTTAAGTAATAATAATGATAATAATAAATATACGTTATAGCTAGCTTGTACGATGCAGTTGAAGTTAAGTAGAAATAGGCCTTGGACTCTTTACTTATAGGCCTAGAACTTTTTGTGATCACAATTGAAATTTTTCAGATAGATGTAAACTTTTTCTAACCGGGTTTTGTCGCCGACGACAGACACGCAAGAAATGATGACTTTTAAAGCAATTTCTATAGCCTAAAAATTGCACTACCACAGAGGTTTTTATCATAAAATTCAGTGTGCGAAGATAAAATTTCCCCTATATATAACTCTGAATAGGTAGTCAGAGTGCCAATAATTTTTTCACACTATTCTTTGTATTGGAATGATAAATTTCAGTGAATATTATTTTTAATAGGTCGAATGCTGATCTTCCACGTTTGCCTTTGGTTCTTATGATGGAAAGATAAAAAGGGTTCCTGAAATTTAAAGACGTGGCAATCTTCCCCCAGTGTTATGTGCACATGACGTCTTTCTTGAACGATCTCAGGGATTCCCGGCTCCCTTAGTTTAAAGAGAAGTATTTCCTATAAATTGATAACGTTCGTTCAAAAACAGCATGGCTGAACTTTGTCAGCTAATTCTTAACACTGTTAATATTAACCTGGATGAAATTGATGGAAAAGCTGCTTTGTTTTTTACTGCCAAAAACGACGTGTATGGTGTAGCAAATGAGTTACATTCCAAAGGATTTAACCTTGACGTAACTGACGATCAGGGCAAAACTGCTTTGTTTTATGCTAACGAGAACCACAGCATGTATGCGCTTTGTGACTTGATTACTTGGGGTGCAAAATTTGAATTGGAGGAAATTGATGGAAGAGCTGCTTTGTTTTTTACTGCTGAATACGACACGTTTGGTGTAATTCATGAGTTGCATTATAAAGGACTTAACCTTGACCTAACCGACGATCAGGGCAAAACTGCTTTGTTTTATGCTAACGAGAACCGCAGCATGGATGCGCTTTGTGACTTGATTACTTGGGGTGCAAAATTTAAATTGGAGGAAATTGATGGAAAAGCTGCTTTGTTTTTTGCTGCTAAAAACGACAAGTTTGGTGTGGTAAATGAGTTACATTCCAAAGGATTTAACCTTGACGTAACTGACGATCAGAGCAAAACTGCTTTGTTTTATGCTAACGAGAACCGCAGCATGGATGCGCTTTGTGACTTGATTACTTGGGGTGCAAAATTTAAATTGGAGGAAATTGATGGAGAAGCTGCTTTGTTTTTTGCTGCTAAAAACGACAAGTTTGGTGTAGTAAATGAGTTACATTCCAAAGGATTTAACCTTGACGTAACTGACGATCAGGGCAAAACTGCTTTGTTTTATGCCAACGAGAACCGCAGCATGGATGCGCTTTGTGACTTGATTACTCGGGGTGCAAAATTTAAATTGGAGGAAATTGATGGAAAAGCTGCTTTGTTTTTTGCTGCTAAAAACGACAGGTTTGGTGTAGTAAATGAGTTACATTCCAAAGGATTTAACCTTGACGTAACTGACGATCAGGGCAAAACTGCTTTGTTTTATGCTAACGAGAACCACAGCATGTATGCGCTTTGTGACTTGATTACTTGGGGTGCAAAATTTAAATTGGAGGAAATTGATGGAAGAGCTGCTTTGTTTTTTACTGCTGAATACGACACGTTTGGTGTAATTCATGAGTTGCATTATAAAGGACTTAACCTTGACCTAACCGACGATCAGGGCAAAACTGCTTTGTTTTATGCTAACGAGAACCGCAGCATGGATGCGCTTTGTGACTTGATTACTTGGGGTGCAAAATTTAAATTGGAGGAAATTGATGGAAAAGCTGCTTTGTTTTTTGCTGCTAAAAACGACAAGTTTGGTGTGGTAAATGAGTTACATTCCAAAGGATTTAACCTTGACGTAACTGACGATCAGAGCAAAACTGCTTTGTTTTATGCTAACGAGACCGCAGCATGGATGCGCTTTGTGACTTGATTACTTGGGGTGCAAAATTTAAATTGGAGGAAATTGATGGAGAAGCTGCTTTGTTTTTTGCTGCTAAAAACGACAAGTTTGGTGTAGTAAATGAGTTACATTCCAAAGGATTTAACCTTGACGTAACTGACGATCAGGGCAAAACTGCTTTGTTTTATGCCAACGAGAACCGCAGCATGGATGCGCTTTGTGACTTGATTACTCGGGGTGCAAAATTTAAATTGGAGGAAATTGATGGAAAAGCTGCTTTGTTTTTGCTGCTAAAAACGACAGGTTTGGTGTAGTAAATGAGTTACATTCCAAAGGATTTAACCTTGACGTAACTGACGATCAGGGCAAAACTGCTTTGTTTTATGCTAACGAGAACCACAGCATGTATGCGCTTTGTGACTTGATTACTTGGGGTGCAAAATTTGAATTGGAGGAAATTGATGGAAGAGCTGCTTTGTTTTTTACTGCTGAATACGACACGTTTGGTGTAATTCATGAGTTGCATTATAAAGGACTTAACCTTGACCTAACCGACGATCAGGGCAAAACTGCTTTGTTTTATGCTAACGAGAACCGCAGCATGGATGCGCTTTGTGACTTGATTACTTGGGGTGCAAAATTTAAATTGGAGGAAATTGATGGAAAAGCTGCTTTGTTTTTTGCTGCTAAAAACGACAAGTTTGGTGTGGTAAATGAGTTACATTCCAAAGGATTTAACCTTGACGTAACTGACGATCAGAGCAAAACTGCTTTGTTTTATGCTAACGAGAACCGCAGCATGGATGCGCTTTGTGACTTGATTACTTGGGGTGCAAAATTTAAATTGGAGGAAATTGATGGAGAAGCTGCTTTGTTTTTTGCTGCTAAAAACGACAAGTTTGGTGTAGTAAATGAGTTACATTCCAAAGGATTTAACCTTGACGTAACTGACGATCAGGGCAAAACTGCTTTGTTTTATGCCAACGAGAACCGCAGCATGGATGCGCTTTGTGACTTGATTACTCGGGGTGCAAAATTTAAATTGGAGGAAATTGATGGAAAAGCTGCTTTGTTTTTTGCTGCTAAAAACGACAGGTTTGGTGTAGTAAATGAGTTACATTCCAAAGGATTTAACCTTGACGTAACTGACGATCAGGGCAAAACTGCTTTGTTTTATGCTAATGAGAACCATAGCATGAATGCACTTTGCGAGTTGATTGGCTGTGGTGCAAAATTTAAATTGGATGAAATTGATGGAAAAGCTGTTTTGTTTTTTGCAGCCACTGATAATTATATGGAATACGTTGTAAAACCTTTGCATGACGCGGGCCTTGACCTGGGCGTAACTGATGACAAGGGTAGGACGGTTGTGTTTTATTGCGATCAAGATTTCCTGCACGCCTTAATAGCTGTAGATGATGTTTTGGTGAATGCAAGAGATCGCTATGGTAGAACTCCATTGTTTTATGCTCTTCAGGATTTCTCCTTAAAAAGAGCCCGGTTCCTTGTTGAGAAAGGTGGAAACCTTGAATTGCGGGACTACTGCAACGTTAGTACGTTTTCTTTTTTTATTGAAAACTGTCTTCTCAAGAAAACAAAGGCATTACAGTCATTCTCATCTGAATTATTTAAAGAGGAGCAACAACGAAAAGCGTTAATTATTGGCATATTCGACACTATCTATTGTCAAATTCCACTGCTGTCCGTTCATGGTTCTTCTCAACTGTCAAAGTTATACAAGATTTTTAACAAATCAAATATTTTAGAAGCCTTGGCCTTTGCTCGTAATTTATGCGTACTCCACGATGCTCAAAGTAAAGAATGTTGACGCGATAGCTTCCATGATCAGAGAAGACAACATCGATGTACCGCGTATTTTATTTTTGCTCAACAAACTCGGTGCTAATCCCAACGCTGCAGATTCAGCGGGAAATACAGCTGTTCACTTCGCGAGCATTTTACCACTCTTTGGCGTAACGCAAGAGGCCGTCATGGAGATGTGTAAGCATCTTAGGAAATATGGAGCCTTCTTCAACTTAAAGAACCACCAGCGTGAAACCCCGCTGCTATTTTGTTTGTCATCATATAATATGAAAGTGGTTACTTTTGACAATAATTCGCTGTCGTCAGTCGGAGGGTTGGTGCAGGTCTGTAAATTTTTGCTGAACAATGGTTGTAGTATTACGGAGACATCGCAGAGTGCAGAGTCTATTTTTCATCGGATAAATTCCCTTATACAACAAGGTCTTGAGCTAAAAGAAAACGCATCAAGAACGGTCTGTTTACAAGTAATGATCGAAATTTTGATGTTACTCTCAGACCGGAACGAAGCAGTTGTAAGAAATGTTGTGAACAGCATTGATCTTCAAATAAATTCTCCACTCCATCTTTGGGCGTCTATTGCGTTAAAGTCACAACAAGAAAATGGTAACCTAGTGACTGAAGAACACACATTTGAGAGCTTTCTGCGAACAATTCTGGATCACCATTTGCGATGTGGAGCAAAACTTAATCCTCGAAACGGAAAAGAAGAAATTCCTTTGCATGTGTGCAAAACGTGGACCACTATGAAGCTGTTATTAGAAGCTGGAGCCAACCCAAACGACGTTGATGCAACAGGACGAACCCCATTACTTTCTGCAGCTATGGATAAAAACCGTCCAAGAAAAACGGGGTTTTTTTATCCAGATGTTTCAGATGACCCAGAGATGTTTTGGAGAAGTGTCCTAAACAAAGGACTTGATTTATGGGTAGCTGACAAGCAGGGAGTGTCTGTTTTGAGCACTCTTATTGATTCTGAGGATTTTGTTCTTACAAAAGCTTTGGTTGAAGTTTCTTGCAAAGAAAATTACGCCACCGATGAAGTCAAGCTTTCGTTTTTAAATGTCATTTGTAAAGATAAGTCCAAGCATCTACTTTGGAAGACTATTTTGGTTAAAATTATTCTAGACTCAATTAGAACGAACGATATTTCTTTGGATTCGCCTCTTCGTTTTTGCTGTAAGAACATTATTGAATTTGGCCTCTTGGATGACAAACCCCCTTCTTTGCAAGAAAATACAAACGACGGACTAAACGATGATGATGGTCAACCACCTTCAAAGAAAAGAAAGAAAAGTGAATCATTAGAGAAGGGAGGTGAAGAAAAGCCAAATGTAGAACGATTATGCTCTGATTCTGTTCATTGTAAAATTGTTGAGCAATTGCTTTTACACGGAGCGGATATTCACTTCCACGACTCGTCTGGTATGTCTTGCCTCGACATTGCAAAGGATTGTCCCCCTCTCCATGACCTGTTGCAAAAACCAGTAGAAATCGATACTCTTCCAGTTCGTATTCCCTGGACGTCCGCTTCGGACAGATTTAAAGAAAAACTGGCCAAAGTCGCCAGACAGCAAGAATGTAAAATACTGGATCAAATTTGGTATCACAAAGATCCGATAGGAAGTGGCTCATTTGGTGATATTTTTGCTGGAATCAATGAGAAAGACGGTAGGGAAGTGGCGGTGAAACGAGTCGTCAAATTGCGTATGCAGCGACGAGAAGATAAGCGAGAAATAGAAAATCTCGCACGTCTTGCTGACTGTCAACAAGTTGTTCGTTATATATCCTTCTTTGAGAACGACGACTTTTCTTTCATAGTCACGGAGCTAATGGAAGGAAATCTTGAAGAGTTTCTGAGTGTTTATAGTATTGATGCCACAAAAGCAACTGCCCTTTGTAAAGATATAGTCACAGGACTTCAATTTATCCATGGGCAAAATATCCTTCATCGCGATCTCAAGCCTCGAAATATTCTTTACAAAGAACATCCAAAGCTTTGCTTCAAAATTGCCGATTTTGGTCTAAGCCGTAATTATGAGAAGGAGTCTACTACTTCAGTGTATGGTACACTTGCTGGTACAAGATGTTGGATGGCACCTGAAGTGTTAAAGGACAAGAATTGTTTCCAGGAAACATCAGACACTTTTGCATGTGGACTGCTTCTTCACTACATTCTCTCGAAACAGAAGCATCCATTTAGTCCCACTGATTGTTCGAAGAAAAGTGAATTACAAGTTTCAAATGAAACAGAAGCGAATATAATCAAAGATGAAATGAAAGGATGGGATGACTCTCTTTCTCCTGAAGCTACTCACCTGGTAAAGCGAATGCTTGGAAGCAACGAAGGCGACCGGCCAAGTGCAAAAGAAGCCCTAGAGCATCCTTTATTCTGGTCGAATGAGAAAAAGAATGTTTTTCTAGAAGCTGTTGCTAATCAGAGAGAAATCAAGCGCCCTCGTTGGATAAATGCGACTTTGACTGAAGTGGAAACAGACTTGGAAGCGAACTTCAAGCCTATTGTCCCACGACGTACCTGGGCGATTAAAAAGAATGAAAACATGGCTGAGATATATAGCGAGATGGAAAAAGGAGGAGGGAGAAGCTCTTATAATACCAGATCTGTTGTGGATTTAATACGATTCATTCGAAATGTATACAAACATTTTGGCGAAATAAACCTAAAACCTCCAGTGTCAGTTATGAATTTGCTGTTCAAAGATTTCGTATTTTTAAAAAATTTTCCTCATCTTGTGATAGAGGTTTACAAAGCTGTAACCGCTCATGGCTGGGACAAGGCAAGAGATGATATCAAATCGGCCATGAATTTTTCAGGAGTGATAAGGTAAAGTTGTAGAGGAAATTTTGATGTGAGAATGAAGCTTTTAAAAAACTGCGACGTTTTGAAGCATCCTTTAAAACATAATAATAAGGCACTCGCACTCGTCCTAAGAATCGGGGATCCATTGCATTATTTTCTGACAGACAAAGCATTTTGGGCATCAGCGACCTCAGACGAAGGGAATCTGAAAATAATACAATAGATCCCCGATTTTTAGGAGCTAGTGTGAATCGGCCCTAAAATCAACCTCGTACCCAGGGTCTTTACTCTACTCAGTAAAGACCCTGGGTACGAGGTTGCCCTAAAGTCTGGTTTTTGAATATCGTAATTCATCGACGATTGCTAATGTCGACGGTCACTGATGCATAAAATGCCCTGTCTATCGAAAAAAATTAACTACTTCATTGCAATTCTTCATTGCATCATTTGCATGGTCACCGACAATGGATCGTCAAACATCGCCGATGAATCACGACATAATACGAAAACCATGGCTTATAATAGAAGAAATTGAAAACGATCGTATAATCGAAAATACAGCGATATAAACAATTTAGCTTCCCAGGGTGGCCAATCAGAAAAGCACCAGCGCAATAATTATTAGTTCAATCATGATTATAACCTTTCCTATAGTTATTAATATAACTTCATTTTTACTACGCAATTTCACTTCAGAAACTATTATCTCTGAACTTCGTCGACATATTTATATGTTTTTGCCGTGTGTCTTCTACTACGTCTGGTAACTTATCCTATATCAGTGTTTTCTTTTTTGGGAAGAAGAAGAAATCACTGTGCGCTATTATAAAAACGATAAAAAAGTGAGGTTTTTATGATATTATTTCTAGTAATGACTGAATCTTGCAAGAAAGGAAGAGTCATCTCTGTGGTATGTCATTTATTTTAAATCACATGCAAACTATCTGATGATCAGGATAGTGGATTCTGTTCTTCTTCACCATCGTTGAATAAAGACGTTCAAAAGCAGAATTCTGACATCAAAAACAAGATAATTTTGCAAGGAACGTACAGAACTTTACTTGTTATTAACATTCTTGAAATTTTGCATGGTGAAATAATGCATTAAACAAATTTAATGCATTGAAACAAATATACGTGATGTTCCCCCGCCTCCTCCGCAGGCCCTTTTCGGGCAAATATGGTGGGCGGTGATATTTTGCGGGTAGAAATCTGAAATCGCCCGAAATTCTCCCAGCGCCTGCGGAGGAGGTAGGGTGTTCCCACCAGTGAACTGCATGGTTCCCACAAATTGATTCAAATTGATTATTATTTATTTAAAAGAATTCACAGTCTGTGATTGGCTAATAGCCATGTGTGAAATAGAGATTACTTCATGGTTAATGTAACGTACGATTTTTATTCACGAGTTGTGGAATATCCTATAAAACGAACGAGCGAGGTACGAGCGAGTGAGTTTTAGCATATTCCACATATTCCATGATGTAATTTGTTTATTTTATAAATATAGAGATTTCTTACTTGAAAAAAACTCGCAAAATAAAAATTTTGACTTGGAAGCCAATCTAGTGCATGCATGTCTCGATGAAATCAACAACACAAAATTAATCATTCAAAGTGAAATTCAAAATCACAAAATATTCTATAAATGACAAAGCCAAACTCAATTATTCTGAACAATACTATCAACATATAAAAGACTTTGAATTTGGTCCTGTAACAGCTAGTTAAATAAAGTTAATCTACTCATTGTCAGAGTCGCTGTCCAAAGGTTTCAGTCGCTTCCAAGTTTGTTTCTTCGCTGAATTTACTGAAAACGTCGGTGACTGGTTGAGAGTATTTATGTTTATGGAAAAATTGCCGCCTTGAATGACAGCTCCACTAAATAGATCCATACTTTGCTTTTGAGCAGATGAGGAGGACGAGCGAGCCGCTGTTTCAGTCAGCGAGGATGACGAGTTTCCTGCCGCCAAACCGCTCAATAACTTGGACATATGCATTTGTTGATTTGTCGACACAGTGCTGTAGTTTTCAATACTTTTCAAATTCTTAAGCCTTGGTCAAACGGCCGCAACATTTTGTTGCAACATCGTCCAACAATGTTGGAACAAAATGTTGCGGTCGTTTGACCACCCTTTTACAGAATGTTGCATGATGTTAGAACATGTTGCGTTGAGTTTGACTCCAGTCAAATTTTTACGCAACATTTTGTCACAACTTCTGGAGTTGCGATCGTTTGACCACTTGCAAACAACATTGTTGTCGTTGGGCATGCGCATCAGACGTTCTTGGCATGAAATTTGAATACAAGATGGCGGCCATATTGCTCACCTAGGCAACATATCCCGGGAATGGCAACATATGCCGGGATTGGCAACATGTCAAAGATGACGAAGGTTGGTACGGTTTGACCAGTCTGGTCGAATATGATGACAACAAGCCGCAACATGTGCCAACCATGTTGCATGATGTTGTGTGGGTGGAACATCACTCTCACTGAGTCTGTGGACCATTGTTTTTCGGCCGCTGTGATTCCGTAGTCGGCTGTTCTCAATTCCTGCATTTGCAGCCATCCTCTTTACCAAACTATTAAGTTTGTTCACGCCTACGGCAACTGGTTTAAACCACGCTTTAGTTTCGGCGGAATCTGTAGCTTTAAAATTGTTAACTGACAAGTAAAAGGGGGCATCATCGTAATTCATTTCTTGAGGTCTTTTCTGTGAGAAAAATTTATAAACTGCAACAGGATCTTTTTCGCTTCTATCGGTTGCAAACATTTTCGGCGGAACTGTTCGAACATCACGGTAGTCTGAACCAGTCCTAGTTTTCGTTTGCCTTTCATTAAACTCGAGATATTCTTGTCCTTGGGCTGTTTTGTGAAGCTTCACATCTCCCCAGCACATGTCACGATGTTCCTTGCAACCTCTGAGACCAAAATGAAGACAGTTGTTTAACCAGAGTGTGTTTAACAATGCCTCAGGGCTTTCAATACCGAGTAGTTTCCTCTCGTATATTATTTGTATTTCCTCATTTGTCAACGCTACCGATGCGTTCGGCTTGTTTCCTTCTCCCTGTTTCTTTAGCATTTTTTGCTTAGACCTGAGGACTTTCATCGTTTGTTCGAATACCAAATCGTTTATGATGCTTGAAGGATAGCTTTTACTTTTTAAGTGCCGTTCAAAGCTCGTTACTAAACTTCGAAGCGACGTTGGCTCGAACTCCTTGCCGTCTTTCTTGCGAACTGACATAATAAACTCGGAAAGGTACTTGTTTAGTACCGTTGCTGGGATTTGTTCAATTTTTCGCTCTTCGCTTTTCGTTCTGAGGAAGCTTTCAAGTAAATGAACATCTCTTCGAGTTTTTTGCCAAGTACTTTTATTTTCTTGGTCTAAAATGAACTTTTCAGCAGAGCACGACTGTGAAACAAATCGCTTTTCGGCCATAATTTTTTGGCTTGTTGACAGAAAATAAGTGAGTTTTTCTTCACCAGTGAAATTTTATCGTTCGCGAATTCTATTGGACGAACGAAGTTTTTTCACGGTGAAGAAAATCGTTCGCGTTTCCTATTGGCCGAAATTTTAACAATACGATTTTTATTCACTGTTAATTCTGTGAAGAAATCTCTATATCTATATGATAAATCGTCATATCCAACGTGTGACGTCATAACGTGTGATACGACTTTTTTTAGTGTGATAAATAGTCGTATCCCACGTTTGACGTCACACGAATGGCGAAGACATCAACACAATGGCTTCCTCAAGTGAAAGGTTTGGCAACTTTGAGGAATACATGTTCGTTCTTTTAAATGAATAATAAAACATTTATTGAATTCGGTTTTCACATGATATGAAGAATTATCAAGTCTCAGTTTGTCATTATCAACCTCAGCCTTCGGCTTCGGTTGATAATGACAAACTTCGGCTTGATAATTCTTCATATCATGTTCAACCTCATTCAATAATTGCTAATTATTACATATTACATTTATTCGGGTTTTTTCTTACTATTGCCATTAACAACAGCTCTGTAAGATCTCCTGGGGCCGGTTGTTCAAAAGCCGGTTAGCTTAACCCCGGGTTAAAGCAGATCTTTACATTAATTTTGGTAATCGCTTGTTTACAAAGTTTGAATATCTTTTTTCATAACTATATTCTGGACCGATAGAAGTAATATTTTCTAAAGTTGTAAAACTAATAGTGGTTCAGAAGTACATAAACTAAAACACTGGTTTAAAATTTAACCCAGGGTTAGCGCTAACCTAGCTTTGAACAACTGGCTCCAGGTGGTTTCATAGAAAGAAACTTTTAAAACACTGATTTACCTCCTGGTGATTCTTAACTTGCGAACAGCCAGTTTGATAGAAGAATTGCCAGACGGCGCAATTTTGTTCTTGATTTCGCCTGATTTCTGCCAGTTTTTCTTAGTGAAATATAATACAAGGAGTATAGTTTCATTACGATATACAGTGTTTCCCCTTCACTTACAAAGTGTATGGAATTTAAATTATTTGCTACATCCATGATTTACATTTTGCTTCATGGATTAACATTTAGTAAGCAGGCATGATTTCACCAAAAGTATTTTGGGGAAGACCGGTAAACCCTGTTTAACACGCTGGAAGTCTGGAACCTAGGTATTTCCCTCTCCCTTGTCTGCCCCATCGCAGTCCTTAAATATTTTCTGCCAAAATCCGCTCCGTGAAGATTCAGAAGAACGGAATGAATCATGCAGTAAAATCATGTCATGATCTGTTTTCCCCTGTTTTCTTTCGATTAAAATTTCCTGAATCCACAGATTTTTTAAATTTTCCCTTTTTTTCACAGATAGAGGTTTTATGAAGTAAACTGACATAAAGTAACCGAAGTTGTTGACGAGTGAACTGTTAAAAGGTAAAAATTCTGTAAAAAAAGTAAAACGTTGTTGTTTCCGTAGCATAACAAACCGTAACAAACAATTTTCGACCTAAATACTCGACGTTGCTGCGGTCACAGTAGAAATTGTCTATGATAAACTTTTCGTGAGAATAATGATTTGGTGGATTATAATAGCAATAGAAGATTTAGTGGAAATATTTGAGGGAACTGAAACAATGATTAACACTGATTCACCCTGATATTTCCTATAAATTCTTTATTATTTTAGTTGACCAATAAATTGCAATAAAACGGATACAACTAAATACTATGTGGACATAGACGTCGTTCTCAAGAACGCCCTGCTTCCACGCTTTGAGGTTTTCCCATAAATTAGTAGCGTTTGCACGATTGCGTTATTATGAAAACGTTCGCCGTCGTGTGCATGTAAGTGGTTAAAGTCGTTTTATGCTGCAAATTTTACAGCATGGATCAACTTTGTGAGCGGATTTTTAACAACGTGGTTGTTGACCTAAATCAAATTGATGGAAAAGCTGTTTTGTTTTTTGCTGCCGAAAACGACTATGGATGGGTAGTGAGGCAGCTATATTTCCAAGGCCTTGACCTCAACTTAACTGATGACCAGGGAAAAACTGCTGTGTTTTATGCTAACGAGAACAAGAGCATGGATGCACTTTGTGAGTTGATTATTAATGGTGCAAAATTTAATTTGAATGAAATTGATGGAAAAGCTGTTTTGTTTTTTGCTGCTGAAAACGATTATAGACAGATAGTAGAGGATTTATATTTCAAAGGCCTTGACCTCAACTTAACTGATGACCAGGGAAAAACTGCTGTGTTTTATGCTAACGAGAACAAGAGCATGGATGCACTTTGTGAGTTGATTATTAATGGTGCAAAATTTAATTTGAATGAAATTGATGGAAAAGCTGTTTTGTTTTTTGCTGCCGAAAACGATTATAGACAGATAGTAGAGGATTTATATTTCAAAGACCTTGACCTCAACTTAACTGATGACCAGGGAAAAACTGCTGTGTTTTATGCTAATGAGAACAACAGCATCGGTGCACTTTGTGAGTTGATTAGTAATCATGCAAAATTTAATTTGAATGAAATTGATGGAAAAGCTGTTTTGTTTTTTGCTGCCGAAAACGACTATAGACAGATAGTAGCGGATTTATATTTCAAAGGCCTTGACCTCAACTTAACTGATGACCAGGGAAAAACTGCTGTGTTTTATGCTAACGAGAACAAGAGCATGGATGCACTTTGTGAGTTGATTATTAATGATGCAAAATTTAATTTGAATGAAATTGATGGAAAAGCTGTTTTGTTTTTTGCTGCCGAAAACAATTATAGACAGATAGTAGAGGATTTATATTTCAAAGGCCTTGACCTCAACTTAACTGATGACCAGGGAAAAACTGCTGTGTTTTATGCTAACGAGAACAAGAGCATGGATGCACTTTGTGAGTTGATTATTAATGATGCAAAATTTAATTTGAATGAAATTGATGGAAAAGCTGTTTTGTTTTTTGCTGCCGAAAACAATTATAGACAGATAGTAGAGGATTTATATTTCAAAGGCCTTGACCTCAACTTAACTGATGACCAGGGAAAAACTGCTGTGTTTTATGCTAACGAGAACAAGAGCATGGATGCACTTTGTGAGTTGATTATTAATGATGCAAAATTTAATTTGAATGAAATTGATGGAAAAGCTGTTTTGTTTTTTGCTGCCGAAAACAATTATAGACAGATAGTAGAGGATTTATATTTCAAAGGCCTTGACCTCAACTTAACTGATGACCAGGGAAAAACTGCTGTGTTTTATGCTAACGAGAACAAGAGCATGGATGCACTTTGGGAGTTGATTATTAATGATGCAAAATTTAATTTGAATGAAATTGATGGAAAAGCTGTTTTGTTTTTTGCTGCCGAAAACAATTATAGACAGATAGTAGAGGATTTATATTTCAAAGGCCTTGACCTCAACTTAACTGATGACCAGGGAAAAACTGCTGTGTTTTATGCTAACGAGAACAATAGCATGGATACACTTTGTGAGTTGATTGGTCATGATGCAGAATTTAATTTGAATGAAATTGATGGAAAAGCTGTATTGTTTTATGCCTCTAAAAATGAAAAGAACGATGTAGTAGCACCATTGCATGACGCGGGCCTTGACCTCAACATAACTGATGACAAGGGTAGGACGGTTGTGTTTAATTGTGATCACGATTTTCTGGAGACCTTAATGTCAGTGGATGATGCAGTTGTGATAAATGCAAGAGATAGCTATGGTAGAACTCCATTGTTCTGTGCTCTTCAGGATTTCTTCCTAAAAGAAGCCCAGTCCCTTGTTGAGAACGGTGGGAACCTTAAGTTAAGAGACAACTGCAACGTTGACATCTTTTTTTTCTTCGTCGAAAACTGTTTTCACAAGGATATAAAAGCATTGCAGTTATTTACATCTGAATTATTTAAAGAGGAGCAACAACGGAAAGCGTTGATTCTTGCTATATTTGACAATATCTATTGTCAAATTCCCCTGCTGTCCGTTGATAGTTCTTCTCACTTGTCAAAGTTATACAAGATTTTTAACAAATCAAATATTTTAGAAGCTTTGGCCTTTGCTCGCCATCAATGCCCTCTAATTTATAATGCTGAGAAGGTAGAAAATATTGACCTGATGGCTTCCATCATGAGGGAAGAAAACATCGATGTACCGCGTATTTTATTCTTGCTCAGCAAACTCGATGCCAATCCCAATGCGGCAGATTCAGCGGGAAATACAGCTGTTCACTATGCGGTCATTTTGCCACTCTTTGGCGTAACGCAAGAGGCCGTCATGGATATGCTTAAGTATCTAAAGAAATTTGGAGCCTCCTTCAATCTGAGGAATCACCAAAACCAAACGCCTCTGCTATTTTGTTTGTCATCCCATAACTGGAAAGCCCTTGCATTGAACAAAAATCGGGAGTCTTCAATGAAAGGGTTGGTGAAGGTCTTTGGATTTTTGTTGAACAATGGTTGTAATATTACCGAGATATCGCAGAATGCAGAGTCTATTTTTCATCGGATAATTTTTCTTATGAAGGAGTGTCTCGAACTAAATGAAGACGCATCAAGAAAGGTTGGTTCACAAGTACTGTTCGAAATTTTCATGCTAATCTCCCATCCGAATCAAGCAGTTGTTTTTAGCGTCGCGAACAGCATTGATTATCAGTTAAACTCTCCACTACATCTTTGGGCGTCTGTTGCATTGAAATCACAACACGATTACGCTAACCTTGTGACTGAAGAACACATGTTTGAGAGCTTTATGAGAACACTTTTTGATCATCTTTTGAAATGTGGAGCAAGACTCAATCTTCGCAATGGAAATGAACAAACTCCTCTGCATGTGAGCAGAACGTGGATCGCTGTGAAGTTGTTGTTAGAAGCTGGAGCAAACCCGAACGACATGGATGCATCGGGACGTTCACCACTCCTTTCTGCAGCTATTGACAAAAACTGTCCGAGGAAAACAGCTTGTTTTTACCCTGATATCACTGAAGACCCAGAAATGTTCTGGGAAAATGTTCTCGAAAAAGGACTTAATTTCTGGGTTCTTGACAAGAAGGGAGTATCTCTTTTAAGCGCTCTTATTGATTCTGAGGAATTTGCTCTCACAAGAGCTTTGGTTGAAGTTTCCTGCAAAAAAAACTACGCCACCGATGAAGTAAAGCTTTCGTTTTTAAATATCATATATAAGGACAGGTCTGAGCATACACATTGGAAGACTATTTTGGTTGAAATTATTTTAAGCTCAACTAGAACGAACGATATTTCTTTGGATTCACCTCTTCGTTTTTGCTGTAAGAACATTATTGAACTTGGTGTGTTGGATGTCAAGCCACATTCTGTACAGGAAAATGCGAACAACGGACCAAGCAATGATGATGGTCAACCACCTCCAAAGAAAAGAAAGAAAAGTGAATCGTCAGAAGAGGAGGAAGGGAAAGGAGATCGATTACGCTCTGATTCTGTTCATTGTAAAATTGTGGCGCAATTGCTTTCACGCGGAGCGGATATTCACATCCACGACTCGTCTGGTATATCTTGCCTCGACATTGCAAAGGATTGTCTCCCTCTTCAGAATCTTCTGCAGAAACCAGTAGAAACCGATACTCTACCAATTCGTATTCCCTGGGCGTCCACTTCGGACAGATTTAGAGAAAAACTGGCCAAAGTCGCCAGACAGCAGGAATGTAAAATACTGAATCAAATTTGGTATCACAAAGATCTGATAGGAAGTGGCTCATTTGGTGATATTTTTGCTGGAATCAATGAGAAAGACGGTAGGGAAGTGGCCGTGAAACGAATCGTCAAATTGCGTATGCAGCGACCAGAAGATAGGCGAGAAATAGAAAATCTCACAGCTCTTGCTGACTGTCAACAAGTTGTTCGTTATATATCCTGCTTTGTTAAAGGCGATTTCTTCTTCATAGTCTTGGAGCTTATGGAGGGAAATCTCGAGGAGTATCTGAGTGGATGTACTTTAAATGCCATGAAAGCAACTACCCTTTGTAGAGATATAGTCAAAGGACTTAAGTTTCTGCACAAACATAATATTCTTCATCGTGATCTTAAGCCTGGAAATATTCTTTACAAAGAACATCCAAAGCTTTGCTTAAAAATTGCCGACTTTGGTCTAAGCCGTAATAATGAAAGGGTATCCACTACAACAGTGTATGGTACACTTGCTGGTACCAGGTGTTGGATGGCTCCTGAAGTGGTAAAGAACAAAATCCGTCATGAGCTGGCATCAGACATATTTTCATGTGGACTGCTCCTGCACTACATTCTTTCGAAACAGAAGCATCCATTTAGTCCCACTGATTGTTCGAACAAAAGTGAACTGCAAGTTTCCTTTGAAACAGAAACGAACATATTCAATGATAAACTGGAAGGATGGGATGTCTCTCTTTCTCCTGAAGCCACTCACCTGGTAAAGCGAATGCTTGGAAGCAATGAAGGTGACCGGCCAAGTGCACAAGAAGCACTAGAGCATCCTTTATTCTGGTCGAATGGGAAGAAAAAAGATTTTCTAGAAGCTGTTGGTAATCAGGAAGAATTCAAGCGTTCTCGTGCTAAGAGAATCCCATCTTTGACTCTCGTGGAGACGGACTTGGAGTCAAGCTTTGGGGCTATTGTCAAACATGGAAGGTGGACGAGCTCTCAGTATACAAACATGCCTCAGATTTATAGTGAGATGACGAAAGGAAAATGGAGAAAATCTTATGACACCTCGTCTGCTGTGGAGTTAGTACGTTTCATTCGAAATGTGTACGAACATTCCGATGGCATAACCCTAGCACCTCCAGTATCAATCACGGACTTGCTGTTCAAAGACTTCGTGTTTTTGGAAGATTTTCCTCATCTTGTGATGGAAGTTTACAAAGCTGTAACCGCTCATGGCTGGGACAAGGCAAGAGATGATATCAAATTTGCCATGAACAAGGAGTAATAAGGTAAACGTAATGCGAAAATTTTGATATTTTAAAACGTCTTTGAAAAACTGTGACGTTTTAAAGTGCATGTTTTATAGAGCAACAACCAATTTGAAGAACCAATTTTTTTCCACTCGTTTAAAAGTACGAGAGTAAACACCAGCTGTATATTAACCCTAAAGAACATAACCGGGACACGGGACAAACAAACGTATAAGTCAAAAAGGAGAATCTTGAGAGTAAAGCCTGCAGAATGTTACAAAACCAAAATGATAAGAGTCAGTATTTCAAACATCTTAATGTATAAAATTTCATATGCAAAGCAGTTTTTAAAACTGTTCCTATTCTTTTTTGTGGCCGGTTTGTGTACATGTTAGGTCCGTCAGACGTGGCAAAATCGAATATAAAGTTCAACGTCCTAAACGAGCCTTACTCAACTTGGGTGCAGCTTGGGTCGTTGGTTGAAAAAACACTTTTAATACTCCGTGAACCTTGTAAGACGTGGAACAACATGGTTGAACAACCACGTGCCGAACAGTGAACAACAAAATTGCCAGAGTCATACCCAGTACCCAACAACAAGCACCACAAGCGCAATTCTTACACCAATTCTTGGTTCATCATTTTCTTTGGCGTGTCAAAGTTCGCGACGTTTTATTCCATGACTTTCGTGACTTTCCCTCGAAATTCAGGTTCCAGCCGGCTAGAGAAATATTTGAAAATTCGGCTTCTGCGCATCGGTTCTGCTCACAACATTGGGGGATTCCATGTCAGACCATGATTTAGAAATTGCCCAATCTCTTATTCCTTAGAAATATAGTGAACTGAAATGTTAATTAATTTTCCGAACAGTATATATGTAATTTTCAGGACAGTATATTTTAAGAGATACGATAAACTAACAACCGTTTATGTAATGTAACGGTTTGTTTAATTATGCTATGCTAATGTACCGAATGCCTACGAAAATTTAATGGTGGGTTCCACCCTTCATGGCTTAATCCTAGCCCTTTTTTTCAATAGATTTATTCCTTTTAAACGTACAAATGTTTTTTTAGCGAATTATATAAAAAAACTGTTAGAATTGACTTCTTGATGTGGGCTCACCCCCGCACATAAATATACAGGTATCAGCATATGATACATGATTAGTTTTGGAAAAGATGCATCAGAATCTATTTATTTTCCGACATTGAATATAATGGAATTATCACCTTCATATTTTCGTCCATTAAAACAATTTCACTCGTTCGTGTGGCTATGATGCGATACAGTCAAGTACAGCATAATCCATCCAGACCAGTCAGACCAAAGTTCTACTCAAACAAGAGGAATGAGCAAGTTCGTAATCGCACGAGGCAAAGAGCGAGAGTGCGTGTCATAACTGAGGCCAGGCTGAGGCATATGGCTCTTTTCACACTTAATAAATTATAACAGAACTTGGACTACACATGATGGGTAGACTAGCTATGATGCGATACAAGCCGTACTTTCATAGTCCAGTCAGTGAATCAAAACCGAGAATAGCACTAGCAGGTATGATTTTCTTTTTTTGCATTGTTATCATTTAATATACACAATAAATAAACAATCTTCGTTTTACACAACAACGATAATTTTACTATTTACAAACATTCATTTTAATTTAGCAGCTTTTTTTTACTTGGTTCGTTCTAAAAGCACGATGAGTTCACAATATCGCGTCTGGGGAAACAGATCAATTGGTAAAGCTTTGACAATCTGAAATGGATCACCTTTTGTCCGCTTCGACATCGGACGGCACAACCTGAAAATGTAGGTACATTTTTATACAGTTATAGTGCAGTATAATTAAATATATGCATAGACCTACGAGGCAGGGGCGGGGTGCATGGGGGCAGCTGTCCCCCAGAAACATTTGAATCTAAAAAGTTGGACAAATTGTTACTGATCTTACCAAGATTCGGTCAATATTTGCTAAAATCCGTGAAAGGTCCGGCAATTTGTACTTGTAACTCGGGGATTTTTTGCTCAAATCATTCGCCTGCCTCGTAAAATTTTTAGGCCAGTACGCCTATTCATGAATATAGTCTAAATAGACTTAATTTGATACTGAATAGCGAGTAGGTTCCAATATAACCAAGGAGCAGCGTGGCAGCGTCTTCAAACAACTTAATAGCAAGTAGTTACATATAGCTATATATAAGAAAAAGAAATAATAATTCGATGCCTTGAGACTAATCAAATGTCGTGAGGGAAAGAGGAAATTGTTCGCCTTGATCTGCTTCATAGGGCAAGTATCCACCCAAACCAAAGTTCTACTCAAACAAGAGGACTGAGCGAGTTCTTGATCGCACGACGCCAGGAGCGAGAGAGTGTCGATCATAACTGCCATTCTCGTATAACTCTTTCCTCACTTACGATATGAAATCCTTTATAACAGAACTTGGACTACATGACACGTAGACTAGCTTCTGAATTCTGGAACAGCGACGGACCGCCTGAAGAACTTTACCATCTGGGGAAAGATCAAATCACAAAGAGGTTTATATATTACGTATTTCCAAAAATGTTCAATAAACATCAGGTTATCTAAGGGTTATCTAATTATTAAATGATTTCATAGTTCATCTCATATATCCATTGAAAACGAGAAAGTGAAAAATGAAGCTAAAAGACCTTTCTTATAATGACATCAAACGCGGAAAGTCTGATGTTACACGAAATTTAATCGGCTCCACAAAACTATCCAGCCAATCAAACTTCGTGTAACATCAGACTTTCCGCGTTTGACGTGATTATGAAAAAGGTCTATTGAGCCATAATCATGGTGACCATGCACTATTTGTGTGAATGATCTATCCAGATCATATTTACAGGTCAATGCGCTTATCATCCTGTACAAATTAGATGAAAGTTACGTACGACAGCCAGCTCGGGGTGGATCAAGTATTGCAATCACTTCAGAATCTTCTTCATCCAAAGCGATCGTTGTCTTGACAATTACGTCTTCAGCTTTACCACAATGATATTCCACGTTACTGATCCCTGCGTACAAGACAAAAGAGTACAGATTACTTGAGAGCCAAAACTTATATGAAAGACAAAAGTAAGGTTCATCTAGTATTTCATTTACAATTATGTCCAGTACATACCATTTAACTGAGCGTTAAATTTTGCATCTTCGACTGCCTCTTGGCATAATTCGATCCCAATGACTTGCTTTGCATTCTATATATTACATAAAATGTATGTTATACTCTACGATAAATGATGATAAGAAATTTAAGTATTGAATATCTTCCAACGTGGTTTCAATTATCCAACCTTTGCCATAGATAAACCAATAGTTCCTGTACCGCAACAAACATCTGAATTCGAAGAAATATTTAACTTAATTGTGATTAATGCTTAAAATCAAATCGCGGATATACACTGAATGCATTCAGTCATGATTCACCTAAAATCACTGTATCAGATGACACGTTGCTCCAGTCTTGAATGGCTTTGTAAAGGATCTCGGCAGATTTTGTGTTCACTTTTTAGAAGAGAAAGAAACAACCGGTGATTATGCATATTTCGCAATGTGGGTTAGCGTTTTGAATGGATGGTAAAATAACCTTTCTTAAACCGGCTTTTTAATCAAACTTTAATACAAGAAGTATCAAAAACCTGCATGCACATGCCATAATTTTTATGAACAAAATCACACATGAGGATTTTAATTGCTGTGAAACTACGATTCTGGGATTTGTTCACTTTGTGCTTTTTTTACAGTACTGTATAGCTACGTTGGAACGTTTTTACAAATCACAAAAGGGTAACTGGTTGCACAACCGTTGAAATCTAATATGTATGATCTCGTGCATACAATTTCTGCTATGTACAGAGAAGACCTCTTGAAGGACTTTACATATTTCAGACTGTATTTTGAATGCATGTGCGAACACAACAAAGACAACAGAATTAGTCATTTCAATTCATTATCTATTGTCCTTAATCCTTATCTGGCTAATGTGAAATACCGCGTATAAAAAGGACTAAAGTTGAACATCGTCATTATAGTCCCGTGAGGATACCAAATAAAACAAAAGACCAAAATCTAATTGAAAATTCAACGTCGTTGATTTTACATGGTCATTTGAAGTTTGGTTCGAGTCGTGATAGGTTATAACGAATCTGTTGGTTTTATATGTTCAATGAAACAGCCCAGGTTTTCGGATTGAACTGGCAGTGCTGAATAATCTCAAGAGTAGGCAATCAAGAAACGTTTGGGCGTGAGATTTGACATTAAAGAAAGTTTAAATCCTCACGCCAGTCAAAGTTAATGTCTGGATTTCAAGCACTGTTTTCAATCATGATCATCGAAACGTGTGTTCAGGCAATACTAATGATGACAGTAATACAGAGTTGGCAGCTAAAAGATGGCTCCAATTATGTAAGAAAGGTAAATATATAAATTAGTGTCATTATAAAAGTTGAGCGCTATATTATGCTTGACATGTTAACAGTATATGTAGATTAGATCTTTTGCAACACCCTTTTAACTTGAGAGGTCGGCCATATTGGCAAAATTAGAACAAAAGAACCTATACTTCATATAATTGTATTTTATCGTATTTTGAATCATTAATTATATTTTGAACGTTGGCCGCAATTAAACGAAAGATTCCTTTTTTCTGAATTTCATTTCACGTCGAATAACCAGGGATGACTTTATATGAACACCCGCTATAATAGCATACTATGTCTACGTATATGCCATTGTTTACATAACATTACCTTGGAAAAACGCGTGAGGAGAGATACGGAAAGTCAGGTCACATAACTTCTCATATATGTACTAGAAAATCGAAGGGGAAAAATCAGAAAAAATTTATAAAAATAAGCCCACATTTTGATTGTAAATGTATTATGCTGATCTATATAATATTATATAAAACATAAACACACCTGTTCTCCTAAAACATGTTTCAAAATATTTCCACTAGTGCCATCTGTTTTTCTATGCACAAGAAAATGTTTATCATCAAAACTGTAATTTTAATTTGCTCATACACTATTGTATATGTAAAATTAAGCTGGGTACATTTTCCTTACCTCGCAGAGGCAATTTCGACATGCATAGAAGTCAACTTGATTATATTTTGATCACGAAAATATTTTGTTAATTTCTCAATTTCAGACTCGATTTCATTCTGCGGGAAAAGAAACACGACAAGTCGAATAAAAAAAGTAAGTTTTATAAGAGCAAGCTTTGGTATAGGCAAACATCGCCAAAATGATGGAAATTTTTAAATGCTTTGTCACAATACGCAGGTTAGCAGCAACTGTCGACGTTTCGACTGACGTGAGTGAGCTATATAAAGGCTTCGTCATTAGAGTTTGTCATACTCTAAACGCATACTCGCATGAAGGGGGCCTTAAGTCGAAACGTCAGAGTGTTTTTGTCAAAGTGTATTTTAGGCATTTATAACGCATTAGTTATACCACGTGTTATAACACGCGTAGTCGGGATAGGTCTAGGTAGTCGGCTTGCCTGGTGAGGTCTTTGGTGATTTTAAAATTCACGTAATTGTGCAGAAATGAAAAGTAGGCGTTAAGGAATATTGTGAGAAGTATGATGATGACAAAACAAACATATGATAAAGGTAATTTATTACTTATTTTAAAAAAATTCACAGCCAGATTGGCTAATAGCCATGTGTGAAATCGTGTGATGTCATAACGTGTGATACGACTTTTTTCTTGCACGTTACTACGTCATAACGTGTGATAAGTGGTCGTATCCCCCACGTTATGACGTCACACCAATGGCGAAGACATAAACGTCCCAAAGGAGCGGGGTTGTGATTTTAAAATATTATTATAGTCGTACATAAATTGTATATCACAAATCCATAAAGAAATACACAATACATGTACAATATAATATATAAATACCTCGGTCATATCATGGTCGGGTGATATCTGAATAATACACATGATATCTCCGTTAAGGTTCACTCTAACTGTTAACTGCTTCCAAAACCTATATACGAGGTACATTAATTGTGCAACGCATGTATCAAACTATGATCGACATAAATAATTACACCAAAGTTTTATCGTACAGCAGCTGCATGTGTCTTGCGTAAATGAAATGATTTTCCTACCCCTTGTTTTTACTTGGATCAAAAACATCCAATGGCGATTCTCTGATATAATTTTGAAGTTCCTGAATAATGTTATGTGCAAAGATAAGTATCAGGAAAATTTCGTAACTTTAGAATGAGAGGCTAATTGGGAAACGTTCCTCCAAAAACTATTTGGAAATTCAAGGGTGATACAAGTTTGGAACAGTAATTTGAGTATTTTAAGATGTAGCAGTGGAATGGTTAATGTACCGACGAGAATAGCGTCGGCCGAGAATCGAAGTTGATCAGTTAAGGAACTTTATACTCACTTGCGCTATGTCTTTCATACCCTGTGGGATATGAGAACATTCTGTTGGTTCAGCAACAGCAGAACTTCCCTCTGTAAAGATTATATTGTTTATTCTGCATAATAACGCAGCCAAATTGAACATTCATCAATGCTGGCCAGAATAATTAATTATATAAATTTTTGAAAAAACAGTTCACCTTTATATGCTGCCAACCGAAATCCAATCGTTTTGCCTTAATTAAAAAAACAAAATTTTTTGACCCGAGTCTTCCCACAAATAGTGTGTAGGAATTATGATTTAAGCCAGGTAACTGCTCCTAGTTACGACCAGATAAATTTCATTCCTATACTCAGGACCTCTGGTAATTAATAAGCTAGTTAAGAGTGCAACTCACCACTCTCTGCTATTCCTGGACCAATTGTGAACTCGCATTTATTACGATAATCTTCGTACACCGGCTAAGAATTTAATAAGTGATATTATAGCTATAAATCGCCGAGTCTGAGTTTTTGAAGAATTGATATTGTAGATATAGTTTCATTACCGAAGGCAACAATTTTTCAAGCGGACAACACATGCCATCATATTGAGATCTATAGAAATAGATGCAGATTATGCTTTTAAAATCACATCATCATCAGTACTTCAAAAGTACAGTAATATAATAAATATCGCTGATGTGATAATATACTAGATATAGCAATTATATATACATGTCAATAGAAAATAACATAGCCAGCGTAGCCACAGTTACCAGACTTGCAGTAATACGCAGTCTCAGAACAAAGTGAAAGAAAAATGTTACTTTACGGGCGCTGCTATAAATCCACCACTTTAAGACTGAATGTTTAGAACCTAATTCAAACTGAAACCTAACTATTACAATATATAGTTTCTCAGAAAGATGCTCTGCTTTTGGGTTCCCTAATGTTTCATTTTCAATCGGATCTCCGGTAATTTATTACGTCTGGTAAGAGTAACTTCTCCAACTGGCTCTTGGCCTTATTGTGTGCAAAAGTCGATCCAATGCATGACCTTTCCTTAACATTGATAACTATTTTTTGTGTGGCAATAACATTAGTTGCATGTTAATTTTCATTTTTTTTCTCTCCTTGATTTCATGTTTACTTATGATATCTTCCTTTCAAATATGCACGTTTAAATTCACACTACCTGTTTTGTCTAACCCAGTGACCCTAGAAATTGAGCACAAGAAGATCCTTTAAACTTGCAAATACTAAGTCAAATGTTTAAATAAATAAATCAGATTTTATAGATTATGCTATAATTGGTACCACATTTGCAGCATTTAATTCTTTAGTTATCTTCTTTAAAACTTGGGACATAACATCATATTTCATCTGTAATGATAGAATATCATAAACATTAGAACTACATGAAATCTGTATAATCACACCAAAATAATTAAAAACAATAAATATCATATGAATAAAACCAGTTTGACTGTGCCACTACTTGCTTTTTGCTGCTCTTCATAGCACATATTCCAAAGTGGTGTAACAACATCTCTAATCCTGAATGAATTTAGGGTAGGTACAAAATATTTGACAATCACAAATTAACATTGCAAAGTAAAAGCTCAAGCTTTTCATGGTTTAAGTAAAAAGTAAATCCAACCCTTTCATATCACCAGCATCTGTTTGCATTCCGTCTTGATTCTCATTTGAATCTTTCGTTTCAGTATGATCTACATGAAAACAAATATATTCAATTTTAGATTTAATAGACACTATAGCAATCTCATGATAGAGAGATACCTAATTGTCTACCTTGAAGTTTCTTCTTTTCAAAAGGATCCTCTTTTGCTTTTGCAACCTAAAATCATAAATCGTAATCCCAAACTTAAGTATCATACCCTGATGGTCAGTTGTAGATAAATCAATCTATATCTATTTGGGTTAAAAGTATGGTAAACATATAAACCTTAGCAGTTAAAATTTTGTTTCTCCATTCATAATTTTGTAATGTCTTCAATGCTAGCTTTATTAAGAAAAATACAATAATTTAATATTTTGGTATCTCTTTCGATATACCCACACAAGTAAAACTTTCTCTCTAAGGAATTTTGAATGATATTAATGCACTACTCCATATGCCACTTGATTTGATGAAGTAACAAGACAATTAGCATGCCGACTGGTTGTAACTATGAAGCATGGTATAGTTTACCTCACGATCTTCCTCACACCTGGAATGTAGAAAAATTTCCTAAGTTGATATATATAAGCTTGAGTATATACAGAGCTATACATCGATCATATTAATTTTTTAACTGGAGAATAATGATCTAGCATCAAATAAAATAAGGCGAACACTTGCAAAAGTTTTTCACACATATTAAAATTATTTAAGAGTACGTACCATATGTACCAAAGCTAGTATGCTAACCAGATAAAGCACTTGCTACTTAGTTTGCATGCCGCCTAAAATATATTGCTTAGCTATGAAATATTATGTACAGTCAACAACCGTAGAGAATCCGACTAACTTGAAGGTGACAAAGGCAAAATTTCTTTGTGGCACCATTCTGACTTTCTTTGGTTGAAGTTTCAACTTTATAAGGAATTTCTTCAAATGCTAAAATAAATTATATATATGCTTACAAATATATCATCTGAGATATCAATAGCACCCTGCTTGTTGCAGGGAAATTTTTGTTCTGGTTGCATTCTCCATATATGCAAATTGATATACAAACCTTCATCGAAATGGCAACATATTTGCTGAGTTGGCAAAGTCTAGTCCAGATATTATCTTCAGAATTAAGATGTTGTGACGCTCCCCCGTTACAAACAAAAAAGGGAGACTTTTGCCACGGATTTATATGCATAGAATAGTTTATTAGTGTATTAGGTCTATACATATATAGTGCATGAGCCAAAGGCCAGACGTTTTTTTGAAAATAGAGAAAATACTTACACAAACTGAGTAACATTTTGGCAAATTACCGATCTCAATTTTGAATATTTCAGTTGTGTAATCTCTGTCCACACTAGTATAACCGCTAGACTGGCCTTCTGTCAGAATATCACCCTCCATATTGGAACTTTGAGAACTCTCCAAATCGTCTGTTTTACGATAATTTTCGCTCGTATTGGTCATCATGATTGCTATGAAGAATTTTAGTTGGGAAACCTCATCAAATTTATAATTAAACTCTATTTTTAAATATGCATTTTTATAAATAAGCTTTCTGGAAACTATAGTCACAGTAACTCTTTCAAATCTTTTAAATAATTTCAAATTCAATCTCCAATATATTAATAGATTGAATGATTGTAGCAATTAGTAAGACCGCGTGGAGCCTGGGTTGAGTTAGTGAAAGTTCAAATTTTTGGCGGGAAAGTAAGAATTGTTACTCAGTTACTGATTAGGCTGATTAGTCACATTGCTCTCAAGGAAGGCAAAGATACCGATTCATGATCGGCTTGTAAATTGTAAAATAGGGAATTTTCATCAATCTTACTGCTATTTGTTTATGAATTCGCTCAATCGGAAGAGCTTGGCATTAGTAAAAAAGTTTCTAACGCATTGGAATACCGCGACCGCGTATTAGGCTATAAATAATGGTAATTGCACTGAGTGGAGTGCAATTTTGCTTTTGTAATCACGCGTTTGATTTCACACCAAAATTGCACGACACGAAGTGCAATTTCCACTTTATTATATTCATTTTGAAATCATACAAAAAATTAAACAAATTCAAAACGATTTATTGGCTGAAAGAACTGTAAACGGTGTAAAATGCGAGTAATTTTCATCTATTTTTGTGAAGAAATTTTGCGGGGCATTTAAAAATTTAGAATAATAAAATTTTGTGCCATTTTCCCCTGTAATTTGACTGAAATACTAAATCTGATTGGTTATTGATTGTCGTGCAGAGCTTCAATCCTATTGGCTTATAAATTATGTGATTGGTGCTCAAAAATAGTGCGATTTCAGGAATTAATCACACTATTTTTAACGAATCAGATTGCAAGAAACTCAATTGATTTCAAAATGAGTATAATAAAGCCGGTAACCAAGTCCGCCCCTGTGCAGCCATGACGTGAGCACGTTCGTAGTCTGGCTTACTGATAACTACTTATTTCAACGCTAAACGCAGATGTTGTCCCGGTTGATGAAAATTGGGCTGTACTGATTAATGTACAACAACGTGAATAGTTTACAACATTAAGTTGCAAGACGTTGTTGACAAACCATGTTTGTGGTCTTCTTTTCATCCACTAGAACAACATACTAGCTAATTCCCTCTTGAGTCTTGAAATTTTAATTTCTCTACAAGTGTAATAGTCATTCTCATTCTCATATAAGCTCAAGTTAATGTTTCCTTCAGCTGAACTATATCAAATTCTTGAAAATCATATGTTATGTATAGGTTTTCTACACTGATAAAGGTAGTCGAATTGTGACAGTAGTTTATTCTCGATAATGAATCTGATACATTTCAATTTTCGTTACTATATATATATTTGTGTATGTTGTATTGTATTTTAGTTTTTCGTGGACATTTTCATTCTTCATACTGTATTGGAATTTCTGGTCTCTCTGCTTCAGCTAGCCGTTGCTTTATATACTACGGAGGAAAATAGAACAATTTCACTAAATTTGCCTACAACAATACAATGATACAACCAAATCAGGTCCCTAACCCCAATCCGAGCATCTTCAAACGTATTTCACTTAACATCACTGACCCTCCCCCTGTTCAGAATAGTAGAGATCCTTTACTTGGAACTTTTTCTGAGTGTAGGGGCAACTGTCCCCCTGTCCCCCCCCCCTAAGCTGGGCACCGTCCTTACTAACATGGGAACATTATGTCACACTGTCAATTCCAAAACTCTGCATGGTATTCTTCGGGCTCCCATTCTGTCAACGGTTCGTATGCGATGTGGTGGGGTGATATTTTTTCATCGTCATTTTTTTAACTCCCACCCGTGTCATAATGAACGGTCCTCAATGGTGCCGACACATAGGATGTGCCATTGGATTCTTAAAATCATGACCTTTATGACTATCAGATTATGTGGGTGAAAAATAACTTGAATATTGTAAGCGCGATAACATGCCCAAGTTTGCGTTTCCTTTTCATACAAACTGTAAATGTGGCATAACAACTGCCTAAAACCAGAGAGGTAACTCTCTGACATGACAACGCCGTTACACGGGTCGAAACGTCGAGAAATGCTTTTATTTATGTTAGGCAGTTGTCATTTACCACATTTCGCGCTTCTCCTTGGTTACATTATACTGATGTATTATTACTCCGGCGTGCATGAGTGAAAATTCGCCTTGGTTTTTTTTTTTTTTTATTATTTATTTTCGTCGTCGCGTGTGTGTATCGTGTATTGGCGTGAAATATACTAGTATTTGAAATGTGTATGTGACCGTATTTATCCACCACGTCACAGTTTTGTCTCCCAAGAGTTGTGGCTCAGCTTTGGCTAATTTCCCGATGCGCGGTTTCAAGACTGGCACGTGCACGGCACGCCGGAGTTAACGTCTGAACAGGCGTCTTGTTATTATTATTATTACCTTGTACAATCTAGAATATTTCTTTAAACGGTCTTCTCTTGCTTGTGGAGTATTGATAGTCTTAGATACCTTTGAAATTCCTCGTTTTCCATTTTTTCCCGTTTTATCAAAAACAACCAGCAAACTATCAGCGTCATGTACGGTAAAGAGCAGAACAGCTAGAAATGTTACAATTAGCGAAATAGAGCGCATTTTAAGATATTCTTTTTAACGTAAGTTACGTTTCTTACTGTTCGGCTTCGGCGATCTTGTGATTTTCTTCAATGTTGCACTCCGTTATATATCGTCTCTTTAGTTGCAATTAATTCTTATCTCGCACTTGTTTCTATTATAGATAAGATCAAAAACGGAGCCTTTCTATATTTCAAATGTGAGGTAAAACGTCACATTCATAATATATCTGCCAAAACATGGTTTTTGGATTGGTGGATCTGTGTGTTAAGACAAGTAGTGGAAATCTACAAATAAAAAAAATAAATAGAAAATTAGAAATTAATTTTTCTTTGTGTCGGTTAAGAAACAATCAAGAACAAATAATGTTGTGGGTAGAATATATTGCCTTAATTTTCATCTAGTGGTTCACGCTGAGAACGTGGAAGTTTTTAGAAAGGAAATTAAAAACGTAAATACCTAGTGGATAACTTTTTAGCTACCTTAAATTTCTATACAAATCTAAAAAGAAATTTCAAAGTCGTACACACAATTATAGGGTAAATCATTTAAATATACTAAGTCGAAATCTATAGGGACTTCTAGTCGGTGCACCTGTTTATGATGTATTTAATAATATCAGATTTTAAATGTTATTAAGCAATGCTTTATGATTTGGGGCATCGTTATGTTATGTCTTCTCGATTTTGATCAAGGTTATCAATACTTAACAAAAAATGAAACGAAACGAGATAAAATGGTTGTATCATCCGGTGATATTATCTTAATTTAAATCGCGTTCTCGAATATGGCAACATGCTGGTACAAGATAACGACTGCTGTTATTATGAGTACACAACGTGAAATGAGTGAAAAACAATTCAGAAACGGTTAGCAACGGTTAGTTCGTCCGGTCGTTAGCAATAGCAATAAGAAACATCTTTAGGAAACATGTATGTATTCTTACCAGAAAACCGCCGAACCTCACAAAACTGGGATGGAATCCGGATGCACGCGCATGTCGCTCGACCAATTTCTTCATTCAATGAATTGTGTTTGAAACCGCCTTGTCACTGAGTCTGAGTCAGTGTAGCAAACAGGTTTTTACAACGATATGTTTTCATTTATTATCACATTGCTTTTTCACGGTTGTCATTTACGACGTGCCAACGAGTTGTCTAGTTAACAACTTTGTTAGCAATTTGTAATAGCCTACATGAGAATCCGACCACGTTCCTATTAAGTCAAGTTGTTGATGCATTATTGGTAGTTTTTAGCCGGTCCAAGTGCACTGCCAAGTGCACTGCCTTAGCGTTTGATCCACCGTAAGCGGTAACGAATCTTTCCGACAAAGCATCTTGCATTACAAGCATCCATGCATGCATTACGTTTTGGTCCATAGATGTCTATGCTTCGTCCCTAAGTTGTCAAATGGTTTCATGAAAATTTATTTCAATGACCACTTTCGGGGTTTCAAGAAATGCTTTGGAATGGTTTCTTTAAAATGCCCATTCAGGCCATACATAAACGCCAGTTGCATAAAACCAGACGCTCGTCCACTCTCGTACCCAGGGCCTTTTTGCCGATTCACTGAGAACAATCCTGAAAATATTATTCAAATACACTGATAAAATAAACTCTGAGGCAGTGGTTATACATTAATGGGAAAAAAAAACGATGGATTGCCGGTTTAAATTGAGCAAATTTTGTGCAGTTTTTCTTTTCAAAACACATGTAATAGACCCCAATTAATGGTAAAAAACGTCTACTTAGGTTGTCGGGAAATAATTAGGATAGTAGGAATACAACAAAGCCAAGGGCTTGATGGCCTAAAGGCCTAATAGAAGCTTCCTGAAATACTGTGTGCGCCACACTTATAATCGAATCTTTTTATTTTTCAACTGAGATCTTGTTGTCTTGTTAAAACTATATACATCCATTGTGATCGGGTTATCACGACGTAGGACATGCGTGATGATGATTGGTTGAGACAATAAAAAACAATAGTCCATAGAACTCTCACGAGTTGTATGGGGAAAAGGCACGTTTGTCAGACCCGGTTGACACTGTCAAAGCTTCTGAGCTCACAGCTGGAATAAGCCTAGAAATTCATCGACTGAATGTTAACGCGAAATAATTCAGTGTTAATTAATCAGCCCCTTTTTATATTCCTCAAATATTTCTACCAAAGTTGCTTTAAAACCTAGAGTTTGCCGTTTGAAAATTCCAACTGTGTTAGTTGAAAAAAATGGCATTGCAAGCCGAGCATTTCAAAGACTGTTAAAATGCAACACAAATTTAAGGCAGCCATTTTAGATCAATGCTGTTCCTCGCAGCGCAATAAGCAACAAGCAGATGCCATTATATTAATCAGAGCGCTTACATATAAAGGGCGGTGGATATGGATTTAGACCGGGTATTATATAAGCGCAGCCTCTAATATAATTATGTCAGAGCTCGTGCACTAAATATGTATGCAATTGCAATTAAGCCGTAATTGTTCTACGCAAGTTGAAGCGTTCAAATTTTACCTTATAGTTGTTCATTGAATGTAATCAATGTATCAATTTATCGATAGCCTCTGGCCGGCTATTACAAATACAAAAAGGTCTGACACTTGATTAAGTTGGAGCAGAATAGAAATTCAATTTGATTCGCTTTAGTAATCAATAATCATTACTATCTTTTATTATCGTTATGTGTTTCTATTTGTAAATATGCTAATTAACATTTAGTTGCTAAAGACGAGGGGCCGGTTGTTCAAAAGCCGTTTAGCTTAACCCTGGGTTAACCCAATGGGTAAATCTTTTCATGAATTCGGGGCAAACGCTATTTTTTTAATCTATGGTATTCAAAGTGTCCTGAATCGAGGAAGTACAACAGTACACGCTTGGAAAATAAAACGGCAATATTTATGAACAATAATATATTTTAAAAATTTCAAGTAAAAATGTTACTAATTCATCCTATATATAATCATAGTACATTGTGTATCTATATAAACATTTATTATAAAAAAAATTCATCGTTCATCGCGCTATTGAGTTACGTTTATCATACAAATATTATATATGAACATTCAGCGCAAATTCATGGTAAATATATACACAACTTGTACATCAACACAGTATCTAGAAATCTTAACGTGCGCACTGCGAAGTCGCACTGTTTGTTGTAAGAATGATGTTTGAACAAAAGACGTGGTCACGACGTCTAAACATCATAATTTTCATTCTGCAAACACTGGGCAACATTCTAGTCTCGTGAATCGCAGTGCAGTATCACAGTATGCTCCGAAGTATTGCTCGGGGAGGGGTGGGGGCATTATTACGACGTGAAAAATGGGATATGTATAAAACTACATATTTGGTTCAGTAAGACTAATTAGTAATCACTGCCCCGCTATAAATTACGGCTAATACTATATAAATGTCACCTGACTGCTGATTAATATCTACTGATACATGTCTTTTATCCTTCCTTACTTGGAAATATGTTCGTTTCTATTGAACATGCGCGCAGCACATGCAAATCACACGCGAAATGAGGGTATATAGGCGAGTTGAGCTATTCAGCATACGAAGAGCTTTAGATGATGGTCAACCACTGTGGTCAATTGATAGATATCAACTTCCAGGACACTTCCCTTTTCAAGGCAATATTCCTGGGAACGAGGTTGATTTTAATATATGTACTGCAGGAAGTAAAAAATCGCGGGATGTTTTTAACTATCAAGTGGACTCTAATCGATCACCATCTGAAACCCGATTATGTAGTGCACAATGACGTCATAACTATGGAGCAGTTATGACGTCATTGCATATGATCGATAGCTTTAAGCTTTGCTCTATGAACGCATGTGTATACTTAGTATTTATATAAACAAAAATCTTGTTTCCATGGTTACATAGCGTCATCACGGAAGGCGCACAGCACTTCCGTATATTGGGTATATTTCTTGCTCTCTACTCCCTGTCTTACTCCCAGTTATACTCCGATTGCCCAGGACTTTAGTCTTTGACCAGTCTGTACAGGTGATGTTGAGCGCCATGTTCACTCGTGGAGACTTCAAACACGTAAGAAAGGCATAGTAGAGTATCCTGTGTGTCCCTGTTTGTCACGGTCTACAATGACAACATATAAAATTCATGAAATAAATGCAAACGCAACCACTGACCTATATCATGAAGTCGTGTGATTGCAAACAACAAAATTCCTATTCATTATTTGCAGATCGTTTTGTCAAATTGTTATCAGGATGTTGCGAAACTCAAAAATGGCACCTCAAATGGACAAACGATCTGCTTGACGTAAGTAGTTTTCTATCAATATTATTCCAACCAAATGTACATGCATGACATTATAAAGAATATGTTTGTCTATTTTGAACCAAACCCTCGTATAAACCAATTGTGGTCGAGATCAATTGCGCATACCCATACCCAACAAACACATCGTGTATATTACTACACCATTACTCTGGCGAGTTGATTGCACAAATTTTGGGAACACGGTGTAAGGATCAGTGTACATTTCTTATAGTATGGTGCAACCCAGCAGGGAATGCGATACCTAATGACTCAAGCGCAGTTTCTGACTGACCCACCTGTAAAATGGTAAAGTTTTCCAACACGCTGTTCATCATGTATTTCTCTGGAAGTTGTTTGAGTTTGTGAATAAAATTAATCATGTATTCACACATGGGTGATCGATGTATTCTGTACACGAAACGTCCGTTTTCAAAATGCGCGTATTCCGTCTGAAATGAAAAGCAATTTATGAGTTGTGTCAATGACAATCCAGGCAGTTGGCCCAGATCACCAGGTTTGTAGATCAACCTACACTCTTGAGTTTACAGGGTATTCTTGGACATCTGTTGCCCAGTGACACTTAACCGTTTGAAGGCCATCAATAAAAATAACCAATCAGGATTCATGCTCACCCAAGTAGCCTAAGTCCAGTTTCACATTGCGGTCCGTGACGCACGGACAAAACTACCCTGGAGCAAACTGGTACTTTATGGGTACAAGTACTCACCTCAACTTTTTCGACGACTTGCTTTCCAAAAGAACAGACTTTCGTTGAACACGTAATTGTCATGTTTTCACTGGATTCGTACCTACAGAAATGAAGGGATCATATTCTCAAACCACTGGTTGCTGGAGGTTGGTTATATGGTGGAATTTCGCTCATAAAATGTTCAAGGTATGGTTCTAAAATTTTATCTGGTGACTAGTCGAAATTGTATTCGGTATTGTTACTTACGTGCTGGAAACACCATAAAACGACCCCGATTCATCTTTTACATTCGTATTAAGATCAGCCTAAAAATTAAGGAACAATCAGCATTTACCATTAATTCAAATCAAACAAATTTCTTGTTGGGAACTATTCGGTCAATTCTTCACCGTTCAACTCACCCAAAATTTGACCAAGAAGAATACAGATTGTGGACCCTTTTCATAAAGTTCTCGTAAACCTCCCTTTTTCTCAGGGAATTTATCGTATATTTGTCGAATATCCACAGCCTCTAAGATCGAATCTTGGAAGTTCACATTTGGTCCAAGATGGACAAATAGATGCTTGTGATACTAAATGATAAAACAAAAATTTTTATTACAGTGTTTGTGGGATGATTGATAAACTACACATACCAAGATTCATCGCATCTGGAAGAGCTGCAAGTCAATGGATTATGATTATGATATTATAATAAACCAACAATCAGGTATTCATACCGAGTCTGCTTTTACACCAGTCTGTTCCACAAATGCTTGGAAATCAATAAGACGCAATGGCTATAAAATTGAAATAGAAATAATAACATAAATGATAATACTGTATTCCTTTGTACATAACAATAATCACACACATCGGCTAACCCATGATTGGATACATAAATTTTTGAACTGGTCGCATGTGATCAGTAAAAACATATTGATAATGTTCCACCTACCATGTTTCTGTTTGACCAGTTTGAGTTTCCGCTCATTGTTAATTGGTTGCCACCTGGGTAGGCTGATCTCTAGAATATAACACCAGAAATATTACCAAATGTACTTTTGCTAGCATGCAAAAATTGCTGTTTAGACTTTCAAATATTCAGTGCAATAACATTCAACAATAAATATATACACTGGTTACCTACCATTTCGTCATTTGGCGAACTGACACTGGGTACCAATGCTGTAGACGGCCCTGGCCCTGGACTTCCACCAAATAATGTCCTTGTATGTGTTGTTGGAAGACCTCCAAATGATGTAGGAGTACTTCCTGGTTGGGTAGCTTGGTTGTTCCAGTACTAAAATTTCAATAGTCAAACTTTAAGTTTCAAACTTTTTAATAGGAAAGTTTAATTAATAGTCCTACTCTTCTAAATTATAATCTTTAATCCTTTTGTGCTATTGAAACTTGTATTTTATCTGGAACTAGGTATTCTGGTGACATCTGGAACTATTCTATTTATATATATTTTATATATGTGTTTATGTACATGTGTTTGTATATGTATACATATGCATACACATAATTTCCAAGACTCAATAAATTGAATTAAATTGTTGAAGGATTACCTGAGTACTAGGCAGGGCAGGTAATGGATGCCCTGGATGAGGATTGCTGTAATGATCATTGTAATTATTTGAAGGTGCAGGGTTTTTGTTATGCAGAACTGAGGCAGAAACAATTTGTGCAGAGGACATTGAAGCCATAGTTTGTAGTGCTTTGTCTCTTGCAGCTTGGTCCTATGAAAAGAAAGTGTTCCCTTTAACATATACCTTGGGTACCATGTGTTGTGACATAAATTTTAAAACAGTTACTTCTATAAAACCATGAACAAAATATGCATACTTACTACACAAAAAATACTTACTACCTTCAGTTTTGATTGAATTTCACGAGCTTTCTTTCTTGCCAATACTTGAATATGACTCGATACCTAAAGACATATATATGACAAATGTAATTCTCTACTCTAATGTAACAGGGGCTGGTTGTATCAAGCCCTTTTAGCTTAAATGGTGGTTAAGATCAAAATGGAAAGCAAGTTTGTCGTTTTATTCAACATGCAAACTAAATATTTTTAACCATAATACAAAGATACTGTTTACAACTACATATTCAGTGCATAATATTCAAGTTGACTCATTCAAGAGAGTTGTAAGAGTGTTATCTAATTTGGACTTATCCACTGTTTAAACTAAACAGGCTTCAAACAACTGGCCCCAGATGTCTTAAAGATTATTAATTAATGAAGGTAACATTGTCAGACATTATAAGGAACACATGACAATTTGAACAGTTTCTACTATCTTTGTTTTTGCGACACATTTACCTGTTTTCTAGTCCTGGTTTTCCCAGTTCTCAGCTTAATGTATCGAGCAATTAGTTCATTTCGACCTAGAAAATGAACAGGCAAATTTTTATTGTTAAGGCCATTTGGTAAAACTCTCTCTAATTGTGGTTTTTTAATAGTTTCAACATACATGGTTTAATAGTTTCAATATATATATTTTAATAGTTTCATGGGTTTCATCAATATTGCCTGGGTACCATCAGAAGCCGGCAACTGACAAAGTTTGCCATCTAAATGTTTTTCATCTGCTTTTTGGTGTTTGGGATCTTGCATTCTTTTGTTATGTATTCACATGCTATGCTAACTGATCATTACTAATACAAACTTTAAACAAAATTTGTTAAAGAAAATTTCCACATTTACCACAAATTTCCCTATTAATTATTTTCTGGAAAAGCTTTTTTTATAAAAATGTATTCTAAGAATGCAGAAAATACTATTTCAGAGACCCAAATTCTAGGATATATTTTTTCAAACAATAGTTCAGGCTAGCATTTTGTAAAAACACTCATACCTAAAACCTTGCTATCTACCTTCCTATAACTTCAGTTAATTTAATCCTGATAACACTATTATTGAAAGGAAATAAACCACTCTTACATAGCACCACTTGTGACAGTTAATATTGAATTGCTACAAATTAATTGCTATTTCAGATGAACATCTTTATTAAATACCGACTTCCAACACTAAAAGTTGGTTAGTTCTACAACAATTGTTTGCGGGAAACCACATATAAATCTCTTGGTTAAAACAATCAATGGGATTAAGATATACAAATACAGCCAAGGCTAAAATGCACTTATTAGGTGTAAAAATATGTCACGATATATAGCAATTTATCGCCTATGTCGAAGAACAATTCCAGTGCATTATATGTCATTCAGCTTTTGATTTTGTTTAATGTATTTTTACACCGAACTTTTTTTCTGCAATACCGGCTTCTGTGTGAAGCCACTTTGTCAGTATTTGATATGCTATTCAAAATCACTTTAAACGATCATTGAAAACATTTATAATGATTTAAAACTAGTATCGAAGGCAAATGAAATAAGTCAAATAGCATTACAATAATGTCCTAATCACAGTGTAAGATCAAAGAGACATATGTGCCTACAAGAATTTGAAAACATAAATTGATATAAATTGCCCGCCATTGCATGCAATTTGTATGACCTGGCGTTTAAAAGGGAATTCTTAGGCAGTAATATATGATTAGAAAATGAGTTACGATCATTTAAAGTTTTAAATATCTTCAAGTCACAGCAAACAACGTTATTTAGCACGACTTGGCTTTCTGAAATGTTCTACCTGTACACGCTACAGTCGACAGATTTGGTCAAAAGACCAAAGGCAAAACAGCAACGCATTGTTTTTCTATGGCCTTTGGGAATAGTCAAAGTAACAGCGAAATACTCAAGATTATTAGCTCTACGTGCCAGCGTAACGATGTAGAAATGAATGTGCTTTGAAATTCGAAATATTTTCATACTCTAGGAATGTTTGTAATGCATTCTACGTGTTTAAAACTAGTTAAAAAATCTAAACACATTTCAACTTCCGCTAGTCACATCAAACAGCCATTGTTGAAAGTTGGTTTGGTTCTACGTTAAAGATTTGGCATATTTTCCACGTTGCATGTCAGTAAAAAATACAGTTCATGCAGATTTTTTTTATATTCTTTATATTTGCATTCATCTACGCAGAAATGGGGCGAAAACAATGACAATGTTCGGCATAACATGCAAGTATTCCAATGTGTCAAGGAGTCATTTTGTTAACGTACAGACGATCCGATCACAGGAAAAAATAAAGGATAACAAAGCTTTCATATCAAAAGGAATAGAATGATACCTAGGGCTGAGTTTACTTAAGGCAAACGGAGGAATGAATATAATGAATATGTTCGATGAAAGGCACAAAGTTATATATAGTCCTTGCAATATGGTTGCTTCTGGCACGAAGCCGTTGCAGAGACAACGTGATCAAAGGCCAAGTGGATATTCAATATCCTAGATAAACGAGATTTTCAACCCATTCCTGTTGTGTAAAATTGCATTTAACAACGGCAAACTATTGTAGAAACACTCCAACATATTTCGTGAATAATCACAGGATATTTCCAGTCAGTATAGAAGACAACGAGGCAACAACGAAGACGAACAAGACTCATTGATACCTACCATACATTTTCCCTTCGTCAGACAATATAATTTTCCTCCTGCCACATGGTGGATAAATCGCTAGAGCTTCTTGAAAGCTTTGCTCAATGTCAGGGGACCAAACTCCTTCGGCATCATTAGCCATATCTTCAGGAGATTTTGCTTTGTCCTCCGAATTCGACATATCTAAGCCGTCAGAATTCATGGGGAAAATTCGCTTTGCAACTTGTATTATTCTCAAAATGTCTCAAATTATAACCTATATTTTGTTGTACAATTATTCGCTACACTGTAGCACCACAATCCGGAAGCTGGGTCTAAAAAAATGAGAAAAATGTGAATCATTCATATTAGATTTACAACTAAGACTTTACTGGCCATATAGCGAGCCACTTAATTTCAATAGCGCGCCTGACTGACTGGCGAAAAAATCTTGAAATTCCAAGGCGATCCTGCTTAAAATTTCCACCAATTTCATCAAAATATAATGTGTTTATACCTCCTCTTTATGTCGCTTGATAAAATTTTCAATTAATATGAGCAGTTAGCCTTGCTTGTGGATAAACTTGCTATGTTCGGAATGAATTGAAAATATGCAAGGCTCGCCTCACTGTAAACTGCGACTTCGCCTGTGTTAAGTGGGGGGTGGCCAAATGCAATTGTTTTAGAAAGGGTCTTTAGGAGAAATTCTATACGATTGTTCTGAAAAATCGCTTTTATGTAAAGGAAATATCATACAATATCACCTTATATATTGACCATACAAGTCCCAGTTGCCTAAATGTATTACATTGTCGCGATAAATAGCTGCCCGAAAAAACGTATCAATTTGGAATCGAATATTATTTAATTGCTACATCTATATTCTCCCAATATGTTAGAAAAGCAGAACACTAGTTAAGAACATTCCAAATGCACGTCACGTGTCCATATATGGTAAAAGGAAATTAAACAGCCCTAATTATTTCAGACGTTGCTTCGAAATTCAATAATCATGTATATATAATTTTACATCTATACAGACTAATTAAAACCAAATGAAATGCTATATCTGGAACAACTTGCACAGTTTGATTGCCTTTTAAAAAGCTTTTAAATTGATAATCTTTTTGCTAAAAATACAGAGAAATATTCACGAATTTAGACCGTCTGATCTATTAAAGGTGATTGTTCTCAAAAAGGCAGCAAGGTCATTGACATTTGTCAGTGCTGAGAACAAGTAATAACTCAACGCAAACAAATTTATCGACAAATAATTAGATTCGAACTCTCTTTCCAAAAATACGCAGGTGTTGATATAAGTGGGTACTCGCTCAATGTTTTTCATGCGACTTCAAGTTGTAATTTTTCGAAGCAGGCTGCAATTTACACTTTACTGACTTTAGTCCAAGCCTTTCTCACTCTTGTTCCGCTTCCATGGACCTAAGCTATGTGTGTAAGTGGAAATATTGCTTGTAAAACGGAGACAACTGTTGCAAAAGGTCGGGCATCGAATCAACTTTTTGATTAAAGATCAAACCACTTAGAATAGAATCATAGACGAATTACAACCGTTATGACTATGCAAAAAATGTTCACCCATAAACTCAGTTTTCGCTTCACTGCTTTACGTAAATTGATATTGTAGTTGTATGATCTTATATTAATAAAGATTTGATTGTCCCGTTAATAACCTTCGTCAAAATATTTAATTCATATTTCGGTTCTATTCATAGTTTATATTTTTATCGTTTTTTTGTTTGGTTTGATGTGTGTACGTACTATGATTGAAAGTCGTTAACAATTATTTGGCATTTAGCGGTAGACTTTTAGCAGTTTAGTAACTACCAGAGTTAGCAGAAAGACACTGAGATTGGTGGGTTTAAACACTCGAACATCCTAATTGCAGCCCTAATGACCACGAATAAGGTCAAATAACAGTCAGCAAAAATGACCCGACTGTAAGTGCTAAAATCCAATATTCGGTTTCATCTATATAAACAAAATAAAGACCCATTTACTACACTACGCACAATATTCGGGACGGTACTGAGAAAATGGTACGGATGAGATTTCAAACTGCCAAAGAATAGCACTGAAAACTGCCATCGAATTTCAACCGTATCAATTTTCTCCGTTCATATTTCATACTATTTTCCATTTCAGTTTTGGTACGGATATAATTGAAAATAATGAAATTTGGATTACCTAGTTGAAATGGGGCTTAACACTATATGTTAGTTTTACTGTCGATAGGTCTCAAACCAAGGTCGTAAATTCGAGTTTCTAAGTTGCAGACTGTAATTTCAAAATGATTTAGCAGCCGGTATATATACGATCTGTATGTACTTTTATGATAACGGTCCCCCCCACCTAATAGTCTGTATTGTACATAATGTTTGTATAAAGGCAATCCTGAATCACCCGAGCACACACACACACTATCAACTCATGTACTTTTAACTTCATTCGCCTAGAAACTGACGGAAGATTTAAGCATGCATTACCATTTGTTGATTGAGAATGAACGAGTAAATTGCAGACTGTATTTCGGGTATGTTTATAAGTGAATGAAAAAATGCGGATTTCCTTTGTGGTAAACGAATTCGTGAGATTTGTAGTGGCTGTTTCGTGCATTCATTTCGTTAATGATATAGCTGTGAGATCGAAACCGGTTTAGTTTTTGAATTGAAAGTAATCCCACGAGCGCGAATTATGCTAATTTGGAACTATTCGAAGCTATGATCCTAGCCTTGACTTGAAATTACATGATTACTTTTTAAAACATTTTCAAACGCAAGGTAAAATTCTTACCTGAACAGTATGCAAAAGCCTATTAGTTCCTAATTCTTTTATGACGTTGGCTTTACGATCCTTGCAATTGGCACTTCAAATAGCGCGCCAAATACTTTGCGGTTATACGTGAGCTCCTCGGCATTTAGGTAGGTGCTGTGCAAAATTGTGCGCTACATTTCAATTTGAAGACAGTCACTCTGATTTTAATAACAGTGCAAAATGTGTATTAAATCAATTACATGACCTTTATTTAGTACATTTGGCATTAAGCAGGATTCAATCCGGTTAGCTAATGATCCTAGGCTATTGAGGTATGCACGGAATGCTAGTGCTGTGAATATAGCAATAAATTCAAACCAAATATGGCAAGAATGGCGCAAAATATGCTGATTGTGGTTAAAAATAAAGCTATGTCTCATGCTGCTAGATGTCACCCCCTTTAGATGACACCACGTGAAAATATTCTGGGCTTAGAAGAAGATTACGATTATTTCGGTAAAATGAAGAGAAACCAAAGTCAACTTTGATTTTTTTGTGCTCGACAATATTGCATATATTTCTCGAATGACCGTACATGCTGCAAAGGTTCTGAAAATGGCCAAAATCGTTTTTATTTTACCAAAACCTTCTAGGTTTCAAATCATGACGTTTTTTCAGTGAAAATCAGGTCTTCATGCAATGCAAATAAATGCTTTATTTTCATTCATCATTTTTCTAAGCACGGATAATCATCTGCATATGTTGATATGAATAAACCTATAAAGATAACAATTGGTCTAGGTGACAGTGTAGCAAATATCAAGCAGTTCAGTTAATTGTTACGCGGACAACTGTCCATATTTATTAAGTTCGTTTGCAATACGTGCACGAAGTTTTTAAATTTATCCTCAAGTATACTCTCATGTGTTTGAGATTACCCGGCTAAGAGATGGTTATCTCCTGAAGCCTTGCGCTATATATCGCTACAGTGATACAGTATAGATCCCGATTATGATGGCGTGTATTCGTTTCTAAAAAGCAGATGAACGAGATGAAGACTATTTGAAGCCTTATTTATGTCACCGGCCTTGTGCTGCACGATGTTTTTCCGCCAAATTTTTGTTAGTATTCTTGCGATTCTCTTAGGAAGACCGGCATTCATCAATCTCAACAACGCCTACGATATGTACACTTCAAAATTATAAATAACATTCATAAAAAAATTACAATGTATATTTATATATGACAAACTTAAGGGTAATGATATGATGGGTGGAAAAAATTTGTATAGCTTTTGCGAGTATTGATTGTAATTATTGATTGATTAATTCCTTATTAACTTCACTTGTCAGGTTGATAACACATTAATTGTTTGGATTAGCCATTCGGTAGTTAATTTGTCTGGGTGGGCTGTTCACAGTTCTGAACCAAATTAGGCCGGAGCTAACTTTCTAGTGATTAGTCTGGGGATTATGATATTTACTGGAAATCAAATATGCAGGCGGTCTATCGAAAATTCCAGTTCACATTTTTGGCGCAGAGCCATCACACAACTTATTTACTCAACGACATGAAGATCGATTTGACCATGTCTCTTGTTCTGCTCCCCCCCCGTCATGAAATCCGTTGGAAACGTGTTCTGAAGTGTAAATACGGGTGAGATATTGTAATTAGGGGGGTGCATTTCATATATCCGTCTTGTAGGCGACTGATTTCCTGTGAAAACGATTATGCATGTATACGTGAACATGGGTATAAGAATATACACCCCCTAGTTATCGCGTCTAGGTTTGGTCTCTGTGGTTTAGTGCTGCAAAAGGCAAAATAATTCTTTCTTTCTTTATTTCTTTCCTTGGCTTGTGGCTGAGATTTGATTTGCTCTAGTTCTTTTGACCATATTTATATATCGTGATTTAACCAATCTCTGTTCTGCACTCAGTTCTTTGAGCTGTATATCAAGTATCTTTTTCTCCAACTTGATTTTCTTATCACCATCTTTTTCATTTTGCCTGTTTTTTGCTTTTACTCTGCGTTGTTCGGTTTCGTTGCCCAGAAATGTTTCCACCGTCGTATCCATGTTCTCACTACTGCTTGGCTTTGATTTCTCTTGTGGTGGCACTTTAAAAATCAATAACATAGTAAACACCATCAAAATAGGCCATCAGATAGGCTAATTAAATTATTGTTATTACTAGTGTTCATTATCAGCCGCTCTTAGGTCCAGCCGAAAAGATGATTTCAATCCCCCAGGGAGGACCTGTGTGTGTACGAAGTACCCACAATTGCAAGTTGAGGGAAAAACATTCCCAGAAATTAAGAAAAAAGCTGCTTACATGAATCCGCTTAGCCGAGGTTAAACGAAACCTAAAATGGCTTTGAGGCGAGCCCCGGCCCGCCCATAAATTTTTAATGTGAGGACTAAGCCCCAACCCCCCCCCCAAATTGGAAAACACCCCACTTCCACTCCACCCCCAAATTCATATGGTTCATACAATTCTACTTCAGCCCCCATCCCAACTTATCAATTCGTTCATACGCCTACGCCTCTGCTTGTGGGAATACCCAATATGAATAAATTAACCGCTGAAATGTTTATAACGGCTGCTCCAGTCTATTGATATAGTCATATAGATGTCGGCACACTGGCGTATTATAGACATCCATGTTCACAAGGGGCAACCGTTTTGTCTTTTATTTTTTGTAAAGTGAATTACGAAGAATGTTACAGTATAGATTTTTGCTTCAATAAGCCGAGACTTCCAAATCTATCCTTTCAGGTTCAAGTCCAGTCCTCTTTGTTCGACATAGTTCAATCGTCATAGTCCGTAGTGCATGGTTACGGGTATTGGCGGTGGCTTGCAAATGCATGTTACAGCGTATGAATTTCCTGACATAGAGGACATTGTAATTCTCAACCATTTGCCATTTTGTAATTTAGAACTTTCGCTCGCCAAGGAAAGTTGGGGTCAAAGATTATCGTTTGATCTGCCCAACAACTCATTATGGGAAGCAATTTTACCGGCTTTGGTTGCATACACAGCTTAAGGCAAATGCCAAGCATTCAGCTAAAACGCCAGAATATTTTAGTCTGTTTGGAAAATTATTCGTTGACGTTGTCATGGAATATGAAATTCTAGAAACTAAACGATTTAATCAGGTAAAATACGATTATGACAATAACTGACATTCAAAGAAATGAGAGAATTTGTATGTGGTTGACCGCGCAGCATCACGGTAAGCATTGCCGGTACCACAATGCAAAGCGCAAAAATTGCAATTCTCACCGAAAAATAACAGAAAGCACATAGCTTGTGCTTCGGTAGAATTGTATGTTTAGTACGTATCAAAGAAATGCAAGTTAATGAATTTGTAATAAAAAATACTAATTTCAGTTAAGATAACAAGAGAACTACTCAGTTTGTACTTGATAACTAGCGGAGAACTTGATAACTAGTGCCTGATAACTAGACTAGAGAACTACTTTTGTAAGAAGAAGAGCTTTCTGCTTTTTAGAATACAGACAGACATATTGACTTCCGATTGCTGCTTGTGTTAGATCACGACTCAGTTGAGTTCGACAACTCACATCAAGATATTACTGCACCAGACGTATATATATTTCCTTGTTTCACTCGTGATATCATTGTATATTGATACATTTTTAACGTTTTACCCGTGTCAACAGCCCTAAATAGGATTTTATAGTGCACCGCTGTCCTTTACTGATCTCTAGTTATCAAGTATTTTCTGCCGATTGTCTCCCTATTCTGTACCGTAAGCCTATGATAAGGTCACCAGAAATCCAGAACTGCCCCGTAGCTCCTATTTTATCATCTAGGGAAATCAGCGAAAACATCGCGAGGTTAATTTTTCAGTTTATCTGCAGTAACTAGTAAGTACCATCAACAAATTCTTAAGTAAAATCCGCTGCATGGTTGCTCAACAATAACGAACCGAGATTGTCCAGTTTTTTCGTCAGCGCGATATAGTTGCAGTTATGCAACCGATTAACGGTGTCAAATCAGCATTTTCTAAGTCGACAAATGGTCTGTTTTTTTACCCAAATTTTAGGTACGATTAGCTAATTCGTTAGACAAATCAGAAATCATCTTATGGCAGTCAACCATTTTGTCCCACTACTTGATTTTGCCCAAAATCCGAATCGAAAACCGGCACTAAACTTGGAGGTAGTAAACGATGAGATGTCATCATAATCTGTGTTGTTATAAAGCCAAGCTCTAGCTATAACTGAACACAACAAACATCTTGCTAATTTAATTCAGTTTACTTTAATATACCTGTTTTAATATAACTTCTTTTTATTTTACATTTCCTCTCCATATCCTCTTCACGAGTCCGGTGCCCGTTAATCTGTTCTTCGCTATGTGTTGGCAGTGTTGCACGGATTTAATTCATAGTTTACAAGCAGTTACCAAGCACAGTTAAAAACAATGCTGGTGGCAAAACCTCTTGATAATTTGATTTTATCAAATGTGCTTGATTTGCTTTATCCAACCGCTGCCATATTTTACTGTTATTTAGATTCCTAGGGCTTTCTGTTGTCAAAGTGGGTCGACTCTAGAAATCGGAAACTCCAAACAAAAATACTGTTTTTTGCATGTTACTACAGTTCTTTGCAGTAACATTTTCTTCATTACCGATTTTTTAATAGTATTTAATTTTTGTTATTTATATACCGAGCACACGATTAATTGTGAACCTACTATGCAGCGAATATATTTAATCAGTTGATGTCCTTCTGCAGTTCAAGACTACTTGCGTACGAAAGGGAGCCTGATTTTAAATTGAGTTATCTATTTTTAAATTAATTTATCTATTTTTTAAATCACGCCAATTGATTAATCAGGCATGGCGCTACGTGGGCCACACAGGGAGTTTTGGTTTTAAAACACCTCCGAAAATATCGAAAATAAGTAGCGAGATGATATATTTTAGCGATGTTTGCAGAAAAGATACTGAGTAGGTAGGTACAAAAAGAATATCCACAGGGAAGACTCGGCAAGAAACGCCAAGTTTGATTGCGACATTTGATTAGAATAGACTTTCTCAGAATGGCATCAAACTTGGAAAGTCTCACGTTACACAAAGTTTGATTGGCTCCGCAAAAATAGCTAGTCATTTAATCTTCGGTTATTAACAACAAACTTTCCACCTTTGACGTCATTATAAGAAAGGTCTATTATTCGAAACTGCCAGGCAACTTCCACCACAGATCAGTGCTTTCACCTGATTTCTGTATTTGATTAGCAGAATCTCTATCACCAAAGTAAAATTCGAATCTAAATTCTAAAGTAAAGAAAATCAGCCTTGGCAAAATACAGAGTTCGGTTTTGAACACACCAAAAAGGAAATTGCCGTGGTTATTAGTGGTCCTCACTTATTTATAGAGATCAGAGGTCTGCGCATACGTGGCTTTCAGTGCGTGGATTTCTCGCGAAAATCGCGTGTTCCAAGATGGCTTCTTTTTTATATATGGTTAAAATAATTTTCTATTGTAATTTTATGTTTTTAAACTAGAAATATGTGGGGGAGACTCTCTGAATTCGTGCAGGATAAGTTGGATACCTCTTCTGTGGAGGATGAAAGGCATTCTGGCGATGCGGTGCGTATTTATCGTCACATTTTATGTGTGTTTTATTTGGGTTGATTAATATTAGTTACGTGGACTGTTCATATATATTCTAGAGAGGGTTTTTTGCTTACTTAAGAGTGTGTTATTATTTCAACAGGGAAATGCTAAAGCTACTATAGAAAGTCTTCAGCAAGCCCTTAGCGAGGCGGAAAGCAGAAATAAAGACATAAACAGAGAATTTAAAAAGTTAATTCGCGAGAAAGAGGTTTGTTTTCATCAATGATATTTGGGTTCATTTACATTTCATGATCGCGTTCCTGGGGATTTTTTGAATGTTCCAGAATGAAATAGCGTTTGTAAGCAATACAAATAATTAAAACTGCGTGATAATAGGAAAGTGTGTAAATTACAAACATACTACATCACCTACATGGGTGAATTTTTTGCTCATGTTTGATAAACACAAAATTGAGCAAGCTGTGCTTCATCCCACAAACATGTTTGTTAGCAACCATAGGGGAAAATTAGAAAATACCTGCCAGATATTTACTCCAAGATAATGAAATGTAAAAAATTATGATCCAAAGTGAGTTTTTTAATTTAGCTACCCATACCAGGTGAAAATTAGCTATGCAGAAAAACTTGGGGGTTAGAGGTCATGTGCATGACCAGTTTATTACCTGTAACCTGTAGAGGTCATGTAGCTTTTTTGGTAAATTCTTAGCAATAAGAGCAGAGCTGAAATTGTGCTCTTGATGGCATTCAATTCCTCAATGCATTGATGCTTTCTGAAATAAATCTGTTATATTTGTCATTTAATAGAATGAACTGCAAAAACTGCGGCAGAACCAAAGTGGCTCCGAGAATGGACACGAGTCAGATTATTCCAGCTCATTATCTGGTCTTCAGGAACAGATGGAAAACTTGAAAGAGCAACTGTCTTTGAAAGATAAAAAGATACAAGTTAGCAATAAAACCTCTGTTCATAATATTTACATAATTGTGATTATTACTGTGTGGTCTAAAGTTGTGAGTTCTTTGTTCTTATTTTCACGTCATCCTAGTTGGCTTAAGACTTTAGGCAAGTTCAAGCAGTTTGAATTTTGGTAGAGTTTGAATAAGAAACAAAGAACTCACTTGTAACTTTGCAACTGTCCAATATATTTGTAAAGTGAAGAATTTCCTTTCATTTGGTGAAGGGGAAATGCTTATCATTAATTGCTTAATCTTTGTTTAGGAACTCAGTAGTGAAAAAAGCAAAAGAAATAAAAGTTCACCTTCATCACAGGTAAGGTGTTAAATTAGATTAAATTTGTTATAAAAAAGTAATGATTGTTTTTAAACTTTGCTCTTGGTTTAAAAGTGACACATGTACATTATGAATCAGGTGTAAACTTAATTTTCCTTGTGTGAGAGTTATCATAGTTTTAACCTAAAATGCATCATTGCTTAAAGTGTTTGTAACATAATTGGACTAGATTACTAGTTGGACCAGATTAATAGTTGGACCAGATTAATAGTTGGACCAGATTAATAGTTGGACCAGATTAATTGGACTGGATTAATGTGTAACTGTAAAAGGTGTATGTAACTAGTTACTATGACTACGAGCTCAGACTGGGTAAACCCAGGAGCCCCTGGCTTAAGGGACCCCTTGTCTAGAATGTACTTTAGAAATAGAAACATTTGCACAGTAGCCATCTGGATGAAAATGCGATTAGGTGAAATCATGGTTATGTAGAAGGGGGCCCTTTTAATATTTTTACCAGGGCCCCAAATGTGGTCTTTTGCCACTGGTTAGGGAAGAGCAGTCCATTAATTCTTATTTCTGTTTTTGAAGCTGAGTGATGCAGACAAACGAATAGAAGAGCTGGAACTGCTGCTGGCACAGAAAGACAAAAATCTCCAACACCTGCTACAGGAACTTGAGAGTGCTGAGCAGCAGAGTAAGCAAACATGGGAACAAAAACGTATCAATGAAGAGAAAGTGATGGGGGAACTTGCAGCAAAGATTCAACATAATACAACATTAATCACCAAGTTGGAGGAGACTGAACAATTGATGGCAGAAAGGGATAAATCTATACAAGAACTGTGTGATAAAGTTGAAGCAAAAGAGAGGTTGATTAAATCTAGGGATGAGGTATGTTAACGTTTTTATTGTGGTGTTGCAAGTTTGATTGTCATTCACTGTGGGTCATTTGTCACAAAATATGTGTTGCTTTAAGGGATTGGGTTGTATGAATCAGTATGACGGAACCTGTCCTTGTGACACTAGGTCAATAGCTTGATAGTGTAGAATTTTATCATATACAGTTTCTCATATAAATTTCTTGTTTTTCAGGTGATCAGTCAACTGCAAATGAGCAAAGATATTGGTGGTGGTACAGATGATGTTGTGTCAGTTCTTCAAGAACAAGTTCGTTCTCAACAGGATAAGATCACTGAACTTGCTGATGACATTGACAGATATCGTAGAAACCTGAAAGAGAAAGAAGCCATTCTTGCTGCTCGTGAAAAGGTGATAAATAGTTTTTTCAAATTGTGTGAGGTCTCGTTAACTTTTCCTGTTAGGGATTCAGCTTAAAAGCTAGACATGTGCAGCCCCTATCGATTTAACTTTTTCGTTCAAGCTTATTTTCCCATGTATCAGCTAGACGTTCTTTCTTTTTGCTATAAAATGCATATATTGTCAAATACGGACATTTCTTACGATAATCGATATGCTAACGTTTTCTTAGCATTTCGAACACTCTTTACAAATTAACATCCCTCAAAATTATAATTGCGGTGCAAGTTGAAAGAAAATTGTATAGCGTAACAGCGCCTTTAGCTCGTTAAATAAAAACAACTGAGAATTGGTTCAATTTAAGGTGAACCAGGGTAGAAAAAACTCGTTATGACGGCCATCTTTATGAAAGACATCAATGTGATATTTTACTATTGTCTAATGCAGTATATTTCTCTCCCAGAGCTTAGAAAACATTCAACACCAGATGCAGGAACAAACGGCGGCTTTGAGTGAATTGTCAGTTGAACGAGATGGTCTTTTAAATAAAATAGAAAGTTTGGAACGAGATCACAACAATGCCGTCGCAAGGTTGCAGGAAGAAGTTAAATTGAAGGAAGAAAACATGGCGGCGGAGATGTCACATTTGGAGATCTCGTTTAAAGAAAGTGAACACATGTTGAAAGAGGATGTCGAAGAGAAAGCCAACATTATTCAGGTAAGACACAAATTCGTGTTGTATTGCAACCGAGGATTGGTTGGTCGTTCTGGGGGTGGGTGATTCCCGTCATTATTTATCTTTTCAAAAAGCACGGTAGAAAATGAAAATAGGGCTTTTTCCCCTTACCTATGATTCAGGCTTCCTTTTAGCAGGGCGAGTGTCCAAAATAATGCAATGGTGTTTGTTAAACTGCATGCATGTCTTGGTTGGTATCGTTAATTGCTACCCGAGTTCTCAGGTGCTGTGATAACCAGTAACTAACCCTCGGAATTTTTCGCCATTCTGTCACAAAACCACCCATGCCTATTATTGCAAGCACAACCCTTAGAACTTACTAGTAACCGTTAACAAACCTTCGAATTTTATTGGATTTACTGGATTACAAAACCATTAGCCTATTGCGAGCGCAATTTGTAAGGACTAACCAGTAATCATCAACTAACCTCGGAATTTTTGCTATCTGGGTTCCAAAACCATGTTGGCCTGTCTGTAGCACAACCCATTAGGCACTAACCGTGCAGTAAAGCACTAACCATCAACTTACACTCGGACGTTTTTACCAACGGCATGGTTACAAAACCATGTAAACCTATTGTGCAAGCACAACCCTTAGGCATGCACTAACTAGTAACCAGCAACTAACGTGGGAATTTTATCATACGCTGATCTTATTGTAAACGAAATGTCCACGCATTGCTATGATGTAATGGTGTGCTGAATCAAGCTTTTCATTTGATATTGGTAGCTTAAGTTATGTTTTGTTCCTTAATTTTTTGTACTGCACGTCGTGAGAGACATGTTTATATGCTATATTGCCTCTTCGGCTGAGAGTAAAGCACCAACAAGTATTTAATAATTTGCTTATCAAACGGAGAAGCAATCACGAGAAGCCCAGTACAGGTCTGTCGCATATGTTCATCAGATACTGCTTCACTTTTATTGCCATCGAACTTACAGTACGAAGGTAAATTTAATGGGTTCTTGTTTTAAACTTGTATGAACACATTATTTTGTCTATATTTATTTCTTTCCATAATGATAAAATAACAAACCAATTAAGTAACTACTAACAGTTGAGTGAACATTTTGTTGAGATCATTTGTTGAGTGAACATTTTTTTGAAAGTTCTGGTTTAGAGCATTCGTTGTGTGCATACATATGATGGCGTTTCAGTGGCTTTTTTCTTCACCGTCAGCAATACGTTTAACGCCAGTTGCAAGAATTTTTTTAAAAAGTATAATATTTTCTAATAGAAATAATCAATCACGCACTCTCGTAATATGGGTACGAGTTACATGATGCTGCCGATCTTTGGAGATACTACGGGCACACATGTACGCCTCGCGTGCCTGTTTTTATACGTTTATTTGTTTTCGTACTGTGTTGCATGCAATTTATTTTTGTAATGTTTCAAAATTATTTAGTCCAAAGACGAAGCGATTGCCGTGCTAAAGAGAACCATCCAAGAGAGAGCCCTGGGTCCAAGCATGGATAGCAACCAAGGAAAAGGAATGTCTGAGGAGGGTGAAAAGATTGTAAAAATGCTGGAAACACAACTAGAAGAGACAAAGGGAAATTTGAGCATGAAACAAGATGCTTTGGTCAAGACAGAGAACGAACTTCATGAGAAACAGAATGAAATCCGCGAGCTACAACTTCAATCACAGCAAGAACTAAAAAACCTGAGCGAGAAACTTAATCAGGAGAACTTAGCTACTTCAGAACTAAGAGAACAATTGAGTAGTAAAGACAATAAGTTACAAAACCTTGAAGAAAATCTGGCTGGTTTAACAGACCGGTTGCGCGATACCTCGAATGAACTGGAAACAACTAAAACAATGTTAGAAGAAAAATCAGAAAAATTATCGGAATCTGGGGACATGTCTGGAAAAGTTAACGAGTTGTCACAAACTGTTAAAAAGTTGGATGGCGTTTTAGAAGAACGTGATGCCAAGATTACGGAGCTGAATGTCTTAACTGGGAAACTGCAGGAACGTGTCGAGAATTTAGTTTCCGAAAATCAGCGAGTTCATGAAAGCATGGAGAATATGAAGCATAGCTTGAACGAACAATTGCTTTCTACACAAGAAGAGCTCAAGTGTCTTGCGGAGAAACACGAGCTTGAACTTTCTGAGAAAGAACTTCTTATCAAAGATCAGGAGTTTTCACTCGCGCAAAAAGATGAAAAATTCTCGGAGTTGAGTGAGGTGCTCGAAAACGAAAAGCGAAAATTCAATGAGCATCTTGAAAGTTCTTTGAAAAATAAAACTGACCATGAGGAGCAAATAGAAAGTCTTAAAAACGAGAATGAAGCAAAAGAGAATGAGAAAACTGGTTTTGAGAAACAACTTTTTGAACTGCAAGAAAAAGTGGATGGAATGAAGAATGAAATTGAGCAAAAGGAGGCGGAAATGCAAAAATTAAGAAATGAGGTAAGTGGTGAAGTTAAACTTTTGAAGGAGGAAAATGTGAAATTGACCGAAGATAGATCTAGGTTAGAGCAAATGCTAGGCAGTAAAGATACTGATCTTGCCGAGAAGCAACAGCACCTGGACGAACTCAAAAATGAAGTGGCTGAAAAACAGAAACGGTTTGAGTCCATTCAAGCTGAATCCGAAAATCGCGTTCATGAACTCGCTGTTGAGAAGTCAACCGTCAGTGAAGAGGTGAAAAAGATAAAAGAATTGTTGAATGAGAAAGAGAATGAATTTAAGAATGAGGTTACTAAGATGAATGACAGAGAAAAGAGGCTGGATAATAAACTGAATTTGTTAAATGAGTTGAACACTAAGTTGAAACAAGATTTCGATCAAAGTAAAACGGAAATTCAGGAATCTCGGCAGGAGGAAGAACGTTTAAGAAGCGACCTGGAGTTGCTAAGATCAGAATCCGGATTAAAAGAGGGAAAGCTTACTGAGCTAACTGAACTGGTAAATGCTAATGAAGAAGAAATCATAGTTCTCAAGGCATCTCTTAAGGAAAGCTCTGGCAGAGAAAATGAGTCAACAGAGAAGGTAAATGAGCTGGAAGAACAAATCAAATCACTCAAAGGTTCTCTTTCCGAGAATCAGACCGAGTGTACCAGCATCAAAGAACACCTTAATGAAAAGGTACAAAAAATTGATTCACTTTCTGAAACAATTTCTGACAAACAAGCAGAGATTGATGCGATGAAGCAAAATTTGGAAACGCATATACAAGAAAGTCTTAATAGAGAAAAAGATGCTGAAGACAAACTAAATGTTTTAGCAACCGAGAAACAGCAGGAATACAAGAGATTGACGGAAATGCTAAATAAAAAGGATGGAGAAATAAAGTCACTAGAGGAAAATATTTCTGTGAAACAAACGGAACTGGATGAATTACAGAAAAACACGAGTGCCAAAATACTGCAACGTAATGAAAGAGAGCGCCAACTTATAGATGAACTGGCTGCTTTAAATGCAGCAAAATTAGAAAGAGAGGAAGTTCTTGTTAAAGATTCACAGCAAAAAGAACAACAAGTTAAATTACTGGAGGCGAACGTCTCTGAAAATCTTGCTGAACTAAGCAAAGTAAAGGAAAGCCTGGAGTCTGAAATTCTTGGAAGAAAAGAGATGGAAACTAAGCTCAGAGATCAAATCGATGTCCTCACATCAGAAAGTGGAGTCAAAGAAAAAGATCTGTTTAGGAAGATAAATGAACAAGAGATTCAAGTTACATCACTGCAAGAGCGTCTAACGGTTAACCAAACTGAACTGGATCAAGTACAAGGAAGTCTTGGAGCTGAAACAGAGCGAGCGAAGCAACTAGAAAACGATCTTGAGGAACAAATGAAAACATTCAACGACAGAATCGCAGAACTTGAGGAAAAAGTGGAGAATTATAAGACCAGTGAGACCCACCTTAAAGAACTTGTTAATACCCTAGAGAATCAATTAAATAATTTTAAATCCGAAAGTCTTGAAAAAGAAACCAGTCTACTTAAAGAGATCAGCAAACATGAACAAAATATCAAATCACTACAAGAAAGTCTCGCCAACAAGCAGGCTGAACTGAGTGAGACCATGGCGGAACACAAACAACAGCATAACGAGTTGACCGATCAAATTAATTCCATTAAACTACGAAGTGATGAAACAGAAGCAAGTCTATTTGAAAAAAACAGTCAACAGGAACACGAGATCAAATCACTACACGAAAACCTTTCCAACAAGCAGACTGAACTGAGTGAAATAGTACAGAAATATGAAAAGGAGGAACTCGAACTAAAAGATCAAGTCGAAACTCTGAGAAACGATAGTTCTCAAAAAGAGAAAATTTCAGTGGAGAAGATTAATGAACTAGAGTTACAGATAAAATCACTTGAAGGTGATCTTGCTGATACGATCGCTGAGCTAAGTAAAGTTAACCAAAGTCTTGAGATGCAGATTCATGAGAGAAAAGAAATGGAAAACAGCCTGAATAAAAATATAAATATCCTGACATCCGAAAGCAAAGAAAAGGAAACGAGCTTACGTGGAACAATCAGTGAACAAGAAGAAAATATTAAATCATTACAAGAAAATCTCAACTCGATGCAAACTGCATTAAAAGAAGAAATACAGAAATGTGAACAGCTCGAAAAAGACAATTTGGATGCTTCGAATGAATACAAGAAAAGAGAACAGTCGTTGTCAGAAGAACTTGAAAATCAGAAATCTGCGGATAAAAATCGTATAGAGTCATTGTATCAAGAGGTAGCATCAAGAGACGAGAGAATTGGAGAGTTAGATGCAAACTATAGTACCTTAGAAAAAACAAAAGCGGAAGAAGTTAGAGGATTATCTGAAGAAATAGCCAAGCTCAAGGAAATTGTGCAAAAATTTGAGGTTCAGAAATCTGAGAGCGACGGTCTTTTGGTGTCTTTGAAAGAAGATGTGAAATCGAGAGATGAAATGATCGAAAAGCTGAATGGAAAACTTGTCTCGCTAGAAAGAAGTAAAGAAGAAGAAGTTAAAGTTTTAAGTCAGGATGGTATGAACCTTAAGCAAACTGTACAGGATCTTGAACAGACTTTGTTGGAAAAGGAGCAGAAACTTTTCATTTCTGTGGAGGATAACCAGAAATTAACTTCCCAAGTTAAGGAAATCGAAATTAAGCTGAGTGAACGACGTGATGAACTAGACGGTGAGAGAATTTTAAGACTGCAGGAAAATCAGAAACTTTCAACTCAAATAAAAGACGTTGAAAATATGTTGAGTAAACAAACTGAAGAACTAGAAAATGAGAGGAGTTCAAGACTTGATGAAATCAATAAACTTGAATCTCGAGTCCAAGAAGTAGAGGGTGTTTTGAACGAAAGAACTGTTGAACTTGAAAATGAAAGAAGATCCAGATCGGAAGAGAATAAGAATTTATCATCACAGGTGCAAGAGCTTGAAAGTATGTTGAGTAAACGAAATGGGGAATTAGAAGATGAGAAGAAATTAAGACTGGAGGAAAATAAGAGACTTGAAACTCAAGTGAAGGAAATCGCAACTGTGCTTAGTGAGCGAGATTTGGAGTTGAAAAAAGAAGCGAATTTAAGGACTGAAGAGACTCGAAAACTTGAAAGTGAAAATAAAAAATTGCAAGGTGTTGTGGACGATATGCAGGAAACAATACGAGTGAAGGAAGGTGAGATTTTCGCACAAAAGGAAGAACATTTAGAACGATGCAACGAACTTCAGAATTCATCGCGAGAGATGGAAGCAACGTTGTCTCAAGAATTGCAAGCCTTACGAGCTACTAACAATGATTTAGAGGAAGCTCTCCGAATTAAAGAGGGTGATATTGTTTTACTGAAAGAAGAGCATTCAGAACGGTGCAGGTCAACGCAAAAGAAAGAAGAAACCATGTCTCAGGAAATGTTAGAACTACAAGAAGCACTTCGAGTAAAAGAAGATACTATTATCGCACAGAAAGAAGAACATTCAAAACGATACGATGAACTTCAAAATTCATCGCAAGAGAAGGAAGCATTCATGTCTCAAGAATTGCAAAAAATTATGACTAACAACCAGGATTTGCAAGAAGCACTTCGAGTTAAAGAAGATGTCATTGTAGCACAGAAAGAAGAACATTTGGAACGATGTAGTGAATTAGAGACCTCGTCGCAAGAGAAAGAGAAATTGTTGAAAGAATCGGATGAGCAGTGGGTACAGAAAGAAGCAGCATTATCTCAGGAATTACAAGAATTGAGGAAAAATAACTGTGAATTGGATACGCAGTTAAAAGAACTTCAAACAATGGTTAGTGACCGAGAGGCTGAATGGAGTAATCGTGGGAAGTTGTTCTTGAAGACAGAAGAAGAATTAAAGTCGCGGTTAGAAGAAAAAGATAAAAGTTTGAGCGAGTTAGGAGACCAGTTACAAAAAGTTTCTAAAGAGAAAGTCGAACTTGAAGAAAATATTGCAGGTATTAATGGAGAGAACATATTATTACAAGGAAAATTGCAGGATAGTGACAGAGAATTGGAAAATATTAATACAAGATTGGCGGAACAGGACACCCAGATGAGCAAACTGAATGAACAATTGTATAACAGTGAATCGCAAGTAAATGAATTGAAAGAGCAATTGGGTCATTTTGAAAGCAAAACACGCGAATTGAATGAACGGTTGGAAAATATGTCTGATGAAATACAAGGACTGAATGAAGAACTACGTACGAAAAGAAAAGACATTGAAGAGTTGACTACGGTTATTGAAAACAAGGAAAATGAAATTGAAGAGTTGAATACAAACTTAGGATCTAGTGATGTGGAAAACCGAAAATTGAGAGAAAAACTTGAACACAACACTAAAAAGAGCGAAGAGTTAGACAAGGAATTGGAAATAAGAACAAATGAAGTGGAAGGTTTAAAGCAATCTCTCACAAATAAGGATGATGAAATTACAGAGTTGAAAAATCGCCTAGAAACTAGTGGAGAGGAATATCAGAAATTGAATAAAGAACTTGAAGAGATAAATAAAGAGGTTAGCACTTTACAACAAACAGTTTCATGTAAGGATGGTAAGATCACGGAGTTAAACGGTATATTGGGGACTTCGAATGAAGAACTTGAGATAAAGAACAAACAAGTACAAGATCTCAAAGAAGATGTTGCGAGTAAAGATGGTAAAATCATAGAGTTAAATGGTCTGTTAGACAGTAATGAAAGAAAGTACGCTGAAGAGGTAACAACTCTGACCCAGCAGAAAGACAATCTTCAAAATATGTTAACCCAAGAACAATGCGCTGTTAAAGAATCAAAATTGAAGTTTGCCGAGGAAAAGAGTTTACTTCTGACCGAGTTAAACGAAAGTATGGAAGTAAAGGAAAGATTGGAAAAGGCAATGGTTTCTCTCGACGCGAAAGAAAATGAAGTGTTTGATTTGAAGGAAAACGCTGTTTTGGTCGAGGAGCAACTGGTAGAGAAAGACGAAGAAATAAATAATCTTCAAAACGATCTGAACTTAAAGCTTCAGGATCTTGAGGAAGAAAGAAAAAAATCAAAACAACTACGGCAAGACCTGGATGAGACCCTCACAGCTTTAGTTAGGACTAAGGAAGAAAATGTCTTTCTCAGTGAAGAGTTGGACGTGACTGCTGAAGAAATGAGAAGTAAGAGTTCGGAAGCGGAAAAGTTACAGGGAGATATTGATAAACAAACTCAGGAAAACCAAGAAAAGATTGAGGAATATGTTGCCTTGACTCACACATTGAAGGAGGAACTGCACGCAAAGACCAACGAATTGAGTACTAAAAGTATGGAAGTTGATAAATTGCAGGGAGATATTGATAGAAGCGCACAAGAACATCAACGAAAGATCGAAGAATATGTCGCCTTAAATCAAAACTTGAAAGAAGAGCTTTTGGGTATAAGTGAAGATGTGAAAGTTAAGATAGAAAATCTTGATGGTAGAAGGAAAGAGTTGGAGGAAACTTGCCAAAATTCTGGGAAACGAATAGTCGAGTGCGAAAAAGAAATTGAAACCCTAAAGAATGATCTTAGTGTCAAGTCTGATGAGTTGAAATGTAGAAATACTGAACTAAGCAGTTTGAAGGAGTCTTTTGATAAATCGTGCCAAAATTATGAGACGCGAATCACTGAGAATGAAAATATAAAACAAAGCTTAACAGAAAAGTTGGAGGTAAAGACAGAAGAGCTGAAGGCTAAATGTACAGAAGTGAAAAATGTCCGAGCAGAATTAGATAAAACCTGTCAAATTCACAAGAAGCAAATGTCTGAGAATGAAAACGTTAAGCAAAATTTGAGCGAGCAACTGCAAGCGAAGACTGAAGAACTTGATGCTAAATCTACTGAATGTGGTAACCTCAGCGCGAAGTTGGAGCAACAAACCTCTGAGTATAGAAGAGGTATCCAAAGTGTGACGGAGCAACTAAAAACGAAGGGTGAAGAAATGGATGCTAAATCAACTGAATGCGATGAACTTAGCACAGAATTAGAGAAAACTAGAGAAGCTCATGAACGGCAGAAGTCTGAATATGAAAATATTAACCAAAGTTTGACAGAGCAACTACAAGCGAAGAGTGGAGAACTGGATTCTAAATCTGTTGAATGCGATGAACTTAGCGCAGAATTAGAGAAAACTAGAGAAATTCATGAACGGCAGAAGTCTGGATATGAAAATATTAACCAAAGTTTGACAGAGCAACTACAAGCGAAGGGTAAAGAACTGGATACTAAATCTACTGAACTTAACGACGTCAAAGAGAAGTTTGAAAAAACCTGTCAAATTCATGAACAACGGACCGCAGAGCTCGAGTGTGTTAAACAAAATTTGACGGAACAGTTACAGGCAAAGAATGAGGAAATGGATGTCAAATCTACTGAATGTGACAACCTCAGAGGGGAGTTGGCAGAGGCTAGGCAAACTAATCAACAACAGGCTTCGGAGCATGAACGTGTTAACCAAAGTTTGACGAAAGAACTGCAAGTCAAGGGTGAGGAACTGAATGCCAAATCAAATGAATTCGATTATCTCAAAGCGGAATTGGAGGACGTTAAGGAAGTTCATGAACGGCGCACCTTTGAATATGAAAACATTAACCAAAGTTTGACGGAGGAGCTGCAGACAAAGAGTGAAGAACTAAATGCTAGGTCTGCTGAAGTTGAAAACCTTAGAGCGGAATTCGGAGCATCCAGCCAGATTCATGAACAGAAATCAGTTGAATATGAAAATGTTAACAAAAGCGTGATAGAACAACTACAAACAAAGGGTGAAGAACTGAACACTAAATCCATTGAGTATGACAACCTCAAAGCAGAATTCGAAGAGGCCATGGAAATTCATAAACAACGAGCCTCAGACTATGAAAATGCTATACAAAATTTGATGGAACAGTTAGAAGCTAAGATTGAAGAACTGAACACTAAATCCACTGAGCATGACAACCTCAAAGCAGAATTCGAAGAGTCCATGGAAATTCATAAACAAAGAGCCTCAGACTATGAAAATGCTAAACAAAATTTGATGGAACAGTTACAAGCCAAGAATAAAGAAATAAACACTAAATCCACTGAGTATGACAACCTCAGTGTAGAATTCAACGAGGCCATGCAAATTCATCAACAGCAAGTCTTTGAGTATGAAAATGTTCAACAACATTTGACGGAGCAACTACAAGCAAAATCTGAAGAAATGGGTGCTAAATCTACTGAATGTGACAACCTTAGAGCGGAGTTGGAAGAGGCTATGCAAATTAATGAGCAACAGGCTTCAGACCACAAACGTGTTAACGAAAGTTTTACAGAAGAACTAAATGCTAAATCAAATGAATGCGATGATCTCAAGTCGGAATTAGCGGATGCCAAGAAAGTTCATGAACGGCGCACCTTTGAATATGAAAATGTTAACAAAAGCGTGACAGAACAACTACAAACAAAGGGTGAAGAACTGAACACTAAATCCACTGAGTATGACAACCTCAAAGCAAAATTCGAGGAGTCCATGGAAATTCATAAACAACGAGCCTCAGACTATGAAAATGCTAAACAAAATTTGATGGAACAGTTACAAGCCAAGAATGAAGAAATAAACACTAAATCCACGGAGTATGACAGCCTCAGAGTAGAATTCGACGAGGCCATGAAAATTCATCAACAGCAAGTCTTTGAGTATGGAAATGTTCAACAACATTTGACGGAGCAACTACAAGCAAAATCTGAAGAAATGAATACTAAATCTACTGAATGTGACAACCTTAGAGCTGACCTGGAAGAGGCTAGGCAAATTAATGAGCAACAGGCTTCAGACCACAAACGTGTTGACGAAAGTTTTACAGAAGAACTAAATGCTAAATCAAATGAATGCGACGTTCTCAAATCGGAATTAGCGGATGCCAAGAAAGTTCATGAACGGCGCACCCTTGAATATGAAAATGTTAACAAAAGCGTGACAGAACAACTACAAACAAAGGGTGAAGAACTGAACACTAAATCTAATGAATTGGACAACCTTAGAGCGGAATTCGAGGAGGCCATGGAAATTCATCAACGACGAGTCTTAGACTATGAGAATGTTCAACAAAATTTGAGTGAACAGCTACAAGCAAAGACTGAGAGAATGAATGCTAAATCTATTGAATATGACAATCTCAGAGCGGAATTTGAGGAGGCTAAGAAAAATAATGAGGGACAAACATCTGAGTATGAAAGTGCCAATCAAAGTTTGGTGGAAGAACTTCGAGCTAAAAGTGAAGAATTAAATACTAAATCAGCTGAATATGACAACCTCAGAGCGGAATTAAAGGAGACCATGCAAATCCATGAGCGAGAAGTTTCAGAGTATGAAGGTGGCAAACAAAATTTGACGGAACAGTTACAAACAAAGAGCGAGGAGATGAATGCTAAATCTATTGAATGTGACAACCTCAAGGAAGAATTGGAAAAAACCAAGCAAGCTAATGAGCAACAGATCTCTGAGCATGAAAGTGTTAAGCAATGTTTGACAGAAGAACTGCAAGTCAAGAATGAAGAACTAAATGGAAAATTGGCGGAATGCGATGACCTCAGGGCGGATTTGAAAGAGGCTAGGGAAGTTTATGAACGGCAGACCTCTGAGCATGAAAATGTCAAGCAAAGTCTGGCGGAGCAACTACAGGCAAAGAGCGAAGAACTGGATGGTAAATCTACTGACCTTAACGCTGTTAGAGCAGAGCTGAATGAAATTTATCAAATTCGTGAACAACAGACCGCTGAGTTCGAACGTGCTAAACGAAATCTGACAGAACGGCTAGAAGCCAAAAACGAAGAACTGAATAATAAATACACTGAGTTTGATAAACTTAAAGCAGAATTGGAGGAAACTAGTCAAAATTATCAACAGCAAGTATCTGAGTATAAAAATCTAAATCAGGAACTTAAAGATAAACTAAAAACGTCTGCTGACGAATTAGAAGCAACGTCTGTTCAACTGAACCAGCTGCAAAAAGACTTCGAGGAAAAGATGAAAATGCATGAACGAAAGATGGAGGAATATCAAACAGTTTGTACCAACTTGAAGGAGCAATTGCAGGCGACTGTTGAAGAGCTTGCAAATACATCGAAAGAAAATGAAACGTTAGGTTTAGAACTTGAGAAATGTAAACAGGATGACAGCGAGAATCGTAGAAATTACGGGGATAAAATAAAGGAACTAGAAGAACAAGCAGCTGCTAAAACTCGAGCGTTCGAAGATAAGTCGAACGAATACGATAACCTGAGTCAAAGAATGGCTGAGGAAATTAAGAGAAGTGATGAGAAATTGGACTTGAAATCTGCGGAGTTAGGAAAGCTTAAAGATGTAATGATCGAGAGCAGACAAACGTACGAAAAAAGAATTGAAGATTTGGAGAATAAAGTTGAATCTCTGAATGAAGAGTTAAGGACTAACCAAGAGAAAATAATTGAACATGAATCTGTGAATGAAAAAATAACTGAAGAGTTGCTAGTTAGAAGCGAATCCTTTGAAACGACATCTGCCGAGTTATTGAAACTTAAAGACGAAGCCACACAAAATAGCCAAAATCACGAGAACAGAGTCGGACGTTTAGAAAACAAGATTCAGAGCTTAACACAAGAGGCGACGGTTAATGAAGAGCAAATAGTGGAACTGCAAACCAAGCTGAGAGTTACAAAACAACTTCTGGAAGGACAGTCGGCGGAGTTAGACAGAGTTGAAAACGAGGCGAAACAGAGTAGCCAAATGTACGAGCAAAAAATTGAGGATATACAAAGTAAGATTGAGACTTTAACTCGGGAGCTAAAGATCAGCGAAGGTCGTGTTGAAGAAAAGCAAGCCCTAAACGAAACATTGAGCGAGGAATTAAAGATGAAAAATGAATTGTTTGAAAAAACAACTGCTGATTTAGAGAGAGTTCAAGATAAGGGAAAACAAAAGACTCAAATTTTCGAGCAAAAAGTGGAGAATTTAGAAAATAAAATTACGACTTTGACGCAAGAGTTGGAGACAATGGAAGGGAAAATGAACGAGCAACAGGTTGAGTTAAAAGTAAAGAATGAACAACTGGAAATAAAGTCATCTGAGATTGAGAGTATTAAAGAGAAAATCGCTCAAAGTAGGCAAACATACGAACAACAAATTGAGGTAATGGAAGGCAAAATTCGTGAACTAAGCGAGGAGCTTAACGCAAGCGAAGGAAAAATTGAAGAATATAAAGTCTTGAAGCAAACATCGACCGAACAGCTAGAAATTAGCGAGAAGAATTTGCAGGAAGCATCGGCTGAATTGGCGACAGTCAAAGAGCAAGTAGAACAACTCAGCCAAACAAATGAGACTTTAGAAAATAGAATACAGAGTTTAACCCAAGAACTGAAAATTAACGAAGAGGAGCTTAAAGCAACATATCTTGAGCAGAGGAAATTGAAAGAAGAGTTAGAACACAGTAGTCTTGCGTTTGAAAGAAAGGTTGCAGATTATGAAATGATAAACGATACTTTGAAATCTGCGGCACTGGAGTTGAAAACCAAGTGTGAAGGAGAGGAGGTGGTGAAAAAAGAGTTACAGGAAAGTAAAATGATATTTGAAAGAAAATTGGAGGAATACGAAAGCCAAAGCCAGGTACTTAGAAAACAGTTAGAACTCAATCGGAAACAATTAGAAGAAAAGTCTGTTTCATATGACCAGTTGGAAGACAAATTGATTCACAAAAGCCAGGAATACGAACGGAATGTTATTGATCTTGAAACTAAAATTCAAACACTTGAGAAAAATTATGAACTCACCCAACAACAATTGAAGGACAAAGCTGCTGAGCTGGAAACCTTGAAGGAGAACTTTGATAGAATTGAACAAGAATTAGAAAGAAAATCTGAAGAATCTGCAACCCAAATTGAGTCTCTTAAAGAACAGATTGACCATTTAATTAAACTTCAGGAGAGTGAGATTAAGGAAAGGTCCGAGAAGGAACAAGAAATTTTACACGAAAAGGCCATTGTTGCTCTTCAGTTAAATGAATATAAACAAACCAGTGAGAAAGATATACAAAGATTGAAAGAAGAACAGAAGACTGTTTTGGAGTCAAAAATAGAATTGGAGAATGAGAAAATGTTGTGGTCTCAGAAGGCACAGGAGATTTCACAGGAGAAAGCCATTGTGGATCGTGAGGTGGAAGAATATAGAAAAATCGATGAGTTGAAAAAGAATGAAGTAGAGAGGTTGAAGGAAGAACTTAATGTTGCGCAGGAAAAGAAATCACAAATGGATGGTAAACTTGGTCAACTTTCACAGTATATAGAGGATAAGAGAGAAGAATATATAAGAGGTTTACAAGAGAAAGAGAAAGAATGTTCAGTTTTGAGTGAGGATAATCAACGCTTGAGAAAAGATATTGAACACATGATGAACAACCTTGAAGAACTACAGATATCTAAAGAGTTCATGGCGCAGGTGAGACGATCGTGCCGATTGGTACTATTAAGAAGATCGTCAGGGTAGTTCAGAGCCAAAGAAATGTACTTTCAAACAATCTTCTGGATTAGCTCGTGCAAACACTATTTTTTACTATTACATTAGTTATGACTAGAAATAGATTAATAACGTTTAGCTTTTGCACTGGATTTCATTTGATGCAATTATCTTCCATTTCAGGCCAAACACGCGAATGCAGGCCAACTAATTCAGGAAGAAATTCCCCGGCCGAAATCAGCTCGTGAATTAGCGGCCAATCCTGACGAACCCTTGATAAAAACAGAGGAAGTCGTACAGCTGCAGTCAGCCTATAATGATGATGACATGTGGGCTGAACCAACCTCAGACACAATATCTGTGCATAATAAGGTATTTTCATATCTGTTATTGTATTTTCCGTGCATTTTTTTTGACAGTATTTTGGACTGACGTTACCTTATATCGACATGCTCGGATAGTGATTATAAAGCCTGCTTGTAGGCTAGGGTAGAATTAACGTTTGAGATGAATGTCTCGTTTTTAAGTCCATTAAAGCAATTTTATACTGTATATGTTTTTTGAGGTTGCCCTGTTTCTCGTAGTCCGTGAGAAAATAAATTTGAAGCCCATTATTTATTTAAAGAAATTTTTATGTAAACGTTCTACCGTGGATTTCATTCTCTTGATTGATGTAATCAAAGTGAAGAAAAATGGTTGGTGCGACCCGACCTTGTAAGGTCAGGGGCTGGCGTGGATTCTTATCGCATGTTTTGTGGTGATATTAAATTGCTTGTTTTTCATAGGTTCTAGAAATCGAACGTAATTTCAATGACGTGAAGCAACAGTTAACCGAGGAGATGAACAGAAATCTAGAGTTGAAGCAAAGACTGGAGAGATTACAAGAAGAAAAGAACGCAGCAGATGTGAGGTGCACTGAATTAAAGCAAGCTTTGGAAGAATTTATATTCTCCACTGATAAAAGAGGAGATGTTGAAGAGCAGGAGGATGGAAAGAACATGGAAGAACCAGTTCAAGGTAGGATTATGTGATATTTTTGTACACCACATGTGATACTTGTATTGATGTCGATAAATGTTCCTTTGTGTTAAGTTCATTAGAAATGTTAACTAACATTTTATATCATTTGTGGAAGTAATTTGTTGTTGAAATTGATTGTAAAAGAATCAACAACTGAGTTTTTTTCGTCGTGGTAGGAAGTAGCCAATCATATTGTTCGTTAGGTGTGACATAAATGCTGATGAAACGATTTTATTTTCAGCCGACCAAGACGTATCAATGATGTTTGAAACTCCATCAACTATTGAGCCAAATCAGGCGATCCATGCTACATCGGAATCATTTGGTGAAGTTGTTCGCTTATTGGAAGAAGAAAAGGCAACCTTGGAGAGAAAACTAGATACGGCTACAAAGGCAAGTGTTAGCGACGGTTCATAATAGCATTGCATCTTTCCCAGAAATGAGAGTCTGGGTATTAATTGTTACAAGTGGAACGTGATCAATTTCGAGATTGCGATCCTGAGGGAACGAATACGTCTGACGATGTGATTTCTTTTTAGGAAAGAAATGCTCTTCGTGCCCATATCGAGCAACTCGAGGAAGAACTAGAGAAATCGCGTGATACTGATGCACGTGATACTGGGACACGTGACGAAGGCGTTTTCATGAATGTCGAAGAACAGAATAAGATGAAGAACATTGTCAAGGAGGCCGATGCACTAAGGTAGAAATCTCGTTGCCTATTTAGTTTTGTCTTGCGTAATTTTTCCTGCAATATTGAAGACAGGACGCTGTTCGACGCCGCAGACGTGGAACCGATTCACCTCGCGTAGGTTTGACCAACCTCGCTTTCATGTTTTACACTCCAAATTGTACCGACAGATTTTATCTATTGTGAATGACGTATTAATATCCGTATCAAAATGGATAGATGATGTATTGATAAAGTTGTTAGTTAGTCTATTCAAGTACTCCTAGCCAAGCTGTTAGTTAGTCCATTGATGTATGTACATTTAATGTGCCTTAATTGCAAACCGCGAGTATAGTCTTACAAGGTGAAAGTATCCAATAGAAATAAATTTTAGTTCAGTGATGCTTACACATTCACTATTATCTTCACTCACGCATTATCTTATTCATTTAAGAAACTCATTGCAAGAACGCGAAGAAAACGAACGGCAACTTCAGCAACAGTTGAAACTTTATCATGATGAGTTACAGCGGGAAAGTGAGGACAACGAATTGCTTCGAAACACCCTATCCCACCTTGAACAGCAAATAAACACTGATAAAGAACAACTATTGAGCTTAGAAACAGAACTAACTGAAGTTCGCAATGGAAGTGAAAGCTTAAAGCTTGACATGGAAAATTTACAGAAAGAAAAACACGAGTTGTTAGAAGATAAAGAAAGGACACGAGGCGAGAATGCAAAGTTTTCTGAGCTAATAAAGGAATTGCAGGAGAATGTAAAGACCAAAGATACGGAGATTATGGACTTGCATCAGAATTTAGAGGAGAAGGAATCGGCGATAGTGGATTTACGGCAAAACCTGGATGGAAAAGAAACTGAAATTTTTGAAATTCAGCAAAGTTCTGAGTCATTGGCGGAGCTGAATGAGAATATAAAGGGAAGGGACTTAGAAATTACTGGTTTGAAAAAGGATATTCAGAGAAGAGAGGCCGAAATCACCGAGCTGATGCACGCAAAAGATTCTTTAATTTCAGAGTTGCAAGACCATGTCGTAGGTAAGGAGAGCGAAATAGTGAAATTAAACGAGACTGTGGAAGCAAAAGAATCAGAAATCGCAGACTTGCAGCGAAATCTTTCTGCAAAAGAGGGCGAAGTCGTGGAAATAAAAGAAAGTATCATTAGCAAAGATAGAGAAATCCTAGAATTGAAAGAGGACGTCAGAGCGAAAGAGGCTTTCGGTGAGGAACTCCTAAATTCTAAGAAACTTATGGCGAAGTTAAAGAAGAAATTCACAGCGTTCCGAGACGAGAAGCAAGCAGAGCTGGAGAAAAAAGATGAAGACATATCAAGACTGTTAGATCGGGTCGCTGAGGTCGAGAGTCTTCGTCGCAGTGAAGGACAGAATGTCGACGAGGAGATCAAGAAATTGACTGAAAGAATTCTTGCAGCGGAACAGCGGCATGAAGGAGTTTTGCAGACAAAGAATGATGAGATTAACACTTTGAAGGTATGTTTCTCTTTATTATTCCAAAGTCTGTACACCACTGATTGCCCTGCTTACTTTACTGTTCTAGGGCATGGAGATATGCCGTTGAATTAGCAATGCCATGCAACCATAACCAATCTAGCCAATACCTATATTAACTATTTTTTTTCAACGTTTACCATCCTTCTGTTAATTCTGTTTATAGGAGATGGTTAGGAATCTTGAACATAGCAAAGACGAAGCATTAGAAGAGAATGACAGCAAAATTGCCAATCTTCTTGAGCAGCTTGATCAATCTCAAGAAATTCATAATAAACATATCCAAGATAAAGACGCTGAGATATCTGACATGAAAGATGAATTTCAAACGGAGTTGGACAAGAATAACGAGTTCGTTCTGCAACAAATCAACATGTTGAAAGAAGAATTAGCCCAAAGCAGGTATAGTTTTTATATTTTTATACAAAGATCATCGTAGGACTTACGTAGGACATATTGAGTTTAGTTGACTAGTCAAATTGTTAAATTAAATTATTAGCTATATTTCAAAACCGACCATACAACCGTGTAACTCCCCTTATTTGCACATCCGTGACATATCCGCTCATTCACATCTATCAAAAGACGAAAATCACCAAGAGTGGTCTGAACACCACATCGTGATACTTATGGTTGTCATGATGATTGGGCAATATCAATATTCATCGTTTGTTCGTCATTGTTATCATCCTTAGCTTGGTTGGCAGATCAATGTTTTTATGGAAATCGTGCAGAATCAAGCAAAACGTTTTTGTATTTTTCAGATCAGCTTTATCTGAGGAGGAAAATGAGACCGAATCATTGAGAAAGAAATTGTCAGACAAAAACGACGAATTGGAAATGATAAAGGGCGAACTTCAGGATAAAATGACCACTTTGGCCGCGACTCAAAATGAACTGGAACATCTAAGAAATATTACCTCTGATAATGAAGAACAGTATAAGAATATGCAGGAAGAATTGCAGCATAACAGGACTGAATTAGGCGAGAATGAATCCCTGGTTAGGTCGCTGAATGCGAGTTTGACTGAAAGTCAGGAACAGATGAAGGAGCTAAAGAGAAATAATGAGGCGATGATGGATCGCCAGTCAACCTTAGGTGAGCATACAGCACTTGATAGGGGAGCACGATTACCGTCGGTTATAAAACTTACTGCCGACCCCAAACTAAGTAAACAGTAAACACAAATTGAGTTATAATACTGTGGTCAGTTATTCAATAACCGGCTTGCTTAATACGTCACTGCAACTTTTGCAAATCAACTATTTATCAATTAAAAAAGTTAATCCAGTAATAGTTTTGCCTATTTATTAGTTCTATTCTCTAAGGTAAGAGCTATGTAGAAATACATAGTGAAGGCATTCAAACACGTTAAAATTTTAGCCATGGTATTCAGGCTTTGCATGTGCAACCGACCCCTAGAGATATCTCTCAAATCCTAAACCGTTCTGTGTATCTTCTGTATCAACACATGCAACAGAAACCAAAGCTTAACTTGCTTTATATACAAATCCCGTACCTTGTCATTGGTAATCTACTCTCCATAGAAAACCCGATATATCAAGTTTATACGTTTTCAAACAAGCATTATTTTTCTTTAGGAGAGAAAGAGGCCGAGTTGATAACATTAGCAGAACAACTTGAGGGGAAATCGACAGCATTATCTGAAAGTGAATCTGCATGCGAAGTTCTTAAACAACAACTAGCTGAAATTGGCGGAGAACTAAAGAAACAAAAAGAACGTGAACAAGATTTGGTAGAAATGTTACGTTTAAGAGATGAGCAAAAAGACCTGCCTGAGGAACGTGCTAACACGCCTATCGTTGAGGAAACTGTTGCCGAAGAGAATAGAAGCCAAGTCCTGGAGCTACCGGCTCTCGAGGAAACTGTCGTGGCTGTAAACGAGAGTGTAGTTGAAGAGTTGCCACCTGTTCTTTCAGCAGATGACAATTCTCAGTCACAAGAGAAAAGCTTGCATTCCCAGTTAAAAGATAAGGAAGCAGCACTCCAAAAACAAACAGAACAGCTACAGACAGTCGCTAAAAAATTCGCAGGACTAAAGAAGAAGTTTGGAACTCAAAAAGAACAACTAAAAGAGCTCAGCAATACAAACAAGAAGCTACGTGAAGAAAAGGACGAGTTGACCAAAACTAATGAAGATATGAACAAAAAATTATCCGAAATGAGAAAATTGTCTGTGGAAAAAGAAGTGCTAGAGAACTCCTTGAATTCTAAAGATTCTATACTCGAGTTATTGAACTCTGAGGTCAGCCGTTTCCAGGAAAATATCACCATGATTGAAGAGGAGAATCTTGGATTGAAAACAACCCTTGAAGGAAAAGACCGTGACATGTCTGCATTACGACGGCAGCTAAATACGGCTTCTGAACAGGTGGAAATGATGGACGCCTTAGCTGAGGATCGTGATAAGTTGACTGAAGTGCTGGCCTCGAAGAAGGAAGAAATAGAGTCATTGGCTTCACAACTTCAGGGGAGTCAGGCTTTGGTTATGCAGAAGGAGGCTGAAATAGAAAAGTTTAAGAAAAATATTGACGATGACTTCACAATACATTCGGAACAACTTCAGTTATGGAAAAATCATGTTGAAGCAAGTACACATGAAATATCGGAGCTTCAGAGGCTTTTGCGAGAGAAAGACAGTCAAAGTGAGGAACATCAGCAGGAATTTGAGTCTCTTCGCGCTGAGGTAGAAAGTTACAAGAAGAAACTACAGGAGAAAGAAAGTGAAATTGAAGAAGGTGGAAAGGATATTTCATTCATCCAAAGTCAGCTTGAAAACCAGATTCGGGAGAAATCTGAATTATCAGAAGATATCATGCGATTTATTTCCGAGAACCAGCAATTAAGATTGGAACTCGAATCGAACGCTAATAAGGAAGACTCTTCCGAGTTAGAGGCTTTAAAACAACAGTCTGAGCAACAGAGTCAGGAATTGTGTAATCTTAGACAAGAACTTGAGGTTGAAGTTGAACGGCAGAGCAAATTGCAGAGAGCATTACAGGAGAAAGGTGCCTTAATTGAGGAGTATGAAGAGGAATTTGTATCTCTGCGTCGAGATATGAATGAACTCGAACAAGAACACAGGCGTGTTGACGAGACTATGGATGAACTGGTAGAGCAAAAACGAAGTTTGGAAGGATTGCTTCAAGTCCGAGAAGTTGAAGTAAATGATCTGCGTAGCAAGATGAGTGAAATGGAGAAAGATCAAGTAGCCCGAGACGTTTCTGAGAATTTGCAACAAATGCTGTCGGAGAAGAATGAAGAAGTCCAGCTGTTAAATAAGTCGCTTTCTGAGAAATCGGTAGTGATAGAGGAACTTTCAGGTAATTTAACCGCTCTTAGGGATCTGGACGCGGAATCCCAAGCGAAGATTTCTGCTCTGGAAAGGCAGAAAGAGAGCTTGTTTGCCGAGTCATGCAACTTTAGTACACAGCAGAAAGACACAGAACAACAACTTATAGAGGTACAAGCAGAACTTGAGGATTCTCAGAACAGAATGAACAAATTCGAGGAATTGTTGCACGAAACACGAGCAGCTTTAGAGCAAACTCAGAGAGAGAATCTACAAATTCAGGAAACTTGTGAAAATCATGTTAACGAGAAAAATGCTTTACAAGTGAACTTAAGCCAAACTGCAAACCAGGCTTTAGAGCTTAAAGGCACAGTTGAAAGTCTAGAAGAAAGCTTAAGTGAGAAGGACAGGGAGTATGGAAATGAGATACGATTGTTGAGATCGGAGGTTGAAGCTAAAAGTGCTGAGATATATTCCATGCAAGAGACTGCAGAACTGGTGGATGAATTATCGAAAAAGTTAGCGAATGCGAGTTCAACAGTCACAGACTTGGAACAAAAACTTGAAGCAGCCAAGAAAAAAGAAGAAACGAGAGAAATCGAGTTGATTCAGAGAAGTGAAGCACAGAACGTCGAAGGAACACCAGATCAATCCTCTACCGATGCAGGAGAACCGAGTGCGGATGACAGGGCAACTTTAGAAGCAAAGATTGCGGAATTAGAGAAAGAAAAACTTCAATTAAGAAAGAAACTGGCCACGATGAAGAAAGCGAGTGCCGAGATTGGAAAGCAACATAAACAATTACAGACTGCTCTTGCTCAGAAAGAGAAAGAATTGGCAAACTTAACATCGGAGAAACAGGTCATCAAGGAAAGATTGGAAAGAGAAATCGACACGCTCAAGAATGAAAAGGATTCAATGGAATCTGAATTCGAGGATTGTGTTAAAGACCTGAAGGAAATCACAAAAGAAAATCAAGAGACAGACAAGGAGAGAAATAGTTTAAAGGCAGCAGTTCAAAATCTAGAATCAGAAAAAGAGTGGAATATCTCTGAACTTGAGAATTTAAGAGCTGAACTAGATGAGAAAGAAAGTGAAGTACTGGAACTAACAAAACAACTTGAAGCGGCTAAAATAGATTTTGATGATCGTATGAGAAAACGTTTAGATGAACTTCTGATGGAAAAAGACTTAGAGAAAGCTGACCTCGAGGAAGAGTTTGCAAAGCAAGTCCAGGAGGTTTGTTCTCAGAAAGATCAATTGATTTCTCAGAAAGATGTCCAGATTTCCGAACTGAGGAATAGAGCAGAACTCAATGAGGGTTTATCAAATGAGGCTGGACAGATTTCTGAGAAGATGCATTTAGAGATAGAGAACTTACGACAACAACTCGATACGAAAGATAAACAACTATTGGATCTAAATGAGAAACTTGCAACTACAATGGACAGTAAAGAAATCGTGAAAGAAGATATTGAAAAGAACTCTGATAAGTTATTGGTTGAGTTAGAGAATATGAAACACCAACTCGAGGCAAAAAATGAAGAATTAAAGAACCTAAAAGAGAGTGATGCAAACGAAAGCAGTGGCGCGCAAACTCAGGATCTGTTGGCCGAGATTGAAAATCTGAAAGATGAGCTTCAGATCCTTGGTGATGGACGTGAGGCACTGGATAAAAAATTACATGAAGTACTCACTGAGAAGCAGAAGTTATATGACGAGTTGTTAACAGTCAGTCAGGAGCGGAACGAGTTGAAGAACGCACAGGAGAGCGCTGGTCAAATGGGCAGCATTGTTGAGGAGAAAGACAAGGTTAGTGATCCTTCCATATGGGAAGCTTTTTCATTATGGTTTTATTGTCACATTTACGACAATCTTTAGGATATAGTTTCTCGGTAGTTCAGACACAAACTACTCTGCTTGGTTCTATGAAACACATCTTTTTCTTTTGTTTTGCTCAGGCACAAGCCACTCTCGCTTATTACACTAGGCTACTGTGCATGTTTCGGTTTTCAAATACTAACCTCACAATAGTAACAGAATAATACATCATGCGCAAGTTCTTATTAATTCAGGAAGGTTATCGTAGAATGCCACCTACATTCTACTTTTGTGTTGCTGAAATGCACTTATTTTTTTTTTTCTTCTTCATTAGAAAATTGCTGTGTTAAAAAAGAAGTTAAAAGAACTCCGAAGAGAGAAAGCTGCTTCTGAAGCAAAGTTAGAGGAGTCGAAAGTATCGGAGCTTGAAGTAACTCCACAGATTGTTAACGAGGTACGCTTTTATTTTCATTTTATTGGAAACACTGTTTAATAAATGAGCGAAAATTTTTTGTCACCTTCATCACCTGGTTTTAGACTAAATCAACACAGGGTGTCCCCCAAAGTGTATCCCCTTTGAAGCGAAGCTCTTGTTGGAATTTTAATACCTTATTAATCTGGCTAAAACATTTTTGGGCCATCTAACCTGTAAATAATAAGTGGACGTGATAGCCAGCGGTAGAAATGTAGAAACCCACTACACGTATTTTGGTTTGATATGATTAGGCTATGGGATATTAATGTGAAGTATGTGAAGCCCCAACTAGAATTCAGTAGATATACGTTCTGTAAACACTGTATCGATATCTAACATCCAGCAGTTTTCTAAAGGAGCATGTAAAAAGCATATTGGCTAAGCATTGTTGGTAAATGTAGTCATATTCTCGCGAAATCCCCTAGTTTTCCTTAAACTCGATGATATTTAACGTTTAATCTAACTTACCCTTCAACCAAAGGTTTTCCAAATGTCGGAGATGCCCACAGTTGAAGCTCTTCCAGAAATTAATACCGAGCAAAAGCCGAGCAAAGAAGAGCTTGATCATCTTCGTCACGAGAGGAACGTTTATGAAGAGAGTTATATCAGAATACAACGAGAACTTGATCAAATACAAAAAGAAAACGAGTCACTCCTTTCTGATTTACAATCCAAACAAGATCTAATCGATGGCTTTGAGGTGCAACTGAAACAGGAGAAAGATGTTGTGAAGAATGAGATGGAAATAGATGTCAATGAAATGAAAAATAAGATGAAAGGACGGGAAGAAGAGTTGATGGAAATGCATCTTGGAGAAAAATTCCAGATGGAAAGTTTGATTGGAGAGTTGAAGGTAAATGACAAATTATTCAACTAAATTTTCCTAACTAGAGAACGTCTTGAAACTTCATAAGTGGTCAGATCTCACAACTAACCTTTTGTATATTGTTTTACTACCGAAAACGAAACTAAATTATATGACTTGTAGGAAGAAAAAATGCGAATAAGTGACGACGTAGTCCAGTTAAAAGAAGAGATCTCATCTCTGGTACATGAAAAAGAAGAATTAGGGCATGAGTACTCTGCGCTTAAACACTCGTTTGAGAGCGTCTCAGAAAATTTAGAGGCTGTGCAAAATGAATTGGCTGGTTCTAAGGTATGTGCATAGCTCACTCGATCTTTTAGCGTTTTAGTCGTCTTCTACAGTTGTATCGATTAGAGTCTTACCAACGAATTTAAAACTATAGTATAATTTTTGTATTGGAACACTCTATCTTAATTGTTACTCTCTTTAACTTGGAACACTCTATCCTAGTTGTTACTCTGTTTTATTTTGCCTTTTTTTCCAGGATAAATATCGTGAATTACAAGATGAAAACACTTCCCTTCAAAGTGATGTTGACTTGAACAAGAAGGGCAAACTTAAACTGAAACATAAACTCAAAGAAGCTCTAAAACAACACGAAGAAGAGAAGACCGCTTTTCAGCAGGATTTACAAAATGTAAAAAGTGAGAAGGCAGAGATATGTAATGCACTACGTACTGAATTTGGCGCAGCTTTGGACAGTCGGGATGATATGTTGAGTGGTCTGAGGGAGAGACTAGAAGCCTTAAAGACTGAAAAGTTAAGTTGCGAGGAAAAATACGAAACTGAGAATCGGGAATTGATATCAAAGGTTACCGAGAGTGACGAAAAGAATACGAAGTTGCAGTCAGAGGTGACGGAGTTGACGGCCAGCTTAGACAGCGTTGGAGCAGAGTTATCTCGAGTACGTCATGAGAAAGATAACATTGGAGATTCGATCAGAGCGGAGTTTGATCATATTTGTTCAGGATTAAGGCAGGATTTGGAGCGAGTCTTAAAGGAAAGGGATGAAATTGCTAGAGCCATGGAGGTAAGATTACACATTAGTTGTTTTTCTTTTATTATCCAGGGTTTGGTTCCTGTAATGTGTTTGGCTTCTATAATTTGCTTTCTCTTATATGAAGGGATTGTTTCAAAGAACATTGTAGAAATAGAGAGTTATCTAAACTCATAAGCTTACGTATTGTTAAGGTTGGTCGTCTTGGTTTGGAGAAAGAATTGATTGATAAAGAAGAGACATTCGATGGCCTGCTGCAGATTGTCAAAGAAAAGGATGAAATCCTAAATTCCGAGAATTTGGAAACTCTAAAAGCGGAGGTAGAACGTCTCAGGCGAGAACTATCGACAGAACATATGATCTTGGAACAGGAACGGGGATTAGTCGAACAAAAGAATGTCGTTATTCAAACTTTGGAGGATGATAAGAAAAGATTGTTGATCGAGAGAGATAATGTTTTAGAAAGGGCTGGACAGGAGGTGGGTAGAAATGTTGAAAATACCTAACTTTTGGAGAGGCAAATTATTGTTTAGGCCTAAGCCTAAAGAAACTTCTCTTTTTATTGACAGGTTTCCGAACTTCGTTCATCTAAAGATACAGTAATTGAAAGTTTGGAGGATCGTTTGTCGAAACAAACTGAAGCACATGATCTTCTCAATGAAAAATATCAAGAAATTTCTCGAGAATTCCGAGAAATAAATGAACATATCGACTCGTGTGTACGAGACACGAACCAAGACGAAGGGCTACTCGAAGTTCTTGCCTTGGAAACGGCAACGCCTGGGGAGACGCGCATGCGTAGTAACAAAATCGTGAGTCAACTGCTTGGAAACTGGACCGAGTCTGAAAGGAAATGCGAGAAACAAAACAGAAACTGGGAATCGACTGAAGAAAGTTATAAGTTGGAGATTGAGAAATTACAAAACGAAAAAGTGGAAGTATGCAAGGAGATTGAAACGGAGTGGCAAAGAAAGCTGACGGAAAAAGAAGTAGAAATGGATGCACTCTCAAAGAAACTCGATAACAGCCAGAAGGAAAATAGTGAAGTAAAAGTAGAAATGGCGAAGGTTAAGGAAGTTCTGGAAAAGGGAATGTATGGTTTGATGATTGAAAAAGAAGATTTGACTAACCAACTGAAAGAAGCTGATTTAAAACTTGTGGGCAAAGAGCAAGAAATGTCGGTTTTGGGAGAACAATTTGAGAAAGCTAAGGTTGTTATCGCAGAGTTGAATGAAGAAAAGCAAAGTGTCAGCTCATCAAATGAGGAGTTTAAGTTGACCATTGCTCAAGCCACTGAAGAGATTGACCGCCTTCAATTGGATATCGAAGTTTTACAAAATGAACGAAACCACTTTGAACAACGCTTGATTGAAAACACCCAACTCAGTGATGGTCATTTCATGAAATTATTCAAAATTCTCGGAAACGTGGAGGTTGATCAAAGTGTAGAGCAAATAAAAACGATGTTACCAGAATTGCTCTCGGATCTGGTCAGACAAGTTCATGACAATGAAAAAGTTCAGGGACATCTGAGAGAAGAAAAAGCTAAAGTTTGTAATCAAATCCGTGAAGACTTTGAAAGCACTTTGGTTGAGAAGGAAAGTATACTAGAGGAACTCCGAGGTAAGCTCAAGGAAACTCATCAGAAATGCGATGATGTGAGCCAGACCAGTGAGGAACAGAGGCGGAAAATTGAAAATCTGCAGGGACAAGTTTCTGCACTGCGTACGAAAGTGGGGAAAGTGGAAATATCGAGCCATTCAGATGACAATGTTGATGGAGAAAAGCCTCATGCGATCCGTGAAGATATCGTGAAGCGTAGTGTTGTTGAAGAAGTTCTCACAGCATCGTCATCAGATCCATTAATGACCGAGTATGAAACTACTAATACTGAAATACAGACACTAGCTGATGAAAATTTGGATTTAAAAGCCCAATTAGATCACCTGAATAATGAGTTAGAGTCGCTTCAGAAAGATAATTCGAAAATCGCAGAACAATTAAACAGCAAAAACTTACAAACCGCTGCACTTGCTGGCGAGAATGAAACATTGAAAGACCTGATCTCAAGTTTAAACAACTCCGAACTTTCAGAGACTAATGAAAGACTTCAACGCGAAATAGAGCAACTTCGATTAGATAAGGAAGATCGACTGGGCAAAAGTAGCACAAATGGGGACGCTGATGAAAAGGCTTTGGAACAGCTTCGAGATTTGAGCAGCGAAGTCACTCGGCTCCAGGCTGAGCTGACGGTAGCGACCGAAGACCGAGCAGCATACGGCAAGCTTCGAAGAGACTTTGATCACATCGTATCGGGGTTGAGAGGAGATTTGGAGCGGGTGATGTCTGATCGTAATAATACAGCCCAGATGTTGGATAGCTTGAGAGCTCAAGTTCATGATAAGGAAGTCAGAGCATCTGGCGAGGCTCAAAAAGCCAGTAATGTGGACGGTAAGGGCGTACACGACGGGTCGAAAAGGGATCCCAAGGGACGGTCGTTGAAGGAAGTTGAAAAAGAATTGGAAACTGTAAAACGCGAGCTTCATGAGATTAGTTTGGTTAACAGGCAGTTAAAACAACTTGGCAAGAGTCTTGATACAGAATTGAAAGAAACAAGAAGAGATAAACAGCAGAGTGAGAAGAAATGTCAAGATCTAAGAGATGAAATGGAAGCATTTGTTAAAGAGAAAGAAGCAATTATTGTGGAGTCCAGAGAGCGCATTGAGACCAGCGAGAAACTAAATCAAGACAAACTACATGAAGTGTATAGACAACATGAGGAAGAGCTCCGCAGGGCTACAGAAAACTCGGAAAATAAGGAGCTGTTTTCGGCTAATGAAGAACTGCAGATGAAATTAAACGATGCGTATGAAGAAATCAATAGCATGGCTCAACTGGAAGGAAATAACAATGCTCTAAAGAAAGAAATAGACAGTATGAAGAACGAGAAGAATAGTTTAACAGAAAAAATGGAAGAGTTACATATTGAAGCTGAACAACAAAAGGATATTTTACGAAGTGAAAATGACGTTTTAATCGGGAACGTGAAAGACCTTAAAGGTTTAATTGATGAAGCTGATAGACAGATTGAAATTCGGGATGGAGAAATAAAAGATTTGAAAAAGCGTCTCCAAGAAAGCAAGGAAAATGTTGGACCAGGCGCTAAAACCATCCATGACGTGACCAAGGCTTACAATGATGTGATCTTACCGGAAGTGGAGTCTCCGCTGTGGCAGGAACAAGAAGGACGAGCCCTGGTGAAAGCCGTGAACGATTTAGAGCTCGGGGAGAAGCCCGAAGGGGGGAGTGCAATCATCGAATATCGCCCTGAAATGACATCAGAAAGTGAGAAGCTTGAACGAGAACTGGTTCAAACGTCCGGTCAAGTGGACGAGACTGAAAATCAATTGAAGTTCCTTAAAGAAGAACTAGAAAGGGAGGGGAGGGACAGAAAAATTGTCATGGATCAACTTGAGAAAGAAAAAGAAGAGCGAGCTGAGGTCTTCCACGAATTAGAGAAGGTTAAAAAGATTTCTCATAAACTTAAAAACATGTTAAAGAACTCGCGAAGTGAAGTTGAACAAATAAATAAAAATTTAGCTCAGGCTAAAGATGATGCTGTCGAGAAGGAACACGCAATAACGACACTTCGGAAAGAAATGGCTGAAATTGTCGAAGAGAAGGAAGAAATAGTTAAGAACTTGATGTCGCAGAGGAAGGCTTTAGAGCAAAAGGGAGATGAAACCTTGGACAAATTAAAGTCTGAATATGACGCGAGATTAAAGCAACAAAACAGTCATATTGAGACACTTAGTAATGATCTGAATGACGCCTTGTCTCGAGGTGATGAACTAAAGGGACAACTTGATATGTGGAGACGCAGTTATAACGAAGTCACTGAACGAGGAAATGCTCTTGAAAATGAAATTGGATCTCTTAGACATTCGCTACAAGATAGTATTGATGAACATAATAAAGATGGGGAGATAGCTCGTGCACAACTAAGCGAGGCTCAGGAAAGAATTCAAAACTTGGACGAACAGTTGAAAAAAGTCACTGAGGAGAAGGATTACAGTGATAAAATTAAAAATGAGTTAGAAGCAAACATGGCTATGTTTAAAGAAAATCTTGAAAAAACCATCTCTGAAAAAGATCACGTCATCGAGGATCTGCGTAATGATCTTGATACTTCTAGAGAAAAACTTCAAAACCTGACTGATGAATTAGAGTCACAGAGGAGCTTACATGATCGTTCGATGAATCAGATTAGGCAAGACGAAGTAAAATTGATGAATTTACAAAATGAAATGAACTCAAGTTTGAGTGAGAAAGATAGTGTCATTGAACAACTGGAGAAAGAGCTTGATACTGCAAACGAAACTATACATAATACTTCGCGGACGCTCCAGTCTAAAACTTTGGAATGTGAAAATTTATTGTCTGAAAACGGCTCTCTCGCAGAGCAGTTGAGAGAAACACAAGACGAGTCACAGAATACAAGTATTATTAAGGAAGGTGTTATAGCTGAAACTGGACGTAACCTTGAGGCAGCAACCACTCGCGCTGGGAAGCTGTCTCAAGAGTTGCACGACACTTCGAATGTTCTTGAGAATGAAAGAAAACGCAGAGAGGAATTGGATGTAATTTCGTCGACTTTGAGAAAAGATTTGGAGCTAAGATCTGAACAGAAACGTGAGCTCGAGAATGTGATAATGGCGTTGAACGTTGATTTGGAAAAGGCTTTAAAAGATCGCGAAGAATTAAGGCAAGCGTTGAGAGTTAAACAGACAGTGACACAGGCTACTGATAATCCGTGCTTTGATCAAATTACCTTGGATGAGAAAATCAAAGAGATAGAAGATATGGAGCAAAAGTTAGATCATTCTGAAGGAGAACTTCGTTCTGTATACGAACAATTGTCCACAGCTCAAAGTAAAAACGAGGATTTGGAGGCTCAATTGAAGGCAGTCGCGCTTTCCCTACAAGAAAGTTTGTCCGAGGCGCAGAAAGAGAGATCTCATATGGAGGAGATCGTGGCAGGCTTGAAATCAGACTTACAGCAGAGTAGTTTGACAAAGGAAGAGGCAATCAATGTTTTAAGAAAGAAGTTGGAAGAAGCAGTGGAGGAGCGTGGCGGCGCTGTCGAGTCCTTGCGAAACGAGTATGATAAAATGTTGAACGAGAAAGATCAGATTATTGTCAGTGTTCAAGATGAGATCCAGCGAGTTAATGAGGAATTCACGAACCTCGGGTATCGTTTTGAGTTGACGTTACAAGATAACGTCAGCAAAGGCAATAATATCATGCATTTGCAAAGTCAAGTCCAAGAAAAGCAGCAGGTTATGGACAAGAATAGCGCACTGTATGAGCGTTTGAAGAACATGGAAGAACGTGTAACTGAACTTCAGAATGAAATCGACGAATTAAATAAAGACAAGAATAAACGAGATTCCGAGAAACTTGAACTTCAAGATTCCCAGAATAAGATCCTAGCATTAGAAAAGCGTTTAGCTGCGAACATGAAGGAAAATGAAGCATCGAAAGCCAAGCAAAAGAAGGAATTCAAAAGATTGTACGAAGGAGTGACGTTTGATTTGGAGAATTCTCGGAAGCAAAATTTAGAAAAGGAGAAAAGTTTGCAGAATTTACGAGAAGAGTTGGCGGAAATTATGGCACAGAAAGAAGCTTTGGCCGCGAAGATTCGTATGCCGGGTAAGGAAAGAAACGTTGAACAATTGCAGAAAAGTGGAGATAGTGGTTTCCAAGAAAAATTCCGAGATGAGAAAAAGGAATTACTGCGAGATCTTGATAAAACTCGACAGGAAAAGGATGAGATTTTTGCGAAATTTCATAATATCAGCGAAGGTTTGAGACGAGATCTCGAAGCCGCTATAAACAGTAGGGACGAGAAAACTCAAGAATGTTTGAAAGCTAATTTAATTATCGATAAACTTGAGCGTTCTAAGGAAGAATTAGAACGCGAAATATATGAAAAAGAAGCTTTGATTGATTCACTTAGTACGGGGAATGAAGCAAAGAACGCGGAGAGATCAAGTATTGTTGAACAACTTCGGGATGAAAATCAAAAACTGAAATCGGCTTTGGCCCAAGAGTCAATGAACACCCGTGAAGCGGTCCTAAAAGGCCAAAACACGAACGAACAATTGAGGCAAAGCTTAGCGAAAGCTGAGTATGATCGTGAGAGTCTTCGGAATTATGTCGCAAGCAAAGAAGTCCAAAATGAAGAATTGAAACGACAATTAAATAAAGAGATCGCCGAACGTAAACGGCTTGTTGACCGTGGAGGACTAGTCGAAGAGAAGATTGTCTCGAGTTCTGCCTCAGAGTATGGAACACTGAACGAGACACGGACGGATCTGGATGAGGTAGGAAAATGCTCTGCTTGCTTTTGATGGCGAGAATCAGAAAGAGAAGCAGATATATCTAAAACAAAATGAAATATTTTAATTCCTTAGACGGACACAATGTTCAATGCAAGTGTTAATGATGTTCCTCAGGGAGACGAGAGAATGAACAAACTTCTTGCAAGGTAATAAAGTTTCTCTGATATCATCTGATAAATTTGAAGTGGAGTTTTTGTATTGTCTAGGCTAAAGCCTTTTTTCCCCTTGTCGGGAAAAAAAATAGAAACAAAAGCATTTTGATTGGATATACAGTCATATCACGAATAAGTTTTTGCGATAAGTAAAGAAGAGCCTTGAAAACTATTTTGTTTATAAGCCGTATTTTCACTGGCTTTTCTCGCAAGGAATTAGACCTTACTATTTGTTTAATTTTATAAATTGAGTTGATTGATCCAGTGCAGGAAATATGGATAGATAATTTTCATATACCAAGAAAGCTAATCGTGAAAACGAGGTCATATCTAAAGCTTTATCGTTAATGTTTAGACTCGCTGACGCGGCTCGTGTTCAAGAGGAAACAAGTCTACAATTGTCTGAACTTGAGGTAAACGTCATTTATAACGGTTTGCGGATTGGTTTTTCTAGTTAAAACTACACGGACTATTGACAGTTCACAGGCAGTACATTCATAAATATGTTTGTGTTTTGTTTAAAGCAAACATTGCAAGAAGAGAGAAGTCGCCGGGAAGAGTTAGAGATCTTGCTGGAAGAACAACATCAAAAAAGAGATGTAAGTTAACTGATGTGATTGTGTGATGTTTTTAAATGTAGACCATGTAAAATCTGTTATCTGGAATATCCGCCTTGTTGAGGAGCCAGACTTTAGCATCAGTGCATGGTGCATTCCACTGACAATTTCTGACTGTAGTAATAAACCAAGAAATTGAATTTTTCCACACCAGCATCGAGTTAATATCTTGGATGAAGAGACAGTACCACTGACAGGATCGCCTGCAAGTCATGGTGGTCAGCTGTATCAACATCGAGCTTCACATATAAGTAAGTGCGCATCAATTGATGGTATATTTCATGCTGGGCAAAAAATTGATCTTGTTTCAATCATTTTCCAGACCGAAGAAGTCAGACGTCCTTACTTAGTCTACGTGGCTGTCTTCAATCCAGGTATACATTTCCTGCAGTGTTAAACAGTGTGTTTGTTAAACAATGTGTTTTAAAAAACACCTTTTGTGGGATGGCGTACATTGCAAAATGCAGCCAATATTGTCCACCATGTGTAAAATGTAGAACTTACTGCATAAATGAATACATCATAACTGATGTTGTCTGTATTAATATTTTCAGCGGTTTACTCGCCCGCCTTTTGTGTGGCCAAGCAAGAGGACGGTGGCCAATCATGTTGTATTTACTGTTCCTTCATACCGTTCTTATCATCTGCCTTTATTCTATCTTTTCTGGTTAATTGCAACAATCAAAAATTTTATAAGGTACGGTATAACTTCTCGTATGATAACGTCTTCAATATAACGAATGCTATGAAACTTAGAAACTTCAGTAGTTGATGATAACTTGAAGTTAACATCAGAAAATGACATTATTGACTTAAATAACGACAGACAATGGAATCATCGACTTAATTTTCAACTTCTGTTTTTCTATGTTTTTTCAGAGATATAGTTAAGGAAGAAATCAAGACAAAGTCATTCAATATAAACTAATGCAAATTATTATCAATAAATATGTTAGGTAATTAGACAATGTGTAATAAACATATTCATAGGACAACTCTGCGCCTGATTTAGTGCACTTTGGGAATTTTTTTTTGTCCCGTGGAGCATCGGAAAGTGAAGAGAGGTCGGACTTGTTTTATGGTCTAATTATTTGCATACACGTTTTTTTTTGCAAGCACGATTTTGGTTGACGCCTAGTGACAAAATTACGTCTTTATTTTCCTCTGTATTAAATAAAGTAAAACATGAAGTAATGGTTGTTGAACTGCAGCACAGAATACTGAAGGCTCACACATCTGTTTTTATTTTGAATATTTTCCTTCCTGGATTTTATGTCATTCGCTAAGAGTATATAAAATGTGTTTAAAACTTGTATCAGTTTTGTGTTTTTTATATTTTGTATCGGGACAAAAGGAAAATGATTTGGAGCTTAAGATGTCTAATGTTGTGAGTAAATTTTTGTTTTAATTTCTGTATAGATTGTATATTACTAATGCTCACTGATTGCTATTAAATATTAATGTCAATTGTCACTTGAATATTTTTTATAAAATATGGTTCGTAATTATATCTATTGTTATATTCAGTGTATCACTTTTGATATCAGTGGAATCACCATTTTTTTAAGAAGGAAAAGCTGTCAAAAAACTGACCCACCATTTGAAAAACAAATTTTTATGAAAGAATGACACTATGAGATTTCAAATTAATTTTGCAATGCAACTAAAGGGAAGTATATTTCATGGGCACTTTGAGTATGCACCAATGCTCTGACTGCTATTGAACTGTAAAACATTTTGCTATAGCTATATAATTTATATGGCCATAAATTTATATAGCCATAGGCAATTATTAGCTAGGGCTAGACCAAATTAGACATTGGTTTCCTGCCCTTCACATCTTGAGATTTGTGCACCTACAGGCCTACACACAGCCCATTTTTGCTATCTAATATGATATTCCAGGAGAAATGCGCAGTAAGGTTAAGTACACAAATGTTCCAAAAGTGTACTTTGCACATTTGATGTATTAACATTATGAAAATGTAATGTAAAAACACAATAGAAGTCTTTGCTCATTTTATTCCATAAACTTTCATAATGGCAAATAATAAGAAGGCATTCCACTGACATGCAGATGGTGGTTGGGAAACTAAAAGTAAAATTTGGTGTGACCTAATTCATTTTGACTAAAGTATTTATTATTGCAATGTTTTCATCAACAACCGAATGCAGCCCAATTAACTGGACTGTGCTGCAACCAACATTATTTGCCTAAGCACTTGACAATGTAAATGCCAAGATATATTATAATTGCTCTTACCTCTATAATTGCTCTACCCTTTCTAATTTGCCAAAAATGTGCCAATTTTGAGTACCGTAATTACTCGAATAAACGCCTCCCTCGAATAAACGCCGCCCTCGAATTAACACCGCAGGGACAAGCAAAAATATCATTAAACGCCGCCCTCAAATAAACGCCGCCCTCAAATAAACGCCGCAACCTTTTCGTCATTGCGGCGTTTATTTGAAGCATTTATTTATAACCACAGTTCAATTTTCCTATATAATTATATAAATAGAAAAGACACATAACTTTTATACTTAGTTTTTTTGGGGGATTGATTGTATTGGTTAAATTGGCGTTTAAATTACACACTGAAATTCAGAGTTGTTACGAGTTTGTAATAAACGCCTCCCTTGAATAAACGCCGCCCTCGAATAAACGCCGCATCTTAATTGCTAGAAATTTAATAAACGCCGCGGCGTTTATTCGAATAATTACAGTATTCTCTAGTGATTCTCTAGTCACACATGTGAGAATGCTATTCTATTTTGTTACATGTAAAATATGAAGCTTGAAGAAACAGCAATGTGCCAATGTCACATGTGTGAAAATCTTAAAACTAATGTTTCGTCTTTGGTAGTTGTATCGACATGGTGATAGGTCTCCAGTTGCCACATTTCCTAAAGATGAACACAAAAGTTATTGGAAACAGGGTCTTGGACAGCTAACTGAGGTATACTGTCAGTTTATCCATAATTATTATTAATATCTTGTTTACATATGAATATTAATGTTTTGCACTATGTTCATAGCTTGTGTTTGCTTAATTTCAATTACAGATTGGTATGAAACAAGAATTTCTGATGGGTAAATTTTTGAAGAAAAGATATTTACAAACTATCTTGAATCAAACTTACCTTAGAAAACAGGTGAAAATATTGTAATCTCAATCCAGCAATATAGCAACATATGTAGTAACTTGTGCTATGCTACAGCAGAAGCAGCTACCTAAACTCTTTATAAATTCTTAATACTGATGCCATTCGCTGAAAGTTGATCAGAATGATTTTTTAATTAAGGTCCACTGTCGAAGTTCAGATAGGGATAGATGTTTGATGAGTGCTGAAGCTCAAATGGCTGGGCTCTACCCACCTTTATACCTGGTATTGATTGTCTTGAGAATTACTCAAATGAAATATAAAATTAAGTGATTTTAATCATGTTTCTTACAATTGAAACATAGAATCCTCAACCAAATAAGAAGGAATGGCAATTTTGGCAGTTGATCCCAATTCACACTGTGCCAAAAAATCTGGATATGGTTGGTATTTTCACTTCATGTAATAATGTTTTACAACTTTCTTGCCAGTGGTCCTTGTATTTTCTAACTCGTATATGAAATGAAATTTGGGCAGAAGCATAACCCCTCACTGGGTACTGATAATACTTTAATAAATGTGCCTCCTTGAACCTTTATGATAAAATTACTTTGTTTAATTTCAGTTACTTCGTCCATATGATTATAACTGCCCTCGGTTGCAAGAAATTAGTGAGAAATCATACCATGATCCCAAATTTGTTGCAATGGCAAAGAAGTACAAGGTATAGTATACTTAGGTATAAGGTTTTAGAGACCAATCTTTGCCTGAAATTGTTATGATCTGTTTTGATATATTTTTTAGGATTTTATGGGAAATGTTAGCGCTAAACTTGGACTCTCGAAATCACTCAACCTGACAACAATATACAAAGCTTACGACTCCCTGTTCTGTCAGGTATGAGCATGAATTATTAAACATTGGGATAGTCTGTTCAGTTTGAGGCTTTCGGTCATACAAATATACTGGCATTTCCCCACAAAAATTAGAGCAATAGTTGCAATACTTTATTCTTGTTATTCCCTAGAGAGCTCATAACTTATCTTGGCCAACGTGGGTGACACCTGATGTCTTCAATAAATTGACAATTCTTCAATATTTCGATTTTGTTTGGATGTTCAATTCTCCGGAAAAGGCTAAATTAACTGGAGGTAAGCCACCTGTAATTAGTGGGACAAAGCTACTTTATTCCATACGTAGACAGCAGAAGACGGTTGTACAAAGGATAGCACTATTCACCGGATAGTGATTTTTTAACTGTTCTAATAGTCCATCGTAATTATCGCTACTCTGGTTTTAATAAATGAAAGTAATCACCACACGGGTCGTGAAAGTTAATCTTTGTGTGGACAGTGTGGTGATTACTTTCATTTATTAAAACCAGAGTAGCGATAATTACGATGGATTATATGCCTGGTTGCCGTGAACTCATTAACTTCAATTTGTTCTAATAGTGCTGGAAAAGCAATAAAATCACAGCTTTGAAGCTAACAATTATTAAAGTGAATCCTCAATTTAAAAATTCTAAGGTTTATAAATCAAAGAATTACGGTTTAAACTGATTTTTATTCAGGTAACTTACTTGGCGCAATGGTAACAAACATGAAGAATTTTAGAAAAAATCCGAATCAATCGAAAAAGTTGTATGTATATTCAGCGGTAAGCTTCTCAGGTCAAACCACATTTGATGAGACGTTATTGGAAGACGATGCCAAGCTATTTTTTGGTTATATTGGAACGTATTTTCACACGTGTCAAATGCCGTAAAAACAACTGCCTAAAAACTAAGGCAGTATTGTACTATTTGCAAAAAAGGCCTACGCTACACGACTCGTCATTTTTCGATCGTAAATCATAGGGCCATTGGTTTCCCAAGTTGGAATTCACTTCTTCACTAAGGCTTTACAGTTTGTCTCTAAACTCCATACATTTTCTAATAGATTTTAATTATTTGTTTTTATATACAGCATGATACGACCGTTGTTATTTGTTTTTATATACAGCATGATACGACCGTTGTTGCTTTGTTAAGCGCTTTGAAAATATACTCTGGTATTCCACCACCCTATTCAACTGCGTTTCTGATGGAGCTGTATTATAGCAGGTATAAGAATATCGCATGCAGTATGATCGACACTTTATTAAGAGCGAGAAAACTCTTAAAGTTGAAACCACGCATGAATCTATATAAATCATAAATGTATTTCCTTACAGTATATTTGTATTTTCTTAAAATTCCACATGCTTTTTCGTTGTTAATTAAAGTAGGCTGATGACCATCAGTGGATGTCATTGATGACTATCAAACTATCATATTCTAATATTCTAGAAAATCGTCCAAATATTTTGTTCGAATGTTTTACCGAAATGACACATCTCAACCTGATAAAGCTTATGAACTCTTCATTCCTGGTTGCCAAGTCAACAACTGTACTTTGGATAATTTTACGTCGTAAGTATTGCTCTTGTATATTTGATAAGATGTGAGAAACTAAAATGACTAATAATTCTTCCATCACTATTTCTACGAACGGCCATTCAAAATATACAGTTTTTCACTTCTCTGAATATAAGCTGTGCGAACTATCGAACGTGTTAACCCTTACCTACCTCTAGGAAGAACAGATTAGAATATATATTGATGGCCAAATATGATTTTTTGTATGTTTTCGTTTTGTAAAGTCTCACGGCCTCTGCTGTTCCTGTGGACTTTGAAGCTGAGTGTCACACTGAAAGATGCTCACAAAAGCTGAAAAAAGATGACGGAGATACCTGTGGCCTGAAATCTTGTAAAGGTTATAAATCCTAGTAAAAATTTTAAAAATTGGATCACAAGCTTCTAGACTAGCGGAGCGCAGTATTATCTTCAATCTTCCAAGGCAAAAATGGTTATTTTTCTTCGATACGTAATGCAAACATTGAACATTTAAGTTCGTGAAATTCGCACACAGGACTACATGCACTTTTCACATTTTCCAAAAATGTTTCCAACAAAATTTGCAGTTGATAGCTTGTTGGTTTGATAGCTAGGACTATTATTATCATAAGAAATTAATTGAATCAATTTTTAGTACGGCTATCAACGTTCATCGTTAATACATGTGTAACGTCACTAACGTGAATGCAGGCCTTTAAGGCGGTGTTACACTATGTAACTTTCCTTGCAACTTGCAATGCAATTTTACTCCTGGGGCATCTAAAGTTGACACAACACGATCTGCTAACGTTTCCTTACCATTTGGAACACTCTTCACAAATTAACATCCTCCAAAATTTTAATTGCAAGTTGCATAGTGTAAAAGCGCCCTATTGTGGAAGGAATTTTTAGGTCTGACAAATAATTGAGAAGGGAAGAGTAATTTTTAACACGAAAGTTGTCCTTGTTTGCCATGACTTTTTTTCTCGAAGCCCGTTTGTAGCAATATTTTATAGAAAAAGTGGTAGGCAAGTTTTGTGTTTTTCTTCTTAGATGCTCTCGCTGCTGTTCTTATAATCCTGTTGCTGGTGTTTATTGCTTTCGTGGGGTACGTCGTGCGGCGTTGTCAGGTTAGAAGAAAAGCAAAATCTCTTAGACATTTCCAACAAATTGAAAACGAAGAGTGGGACTCGGAATAATCGCGAGACATGTTCGCGAGAGCATCGGAGTAGCCAATCGGAGGAGAATCGCACGACGACGTATGTCACAATATCCTAGAGTAGTAGAGGACGTTTTACAGTCGTGGGGGTAATTAAACGCACTCTGTTCTTAATAGATAAATTGTACATTATACATTTGATGTTTGCCTCCGAGGAAAATACTGAGTTTTTCTTCTCCCGAAAGTCTCAATCGAGTTTTTAAGGGAAAGCAAAACTCGCTATTCCCGAGTAAAAATACATGCATTTAGTGTTTTGTTATATAGTAACGACGAATACAACAGAAAAAGAATGGACAATACATTAGGCTATATAACAATAGTGATTCGTCCTGGTAATTTAAGTATTTATAAAATTGGATCCCTTTTGTGTATATACAGTAACTGGGTTTTTAAATTGGATTAAAAGCTGGATCTTTCTCCCTTTATATAAGCAATCTTGTACAGAAGTATTTTCATTCGCACTGAAAAAAATGTCAGTTGCCGACCGAAGTAGCCGTAAAATCTACAGGACTACATACACTACTACATTAAATAGGAGGAGTAAAGGTGACAACAGACGCTATTGAAACGCCACCACCACTATGCATGCATGCAGATGTTTCTGTAATGCAACTTGGATGAGTCTTTCATACATTTTTTTGTGAAAAAAATATCAAAAGCGAACTTCCACACAACAAGATCAATGTCACTCCGTCGAGCACTCATCAAATAGTGAGAAATACTGTGAACAGAAAACTAACCCCCCTGAAGCAATCCAAAATAATATGAAGACCAGGGGGTGACTATTTTGTTTGACGAATATTTAACGACGTCGACTATACGAACTGTGGGCTCTTATGTTTGTTTTTGTTTTCCTCGAGTAGTAATATACGCAAAAGTGTAAAATCAAATGGGTCCAAAACTTGTATTAGGATTGTATTTTTTATGTTTTGTGTCAGGACAAAAGGGAAATGATTTGGAGCTCAAAATGGCTAATGTCGTGCGTATTAATTTTTTAAATATTTTTTATGTTATATTTGTATTTATTTCGTATATGTATGTTGTAAAACAACTGCCTAATATAGAGAAAAACACTTCTCGAAGGGATTTTATCAGTATGAGTATCATCAACGTGTAATCCAATTGTAGTTAAAATGAAAGTTCTGCGCAGAAACATCGCTTCTGCTCGTAATAACATAAAGGCCCTTTGATGATGTAAATGTGCCAAAACTTATGCACGATTGTCTTTTATAAACCGTGATATAATGTGTTTGCACTTCTCTTGCTCTAGGGAGTATACTCCCCTGCACCCCCAGTAAGGAGCATACATGAACTGTGCTAGCCTGGTTTGCTGAGTTAGCCCTGTTTGCTGAGTAATTAGTCCTGTTTGCAAGGCTGGGATTAGCAAATGATTGTATGAGTGATTTTAGTATGATTTTTTAGAGCAAGTGTTTGAAAACAATTGTGCAAAGGTCTTGCTTAGCCTTAAAAATTTCAATCTTTCTTAGGTTTTAAAGTATATTCATTCTTGTGCCAGTCAGTTGCATGTAATCAAAACCTTAAAATGGAATATAATTATAGGAAATGGCCCGGTAGAATGGGCTAGCCCAGTAAAACAGGCTAGCTTAGTAAAACAGGCTTGCCTGGTCCAATTTGTAATCATCCCCTAAATACATCCCTGCGATTAATCATCAACTAAATGTCTCAAACTTGCATTGGTTAATTTTTAAATAATTATTAACACCGCTGTTACCTGTATGCCAGTTGTATCGTCATGGTGATAGATCTCCAATGGTAACATTTCCCAAAGATGAACACAGAAGTTACTGGAAGCAGGGTCTTGGACAGCTAACTGAGGTAAAGCTAATTGGAAAGTATTATTAACAACTTTGTTGCATTCATGTCCATTGTTTGATATTGAATGATAAATTTCTGTTACAGATTGGTATGGAGCAAGAATTCATAATGGGTAAATTCTTGAAGAAGCGATATTTAAAAACTCTCTTGAATCAAACCTACCTTCGAAAACAGGTAAACATACTGCAATCTTCACTCATGAATAACTTTGTATGAACTTGTGCTGTTAATTGCTGTAGGCTAGCTAAGCTCTCTAGATTCTTAATACTAGTGCCTCCATTTTGACTTGAAATATTGATCTGATGGGTTTTTTAAAAGGTCTACTGCCAAAGTTCTGACAAGGATTGATGTTTGATGAGTGCTGAAGCTCAGATGGCTGGTCTTTACCCACCTTTATACCAGGTACAGAGATACTACTGTCTAGAGGATGATTGAGGTCGAAGCACATAATTATTATCATATTATTTTTAATTTTATATAATGTAGAATCCCAAACCAAATAAGAAGGAATGGCAATTTTGGCAGTTGATCCCAATTCACACGGTGCCAAAAAATCAGGACAAGGTTGGTGTTTTGACTGAAATTACTGTTGGGATATTTGTTTACACCTCTGTTCCCAGAGATTTGTGAACTTTCCAACTGTTATATTTTTTCTGTGAAATTAAATATTGGCAGAAGATACAAGAATCTGGCAACTAGGGTACTAATGCCTAAACCAGTTGCACTTCTGCTAACCTCTAATGACATTATCAAACTGTATAATTTCAGTTACTTCGTCCATTTGCGTATAACTGCCCGCGATTAAAAGAAATTAGAGAGAAATCTTTCAGTGATCCTAAATTTATTGCGATGGAAACAGAGTATAAGGTACGTAGTATATATTTTTTGACAACTGTTCATTATCCTAGATTTCTAGAATTAACAATTAGACAACGAGTCCGAGTTGTCTACGAGCGAATAGTCAACGAAGGCGAGGCCTGAGTTGACTATTCGCTCATAGACAACGAAGGTGCGTTGTCTAATTGTTTTAATATACACCCTGTACCTATGATAGAGATATTAATTTAGAGAATAATCGATACACCGCAATTACACCGAAAAATAATTTAATTAATTCAATTTTATACGGTCGCGCGAGCGAAATTTTCCCAAACGTTCACCATCACGAATAGACAATGGTTGAGTAGCCAATCAGAATGTAGGATTTGTAATAGACAATAGTCGGGTGTATACTAATATCTTTTTCTCCCAGGGTTGCTAATTACCCATTTGACTTTGTTTTAGGATTTTATGGAAGAAATTAGTGTTAATCTTGGACTTTCAAAATCACTCACACTCAAAACAATATCCAGTGTTTATGACTTTCTTTTCTGTCAGGTATGAAAAGAGATCTCCATTGTTTGAGCATGAAATATTTAAAGTAGGAGTTTTTGGTGAACTGGTATAGCTGTACGTATTGAAAGCACTGTTGTGTACCAGTATCTCAAGACATACAGGCATTTTTCAAGGAAAAAGAATAAGAGCCCGAAAACGTTTTAGGTATTCCATGTACAATGAATTCATGTGTTCAAAAAGATGAACAAGTGAAAACTAGTTCCGTCTATCACAAAGTTGCAAGACCTGTTAAAATTTCCTCCGGGTAAAATTTTAAGGATTCAATATAAACCTTTCTCAAACCAAAGCAAATTAGTAATATGTGTGAAAAAGCAAAATATATAAATAATTAGATAGTCAAATTAGGGTGTTATTTGTATTTCCTATTGCAATGCATGCACGACTAGCATTAGTAGTGTTAGTTAACTACGCAGAATGCCCCTCACCCAGCCTTCCTCACTGGCGGTGCCCGACCGTACTGGCAGCTTTTTTGCAACTCTGGTGTATCAGTGAAATGGAAATATGGATTCAATTATAACTGATATCTATACATCCTAATCGCTGTAATCGCTATAATTCGCGGTTGTACTGAATTAGATTACTTTACGTAAGTTTGAAATCAATACACATTCTGGTTTAAAAACATTCGATAAATGGTTTTATTAGAAAAACAATTAAATGGCTGGATTCGGATGTAATCTTTGCTGATGATCAGCAAAATATCGTGCCTTCAATTTCGGTTCTATCGGTTATTAGGAATATATTTGGCGCATCACTATATATCTATACAAATATTTACTGTCTGTACATTTCAAACAAATCGCAATTCCATCGTATTACTCTGAGATATTCGGAAAAACTGTATTGATAGTTGGAATTTTCTGTGAAATTGAATATTGACAGAAGATACAGAAATCTGGCAACTAGGGCACTAATGCCTTAACCAGTTTCTTCTTAACCAGTTGCACTTAAATATTGACAGAAGATACAAGAATCAGATATATACGTTTTTTAATAATTAGGTATATATAGATACACGTCTCCATTGAAGGACACTTTTTTGTGAAATGGACTTCGTGTTTTAAATAAAGATTATGATGATGATGAATAATTAGAATTATTATACAGATGACCCATCGTTTGACCCATTCTTCTTCGCCTGGTTTATTTATTAATTAGTACAACGATTTCTGGTGATTGTAAAAATAGTGGAAGTCTGATGGTAAGATCCGTAAGAATAATCCAATAATCCATGATTTTCTTAGAGAGCGCATAACTTATCTTGGCCATCGTGGGTGACAGAAGATGTCTTTCAAAAATTGACAATTATCCAACATTTCGCATGGGCTTGGGTATGCAATTCTCCTGAAAAGGCTAGATTATCTGGAGGTAAGTCACTGCAGACAGCGGTCTCCAGGATGTTTGAAGGTAGAAATATTTCTTTATAATATTTCCTGTATAAAATGTCCCGTGATATACTTGTCAAACTGGTACAAAAATTTAAGAAAGTTTATCTTGTCCCATCAATTTCTTTCAGGTAACTTACTTGGCGCGATGATAACAAACATGAAGAATTATAAAAACAACCCTGATCAATCCAGAAAATTACATGTATATTCAGCGGTAAGCCCGTTAGATGTTACCTATGCGTATGGTTATTGTACCGTTTTTCACAAACGACAGGGCTACACAACCCCATCATTTTCTTCCTGGTTCTCATTCAACTTCGGTATAATGACTGTAGTCACAGGCCGGTATCCACAGGGGGAGATTATCTTCAACACATGCAGCCGGAAAATTTCTTTTGTCTGTTAGTTCTCGAGCAGAACCAAGGGCTTGAACACATAGAGAAACTTTCCTCACCTGGTCACTGGTTCTGATCCTCAGGATAACTTTCCTCCAGTGGAAACCGCGGGAGAGCTGCATCTTCCCAACATGCAGCATTAAAGTTTTTTCCTGCATGGGCCGTGTCCAAATAAGGGAATCCGGAGGATTCGGATACCGATCATTTTTAGGCCAAAGAAAGGTCTTAAACATGATCTTGTGTATCAGTCATGGCAGTATTTAAATCAGTCATGACTTATGGTTTGTTTCTATGTATACATGAATGTATTAATAGCTGCATGGTATTATTTCTTTTCTTTTTTAGCATGATACGACCGTTGTTATTTTGTTGAGTGCTTTAAAATTATACTCTGGTACTCCACCACCTTATTCAACAGCGTTTCTGATGGAGCTGTATTATAGCAGGTATAAGAAAAAACTATCAAACTATTGAGTTGGCTGATGACCATCAGCTGATGGATGTCATTGACTATCAAACTATAATATTCTAGAAAATCGTCCAAATATTTTGTTCGAATGTTTTACCGAAATGACACATCTCAACCTGATAAAGCTTATGAACTCTTCATTCCTGGTTGTCAAGTCAACAACTGTACTTTGGATAATTTTATTTCGTAAGTATTTAGTTTTCTTCATAAGATCTGTAAGGGTGGTTAATGACAATGATTGACGCATCTGGCTTTTATCTCTGGGGCTTGTTGTAAAAAGAGGTAGTTAACTTTACAGTTAGAGGCAGAATTGGCCAATCAGAATGATGTATTTTCTAGTTAACTACGATTTAACTTGATTGAGCGCTAACTCCGCCTATGATCCTTTTTCTCTAAAAAGAACAGTTTAGAATATTGATGTGATGATGTCCACCAATTATGAATTTTTGTTTATTTTCGTGTTATAAAGTCTCACAGCCTCTGCTGTTCCTGTGGATTTCGAAGCTGAGTGTCACGCCAACAAATACTCACAGCTGAAGCTGAAAAAAGATTGTGAAGATACCTGTGACCAGAAAGCTTGCATAGGTTGTGTTAGCTATTGTTTGTAATAATTATAGTATAGAAATTTACAAAATAGTAGAAATATTGCCTTGATCAATTATAGCCCTACATGGGCATTATTTAACGATGGAGCTAACTGAAGCTTAAGAGGACATAAAATTATTTATATTTAGAACTGACAGAGCTACCCTGCATGTAAGGACACAGTTGATGATTTTTTGTGTTTTTCACTTAGATGCCCTCACTGCTGTTGCTGTAATTCTTTCACTGACTTCCATTGCTTTCGTCGTCTATATCTGGCGATGTTGGCGGGTAAGAAGAAAAGCAAATTCTCTCAGACACTTTCAACAAATAAAAAACGAAGAATGGGACTCGGATTGATCTCGAGACATCTTCGAGAGAACATCGGAGCAGCCGATCGGTGAGACATCGCACGATCACGTATGTTACATTCTAGAGAACATTTCACAGTCGTGGAAAGTTGAACATACACTGTATAACAGTGTAAATAGGTACAAGGGAAGATCTTAGGGCATAAATTGTACGTTAATGATTAATTTAAAGCTAGTCCGTCAAGGTGATGTAAAACATCGATGAATATTAGGTCCCTTTTGTATGTAGCTGCACCACTGAGTTATCTAAAAGGATTTAAAAGCTGGTATCTTACCCACTTTACATGAGCAACTAATTCTGACGAGAAGAACGCATTCGAATTCTTTTATTAAAAACGCCTAAATATTAAATCTGAGATTTTAAGATACCCTGTTTGGTTTACGGGTACGCGTAGCGTTTCTTTTTCAGCGAATTCAGTAAATTATGCATGTGAAAAATTATTAGGTTGAGCTGACTTACCCGTCTGTGAAGGACTATAGTCTTAGCTGCCCTTGATGACGTGTTGCGCAAACGACTTACTTACGTATATATGCATGCAATACTCCTCAATATAGCTAAGGCCCGTTTACACGCGATTTTTCAGTGCTGCGATTTCTTCTTTTAATAGAAGTGAACCATGCAGTGATAAGTTACATGCAGATGTTCTGATTTGGACATCAAGCTTCTATTTGAATATCCTTAAATAATTCACTCGTTCACATCTATCAAAAGAAGGAAATCGCATATAAAATCGCAGCAAAAATTGCACTGAGTGTATAAACGGGTCTTTATAAGCCTTCCAGCAAAAGAATGTTTTCTTCAACAAAAACGAACTCTTCTTCACGTTATAGTGCAGGGATTTCATGTATTACAAGCACGATGTTTATTTCGCTCACAATTCTTCTCGAGTTGCAGTCTCATTACCGAACACAATGTAGAAATGAATTTTGCTTAGGTAATTAAATTGTCGTTAAAATTTCTCATTTCTATACGCATATTGTGCCGAAGCCTAAAAAATAACTTGTTATCAGCGAAAAAAGACGTGTTCATTGGGATTTGCCAACAAGCTGATGTATTATCCACATAAGAATAGATGTTTAAGAGATTTTCTGGCAAAGCTGCCCCGTGAACATAGCTCGTGTTTCGTTGCTTATTTGTCCTGTATTGTGCACCTAGCTCAAACGAGCATATCAAATCACTTTCGTGACAAAAGCGCTGTTATACCGCAGTATAAATTGCATGGTAATGTTAGCACAAATGACCAATCACATATCATCTCGTGTCTGCTCAACCAATCAAATCACGCGATAGCGCTTCATTGCATGAGTCCGTAACACAATAGCATTAATAGAAATGTCAATCAAGCAAGGCTTATCCAGTTTGGTATTTGCGATAAATCTGTTCTGTCTGATTGCTATTTACCGTCTGACCTTTGTCTGGGACCTAAGGCCTGTATATATTCCGCGAATTACTGTATTTAAACAGTAAAGAAATCGCTGTCCCGTGTTTCGTGTTCGTCTAACGCAAAAGTCACAATCGTCGTGAATACACGTTTGTTGTTGTTCGTGAGCCACCGGTTGCCTGGACAGTCAAAACGCTGAACCGATATCTCTCCTGGATTTAAAGCTTAAACGCTTTACCGCGAGGTTAAGAGGTCATAGTACCTTTAAGTGTCCAAACTGGCTTCCTTGGAAGAGCTCAATCTTGCTGGCAAGGGGAAACGAAAGAAAAAGATACAAGGGTTCGTGTGTTCGTGATATATTATTGCTACTGCGAATAAACGCTCTCGAATATTCATATTATGAAATGAAGAAGTTGAACCCTTTAGGGGATACACAGAACTTCATAACTATTCTATGTTAGCTCAAGCATGTATAGGAGAATGTCCTTTCTACATATTTGTTTTTAAGTCGTGATTCTAGCCGACATGTTGTGATGCTCTTGTATATCGCGAGACCAAATTGTACTTTGCAACAACTTTGCTTTTGTTAGCTTCTCATCACAACACGCTCAGGTTTCACGACCCGTCATAGGACGCGAAAGCAGTTCAGCCTATATTCTCGATAAACGATTGTGATTGCAAGCAATTTAACTTCACGAAATAGCGTTTCCACACCCTACAAAATGTGCGATTCTTGTATTGAAACGAACCGGCTGCATGAGTTTAACGCCCTGTTTTAGCTGTCATAATAGATCTCGTTCAACTTTATATTCAGGATAAATTTGTTCGTGAACTACACTATATAGATGGAGAAAAAAGAACGAGGAGTCTCACGAAGCGGGCATATAGATTCTAGCTTCTTTTCTAATGATGCGTATTCGTCTATTTAAACCGCAGGCATAGTAGCGATTGAAGCATGTTTGATCATTGCCAACAAACTAAACTGTTTGAAATAATTTAGAAGGCCTTTATTCTAACGACTGACATGTTTTTGTTTTGAAATTTCATCTCCCTTGACTATAAATTAATGGATAAAAATCCTTTCAGAGGTAATCCTTCAAAGCGACATCGGGATAGGCTGAATACCGAGCTGGATAACTTGGCTAAACTTCTTCCGTTTCCTGAAGACACTATTTCAAAATTGGATAAAATTTCCATCCTACGATTAACTGTTAGCTATCTGAAAGCGAAGAGTTATTTTCAAGGTTAGTGAAGGGATGATAATGTTATGTATTGTATATTGATATGTAAACTGTCTTTGTTTTAAACTTAAAGGCAAAGCGGTCCATTGCACCTCTTTCTACAAACTTGTATTGCATGTGATTATGACGTATATCTCAGTATTTTAAATGCCTATATTTCAAAGTCTGAGATATACATTCAGCTACCTTCTGGTAATAAATATTACCAGTCGGATGAATATATATACAGGTGAAGAAGTAAAGGCTTTTTAGTTTAAATTGTAGCGGGATCTCAAAGCCAAACACAATGACACGATGATTCGTTGTTCGCACAATACATTTCGCGTGTATTGTGTCGTGTTAGTGTGACAAACCAGATGTGTTTCGTGGCGAAATGATCGCTCGATTTTAATATAATTTACGAATGAAATCATTGTGAACTATACCGCAAGCTCTTCACACACGAGATACCATAAGATTTACGGTATGTATATACGACTTTCTAATGCTGCAAATTCTTTGTCGGCGTATATTCAACCGGACACCTGGTTTTCACGAAACAAAAATAGAACGAAACTCGAAAGGCCTATTCTGTTTTAATACATCATTTGCAAATCTATCGTCAAAGTTTTATTGATAGATATTGTATTTACATAGTCGGATTAGATGATAAACTTCATATTCTGTGACAAAACAATAACCTAAGCCTAAACTGCTACCACGGTACACATAGAAATGAACGAATATAATACGCGAAGTCGCGTAAGTAAAAAATTCATGTCGCAATTTATCGGAAAACTCGCAATTTCAAAATTGGAACCTGGATTTCCAATCCTATTTAAATAGACAATTAGTTTGGTATGTGTATGAATCTAAGATCCACACTGAATTAATTATTTATGATTAATACGCTAATAGCCAAAGGCAAGCTTTTATTTTCCCGGCAACGTTGTGAAAAGGACTGGCCGAAACGTCGGATCGGTTTAATTGTACATGTAAATTTACCTTTTCGATCGAATTCCTAATAGTGAATTTGCGACATATAAATCTTCGGCACGAATTAAAAACATTCTTAAATTTTAATATGATGTGATGGTTTCCATATGCATGTCTAATGTATTGTCTTTGAAAACGAGCCAAATCGTGATTTTTATTGCCAAAAACTGGACATAAGCCCTACGATTTTACTTTTTCAGCGTTAACTGTATTGTCTATGAGCATTTTGATTGTGAGAATGGGGGTTGAATGTTTTTTCCCCCTTTTTCTGTGTGCGTGCAAGCTTCACCTAAACGAGTGTTTGTCAAAATCTCAAACTCAACAATACAACAAGGTGTGGACGTGATTAATAAACACCAATGCATCCTCAGAGATTAATATCAGAATATTGTGGTTGAAATACGTACGTAGGTGAATACATTTGTGTCTGCAAGCTTTGTGTTCGAATTTCCGGCAAAAAAGATATGTTGGTGTGAATTAAAAAACAAATTGGCAAAGCAATTTTTTATTCCATGAAGCAATGTTTACAGTATAAAGAAACAGAGTTGCAAAAAAGCTGCGGGTACGCGGGTACCACCCGTGAGGAAGGTTTGCTTTGAATGAGCTTTGTGAGGAAGGTTCAAACATATGCACATCATGCATGTACGAAAAACCAAATATTTCTTTATGCTGGTTGCCACTTGACTCAGTGACGTAGCGTCATTTTGAGGAAGGTTTTCAAGACTTGAAATCCTACCGGAGGAAGGTTGAACTCTTTTTGCAACTCTGTAAAGAAAGTTTAAAGGGCCATACATTGGCATGTCACACGGGACAGTTTTCATACGAGCCGTAGTTTTACTACGTCTACGAACTTAGCCTTGTTTAGCTTTGAGTTTTCAACTGGCACTGTTGCGTTTTTAATGCTAATGAAATATCAAACATTCCAAATAATGCCACAATACGAAGTTTGACAGAAACTAGGCTGTAACACGAGCCATGCATGTAATGCAGAAATGCGCAGAAAACCTCGCAGAAAACAGAAAAGCAGTAGGCGGTCTTCAAAGTCTGATTATAGCGCTAACATCTGCTGCTTTTGTTCGTGCATTTCTTAATGAGTACTGTTCTTCTCAAGACTTGAGAGAATAAAATCAGGGAAGAGGAATGAAATAAACTATTGCCAGTTTGGAGTATCGGAAATTTTGACTTGTAGTTTTGCATTAACTCAAAGTTAATTTACCGGCTTTTGGACCACGGGGGCCGGTTGTATCAAGCCCGTTTAACGGTAGTTTAACGGTGGTTAAGTTCAAAATAGAAAGCAAGTCTATCGTTTTATTCAATAAGCAAACTAAATGTTTTTAACCTTAATACAAAGATACTGTTTACAACTACATATTCAGTACATAATATTCAAGTTACTCATATTCAAGTTACGAGTTGTAAGAGTGTTATTCAATTTTGACTTATGCACCGTTTAAGCTAAACAGGCTTGATACAACCGGCCCCTTGTTAATGCCAATAGCCCGAACCATGATAATTGAGCTAGCGGGATAAATATTTATCTTATGAAACGAACATGCGCATATTGAAAATATAGTTGCTAACCTTTGTAAGTTCGTTTGCCTGTGGCTGTGTAATATCTTTTCCTCTGCCGAAATCTGCAACCCAGTACCCTATCAAACGTTATAAGGCCCGCCGGCGAGTGTGTTAGAGAATTCGGGGGGGGACCATAATAAATGGACCCCCCGCTCGACCATAATAAATGGACCCCCCGCTCGACCATAATAAATGGCCCCCCCGCTCGATTCATCCACTTATATTCAGAGTAAAGAGTTTAATAATTATAACTCCATGCATGCATGAAATAGAAAATGTCCCGAAGTGATCCATTAAATTGACTTCATAGTGTGTGAGACAAAAAGAAAGTCACCGAACCATGCAGTTGATCAAAATTATCTCTCCCAAGAGTTTGAAGGAAATGGACTTATGTCTCAACTTCTACTTGAGGTAAGTAAAGATTTCATGAGTAAGTCATGTTCATCACATAGCTGCTGTCTTGTTATCCTCTTGTGATGATCTCTGCTGATCTTTGCTAACTTCTGTATCCAATGGTTATCTATATTGATTTTATTCAATGCGTGACTTAGGGATTATGTTTATTTCATGATCATGCCTTTAGTATAACATAACTAGTCCGGGTATATTTTTTTTAATGTGGTGATGTCTTTCTGCAGGCTTTAGATGGTTTTATCATGATCATCACGACAGATGGTCAGTTGTTTTATGTCTCTGAATCGGTCAAGGATTTCCTTGGATATTCTCAGGTAAGAGCTTAGACAAGCCCAGTGTAGATCCGCTATGAGATCCGGTGTATGTATAGTAATCTATGATGAGGCTGTTGATTCTTTCCTCTGAAATTCTTCAGACGTACTATAAAGACAACTGACCGCTAACGGTTGGGTCTGAACTTTATGGTGAATGGCTTCTTTTTAATATTAATCATTTGTCTTTCAGGCCACATTGATTCATCAAAGTCTGTACAAATTTCTTCATATTGACGATCATAAAACTGTGAGAGAAAACTTAGTTTGGGTGGAGGACTGTGACACAACGACTGGGAATCTTGAGGTACACTTATGAATCTAACAAGAAAATCTTTCATATATAACTTGATGAATTCAGACTGTATTAATACAACTGTTCGAAATAGAGCAAGCCAGCTGTTGCTATATACGTCAAAACGAGGCTGATCAGTTCTTTTACCACCAAAATTTCTAAATTTCAAAATGATTTCTAAATGTGGACTGAAAAGGCTTGCTTTCTGGGTGGCTGGTAACAGGTTCAGAAACAGACAATGTCAACCGAAAGGTGAAAGAGTTTTATACAATCGGCCTCCCGGTGACTAGCCTTGTTTTTGCGTAACTCGTCACCATATCCCCACATGCTCTTTTGGAATATGTCAAAAACTGACTGCACATTCACACAAACGGAATGTAAATAATTTTTACATCAGTTTCTATTTATCTTCTATTTTGCAGGATGACCAAGCTGACGATAAATGTAAGTGTTTGTTTGAACCTGTCGCGTTGCACAGAAGTATAGATCACCATGCTTTAACAATTACTGATCTAAAATAATAGACATGGCTGGTCTAATCTAACGTTTTCTTGCATATCGTTGACAGATAGCTTAAACCGGTTAAAAATATATCAAAAAAAATCGTGTTTTGATATAGCTTAATAAAATAATACTGAGACTGGCTGAAATTACGTCAATCCATCAATCTATTAGGGATTGATTTTCTCATTGTTTCCTAACGAACTAAATGCTGTCCTTTAATTTTAGTTGACGACGTTTTCGCTTCAGCCAAACGTGAGAAGAACTTCGCATGCCGTATTAAATGTACTATGAGTCATGGTGGAGGGTTTTATAAGGTAAGCGGAGAAGTGAGATTTTTCTGCGCGACGTGAAGCGAACCTGAAATCCGGTGATGTGATTGGTCTGCGAAAAAATTCGCCGCGGAAAAGTGGGATCGCTTCGAATAAAATTCGGCTAATGGGGGGTACGGGGTATGAGAAAGAGTTTTGTTTGCACCTCGGATACAATTCGTAAATTAACATCGCGTCAACTATATCGAATCTTTCAGATGTTTCAATGTCGCGGTCGTATGAGAGAAATTCACATAAAGAAAAGGGAAGTCGACAGTGTGGAGTATGGATTATTTGCTGTGATATCTCCGATTAATACACTACCAACTTCTTCGACTTTGGAAATGGTTCGTAAAGAGGCTATGCTGGCTTCACAAAGACGTTATCATCTGTAAGTAAATACTAGCGCGTCCTTGTCAAGACAGGAGCCAAACCTTTTGGCATTCTTATGAAATTTTCTGTATATCACTTGTGCCACTAAAATTATTTACACAAGTTCTTGGTAACTTTTATCACTGTTGGCACCATGTACCTACCGTGAGTCAGCTGTAGGTCTAAATTTCGTTCCTGGCAAAACGAGTAATGCGGCTAACACCAAAGTTAGAGAGGTTTGCAAAACGTGATGTTGTGTTTTCATTCGTTATCTCAAAATTCGGAAATTCAAAAGAACACCCAAATAATCTACACGAAGTGTAAAAAGCCAACCTTAGAATCTTGCTGTCCTTGGTCGAAACGCCCTTAAATTATCATCAAATTGCAGATAATCACTCATTTTTGTCGTGGGATAACTGAGAGTTATGTATTACATTTGTCGTTTTTTTGTTTCAGTAGTGATCAAAACCTTAACCTCACAGAGACGTATCCACTTAGTTCACCCTACAAACCCTTCATTGACCCTCGTCATCTTCATATACCTCCAATCACACCTACAACACCCACAGCGGCTGGTCACGAGGCTTCATTTTTTCCACCAAATTTTACGTATGGTAATGGGAACCTCTTGCGCCCGGGCATCAAAAGGCGCAATTCAAGCTCCTCGGCAATTGCTGATGATTCGTCGACGAATGACGAGAACGCCAGTTCGGAAGGCTCCGTGGATAGCACTGGTGCTCGGCGAAGAGTGTCATTTCGCCTTGACGAGGAAAAGTCGACGGAAAAACGGGAAAAGATCGGAAGCCTTCGTAGAATGTCGGCACCAGCGTTCGCAAATCAACCAATGACGTCACCATCCTATGAGACCACTTCTTACAATAACATGTTACATCCAGGGACTCCTAACTGGTTATACCCCACTCCTTTTTCAAATCCTCTCCTGGGTTACCAAGAGTTACTTCATCGTATGGAAAGTAGGTCTTATCTATCACCGGGATATTTGTCTCCTTTATATCCGCCTTTCTCACCCGGAGGAATGTTTCCACCCTATTCTCCTTTTCTGAAACGGGCATCAAGCTTTCCGAATATTTCCCCAAATGGAAACGCAATGTACCCAAATGGGGATAGTCTCTTAAGTCCTCGTATACCACCGTATGATCCATTTGCATACTTCCTCGGCAATCCACAAAGTTCTCGAAGTTCCAGCAATGTCTCACCGTCAGGAGGAATGTTAGGGCATATAGAAAACGGAAAAGAAGCTAAAGCGGAAGAAAAAGTGAATGAAAATGTGGAAGCGATGGAAGAGGATTCTTGTACCCAAGGTATGAAAAATGTATTAACTGTTTAATAACTAAACACCTAGCGCATGATTGGCTCTGTATTAGGACGGTCTTCATTTTTTAATTTTAAGTAAGCGATGTTGTTTCTGTTATATTGATCTGGGGCCGATTGTATAAAAAATGCATGTTTGAAGTCACTGGTTCAAGTAAAATATTAGAGGTGTAGTGGAGACCTAGAATTTTGTACAACCTGCCCCGGAGATATAGAGCAGTCCTTTCGTGTGACAACCTCGCAATATTCTGGTCAATATCATGTCGGAGTGAATACCTTGTCTCCCACCCAGAGCGTGGTTTAGCAGATTTTGAATAACATTTATTTTGTTTTATGGCCGCGTGAATTGGGTCAACTCCATTCTAATTTAACTTCACTAGCCACTGCAAACTAAAAATTTTGTTATGAGTTTTGAAAGAGAGCTCAATGGCTGTCATCTTTTCCAGAAATCGAAGTTGTAAACCAAGATGAAGACGAAGATGAAATAAATGTAACGGAAGAAACAGAAGTAAAACTTCAAATTCCAACAATAAAAATTGAACATTGTGATAGTGAGCCTATGGAAAACGACGAGGCTGGTTGTAGTAAAGTGAACTCAGTATACTCTCCCTCGCACGATAGTGACATATCTTCTGCACAACCGAGCCCTTCCAGTGACACTTCAAATAAGCAGAATGAAGGTGATTTGCAAGATGAAGGTGATAACGAGGATGGTATACAGGAAACACTCGCGGACATTGCTCACAATTTCACCAGTAAATTAGACAGTATTCGGTCAACGTTTACATTGTCTCTAGATCGTAATGTTGCTTCGTGTTTGGGGAAAAATAAGTGATTTTTTTGGCTCGTGTCAAGCATGAAAATTGCACGTAAAAGATCACGTGATTCCCATGTGTTCTGATGTAAGTTGATGGGGTTAGTTTGGGGGAAAGTTGCGGATATCATAGTTTGGTGATATAAAACTCCAAAATGTCTTTTGAAAGTACGTTTTGATTTGGGTGTGTGTCAGTTACAACCATTTATCTCTGAGACTATACAAAGAGAGTATTATCGAGCTTGAGTGAATTTCAGCAGATGCGTGTTACTGTACATAGCTTTGTTGGGGTGTCTACCACTTGTACTTCTTGCACAAATTGCAGTGTAAATAAAATTCAATTTGTTAATTACAAACATTCAACCACAAAAGTGGCGTTAATGTGTTCCTTGTCGTTAGCACTCTCTTCAAGTCATTGATATAATTTACGTTGACAACTCATGCAGGGGACGGTTGTATCAAGCCCGTTTAGCTTAAACGACAGATAAGTTCAAAATGGAAAGCAAGCCCCCCCCCCCCCGATGTCTATAATCGAACTGGATCTCCAAGTTACAAAAGCGTTGAATGTAACTGTTAGAACTATCACAGGTGGAAATACTTGTCAAATTTTTTATTTATGCGCGAAACCTGGATAACTTTTGGACTTGGGCCCATGGGCCTCCTAGATCGAAAGTCGGGATCTTCCGCTAGCACTCGTAGCTCATAGTCTCCGCAGGTTTCCGAAGCTGTGGCGTCGAAGAACAAACGACACAACATTGCAACGACAAAATGGCGTCCACTTCAGGTGGTGAAAGGAGGACAAGTTTAGACACCGAAAACTCGGAAAAAGATGCCGATAAGGAGGATTCCGTTAAGATCATATGCCTTGGGGACAGTGCTGTGGGAAAATCTAAGTAAGTTTGATCCCATTATTTTTAATATTTATTAAAACTTAGAAACTGAATACGGCTTTTAAATATATGGACCAGGAGCTTGATTGCTTGTATAATTTTATGATTTGTTTTCAAAATTCCTAGGTTAGTTGAACGCTTTTTAATGGATGGATAGTATCCTTTTAATACGTTTTAGTTCACTGTCAAATGCATTATTTGTAGGATAGTTGTGGTTGCATTTATTCTCCGTTTAATGATGATTTGACCGGTGGTTCTGTTGGTTGCTAGCCTAAACTTTAAATCATATATATGTTGCTATGGGAGGAATGAAATGCTAAAAAAATCTGTTTACAAAGTTTGTGTTGCTTTAAAAGCGTGTGTAAAAGGAAATTTATGTGCAATATCTACATTTTAGACTTGAACGAACTTAGAAACATTGAGATGGTCAATGCATTGCTAACTACTGTTAATTATTAATATAAAAATAGTATATCATTAAGACACTCTTCTGCCGCTGTTGAATAAGTTATAAATGTTAGCAAAATTCTGAAGAAAGAATTATATTCAACATATCAGTTTTCAGGTAGCTTGGACACATGGACACCTGTATTTTAGAATAATGTATTGAGTATTATAATGTTCAGTGATTATATTCCATTTTTTGCCAGCAAATGGCATAAAAGCCAACAAAGTTTTAGAAAGATAATTTCCTTGACACCATGACATAGCCAGCCACAGCAGTTATCAACATATGCATTGACACTTTTCCAATATCGAACTAAGGTTAATGACAAAGATGTAAGAGTAGGTAAGAGAATATGATATGAGAATATGAAAATACTGATTATGTAACAGTTTATTGATAGTGTAGTACAACCTCATTCCCAGGGCTTTCTAAAACCATGAGAATACAGTAAAGTTGAGTGGGATACTTGATTAATTAAGTTAAAATCTCAGGTGTTTATTACTTGCATATAATAGAACAAAGGATTTTTAAACAAACTATTTAGGATGTTTTAGGCAGTATAGTGAACAGTCATTTAGCTAGTTATGTAGAAAATTTAATATATGATATTTAAAATTATATAAAAACAGGTGTATTGCTGAATTTAATTGCAACATATTGTACCTTAGATATTTGGGATACTGCTGGCCAAGAGAGGTTCAACAGTATGCATCCATCCTACTATCACCAATCACATGCTTGTATACTGGTAAGTAAAACTAAATAAATGAAATGCTACTTTTTAAACTAACTATCAACATCATTGACATTGTTACTATTGAAAATAAAGGAGTTTTATTTTTTTTTAATTGCATTTTCTTCCTAGGCATTTGATATAACTCGGAAAACAACATATAAAAATCTTGCAAAATGGTATAAAGAACTAAGAGAATATAGATCAGATATTCCATGTATTGTGGTGGCAAATAAGATTGATAGTATCCTTTAAAATATTCCTATTTCTCCCTGGGAGTATATTCCTGGGTAAACTTTGGAGTATATAACCAGCCATAGGATTTGTTATATTCACTTGTGTAAAAATACTAAAAAGGAATATCCCATGTGGTGGAGCTATTTGTAGCATATATGCACAGATCAAATTTTTTAACATTAATTGCCATACAATTGGGGTCTGTGGGCAGGCTTTATATTCAACAGACGGCAGGAGGTGGGATGGCATTTTCAAAATGGTCAATAATGCATTGTATTGGATGAGCATTTACAAAATAAACAAAAGTAAATCAAGTCCAATTGTTCTCTTCAAGTAAACTTTTCATAATCATCTGACATTACACCTATTGACAGGTTATCATGTAACAAGCAAACATAGACTTAACCTTAACCATTTCTTCAGTTGATTATAAAGTAACTGAAAAAAGTTTTAATTTTCCAAAGAAATATGGATTGCCATTCTATTTCGTGTCTGCTGCAGATGGAACTAATGTAGTGAAGGTAGGATTTGAGCTTTGAGGATATCCTTGGTATTCTTGCCCAGGGGCCAGTTGTTCAATGCTGGCTTAGCATTTTGGTTGATGTGCTTATCAACCTCCGTTCGTTTTGAAACATTTACAAAATATTACTTCTATCAGGCCAGAAAATATTTATAGAAAACGATATTCAACTTTGTAATCAAGCAATTAAAAAAACATGCGATGGTTTGCTTTACCTGCCCCAGACATCTAGACTACATACAGTGTAGTTTTTGGACATGCTGGCTGTTGCGGCCCAACATGGCAATACCTTCCCCCTTAGAGAGTAACACTTCAGCTTAACTTATTCTTTGAGTGTTTGGTTCTGATTTATGATTTGAGGAAACTCATCCAGCTTGGTTCACAAACGGTAAAAAGTCGTGTATGTTTTTTCTAGTTATTTCGCGAGGCAATCAAGTTGGCATATAGATATAAAGAAAATTCCACAGATTTCGTGGATGTTGTCATGAAAGAACTCGAGGTTTGTATTTGAACAATTTTTTTGCATATCCTGCACTTTCATGTTAAAACCATTTTTATACGTGCATAGGCCATGGATGATGTAGACATTGAAGACGACAAGTTTGGTGCTGTGAATGGCACTGTTGATGGTGGAAATGAATCATGACAGATAAGTTGTGTGACCTTTCAAAAACCTTCACCGTCGTTTGCGATAACTTCGACAATACCTTGTGAACCACTGCCAGTATTGATAAGCTATACTATGGATATTATGGAAAACCTGCATTGCAGCTGCTTGCTCACATGAATCATGTCAATACTGACCGAAGTTGGCCAAAGATTTTGCCAGTCTCTTAGAAAATAATCTCTAATTATAAACAACGTACTTAAAATTGCCTAAAATAGACAAAAATAATTCTCGAAGCTCGTAGCCGTAGATCTAAACCTCGGGAGTCTCCAAAGTGTTGTCTACATTCGAAGAGCCGTTATTCGAAGACTGCTTCTTCGACGCTCTCTGTTTTTTTTGGCACACATTCAAAATTTTCTCCCCTCCACAAAGCCAAAGGGCTAATGTCAGTTTTTTGCGTACACTTAAAGTGCCCATGTCATAAAATTGGAATTTAGATTTTTAGAATCTTTGTTTGAAATGAGTTAGTAAGTTCTAAATCAAAACTGAAATTGGATTTTTATTTTTCGAGTTATTGCCATCTAAACATTGATTTTGGTGGAATGAAAACTCTGAAAACCGCGCAAATGAGACTGGTGCGAAACAAGGTGTTTGACGTCACAATAGGAACTCGTTCGACGCGACAATTTAGTAACTCTATTGCATGGAGTAATAAGTAGAAGCTAACCGCGCAAAAAAGTGGTTGTCCTTACTTAACAGACAAGTCTGTATAAAGTGACTCATATATTATCAAAATGTGTTGTGAAATGGCTTTAATAATTGTACGTTCCTGGCAACAGTCGTGCAATAATTGCAAATACGCCGTGAGTCATGACCAATTGAGTCACTGTGTTGTAAACACGTTAGGCAGTGTTTCAGTTAACAGATAAAGGTTCGGTAAATAATGTCTCAAAAGATGCGAGTGCGCACATTTTAGTAAAGACAGCTAAAGAATGTTGGTAAAAAAGATGCCATAATAAAAGCGAAATGTACTGGGTTATATTTATATACACATGATTTGATATGTTTCTTTTGCGCGAGACGTGTTAGATTTCTCAGTTAATATTGATAACTCTCAGTCTCTCATTGAACTATTTTTTTGAAAGCGCATGGGAACTCCACTCATACTCTAGCTCAGTTGATTTGTAATGAAAATAAACCAGAGAATCACACAGGCATGCGTGACTTAACTACACATAAACACATTGTAGAAATACCAGCACTCATGAGCCACAGGAAAACCTCAATCATAATGCTATTAATATAATATTTATATAGGGCAGTGAAATGTATTAGGGGTCCGCGTCCGCCTTTTATCTACACCCGGGTGAACTGTATGTGCGCAATTACGAATGACGATCAACTAGGACGAAACTTTAGAATTAAGTTAAGTACAATTGCCAGATTACTACCATAGAATCTATTTGTAATTTGAATACTGTATATCTAGCGTAATGATATTATGTTCTGGGGTCACGGAAAGCAAGTCGCGCAATCAAGATAATAAAAAAACATTTGCTATTTACTGACGCCTACGATCAAGTCTTCGTTGTAGTTTCGATGCCATGATCGTTGCACGATTGCTCCGTTTCGCGATAGCTTTTCAGCTTATCATCGGCATCTGGTTCGTTAATGGACCCTTAATGTATGGTCCGAAGTGTTCTTGCTGGCTGACATTGACCCGCGTTCATGGTCTTAACTTTTGTTCTTTCTTAGTATTGCATTGGCAGGAAAACAATTTTATTTGGTGTCATTCCTTTAGTAACTTCTCAATAGCTAAAGTTGATAATGACATATTTCTGCCACGTTTAATAACCGAATTTAGCTGGCATAAAATTGCTTCTCTTGTACTACATACTATTATTTATCTAAAGGCGCAAAATGCGAGTTCCTATTGTGACGTATTAGTTACCAGTTTCCGACTGTCGCGGATTTCAAAAACTTTTGCCGTTAAAATTTGAAATTTTCAAACTTTATCGCTTTATTTCTCCGCGAAAACAAACTCAATTTCAAATGTGATTACTATTTTCGTAATCTACGTTTCACGGCGATTCTAATGAGATAAATTCCAATTTTATGACATGGGCACTTTAATTAGAAAATTAATGATGCTGTGTTTGGCGCGCTGCAAAGGTCATGACGTCCGTGTATGAATAATCAATACTAAATGCTGATTGCAAACTATTTTAACTGTAAAAGTCTTAATATATTATTAGTATAACTTATATGGTAGTCTTATTCTAAATGTAAATATAGATAAATAAAACATCATCAACCTAAATTTATATTTGTATACATCTTCTTTCGGCCGGCGACTAAAATATCTCGTGTTTTGTTGAGGCTATAATTTTAGTATTTATGTTTTGGCGTATTAATTTGTTTCCTATTGTATAAAATCTGCAGGGTGTCACATAATGCTGGCTTGAAACAATTATAATTGGTGTTGCGATAATTATATTAAAATTAAAGGTTGTATTCTAAACTGAAAACGATCTTCCATGATGTGAGTACCTTCGATTCGTTTGATATTCTATCGTGTCGTGTGTTAGCATAATTTGATGTTGTGTTATACAATGCTGTACGGTAGTGTAGTGTGATATTTTATAATAATATCAATCCTGGGGGTATTTTAACTCGTAACAAATTAAATGTCAAGTCCAGAGCGCTGCTGAATTCATCAAAATTGGATACGAATTTACCGCGAAGACAAGGTTTGTGTGTGATGAATCTGAACGCATTTATTGACTAGCGATCAAACCGACTCTAAGAACTTTCATTTCTCTCGAATCTTTCTACCCCATTCTCGTCTTTTTCTGTAAACAGAAGTATGATATTGTATTTTAACAATAATTTCTCGTTGGGGTTACAGTGCTCGATAAGACATGTTCTTTCAAAGAAGGCACTTGGTTGTATGAAAGCCCGTGGAATGTCTTGGTTTTCAGAAAGGTACAAGTTTAAAAGTTTCATTCCCAATTGAATATTTGGGTGCTATAAGCCTGTAACCATTCTCAAAGCCATCTTAGATTACAAACTAAGTCAGTGCCTGAAAACCTAAAATACCTGCATATATGTGTTTGCCTTGTTTCGACACCCTAACTGATGGTTTTTTGTTGGGGTATTACCTTAAAGGTTTGCGATAAAAGGGGTTGCTTTTGGCTACTACATAGCAGTATCTATGTATGGTAAATTATTTTATTATTGTCCCACCGTGTAACTGTGAGCTTCTACTGTGAAAACGATATTGGGACGATTTAGTCATAATCTTGGATTTGTTCAAGTTGAACAAATAATGTACAGGTTTTATATGACCGGCGCGGGATATATTGGATTAAATTATCTTTGCTCTTCATGGGAAGTACTTTGCCGCACTTTATATCGAAAAATGCCTGTGGCATCCAAGTTGTTTCCGTTTGGTAACCGCACGCAAACAAGTCATTTTCACGCGACGACTCCACGTTTCCAACGATACGATGGAATAATCAATTATGACATAATTTCATATGGTACTGGTGGACATATGAAATAGCCTTGCATAAAAGCCGCCTGATTAAAACTGCTACAAAATTATGTTCCGAACCATTTCCTAAAAGCAATATAGAACGCGGTATGATAAAGCTGGGAAAATTTCAACTTTACCCTCAATGATATTTTCCTGTTCCATATCTTCATCACATCGCATCACATGCATTAGAGTAGACTTAGCACATGCCTGAAATATTCAAGAAAACATCTCGATGTTTTAGAGGGCCATTTGACAGTCGGTATAACGAAGGTTTTCAAATCGAAGGGTCGAGAAGTTTTAGTTTATAATTCAGGCGGCTGGTGCAGCCCCTTCATCAGAAGATATGAGAAAAATCTGTTACCTAGTTACCAGCATTCACATCAATTATCTAAAATAACTCTCCAATGCAACATATTGACACGAGATGTGTTGCGAAGGGTGTTTCGCCGTAAATTTGCGCGAAAATTTCTAAAAGATAACATTTCAATCTAACCGCCTCACTTTTCAATGTCAGCGATTGTAGCTCGTATCGCTCGGTTTTGTAAAAACGAGAAACAGATAGCACCATTTTTTCCCTTGTTCATCTTGAATATTGAGTTATCGTTCAATGGGAGGTTCCTAAGTAATTGATCTATTAGACGAATGATATATGCATTGTCTCTCGTTTATAGGAAGATAATGTACAAAAGAATGGAATTAGAGAAGTACCATTACACTGTTGAGTGCACAATGTGTTGTCTGATTACCTTCCACTCAGGCTTCGTCCGTTCTTTTCCGTTCGTAAAAGGTAAATAATATTGTCATCAGCACGTATCAATTACGAAACATTGCGACTTCGAGGTAATAGTTTATCATACCTACATTTCCTATATTTGACCTCGACATGTACAAAACTCGGGAGGAGGCTCGGACTGGCCGATCGCTGTGGACTCAAGAGCGAAAAAACCCCCGAAAATTTTGTCATCGGTATTCCGATTTTTCACGCGCCCGGTTTGTTTAATTTAGCGTAAAAAGTTGCAAAGATTCAGCCCTCGTTACAATTTCTACACTAAATGAATGATTTATTCCATTTGCCTAACCCGCAAACATCATGAAACGCATTTCTTTGGCAATTTAAGTCAATTTTTTCATCCACAAAAATATTCAAAATATTTGACTGACACTCGACTTATACCAGCTTAAATCACCCCTAAGCTTTCAAATTATATTTGCTCTGCATTTATGTACGAACCTGCCGTGACTTGCTTCACTTCTTATGAATTCCGCCTGGTTTTATACGATTACAACTACATAGGCCTGTATTAGTTTGTGATTAAATTAAATTCAAATTACGCGATCCCATTCGGCTGTTCTTTCACTGCAGTCTACAGTAACTCTTAAGGTTAGCTAACCCTATATAAATTGGGCTAAACAAATAAAGGTTAAGCTATATTTAGCTATTCGGGACGTTTTTAGTCTGCATTCAAATCATCGCGAGAGCCACTGCGCTGTGTTTTTTTATCACTGTCCCTATTCTCTTCCAGCATTTCCCGCTCGGCGTTCGTAAGTTTCCTGTCACAGTACTTTAGTTTGCTCGCGGATATATGACCCCCCAGAAGTGAATTCGTTGGATGACGCAAATGTAAAAAAAAAACACGAACGACGACAATGATAGCTGATTAATTTTTTGTAACGGTGAACAATATGTTTGACACCTGAAAACGCGGCACGTTTACAGAAACCTCGGATGCTCGGTGTCAGTTATAGGGCGATGTGATAAGGACGAGTTGCAGCAATGGCTCGTTCCGCGTGTTAGATGCATGGACGAGAATGAAGTATAATCCCACCGCATGCATGCAACGGTTTGTTATTTTGTGACTAGATGTTGCCTGATTAATGCTTACACACCACTTTTGGAAATTAATAGAACCAAAATTGTATAGAAGTGATGTTTGGAATTTGTCTCGAGTGCACTTCGTTCCGTCGTGTATTACAAAGACGAAAAGTCTACGAGCGTTTTATTAATATTTTCCCTACAAACACTTAACAGCTCGACAGTTCTTTTTGATCAACAGTTTGTAATGTTCAAATGTTTTACTTAGAGAGTTTGTTGACAGATTCTGTAAGTATGTAAATAGTGTAATAGCATGCTTTCAACATAGAGATGTAGGAATTTCAATTATTCCACATTCAACGCTAGCCGACCTTTCATTTTCACATAGCTGTCAGTCCACAGCCAACCGTAGCTCAATCTCCAAAATAAAAATATACGCTGTTACTAAATATATACAAATGTATTTCTCTCGAAAGAATTTCACTCCTTTATATTCGATAATTTGATTGCATTGCACAATGCAAACTTCACATTATTTACCTGTGTTGACATTGTCACAAACTTCTATAATTAGGAATTTCTTTTATTAATGATGCAATCAAAGCTCGTCATGTGGTTCGCTAATGACCAGGAAATCCCTGCTGTGATCAGAACTATTAAAAACTCAGTTGGTGCCGGCTCCAACTCACTGTGATTTCTAATACCTCCTAGCTGCGAATAGCAATACCTCTCTGTTGCTCCGCGATACCCGAAATATGAAGAGTAACGGGGTAACAGCAAGTACCCAGTCGTTTGGGATAAGCGAAGGACCTTCAACCATGAAAAAACAGAAGCGTTACATCGCTCTCTTTATTGCAGGAATCCTCTTGGCTATTCTCATTGGGTTCCTCCTGGGCTACTTTCTTCCAAAATGTGACGACAACGACAACGACACGACAAAAACTAGGACAAACGGATATGACGGATCGCCAATCAATAGAATCATGTCTGTGATGAATAGCAAAGCTATAGAAAACATCTCAAGGTAATCTCACATCATTCTATATAGCAGGGTGTTTTAATTTATTTCTTGAAATCAGGATGGTGTAGTTTAGTAGTTATAGCTATGTTTAATATATAACGGTTGCTCTCTATATATGGTACTGGATGTTATAATATATATCCAATCCCCTTTAATATACTTGGACTTGGTATTCGTTATATAATATGGAAATTTTGGTGTAAATGGCTCTCTGATTTTATCAGTGGAGGTTCGTTTTCATTATCTTTTACATCTCCTGAAGTGTTCTTGATGCCAATTATCGAACTAAATGACCCTCTGCATTTCCCTTTTAGCTTGTTCTGAGTAATGCATTATCACGCATATAGCGATCTAATATGACACACTGACTGTATGACTCCTTTTTCCTCGGCTATAGTCTGCACTGGATTTAATTGACCGCGTGGACCCGTAGGATTCATACCTACATCAATGCTATTCAAACAATATCCGCCTATTCGCGATCTGATTTGATGACATCGCTCCTAACGAATTCGTCATTAACATCGATAAGATGCGATAGATTTTCGATGCATTTTTTCTAATGACTTGTACAACAACAATATCGCGTAAAGTTAGCATGATACGGAACTCAAGCGGTGAACATGTATAGAGGTCTAGTCACTTACTGGGCGTATGTAAACACCCGAATACCGGCCTTTGTATTTTTCTTAAATAGCCTGCCTGATTCTGTCCTTACTAATGAAATCACATTGACCTTATACCTTTCAACTAAATATCTAACCAAGATTCGATGTCAAGCTAGCTATCGGATTTAAATTCCCCATCTATGATGGTACACATAATTTTCCCCCCGGATATACCCTGATGTCTTCATGCAGTAAAAAAGAATAAGACGAATGGTCAATTGAGGAAAAAATTTTGAATGAAAATCGTTGAAAATGCAGAACAACTTACTAACTCATCTGGTTGTCGGGCATAACCATACGAGGCTACGATAGTTAATTGCAGAACATTTAAGCAGATTGGACCCCCACATGAATTGCTAATTTGATTAAGTTTGACGTCCGTTTTGTGTTAAGATAAATGCGTTATAACTGAGTAAATCACGTTTCTTTAGCTGTTTCGAGAAAATTGTACAATGATTATTGCTTGAGCTTTGTGTCAAGTTGGGTTGGGCTAATCCTGCTAGAAGGTGACGCTCGGAAGCAATTGACAAACATTTTAGAGCTATTTGTTACATTTTCTTCGGATTCTTCCTATCGTCTTGTTCTGAACGTCGTATGGAGTCTATGAACTTTCTATGGTCACGATAACCGATGCCATCAATGAAATGTGTCATATTTTGATTCAAAGGCGTAATAGTCTCTAGATATTCTTTGGGGGGGGGGGCACACTCAAACATAAATAGAGAAATTTTGAATACCCTTTCGCTATATATAGGTGCCCCCAAAGCTGTTGTACAGTGTTGGGACTTGGTACTTTAGAACTTTATGTCTTTACTTTCAAAATTGAAGTCATGATAATAAATACTCTTCCTTCTGACAAGCCTGTGATGAATAACCGGCAGCTCGTCTCATAGTCACGGAAAACAGGCACGATGACCTTCAATTATTTTCGTGTGTTTTTCTACTTGGGAATAACTACCCATGATTAAGTGATAGAGCACATTTTTACCTAATATGGCAAATCCTATAATAACGTCAGCAATTGACAAAATTACGTGGGTCGGCGCGAGCAGTTGCTCACGTCAGGTCATTCTTGAAATTTTCATTTTTTTTAATTTTGCGACCCGTGCCTAGAAATGGTCACCCGGGTTTGTTCGTTATTCTAAGAAGGTTTTTTGTGATGAAGTAATTTCTAAGAACCGAACTGATTGATGTCGGCTTCCTCCGGGCTACTAGTAAAACACATGTCGTCTCTGAAAAAGTTGGGTTTTGTTAATAAACATGCCTTAATTTACATTGAAGAGATTTTTTGCACTCTACGTCAAATACAGGACTATTTTCGGTTAAAAATCGAGATTTGAAATGAAACCGCAAGGCATCTTAATGTTCTTTTGGATTTACAATTTATTGCCATTGGAAAGATCTCCTTCAAACGTAGGACTGTGCGTCAATTAAGAGGATTACATTTAAGCTCTTGCATGACGGCTTGTTTATTCAGGATTTACGAAAAGTCAATTTTCTTAATTAGTGTAGATAATAGGCGGCTGTTGTGTGAAAATTTATCAAAACATGCGCACTTACGTAGCTAAGTTAAGTTTTTTACCCTTCTGATTTTGTATATGAGTATTCAACGCAATGTTTTATATGTTCCTTTTGACCCGACTATGGGTACATGCAAAATATGCAAAATATGCGCCATACTATATTCGAGAAACGTAACCTCATGCAAATTTTCGCAAATTCGATAACTACATTATGTCCTGTGTTTGCTATGGAAGGATGCCGTGGAAAAAACATCGCTGGTTACACCTGCATGCCTTGCACGCATGTGTGCACAAAGTAGGAATTACTGATGCGTTTTTAAAGGCTTGGCGATTAAATTTGTTGTAATATATAACCTTTAGGCTGGTGCGGATTAAACGTTTAAGCCGAACGAATTGCACGAGCGATTTCAGTTATAAAAATATTAGTGTAACGATTAAAACTCGGTAATTACATTCTTTACAAGATTTCTTAATTCCGTATTCAAATAAACAGCGGCTATGCAAGGTACTAAACCTATTCTATTGCGCAGAGGCTGCATGTCGATTGTCTAACAAGACAAATATAGACTTTTTTCACAACCCCTTCGTTACATCGAAATATTTGTTCTACAAACATTGGTTCAAGTAGGCTTTTCAAAGGTGCATGTTTCAATTGGGTGAATGATTTTTGTGTCACTTGCCGATGCTCTTGGGATTGGAAATGCTTTCATTTCAAAATAATGTAGTAAAATAATATAGTAAAAACAGTAAAAATATGCAGGAAAAAATAATGCTACGCATTTCATCTTTACTGTCCCCTTCATACAGAATATCCTACTATATAATTATATTGTAGAAATTGAACGTACAGAGTTTGTTTCTTGTAATAATCTCTTATCGGTCAAGTGCCTTATAGAGTTCAAATCATCCTCCATGGCACATAGTCTTCCACAAGGATAGGCGTATGTCCTATACATAGATCCTCTCCATACATGCAGTATAGAGATAAAGTAAATGTATGTATTCCATTCTTCACCTATATTTTATTTTGTAATAGGGAGTTTTCCAGTGCCCCGCATCTGGCAGCATCACCGAGAGACATGAAAATGGCGAAAATTATAGAAAAACGTTGGAAAGATCATGGTTTTGATGACGTGGAATTGCCAACATACGAAGTGTTACTGTCATTTCCGAATAACACAATGCCCAATAAAGTGCACATTATTAACCAGACTGGAGAATCGATATTTGAGGTGGGTGCAAAAAAGTAGATTCAGGTAGAAATGTCCTCTAAAATTCAAAAGTATCCACACAAATTTTGACTCGTCTACAGACGTAACTTTCATCACAGGGAACCAGCGCGGCCTATGCTTTCTTGAGCCTTTCTCAGCTTATAGATGTGCTCGCGCATCGGTGTCAATTTTAATAGATTTAAAACTTTATGAATCTAGACGCTTGCTTCAACTATCTACACGTACAGAGATTGCATTTCTTATTGTTATAAGTAATTCTCAACCACTAAGTCAACCTTCAAAAATTTGGTCGGCTGCAAAACGTGTTTGAGGATTTATAAGCCCCACTTACACTATAGGTTTTGTAGGGATGAAATTGGTAAAGATGAAATTTGGACTAGCTGTCTATTTTAATAGGTAGTCCAAAAGTTCATCCGCCAAATTTTCCATGCACGTGCGACAACAAAAATTGGGCGTAGTGTCAATGCATGGGGATAGACTTTTGAGAGTGGTGATGTTTGTTGCGTGCCAACGAGGATTCCTCACTCTAAGAAGATTAAATATATTTCTTTATAGCGCTTTATGTGCGATAATAAATGTTGTTGCTTTTAACATTCCATTCCACCTCTGTTGTGTGTCGACATTGATTGGATTATAATGAAGCGGCAAAGCGATAAATTTCAACATATAATGACACATGACGTGTCGCAGTGCATATGTATTTGGTCATGCAAAATTCGGAGTCAACTGGTCACACAAAAAAAACAGTATACGTGTAACAGATTTTGTAAACAATACAGCAATCAATGTAAAACTGTTAGTTTCCATTTGGTCGTTACCTGTCGTTACCACGACAAGTGGTTGATGCGAAAAAGGCTAAATTTAACTTTTCTTTTGTGTGCAAATTATTTTACTGATGGCAGATATATATTGACACTCTGCTGTATCGTCTACTTGTCGTGGTAGCGACAAGCAAACACCAAATGGAAACCATGCAGGCTTATTAAGACGAATAGCTCTAACGATTACGAAATATGCTCAAGCTGCCTTCATTGCGCAAATTCTTCATTCAATTTTAAAAGCTATGAAAACGCACTCGGCGCTGTGAAGTACAATGCAATGATGGTGATCGTCTGATCAGATCTCCACAGGAATCTGAACCCACGGCGTTTTCATTTACTCTGCAATAATGGAACACCCTCTTAGATTATCTGCTTCATCTGTGCCTTACAAATGAAAAATTGTTTCGTAATTAAAGTAATCCCTTTAGGCTTAAGTTTTTTGTGTTTTGTTGTTTACTAGCAACTGTTGATTTTGTTACCACAGGCGAAATAATGCCCAAATGGGGTATGCATTTCGGCCAAGCATATACCGACACAACATTCAACCAAAACATATAAAAGAATCTGGGTTGCACTAATCTACACGCAATTTTAGGGGCTCACCGCGCAGTTTGCATGATTCTGCTTATTCGAGCTTAAACTAAGATTAAAGTGATTTAGCGTAAAGTTATTATGAATGCCAAAAGGTACGTAGCGTGATCATGAGCAGTAGCGATTCCCCGAAGGGAAAGCATTTTTGCCGAATATTTTTGTTGTCGGTGTTTGTGTTGGACCCTTTGTCTGGTTTCATAAAGACTTATTTTTAATACCTCAAATTGTCTCACACTTCGCTTAATCTCGCGTAAGCTGAATATGCGGTGAAATACAAGCGAGAACATGACAGTAAGAAAAACAAGGTATTCAAATGCTTTCAAAGCCCCTTTTATACGAGCTAGCAAGCAATTTTTTTCTCAAATTTTTTCGTCTAAATGCATATCCATATTTACCACACATACATTTTTTACAAACGCCCTATTCACATTGGCAATATATTTTTGTCTCATGACGTTTATCAATTTGCCAGTGTAAACTGAACCTAATGCAGCTTTGGTTTGCTTAAAGTATGCGGCTTATATATGGTTTAGTCAATCATGTTTAATAAACTAACTCGTCCCTGCTTAGGTGGCTTAATTAAAATCTTCAAATGTTCGTTTCAAACATTGCAGTGTAATAGAAAATGTTTTTATCAACATTGGTCGATCGTCCTTAGTGCAAACAACGGTACACTTCAGTATTTTTGTATTTTGTCATTGTGCGGTAGATCACGTGGTACATTCGAGAGTCCATTCGCTGGCAATGCACCAAATATTTCCCAGCGTTGGTCTGTTTTACTTTCAATTTTTGAAAAAAGACCTATTAAGACCTATTATCTATTATTATTATAACAGATATTAATTATATAATATCTGAAACAGGAATGCTTCATTCCATGGCAATTATCATTGTCTTAGCAAACCTATTAATGGAATGAAGCTTCACATTGTTGATATGAACAGCAAATTAAAATCTCAAATATGTCCGCTATCGGACACATTACTTCAAGTATTGTGTAAAATTCCACAAAAATAAAGACTTTTATCAATAAATTGCCACTTTAAAAGTACCAGAAGCTTCCTGTTTTAGTTATTGTATTTCCAGCTCATTTAACAGCTTATATCGTCTTTTAATGTCTGGACCTGACTACAAGGCTTTCTAAAAGCTTTGTATGTTTGATCTTTTGTGCTTATGTTTGTGTCTTGGTAATGATGAAGCTTCACAGTTCTAACCTTATTTTGCCGCAGGGGATTAATGTGTTTTAGTTTGACAAGTTGCCTGTCAAACCCATTGCTTCGGTATGAAAAATAGATAGTTAGATACCCCTGCGAGCCATGTACCCCTGCCTGCAAAGAAAAGGTGCCTCGATGATTGGCGTTGATTGGTAAAAAGCTCTTTTCCTCAACCATGCGTAGATTATATTTTTGCCATTATACAAAAAAGCATCGTTCATACAATAGCGATGGATGGACTGTCGTTTAATCGTCTGGTTACTTCATCATGTCAGGCCTTTATTTCTTCCGCCTTAACACTAAAGAGGGGAAAAGAGGGTAAATGAGGGAAATGGTACATGTGATTATGTAACACAAAACTTTTCAAACCATTTACGTTTTATAGACGTCTGCTCGTCGTGATGCAGATGGGGTGCCATCATTTTTGGGATACTCTGGTTCAGGCGTAGTTACAGGAGATTTGATTTATGTAAACTATGGGAGGAAAGAAGATTTTGAAAAACTGAAGAACAATAGTATATTTTTGAATGGTTCTATTGCTATCATGCGGTATGGATGGATTTTCAGGGGCAGCAAGGTATATATTGAACCTTTAGGATAATTTCCATCATCGTTAAATGATTTCATTATTATGATATTTTTCTGTCATTTTGGAACTTGAAAGAGTTTTCCGGCATCCTCGTATCCGTATTTTAAATCTAATATATTTTAATCCAGGTTTCCATGGCATATGCGAATGGCGCCAAAGGTGTGATTTTGTACTCAGATCCCGCAGATTACGCGTCAAATGATTATCAATCCTGGTGGTTATCGCCTAACGCTGTACAAAGAGGCTCGGTTTATCCCGGACCAACGTTTGGTGATCCCCTTACCCATGGGTTACCCTCGACACCCGGCATGTTCCGCCGTTCTCGTGATGATGTCCGCCTGCCAAAAATTCCTGTTCATGTTATTAGTTATAAAGAAGCTGAACAATTTCTCAAGGGAATGAAAGGTGCATACTTTTTCGGAAAACATTTTTATTCCGGCTCGCTGCTAGCTTCTAGTCCATTCACAGCTTGATAACTCCACCGACTTGTTAGCAATCCTCTTGCATCCAGCTAAAAAAGATACCAACATTATTAGTATTAGATCTTGTTTGTAATACCGTTTTTGTTACTGAGAATGCTACCAGGCTTGTAACGAATACATCTACATATTTTTCTGTATCTTCGGATAGGTTTAATATATATATTTCGTCATTTAGGCCCTGAAGTGCCGGATACATGGAAAGGAAAGCTGAATGTCACTTATCGTTTTGGTCCCGGTTTCCAAGAATCCGGAAATAAAGTAAGATTAGAAGTCCATTCTGAGAATGTTCTTAAGAATGTTTCCAATGTAATTGGTACAATTAAAGGAAGCTTGGAACCAGATCGAGTGGTTCTAATTGGTTCTCATCGTGATGCCTGGACGAAAGGGGTCGTGGATTCTATCAGTGGTACATCAGTGATAATGGAGATTGCGCGTGCAGTGGGCGCGCTTCTGAGCTCTGGATGGCGCCCGCGACGTACAATCAAGTTTTGCAGCTGGTCAGCGGAGGAATACGCTCTTATTGGCTCGACAGAGTACGTGGAACAAAACTACAAGCTCCTGTCGGAACGTGCGGTTGCTTACCTCAATCTCGACTTAGCTGTTTGTGGTAACTTCACTTTGAAAACGTACTCGAGTCCTTTACTAAACAACCTGATCCTAGATGCTATAAGGAACATAAGCGACCCATTTGACGACAAAAGGACATTATATGATGTCATGACTAAGCGGAACCATGCTCAGGGAAAACCGAACTTAATGACGTTGGCAACTTTCAGTGACTATGCACCTTTTTATCAGTATTTAGCCATACCTTCTATTGATTATGGATACTTCTATATCGACAGCACGAAGCAGCCAAAACCTTATCCAATATACCATTCACTGGAAGAAACTTACGATTGGATGAAACAAAACCTAGATCCAAATTATAACATTCATTTAACTCTCGCCAAATTAGGAGCAACGTTTCTTCTCAGCTTAGCAGATGATCCATTACTGCCCATGAACAGTGCGTCAGATTACACTAAAATACTAAACAGATCTCTCAACTACGTCACTGAACACTTTAGTGGGATTCTGAAAGGTAGAAATATCTCACTTTTATTTCTGAAGAATGCTGTCGAAAATTTCCAAAAAGTGTCAAGAGAATTTGAGAAACACTTGAAGGAACACCAAAAAGAAAATGATTTCAGAAAATTGCGTGTTTTAAATGACCAAATGATGCAAGTTGAAAAAGCTTTCCTTCATTCAGATGGCTTGCCTGGAAGGAGAGAATTTAAACATCTTATTTTCGCTCCTAGTTTATCGAATACATACGCCAGTGCCAATTTCCCAGGTGTCACAGACGCTCTTGCGCAATGTGAAAATAATGCGACACAATGTAATGACATTGAATTTCAAATCTCCTTAATCATACACAATATACAGCAAGCTGTGGATATAATGAAGCCCATTTTGTAACGAATTTCATGGCGGATCTTTAGAGTAGGGTAGTAAGGGGATCGAGAGGGAAAATAGGTGTCACAAACAGCAGATGGTGGTCAATTCCAGAAATGCTGAAAGTCAGAACGTAAGAACAGTTCGTATTTGAGAACTTTGAGAATATTGCGAGTTACAAGCTTCACTACATTTGCAAATTGGGTGAAAGTGGGTTATTGTAGTACAATGAGAGAAAGCTGTGACAGCCTGAATTTTGAAATTATAATTTGAAATTATATGGTTTTTAGTAATTACGGCTGATTGACCACCATCAGGTAAATGATGGTCAGTAAATTTAACCATTTCAAGAATATCAATTTTTCGAGATTACTCTCGCAAGAGAGGTGCATGATTCTCATCTTACGTACAAAATTATGATGTTAAATATTTCATTGAATGCTGTAAAAATATTAGATTAGATGGTCATAGAACATTTTGTATGCACTTATATTTTTGTAACTTTTTAATCAAAATTTAATTAATCCCCTGTATTATATTATTCAAATTAATATCGAAAATTTTTTTTTCATGAGGTTTGGAGAGTTTTATCTTTAATTAATATGATTGCTTCAATTTTTAAAAAAATCTAAAATTTTGTTCACGGATTTGCGCTCGAGAAGCGAGATCAGTTTGTGCCCGAGCATAATTTTAGAACATTCACCGAATCGGTTTATAGTGTTATACGATTTTGATAAAGCACTGACCATTGCCAATGTTTGCAATAAAAACATCGTCTATTTCAATGTAAAGCGTCAATGATTTTTGTTTGCAATAAAAACATCGCCTTTCCTGCTTTAATAAAACCCTTAATTTTTAATTAGCTAAGCCAATCATCGCGAATCCAGAAAGACGTGATTCAGTGATTGGTTAATCAAGATGGAAACATAGAAACGATTATTCTATCTTCCAGCGGAAAGAAGGGCTAGCAGCCCGATAATTCATTTGAGGGAACTAAGCTCCCGAATATTTTTAGCAAAAAGCATTAATGTAATAATGTCTTTTGGCTGCTTTCCACTGTCGTGCTTTTTTGCACGTACCGGCGTACACGCACGTGAAGCTTAAAACCTGCTAAGTTGTTGAATAATCAATTTTATGTCAGAAAAAACACCAAATCATGACATCAACAGAATCCAACCCTATGCATCTATTCAATCCTTGATTTCATAAGTGTCGTTTAAATACCTGGGTATGGCTGGATATCAGCCCCTTCCCAATATGCATATCGTCCGACGCCACTACCTGAAATAACGCAAATTAGCTAATCAGAAAGATTCTTCATTCCGAAGTACTCCATGCCGTCAAATTCATCCGAAGCCGAAGTGCAAGCGACGCATGGTATGAATTCTGTGTATGGTTTTCTGCGTTTTCTCCGTGAAAAACCGCTGAAACTTAAAACGCAGGCGACGCGTGGGAAATTTAAAAATGGTGGCACAATTTTGGTTAAATTACTTCGTTTATTATATTATTTTTACATATTTTTACTCGACAAATTTAGAAAATCAATTCAGGCAGAGGTAGAATTTATATTAATTTTCATTCGCATGCTTATTTTTATATAAATTGCAGGGAAACCCTTAGTTTTCCTGAGAGTTTAAAGCACAGTTATTAAAGTTGCAAATTACGTCTATTTTCAGTCTTGGTTGTCGAAGATATACTCATCGAGAGTCCAGACACTTTGTGTTTTTATTGATGCAATTACATATGTTCGGTGTTGCTGTAATTATTGAAAGAAAACAAGAAAACTCAGGTAAATGGACTTTGCTTTTGAACCATGCGCAGTCAACCATTAATTGGCTTAACAATTATTATGGGAAATTATCCCATGACTGTGAAATTCTATTTTCTGAGGTTAAAAGGGCCCCCAATGTTTTGAATGTATTAAAGCCATGATTTTAACATATTTCCTTTTATCAAAGTTTCTTGTTAAGGCAAAAATTATCAGAGTAATCTTAATTAATTAATATTCTAAGAGTTGGTATTTTTTAATAATAGGGGGAATAATAATAAGATTAATTGTTGTCCTGACAATATAATATTGTCTTGTTTTCCTCACTTTTGTGTGAAGATGTTGCATTAAAGTTTGGCTTAAAGTTAGTGGTAAAAAACACTATCTAGCATAAGAGAAAGCCATGGAAAAATTCCAGTAAAGCATTTGCCATCCAGGAAATTGGAGCTTCATTATATTAGTACCGCAGGTAGCAAAGCATAGGCAGCGCAAAATAAATGTGTGCGACTACGCCATCAATGTTTATCACCCTATATGGATAATGCTTACTAAATTCAATTTACGAATAATGCTAGTGTCAGCATTATTCATACAGGATGGGATGGTGCATGTCTATCAGTGTATGTATGATCAAAGCTGTCATGCACTAAACTAACCCAGGGTTAATGCAAATTTTACATCTATTTTTTTCATCGCTTGTTCATAAAAGTTGAATATTTTTTCCACGAGTATTTTCTGATTCAATAGAAATCATATTTTGTAGCAGTTTTAAAGCCTTTAAAGTTTTAAAGCAAGCACAGAAGCACGTAAACTAAAACAGTGGATTAAAATTTAACCCAGGGTTAGTAATAACCTAGCTTTGAACAACCGGCCCATGATATGTCACTATAGTATCATCATAGTGGCCTAATAGCAAATGGTTTATTTATTTGAAATGAAAATGCACTAAAACATTGAGAAATTGAATAAAAGCCATCATTACTATGCCAAAGATATAAAAATGGTAATTTCAGTGATATATCCCTTTCACAAACTGATGTTTGGTGCTCTGATATTTATAAAAAAGGGTGGCGTTTGCCAAATTATATATATAATGCATGCGCAAATGTCTTCGGCCAGTCAAATTTTGGTTAGTTAAATCGTAGTTAACTAGTTCTGCCGCGAGCTGACGAGGCAAGGTGTTTGACGGAGCGAAAGTCCTGTTTTACCTGAAGTTAGAACTGAAAGATTTAAACGGTTTTTTTATGAAGAGCGGTCCTTATTGAAATATTTCCCTGATGTGGAAATCGTACGTCAAATCGTACGTTAAATATTGCATTAAGACATTCATTCATATTAGTACCCATTTATTCATTTAACATCTGAAGTAAAAGAGCGGATTAAACCCATTCAGTTTGGAAAAGGAGACATATAGAGATTCTTACAGATTAGTACCTAGTCCTAGGGTTATATTTACGCTCCCGCGGTATCGTCTCGCAGCGGAGAACACCATCACTCCACAAAGTTGTTTGTCGCCTTTGCCAATTTTGCTTTGAAGAATTGGATCTTTATAAAATTTGAAATAATTGAATATAGGTGACATGTACAAGTGGGTGACATCGCGTCCCTACTTCAAACGAATTGACAATACTGAGGGCGAAATTTTCCTAGGAAAAAATGATTAAATTAGAGCTATGTGCACACGGTAGCGTTTTCACATTCGTTTTCACGCCAACTAACGGTCTCAAACACCGTCAATTTACAATAGAGAATGAAGCTAATTTAACATAATTGGCATATTTTTCCTTGGATCGTGTGGACAGGGCGTCTAAGCAATAGAACTGACAAAAACAATTTTGAAAACGCTCGTGTGCACATAGCCTAACACTCACTCCAAGACGCTTTCTTCATTACGCTTCCTCTTAGACTGCGTAGCCCACAGAGCGCCGCCTTAACTTTTCCTGTGTGGGTTAAGTTGTTTATTTACAACAGGCTATTTTTACCACGCATATTAATATCATTACGGAGTTCAACATTGTGCTCAATCCAAAGCTATTCTTCTCTAACTGTTGGGCTTTAAAATAGCCTGCTGTGAACTTTATGAACTTATTCTGCCTTATATATACCACTGATATTCGAAAAGAGGTTGCCTTTTGAGAATGATACACGTCTTAAATCTACTGAATGCCGAATACTGCATGAGAATACAACTTTTAACAGATAGTTTCAGTGTCAAGGATGTCACTTTTTCAAGGGTGTTTTGTTCACGGAACAACTTCTTAAATAAAATTTAAAAATATACGTGTAAATTGAAGGACATGTCGTGTGCAGAAGCCATTCCATTGAAACTTTTTAATACGTTTGAACGTTTATTTTTTTAGCTATATAACCATCCCATATTAGGTCCGATAAAGTCTTAAAATAGGGTCAAAAAAAAGGCAAGGTTTGTTTTGGAAAATGAGGTATTCATAACAATTGCAAAAACATTATTTTTACTTATAAAAATAATAATCAAAGGTGTGATTTAGCGAAAACATAAAAAACTTTTTGTTTGATATGTTTAAGACATCAGCCTGTTTTTTAGATGCATTGAGTACGATTTTCTACCGCAGACAATCTGCATTTTACACTGTTGTATTTAACTGCCGAAATTTATTCACTTTCATTGTGATTGTCTCCAGTTGTCTTGTATAATACATGCAAAATGCTACTGGTTAAGAAAGAACACAGTTGTTGCTCTTTCAGCCCCCCGATGGCTTAAGAATTTTTTATGGTTTTGTGAGCAGCCAGTGTTTTCACATTCTTCGAGGTTTTGTTGACTTCGCAACACAAACATGTAAAAGCAGCTGTGTTTTAAACTTTTGCTTGTTTTGAAAGGAAAGTACATATTTTTATATGCATATATGTACATGTAATACCACATTGTGTTCGTTTGCGGTATTAAAACGTCTACAGACAAGTGCTGGTAACACATCGGATTTATCGGTTTCGTTGACTGGACTGACATCGTCATCGACGCGCTCTAGCCAAGAGTTGTCTCGATAAAGGGATTAGCTGGCTGTAGTTTCATTTGTTGGGTATTTTGGCGGTCCCTATCTTTGAATAGTACAAAAGACCACTTATCCTGTTGCAATGATTTGGGAAGATTCCGTAGCGGAGCGGTTAGGTTAAAATTAATGATGAATTGTGCCTAGATTCAGTGTGCTTCGCCTGTCGCTGTCTGTGGCAATTAAAGTGAACCCGTCTATTTGTCTGGTGAAGTGTACTCGGCTTCATACGTGTTTTCAGGGGATTCAAACGGCTTCGTTAACGGTTTGAATTAGTCATCTTCGGACTGGTAAATCATTCTAGCTGTCCTATTGTACTGAGAAATTTGGGTTTTTTTTCACTATTTGCAAAAATAGAATATTTGGCTTTTCGTTTGTGAGCCATTATTAACTTAGCCGTTATTAAGTTCAAGCTACGTGGTCGTAAGCAAGGAATCTGACATCGACGTCGATACAAACTGAAGAATACCAAACACTGATGAATCACTCTGGGAGTTTAAACGGAACTGCAAGTCCGACAAAAATGAGTACAAATGCGCCTACGCCAGACAGTAACCGTGAGTTAATCTTTCAGATTTTGCTCTACATAATCGACGTAGCAATTATCATTGGAAATTTGTTTGTGATTTGGCTGGTGGTGAGAAAGAAATCCTTACATACCGTGACAAACATGCTGCTGGTCTCGTTGGCCATCTCTGATCTCATGGTCGGCCTCGCGGTTATACCGTCGTTTGTCGCTTGCTTCCATGTTAAATGCGATTTTGTACTGGCTAAAATGGTCTACGATTACTTTTTATTTGTGTCCGTGGCGAACTTGTGTGCCATAACAATCGATCGATACACAGCAGTCATGCACCCTCTGCGGTACCCGAACAAGATGACTCCGTTGGCTGTTATGAGAATAATAGCCATGTCTTGGATTATACCGGCAATCTTGTCAATACTACCAGTTTCGTGGACCTATTCAAATACTTCGAAAGATAATCAAGAAGTAGCGAACAAAGTTTTCTACACGGTACAAGTATTGTTCTTCGTCTTCACTCCGTGTTGTCTGATGTTGTGGGCCTACTTCAAGATTTTCAAAGAAGCAATAAAACAAGCACGGAGAATACACTCTGAGACAGGCTATGGCTCGGAGTCTGTTAACGGTGGACGAACCCTGTCCCCTAGCGAAGCAAGGAATGCGATTAAAGTGTTCGGGACAGTCGTTGCATTCTTTGTGTTTTGTTGGTCTATATCAGCTTACAGAACGTTTGTGATCTATTTCAACCTTTCCCAGGTGAATCCGGACGTGACTCTGGCATCGCGAGTGTTGCTAGTGCTAAATAGTGCAGTTAATCCTGTGTTTTATAGTCTATGGAAAAAAGATGTTAGGCGAGAGGTTGAGAGGCTGTTCATGGGACGGAGACGAAATAGGATAAACCCGGCTCCTAGTGCTAGTAACCCGTCATTTATTATAACGCAACAAGCTGCCACACTGGGGAACTGATATTCACGAAAAACCTGACTTATAGGCTTGGTCTACACTGTCAAAATTCCTGTGTTCACAGTTGAAAATGTGCGTTTGTAAATCACAAATTCTAAATGTTTTGCAGTGAGAATCACGTGTTAACCATTGTTTTAGTTCCCTTCAATATTTCTACCAAATCGTTTGAAACTTAGGATTTGCCGTTTGGATCCTACCGTGATCGCAGAAAATTTGACAGCCGGGCCTTAAAGATGCAACTACTTCAAAGCATTATATAAATACGCTAGCAATCTGTGAACTAAGATTAGTAATGGCGATACATGTGTATTCCTACTTATAACAATCTATTTTATAATAAAAAATAAATGAACTATTATGACTCATAATTTTCACTGATCAATATCTTTGTGCGTGTTATACATTGTGAAATGTCGTCGTCAGTAAAATTACAAAAGTAAGGTATAGTACAAATAACTATATTTCTAGTCCTGTACACACAAGTGATTTGCTTGAAATTTTTGCTTATATACACGCATATATATATATATAAACGAACTACGGATTCGAGATTTCACGCTACTAATTTTTAAGGCATTGTTCCAAGACGTTTTTAGAGTTTGACATTATCTTGCGGCATTTCGAGTGAGCGCCTTGCTTGTATGATTGCATGTTCGGTTAGCGATATTTGCTCCTTAACAATTTCCCATCTTCCAGACGTTCGCGCTGCAATGACCGCATCAGATATACCAGTCAGAGTGATTTTAGGGTAAATCCAGTTTTGCGAGATGCCAAGAACGAGATTCCTCATTTCGCTCGGTCTACTTGGGATTTTCTTGGGTGAGATGAAGATCTTGTTAAAAGCTATCATGCGGCGGTTTATTTGTCGAACTCTTTCGCTATTTGATTTGGAGTCATTCTTCATCTGTTCAAATTTCTTTCCCGCTCTTTGTAAGGCCTTTACTTCTTCAAAGAGTTTACTCAGGGTGATATTATGCTGCTTTAGTTGTTTCTCGTAATGATCTTTGGTTCTGTTCGCTATTGCATGTAATGAACTGGTGAATGAGTTGATGTTGAAAGGAATAATTGGGGAGTTCGAGAGTTCGTATACTATCCTCGCTGTAAGTTTCGTTTGAGCAAGGTGAAACTTGAATTGGGGATCAAACATGGATATCAGGTGATAGGTATCGTACACTGTATGATAGGCACGGGGTAACTTGAAGGGAACACTTCCGTATTGGAGGTCAATACTTGGCACACCTGCAAATTACAAAGATATAGAGATGAGAGCGCTATATTAGGTTAAAAACTTTTAAAGTTATAGACGTATGGGGAGGGGGTGATGGCAGACGAATTATTGCTCGAACCCCCCCCCCAGCCTTCCCCCCATGCGTGCCTATGAGTGGTTATAGCGGAGAGATCAACATGTAAAGAAGCACCATTTCGTAAAAAATGGTTGACAAAGGGACGATTTTTAATCTGTACAAATATTAGTGGACCTTTTCCTTTACCTGCCATTTCGTAAAAAGGAATATAATCAGATCCAAGGCTGACGGTATTATACTGAGGTCTATCATTCCCTTTGTCTGGTCTCCCTTTCTTCCATATTGAATATATAGTTTCTTTAGGCCCGTGAGGATCTAAAACTTTTTGAGACTGGGTGTACACTAGATCTCTCGTAAGAGGATTACCGGTGGCTCTCAGACTGCCATTTCCATGAACCATCATGTCAATATTGATATAAGCCACAGCTCTTTCTTGGAGAATTTTCTTGTTATCTTGGACATATTCTGTCGAGCCGATGATCCCCATTTCCTCCGCTGCCCAGCTACATAACTTTATAGTTCGTTTTGGTTTCCAACCTAGGTACACATAATATGTTCTTTATTTCTTTAATGCCAGGAGAAACCAGTGAACTCTATACAACTGGAACGATAACTCCTAAGAAACACCACTATTCAGCTTGAAGCCAAAATAGTTTTTCTGAGTTTTGAAAGGAAATACTTCGCTAGACGTTGGGCTGTGTGTCAAATTAAAGCTATAAAAAAGTTATATTTGGTGTAGAAATTTCAAGACCTAAACTACAAAGGAAATATATAAAAAAACAAAAACAATTACCAACCGGCAAAAAAACGGGAAATTTTGAAATATTTTTTAGATATTTCCCTTTAAGCTAAAGTCTCGAAATTTCTACACGAAAATAGCTTTTTATTAGCTTTAATTTCATATACGGCTCAACATTTGGCGTGAAGTATTTTAGCTCAAAACTCAGAAAAAGTAAAAAGCACTGGCCTAACTGGCCTCAATTCCTCCCCCCCAGAGTTATCGTTCCAGTTTGTTTACAGCTTAATGGGAGAAACAGACAAAATTTCATTGTACTTTGTGCATTAATATTCCGGTCAATTCCCATGCATGTTTATTACTTCATGTTAACATCTTTGAAGTTTGCCAACTTACCTTACCATAATTATTACAAAACCATGTCTGTATGTTTACTTTGATAACTAAAAGCGTGTTCATGCATGTGCGATTTGTTGGGCAGATATTTAGTTTTTGCTAAATGTTAGTGTGGAATATTATATTTATCAGTAGTTGATAAAGTCGTCTTCTGACTCACATTTTTAATTGAAACAAAGTTAATATTAGCTCCGCCAGTAGAGTCAACAGGACAAGCAGAAAATGTTTAATTGCGTTTAGAAACGTTTGGTTTCCTAATGCTTTAGTAATGCTTTAAAACGTGATGTGTTGCATGTGCATCGGCTTAACTGGCCAAACAGAAGCTTTGTGTAAACATGGATTTGTGAGGTCGAGTCTCGTACCTGTTTTCAAAAGCTCACCGATAGCACGTGACAGCTCCATCATACCAGATGTACCACTCACAGCGTCTATTGCGCCGAATGTGATGGCGTCTCTATGGTTACCAACCAGTACCCAGGAATCTGGCTCCTCGCTGCCGTAAACTGTACCAATCACATCGTAAATCTTTGTTGTTTTTGCTTTGGAGTTGACAGTCAGTTGTAACTTCGAGTTGTTGATCAGGGTTGGTCCTGTGCGATAATTTTCCTTGCTGTTTAAGTGTATTTTCCACTTCTCTGGTATCGGATGTCCTAAATGCAACATCATAGCAAAGTGTTTTTGCAGTGAAACTTCGCAAAATATTGTTATCTATAGGTAAGCAGAGTTATCTGCCATTTTTCCCATCCATTTGTACCTAGGGCCGATTGTTCGGTAGGTGGATCACGCTATCCGCTGGATAGTGAATTTTTTTGCAACCTTTCAAAAAAAGGCAATTTTGCGAAGCTCTGAAAAACAACACTGTCTGTTAGATATCACTTCCCACCTTCGGAACAACTGAAAGAAATTATCGCGCTGAAGACTACCAAAACACCGATCATTATCAACTGGACTATTAATGGAGTCAAGCATAACTGTCAGTGTTTACACAAATTTTGGTTATTTACCTCCCAATTGTTTCAATAATTTCAACGCAATGTCGTACTCGACACGTTGTACTGGCAGTTTTGCAGGCCAGTCGTAATCTGTCAGTCTGTAAACTCCATCGCTTGAGGGAAGGTACGGTGTCAAAGGGTCGCCAATCTCCCAATTTTCCAACAAACCAAATGCCATCGGCTGTTCTTCGGGTAATCGAATTCCATTTGGATAGACGGGCATGTTGCCTGTAGTTTGATCCATTTTTTCTTTTTTGTCGAAAAATAGGACTCCGGATGCATTGCACTTGTAAGCGTTTTGGATCTAACGTCAAAAATAATACAATTTATTGTTATATCACGATATAACGAATGTTTTGTTATATGGACTGTGCATGGTGTTGTATGAAAACTACTTTTATCACAATTATTATAATATACGATGCCCCTACATCAAGGATACAGTGATAGGGGTGAAATAACAAAAAAGACAGGAAAATTGACCAGGGTGCACCGTCGCAGCATCCTGTAACAACTTCGCATGAAATGTGATATAATAACTGCCTAAAATAGGCAAAAACACTACATAACGTTTAGATGTTTGGCACCAGTCACTCTTTCCTCTGACGAAGGCCCTTTAAAACGCCCTTTATGCATGTCTATTTTAGGCAGTTGTTACACCCCATTTGCTGGGAAAATAATCAGCAAAGAAGCAATTTTTTGAAGTCAAGCCTCACACAATACTAATACATTTCGCGGAAAGAAGCAAAGCAGAAACATAATAAAAAGTGGTTGGGTTAATTTGGGCCTTCAATACTGAGCCTTCAAGTGCCTATTCGATGGTAAATATAATTATACGGGTTCAGTTATATGGTTTAAAATGTTTTAATGTTTTTATTCCTTCTGCAGCTCATCATTCGATGAGTGCGTTATTTGCTCCTTCGAGGCTCGTTCACGCAAATTGTACCTCCCATGGGCAGAAAGCTATCTCTAACGTAGTTATCAAAACGGTGTATTACGAAAGAACCAGTCAATGCACTGCCTAATTTGTTGTTTATCATCTAACCTGTTCTATCATTCTTTGAAAATCCTGCTGAATGAGAACAACTGATCCGTTACATGAACTGACATTCAATTTCTTTAGATCTTCAAAATCTCTCTCCTTGGCGTCATTGAGGTAAAGCAAACCACCTTCAGCTGTGCCTGATGGGGAGTAGAAGAAAAAGCGAGGTATTGTCCATGTTTTGTTACTGCTTGGATCTGACTTGCCCTAGAAAAAAAGTACAAAAAATATTATTATTAAAAATTGCGCCTTATAACTGCACCTAAGAAAAAGTATACAATTCAAACCGGAACCGCCGGTAGCAACCTGAATCTTTCACCGTTACGCCTGGTAGTCATAAGATGTCTAGGTGGTTGATTTATTAGAATATTGCTACGAGTTTGCAGTCAACAATGTCCGATTTAAATACATAAAATCTCACATCGGTGAAACTTGCAAAGCCATGACAGTTACTACCAGGGTTACCACAAAACGGAAACTATTAAAAAGCAATCGTTGGTTGTAAGTGCTTGTTGGTTCAAAATATTTCGTATATTAGTCTGGCATTGAAATATTCACAAACTCCTGTGAATTCTATCACTTGTAAAACCGGACTCCGTGATTGTTTCGTCTGCAGGCTTGTGTTTTAAAAATTCCATGTATAACCACATAAAGAACGTATCAATTCGTTAGATTCCGCTGAAAGTATTAGATGCTGATGATTAGTTAATGACGCATTCAACCTACCACAGCGGCAAATGTATGTTTCATAATGACGCTCCCATTGCGGTCTTTGATCTCTATATAATCTGGACTGTCATCATCAACTTGAGGTAATAGCACGTCATATTCTATTGTATCCACATGAAAACCATAGTTTTTCCATCTTCTACTTATCTCATCCGCTAGTCTCTTGGAGCGATTCGATCCTGCCATATGAGGTTCAAGTGAAAAATATCTAGAACGAAAAATAGTGTTCAATACTATACTTTCACTGATTACCTTGTTAATTAAATAAGTTCATAATATTATGCTGATGTCTCATGACATTCATATTTACTGTAACTCGATAGAACAATTAATTCGTGGAAATTTAATTAGTTAGTTTTCAGCAAGCTGATAAATACAGGATAAAACAAATGTTTATGACAAAGTAAAGTCCTGCTGGAAGCCTTCAATGAATTATCAATGACTGCGGTAATGAAATAGAAGGAGAGATGAATGCATAAAATTATGAACATATGATATATCACACTGAGCGAAATAAATTAATCTAATGGACATTCCCTTTTTATATACAAAATTTAAAACTTAAAAAATTCATCAGTACAGCTGGGAAAAGCATTCCAAAGTTTATAAAATTGGAAAGTTTGTTTGAGAAACATTGAACAAACAAGTTACTACAACGATCTATGGTGGTACTTTGAAAGTCAAATCTAACTTTAACAAAAAGCTCGAACTACGTTAGTCCAATTTTGCCAAAGATCTTCTCATTGTGCAGACTCGTTGTCAGAGGGAACTTTTTAAAGAATTGATTTTGTGAAAATTCGAACCCTAGATTCTTCGTCTACGATCTTCTAAATAACTAAGTTTGCTGTTCTGGACCCACTGATCTATAATAATTCCTAATCTAATGAATCAGTATTCTAATATTTGTCTGAAAAGTTTTCCTCCTGGTATTCTTCGAACTTGAATTATACATAAAACATTTCCATGCAACTGACGATATGCAGCATGATTGCGGGCCTGGCTGCAAAAAAGGGTTGATTGCCCCCTCCCATAGTTGCTTGGCTTTGATGAATGTTTGTGACATATTCATCAGTTCACCGCTTCATACAAGAATCAGGCAACAAGCTGTTGATTTACTTAAAAATCACTTAGCTTGACAAGTTGGAGTGCATAGCTAACTGTGGCTATGAATGGTCCATCAAGTTGAGGTATCAGACTTCAATACAATTGCACACCGCCTACCGATCTATAAGCCCATTGCTTTGATAGCACAATTAAAAAATGAAATATGGATATAATTCATCAAACGAGCAAGTAAAAAAAAAGTAAACTCCATTTCAGAAATGCGATAAGGTTTCACTCGGGACCGGATCGGGCAGGACAGCTTCCTTTGAGATCTTATCTTTGGTTGAAGACTTGCAGACAAGGGAAGTCCTTTGCCGATTCTGTCCTGAGGGTATTAATAATCATTTTTGAGTGGAAACCAGCTTTTAAGTAGGTACGTACTGACAACAGAACGATGTTATTAGTTAATCACCGGCGGTTATCGGATTGTATTAATCAACCATAATGGGAAGATGGCTCTCTTAGTGATTAATTGGCGCCATCTTGCCACGTGAAACTGCAAAAACAATGGAATTTGCTCGAGGTTAAATTGCGGCGGGTAAAATAAAAACAATTACGTATTATACTTTTCTATTGGTTGTAGCCACCTGAAAAATCCCAAACCACTGAAGGACATTCAGTTTAGGGATAAGGGCAATGTGGTGCAAATTTTCGACAATTTTTTTTTGTTTCCATATCGGGAAGTGCTTACCCCACCTCACCGAACTTCCCGCTGCTGATCGGAGCTATACGTGTAGCAATGTTTTATGTCGCTAGACTAACATAGCCGTGGCTCCATAATATCACATGAGCGTTGGGTTTCTACTTTGAATAGAGAATAGACATTCGATTGATTAATTGGTGATATCTGATATATGTGTTTGACATATCTTGATTTATTGAGCTCCCTACAACCCAGAAAATCTAAATTTAGTGTGCATCGGCAACATGCTGTTCTATTGATATAACGCTTTCTGAAAATGTACATCTATTACAAATATTTGCTGTTTACTCCAGCAACTATAGCGAAGTATACTGCGAGCTATCAGATCAACTATACCGAAGTATACTATGAGCTGTGGAAATAATCACATGGTGGTATTATTTTCATGGTATTGTTGACACAGTCGTATAAGAAATTCAATTGAGGCATTTAGCCACTAATGACGAGTTTAGCGAATAATACACAGCAGTTTAGAAATACGCAATACAAAATACCAGCTCAGGTCGTTAGAGACCTATAAAGCATGGCGTTTTCATTTCCAACGGTGAAGGCTGGCTTGCAGCCAGGGTCGCCTTAACAGCATGGATGATCTATGCACGAGAAAAACCATTTAAAACATCTTTTTAGGAGTTCTGGGGAAGGAAAGCGAGTGATGAAAGAGCCTATAAAATCCTGCAATTGCGGGCGTATATGTATTTGAACCTGGAAATTCGCGGGTTATACATATATATAATGTACAATAAATATTTCGAATTAGTGTTGTGTAGTTTTAATCGGATCATGAAATTGATCTTACTGGTTTCTGAAAGCAAGATTATCCTCAGGACTGGTAGTGGCAGGAAAATTCTAGCTAAGATTTTCTTTCCGATCCGATCCTGAGATCCTGTGTATATTAAGAAAAGATCTGACCACAATATGGCTGAATTCGACCTCATTTGGGATTGTAGTAATTTTGGCGCGTATCTGTTATATACTATAAGCCTACGAGCATCTTGTGCATCTTTCATGCTTTCTGCCGTTTTATATCGGAGATCCTTATAAAAATGCAAACAATCTTGAGTATGTTAAAATGTCATGTCTTCAAAGTCGAACTGTTTTACTGACTTCTTCCTTAGGGAGAATTGTTTACCAGTTATATCTACTCCAGCTGTACTTATATAACTGATAAGCTTTTAGAAAGAAACTGATAGTACTGAAATTCGTGCAATGCGTTACCTTAAAGTTCTTCTGATTTCCTCCTTATCTAGAGCGTTAAGCAAACTTTGCAACTTCATACGCAGATCCACGGTGTTATATTGCTGGTTAACCTTGTCATTTTCACAGACACGAGATCTGGTGAAGAAGCCAATTAACAAGCCAATTGCAAAAACAGTAAGAAATGCACTGATCATCAAACAACGCGGACTTCTTGATGGAATGCAGATATTAGGGCATTTCGTAGTTTTACGATCAAACTTCGCTTCCTTAACCTCTACGGTTAAACGGACTTCATCATTCGCCATTTCGCGAAAAAACACCCTTAGAATTTCAGTGACCTTGTCTACCGCAGTTGGATATCAATACCTAATTTATACTGATCACCTTCAGCATATAAATGTTTCTGCTCTTCAGTAGACAAGACGTATTGTCATGAATCTTCAATCTTGTGATGTCCTGTGATGGACACCTGTTGTACTCGCTCCCTGTAGGATAAAATTGATTTCGTCTCGACTTAATGTGCTAATCAACACTAGGATTTCATTTTTTTCTGCCGTTTTAGTTTACATTCTTGCCGGCGTAAGACGATGGGTTTTTTTCGATATACGCTATACTCCGAGTATATTTTGATGTAAGATATACTAGACGCTATTATACTTGTGTTCTTCTTCAATGGCTTTTCCGTTTCATATGTCGTTGCTCTTGGGTGGTTTTCGACCACGTCTCGTCTTTTAATGACTATGTTATGTCTTTCTCTGTTATGGTATTTTAATGAGAACTTTGTGTCCTTTGATGACGGGCACCTTATACTGTGATGATGGAGTTTACAATTTAAAAATTCATTTTATCTTCATTCATATCTCGAAACTTAGTTCAAGTGTCTTTCTCTAGTGATTGTGCTTTTTAGGCAGTGCGAGCGTCCACGCACTTGATATCTCAATATTTAGGGAAATTTGGTTGAGGGTCGTAGCTACAACCTTTAACTTAACCCGCTGAAATAAAGTATACGAGATTTCTTTTGATATATAAGTATTCTTTCGCTCAGATATGACAGTTTTCAATCATGAAACATTGCTCTTGTTCACGCGTGTACGATTTTTTTTAAATTACAAGAGTATATACAAGTGAAGAGCCAAAAAATATTTCCAGGAATGACGATGTTTTTTACTTTCGATATTTCTTGAAATGCCTATATGTCTATATATACGATTCTTGCACAATTCTCTCTAAATAAATCCGGTTAAAATTGATATGAAAATACCTAAACCATCGTCACCACAGTAATTTCCGAGCCTTCGGCAATTATATCGTCATTGTTATTGTCTTCGTTTGCTACTATTTTTAATGAGTTATTGCTCGCAAGGGTTCTCTAAAGTGATTGCAACTTCAATGTGTTAATAATAGTTTCTGCTTTGATTCAGCAGCTGAGATTATTCGTTGATATATTGCCAGACTATTTACTTTTCTCTCCGGCCTAAAATAGCTTTCATTGCAAGAAACCTCAGAAGGAACTCAGTTGGGACTGTTCTTCGACGGCGCTTGCCCTTGCTTTGAAATCTTTTTATCTTCACGGCACCTGTTGGGATCTACTTTTACATGGGACGAACTCAATCTCTTGTGGAAAATTATCACCTATATAGAAATAACTTTAACTCTCGAAGAACTTGCCTTTTGACGTATTCCGTCTTTACTCCACGTTCTCGGGTTAATCAGCTTTTCACACTGGCTATTTAATCGTTAAGTCGTTGAAAGGTCTTAATAAAAATTCCACCTCACGTGACTTTTTTCTCGTGTGAAAAGTTCGATAATGTATAATTCGTTATTATGCTTGTTAAAATCTCCCAAATTAAGCGTTTCCCTCTGTCACTCGCTTGAGCATTCTCCCAATGGATAAAATGTAGCTGTATCTGTCTTGATTCGATGACCCCTTTCACAATATATTAACAATTGGATGTCTCAATCAACAGTTATAATCCGAGTTGTCAATTTTAGTTTTTTTTATATTCTGTACGTAATGAACTAAATGATAAAAAATTCTCCGTTAATTCTTTACCGACCACACTCTACACAGGCTGTACCCCGTTTATATATCAGCCAAGTATTTATGAATGCATTGATTCATATCTCTATGTAATAATTAATTGCAACGGTACATAACTCGCATTTATATCAACTAATGACATAAATTGGGATCTTGGGAAATTGTGCAATAATCTCTGCAGCTGGCATTTCTCTACGTTTATAATCGCGAAGCAATCTGATTGGTTTTGCGTGAATTTCTAATACATGTATTCTTATTCGGGTACCGAATTAATGAATAGTGCTATAAGTAGCGAACAAATCTTCATTTCGCAATAAGGTATTTCGGCTTTACGGCTTTAATACGCAAATGTAAATGAGCGCTACGAGATTTGCATTAAGAAGCTGCGTTTTCTCCACATGTTCTTAACTACTTAACATACCTCCAACTGACACATACCTGCATATTCATTGTCGTTGCTAAATATAATTTGCAGTTATTGTGGTTGAGGGCTTAAATGTTTAGACAATATTTTATACGTTATATAGAGACTTCAACGGCGCAGTTGGTGGGTTTTTTTTTACTGCAAGCTTTACTCCTATGCATGCATACAGGGGTTTCAAGTCATTCAACACCCCTGTCAGAAGTCGTGGGTTTTTCTGTTGCAGCCACTCTTTCATTGAGGAGGTTGAGCGGATGTTTTCACTGATTCAGTAAAAAAACCCTGGATAATTTAGGAATACACAAATAACAAATCATGTGTGGGACGAAAATGCAATCCAACTATACATAATAGGCATGCATTATAGCCGATCATCGTGCGCGCGCGGTTTGCTATATAATCAGTTATTTTTACAGGCCAACTTTTTTTGACCCCATGCATAAAATTCAATCTGTATGAATTTTTTAGCTTTTTGGCACGGGATCGGCCGCAAAGCTATATAGCTACATCGGCTGCTGGTTTTTGTCAAATCAAAAATTTTCCAAACTTACTGTAGCTATATATATACCATTATAAACTGACTAAAAAATCTTAATGCTCAATTGACAAATATTTATGCAAGTCAGATAAACACACGTATTTCTGGATTTAGAATATCTCTATAGCTGTATTGTATTCTATATATAGTAGGGAAAAACTATAGACGATTTTTAAGATAGCGCGGAATTGCAAGTTCCAGGTCTAAAACTATTATTCACTTCATAAACACAAAATATATACTTGTATACATATCGTGCGATTTTTGCAGCTGCACATTTTCCCGGATATTAAGAAGCTCGCATCCCACTGAGAAAAAGATTTTAAACAACACCCGTTACACGATTTTGCGGTCGGAAAACTTGTGGTGAAGGAAATCAATTTATAAATCCGATATTCCTGCCGAGAATCCCATTTGAAGCCGCAACGAAAATTAAGGAAGTATTAAAATGGCTCTTGGTCTTGAACCTCGTGAACTGTGCCCTCCCATAAGATATCAACCGGAATTATCCAAGAGACGGATTTATTACAAAGTATGCATACACATGCATGCAGCTATATTAGATGCATTTAGGGGGTTTTGGCTCGTGTCCGTAAAGGTTTTATCAAGTTATAATATCTTATGAGTTTCCATGCATGCATTAAAAATAATCCGTATATGTGATATAACAATAATTAAAACATGATAATGAGATGAAACATTGCATGTGAGATAATGAAATTGCGATTCTCTCTTACGATGACGCACACGATCAATTATCTTCAAGTACCTTATCAAGTGTGAACAAATAGAAATATATGTTTATTTTGGCACTTTCACTCTGATGCGCTTACTACAGCGAATTTTTACAGTAGATTAATATATAGCTATAGAATAGATTATACAAGCATAAAAATAGCCTTTAGCAAATTTCCTGAGGGTATAGTATAATTTAAAATTATTCAAATTTCACTTAGAACCATATATGAGTGGAGTGCTGGATATACCGAAGTATAGAGCTAATAAGACGAGAATAAAATACAAATACTTCACATGATTTTATTCAAAACAAATTTGTTTCGTATAACAAAACTTGAGTGAATAAAATCGTATGAAGTAAACCACGTTTATTGTATTTTATTCTCGTCTATACAGTTTTTAAAGTTCTTGTAGACTGACTTGTATGGGTTATATTACTTATATACCTTCAGCCTATATAAGTTACATAACGGTAACAGTTTTATCTAATGATTGCTTGTTTTACGTTAAACTAGTATATTGCTGTACTCTCGATTTTTTTCCATAGTTCTATATATATACTGCGGAGATATCGAGCTCTCTACTCATGATTCTAAGCAAAGAAATATCTTGGTAATCGTTTAAGACTCTCTCTCTATATATATAGTATGCTTCGGCTTATTTGACGCACAAACACGTACAGCATGGCTATACATACGAATTACAAGGCTTAATGCTATTTGGTATTTACTTGGCTAAATTTGGCCTTAATCTTTTAGACAATTGCTAGATCCTCTATTTGCAAAAGCTAAGTTTAGTGGAGTCAGGATGATTCAATCCTAATGTTTTGATTAAACAAATCGGGTTTTTTTATGATGGAGACATATATGTATATATATAGTTACAGATTATAAATTCAATATTGAAGAATTTCCCCTAAAGTATAAATTCGTTTGTCCAGTGCATAATATGCAGCATACAATCTCGTTAGCCAGGTACCTGTCAATACATTTTGTGGATAAAATGGAATAAAACAAGTGTGGTCTGCGGTCCTACATCACAGGGGGGTTAACACCAGATTAGTACATTAACGTTTTAACAGTTCCGACAACTCGCTATGTCACGCCATCGTATTAAGTAATGTACACGAAGAATTCTTTCTGGCGACACAGGAAATGTGTTTAACTTAAGGATGTGCAATGTTTTAGGTGAAAAATTTGATAGGTATCCAAATTGATAGTTTTCCAAGTTTTTCAAAATAGCCGCAAATAACCGGCACCCGATTAAGGTCAGTTCATATTTTCGAAGAATACCAAACGGAAATCTTTAAGGCAAATGCAATATATACAATGCTACATGATTTATTATAGGAATAATACTTCGTTTCCGTGAGGATGGTTCTGAAATACAAATATTCCAGTCAAGTAAACAACTCCGTGCAAGTTAATTCTAATCCAAATATTTTAAGAAACAACAATACAAATCCTAAAAAACAGTTTCAAAATTTGAAAGAAGAAATGAAAGTATAAGGAGAGGGAAACAACCTATTAGTAAAGCCTGGTTTCCATTTTGTCGTAATAGGCGTAATCAAGTTATTTCTGCTGATAAGAAATAGTCCGGTTGTAATTTTTTTATTTCCTGTAATGTAGTTATTCAAATCAGTCATATTCTTGACTGCACACGCGTATAGAAATATTCTATCACATCAACTCCATTGACGTGTTCACGATAATTGTTTAGAACGTGTAAAAATTACATCATATGAACAGTTTGGCTGTTAAATTACCTTCAGTCATCTCGAATGCTTCAAAGTTTTATATACAACCAAACGTCCTTACAAGAGGAACACAAAGAACGTGTATATTTTAGTTAGGCCTAACTAACTAACTGCGGTATGATTAACAACCACATTGCCAAACTTAAAACTAAATTGTAATAACTGCATTGAAGCTTTATTGCTTATTAACACGTTAGAAAATTTCCACAAACAGATTTTGATATTCAATATGCACACAATGGTCATATACGCCGAAGAATGGTAAAACGCCGAGGTAATTAGGTCACTTGAAAACAC